AGAGTCGGTAGACTACTAAAATAATTTTAAAGTAGAGGTTTAGGTATAATTATAAACTAAATAGTAAGATTAAATAGTAAGTTAAACGCTATTATATAAACTATAATATTATTCCTATATATAAAAGGAAGAGCGTATTACTCTACGCTCTACGAGGCGAGAGGGAGAGTACTCTATCGCTCTTTTAATAGAGCGAGAGAGCGGTTATATACGTTCGATCCTAGGGAGCTAATACGTACCCTACTCGATCCGTAATACGTAGCCTAGTACGTAACCCGAACTAAGTATTAGGAGCTAAAGCCTAACCGAGCGCCTAACTACTTAGGCTAATTAGACTACTTAGTAATTAGACTACTTAGACTACTTAGATAAAGAACGAATCTCCTTTATATATAGGAACAATATTATTATTTATATAATAGCGTTTAACTTACTATTTAATTTTACTATTTAGTTTATAATTATACCTAAACCTCTATTTTAAGATTATTTTAGTAGTCTACCGACTCTCTCCTTTTAACGAGCTCTAACTAAAGATTTAAACTTAGTACCCGTACTAAGTAAAATTCTAGGATTAACGAACCGATCCTAATATAAAGGAAGAGCTAAATACGATAGATAAAAGGCTATAGATTATAAGTCCTTCTACTCTCTCTTTTATCTAGAGTAAAAAGAGGTATCTCCCGAATTTATAATAAGTCTATTCCTATAAGTACAGTATAATTTATTATACACCTACCTACCGTTTACGAGCTAGTAACGACTAGCGCCAAAGTCACATAATAAAGGTAAGTAAATCTTCCGCTTCCTAAACTTGGATGCCTATCTGTTAGCTAAATGTCTCGGCGAACGATTGGTTAGCGGCGATCGGATCTGAGAACATCAAGAGCCTTCGCAACCTTCACGTCAGCACCCATGGTTTCCCAGGGAGTGGTGAAGGGGGTTACTGGACGCACCAAATCCGTGCAGGTGAGAAGACCAAGTGTGTTCTCGATGAGGAGGGTACGATAAGTGCTGGCGAACGCATCCTCGAACAGCTGGAGAAGGTTCGAGGAAGAATCGATGCTAGAGAGGGTGCCAGGAAGTTCAGCATGGAGGATATAAATGCCATGAGGAACGCGGTGTCGTTCGCCGTTTCCCAGCAATTGAGAGCGGACCACTACTACTAAGGGAATCGAGGTCCTCGATGTATGCTGGATGAGTGGGCAAGGGGGCGAGCGAGAAGATGTCCATTGCTCGTGGCATATGTCTCCAATTGGCAACGTCATGACTGAGACTGCGAGAGCTTCCACACCACAGAAGGTAGTCAGGCTTCGTTTCTCTCGGAAGGTGTAGTCCGGAATCGATACTACGGCCTTCTTGTTATGAGAGGATCATGCGAAGGTCCAGCAGGCACACACAAAGTATAGCGTAGACTAGGACATGTCGCATTCGAGTGTGCCCTCGGTGTTCTGCTCAAAGAGGAACATCTATCCCCATTACTCCTAAGCCTTCCAAGCAGCTTAGAGTGCAATTAGCAGCGCAGTCGCCGGTGACAAGCCAGAGAGATGGCAGTTCGATACGTTCCAATTTGAGCGGACCGAGGAGGGTACTCGTCATGAAAGGCTTCCAAGTCCCACAGCTTGCGTCGGCACAAACATTTTGACAGATGCTGTCAAAGCCGGTATCCGTCTGTCGCCGCCCGGTCAAGCTTTGCTGTGCTCGTATCAGCACCCTGCTCGTGTTCGCCGCGCCTAGCCGATGGTGGTGGTACGAGGGCAGTGGTGACCTGAACTATTGACAAAGCAGCGCATCGAACAAAGAGTCTCGAAGTCGCTCTGCAACAGCTGCTGTCGACGTTGAAGGCTCGGCGACGGAAAGCGGTGGGAAGCATTGGCCTGGCCACCTCCACGCGTTCCTTCAGACCCCAGCAGGATTTGGATGAGAGGTACAAGCTGTCGCAGCTGCGAGCTTGCTTCTCAATGGCGCGGCAACTGATACACGCTTATCAGCAGCAGCTGTCCAACAACTGCACGGCGACGACGTCAATCGATCAAGAGGAGGTGGTGGTGGTGGGCAGCCGACGAGGGAGGTGCTTAAACGACATTATGAACATCTCTGTCTATCGCAGTGTGATGCAACCGGCGCTGGGATCGGTGGGCTTGCAAAATTCGGCAGCAGGCACGCGAACCAACGAGCCGCCGAGCTGCGCTGCAAGTCATCAAGCTCCAACCGCACCCTTTCCAATCCCTTCCACCCAAACCTTGAGAGCTCCCCTGTAACACAGCTCGAATGCGGTATAGCGGCCGTCCTCGAATTCGATTTTGGCAGTGGAGATGGGCACGACACCAGCGGCGAATGTGCTCGCGGCGTGCGGCCAGATCTGGGACCAAGAGGCTCTGGATACGCCGGAGGAGGTGGAGAGCTCGTGACAATGCAGGTGTGCGTGGCGGAGAGTTCTCAGCAAACACGGGGGCGGACCACGAGCTTGGGAGGGGTGTATTGAACTCTACACCAGGATGCTACTGCAGGCATGGATATGGATAGGGAAGGGCATGTATTTGAGGCGATATACCAGAAGTGGTCGTGTGCGGATCTGAGAGCGGGCTATGAGATAACGGATGGATATCCACACGCTCCAACGTCTCTGGAGCCACCCGAGATTAGTGGCTGACAGGGATGCAGATGGTCGCAATTCTGCCGAAACGTTTGTTGGATGTCGCCTGTCCGTGCCACGGCGCTGTCTGGAGCAGCGTTGGCGGTGGAGCGGGTGGCGAGAGAGGTGTGTGGCCGCGGAGGCAGGAAGCAGCAGCAGAGAGCGATGGGAGTTGGTTGGGGCACGAATGGTTCATGCATGCCGCCACCGCCGCGCCTATAGCTTGATTTTCGAGTGGCAGGTGGAGTTGAGCGGCGGTGGGAGCTGGGAGATACTGTACTGGACACACGATGGTCGAGTCTGGCACCGTGTTTCGAGATTCATAGATAGAGATAGGCTTGCGCATGTGCGTGTGCCTGTCCTGTGAGAAGTTGTGCAAACCGCTCCAATCAGCCGGTGTGAATTCAGATCGTCGGCGTGGAGCTGCAGGAGCGAGGCCAATCGGCGGCCAGTGAAACGCGGGCCACCCGCGCCTTACCTGCTTGGGCACTGGCGGCGCACTGGCGCGGAATTGGGATTGCGTGTCAAAGCACCTGCCTCTCCTTTCTTCACCAAAACCCGCCGCGAGTTGAGATTCTTGTCGTGCCTCCCTCCACTCGCTCACCCAAGCAGCATCCAAACACTTCTCCGTGTCAGGAAGCCACATCTCGCTCGTTGGTGTGCGCATCTGCTGCTTCGACTCGTCTTCTTCTTACACTCGCTCAACAACACCCATCCATTGACCCGCCGCCCGCCCAGCGACTCCCACTTATCACCACCACCCCAACTGTTTCACGTGCCCAGCAGCGTTAAGGACCCAAGGTGAGCACTCCATCGCCCGCTCCGCCCGCCCAGCGCCGCCAATGCCTGCCTCCGCCCTCACCATCGCGTCGACACGCAGCATAAACAAACCCTGAGCGAGCGCGCCGCTGACCACCCCTGACACAGTTATCCGCCCGGCGGACCTCCCACAATACAATGGCCGGTCTGAGATACATCGCCCCGGCCTTGGCCGTGGCAGCAGGTGCTGCTGGTGAGTCCAACACCCATCTCCATCACCCCAATGGCATCCCAACTGACTCCGCTCCAGCACAAGCATGCGGCGGTGGCTCCGGCACAACCACCATCCAGAGCAACGCAGACGCGACCGGGCTCTCCAACTGTCAGACATACTCCGGCAGCATCGCCATCGCCACTGGCACCACCGACAGCATCCAGCTCAGCGGCATCACGAGCATATCCGGCTCTCTCGTCGCCAACAATGTCACCGATATGACCTCACTCGCCGCCGACAGCTTGCAAGAGATTGGCGAAGAATTCAACCTGAACGGTCTGACCGTCCTCTCCACACTGAACTTCCCGGCCTTGAAGAAGGTCGACACCATCGAATGGATTGCTCTCCCAGCTCTGCAGGGCCTGTCCTTCACCGCTGGTGTTGAGGAGATCAACATGCTCACCATTGACAACACCCAACTGGGCTCGCTCGATGGCATCAACCTCCAGGTTGCCGACACCGTCTCCGTCACCAACAACCCATACCTCACTTCCGTGAACATGCAGCTTGGCAACGTGACCAAGTCGCTCACTTTCGGCGCCAACGGCCGTGACCTCGAGATTGAATTCCCCAACCTCATCTGGGCCTACAACCTGACCTTCAGGAACTGCTCCGACATCAGCCTCCCATCTCTCGCCTCGATCAACGGCTCCCTTGGCTTCTACAGCAACGGCTTCAAGAGCTTGTCCGCACCAAACCTCACCAGCGTCGGCGGCTCTCTGTCCTTCGTCAGCTGCGAGGAGGTGACCAACATCACCCTCCCCGAGCTCACCACCATCGGTGGTGGTTTCCTGGTTGCCAACAACACCGCATTGGAGGACATTGACGGCTTCTCGGCGCTCAAGACTGTTGGCGGTGCCCTTGACTTCAACGGCGCCTTCACCAAGTAAGTCGCGAAGCCTCCATCCACAATTGCTACCAACTAACAATTCTCCAGTGTCTCGCTCCCAGACCTCTCTGATGTTCGCGGTGCTTTCAACCTCCAGTCTACCAAGGACATCGACGATGCTTGCAGCTACTTCCAGCCTCTCTCCGGCCAGAACAACGTCATCAAGGGCGAGTACACTTGCAAGGGCGAGGAGAGCAACCCACAAGGTACCGGCACCCTGGAACCAGGCACCAACTCTGGATCTGGCAGCAGCAGCAGCACGACCTCTTCCAGCGCGGCCTACCCAATGCTCATCCCAGGTGCCACTGGTGTTCTCGGTGTCGTCGCCGCCATCTTCGGGCTTCTTTGAGCACGCATCGACCCCGGGGCGAGAGATTTATTTCAGCTTTGCGGCGGCGTTTGTGTGGTCTTTCTCGCTCCTTGGGCACTTGAACAGTTCGGCACGCATTGCATAGACTAATCGTAGCACTCTCACGCATTGAAAGATAACACACAAAATACCCGTCCTCCTCCCTTTCTTACGAAACCGATGACAGTTCTTCAGCGAGCGCTTATGGGGTCCTTTGGCACGGCGCACAAAAGCGAGCAATGCATGCCGGAACGGCCACTCCTTTGGAGGCGCAATGGAGCTGGGATAGACTATTCAGAAACGTAATGGTGGAGGAACATGATGAAGTTTGGGAGCCAGATAGCGGCGACATTTGGTAGCTGCAGTTTGGGTGGACTGGCTGCACAGCACGGAGCTTTCTTTTTGGCTGCGGTCGACACCGCGGCTCTGGGGACTCTTTCTGTATGCTACCAAGAAGGCAAACTAATACAACTACTTGTCACTCTTACATGCATCCACTCTTACTTCATCACTCGAGAGGCACGTGCAATAATCTGTTGGTTTTTGGTGTTGACGTTGAAGTTTGGGGCACTGCCTTGATTAAACTTTCCGCTCCCGCATGATCTTCCAACCTCACCTTACACAACCTCACCCTCCTCGCATCAAAGTGTGCTGTCGTCCTTCTTTCCCTCCCCATCATCGCACACATCTCCGAGGATGGCCGGCATCGACAGTCTCCACTCACACCACAACAACAACAACAACCAGGTGCTCATGCCCGGGTCTCCTGATGAAGGAGCGACGAGAGCTTGCGCTCGACGAAGCCCTTGCGCAAACCCCAGTCTAGTACCGGCGGGTGGAAGACGATGCCGGGCGGGGATGGCGTAATTGCTGCAGTTTCGGCCCTTGGACGACACCTCTGTTTCTCCCGTGGGATTGATCACATTTTGCGAACTTCCCTGGCTGGTTTTCTGCAGAGTGGCAATAGCAGGTCTTCGTTTAGAGGCCGTCGACTGTCGAGGCACTGGCACTGGCTGGTCGTGACACGCGCGGGTCTTGTTGGGCGCTTGTCTACCTGCATGTTGCTGGGATGCCGCCTGCTGCTGTTCGACGACCGCAAACGGACAGACAGCTGTTGTTACACGAGGATGCTGGCTTGTGCGCGCCATGGCGCTCGATACCCGGTCTTGGAGGTGGCCTAGTCTGGTTGACTTGAGAGATTTCCTCGATCGATGGGCAGCGCGCGTTCTCCCCTGTCAGATTGTTGTCCGTGCGACTTCGATTTGCTGCACTCCACTCTACTGTGTTGCTTTCGACTCCACTCTACGAGCGTTGAGTCTGGACGATGGACGGGGTCTTTCCAGTCTACTGTTACACACGTCTGGTCTCGCTGCATGCTCCCGATTGCCGCGCTCCTTGACACCTTCTCGACAATGATCATCTCCTTAGAAGGCCAATCACGGGTGGTGGGTCGCTAGGCTGCGAAGTATCGCGGCAGATTATGCTCCTGTCCGTTTGTGACGAGGAAGATAGACGCATGTCGGCGTGAACGACCCCAATAAGGCAATACGATATGGTCGCGGGGTAGACGCTCACTCACATGCTGTTCTGGACGTTTGGAAGAGTGTTGACGTTCTTCTTGCATTGACGTGCAGCTGTACAACTCTGCCAACACAAGTTTTGAGGAGAGGCCTAGCCTAGTATGGCATCTTCGACTTTGCGGTGAGAGATGCACGGTCGGGCGTCAACATCGATGCTCAGGGCCGTACAACACAAGACAGGACCCGCTTCCGGCGCATCTTGTAAGCGGCACCAATCGACCGGACAGCTCAGAGATCTTCTGAACAGCGGGCCGTGGAAGAGCAGTTCCGATGCTGTCTTTCATGCATTGAACGGCCACTTTGACAAGCAAGGGCTCTCGTCACCGTCCTGACTGCCGTGGACCAATACCCTTCGACGCCGATCGCCGACTCCAGTCTTGGCCTCCATCCGGGCTCACGGCTGGGTGAGCGAGCGTCGCCCTTGCTGAATCCCATCTCGAACAGTCGAAAATGGTCGAGCAGACGCCTGACCTTGCCGCGCTCATCCCGGCAGATTGTACAGCTGCTCAAACCTTTAGCGTCCGGGCCGTGAGATGTATGATCCACCCTTCTCTAGAATCTCGAAGCGGTGCTCATCCATGCTGGAGGACCGATTTCTGCGAGCATGATGAAGACGACTGAGCATGGGTTCGAGGGAAGGTTAAATACGAGGGTAAGTTCCTACCGCTTGGATTTTCTTCTTCTCATTCGCTATCTCTTGAAGTGAGTTTGCTCTTGCATCGAAAACATCTTGTTGGTCTTTTGCTTCACGCAGGTGGTCTTGTTGCTTTTGCTCGTGGCTGCTTTTGCCAATTGGCTTACCCATCCTGACTTCCCCTTGTCTCACCCACCCACCCACCCACACGATCAATCAATCAACCATCTCTCCACCTTCACCGCGAGCACTCTCCTCGTCCGATCATTCAGCCATGGCCGATCGTCCGAACCACTACAACGGGTATACCTCCAGACGTCAAAGCAAACTTTGAGTTTGACGCTAACATCTGACAGCCATAGCCTACCACCCTGCAGCACGTTGATGCAAGGCCTCACCAAGTGCCGAGCATCAGACTGCAATGCCCTCTTCTCTTCAAACAATGAACGCCTTCAACACGAACGACACTGCGAGATCGTCGCACATCAGTTGTTCAGCATGGGGCGTCGACCAGCACAATACCCAGTACAACCGCATCGCCTCGACGTCCAGATGGCTTCCTGCAGCATCGAAACCGACAGTGACGAGTCGTCTTCGGTCGTCTTCACGCCAGACAACAGTCGTGCGCCTTCTATCTGCGACCCACAGGAACGCCGGCAGTCCGGTGTCATCCGCACGATCCGTCGTCGTTTCGGCAGCGGCTCTTCCACACCAGAAACCGAGCGGAGACGAGGCGACGCAGCGAAACCAAAGCACATCAAGAAGCAAGAAAAGGAAAAGCACAACCGCAACCAACTCGGCTCGGTCCTGTACCGCATGGAAGACTTGTTCCGCGCCTACCTAGGCTGGGAGCGCCACGAACAGAGCGGGGGCAACGGCAACGGCGCCGGCCTCCACGCCAACAAAAGCACCATCCTGCGCGGCGCCGAGGATCTCCTCTGCTACTTCATCCACCGCGAGCACTGCTGGGCCCTCGAGCGCGGCAACCTGGACGAAGTGCAGCAGCAGCTGAGCGACATCCTCGACGGCGCTGTCAACGCCCAGCCGTACACCAGCACGTTCCTCGCCACCGACGACGAGCCCATCTGTGCTCACAGTGACAGCAAGTCGAAGGAGTGCATCGTCCATGGCCACCCGGATTGGCGCGAGTGTCGTCGTCTGCACGCGGATCCTCGCTTCGCAGCGAGGCGGAATGAGTATCTGGCGAATCTGGGGAGGACGAGGGTGCAGCATGAGGGATACCTTCGGTCGAGGGGGTCGCAGCCTTCGAGGAATGGGACGTCTTCCTCGAGCCAGAGGAGGGCGTGAATTGGTCATGACGCTTGGACGGTATGACTGACGAATACGACAGACCAGCGATGTCATCCTTCATCCTTTTTTCCGGAGGCAGCACTCTTCTTTACTACTCAGCGACAGAACTTTATGGGACGGGCATCTTGAGCGACTTTTCTCGGATTTTGTTTGGTCAATCAAAAGCAACCTTGGGCGGCGATATCCTAGCATCTTGGCTTTTTCGGCATTGTTCGGGTGGATGGCGATTCGTGTATTATAACTCTACAGACATTTGGCAGTCTCTTCGATGACGATGACCACGACGATGATGAAATGATTGATATGAGAATTGGTTTGGTTAATGTGTATGTGGTATAGACAGACAGACAGACAGACACAGACAGAACGAGAAAAGAAAACGATGAGTTGTATTTGGTAGATGAGCTTGCACTTTCCGTTTTTCTTTCTCATCGTTGTCTGTCTCAGCTATAGAGATTTGATTGCTTTCGAGAGTAGATGTGATCGTTGATCAAGACAGGGTGACACTGCTAAATTCGCCGTGGTTGGGAGTGATCTTGCACGTGGCCCATCGAAAAGACACTCCCAGGGCACGAGCACACCATCACCACCAAGGCCGAACAAGACCTGGACGAAATGCATTTGTGACGAAGAGCGCACGCGCAACCACGTTCCAGTGGACCATTGCGGCTGTCTGCAGCGGTGCAGAAGCCGACTAGTAAAAGCTGAAAAAGTGAGTTGTTACGCGTCACAATTGACCAGGTGGCGATGTGAAGGGTTTTATGTACAGGCCATGCCTGAGGGTGGAATATGCATGGCGCTTGGGGAGTGCGGGAGGGAGTCTAGTGCTGGTGAGGATGCGAGAGGGTGTAGATTCGGTTGTGATTGTTGGAGGAAGAGTGTTGTTGGTGCTATTCTTGTTGCGGGCGATTACGAGGTGAAGTCTTCGAAGTCGTGAAAGGCCTGAGGCAGCAAGGCTTGGCGCTGGCGAACCCCTACGCAGCGGAAGCAACCACGCCCATCCCAACCGCACCGACCACCCCGTCTCCTCCTCCGCTCCCACTGCTACCACCCCATTCACTCGCTTGCCACCCATTGACCCCCGGACATCCACACCACCGACCCCAGCGCCCCCTCTACACGCCTTCTCCGTTCGATTCTCGCCCTTCTTTACCACGCCGTGAGACGCAGCAGCAGCCCCCAGGGAGCGCATCTACCATAGCAGACCACGACGGGAGAGGCGTACGCCGCCGGGCGTCGTCGCTCAGGAAACCCCAGCACTCCCTCACAATGCTCCTTCCCAAGGGCAGCGCCATCAACTGGAAGAGCGCGCGCGCACGGCTACCGCCCAGTCGAGCCATCTGGAACTTCCTCACCCGTACTCGCTTTCTGTTGTTCGTGGCCGTCGCCGGCATAATCGTATTAATATGGAATGGCGTTCGAGGGACCGCGGGCGATTGGCAGAGGTAAGAGATGTGGCGATGGGATGGAAGGATATAGCAAGGAAAAGATGGCTGACTGTGAGGATGTGGATGGAATAGGTTCTACTGCTTCGGACCCGCCAAATCACCCATGCAAATGTCGCCCAACGAGCAGGCGCAGTGGGCAGGGCATCTACAGACACCTGTCATCTTCAACCACCATGAACCCATAGAGATCAACAGCTCCTCGATCAAACGCGTCGACCTCAACCCCATCACCTCCACTCCACAAGCCCTCGCCAAGCAGGAGCGAGTCCTCATCCTCTCCCCGCTGCGCAACGCTGCTCCTTACATTGAGCAGCACTTCGACCTCCTCACGCAACTTACCTACCCTCACCATCTCATCGATCTCGCTTTCCTCGTCGGCGACAGCACAGATGACACCCTGGCCGTACTCGCGATGGAGCTGGAGCGATTGCAGTCGAGACAGGATAAAGTTCCGTTCAATAGCGCCCTGATTGTGGAGAAGGACTTTGGGGTGACGCTCGGCCAGAATGTGGAGGACAGACATGGGTTCGCGGCGCAGGGGCCTCGAAGGAAAGCCATGGGCAAGGCGAGGAATTACTTGCTGTCCGCGGCGTTGAAGCCGGAGCACAGCTGGGTGTATTGGCGGGATGTGGATATCAAGGATAGTCCGAGCAAGATTATTGAGGATTTTGTCGCGCATGATCGCGATATTCTCGTGCCGAGTATGTATAGGAGGATGGATGTGAGGGAGTGAGAATAGCTACTGACAAGTATGTCTCTGCAGACATCTGGTTCCACCGATACAAGGACGGACACGACATAGAAGGTCGGTTCGACTACAACTCGTGGCAGGAGTCGGAGACGGGCCGCAAGCTCACGGCCAGTCTGGATAAGGACATTGTGCTCGCTGAAGGTAAGAGATCCTGGAAAAGCATCACTTGATGGTTGTACCGTGGGCTGACTGGGGTTTGCAGGTTACAAAGAGTACCAAACGGACCGCAAGTACATGGCGCGAATGGGCGATTGGCGGGATAACAAGGACATGGAGATTCCGCTGGATGGGATTGGTGGGGTTAATATTTTGGTCAAGGCGGATGTTCACAGAGCTGGTAAGTTTGAGAATACATCTCCACCACGAAGTCGAGATCAAAGAGGTCGTTTCGCTGACATGGTATGTGTGATGACTAGGTATCAACTTCCCTTGCTACGCCTTCGAAAACCAAGCGGAAACGGAAGGGTTCGCGAAAATGGCGCGAAGGGCGGGCTATGGCGTGTATGGCTTGCCGAATTACGTTGTCTGGCACATCGATACTGAAGAGAAGCCTGGTAATGCATGAGGAAAAAGAGGCATAGCAAAGTGAACAGAGGCAAGATACAGGGTTTTCCGGTTGGGTTTTTCTGTGGGGAGGCGTCAAAGATGTGAACCTGAAGGTTGTGTGTTGGTTTTTTATAACTACGATAAGGCTTTATATTTTTTGAGATGGAATTGGGCCGACCTCTGAGGAGGGCTTTGGGACTGTATCTGCTCTGTGAAACTGCTCAGGTTTTGTGATCTGGGTATTGTGCTCTGCTCTGTGTGTTCTGTCGTTGGTTGTTGTTGTTATGTTGTTATTGTTGTGGTGTGAGGTTGTTGGTGGTGATTATTGTGTGGCTTGTGATAAGGAAGGTTCGCTTTCAGAGTATAGTTAGACACAGAGGACTTTAATGATTCACTAATGCAGGGAGGTTGGATATCTATCTTAGCAGTATTGGTGGTATTGAGAGAGGGGAGGATATGATCTGGGTTAGGTCTCTAAGTTTTGGGGTTGGGAAAGAGGAGGTGATGGATGATTAGAATAGTGATAGTATTAGAAGTAGAATTTTCTGGTACCTACATGTGGGCATGTGAAGTGGAAATGCGTACACATTCTACTCTACTATCCTCTCCAAACATGTCAATCTCTCCCATCAGCATTTCGACATTATGACATTCATGACTTCTGGATTGATGAGAGCAATCCCGCCGTGTCTTCCTCGCCATAATTGCTCTGTTGTCTGAGTCGTTTGAAAGGATCCTTGGTATGTGAGGTACATTCTTAGGGACTGAGAGCATCCGTGTCTTCCTCGCGGCAATGGCTCTGTACACCGCAAACCCAATGTCTGGCCCTTGTCGCCAGCATAGTATAACAGTAAAGCTGTGGAATGGAAGTCCTCGTAGGTGATTCGACTTTCACACGCTGTGACTCTAGTTATCTTCGACGGCTTGGGTGTCGACGTCTTCGATTCTCCACATGTACCACATGAATAGACTCCTGTGGGGCAAACATTCACACGATTAGCAGACCACTCTACAAGCCATCTTTAGAGGAAGACTCACCTATACGGTCGAAAGTTTTCCGCAACCTCCACCATCTCCTTCTCGCTCATGTACTTCCACTTCCCGCCCTTGCCGCTATTCTTCAACTTCTTCACGTCCCGTCCTTTATACGCCGCCATGCCCCTCTGCACGCCCAGGTCTCCCGTCGAGAAGACGTCCATGCGCTTTAGTCCGAAACACATGAACATCTCCACGCTCCAGGCGCCTAATCCGCGGACGGCGATGAGGGACGAGAAGACCTCCTCGTCGGTGCCGGTGAGGAGTTGGGCGACGGTGAGTTCGCCGGAAGAGAACTTCTGCGCGAGACCCTGGACGTATTCGGCTTTGCGCTGGGAGAGGCCTGCCGTTCGCAGAACGGAGAGGTCTGTCTTGGCGACGAGGGTTGGGGGCGGGAACCCCGTCGGACAATCTTCCGCTGGGAACAAGGCGATGAATTTATTCTTGATAGATTTCGCCGCGGCGCCCGAGACTTGCTGCGCGAGGATGCCGGAGACGAGGGAGCGGAAGGGGTCGATTTTCTCCGCGAGGCCCTCCGGGGAGAAGATTCTGCAGTGGTGTTTTTCGACCACAGACTTCAAGGCGGGGTCGGCTTTGACGAGGTGCGCGCAAGCTTCGTCGAGGAGGGTTTTGGATGTTGTTGTCGTGGGGGGCTTTTTGGAGGGAGAGGCTTCTTCGAAGTTGCTATAGGGTTCCAGTGGGGTTCCTCCTGGGGTGATGAGGGTTGCGTTTGTGTGGTGGGGTTCGGCCGGGCGGTTTGGTGGGGGTGAGGCGTCGTCGATGTCGCCGGTGCTGTAGTTTTGTCCCAGATTGCTGGTGCTGGTCATGAGGCCGATGGCGGAGGGCGTTGGGGTGAAGGGTGGTGGTTTGGAGGTAGAGTCTTTCTTGGCTAATTTTCGTCGTTTGTTGAGGGGGGTGGCGGGTGGTGGGGGCATGTTTTGGGAGTCGAGTTCTGCTTGGGAGGGTTCACCATTTTGTGATATTGTTGTTGATGCTATGTCTTCTGAGGCTTTAGTCTTACGGCCTCGTTTCTTGGTTGGGGCTGCTTTCTCGGCGATGCTGCCATTCGGGGCTTCTTTCTCGGGTGTCGGCTTGCTTTGAACACGGGCAGAGCGTCTCAATGACATTGTGATTGAACTACGGTGTTGAAGTTGTGGACTTCTGAATTGCCTCGGAAGCAGTAGGGATTGGGTGGGCGCTCGGGGTAGAAGTGGAAAGAAGGCAGTACGGAACGCCAGAGTTCTTCAGCTGCTTGATTGAGAGTTGTGTTCAACTGTTGAACCGATGTACGGCGGAGAGGAGTTGGTGAAGCTTGCAGTCATCACGACGGGATGTATGGAGGTGGCGTCGGTCCAAGTCGCATTCGCGAATCGAATCTTGGCATACGCGAACTCACGTGTTCGGAGGTTGGAAGTGAATGACGAGCTCAAGACGCATCAACTGAGCCATTGAACAGTAGTCTTCATATGCACCCATTCAAGAACGAAAAGAGAGCAGCTGCTGTGTTGGAAGATTTGTTTTTCGCTCGGATATGGTACACTCAGTGCCTCGAATCTATGCCAGCCACAACAGCAAGACTTAGAAGCCCTGCGCTCTCTCAAATATATACATCCTCTCTGTGTACTTCTTGCATGGTATCCAGTCGTCTAGTTCTTGGGGGTTGGCTTCGTGATCTGCATTGCCTCGAGATCCTCCCTCTCCTTGATCTCGATCTCGATCTCCTTGATGAGTGGTGAGAGGTATGGGTAGTCCTAGCGCAATGTCAGTCCAAGTGTCCTGAATAGCAGAGAGAGAGCAGATGACCAAGTGTGATCAATGCTCCATGTCTCTAGATATACCTCATCGGCCGCAGTCCACTCGTGGCGTGGAAGCAATTGATGCGCCAGAGAGCACTGCCAGACCTGTTAGTCTCTTCTCCAACAAAAGTCCTTCTCATATATCTTGGTGTATACCTGGAATGCTCTTCGCATACGGAAGACGCGGTCGTATGCTTCTTTTGGAGACAGACGCTTCAATGCGAGCTGGACTTGCGGGCTCTCCTCTGGGATCAGGTCATCGGCCCTGCAATACCAATTGGATCAGCACATTATCCTCCCACGATATCCTCAATTTTCCGCGCCCATCCCGCCATCCATTGCTCTTGCTTTCCAGCACGTACCGCAGTCCCAACTTCCGGTATCCAGCATTGTCAAAGTACCACTGCGACAGGGGCTTCATCCACCGCTGCAGCCAAGGCCGCTTCATGATGTAGGGCGCGAGCGAGGGGACCGACATGGTGGGCGAGTGTTCGGGGGTGTCGAGTGGCGGAAGGGGTGGTGTCGTCGTCGTCCTGCAAGTCGACGAAGAAGCTCCTACTTTTCGCTGGGAGCCAAGCATTGGATCAGTCAGCGAGCTGGACGACACTCCATTGGTTGATTGGGCCCCGCAAACGCAATCGGAAGGAAAGCTCGACGACCAGCAGCACCCAACGTCACATCAACACTTTCATTCACTCACCTGCACTTTCGCTCACGTGGTCTTCGGCCTTGGATTGCGCAGACGCTCTGGTAGAGCCTTGGAATTCCCCTCGCATCCGCATGGCGGGCACGTGCTAAGCCGCGAGTTGCCATCGTGCCGGCGGGGCTTTGTCCAGTGTGCGCTCGGAGAGAAGGCAGGCGCTGCACTCGCCCATTTCGACCTGCCGCCGGACCAGCACCTCGCTAAGCCAGTCACAAAACATAACATCGAGCATGACCGCGCTAGAACGTCGTCCTCGGTAGTCCCTATTCCGGGCCCATGCAGAACACCACCGCCAGTTCTGCTATGTCGTCTGACGGCACCGGCCCTCCTACGAACAACAACATCCCTGATAAGACCAAGTCCGCCCTCGTCCACCGCACGCCCTACCCTAGAATCGCAAAATGGACCACCAACCTCTCGAGCGCCAGCGTCAACTCCTTCTCCGGAGCAATGGCCGGCATGGCCAGCGGCATTGTCACATGTCCACTCGATGTGATCAAGACCAAGCTCCAAGCACAGGGTTCCTTCTCCCACGCCGACCTCCACGGTAGCCCGCGATCGAGTGCAATATACCAAGGCCTGATAGGAACAGCACGGACAATCATACGGCAGGATGGCCTCAGAGGGATGTACCGTGGTCTGGGGCCAATGTTGCTGGGATATCTGCCAACCTGGGCAGTTTATATGGCAGTATACGACAGCAGTCGGGAGTACTTCTACGATCATGGCTATGGTGTGAAAGAGAGGGACAAGTGGCTGGCCCGGATATATGCCTCTCTCTCTGCCGGCGCATGCAGCACGCTTGCTACCAACCCGATTTGGGTCATAAAAACTCGCCTGATGTCGCAGGTATCCAGGACTGCCTCAGACGGAGCTCGAACACCTTGGCAATACAGCAGTACTTTGGACGCCGCTCGAAAGATGTACCGAGCTGAGGGCATGGCCGCGTTCTACTCTGGTCTTGCTCCTGCGCTTCTCGGCCTAACCCATGTTGCTATTCAGTTCCCTCTGTACGAGTACTTCAAGATGAAATTCACAGGTCTCGAAATGGGTGCAACGCCCACTACCCACGGCGAAGCTGGCAAGAACACAGCCGGCATCCTCGCAGCCACGGTCATCTCGAAAGTCTGCGCAACATCCGCAACATACCCCCACGAAGTCCTCCGCACCCGGCTACAGACGCAGCAGCGCGTCCATGTTGAGGACACTCACAATGGTGTAGGTGCAGTCCAGCACAGCCAGAGCATCTCCACTTCTAAGCGTATTGGGAACACTGACGGTGTGGCGTACCAGCCGCGTTATCGAGGCGTCCTCTCCACGTGCCGCATCATCTTGCGAGAAGAAGGTTGGCGGGCATTCTACAACGGCATGGGCACCAACATGATTCGTGCGATACCGGCGGCGATGACCACGATGCTCACGTTCGAGAGTATAAAGGGAGCGATTGGGACACTTCAAGAAGAGGGTAGAGAATTGATCAAGGAAAACGGATGATCGGGCTTGATCGAAATGAGGAAATGGGTCGTGAATGGCTGTCCATATGGGTCGGCGGCGTTCCGGAGCCTTGATTTACGGGCGAGATGCATTGTTATGTTCCCGAAGCGGCAGAGATACTCCATCCTATACCGGCATCTACGGCGGCATTCGTGGGAAGCATGGCGTTTGGGTGTCCAAGTGGCAAAGCTGCGCACGCGGCTGCGAGAAAGAAGAGTTGTGGCATTTAGAGGGTATTGATGGTCTTTTATCGAAGTCGTACGTACAGAATTCCTGATATACAGTCTTCATTTGATTGAGTGGTGCCATTTGTTGTGGGTGGGGTTGCATTTTGTCTGCTGATATCCTAGGTCGGTAACCTCAGTGCCCTCTGTCGTACGTGGAAGTGCAACGGCACACTGAAGCCATGCCTGCCCGGAATAAGATCCATAATCGCCGTCAGCTACAAATACGGAGTCTCCAGAGAGCACTCGGCCACGTCACATCACCAACTTGAAGGAGTGCCGCAATGTTTGTGGACTCTGCCTTATCGGGAACCTGTGGCCAGGAGGCCAAGAAGCACGAATCCCGGATCTTTCTGTTCATCTTGACCGCATGCCAACTCTGCCAAAGGTTCATTGACAAGGAGTGCAGGTGCCGACTGAGGCTGGACGGCGCGTAATCTCAGACAAGCCGTAGAACCTGCGCTTTTCTCCGAAGCTTGACGACAACCCGAGGAAAGAACTGATGGTGTATGAAAGATTTCGGACAGAACGTCTGGTACCTTGGCTACCTCATGAACAAGTTCATATCATAATTCACGCCTTCGCTGGTGAGTATGCGCTCCTCTACATTCCCTGACAACCGAAGCCTGCGCCCAGCCAACATTCACTCACAAGGACCGTGCGCCTTATGTCATCAACAATTCACGTGAAGACGCTGCTAGTACTTCCGGACTTTAGCCGCTACTTTCCGTCTTTCCGCAATAATGCCCTCCAGCAGCACCTACAAATGCGGCGTTTGACACGGTCTTCTCCACCGCCTCGCCATGGGTGACGCCTCCGGAGAGATATGATTGCTGGGCTAGACTCCTACTGGCGCCTCCATCGCCCATGGAGCTTGACTGAGCATCTCCACAAACAGGTCGAGTTGAAGACCGGCCGTCGCTTTCCAGACAACACCTCACGACTTCACCTTGGCAAGATCTTAGGCCGCTCCGAGCGACAGGCGCTGGATTACCACCAATGTAAGCGCAAGCGATGTCTCGCACGATACAATGTCCTAACATCATCGACCAGGCACCTACAATGAGCTCCACAAGTTTGCCCTTGAGCGCGGACTCGCTGAAGAGAAGGACGCGAAGCGGACAATTGAGCAGCTTGTCGAGTTACTGGAGACCGCCGACGAAGACCGCACTTTCCACTTAATGGACCTGTCGCCTGAGCTTCGCTGTCAGTCTACGGCTGGTAGTAAGAACAGGGGCGAATGTACAAGTTGTGATGGCATCATCACTGACGCTTCATCCAGCTTCGCGGCACTCCAGCAGCCGGTCAAAGCTCCAGTACTGCCCCCGTTGGCTCGGACGTGCAAGCTCGTTAGAACGGAGATCGTTCCCCTCTAATGAGTGCTCTACCATATCAACTTCGCTGGTTCAGTGCTCTTCTAACACCTCATGCCGCCGACATAGCTACCAGACTGTCCAGTTCCATTTCACGATGGGAGGCCGGCCAGTCTTCTCCTACGACGAAGACACGCACCGGTTCCTCGCCAGGATCCACTACAAGAACTGCAAGACCATCAACAAGTTCAGTTTGGACGTAGAAGGACGGAGATTTGAGATGACACTGAAGACGAAGGAAAAGGGGTCCGAGTATGCGGTCTTCCGGAAGGGCAACGGCTTGATGGCACACGACTACATCGCCATACGGATAGAGCGCTGTCTGTTGCGTGTCGCCCGCGAGCACGCACATGGAGGGAAGTTTTCCAAGTTCGACATGCTTATGCTGCCGGAGAACATCAAGAAGGCTGCGCTGCAGGAGACCATGGCATGAATGAAGTATGGCTTGCCGGATAATCGACGAATCGCTCAGCCGTTCGTTTTGGACAGCTTGCACTGTGAAGTCTGAACGACTCCTCCTTCACAGGAGATAGCTAAGTAGACGGAATAGCAACGATGCGGAGAGAGATGCTGCCGCGGCCGCGGCTGCTGAAGACGATAAGGCACTCTTCCCCGAGAATCTGGTGTAGACTCAACTCTCAGCTTCTCTCTCAACAGCTCGGACAGCCACCTTTCAACGGAGAAGAATAACCGGATTCCTCCTTACATGACCTTCATATTCTCTTAGCAACTACGGATCAACATAGAAACCACATACTCTCATTCAACGGCCTGGACTCCAGAACTCTGCTGGAGAACGGCCACTCACAAGTGACTTGTACGAACCACGTTTCCCCCAAAATGTTGGAGCAGTCACTTGCCCGGCATTTACTCGTCGATATTCACTCGGCGTTTGTACTTGGGGTGTTGTTACACATCCCTGTAACCCTTCAAATAATCCAGCCCTCCCTCATCCATCCCAACCATCGGCACACATTCCCTACCGAGAGCAATGTCGACCATCCCCCGTCGAGATCGCTCCGGCAACCGATACTGGCAAATGAAGCAACACTATTCCAGCACAATCGCGGAGCTAAGAGAAATCGCCCGCAAGGCAGGCTATGCAACCCCTACCAATATCCGCAAGGCAAACATCGTCAACATCATCCACCGCATCCATCGCCAGTTGCCCAACTACAGCCCCTGCACGCTCACCGAGCTTCGCAAGTTCGCATTCGACCGCAAACTCATCACAACCGCCAAGACTGGAACCCACAAGCAACTCCTCCGCCTCTTGACCGCCGCAGACGACGACGTCCAGTTCTCCCTCCTTTTCGACCTCCCGCCTGAGCTACGTTGCGCCATCTACAGATGGTACATGGCCCCCTTCCCCGAAGAGCTTGAATCCCCGGCGCAGCCTCCCCTCACACGCGTGAGCAGAGCAGTGCGCAGAGAAGCAACCCCTATCTTCTACCAGTCGTGCCACTTCCTCCTCGACTTGACGCGAACGAAGGGCGTGAAGCATCATTTCCGCTTCGAAGACGACACCCACCACTTCCTCTCATCATTGATGGCTCCACACATCGCCGCCATACGGAGGTTTCAGTTCCAGTTCTACCTCGCAAGGAATGTTAGCGGCATCGACGTCTACAAGATCGACGTTGAGCTGAGGACTGGAGAGAAGGGGTTTCTCCCGCGTGTCAAAGCACACAAGTTCTTGATGAGCCAGTCTGGCACCACGGAGGTTGATGCATCTTGCGAGAAGATGGAGAAGGCGTTGGTGGAGTACTTTGCGACGCGTCGGGCTACTGAGGCTGAGGGCAAGGAGGTGAAGTTGAGGGCGGAGCACTTTTATGGTGCGAGGAGAAAGATGGACGAGATCATGCATCCAGACTGAGTGGACGTCTGGATTGAGGGAGCCATGCCAGGTCAAAGGATGCAGAAGGACAGCAACAGTGATGGATCAATGCGTGGCACTTGCGGTTTAAGAGGTGTCTGGATTTTTGCGGATGCTCTCCTTTGGAAATACATCCTACCATGCTGTCAACGAGTCCAACCAGTCTCTTGTCAGCCGTTGAGGAATGGACAAGGCCTAGCCATGTTCTTCGTCTTCAAGTCTAACCCGTTCTCAATTACCAGGCTGAGAACATCTTCCACTGCCCTCGTCATTCCGCTTGAGACTCAACGCATGCAGACATGGTCTTTCCTAAATTTTATGAGCCACCAGACCAGCAACTGCAGGACGAGTCGACATCGTCTGTAGGTCGTAATGTCCGGCTTTGATAAGGGCAGCCAAACTACCACAGCGCCTCCTCCCCCATCCTCATCTCCCCCAACCTCTCCAAAACCTGCTTCCACTCCGGCCTTACCTCCACCTCCAACCGCCTCAACCCATCAACCTCCCTAAACAACCTCCTCGCCGCCTCAACACTCTCCGGTCCCTCCTCGCCACTCCCCTCCGCAACACTCAACCCCACAACCTTGCCCTCGTAAAACCCCTTCAACCACTCCACCAACCTCCCCCAACACTCCACTCCCTGCTCAGGTTCCAACATCCGCAACTGAATCGGCGCCATGCGTTTCGCATCCTTGGCGGGCGTGTCTGCGAGCCAGGCGATCAGGGCGGAGGCGTCGAAGTTGTGGATGTGGAAGTGGAAGGTGTTGGTTGGGTAGTAGATCCACGAGGCTTCGACGCGGAGGAGGTGGGTGGTTTGCAGGATGGGTGGTTCGTGGGGGCGCTTCTCGGTAGGTGAGACGGCGATGCGGGTTCCTGTGGGGAGGATGAAGTTGAGGATGTTGGCGCGGAGTGGTTTGGGGATTCCGAGGAGGGTGGGAGATGGTCTTGGGAGATGGGCTTGGAGACGTTGCTGATACTTCCAGAAGCGATTCTCGCAGGCGATTTGTCCGGGTCGTTCATGTTGGTCGCTGGGAACCTCGTGCTTGCTCAACCGCCTCCTGAGCTCGACGAGCTGGACTGGTGTCTTGGTGCCCGGGTTCGAGGGGAGCTCCATCAAGTCGTGCATTTCGTCTATGCCGCTGTCTTGACGGGGTGGCGTGGGTGGGTGATTTGAGGGGCTTGTCTGGCAGACTCTTCTTGTGTTTCGATCTGAAGAGACTTCGCACGGAGAACTTCATCTTCGTGAGGTCTCCATAGATCAGAGCTGAGGGTGGACGCCCAGACAGGATTTCCGTGGGGTTGTTTGCGCTGGGGTAGAGAGTAAGACCACGAGGAGTCGAGGTGCATTCTTTTGGCATTTCGTTCCGCAGTGCGTGAAAACTTGGCAGTACCATGAGAAGCATCTGATTACCTTTGCAGTCAGCGGTGTGGAAAGCATTTACCTCTGCAAAGCCTCATACAGGTCCACCACAATCAAAAAGAGTATACAAGCTTCAAAGCTGCCCAGTCTTTCTGCACCTATCCGCCCCATAAGCCGTTACATGAGTGTCAACCTATTCGTTTAGGCCGCAAGGATGGCAGCGCCGATATAGACCTCTGCGATTCAGGTGCGTTCGACTCCCCTTGTTGAGGCTCCCTGCCGAGCTGAGAGACCACATCTATGGTCTCGTCTTTCTGGAGCCTTCTGAAGGCAACGTACATCAGAATCGATTCCAGCTCTCTGGGGCCTGGACTCCTGCAGACATGCCGTGAGACGCGCAACCTCGCAGGCAGAGTATACTGTCAAGCAGATCTGACAGTTCGCATGCAGATGGAGTTGCTGCTGACTGGCGTCCAGGGGAGTACGTTCGCGTTCGATGTTCGGAACATGAAGTTCTCGGAAGTAGTAGCATAGGCACGGTGTTCTGAGAGACGGAAGTGCGCGAGAAATCGGGTAACGATTATGAGTCCTGGTCCGCGACGGCCATGGAGTGAGGGAAAGAGGTAGTTCAAGGCCTAATAGAACGACTATTGGGCGGGACAAGGCGCTGAAGTAGGGGTCGAGGACAGCAAAAGATCAAGAGAACGCCGGGGTGTTGAGGGCGACACAGGAACGATGAGAGTGGATCAGCGGTGGAATTGAATTTGATTTGCAGGCACTTACATGTGCGAATGTCAATCTATCTAACTGCAGTGTTGGAAGTTCATCAGATACCGTCGTAGGCAACTGTAGCATCAAAGTACGTCGCCGACCGCCCAGTGAAGGGTCAGCCAAAAGATCGCAGTCTCAGTGCTTGACTCTATTGCTTTTCATCATCACTTGAACTTCTATGCAGTGACTGGAGTCTGGCTGCTTCGACACAGCAGAGGCGCAGGCTGCGAGACCTGCCCGGCAGACCCAAAAAGTGGTTGAACTCCTCGCATCAAGAATAAGCCCCATCGAGTTACCTGTCCCACCACCAACCCACAGTCCGAGTGAATCGTGGGTGATGGAGAGCGCAGGCAATCGCATAACTGTTGACCACGACGAAGAGCTCCCGTCAGCACCTTGAGCCCAACTTGTCTCCCACCAAATCCCAAGCTCCTCCTCCCTCTCTTGTTCAACGCTGCAGCAAGATCAGCCAGACCAGGAGCGCAGACTCATATCCTCGTCTCCCCTTGCAGGGCAGCCACCCGAAGATGACCGGACTCACAGGCCCAGTATGACCCGAGCAGTGAAGCTTCCGAGCGAGAGTGCAGAGGGCGAGTGGGCAGGCAGAAGAGGATGGAGGTGATGGCGAGATGAGCCGCAAAAGTGCTTCTGTGGCGGCGCGTTTCCGCAATCCTGTGCAAGACAGGCTGTCCGGGGACTTTCTCCCAAAGCTGTGTGTGATGGACGAAGAGTGCAAGACTCTTGTCTGTGTGTGAGCTTCGATTGCGATTTTTTGAGCGAGGAGTTGGAGAAGAGGAAGAGAGAGAGCTGCGTGCGGCGACATAAATTTCGTGGGAGCTCGGGCCACCCGAGGAACCGTCAGGCAGCTAGGCTGTCAGAAGTGTTGTTGACTAGATCCGCCTGGATATCGGCCTGTATATATTTTCAAGTGTCACTTCAAAACGGACTGATCGATTCATCTGCACATGTCATTTCGATCCTCTTTCCGTCCTCGACAGATCTCCCACATCTGATCACATTATTGAGGTCGGTCACGTGTCGCAACATTATCACCTGCAGAAGCTCCGAGACAGTTCGGCCACACGCGAAAGCGCGTAGCTTGCTGCGACTTCACGAGACAAAAGACAAACGCTGCCACGGGCGCGACAAGTAAATTGGAGAGACAACCCGCCGCATAAGACTGCCGTCTGCAAGCTCAATTCTGTAAGTCACCACGCGACCGCAGCAACAACCTGCCGCGTCCACCACTGACGACATGGCCTACTTCAACAGAACCGCGAGTACTCTCAGACCATCCACCCGATCGAACACGACTACTACCTCTTCCTCGGCCCCTGGTCGCGGCAATCAAAACATGGCGGGCATCTTTGGTAGTGCCGGCGCGGCGGCGGCCAACGCTAACCCAACTCAAGGGGATCTCAGCAAAGATGTGATGGTCCAAAACCCGCCCGAAGACAGCATCTCCGACTTGCGCTTCAGTCCTACCGGGGACTACCTCTCAGTTGCCAGTTGGGACAAGAAAGTGCGGATATACGAGATTGCGAACGATGGCTCGAGCCAGGGAAAGGCCATGTTCGAGCATGAGGGTCCCGTGTTGAACTGCTGCTGGAGTCCAGTAAGTCTGGAATGCATACATGTTTATGAAGAGCAAGGACTAATGTTATACACAGGACGGTTCGAAGGTCTTTGGTGGTGGTGCCGACAAAGCAGCTCGCATGCTCGATCTCGGCGCAAACGCAACCCAAGCCACACAAGTCGCTGCACACGACCAGCCTATTCGCTGCGTCGAGTCCTTCAACACCAACGGCAGCCCCATGCTGGTGACTGGCAGCTGGGACAAATCCGTCAAGTACTGGGACCTGCGGCAGTCGCAACCAGCTGCTTCTGTCGACTGTCGCGAACGGGTCTACTCCATGGATGTACGAGGCGACCAGATGCTTGTGGTCGGTACTGCAGAGCGCCACATCCACATTATCGATCTGAGGAACCCCACGAAGTTCTTCAAGTCCATGCAGTCACCGCTCAAGTGGCAGACCCGTGTCGTCAGCACCTTCACCGACGGCACAGGCTTCGCGATTGGAAGCATCGAGGGTCGATGCGCGATTCAGTACATCGACGACAAGGACTCGGCCAACAACTTCTCCTTCAAGTGCCACCGCCAGACACCCGCCACAGATCGAAACAACAGCAACGTCTACGCAGTCAACGCCATCTCTTTCCACCCGCAACACGGCACTTTCAGCACCGCAGGTTCAGATGGCACCTTCCACTTCTGGGACAAGGACGCCAAGCACCGCCTGAAGGGCTATCCTGAAGTCGGCGGCACCATCAGCGCGACTGACTTCAATCGCGGTGGCAACATATTCGCATACGCCGTCAGCTACGATTGGAGCAAGGGCTACAGCTTCAACACGGCGCAGTACCCCAACAAGATCATGCTCCATCCCATCCAGGGAGATGAGTGTAAGCCTCGCCCGAAGACGGGCAAGCGGTGATGACATCCCACCAGCTAATGTTTGCCAAGGCAACAAATATCAGCGCAAGAAGTGAGCACCGAAGCTCATTGGCAAAGGTGCTTTGAGTGGGATTCTGTGCGTAATGGTTGGCATGCATCATTCAGCGAGGCGTTTGGCGTATCGAAAAAGAGGAAAGGAAGAACAAGGATATGCATCGGGTTGGTGCACGGTATGTAGCACCATGAATGACACGATTGAATTGAAACCAAAACCAAACTTTTCAACATCCAATCCTATTTCTACCACGCAGCCACTCACCCCGTATGTCCGTCGTTATTAAACTCAATCCCTCCATTTCGTTCCCCAGAAGGCACACTTCGACTCAGCTTCCACCCATTCAGACCCTTGATCCTCTCGCTAATTGATACACCGAGAACCACTGCCGCCCCAAATCAGCAAAGCACACCCCAAACCACCACACAAAACACAAAACTCACCATCCCCAAAAACCTCACAACACAATCCTCCCCCTCCCCACCTCCCTCCCGACAACCCCAATCTCCCTCCTCAACGCCCCAACCCTACCCTCCACCATCCCCATCAACCACACCCACCGCTCATACGTACTCTCCGCACAGTCCTCCGCCGGCCGCGTCCGCATATAGCTCGCGTACCGCGCGACCTCCGCCGCGAGGTCGTGCTGCAGGCGCGCGAGGTAGAGGGGGAGGGCTTCGGACCGGAATTGGGGGGTGCTGTGGAGGAGGGTGGGGCGGGCGTGGGTGGCGGCGGGGAGGGGGGTCAGGCGGAAGTATTCGTGCCAGATTTGGAGGCGGAGTTCGGTTGGGAGGCGGGTGGAAGCTGGGGGGAGGTTGGGGGTGGGGGCGAGGGTTCTTGGTGGTTGCGGCATTGTTGGTTGTTGGGGTTGTTTGGTGGGTTTGGTGGGTTTGGTGTTGATGTTGGTGTCTGTGGTTTGGGGCTGGAGTTGGTGTCTGTGTCTGTGGTTTGGAGCTTGGAACGATGAGAAGATGTTGGTATGTTGTTTGAAGCTGATGTTGGTATGTGGGTTGGAGGTTGGAAAGATGAGAAGAGAGGGCAGGAGTATTGGTGCCTGACTGACCATTAGTCCACGAGCCGACGATAGTCCGACCAGTGAATGAAAACCGCGTCAGGGAGCGGCCAGTATATGCAGGGTCTTCTTTTCACATGCCAATGTCGTCTCGTATGCCGCGCCTTGTAGGTGGACATGTCAAGCAGGATCAAAGTGGGAGATTGGGGTCCATGTATGGGATTGGCATTGAGTTTGATACATCTCTGGTCATAGACCTGTCTCTGCTGTCTCTTGCTTGTGAGCCAGTTGCCAGCATGCGCCATCCTCTTGTTGACACAGTGCAGATAGTTGCCTTGTATTGCATGCTATGCCAGACTCCAGCAGCGGCAGTCTTCCCCCGTTATCATCGTTCCGCGGTAGCCACAATCAATCCGGCTCCAAGGCCTGCAACTGCTGAACCTCCACGATTCTTCACGCGCAACGAAGCCAGTTACACATCACGCCTGTTCCTTAGCCTCCAGCAGCTCCTGATCTGCCTCAGCTGTCCCTCCATCTGCCCACTCTCGGCCTCCTTCAGCCGCGAATAGCTCAAGCATGTCCAGCTCTTTGATGGTGAAGTTCGCGAACTTCGTCAACGCAAGATTCTTGTCGCTGTACTCGGCGTGCTCGCGGATGGTGCGCACCACCTCCTCCTCTCCACCCGAGAAGCCATTGCGCGACGCCATCTCCGTCTTCGCCATCAAGTTGTTGAATTGAGTCTTGCACACGCGGTTCATCTCTCTGACTTCTTGCTCCAGTCCCGTGGTGTAGACCGGAGTTGCTTCGTGGAATACCGTGTGGCAGGTGGAGAGGAGAGAAACGGCTTTCGTGCGAGAGTGAGGATGCTGCGCGACCTCTGTAATCAAGTCGGTGTTGAAGTAGGCCTCCCATATCATCAAACGGAGTTCTGGTGGCAGATCGAGCAACCGGCATGGCTTTTGTTGCTCCATTGGAGTGATGTTGGCCATTCTGAGCGCTGTTGATGGAGAGACGAGGTGGCAGGCACAACAATGGGGGCGATGCTGCTGCTGTGCCACTTAATTGAGCAGGCGGGTTGGAAGGTCGAGACGTGAGCGATGGTGTTGGTGGAGAGGCTTTATGTCGATGTCGATGTCGACGTGAAAGGATCGCCAAGCGAAGATTCTCCAGCATGTGTCATGTATTGCTTTCAGGGACAGGAAGGTGCGTCGTCTAGACTGGCAGTCACGGCGGTGCTGCTACACTCTTAAAGTCGCATTCTTCACAGCTCGACACCTAATTCATGGCACGCATTTCCATCGCAATATCGATGAACAATCTATGAAGTCGTCAAGTCAGTGAATCACATCGAACATTTGCCCTTACTCGCATGCATGCCTTCGTAGTCTTATCGTTCCCAATTTCGATCTTCTGTTCCAAAAGAGGCTTGCTGCGAAAGAGATGAGTGCGAAGCTGAGTAGTTTGTCGAAATAGTCCTGAGATCATCACTTCCATTACTTCGAGCTCAGTCAACCTCTCGAAGCAACTCATCCTTGTTTCTGAAAGATGAATATGTTCATATTTCATGTCGTTAACGGCTTTCTCACACATTGCTCGTGTTTACCGCAGTAATATTGGCAAAAGTCCGTACTGAATGCCGGCTATAGCAGCGGATCAAAAAGGATACACCCTTCCAATCACCACCACCAACACCAAACGAAAAAGCAAAAAAGACGGAGCCGTCAAGCTCCACCTTTTTCCCCCTAGCCCGCCTCACAAGAAAAACCAGTACTTGCATTGAAATACTGGAAAGAAGACCGAAAGGCTCAATCCATTCTATTTTATTCGTTGAATGTCTTTTTTTTGACCCCCGAAAGGGTCCCCAACAGGAGGGTTCGAACCCAGAGCTTTTGTTGGTCTCGTCGGCTAACCGCTCGACCACAAAGGTGGAATTCGATGGTGGGGTAGATTGCAAGAAACCTATAGAGTGTTGATGGGTTTGGTCCGAGGTTTTGGCGGGAGGGCTTTGGCGTGGTGGGCTAGGCTGGAGGGGGAAGGTACGGCTTGCGGCGAGTGTAGCGCTTTAGAGGCCTAATACTTGAGGCTTAACACTGTCTTGACGCAGATTTGTATAGGTGTTCGAGAATATGTGTGGCCTGGCTCTGATTGTGCATCGTTTTTTTGTTTTCAGCTACCTGCCAATACGAAGGGTTTGCAGCCCCACCATGTCGATTGCGCTCTAAAGCTATGCTCCTCATAGACTTGGCAAGACGAGCAGTCATACTGCATCAGGTCCAAACGGAACGCCCAAGACAGCAATTGCCTATGGCATTTTACATTCGGCTTCCAGGGGTCGCAGGTACGAAGGTCTGGCAGTTCGGGAGTAGCTGGTGTGATGGTTGTGATGGCGGCACCTGGCGGATTGCTACAGAAACAAAGATGAACGGCAAGCGGCACCACGAAAGCTCCTTCGCTCGAATGCGCAGGAGGCGTATGGAAACGACCAGTCTTGTGGTGTGCTGTGCAAGCGATGACAACAAGGACCAATAACCGCCCCAGGCCCGTCAACAGTTGCCAAGCCAGTAACTCATTCAGTGGATGACTCTTCCTCCAACAACCCAAGCCGATCTATCTCCCTTCTCAACCTTCCAATCTCCACCTCAAGCGTTTCCGCATGCAACCTCCACTCCGTCCTCTGCCACGGCGTCGAACGAGCGTCCTTCGGATCCTCCAGCCCCAGACCGATTCGCCCATAGGGTCCCAACTGCTCCTCCAGTGCCGATAGATCACGCTGCAAACGCCACACGTATGGCCTCAGAGCATCTTTCCTTAGCGCCTTGCTAATGCGAAGAAGTTCCGGCTCAACAATATATAGTCCCGGGCGTCGAGAACAGGTTTTGATCTGGAAGCATGCGGAGTGGAAGATATCGTCCCATATCAAGAAGCGAACGTCCAGGGGTAGATCAAATAGCGCGAAATGTCGACTTTCGCCACTCTTATTTGCAGCTTTACTCATGTTGGTCGATGTGATAAGAGGTCCTTGGCTTCCAGTGTCGAGGTGAAGTCGGGCTAGACTTTGACGCTAACAAGATGCCCACGGTCCAGTCTCAACGGCGTCGACGGTGGTCCAGGATCCGCAGGTCGTCACTTCGTACTGTCAACGGCGCGCAGCACACTCTTGAAACGACAGCAGCACTATGTGTTGGACAGTGAATAGCAGACAGGATGGTAGAGGACAAGAAGAGGTGAAGTGTCATCAGCTGAAGTTACCCTGATCCTTCAACATCTCGGATGCCCTTGAATCCGGCGACCGGGCCCGGACATTCTCCCACGTCACTATCTCCAAAAAGCCGCGAAACTGGTACAATCTCCATGTGCAGAAAGATGTACGACTATTGGGTTGGCCAGGCGAAGACAGTCGACGAGGACAGCGTATGAGGATATCAAACCGCGGGACAAGTCATTTTCTCAATGGCGAAGCCAAATCAAAAGCAAGGATGAGGGTACAAGCCGTAAGGATGGTGCAGGGACTCGCCATTGCGCTCGGCCTTCACACCGGTTCTGATATTGGCGGAGCCGCGGACGCGTTGCTCGATGTGTGCCTTCGACAAACCACTGGCTTGGCCGCGCGCCGACAACCTTCAACATGGCATGGCGTGGCCCTACGCTCTTGTAGCCTCTGGCCATTCTGCACGGCGGCGCGGAGTGAATGAGAAACACTCCCGAAATCAACATCTGTTCTGTGCTCCTCAGACCGATCGTTGCAGTGACGGCGCCGCGCGCACACTGTTCAATTCCACATGTGACCCGCCCGGCCGCACCGCAGCTGTCTCCTTCGATCTGATCTGGCATGGCCTGACGCTTTTGTAGCCTTGGCCCCGAGCGACGGCGGTGCGGAGCGAAGAAAGACTACAGCTTGAAGCCGTAAGTGAGTCTGCAACTGAACTCGCATGTGAGATCTCCAGTGAGGGCTTAAAAGGTCTAAAGTGAAGTGCTCACAGCAGAAGGTGATTTCGGAAATAAGCTTGGAAATACGGAAAGTGAACTCAGAACTGAGCTTGGGAGTGAGCTCAGAGGTAACATGGATGTACGAACGTCTTCAGATCCTCAGACGCATGCCCCCGACTTTTCGGCGAACAGCTCTCTCTCGACTTCATCGCTCGAGTCAAGAAATCCAAGAGGACTTCAACGGCATCTTGTCGTCGCGGAATCCTGCGAGGCACACAATCGTTCATATACTTCTCTTCCAATCTAGGAGCTGTTGGGAAGCATGGCCAGTGCCGATATTGACACAATTGCGTTGACACGCCTTGCGGCAAAACGACTAAAGCAAATCTCAGTGGAAGGGCTCTCCTCGGAAGTACACACCAAGGCCACTCACTGTCTCGTCGACACTCTCGGAGCCATCGCGGTGGGACTGACAGGGCCTCTGGCAGCAAGCATGCGCATGTACGCAACTCGCGACATTGACAGACCACAATCATACGCCTTTGCCATTGGCAAGAAGACCAGTGCAGAGACCGCAGCGTTTACGAATGCAGTCCTGGCGCACACGTAGGTACCTTATGCTTGCAATAATAGGGAGAGAGTCTAGGCTGACCACCTCGATTGCCGAGTCAGGGCTTTACGCGATGATATGCATCTTGAGTCTGTCGCTCATATCGGCTCGATCGTGATTCCTTCTGCGCTTGCTGTAGCTCAACGGGACAGCTGGAATGGCGACCAACTCCTCAAAGCAATCGTGGGTGGCTATGAAATGGGAGCACTGCTCGGGACGTCGCTACATGCGAGCGGAAAAATGAATTCGCATTTTCGTGCCAGTGGCATGATTGGGGCTTTCGCTGCCGCAGGTAGTATCGCTTGCGGCGAATCCAGTGATGAAGCCACCACCGCTAATGCTTTGGGCTTGGCTGTCAACGCGGCCTGTGGCGTCAATGAATGGGCGTGTGGTGGCACCCCTGAGATCTTCATCCACGTGGGTACGGCCGCCCGCTCGGGCATCACCAGCCATGCACTTGCAAAAGTCGGCGTGGTCTCAAGCCCGGAAGTACTCGAGGGCAAGCACGGCCTGTTCAATGCTCTAGGAGTCTTGCCAGATGCCCCCTCCACATTCACCAAATGGCTCCAGTTGTCCAGCCTCGGTCGTGGCATCCTCGACGTGAAATGGAAACCGGCGGGCTGCTGCAACTACACGCAAACAACCACATCACTCGCGCTCAAGATCAGTCGTATGCCAGGGTTCGCTGTCACAGATGTGAGATCGATCGATATAACCACTACGACCGCTGCTATCCGATATCCAGGCTGCGACAACGCGGGACCACTCCATAGCACCTTGCAAGGGATGATGTCGATCCAGTACGGAGTCAGCGTGGCATTGCTCCTTGGTCGGCTCAGCGAAGCATCGTGGGATCCATTATGCAACCCGGACACCGCTTCATTGATGCGTAGATGCAATTTATCGGCTTCGCCCGCTTTCGATGAGGCGTATCGACAAGGACTGCAGCCAGCACGCATTGTCATTACGTTGGAGGACGGCAACGTCATTGAGCAAGAAGCTGCTGATGTCCCCTGGATGGAGTCGAGCGAAGTGTTAGCACGAAGTGTTCGAGAAATCGGTGAACACGTTCCCGCTGAGCGAGCTCAGCAGTTGGTGGAACTTTGCTTGGATGTTGACCAGTTGGAGAATTGTGAGAAATTAGAGGCGTGTCTTTTCTGAAGTGTCTCGAGAAGACTTTGAGCAGTTCTTTCATCCGGGCGGCTTTGTCGATATTGACCCTGCGTTGGACTTATCCACCGCCTCATGCTGCAAGAACCGCCGTGAGCATGCGGGTCGTCTCGCGCTTGTCCTTCACGTTCACAGTCTAGCTCTTATGGATAGCGAACCAAGTTCATACAGCACTCAAATCAACAACATCGATCTCAACAAGTCAAAGAAGAGCGAGAGGAGTAGTAAAGGAGGGTCACAGCATTGATCACATAAGAGCTAGCATGTCCAAACTAACGTCCATCCCGGCATCGCGAAACACTCTTATGTCGCGAGACGCACTCGCGCTTTTGAACTCTCGAGCCCCTGCCTTGTAGAGATACGATATCCGCTGTTCTGAACGACAGATTCAATACGTACATTGCAATCAGGCCTTTGAAAACGATTTCATACTTCACTAGATTCTGCTAGCTTGCTGACGCTATACGAAGTCCAAGTTTGACGCCGTCGATAGTGGCCCGCTCCTTGAACCCTTACTATGAATCTCGGCTGCTTGCTTCGACAGCTCCCTCGTCGCAGCAATCGCTCTGATCCGTGAAACTGGCAGTCTCCAATTTCTCGAACCACACGAGGCTGTCCAGCTCGTCCTCAAGCTTTATTCCCATCTTGACAGCTCTGCCATCTTCAAATATGAATTCTGCTATGGTGCTGTCGTCGAAGAACTCCTCGTAGTGATCACGAATGTGTGCAATGTACTTCGTCTGCTTGCAGATATGCTCGAACGTAAGCGTGAAGGCGTTCGATCGGTCGGTTGCATTTATGAATAGCATGCTGTCCCTAATCTCCACACTCATGTAGTGGTATCCGACATTCCAATAATTTCCTGTGTATGCAGTCAACGGAGTCTTCTGAGGCTGAGCTTCGTCAATGCCAGGGCAGAGCTTCTGCTTCAGGTCATCATGCTCAGATCTGAGGTCGGATAAGCGGTCAGGGGACTTTGAAAGTAACGTCCATGCTTTGTTGTCAGAACCAGACAGGTTGAGGACTTCAGAAATCAGTTCAAGCAGAACATATGTGCTGACCGGGTTTGCCCAAATGGAGTTGCCTACAGCAATCCCGCCGAATTTGAACTCTGGGAGGAAAAAGTGAAAGCTTCCGAAGCCGGGGACTACTCCATTGTGTTGAATGATCTTATATCCGTGGTAGTAAATCGGCTCCCAACCTGCTGAGTAGAAGGTTGGCGATGACATTGGTCCGAACTCGCCAATTTCGTCGTCGGGGTTCTCAATAATGCGTGGTTTGATGAGATCACGATATATCTCCTGCGATATGGGATCTTCCTGGTTCATCAATGCCCTTACCCACTTGATATAGTCATTTGCGGAGGTATAGATCGACCCTGCACCTTGACCTTCTGGGCACTGGAGTAGTTGAATTGGTTTGTAACTCTTGTTGACCTTGTGCCATGTGTAGGGCGTAGCAATGCGATCTTTCAAACCAGCGTCGATCGCAGCGCTCGGCTGCAAGTAAGTCGAATTCATGCCCAGTGGACTGCAGCAGCGAGTTGTACAATTAGCATGCGCCGTTACTTTGACCGTAATATCTCAGCCCATACTCCATGCTGCATAACTCACCTGAAAAAGTGCTTATGCAGAAAATCTCCAAAGTAGAGGTCACTCATCTTCTCCACGAGGAATGTAGCAACGGTGTACATCATGTTGGAGTACATGAATCTTGTTCGAACAGGGGCACTGGCTTCCAAATGGCGCAAATTTCGTGTTACAGAGGAAGGAGTATCCGGATAGGCTGCACGAACGCTTAAGAGAGAGTTGTCGTGACCTGGCAAGCCAGTTCGGTGGCTCAGAATATCTTCAAGAGTCACGTTTTCTGTATAGCCGTTCCCAGACAATATGAAGTCTTCTGGTAACAGGCTTGACATCGTACTGTTCCATTGCACTTGTGGGTAGGCATCGTTGTTCGCAATCAATAGCGCTACGGACGCTGCTGTCAAAGACTTTGATGTGGACGCGATATCGAATAGCGTGTCTGCCGTGACTGGGACCATATTGTTTAGAGATGCATTTCCGAAACCCTTGGAGGCGATTGTCTCATTTTGCACGATAGCGATGGCCAGACCCGGCACATGCCATTGATTCATGAGTTCGGTAACATGAGTCGCGAACGCCGAGGAGTTGAAGAGATCCATGACTGTTCATGAAATACGACGGCACAATGGAGGGCGTGTACTGTGACAATCGAGGACGGTTGAAGGATGTCGCTACGCTTTGGTTTTGTTTGTTCTGACATGACGCAATGGCGTTGCTAAACGAATGCCAAGCGTTGCGACTGGGAATGAGAGGAGGGCCGTATGTACTAGGGGCCTAAATCAACTTCTCGTCGCGACGTTCGATTTCTACGCTATAAGGGCGGTAGCTTTTCCATCCATTTCTTTTATAGAACGATCGTCTTATTACTCCCTAGAAACCCTAAACCCTACGTCAGCTAGGCCAGCGTCACACTACATTCGATTGCGGTCGCAAGACCAAGCACACAAGGGAAGAGCAGCAGATCAAGCCGTCGTAAGCCACTTCCCGCCACCCTCAAAACACCTTACAGAAACCGCTTGCTCGTCTCGTGTAGGCACCTCATCGGATCCTTCACCAGCGTCGAGCTCTTTAGCGGAACGCAGCCTTGCTTCAGCCAAGTGCAGTTCCCTCCCAAACTTGTTCGAAGACGTGACCGAAGACGTGACGGCGCCGTGCTCCAAAAGCCAGCTCGCCGCCTCCAAATTCGCGGTCGAACAAGCGAAGGTGAGCGGCGTGCCCAGAGAGCCATCGCTGTTGACGTCGGCGCCTCTGCTGACCAGAAACTTCACCATCTCGAAGCATTCAGGGCGCTGAGCGGCCATGTGAAGAGCTTTGCCGAAGGTGGCCCCATGCGCAAGTAACATATCCACAGCTTCGAATCGGTTTGCCAACACAGCGCCTTGCATGGCCAGTCCGCCGCCCCAGGAGTTGGGCTGTGCTCCGCGGTCGAGTAACCAGCGTAGAACGTCGTCGTCGTCGGTGTGGTGGACTGCGTAGATCAGCGAGACGGTGTTCGGCCGCCAACCCAGGTCGTACAGTGTGTTCAGAAGCTTGAGGGAGGTCGTGTTGATGGCCAGGAAGCCTTGTCGTCCGTTTCCGCCCTTGTCTACGAAAGCGCCTCGTTCGGAAAGATATCTTGCGTTTCGGTGGTCAGTCGCTTTGTTCGCTCTCCTTTGGCGTGGGATATACTCACTTGATGATCTCGATTTGCTTTCCAATGATTGCGTGATAGAAGCCCGTCATCAGGTACAGATTCTCTCTTCCTTTTTGTGACCTGTCGAGAACGCTGTCGATGATTTCGAGGTCGCCCGATCTGCATGCTCGAGCCATTTCAGCTTCCAGTAAAGCTTCTTCGCTTGCCATGGCGACACGTTGTTGTATTCAGACGATCAGCAAAAGTGTTCGTGATCTCCTTGTCTGTTGCTTTCGCTTGGCTCCAGGTCTGTCGTTGCAAGACGTCGATAATAATGCTCAAAGGGAAGAACGTGAAGTGTTGTTAAGCTCTCTCATTTTAGAGCTTTGTGCTGAGCCATGTGGGCTGTGTCACGGAGGCTGAAGCGCCTAATGAGGACACTGGCGATGACGGAGTTCAAGAAATCATCTGAGTGCCTAGAAAGAAATGATAAGATTTCGAAACACCGACAGGAGCGCCTTCTGCAAGGGCAATATTTGCTCCATCAATTCCTAGCCTGCAGGGTGGCTGGTGGGAGAATGAGTGAAGACAGAGGTGGAACTTCTGTGAAAGTGAAGACGTTAGGTAAGGACTTCAACATATAGTCTTAAGGAATCACACAAGTGAACTGCTCGCAGTAGTAAATGATCTTAGAAATGAGCTTAGGAATGACACGAGAAGTGAACTTCGAGGTGATCTCAGAAGTGAGCTTAGGAGTAAATCAGAAGTAAAGTTAGAAGTGAGCTCAGAAGTGAGCCTAGGAGTCTGTCAGAAGTAAGCGTAGGAGTAAATTAGAAGTGAGCTCAGAATTAAGCTAGGAGTAAATCAAGAAGTGATCCTAGGAATAAATCAGAAGTGAACTCAGAAGTAAGCGTAGGAGTAAAGGAGCGTAACACCATCTCACATTCAGCTAACTATGTCCAAATACATAATGCTTTCGTTGATCGTTCTCAAAACGACCCCTTTCCAATTTTGATTGATTCTCAACTTCACACAAGAGAGAAGGTCGTATCAAACGCCTTCGCTAAACCAAACCCCCCATCATGCAATGCAAAAAGTCAAGGAGAGTCGTGATAGATAAATAAAATTAAAATGTTGTGTACCAGGCCTGTGTGCCATCGTCGTAAAGCTATACAAGTCCATCTATGTCTATACATTTGCGTTGGTCGTCAAACATCATCATTCGAAGAACCTGGCGCGAGGAATCTACCAGTTCTGGTAGTAGGTAGGCGCAGGCTTGCTCCAGCCCCAGCTCCCCGTCGAGGTGACGGTGGTAGTGGGGACAGGGGTCGGGGTGATGATGCTAGGAGACCAGCCGGAGGGCTTCCAGCCGCTGGGGTGCGAGCCGCCGTTTGGTGGTGGAGGCAGGCTGCCGGTGGAGATTGGCGGGGGGACACTCCATGGTGGGAGGCTGCCGGTGGGTGCAGGGTAGGTGATGTAGATGGAGGTTGTGTAGCCGTAGCTGAGGGTGATGGTCACGCACTCGGTGGTGATGGTCGAGCCTGGTGGGCAGTAGGGTGGTGGGGTTGGCTTGACGATGTAGGAGGTCACGGTTGCGGTGCCGCTGGGGGCTGCTGGGCAGCTTGGGGAGACTGGGCAGATGGGGCAGCTGCCTCCTGGGCCGTTTGGAGTGGTTGGAGGAGAGTTGGGAGAGGTTGGTGGGGAGTTTGGCGAGGTTGGAGGAGAGTTTGGCGAGGTTGGTGGCGAGTTTGGCGTAGATGGAGGCGAGTTTGGACCAGTTGGAGGAGTGCTTGGCGGCGAGGTTGGCACAACAGGCACAGTTGGTGGCGTTGGCAGGTAAGTGCTGCAGCTGGTCGTGACGGTGGTGATGTACGAGGTGGTCAAGTAGGTAGTCCACCAGGTCTGGCCGTTAGAGGAGGTCTGCGTGCTGCAAGGGACCAGGGTCGTGATCGTGCTGGTGATCGTGGCAGTTGAGGTGGTGACCGGTGGCACTGGGTAGGTCAGAGTTGTGCACGAGGTGTAGGTGGTCGATCCGCCAGGGCAGACGGGGCACTTCTCGGTGATCGTCGATGTGATTGTCTTGGTGATCGAGCTGGTGATCGGTGGAAGAGAAGCAGTCTTCGTGGTGGTGATGTTGGCTGGCGGAGGAGGTGGAGGAGGCACGCTGCCGGTTGGGTGAGGAACCCAGGTCGTTGGAGGAGGCTGGGGTTTGGTCCAGGTGGCGCAGCTGGTGTAGGTGGTAGTATACCACGAGGTAGTCCAAGAGGTAGTGTCTGTTGGGCAAGGAACAACCGTAGAAACCGTGGTAGTGTACGTATAGGTCGTTGTGATTGGCGTCCAAGTCGAAGAAGATCCAGAGCTCCAGACGGAAGTCGAGGTAGGCTTAGTCCAGGTCGAGCTAGTTGGAGTCCAAACGCTGGAAGAGGACGAAGACCACGAGGAAGTCTCCGAAGAGGTCCACGAAGAGCTGGTAGACGTGGTGTTCTTGGCAGGACCCCATCCACCACCATTGCCTCCCCATCCACCGTTGCCGTAGCCCTCAGGCTGTCCAGGCATAGCAGCCACCGCGCCGAGAACGGCGGCGAACGAAAGGGCGGAACGCATCATGCTGTGTTGATCAGGCCGAAACAATATCTGTAGTAAACGAATAGTGGGAAAAAGCGACAGTTGTTGTTGTTGAGACTCGAGATCCTTTAAGCGAAGGTGACCTCGACTGGAAGAGAGATGGAGCTGTTTCCTGTTGCTGCTGTGCTTGAGTGAATGAAGAAAAGAGAGAGACCTCTTAGCAAAAGCGAACAGATCGATATATACATGTTACCCGCAGCAGGCAGACCACTCACTCATCCAGACGATACGCAAGCGGCGTCATCCCATCTGACTGACTGACCGATGGAGACAGAGACTCAATCTGCGAGTTTCTAATCACGTCCCCGTACCGTCCGTCCGTCCATCGCCCATCGATGCAACCTTCGTACACGAGAGACAAAAGCTGAGCGGGTGACGCTGGTAACTCGGCTGGCTAGCTCGGCGGCGAGTCCGTCCTAGCCAATAAACGGATTTTAGGCCGGGATACGTTCCATACGAAGGGTGTGAGCGATCAGGGTATGTACCGGTGTCAGTAGCAGTCCACCACGCACGCATGCGGTCGCGTGGCCGGCGTAGTGAGTGAACAAAGTGTGGCGAGTGAGTGAGGTGACAGTCGGACAAGAATAGCTACAGGGCTGAGCCCCCGGGCTTCCCCATCAGGAAGGACTCGCTGCACTTAAGCTTCGGCGCTCACTCGTGTCAGCAAGGTGCCTCGTGCGTCGAGATCCTTCTTCGTTCTCAACGCACGCCATTTCGCAGCGTCGCTCTGGACAGTCAGCAAGAAGTTTCTGCGAACCACAAAGATCTGGTGTAGCCCGGCTGAATGCTATTTTTTCTCTTGGTACGCCTCATTACTCACGATGAGGCTGATGGTGATGACTTTTTCCTCCGTACGGCTTTGCAACTTGGTTTCTATCGCGTACATCCGTACCCTGCGAACTTCGCTACTAACTCTTCACTGACCTGATGAGACGGCAGACTCGCTTCCTTCGACCACTTCTCACCTAAGGGGACACTATCGAAAAAGAAGACTTCGTAAACGTGACCTGCGCTCCTCGCTGATCAGCCGTATCAGCAAATCGACCTCTCCATCAGTGGGTAAAAGTGACGTGGGTACATATCGCCATGCGCGCTTCGATATGAAGAAGGAAGGTAGGAATTGGTAGGATTTATTGAATCGCGGATGCCCGGCAGCAGCAAAACAATTCATTCACTCACACTCATCAGCGTTGTCGCCGTCGTATGACGCAGACGGCTTGACGACTGGACCCATCATACGGCCCGGTCCACATTTGACAGACGCCTTTGATCAACTCCAGTCCCCGGGAGACTCTCCACGGTTGGCTGCCTTGCTTGATGCCCTACGCTGAGGCGGCCCAGCTGACGAGACACGGATCCACCCAATATATCAGAGTCAGTCCAGCGCAAGTCTGACTGATGGCTCATCACTCCCGGTCGCCGCGTCCGCGCGTGAGAGGCAAGACTTCCCGATCAGGCCCTCGTCGAAGCTATGGAAGCACACCAAGGCCAAGTCGGCGTCTTGTCTAAAGTCCCCGACGAGAGGGACTCGGTAGAATACCACGGATGGTACGGAGTCTACGACCTCGCATCTTCAACCCCTTTCAGAAAGTCGAGGAAAGACTTTTTAATGGACCCAAGAATCCACTCATTCACACTCAAAAGCACCCTTCGTCATCCTCAAACTTCCCTCCGCTCAAAACCCTCCCGCTCTTTCGTGTTTCCTTCACTCCCAACTCTCGTCCTTTCGTCAATGATGAGACAGATCAGGTCGTCAGCCAAACCTCGTGTTCCCCAGCAAGCGATGCGCAACCCATAGGCCAGGCACGCACCGGAAAGAGTAATCTGCAAAAGCGGGCCGTCTGCATAAGCGAAGGAACAAGTATTGCCAAGCCTTGACGCGGATACGAGGTGTGTCTGCGAGTGAGTGATAATGTACATTGTTTGTTGGTTGGTTGGTGAAGACGTCGTTGGTACGACACGAAGTTGCGCGGATTTCTCGTTCACCGGAAGGTCAAGAAAGCCTTGTTAGGTCTCTGCCGGATCATCCATTTGACCGATGGATGTTCTATCCCGCAGTGTTCAGGATACGGTGCTCGAGCTGACCCACTACTGGAAAGGAAGCTCGTCTCCCTCGCGAAGTCATCATGTATTTTTGATGATTTCTCGTGCATTGGCTTATCGATGGTGTTATCGCTGCGGGAATGGCCGCAATATTGTCGCATACACGAGGTCGTTGCTCGTTCGATCGAAGAGATGATGTGATGTGATGCTTTGACGAATACTCCAAGAGGTCTGTGGCGGCGCGAAGAGTGATGTGGCCCACATGTTGGTGCTGAGTCTTCGTGCATTCACTATTGTTGGCGTGATATATCATGCTCTCTGCTTGCGGCGGGAGTGTCCGCAATATTGTCGCCCATACGAGGTCGTTGGTGTATCGATCGAAGCGACTTTCAAATCCCCATCATCTCGACCGTTGGCGCTAGTTGGATGCGCCTCGCAGCGAAACCGACCTCGAATGCCATCAATGCCGTGACGTCTTCCACCTCCTCAATCCAGTGTCCAAACTTTGACCTCCCCATCATCTCCCGTACTGACAACCACCTCCTCACCCTCAAACCTCTTCCCCTTATCACACCTCTCCACCCAAACAACATGATTGACCTCAAAGACATCATGCGCATTCTCCGCATCTGCGACGATGACCCATTCCGTCAAGCTCTTGCCACTCGTGTTGTCTGTGGTTGATGGGAGCGCGGCATCCGACATCTCCACATCCCCATGCTTCCACACTTCCTCGTATACGACAATCTTCCCGTCGCTGCCGGTGCTCACGACTCTTCCTGTCTTGCGACTCCAGTTGACTGTGTAGATCGGACGGTCGTGCACCGCTGGTAGTTGTGCTTCTTCGTACCACTGCTCTTCGAAGTCGCGGTTCTTCCATATGCTGGGCATACCAGTCGAATGACCCCCAACTTCTTTCTTCTCCTTAGGTTTCCTTCTCCAAACCCTAATCGTCTTATCGTCTGAACAAGTCATCAATCTCGGTCCACTCTTCTCCCTCTCTTCCAACCACGCCCTCTGCTCCTCACCCACCGCCCCCTCCCTTAACCCCCTCGAAACCTCCACCCCCTCAAACTCAACCCACCACACCGTCCCCGCATGCCCCTTCAAAAGCGCACAACACGCCCAATCATCCACATCCTCCCTCCACAACCGCACCGTATCATCATAACTCCCACTAGCCAACAACTGCTCAGCAGGATGCCACCCAACACACTTGACATCCCCCTCATGATCCTGCAAAACCGCCATCGTCTCGAAATTCTCCCCATCATCCAGCTCCTCCCACACCCACACGCTCTTATCGCGACTGCACGTCGCGAGCAAAGGCGCCGTGGGGCAGAATTGCAAAGATTTAATCTCAGAATCATGTCCATCGAGGATCACCTCTAACCTCCACTCTTCATCGTCCTCCCCATCCCCTCCATCGCCACCACCAGATAATCCTTTGCCCGTGAAGTCCACCTCCCCTCCACTAGCCCCAGCACCGGCATTCTCCTCCCACCTCTTCCAAATCCCCACACTCGCATCGAAACTCCCCGTCGCGAGGACGCTCTCGCCCACGGAATTCGGGCGCCAGCAACAATTCCTTATACTCCTCTTATGTCCGCCGCTAATCGTCGCTTGCTGCTGGAAGTTCTGCAGAGAGTAGATCCGGACCGTCTTGTCGGAGCACGCGGTTGCGAGGATGGGGAGGTGTGGGTGCGGGGTGCTGAGCCAGGTGCGGGCGTTGCAGGGCGGTCGGAAGGTCGCGAGGGGTTTGAGTTGTTGAGGCATGGTGTCGTTGTTTGTGGGAGTGTGTGGTAGTTGGTGAAGGGTTGTGAGAAAGTCTTCAAGTCCATTGACGTAGATCGAAAGCTGCAGGAAAGGCTCGTGGCATTGACCGGGGTTGTGCCGATCGACCATGTGAAAGCCGATAGAGGTCAGCAAGAACCCCACCTTCCCCTGAAAAGAAGACAGCACCTCTTAAGAAACGATAAAACCCGAAGAAGCGATGGTGGTTGATTGACTAATTTCAATTAAAAACATCTTCTAGCCTTTCCCTATGGAGGCAGCACCAATAGTGGTTTGTGGATATCAAGAAAAGACAAAAAACCTCCTCGAAACCATTGCTCAAGAGCCTCCCAATAAGTCAACTGTCAATCTGCTCCTCAAAAGCATGTTTCCTCTACCCCCTTCGCTTCGCTCTCGCCCCTGAAAATCAAAGTTACCAAACCCCAAGTTGTGGTTGCAGATAGATGAAATAGCCCCGTCCCAATGCCGAGAAAATAACAGAAGTGTACCGTCCCAAAATGATATGGTGTATTCCCTTTCCCCTGAACTCCTCGCTAACAGTCTTGGATACAATTCGAACAAACAGTAAAGGAGATTTCTCCCCGCACAAGGTATGTACACAGTTGAAAGGAAGTCGACCGACCCGCGATGGTGAAGATGGTCTATTTTTGACGCCAATGGATGATGCCGGTTGAGGGTCCTGTTTGTGTGGTCCAATATTATCCAGGAGCCTCCTTTGTAATGTATGATGGAGCGTGGTTGTTGCGGGACCGCGCTCTTCGAGACGTATGGCGCCATCGCGCCTATTAGTGGTGAGAGTAGTTCGGCGGCTCATGCTCGTTGTTGCTGTTGTGAGTCCAGCGATTCCTCGCCGCCTTGGTCGCCGTTGTTTGGAGGAGAGCCTTCTTCTGGCTGTGGTGATGGAGATGGAGTTGGCAGTCCACTTGGCACGTCTGTGACTGTGACACTAACAGGCAACCACTTTCTGCCAGGAGCGTAGACGGCTTGGGCGACAGGCACTGTCGGTGAGCCTTGCTGAGATTGAACGATCGTGCTGTCACTTCCATTATCCGATGCGACGTCGTCTTCTCTCTCTGGCTCGACCAGGTAGACGAGATCCGCCCATACCTGCCAATGCAGCGCGATAACGTGAGTGAACCGTCCAATGATGTCGTCATCAGGATCGGTCGACATGAGGTCGTTGCCAAAGGTAAGCGGATCGCAGATGGCGCCAAACCCCATGGAGTTGCGCTGAGGTACCACTTGCGGTACAAGCTGATCTTGGAGGTCCAGTGCAGACAGTCGGACATGCTCACGCACACGCGATTGCACCTTGGGGATCAGAGTCTCCGCCAGGATCTTTGCGTTTTGCCTAAAAGCGCGGCAGTCCTGTCTGAGGCAGTTGCTCAGCTTTTGCTCAGCAATGATCTGGAGGCCGACGTCGAATGGTGGATGCCTGCCCTCTGCAACCAGGAGTACACGAACTATTTCGGCAGCAATGTTCTCTGATCGATCAGCGAACTTGCCGTGCACCCCAACGATGGCGGTGACTGAGCTTTGTAGCACCTCGCATGCGTTTTCCAGCTCCGTGGGGCTGAGCCTGGATTCGGCCATTTCACGAAGAACATCACGGCAGATGGCATGGTAGACCCGGCAGTGCAGTTCGACTCGCATAGTCCGAAGTCGGTCCGAGTCGAGGTAGAAGGTCGCCGGGCAGAATGAGGTGCTGTCGTTGTAGAGCAGGTCCTGAATCAACCCCCGTGATATGGCGGACAACGGAGACGGCTCGAATCCCAGTGGTTGGAGGTTGTCTTCCAACCATCGCTTCGCTTCCATTTGACTGATCTTCCCAATGGCCATGCGGTGTGCATTGTACCTCTGCTGAAAGTTGATGGTATCCTCAATCAGCAGCGGCCGCATATGCCTGATTTGGTGGTTTGCAACGTCCAGCTTCATGGCCTCCAGAATGGTCATCAGCTGCCGCAGTCCGCTGACCAGCCTCTTTGGCTCGTTGTTATCCGCACCCTGCTTGATCTCCTTCTGCATATTGTCGACGAGCTGGTCTCTCATTGGTGCACAATGATTCTTGAGCACCTTTGCTAGCCAGTTGCCCAGATCGATCAGATCACACACCCCATTTTGTATCAGCTGCATGATGTGGTCCACATCTAGCCGCTCTTTGACTGCCTTCTGATCGTAGTCAGGCACCAGCGTCTTGAGAATGTCCCGAATTGCCGTGAATATCTTCGGCAACCGCACCAGCGAAGCCCGCGATATGCGATCCCAGTGCTCCTCATTGCCAGGGTGAGACATCCTCTCCGTCGATGCCAAAGCGTGCATCACCAACTCAGCCTCCAATGCTTTCCAGTATTGATCCGCCTGTGCTATCTTTTGCCTGCCTTTTGAGCCATCGAGGTTCGGTCGGAAATGGAGTTCTCGGTCGAAGTTTACGTCGTGACGCAGTTTGGGGTTGTTGATTATCCGCGGCATGTCAAGTTCGGCGAGGCTGGCAGGTGTGATCGGTGGGTGTTCGTCGGCGGTGTCGAAATAGAGGGCATGGTTGCCTCCTGGATCCATCTTGCTCATTATGATGTTGAGGATCTCCTCTCGAATGTCGTCGTCGCTGGGTATTTGGGCGGGTTCTGGTGATAATGACGATTGCATGGAAGATTGTCTCAGTCTCGTATCGACATCATACGCCATAGTGTGTGATTCAGTTGCTCGTGACCCAGAATGCGGATCAGTCACCTGTCTCTGCTGTCCCTTTCCAGCCGCGACTGGACTGCTCCCCGACCCGGTATATGCCGTAGAATTCCTCCTCGCGTGTGCGGCAGAGCCTTGTGAGTACGGCACGCGATCACGGTCTTTGCATTTGGGGTTTGGTTGGGGTGGTTGGTCCATGGTTGCTGACTATCTTGTTGTTTCCGCTTTCGTTGTCGGTCGTGCGTGTTACAAACGTGGATTACGGTGTAGGCGGAGAAGGGCGATGTTCATGCCTCAGAGCAAAGGCCCAGACAATGCCGGTCGAAGATGGACGAACGCCAAACGCTGCGGTTCAGAACAAAACGGCTATGTGAAGCAAAGTCAGCCTGAAGCAATCACAGTACGACGACTGCGGTGCCAAACCACAGCCGGATAGCCACAGCCACGACAGCTGCTGTGCACGACGAGAGCAAGGCCGCGGGCGTGGTAGTTGTGGTGAAGAGTGGTCGTGGTGCCGGACACGAGGGCTTACCTGGCGGGTCAGCAAGCAACGGACGAGAGCGTCGATGGTGGTGGTGGTGGTCGCAAGCGTCTTTGAGTGAAAGCGACGAGTGCTCCGGCGTGTGTGACGGTAGCGGCAACGACGACAAAGGAAGGGTGCTGGAAAGGACCGAGTGTTGGTATGACCCGAGGGCAGTGGCAGTATAGTAGTAAGGAGCGGATTGCGAGCGGAACTAAAGCAAGGCGAGAGGCCAAGGCATGGAATGGAAAACGAAGAACGAACGAGTGACGAGCGAGGGAGCGATGGTAGAGAAAGTAAGACAGACAGACCGGGCTTGCCGGCGTGAGGTGCAGCAGCGACAGCAGGACGAAGTGAGCGTGTGGCAGGTGATGATGTGTGATGTTTTGGGTGCAGTGCGTTGCAGATTCCTGACGCCGCGTGAAATGCCAGGGAGGCGGGCGAAAGTAAGTCAGCCTTGCTCTGTGTCTCGCTCCGCTGCTACTGCACCACACCACGCTCTGCGCTGCACGCAATCTTCGTCTGCGTTAGCGATGGACGACCTTGGGCGCCGTCGTTGGTTGCTTTTGCCGGGCGGAAAGGGGCGAGAGGGACGTTTCCAGCCCAGCCAGACGAGCAGCAGGGCGACTCAATCTCGAGGCGCAGAGACAGCGGTCCCCCTGTTCCGTGCATTAAGGTCAACGATGATGCGCGAACGTACCACCCGGCGACCGTCGCAGCGTGGAAATGCCGTTTGCGGAGTCGGCAGCCTCGCACGACGACGACCGAACGCGCCGATGCGCTGCACGCGGCTGAGACGGCGGCGGCGGCGAGGACACGGGAGGGCGAGGGCGACGGTGATATGATGATGGGAGAAGTGATGGTGAGAGAGAGCAGCTCGGGATGGCGAAGTGCGTTCGATGAGATGCGCCGCCGACTGGAAACGCAGATGCGCTAGGGCAATGATTGGCTGGGCGGCGCGCGGGCGGCACAGTTGAGATGCGGCTCTCAGATATTAATTACTGCATTTGATTGACATTTGATTCAAGCCGCCTCCCCTTCACTACATACACCACTCTGGCCACTCTGGCCGTGGAACGGGATATGCATAAAGACCCGTGGTATGCCCCAGTCAGTGCAGTCAGTCGCCCTGCCAATTCGCTCCATTCGCCACGTCTTCGCCGCTGCCTCTGCCAGGTTCAACCCAGGAGCTGTGGCAGGTTGCGCGGCCGGCTTAGCTGCGTCCTTTTTATGGCAGCACGCATACCACTACTGCGCTCATGTCTCTGCGCACTCGCCACATGCACCATGGCCTCGCTCTCCGACCACCGCCGTCGGCTGTCTGCACTATCACGCGACACAGCATGACGGCCATCTGTCTCTTCCGCGACGAGACGCAGCACCCACCGACTCGTCGTCAGCCAGCATCCCGCCACGCGAAATGAACGGTTCGCCCGGGTGCCTCGAAATGAAGAATGCCATATACGATCCAGGATACTCGCAGCTTGGTAGATTGCAGTATCATGTTCGGCTTTGGGCACCTCATGCATCGGCCCGGCTTGCACGGCGTCGTTCGGTAATCTTAAAACCCTCTCTCGCCAGCCTCATTCTGTTCCATGGAAAGCAGCCCACTGGCCGCGTGCATGATTTGGAAAAGCACAAATTCTGCTCCGAGGTAGGCTGGGCAACGAGACGGCATCTCACACACATGCGGCTATTCCACCAATTGCCGACTTTCAAGTGAATGCTCTTGTTGCCTCAAATGATCACCAGCAGGGATGAGCTTCCCAAAGCAGTCGAATGGCGTCCAGACACATCAATGCATCTGCCTTGCGGCGGCAGACATATAAGACCTGTGCGAGATGATCTTCAAGCATCTTGCCACCATTTGACATTGACAAGCGAGACAAGATTCACGCCTGTGTAGGGTGCGCCTCATCTTGACAGCAGCAGCATCATGGACGACGTACGACACGCAGGGCTTCGCGTCGATTCGCTCTTACCGTGGTTCTTGACTTGCAGGCACACCTCATCGCGCAGGAATGACTTCTACACTGACCAAGGACGATTCAACACATCTCTTGCACTCAGACCGCTCTTTGAAAGCGCTTCACGAGAGCATTCGGACAACAGACTTGCTCGTCTTGCAACAACGTCTCCCAGCCACCGGTTCTTGGAGACGTGGAAAACGTTCCAGCTGCCCGGTGGAATCAAACCTCCACGTTTACGCCCCGTTGGTACACCAAATCTCGCTGGCAAATCAATCCTCGTCGACGTACGTCCTCAACACGGAGAACGAAATCTTCGGGGATCATCGTATCAGTATCTTTGATTGCTTCTTATTGTTCGCCCCGGCTTTCGCTTGTCGACAAGCATTCTGATAACCCGTACCGCAACAAGGCCGGAGTCTTGACCAACCTCGGGCTCGTGGTCGATCTACGCACACCACATTTTCCGAGCGAGCACGGCACTTCCAGGCGTTTCCACCACAAGGAGCCAGGTTCGATATCCTTGACCCTCGCTCTTCGGCTATCAAGCCTCGTGTAAGGCTAGGATTCGGGGGGAAAGTGCCGAGCAGGCCGAGACTACGTCGCCTCACGGACATCATCATCATTCACTCGCCGTGGAAGCGAATGTATCCAACCTCACACGCGCGCATGCTCGGGTTGGAACTCGAGCCAGACTACCTACATACTCTCGCGGACTTTGTAGCCCAGAGAAGAGACCCACCAAACATCGTATTGATCTAGCGAAGGAACGCTGCAGCCTCACCGAGTACGGATCATCTTTCAAACATGAGGCTGACGATGCCAGAGACCGGAGCTGACGACATGTCCTCTCGGAGCCAACCAAAAGACCGTCCACAAAGACTGAATCGGTAGGGCAACCTCTCATTACATGTAGATTCCTAGCAAGCAACAACGACCCTATCAGATGCCGGTGGGAAGTCGGTGGACTGGAAGGAAGTCACAAGTGGAGCTTCTTTACATCGACGGCAACATGAACGTGCTCACCACGGCATCCGCAGCATTCGAGCCGGCAGCAAAAAGAACCGCGCAGTCCAAACGGACGTAGACCTTCCGCTACCACGGACACCGAAGGCAATCCATACTCCATGACACACCGCAGAGCTTCTCCATCCCCAGCAGCATGCAGCACGAGCGAGCAGGACATGCCCAGCACGCAACAAACCCCCTCTTGCCAACGCATCGTAATCCAAAGCACAGAGAGGTAGGTAAGTAGACGTGGAGGAGGAGGAGGAGGAGGAGGTAAGTTCCATTCCCCCTCCGCATGAATGTATCTCCACACCTACATCTGCATCGCGGTGTACTTCTCCCTTCCTTAGCCGCGACAAGCGCCATGCTGCACGTCCAACACATGCTACACCACATCCTCTCCATATCTCCCTCGCTCCATCTCAGCACGAAGTCCACCACCAGAAGCAGTACCATCAGTTCCCCTCCCTCCCGCGCTACTCGTGGCACGGCAGATCCCCCCAACCTCTATGCACCAGCTAGCAGATCCAGTGCTACAGCGGTACGTATGTACGTACATCCACGAAGCAAGCAAACAGGCCAAGAATGACAGAGCACGGTGTAAAGCGCAGACAGCACAGCACAGCGTAAAGCGAGAGAGGGAAAGCAAACACACCAACCATCTCATCTCACCTCGCCCTGCCTCTTCTTGTTCTTCGTTCTTAAGCCGTACATTTCCGAGAGATTTCTTGTCAATACTCTGCTGCTAGATCTGTAACTGCATTTAGTGGTCGTCTCGGCACGTGATGATTTGCTTCTCCCAACGGGAGCGATGATCCCTCAAAAAAATGAGGCGAAGTTGGACGAGACTATCACATGACGAGCTAGTGAGAGATCGACATAGCAGCGCACATATGAGCAGCATCGAGAGGTGAGGGTGGAGAAATGTAGAGGAGGTATCGAGCGAATGTACACGCCAAGTAAGAAAGAAGATACATTGGGCTGAAATGTTCGAGCAGAAACATTGGAACGCCTCGCAAATATGCCTCGCCATTCCCATGCCCATTCTATAGCCCTTATGCTTCCATCCCTGCCAATATGCATACCAGTAGCAGTCAGTCAGTCAGTCTGGGTATTCCTTTCAATCTTCTCGTGTTCCACAATACACACTCCATCCTCCCCCTCCTCACAAATCTCTCAAGCATGCAACCCACCACCAACCTTCCTCCCCCTCCTCTCCTCTCCATCCCCACTCCCGCTTCCACTCCCCTCGGCATCCTCAACAGGACTATCCTCAGGACTCTGCGCCCTCGAATCACTCAAATTCCGCCTCTTGCTCCCCTCCATCCACCCTTTAACACCCCCGATCAACCCCATTGCATACCCCGCCGCGAAATCCATACTCTTCTGCGGCGTGCTCGCACGTCGGTTACTCTCCGTCCTAGCGAGGCGGTCAGTGGGCATCGGGCTCGCGGCGGCGCTGCGTGTGCTGTTGCGGAGGGAATGGGCGGCCGAAGGCGCGGGGCTGTTGGGTCTGCTGGGCTGCCAGAATTGGCGGAGTTCGCGGCTGAGTTCCTGCCCGGTGGTGGTCCAGTTTGTGCGGATGGTTTTGCTGAGGTCGCTGACGTGGCGTTTGATGTCAAGTTCGTTCTTCTTGAGCCAGGAGACGTTGAGTTCTTGCCTGCTCGTGCCGCGTTTCAGTTGGCGGGCGATGTACTGTTCGTAGTCGCGCACGATTTTGGTGATGATGCCGGTTGTCGAGACGCCTTCTGTTCGCTGCGTGACGAGGAACATGCCTTTTTCTTTGATAGGTTTGTAGATGTCGTCGCCTTCTGCAGCGCCGTAGGGGAGGTCGTCGTGTGCTACGTAGTCGATGTTGTGCTGTTCCAGGAAATCCACATCGATGATCCAGGGGCAGTCTTCAATGACTTCGTCCACCCAGCGACAATGCCTGATAGATTCCGCACGCTCTTTCGCCGACATGACAGTCAATCCCTTCCGTTTATGCGTCTCAGCATCCCCAGTCACGCCCACGATAAGCTGGGTGTTAGGAAACGCCGTCTTCGCCTGCTGAAGCTGCCGCATATGCCCCAAATGGAACAGATCAAACACTCCATCCGCATACACTCTCACAGGCCGATCTTTTGGCGGCGGGTTAGTCTTATATCCTCCCGCAGGATCCACGGTCCCAGCTTGCGGCGGCGCCTCCATCCTCATCGTCCCTGCCTCACCATGCTCTCCAGACCCATCAATCGTGCCATTGACAGGCATCTCCACTGGCTTCCCAGTCTCAATCTCCATTTTGTTGCTTGACGAGCTGCCGTTGATCTTGCTAGGTGTAGAGGTACTTTTGGACGCAGCAGAAGAGCTCGCACGCGTCCTCTTCGCAGGAGGGTCCATGTTCTTGCGCTCTTTTACGTCTCGGAGGACCGAGTCGGCCGTGTCTTCGCCTGAAGCATCGCGCGAGGAGGGCTGGACGGCAGGTGTGCTGGCTTCGGTCTTTGCGCTATCTTTCGAGACTGCAGAAGTCGCTCGCTTGCGTTTAGGAGGCATTGTTGCTCAGGATTGGGTGCTGGTGTCGCAGCGTCGCGGAAACCTGGTTTTCGGGTCTTGCACGGTCGCAGGTGTGCTGCGTTGTAGGGAGTTGAGGAATCAGGAGACTCAACAAGAAAGCGCGACGTGTCTTAGAAGTCGAGCACGAGCAAGCAAGTGCCACTCACTAACATGAAATGAAGAAGCTTGGAACGCCGCCAGATCCTTGCTTGCTTGCTAGGTTCGGGCAGAGCCGCTGACAACGTTCAAACGTCACTCGAATGATGAACCTGATGTTGGACAAGCAGTGCTTGTGGGATGAAAACGATATCGCCTCGTTTATGTCTCGAAGAGTCATGCAGGGTGAAACCATCCACTCGGGTTCTTTCAGGCTTAAAAGACTCGGGGGGAAAACATTTCTTCATGTGCGTGACCGTCTGCAGCTTTCAACACTTGCATTGCATGTGGGGCTTGGCAGCGACCTCACCCCTCACGAACGAGTCGCCGCCACTCGTGGGATGGGATGGAAATGGAGACGTCTTCCACCATTGACGAACTGCTGGATAAGCCTATGAGCAGCTTCATTGTACTGTGCTGTCAGTGGAAGGCGATAGGGGAGGGCATGCTGAGAAGGGCATTCAAAACGAACAGGCACCAATGGAAGCATCACAAAAAATGCAATTTGCTCCCCACCAAAAAGAGGATTCTGAATGCTATGTCACCCACACACGCCACGCAGAGGCGCACATCAACGCATGCAGAATCGAAAATCCAACACAGTCAAAGCCCGCTCGCTCTCTGTTCTATGCACCGTGCAGCGTACTGTTCTTGTCGAGAGGGAAAAGGGTCGTGGAGGTGGTTTCAGGTCATGTACGGTCGGATTTGACAGCGTTGAGCATTGCAGTCGCATGCAGGATTGGCGGCATCTCTGCTGCACGTCGAGCTCGTCATTCGATTGGTACCAACCGCTTGTATTCTTCGTCATGCCCAGACTGTCGAGTTCGCGTCGCTAAGGGGTATCAATCCGTGATGTACAACTCGTGGCCGCTTTACTTCGCCTCAGCCAGCTTCTTCGAGTCCGCGCTGTCCGTCGCTGCCATCGTCGATGGATCTTCCGGCTTAGCGGCCTCGGTCAAGCGCTGCTTCGACTCTTCCACCTTCTGTGAAATCTCGTTGCCCGGAGCTGGTGTTTCCTCTCGCTGGCTTCGGTCCTTCTCGGCATCCCCATTCGGCTTCTTCTGCACCTGCTCATCATCCTTCTCGTCCTCTGACCCTTCGATTTCCTCCACGTCACCTCGCTCATCCATATCGACATCGCCGTCGTGATCGGGGCCATGGCCTGTCAAAATCTCAGTACCGTCACCGAGAAGTATGATTCGACCATGCCGACCTAGCATTCTTGTTCTCTGATCCATGTCCATCTCATAGTCATCCGGTGAGTCGTCGAAGCGGTGGTGCATGCCAGGACCCCTAAATTCAGCTTTGGATTCGGTCAGCCATGCAATCATTACAGCCGCATTCAATCTTGTGGAAGAATGCTGCCCGCCGCCGCCGGCCATGCGAAGAGGGGAAGGAGACGGATCAAGACTTGCCATATTCGGGAGGCGCACAAGGCCCGTCTCCATTCGCGACTCGATCGCCAATCATCTTGTACCACTCTTCCTTGGTCTTGCCATTCAGAAGACCAATGACGATCATCGTCATGTTATCGCAACCCACACCACCGGTTTCCGAATTGGACGCCAGGCAGTTGTCCATCATGTTCTCGCAGATGGAGTGCAGCTCTTGCTTTGCGGCGATACCTCGTCGTACGAACTCAACGACCGCTTGCGAAGACTGGCAATCCCAGATACCTGTGAAAAGTCAGCCAAAGTAAGGTCAGTTGAATGGAGTGTTCTTGTATACCATCACAGGCAATGACGAGGAACTCGTCGTCCTCTCCAAGGTCGTGAGTGGTGACATCGGGGAATGCAGTCACGATTTGCTGCTCCGGGGGTAGGTCCGCGCTCTTCTTGAACTCGAAATCTCCGATGGCTCGGCTGAGTGCGAGGTTGCCGTTCACTCTGCCAAAGTCGACGAATCCGCCGGCTGCGCATATCCGCGCCTTTTCGCCCTCATTCTGGGGCTTGTGGTCGAAAGAGAGGGGTTTAGCCCGGCCCTTGATGCCAAGGACTGATCTCGAGTCACCAGCGTTACCCTGGCCGTGTTAATGTCCAGTTGCTCCTCGCATTGAATTCTTGCAAACATACCACGTAGATCTTGTCCTTTGTGACGATGCCCACAGAAGCAGTGCAGCCTGAAACCTCTTCTTCGTATTTCGGATCTGGCAAAGTCAATTTGTCAGCTGCAGGTTCGACCTTTTCAGAGCCTCAATGCGATGGGTATCGTACCACTCAGAATGGCTCTGTCAATGGCGAGGAAGCCGTCCTTGAGCGCCTGCTCGAAGTCCTTGCTCTTGAAAGATTCCTGCTTTGCCACAATCTTGTGCAGGTTCTCGCCGGTGTAGAGTGCGACCTTGTCACCACCGTGCCCATCGTACACGCCGAAGAACGATATCCGCACGTCCGAGGCTGCTGGCTTGAGCTCTTCGTCGCCTTCGAGGGGTTGTAGGTCGAGGACAGCGGCGTGTGCGTCCTCCATGCTTATTCTCCATCCTTGCATGGCGCTGACGCCAAAGCAAACTCGATCATCCTGGCCTTCGTCGGATTTCTGCCGATTGGCACATGTTAGCGAAGACAGGACGCGCAGGAAGCATGAGACAGGCAGATGACGAGGCGCTGGACAGCGACCTCACAAAGGAACACCGCGCGGTGACGGTGGGGTCTGTGTGTGGGGATTGAAAGCGTACCTTGTCGACGACGGGCTCTGACAGTGTCTGACCCATGATTGCGAATGGTGGTTACCGCAGTGTCGGTGGTGTCAGGATGGAGTGAGGTGGGAGGGAGTCGAAAAAGTGGGGTGGTCGCGGCGACAGGTGCGGAGTGAGTTGTAAGGTGGGCGGTCGGGCTACTGACGGTCGGCGCACGCGCTGTTCGGGCTTGTCATGCGACGGCGGTGGTGGACGGCGGTCTGGGGAACAGATTAAAGCCGATTTGGAGGTGCTGGGTGGTGTCTGGGCGGATTGTTGTGGGTGGTGTCGCGTGTGGGCGTGGCCAAAGTGTGCGAAGAGAAGACAGCACTTTGCGTGGGTGAGGTTAGGCTTGCCTGCTGCGTCATGCGCCTGCGCCAAACCGCAATGGGGGGTCTGGAAGTGTCTGAAAGCTTAGATTGCTGCGGCAACGAATCAGATAACTCCACCAAACAGTAGATGCTGCGAGGGGCGATCAAGTGAATGAATCTCTATGTATTGCGTGTTTGGTCGGCATCTGATGCAGCCTGTCCTGTGAGGCGCGTGATGTGCGAAATCACACAGGGCAAGGGCGACGACGCAGAACCCTGGGCTGATGCCTCGGCCCTGTCTCATCTTCTCATCGCGACAGGGATCTCGACCATCTAAACGCCAGGATTGTCTCGGCATCTTCTTACGACTTCACCTTACCAACATTTTGACGGTATTTGCATTGTGCAAAGCTCATCTGGAAAACAGTCCTGATCCATCTCCATCACAGAGCAGAACAGCTATTGACTACAACTTGGCCCCTTGTTCCATTCATTCCCAGACCACATCCCCTAGAACTGCCTTTGCAAAGGCAATGCGCAGAGAGTTCGACGCTTCCGCCTTCGATCGCTTCGTTGATAGGACTAGTACTTCTCCATGAGAGGGCCAGTCCATTGGAAGAAGCGGTGTCCAAGCACCCAGGACTGACGAGTGCCGGCTCTGCGGCAAGGTGAGCGCAATTCTGGGGGTACAAGATTTGAACTGTTCCATCTAGCATCATTCCAATGAAATCTCACTCTCAAGTTCAGCGTCAAAACATCAAAGTCCGCAGGGACCATTCCCTTGTATCATTCGGCCCTTCACTCACCAGCACGCCAAGAGCTGCTCTGGGCGGGGACAAGTGAAGTGAAGACTGGACGTCTGAAGACCTTCATGTGACTGCCAAGACGACTCACTTCTGCCTCCGCTGGTTTTAAGTGTTCCGTTAACTCCAAACAGCTCCAAGCACACACAGCGTCGACATCTGCTCATCGCAGGTCCAACACCACCACAATGGCCCTCGACGACGCCGGCGCCGAGTCACGATTGCTCGCGCTCGTCCCGGAACTGAGAAATCGCATCTATCGGTACACGCTCGTGGAACCCACGCCAATACGTGTCGGCGTAGACGCACCACTCCCTACCGAGCCAGGAATGCTTCGAGTCTGCCGCCAGATTAGAGCTGAGGCAAAGGCCATCTATTTAAAGGAGAATACCTTCGACTTCGAGATTCCCGGCTTCAACATCGCCAAGTACCTGCGGTGGAGCAGACTGTCACGGGCGCACAGACGCTCAAACGTCAAACTCACAATGCACGCTACGGTCGCACCTCCACAGAACTGGCAAAACCTGTTGGTCTGGCTCAAAGCATTCAGCGACCGCGAAGTAAGGGCTCGTCCTGGCACGGGCCCTAATGCGGCTGCATTTTGGCTAGTGGCAGCTCACATGCATGCCTTTGTGTACCGCGCCAGAGATGCTGGGAATCTTTCATGGGAGGAGGTTGAAACATCGCTTGAGTGCATGCGAAAGATAGCGGCTGTCAGCGATCCAGCTTGGAAAACATGACTCTGATCAGAGGCAAGCAGGAGCCGTGGATGGTGAGTTATGCAGACGAAAGACCAACGTTTCCCCTAGACCCTCGTTCAAAGTGGTCTAGCAAATCGACTGCCAAGATCCAACAAAACCGGCCAGAGACAGGGCTTACAGGTGGAACTGGCACCAAGGGATTCCAGATGAAGCACAGGCTATGCGGAAAGATCGATCACTCACACGTCGCCTGAGTTTCAGCGGCTTTCGATGGAGAGCACGGGACAGCAACCTTGGCCTCAATTAGAATGCTGCCAGATTGTTTCCCAAATGCCAAGTAGACGCCCCTTTGTTTCTTCGCTTACCACCTCTACCCATCAACCGGCGATGCTCTCGATAACCAAAACCTCGCGTCATCTCCTCGTCCATAACGTCCCATCACTCGGCAGTACAACCATGTAAGTCACCCCAAACCAGCTCTACGCCCCTTCACGTTCCGAATTACATAGCCCTACCCCCCCCCCCCCCCCCCCCCCCCCCGCCCTCCCCCCCCCCCCCCCCCCCCCCCCCCCCCCCCCCCCCCCCCCCCCCCCCCCCCCCCCCCCCCCCCCCCAGCTTCAAGCAGCCGCTCGCAGACCCCCTCAAAACGATCCATCGCCTCCCTAAGCTCATCATCCACCTCCTCCCGCTCAGCACCAATCCCAAGCCTCATCCCAAGCCTCCTCATCTCCTCCTCCATGGCATCCACGCACCTGCGAGTCCGAACCATAGCCCAGACACATCGTCCAGCAAGACTTCTGCTAGCCACTTGGAATCCTCATAACCGTCATCCACATCCAATTCCGCGCCCAGGACTCGTGCGCTCTCTTCCAGGATTTCGATGGCGATGAGTGTGAGGCGGGAGTTGTACATCGGCGCCGCTTCTCGACGGACGAGTTTGCATACGTCGAGGAGCGGTGGGCGGCTGAGACGGGGACTGTATCTGGGGGTCTCATCTTCATCGTCGTTCTCCTCGCTTTCCTCTCCCAACTCGATATCTATCCCTTCGACGCCGTCAACGCCTTCGCTGGTGCCGACAGACTCTGCCTCGTCTTCTTCTTCCAAATGGTCGCCGTCGTCTGACTCTTCCTCCTCCAAGACGTCTTCGTCCAGACCCGCGAAGCCCAGATTCTCAAGGACGAGATCGTAGATAACAACACGGAGCTCAGGCGGCAACCTGAAGAGATGGCACTTAGTGTCAGGGTCCTTAGCGCGGGTGCTCATCTTTTATGTGGCGTTGAAGCTATGAGCGAGCTGGCGATGGATGTTGTCGGTTGGTGGAGCACTCTCCCTGGGGTTTATTCTTGGACGTCCTTTGTCTCAGATGGAAAGAGCGGGATTGTGCAGACTTGAAAGGAGAGAAAGGTTAGGTAAATAGGTGGAAATGTCGCAAACACACTATGCTGGAAACAGGTCACTTGGAGCAGGAGACAATCAGCAAGTGAATGATCAGTCTGCAACCGGTGCTTGATGCTTGTGGGGTCCTGCTCAGAACGGAATAGAGGGATATGGCACCGTCCAACTAGTGAACTTATTGAGCACACATTGAGTGTTCTTCGAACGCCTCGACCTCTGTCTGCTGATCACTTCGCAGGGAAGGAAGTACTGTAGACTTGAATCGGCCGAACTATCTCAGCCGACAAGCTTCCCCAACTGGCGGCCGGTGCTCCTGGACTGGGAAAAGCTGCTGCTGCTGTGGCTTCATTTAGGGAGATGGCAGGCCGTAGAGTAGTCACAGCCGGTACTGCCAGTGATACAGGGGCCCCAGCTCCCGCTTGGGTGTTGTCAGGGTTGTTTGCTGTAAGTATCGCTAGGCTACTGTTCTGGTTCTGGCGTGAACGATTGCATGTGCCAACATTTTGTCATCACCTCCTCCATCATGGACTAAGTGACGAGCGACGAGAACATCATTCTCAGCTGCACGCTCGATTTGGGCTTCACTTGGCATCTTTCACATGCTAACGATCAGCTGAACGCTGGAAGTGCTCCTTATTTCAACCTGTCATCTCTCCCCTCGTTGACGCAGTCAACAACTCACACCACTCATCAAGACAATTGATCCATCTCATACACACCACCTACTTGACACCAAGAGACTTCTGATCCACCGACAATCACATCAATCAGCCATGGTGCAGCATCGTACCAAGAACGGTGACCAGCCGGACGATTACTGGAAGCTGACGAAAGACTTGCGCTCCACAGTCAACCGGTTGTCACCAGGAGCATTTGAAAGGGCACAAGAGCTCTTCTCACGAAAGTTGCGAGGATCGCTCGACTACGAGCGGTGCACCGTGAAGGAACTCACAAGGTTCAGCTTGCATCGGCAGCTTTTGAAGGCACAGGAGGGCAGTCTGGAAAGTCATCGTCACGGAGATGGGGCCTCGAGCCGCATGGAATCTGAGCAGGAGAAAGCAAGCCTGGTGGCTCTTCTCGAGAAAGCAGATAACGACCAAGGATTCGATCGCTTCCTCGACCTACCTCCGGAACTTCGAGCCTGCGTGTACGACTCGTACTTCCGATTGCTGCTGGAGATGAACGATGAGAGTCTGACATCTCCACTTCCGCCTCCCATCACTGAGGTCTGCTCGGTCCTACGCAAAGAGACTCTCAAGCCCTTCTATCAGACTTGTTTCTTGGACCTACGCTTCGAGGAGAGCAGTGGAAACTACAGAATGGCAGAGAAAGAGTCAAGATTCTTTCTGAATGCACCTCCATCCCACGTCGCCATGGTTCGAAAGATCAAACTGCGCTGCGAATTCCGAACTGGAGGATTGTGGTTTCCTGTCGCTGTCGAGACCGACATTGGGACTGGTGCTGTTCCCGCTAAGACTGAGCTTCTCAACGGGACTTCTTTGACTTGACTGAAGCTATGACGGTCGGTAAGTTCGGAGGACAGCTCAATGAGTGGATTGGCGAGGTTCGAGGACGTTCAGAGGTCGTCAAATTGCAGGCCTCCGATGTTTGCGGCCTCTTCGAGAGGGCCAAAGCTACGTACAAGTGGTCAGCTCGCGGACAGCGTGATTGAGATGGAGACGGAGCTTCATGGATGAGGATGGCTGTGAGCCTACCGACGATGGTTCTTGATCATGTCATGTGCTTCGATCAACATGCCATCTCAGCCGTGCTTTCGGACCCCTCTCTGCTACCATTTGCCATCTCACAAGCAAGACTTTAGCTTGCAACACTCGAGTCGGTAAGCGACAACCCGCCATCGTCTGCGAGCACCACTAATAGATCGTAGATGAGCGTGGATAGAAGCGGCGCAGCAAAGGCTGCATCTTTTCCTCGACGAAAATTCGACACATTATCTAAGAACACTCCATGCGGAATGAGCACTGTGCCATGCAATGGTGGAGCAACGGCATGGTTCTACACAATCACATGTTTTCTTCGATCGAGGGCTCTGAGAGCAGAGAAAAAACAACAGAGATCCAGAAATGTACCACAGTAGCCAGTTGTATCTCAAAAGCGTTCTTGCGTCGCTTGTGAATTTCCACGCCGTTTGCATGTGATTTCGCGTCCGTGCGCATGATCCCTGTCAACTTGCTGGACGTCGCTCGACTGCAATCATTACAAGCCATTCCACCGCTCACGCCACAGCAACCAGGACATGGGGCGACCAAAGTTGTCTGCACGCAACGTGCTGTCGCATCTGAAGCGACGAGCAGCCAGCATGATCAAATCCAAAAAGCCAGCAGCAACAGCAGCGGCGGCGGCCCCTGCCCAGCAACCAGCAGAATGCCACTTCTTCAAACTGCCAGCAGAAGTTCGCATCAACATCTACGAGTGCGCATTCAGCGACTTCCACCCCTCACCAACAAAGAACGACGAATACACCCACACCCGAACGGCCTCCGCGCCGCTCCTCCAAACCTGCCGCCTCATCCGCCGAGAAGCCATCGGATTCTACTGCGACCGCCTGCGCGAACTCGCTCGCGAAGTACGAGAGTGCTACGACATATCCTCCCAGGCACTCAACAACCACATGGAGACCGTCCGTCTGCACATCTTTCGCCGCGAGTACGGAGAAGCAGCCAAGGTCTCAGAAGTGTTTAGGACGATGTCACAGGCAATGACTTTCATGGCTGAATACAGAGGCAAGATTAATCTCGGGACTGCGAACAAGATTGGAGATTTGATGATGCTGGGGTATTCGACTGGATACTGGTGGGCTGAGGAGTATCTAAGGGAGTTGAAGCGTCCCTGGTTGGAGTCGGAGAGAGGTTCGAGACGGGTGGACTTGGGTGCTGTTGCCCTTTGATAGAAGAATTCGATGTGGATTCGGAGCATAGAAGCGCAAGGTCTCCGAGTAATGACATTGGGCAAGAAATTCTTAGGGTAAGAGATGAGAGAGACCGCGTGGCCCTCAAATGCGATGATGAGATAAGGCAACGGACAGGCTCCGAACCGCCGCCGTGAATTACGTAGGTCTGCACGTTTTGACAGCAAAGGACCAGAAATGCAAGTCATCTCGGTCTTCGCATAGCCACGAGCTATTGTCCGCTTACCATTGGAGCGCAGCAGACTGGTAGGGCTGATCGAACGAATCATGTGGTAGGCCACAGCATGAGGGTATACGAGGTGCAGCATTCGATACAGCAAAAACTGCGAAGAAGAGGCAGAATAAAAACCCGGGCAAGGAAATGCCGTGGCGACTTGTGCAAACACGTTGAAAAGGTAGCGAAGCTTGATGATCCTCCCGCTGGCTCGCCAGGATTATTAGTCAACGTGACACCACATGCCCGACCGCGAGCAGATCTACGATCGTGGCGAGCATGGCATCTTCCACCTTTGCGCAACGTCACCCGAACCACGCCGCACCGCCCTTTTCGTATATAATCACCCGCATACTGCGCTTATCAGAGCGCGCGGACACTGGACTTTGCCAAGGACAAGGACATGGGCTGTTTCCAATCATCGCAACAGGACAACAGCATGCCCGAGCCAGCGAGAACCGTGGCGGCAGAAGAATCAAGGCCCCCAGCTGCGGCACAGCACTCGGAAGAATGTCTGCTCTTCTCGATACTCCCACCAGAACTCCGTCTGTACATCTACGAAACCGCTTTTCCCAGCCTCGAAGAGAGCATGACCACAACACCCGACATAGCCGCCAATCCGCGCCTCAAGGAACCCGCGCTGCTCCAGACAAGCAAGACAATCCGCCATGAAGCAATGGAGACCTACTGTCGCCACCTCTGGACGAGTCGCGAGGCACTCGTTCGAACCGTACGACTCAAGTACGAGGAGATCTACAACCCTGCGAATCCCCAATTGGATCTGCACAACTTCACGCAGCTGGTCCACAGGGAGTATGTTCCTTTGCTAGGCACGTTCCGGGATGCGGAGATTGCGTTGATGGCGAAGAGAGATCAGATCGAGAAGCAAGGGTATCCAGCTGGAGAATGGTTTGACCGATGGTACAAGGGGCGACATGAGAGTTTGGAGGGTGTGAGTAAGATCTTGACGGATTCGACGGTGGAGAAGTATCGCACGGCGCAGAGTCCGTCGTGAGGTCCTTGTGAGTGAGGTGCATAGATTGTGTAATCGAGTCGAGTCGAGTCCTCGATGAGCAGACGTCTGAAGAAGCGGCCCAGCAGCGTGGTATTTCACGCTGAGCTACCCATCTCGCTACCAGTCTCAGCAAAAGGCCTACAAAGCTCACACGGCAAAAAGATGACTTTTCTTCACCACGGTCGCACCACAAAACGGCTCCACTCACCTTCACAACCATGTCAACACCTACCATCTCACCACCAAAAGCGGCACCATGGACACTCTCTAAACCACCGCCTCCCAAAACCGCCTCACCACCGCCTGCATCCGAACACCGCATTATGAACCTCCCCACCGAAGTCTGCTTCGCAATCTACAGACTCATCCTCTCCGACCTACACATCACCCCGTGCCCCTTCAGCACAATCCGCGGCCGCACCCTGCACCGCCCGGGCATCATCACCCTCTTCGGCAAGCGAGACCGCTTCGCCCTCTACGCCTACAGAATCGCCATGACGAGACTCTGCCCCGCGAGTGCCCTGCAGGAGAATCGAATCAACAGCGCCCTCTTACAACGCGCAGAGCATCGCAGAAGGGCCGATCGAGAAGCGCGAGGCCTCCCACCAGAGCCCTCGAGCCTGGACGTGGACGACGCACGGCGCGTGATCGCGAGCACGCAGGCGCTACACATGCAGACCGTGCGGGAGGTCCGGCGGGAGTTGGACAGATTGCGAGCGGAGGGGTTCATCGCGGCGCCGTCGACATCGTCAGCGTCATCGTGAGGGTTGGAGAAGTACGCGATGTATGTGTGTGTGCGGCACAGACTAGGGGATCGGCGTTGGTTTGGGGTGCGGTAGATTGAAGTTATGAAAGGTCTGCGGCAACTTTGTGTTCCAGAGTCACAGGATCGAGAGATCGTGAAGGGCCGCAGCTATTACTTTTATCGGGTATTGGTCGGTGGCGTAGGAGAGAATGTCATCGAGTCGAAGGATATACATTGGGGTTATGTCCGGGGTGGAGGCGTGAAGGCGCATCTATTGTTCCGAGCAGGAGTTAGAAGCTCGAAAGACAAGTTGAGACCGCACGCACCCCAAACATTCCTCCGCTTCACAAGTCACGCACGGGTCACAATACAGAACAGAATACGGTGGAGACAAGAGAATTATTCGTCAACAGTTGTCATTGTCATTACAAAAGAAAACGCAGCAGCAAGCCGCCGCTCCTTGATCTCAACATGACGCTGACGCCCTCTCAGAGTCCGTGACTGAGCTCCAGGTCTAACCCGGCCCATGCCCTTTCCCATCAAAACACGTCCACCAATCGCCAGGTGGGGATGAGCTCCAGGCATTGTAGCCCGGCCCTTTCCACCACCCGTAAAGTCGTATGAGGATGAGCTCCAGGCATTGTTGTCCGGCCATCCATCATTCGTCAAACTATTCGGGAAAGAGCTCCAGGCTTTGTTGCCCGGCCCTATCGACCATTGTCAAGTTGCCGACGAGCTTCAGTTGTGAACGCAGCTGTCGTTCTCTTATGCATTTCAAGATCGTGAAGACTTGTTTAAACGCCGTGAATCGCGAATGCAAATGCTCGCTCAGAACGCTGCAGCACGCTCAATGGAAAAGTCGTCAAAGAGCAGCCGTCTCGAAGAGAAAAGAAGTAAGATGCATATCATCTTGAGATGAGTGATGCCCGGTAGGTGATGCGGTCCTCCACCATGTCGCCTTGTGTCCGGTGCCAGGACTCCGTTCTGTGAAAAGCAAATCCCCAAACGCCTCGCTTGCTTGCCGTTGCAGCATGAAAACACAATGAAAAGTCGCATTAGAAGTCGAAGGCGGAGAGGGTGGCATCATGAGAGAGTTGCAGCTGCTCGGTTACCCCTGGTGAGAGGTCGCCGCCGCAAGTGTGAAGATCGAGTCATGGCGTAGGTATGGTGTGGTATGCAGTGCTCGTTCAAGACGAACGGCTGAAGATGCTCTTCATGCGTCTGGAGACGCGAGAGATGTTGGAGCGCAAAGAGTGCTTCTCCGAGCTGCCCTGGGAGGACTTCCGTGGTTCGACGGCACGCTGCTTGCCCTTACCGATGTAGGCAGGCTTTGGGAGCTCCATCTTGCCACATCGCTTGTAGGCCTCCTGGCGTCGGCGGCGCTCCGCGAATGCCCGCTCTCGGAACGCGTCGTTCTCGCTCCTCGACACGCGCCCTTGGATCTGGCCGGTGTAGGCATCGCTTGTCTTCCGCATCGGCCAAGAGTGACTGGTATCCCCGAAAGTTGGCGGTGGACCAGTAGTCTGATGAGCGTCTCCTTGGCATAGCCCAGAGACATCGTGCGGGGATTTCGGATGATAGATACTCGGCACCGGGCTGAAGCTGCCGCTTGACGCGTCGCTCATCGAATAGTCGCTGACAATGGGTGAATGAATGGGAGTCAGGTAGGCATACGACCCATCGGGAGCGACGGTGAGACGCATGCCTTCGAAGGCGGCTGCATCATTTGGGTCCACAAGCTGCATCCCTGGCATGGGTGGCTGTGCATACTGAGGCATGGGCGGCTGTGCATATTGCTGAACGATAGGCTGCCGCTGATGAGGTGGGTGGCCGCGATATGCGGCTTGGGCGGCTGCACGAGCTGCCATCGGGACGCGGGCTGCGGGTGGATGTACTCCAGAAGAATGCTTGGCCTCTTGCTGCTCAATCTATCCGCAGCATAGGACCTTGAGTATCTTCTGCATGAAGCCCTCCTTTGCCTCTGGCGGTGACTGCTGTTGAGCTGGTCGCTGCGACGGCTGGGCGGCTGACTGAGCGTTGACAGCGGCATTTTGTCCTGAGGAGCTCATGCCTCGCGTCAAGTCTGCGCGGCTGTTTTGAAATTGCGCCGCCGTGCTACGGTGGTCGGGGGTTTCGAGCTGCATCTCGCTGCCGCGCTTGCCCAAGTCGGCGCTGTTCTGTGGTCGGCGACCTGGCTGCGACCGCTGTTGAGTTGGTTGACGCACTGCTCCCGGCTTGCTTGGGAGTGGCTTCTCTTTGTCAACCTGCGGCGTGTTGGATGCCCGGTTCATCGTGTTACGATGGAGGTCGGCGTTGGATGGGTTGCCCTGCTCGCGTTGAGCGTGGGCGCCAGAAGGGCGGGTTGGGACGTCCCAGCCCTTGCCGTTGTTGAGCTTCATCCAATCGTACTCGCCATCCTCGACTTCACCGGTGCTCTGCAGCGCTTTGGTGAAGAGGTCGCGGAGGTAGTCGTAGTCGGGAGTATCCTCAAAGCCCAAGTTGCGGACGTATGAGAGGTACTTGTTAAACTCCTCTGGGAAGCCGTCGCACAGGTCTTTTATCGCTGTGGTCTGCTTCTTCTCGCCGATCTTCTCGTACTTCTGCTTGTTGGTGGCAGCCTTGAGGCCCTGCCATGGTAGTCCCCCTCTAAGGAAGTACATGAAGACGTGACCAAGTGCTTCGAGGTCATCGCGGCGGGATTGCTCGCGTCCCAAATGAGTGTTGATGCTCATGTATCGTGCAGTGCCCGAGAGTGACTTGCGCTCTCTGTAGGGGATGTGCTGCTTCGTTTTGGGGTCGCGGTACTGCTTGGCCATGCCGAAGTCAACGACGTGAATGACGTTCTGTTGCTTCGTGTTTGGGCGGCCGATGAGGAAGTTGTCGGGTTTGATGTCGCGGTAGATGAGGTTCTTCTCGTGGATAGTTTGGACGCGCGACAGCATTTGCTTGGCAACCATGACGACGGTCTTGATGGAGAAGCGACGACCGCAGTGGTCGAAGAGGTCTTCGAGACTCGGACCGAGCAGGTCGATAACTAGTATGTTGTGCAATCCTTCTTGTCCGAAGTAGTAGACGTTTGGTATGCCGGCTACGGTGGACGTTAGCTTCAGTTTCGGATACGTGTCCTGATCAGGACTGGCGCGGAATTCGCAAGTCACGTGATCTGGGCGGGCTGGAGAAACACTTACGGCATCCGACCAGTATCTTATACGTGCGGTACTCATCTCTGAGTTGTGGAGCATCGCTCTTTCTCGGCTCAAACTTGATGGCCACTTGTGTGTTGTTGAGGAGGTTGGTGCCCTCGAAAATAACGCCGAAGCTACCTTCCCTGGACGCGTGTTAGCTGAGGACTGCTCCCTCCCCCGACCGCGCATTGTAAACGTACCCAATCTTCTTTCCGACACGGTAGTGGACGCCGACCACGTTGCTACTGCTGATTGCGCTCGCTGCCATGTTGGCGGTTGTGTGAGGGCGCGGGTGGTGGTTCTGGAGGTGGTCTGAAGGCGGTTTGTTTACGACCGCCCAAACGCGTAGCGGAGGGGCGGCGGATCGTGTTTGCGGGTCGGAGAAGCTCTGGGTGTGTCAGGTTTGATGTTCGCTGGGGGCTGGCAATGGAATTGGATAGTTCTCGATGGTTTGCAAAATCGTGTTGCGGTGTGGTCGAGGGTGAGGGTCAGCGTTGCGAGCGACGCGGATGTAGGCCTGGCTTCTAGCGCGGTGGTCTATGCGCTCCGCGTCCACCACTTCACCTCCTACCGACGCACTATTGTAGCCCCGGCGGAAGCCTCTTCGCACTAAACGACCCTTGTGGAATGCTGTTCTGTGCTGTAGAGACGTGTGAGGAAAATTGAAGCGGTGTGGAAGTCGCCGGTACCTTGAATTCTCAGGAACAGCTGCGCCCCTTCAAGCTCCCTGCAAGGTGAAACTCCATTGATCACCGTCGCGCAGTGTGCCTGAGCTGCACTCCTGCATGATGGGCGAGCTAGCACTAACTGTTCTGGACTTGACCATGTTGGCGCCGGCTTGCAATCTTGTCTCATAAGTCACTGCACAAGCACCACGTGTTCGTACATCGTGATCTTGTAGTGGAAACAAGTCGTCGTTGTTGGAGATGTTTGTTTTGAGGAGAAGCTCTAGAATCAGAGGAACTCTTTTATGTCGCGGATCAATGGCTGCGCGGGCTCTTATCAATGGTCCCTCGTGACCACTTGAAGCAGCGAGGACTGATCATGCGGCGACAACACCTCGTCCTTGAGAATTTTGCTCGTGACCTACATTCGCGCGAACTGAGCTGGCTTTACTGCGAAGCCTCAATTGAGGAATGAGATATGGCTACTTGAGCCAAGATTAGATGGATTGAAATCCCGAAAGTGCGTGTCAAGAGGCACAGCAAGAGTTTAACTTGGTCTCGACTCATTACGCCCTTCGCACCGACTCATGGGTACGTTGATTCACGAGTACACTGACAACACAAACGTAACTCCACGACGCATGCATGAATAGTTTTACGGATTCCATTGCATTCTTGTGAACATGACACGATCTGTGTTCAATTCCAACATGGCGTTCAGCTGTCCGCGAAAGATTTTGCCTGGCCTCGAGCTTCTCACGATGACTTCTCAACTCTGGTTGTTCCTCTCATCATCCTGGCTTCGCTCCCGCGAATTGTCCAGGTCCCGCCGTAAAGCACACAGCAATGGCCACGACTGTTGACTGGTCTTCCCGCAGATTCTCGACTCATGCTGTTGCGTCCGATTCTTCGCAAGCTCCCCGAAAGCCTTTACTCTGCCATAGACCTTCCTCTTCTCTCTTACCTTCCACTGTTCACTGTTCACTTAACACTTGACTTCTCTTCAGGTTGGACAAATCCCCGAACATGCCAACAGAAACATGTCCCGAGCGCCTTCGGACAGCGTTGTCTTTCTCCCGTCTTCGAATCAGCATCAGGATTTCCAATCACAGGCGACGACTTTGTCGGCGTGCTTCGAGTAATGTGTTCCTGAACGTGCATGCTGTCGTAGGCTAGGTCGCGCGTTTCATCGAAGAGGAGGATATAAAGCTTCTCGAACTATTGTGTTCCAGAATTTCTGCGGTCGTGCGAGGCCACTTCTTCTCGACGGTGAAAGGAATGTCTGTCTCGGTCATCGCGGTGCGGTTTATGAGTGTGAAAGGCAAAGGTGTCGTGTTCGTGAGTGCGATCGACATATCGTGTGCTGCTGGTCAGTTTCTTGAAGCAGGAAATTTACCTACATGACTGTAGCTGAGGTCGCTGCAGCAGCTTTGGGCCCGTGGTTCTGGAGACTCCTGGCTTGGAGCCGCGGTCGGCGAAGCGTCGGGCTACCTTGGGAAGGCTTTGCTGGTCGCATGCTCAGCTCCGAGCATTTCGTTCGAAAGCCTGGTAGGTCGTGAACCGCTCTGTCTCGCTTCCATCTTCCTCCACATCTCAGCGGTGGCTCGGGTATCGCGTCGAACAAAGTGCATCTTCAAACGGTAGAAGCAGCTTCTGGGGCTTGCTATGGGCTTGGACACTCTGTACATTAGCTGCGCAAGCCATCAGCGAGATTAAAATGTGACCTGAGAAACAAGAACGAGATCGAACAAAGAAAAGGTGAAGTCAGACGGAGCGGTTGGTTCTAGTCACCATCCCTGCCTTTCCAGTCCAACGGTCAAAGCGGAAGGAGCCGAAAGCAGGAACAACAACAACGCTCTCTCCTCGCGTCTCGCGTCCCCTTCGTCGCTCACGTCTTTACTCTCTTCTATAGGATTGCAGTATCACATCACAGGGACTTTGTCGGACAGTGGTTGCAAGCTAGTCAGGTTTGTTGAGATGGAAAAAAATGACGAGTCTCGTCAACCCCAACACAACCCTGACGACCGGAAAACGAGGCATGGCAGAGGCAGACACTACCTGCCACGAATCGTCAATTGACGCTTCTGCAAGGCTAATCCTCCTAGGCCTTCATGCTCAAGGGTCTTTTAGTCTACAACAATCCGTGTCGTCCACTAAAATCTCGATTCCACGCCCAGGTGACGGGCGTTCGTCTAGAGTCCCAACACGAACGGCTCCAGAAGCCACGGCCCTAAACCAGCATGCCAAAAGAACCGATATGCTTACGACCTCCTCGAATATATCTCGCTACATCGACCGTTGGTGAGGTTTTGGTCTCGCTTCTCAAGCGGCCTGCTGATTAACGCTCCAGGCGAGGGCTGAGCATCGTTGCCAAGACCTTGAAGTAAAGAGCTGAACCACATGTATGGCTTCTCGGCCGTGGCAGGCAATGATCAGCTCTATTGTTATCTCGACTAACGGAGAATTGGAAGTCAATCATGGCCTCGAACGATGGTAGCGTGCTCCTTGGCTTGTCGCGAGAGTCGGGCGACAGAGGATGACATCGATTAAAGTCTCACACTGAATGGTATAAGTACAGCATTCTCCCCATCCATGGGGTCCCTCAATATCATCAGCAAAACACTCACCCATAGCAGCAACACCCTCAACCTTAGAAATCTTTTCCTATTTCCTTTGTATTTCCTTTGTATCTCCTTGATTCATTCACTTCAAAATCCAAACCAACAAGCGCCCACAAATCCTCCGTCAAGATGCACTCCTACACCTTCGCTGTCGCTCTTCTTCCAATCCTCGCTGCCGCCATGCCGGCCCCCGAGATTGGCCAAATCCCATGTGGAACCCACCTTGGCCAAATGCCTTGCACGGCTGATTCAGGCGATCAAGCCACAACCACAACGGTGTCTTTCACCCCCTCCACCCCGACGCCCCAACCATCAATCGTCTCGGGCGATCAGTCACCAGAATCTCAATGGAGGTCCCAGAACCACAACAGCGATGTTGTCACGTACGTCCAAAAGAAGTCATCTTTCATCGAACATCTCCTGACATCCTGTACAGCTGCAAGTCCAGCTGGGACTGCAACAGCTGGTGCCAAGGCAAAATGGGCGGCGCTACCACCGGCTGGGCGGTCACTTGCGAGACCTACGCTCCACCAGGCGTCTCCTTGGACTCGATGACTGGCCAATGTCTCTGCTACAAAGACGATCAGGTCGAACAGATGCTCCTCGGCCTCGGCGACGCAATCTGCCTCGCAATCAACGACGCTGCTTATGATACCGCCATTTTCACTTCCTTCCTCATTCCATACGTCGGCGAGGCCGCTGACGCTGGAGCTGCTCTCTTCAGAATCGGATCCAAGGTTGTGCGCAAGGGCGCGAAGGATTGCGGCATCAATGTTTGCCCGGGACACAAGTACACTGTTGTCGACCCTGAGGATTTCCAGAGCCAGGCTGGTATCTTGGCTTGCGACTAGGTGGAATTTTTGGTACGAGCTCAACGAGGTGACGGATACGACTTGCAGGATATGGAACGCTTGAGGGCTTTGTTTGGTAGTCCAGTTTGACTTTTTGATTCAGCGCATCGATTACAGCTTCACCCCTTCTCCAGCAGGGCTTCTCCCCCACTACAAATCAGAGACATCTCACTGCGCGACAGCTCCAGTATCAATGCTTTTGTGCCACCAGAAGATCACCAACCCACGCCAAGGTAGTCGCGTCTGCTGGTTACCTCGATGTCGCCGGCTTCAATGGTCTCACGCACGATCTCGTCGCGAAGGTCGACCGGGGTCACCAAGGTCTGATCGTTCGAGAGCTGGATGTATTCAGGCCGAAGATGAGAGGTGCCTCCCTTTGCAAGGTGGAGATTGAGAGCGCCTCGCATTGTACGAGACTGACATTGATGGCGAGCACACGCAAATGTCACTTAAAGCTTGAGCATGTGAGAATCTTGAGCATGTGAAGATCGACGCATGACTCGCCGTTCCTGCCGAATTCAGAGGTCGCCGCTCGACACAAACACTTCAACTTCGGCTTTTCATCGTGAACTCAACCTTCCACCGATCAACACAACCCCAAAATCATGACCGAGCTGCCACAAGCAGGGCGACAGGTGAGTACTTGAATACCTTGCATGCTCGTCAAAAGCTGACAGAGCAAGCGCGACATGAAGCCGCAACCCGCCACTTCTCCCAATGCACCAGCCGAGACCAAGGAGTGTCACTTCTTCAAACTACCGCCTGAGCTTCGTTTCGCCATCTATGATGAAGTGCTCTCGACAACCGACTTCGTCCAAGACCAGGGCCTCGAACCTCGAATTGTCCGACCTTCGCTGCTCGCCACGTGCAAATACATCCAAGTTGAAGCAGTACCGCTGTACAGGAACCATCTCGGCATGATGCTTGCGAAGTGTACGAGCGGGGCTGCGTCGATTTTGATGGAGTTCGTAGAGCTACTCGGAGCCTCCCAAAACGATTTACACGCGGAGCGTCGGCTCACCGTTGCCCTCAATCGACAATTGGCCAGAACGCGGAAATACGTTGAGGAGTGTCATGAGTCAGCTCGAGAGGAGCTGGTGGACATCAACAGAGCCGTCGGCTCAGCCTCGCTGTATCTGAGAATGGACTGCAAGACAAGAACAGCACTTGCAGAGTCTTTAGACGAGCTGGTGATGGTTTCAGTGGCACTGAAGAGTCAAGGCGATTCGTAGGCCCAGTGGAAGATCGCTGGACTGCTGGAAAATGGGGATAGGGTAAAGCGCTTCACAGGACCTCAATGCTTGTCCTGAGCTAATCGCATGCACAAGTGAGGGGCTGGAGAGTCAGGATACCAGCAGTCAAGCAAAGACCAGGGCGGGGAGGTGGATATGCGAGGAATCGAGGGGTTACAAGCGTTGTAGCGGGCATGAAGAGCACGTGCGACGTACTTTGACTTTGATACTTTTCACGCAACCTTCACCTGCATTTCGATTCTGTATGCAAACGGACGCGGTACGTTCATTCACTCACAGCACGTGAATGAGTTGCGTCATTACCCGCTAGCGTGAAACACTGTCGGCACACGTCCATCTCTGCACTTGCACTGGCTTCATCTTCGTCCTCACCACCATCTCACTCCAACCTCGACCTCATCAACAACATCAACTCGGCGCGCAATCCCCAAGATTTGGACAACCCCTACGACCCAGGTATGTGCATCCACAACTTGCGACTGCAAACGGCTAACACGCCCCAGCAACCACTCGCGATGGCGTCGCAGGTCCTCTCGCCAGAGACTCCGCCCGAGTCCGACGAGTGCTGTCTACTCAAGCTGCCACTTGAGCTTCGTGTTGTGATCTACCAGATGGCCTTCGAGGGTCTCTGCTTCGACGGCGAGGAGCGATTGGAGGAGATGACGAGAGATCGGATGGCGAAGATGCAGGGAGATTGGGCGAACGGTGACGCAACTGCAGAAGAACAAGGGCTGGCGTGGATCACGGAAAATGGAGACGGCGCTGAAGAGGACGAAGAGGATGACGCAGACGGTGCTACGAACGAGGAGGAGCATGAGTACACTCATGGGGAGGATAAGATCGAGTACAAAGACAACACTCAAGACGAGGGTGATGCGGTCAACATCGAGGACGACGAGATTGGTGATGAGGAAGTGAACATCAGCAACGGTGAGGGAGAGACTCGCGATGAGCATGAGGGAACCGAGGAAGACAACCACTACCAGGAAGAGGGTATTGAGACGGAAGAAGGTGACCATGCCGAGGTTTCATGCAACAGTGACCCAGAGAACGACGACGGCGACGACTCAGAAGCCAGCAGCCCTGGGGCCGAAGACGAACCTCGCGACGACCTCCACATCACCCGCCCACCACTCCTCGCCACATGCCAACAGATCCGACAAGAAGCCATTCCTGTCTACAGCAACGCCTTGACCGTTCTCACGACGAAGATACTCACCGACGCCAACGACACCATCAGCGGAAGCAAGAAGCTCATTGACGAGGGTGGGAATGAGCTGGGTTATCTCAGAGGCCTCATCGTGTCCATGCTCAAACTCAAGTTGCTCAATATGGGATATGTCTCGAAAGACCGCGTGTTTTCCATTGCGGAGGAGGTAGTTTCCATCGAGGCGAGCGTCGGAGGAAGTGTCGTTCGCAGCAAGCAAACCAAAGACCCATTGGTGGAGGCGACTACGGAGTTTCGGAAGCTCATCTTCAATGTCGCTGGTGTGGATCTCGGCGAAGAGTCTGCTTGAATGATTTCCGGGAGAAGAACATCACCATGATTATCTGTATCATTGCAAGGAATGAGTTCTGGCGGCAGCCACCGGATCAAATTGGGAAGATTGAAACTCGAGTCACTTTGGGAATTGAGGTTGGACATCAGCCAGGACCTCTATGCTACGGCTGGCGACTTGAATCGAGGGGTCAATCTGGGTATGAAGCCCTTCCCATTACCTCTGTGATTGTCAAGAGACATTCGGCACAGCATGTCTTTCAGCACAGAGTCTTGTCCTGTTTCTTAGCTTTTTCTCATTCCTTCTAGGTACAAAAAACCACGTTTGTTAAGCATGTCCGTTTTGGTAGAACCCGACCTCTAATACAGTCATCGTTTCTCGTGATGTACCCTCCTCGGTCCCCTCAATGCGGAACGTATCGAATCGCCGTCCCTCTACCTTTTCGCAAGAGACAGCGCTGGTCATTGCACTCCAAGCTGCTTAGAGGGTTTAGGAGTAATGGGGATAGATGTTCCACTTTGATCAGAACATCGAGGGTAGGAAGAGACAGTCGCCTCGAGCTCGAGCCGGATGATGAGATTATCGCTTGTGACGGGCTTTGTGACGGCAGGCTAGTGTTCGGTCACATCTGCGTTGGCTTTGACGACTTTTCTCGCCTCGCTCATGCCCGGCGGGCTGAGCTGACTGGGAATGGAAATGCTGGTATGCTCATTCTGGCCAACCCCTTCTTACAAGCGCAGAGCTGACGATTCATGATCCATCTTCTGCACCCTTTGACCCTTCGAGTATTTCAGCACGCTGGGCAGGCTCCAGGCATGAGTTGCGGCATATCACTTGTCTGAAGCCGCAATCGGCAAATCGATAATCCACGGCGCATTCGAAGGTTGCTTCTTTTCGTCCATGATTGCAGCGTTGACCATGAGAGTCTCATGGCCTGGGGCAAGCTTATTTTGCTGCACAGTAGCGTCTGAATCTCCAGCTTTTGCGATGCTGACATCGACGGCCTCATCGGCATCTCGCGCATCCCATGATGAGACCACAGCACCGTACCCTTCATGAATGTGGCCAAAACAGTGCATGAGTGGACGTGCTCGAGCGACAGCCTTCAGAAGAGATTCACATCCGAAATTCTGGCCGTGACCAAAGTCCAGGATACCATGTGGCGGGCCATGTGTCATGACGATGTCCACGTTTTCGGGAATGGACCATCTGTCAGAATTACGAGGGTAGCCGAAAGCCCAATCACCAAACTCAGGTTGGTAAGGCGAGACGAAAATAGAGAATTTCGACCCACTCTTCAGGGTGAACTCGTACAGGCCTTCGGTGAGGTAGGTGACATTCGCCTTCTTGGCAAGTGCGCGGGTCATGATCTCCACAGCTTCATCATGCTCCTCGGGCTCATCGTCTTCTTCCAGGTGAGTTTTCCAATATTCGCCATCGAGGCTGAGATCATGGTTGCCTGCAATGACCAGCTTGAGCTCGGCATCGAATTGCTCGAACATCTTCAGGGCTTTCTTGTAGGCTGACAAGCCACCGACTTGGGTGAGGTCGCCGCAGTGCAAAACCACGTCCACCTTGGGCGTTTCTTGGCTGAGTGGAAAAGGCTTGCTTGGGTCCTCCTCGAAATTGTGGGTATCCGAGAGGACCATGAAGCGCGTTGGACTGGCGTGGACGGCCATTATTCTGCAGGGATATTGTGTGATGGTTGATATCTGTGTGTCTGAGATTCTTGGCTTGACTTGATGAGTGTAAAATGTCTTTTCTAGTTTTCACGACAAGTGACGAGGCAACGTATGACTTATGTAGGATACCTAGATGGGATTTTCGAATAGATGAGTACTGAAAATCAGCAGCGTCGGACTGGTCGCTTAGCATAACCAGAACTTGGGGAGTCCCAAGATCATGTGACCTGTGGCACTGCGCCGGAGGCTCCACTCAGGATGGTTCAGATAATCGAACACTCATCTATATTTCTGGCTTTCGAATATTGTAATGCGGATGGCGATACGTTCGCTCGTGGGAGCGATCATCTCATCACATCGACTGTCACCTGCGATGATGTGAAGGGCTGTGAGTTTGATGGTCCTGGAGGATGTGGCCACATTTCATGCGCTGCTGCGCCGTTGAGTATCACAAAAAAAAGGTTTCATTTGAAGGTTGACGGCGAAAAACACCAGGTGAAGTGGAAAGGGGCGAAATGTGGGTCCATCTCATCCTGTTTCAGCCAATCAGAGGACACATTTGGTCGACTTTTATTCTCCTCGACCACAAACACCTTCCCGTGAACATCAGCATCCCCCAATCCAGTCGAATCAGCTAAGAGGGAAGCAAAGATGCGAAACGGTGAAGCAGCCAAAGAATAACCACAATGCCCTGCCTTCGAACTTCGCGAGATCGTAAGCTGTCATTCGTCGAGTTTACTACAGAAGTAGAACGATCAAAGTTTCGTACTACTATATTATACGTACGTGGAAAGAGGAAGTAGCCTTAGATTTGCTTGAGATGGGCAGTAAAGGGGCACTAGCTACGAGCCGTCGACCTTACAATTCTCCGGATTCAATGTCTTCTGCCTGCAAACAAGAGACGGGAGGTGCTCGATCCAGTAGACTTTGATCTTAGCGTCAGCGATTGATGAGGCCCGAAGATAATCGGGCTTGCCAGCCACATGCAACAAGTCCAAGAAACTTTCCTCCTCTAGCGTATGAAGTACTATCGCTAACTTCCGTGGTCGAGTCGTGTCTACTCTTCCAGGTTGTACGGTACTTTTCGAAAGTGCCGACTTCTTCCTCCACTTTGACAAAGTTTAGACGGCAAAATTTCATCTTCACCTCCCCTCCTCCTGAACATCATATCGGCCGGGTTTTCTTCTTCGTCCCTGGACCCGGTCGAATAGATCCTGCTACACACGCTTTGCTCCATTTCCCCGGGGGCGAGTTTTGCCGGGTGGATCTCCACCCCAACGAGACGCTCGTTCCTAGTACACCTACCTAAAGCTCGTGGGACCTCGCCATCAAAGTTTGCAACCAAGAAAGGTGAGAGTAATGACACCTTATCGTTGGGAGGTGTGCAGAAACAAAATCGAGTTCAATAAATCTTCCAAGATCTTACTTTTAATGGGTATTATCATACAAGTGCTATGGGTCCAGAACAGTCTCCCTTTTCACCGGCCGCTTCATGACCCACTCTCGTACTTTCTTCCATTCCTCATCTTGCTCTGCGCCGAGAGAAGTCTTTCGTTTCCCGCTGTCGGAGATATGCCCGTCCTCGCCGGCCTCGACTGAACTGACTGAAGATGCCTTCCTCCTCTGCTGCTGCTGCGGGATGTAGTCACTCCGTTGGACTTGCTGTCTCGCCCATTCGATTTCTTCTTCTTCCTGACGCGACAGCATGTCTCCCGTCGGCGAGGTGGGTGAGTCTTTCGGTACTACTCTGCCCTTCTCGTCTAGTGCATATACCAGTCTTGTAGGACTGTCTCCTCCGTCGTCTATCGCGGTCCAGTCGGTTGTTGTGAGTCTGCCCAGCGCAGTGGCGTTTCGCATGTTATTTGTCGTGACCACCAGGTCTGGGAAGTAGGCTCGGAAGAATGATCGCACAAATGGCAGGCAGATGCAGATGATGGCGAGTTGGACTTCTACGACTGAGGAGGTGTAGAGGTCGTAGCCGTACCAGCTAAGGTCTTGGTGGTGGCCGATTTGCCAGAGGTAGTAGGTTCTCGCGACACCGACCCCTGTGACTCTGTTGGGTTCAATATTAGCTCAATGACGCGGAGGGATGGCAGACTGGACTTACAAGAAGCCGGCACAGAGAAGACAGCTCAGCGCGATTTTCTGTCCTTTGGTGGCGCCAATGTCGTGAAAGTAGAACAGGGCGCAGGGAAATGCAGCAGTCCATAAGTCCGACGCGATCGTGAGAACACCAGTGGCAATGGTGATGCTCTCTCCGTTGAGACAGTGGCCAGCTTCGTTATGGAGGTCCATCTGCAAAAAGTCCCAATAGTAGTGCAGTGGCTGGCACATGAAGCAGTAGGCAAATAAGATACCGATCGAGCTGCCGACGGTGATGAAGAGAAGGACGTAGACAAGGAACATCCAGACTTTGCTGAATGTCACTTTGGCCATGCGCCGATAGCACAAGAGAACCGAGCATTTTGTGAACAACATGGTGAGGAGGAACAGGACCTGAGCCAGCCATCCAACCTAGAGAAGAGGATTGGTGTAAGTAGCTGTTGAATGGGTCACGGACAGAATGATGTGCTCACCTTGGCAGAAGGTCCGAAGTATTTGGGCTCAATGTTCCAGACATGCCTGCCGAGTTTGTATTGCCAGTCGGATATGCACGCCGTGACCGTCAGCGTGACGGAGAAGATCCAGGCGACAGAGATGAACGCATCGTCCAGTCCAAATGGCCCCGATCGCTTGTTGACGCGCAGGTATAGTCGTCCCAGGACGGGCACAGTCGACAGAATCTGCCATGTGATGGCGAACGCTCCCAGCCATGATCGTTGCTCAGGAGGATTGGCATAGTTCGGCCTCGGCCAGTGGGAGATTTCCTCAAGCGTAGGTGTGTAGAAGTTGCCGGGCATTGTGTTGCGAGCCTTCTCGTGCCCGATGGCCCTTGGACTGAAGTACCGAGTCAAGGCTCATCGGCCGTACTGGAGCAGCGGTCTGCAGAGCGCGAACAGAGAGATGGCATCGTATTTCGGAGAGGCGTCGTCTGGCAGAGGGGATATAACAACAAGCCATGGCGTTTTCGTTGGCTGTTGATCCCTTGCCCATATTGTCCAAGTGCAGTCGAACAGTGCGGGGGTGGAAGGCGGCGCAGATTTGTGTTTCAATAGAGTCGAACTAAGGCGGCAGGGGATAAACCTTCCACTCTAATAGACTCTTCTTAGCTCCAGGTGCCGAGGGTAGTTCTGGCCCAAGCGCCGGCTCGACGTGTTGTTGTTGTGAAAGACGTCTTTTCAAACAGTTACACCATGAGTTCAAATCAGGAGTGACTCTTGATTGCGCAATGCCCTGCTATTGCATCTATTAGACTTCGCATTCGTTGCCACTCGCTCTCCAGGCACGCCAACTCGCAAATCGTCGGACGTATTTTGCAGGTACTCTGTGCCTTCTCCCTGTGTTCGTCTTCGAAGCTACCGAGGCCTTGATGATCGCCAATGCCCTCCCACCACATCGCACATCCTGGACCGGCTTGCTTTTGATGTATTATTTCCTGCGTCGCCACCCGAGGTCTGTTACTGGAGGAGGTTCCAGAGCTGCAGTTGGTGGTTGTGTGTGCCTGGATGAGGCACGGGCCGGTATTTCTTGCGGCGGCTGAGGGCTGGTGCTGCGAAGATACTGATGAGGGAGGAGGTGTGCGCTGCGTGGCCTTGTCAGGGAGGGAACGTGGTTGTATTTTCGAGGGCTTGGGGCGGTTGTGGTGGATGCGTGAAAGAGTCTGGCACTGATCGAACGTCAGGTCATATCAATATCTATGATACCCCCAGCCTATATATCGACACTCCGTCATCAACCACCGACGACCTATTCCCTCTCAAACATCCACCTTCTTCCTCCCTCCATCCTCCTCATCAATCTCCTCCCCAGCAGCCTGCACCTCCACCCCCACCAACACCTTCCCTTCAACAGCAACAGCATCCTTCCCCGCCACCTCCAAAGCCGTAACCTCCGCCCCAATCCCCTCCGTCCTGAACCCCCTAAACCTCCACACACTAACCCTCTTCTCAAACAACTCATCCAGCTCCTCCAAACTCCGCCCACTCATCTCCGGCAAAAACACCGCCACCCACACCGCGGCCGCGACCGCGAAGCTGCCCCACACAAACCCGATCTTGCCCTGCAGGTTCGCGTAACCCTCGTTCTGGAGGTAGGGACTGATGTACTGGATCATGAGGTTCACGACGAAGCCGCAGAACGTCGCGATGGTCATGGTGCGCTCGCGCAGGGCGGTCGTGGGGGCCTCCGCGCAGGTGATCCAGACGCAGCCGGCCCAGCCGATGGAGTCGATGAAGAACCAGACGAAGATGGCCGCCAGCGTGCCGCGCTGCACGATCGGGTCGTCGCTGTCCGCGTAGCCCGTCAGGCCGCCGACGGTGAAGAGGCTTGCGGCGACGAGGATGGAGGAGACGAACATGAGCGGGCGGCGGCCGACTTTGTCCGCGATGATGAAGGCGCAGGCGTCCGCCATCATGTTGACGAAGTAGAGGTAGATGAGCATTTTGTATTCGTCCGCGATGCCGATGGCTTGGAAGAGCACGATGGAGTAGGTCGTCATGTAGGAGTTGCCTTGGGCGGGTTGCAGGCATTGCACGCCGAGGGCGATGAGGGTGCGGCGGAGGTTGGGGCCTCTGTGGAAATGTCAGATGTGAGCGGGAGGGATGGGGATAGAGAGACGTACCGGAAACAATCCATATAGCTGGTATCGTTATGCAACAGCTTCTGCTCCTCAGGGGGTCCCGGAGGCGATGGACTGCCAGGTTGTGGGGATTGTGTAGGTTTGGGTGGTGGGCGAGTAGATTCCGAAGTCGTGTTGGAATTGCGGCATGCCGAGGAAGCCGGACCAGTAGTTTAGGTCGAGGCCGTAGGACATGCCGGCGAGCTGTGGGAGGGGGAGGGTTAGTGATTGTGTGGTGACGGGATATTGGGGACTTACGGATGCATAGCCGCTGGTTAGGACGAGAGGCCAGGTGAGGTCGCGGCCAAACTCGTTCTTGGTGTTGCGGAGCCACTGGAGGACCATGGTGCGATGCTGGATGCTGCCGTCAGGCAAAGGACTCGGTAGGGAGGAACTGAGAAGAAAGAGAGACAGAAGATGGGGATGGGAGCTGTTGATCAGTTCAGGTATATCAGTCTACCGACCTACCTCACGCGCGGCAGAGGTCAGATACCGTTATCGAGTATAGCGAACAGCTGCCGACTATGCCGCTATCGTGGAGAGAACCAGTGGGATAGGAGATAGACGGCAGGGCTGTTCACTTGATCGGCGGATAAGAATAGGCGGAGGTGCCATGGCGTCGTGGCCGGGGTCATGGACGGTCTACTCAGACGGATCGTTGGTCGAGACTGCAGTCGGGGACGTACAATAGAACATTGGTTCCTAGTAGTACAGCCGAAGGTCTTGTTTCGTTATGATACAGTTAGTACTGCCCGTGCTTGTAGCCAGGACAAGCTTGACCTGAGGTCAGAGTTGGCCGCGGCCAGCTTTCGATGGACCGGGGTAAGACATATCTGATAGGCGAGGGCTATGCACACCACGTCCCTTCCTCGCCTTCCTTGCCCTCGGAGCTCTGATAAAAGGTCTAGTTCATGGGTTGGCCTCGTCTCCCCGTCCTTGTCGACGATTCTGCCGTCAGTCGCCGCTGGAGACCTTTGGCTCCCGTGCTTGTGGTGGGGATAGTTCCATGTTGGAGTGAGATCACAGGATACGGCAAGGCCAGATCAAACGGCGTGTCCGCCAGCCGCAGCTCTGTAGAACTCTAGCAGGTTCTTGCTGAGTTCTGTCTCCTCCACATCAGCTCCGTCTGTGGCACCGAGTTCGTGAGCCTTGGCATTGAACTCATCCTGTTTCTGGGAGAAGTGCTCCTTATCAAAGTTCGCCGGCCATCCACAATCCTCATAGATCCGAAACTTCGCCCAGTACCGGTTGTGGGCCGCCTTGTGTGAGAGCAAGTAGTCACCATACAAGTTCTCGATGGGCTCAGTGGCAAGACCTGCGGCATTCCATTCCTGCCTCTGCTTCTCCAGCTTGGCTTGGATTGCCTTCGAGATGGCTGAGTCTGGGTTTGCTAGTTCCTTCTCGTCGTAATCAACCTTGAGTTCAATCTGCCAGCCGAGTTGATTTCTCCAGGGAAGCCATTCAAGAGACCGCAGCTTGCGCGCCCACTCGTCAAAGAAGGTCTGAACTGGATACCGCTCGCAACTGGTCCAACGTGAGGGATGCCACTCTAGTATGGCCTCTGCGAGGTGGTTAGTGAGCTCTACTATCAATATGTGGCTCGATGCAACTCACTCTCGTGGAGATCGTAGGCCATATTGAGACCATGTGGATTCGTTGCGGTCGCCAGCTTGAAGGCAGTAGGAGGCAATTTCTCGGTCGCGTCTGGACCAACATCCCTTGATTCATCATATCGTCCAGGGCCGCCAAGTAGGTACGAGGTGGCAGAACTGGTTGGTGTGATGGGGATGCCTTTGACGTGGCTGGAGAGCTTCTGCTGCTCGACGAGGATGTCGTTGGTGAAGCATGGCAGTCTTCCTATGACTTCGATGGTCTCCGGAGCCAACCCCGCCGCTCTGAGGGGAGCTACTGCGATTGGATCCTTGGGTATGCCATGTGGAGGTACTTGGACGTCGGTGTTCTGCACATAGTTGGCGTCGATGAGAGCAGCAAAGACGGCTTCCAGTCCTGATATGAGTTCCGCATGCTCGGCCGTGATGCCACTTGGGGTGGTGGTCAGTTCGCTCATGGCGGCCGGATGAACTGAAGTGGTAGTGAGAGGCAAACAATGTCAACGGTGACTGCAAAGACAGGCATCACCTGACAAGGCTGATGTTGTGATGGAAAGAGAGTTTGCAGAAGAAGTCAGGTACCTGGTTGTTACATGTGGAGTGCAGTGAAACTAGAGGAGTGTGCCAAGACATAACAAGGCACGAGGTGTAGGCATTGGGCGTCTCATGTGATGGCCACGATGGCGTAAATTGTCAGGCCAGGGATCGGACCCCTGCACGCGACTGACCTCACATCATCGGGTCGGGCGAGGGCAAAGAAGCGAGGCACCAGCACGAAGACGGCATCTCCGCTTGCGCTGCCTGACAGGAGTAAAGGTGTCCATGTGGATGTCGGTGAGAAGAGGGCAGTCAGTCGGGCAGTCAGCTCGTCGGGCAGTGAGGAGCCACGGTATCCCCGAGAAACGGAGACTGCTAAGGTATGCTGCTTTCGAGGCTCTCGCAGTTGTAGAATGTTGAGTTCAACTTGGAAAGATGGCTTCATATTCATCTTGTACCGCAGGACGCAACTTCCTACAGTAGCAATCTCCAGCAAATCCACAGACTCTGCCATCTCCGCGCAAAAGTCCCTTTCACGGCGTTGCCAAGCCAAACATCCCGCCCGAACTCGGCGCCACTCTTGTTCGTCATTGTGGACTTCCGTGGGATGCATGACTAACCCCTCGTCGCCCACTCGCCGGTGGTGAGTTTGCTGTCGTGATTAACAATCCTATCGACGACTATTCCGCAACCTAAGTCCTGTCATACTGCGACACGACAGACAGAAACTTGCCACACACCTTCACACGAACCCTCTCCCGCCATGGCGCCCGCCGTCATAATCGATAACACGCCCGACTTTGGCACAGACGACTTCCAACCACCCGTCAAGTCTTTCAGCAACGGCAACACCCCTCGAACGCTTCTCCTCGCCCCGCCCTCCGTTGCATCTCACCCAGACGCTTTGTCGCGAGTCGCCGAAGCCTACGATCGCAATGCCACCGATATACAAATGCTCGACCGTCTCGCTATGGGACTTGTCGCCCTCCCTGCATCGACATACGATGTTGTCCTCATACTCACAGACGTCGACCAAACTCGACAGGAGAGCTCGCGGTTACTGAGCAGAGAAGTTATGGAGCGGATAGTGCAAGCATTGAAGCCGGGTGGGAGACTCAAGTCGCAGGATGATACATTTGGTCGGTTCCCTGGCGCAGAGCAGACGGAGGCTATTCTGTCGGGGTTGGTGACGAGTGATGAGGGTGGAATGATTAAGCCAGAGACATCAGCGGCTCCTCAGACTGTCAAGTTGAGCTTTGGAAAGAAGAAGGCCAACGCTGCTGCGGTTCCGGCGAACGCTGTTGAAGCAACTACCGCGGAGAAGAGGAAGAGCAATGATACACCAACTGGAGACGGTGATCTCGCACATAATGGAAGCAATGGTGTTGTAAAGGCGACGCTGGCTGGTGTGGGCTTCATTGACAGCAACGATGACTTTGACGGAGGGTTCGATGATGGAAGTGGATATGACGATGATGACGAGTTTCCAAGCGACGAGCAATTGCAGAATGCGGAGAGGATCGATCCAGACACACTGTTGACGGAGGAGGACAGAATGAGGCCGCTTGATATTCGTAAGTCTTATCAGATCTTTCGTACATTGACTGTCAACTGATCCGATGATTTAGCGGAGGCGTGCAAGCCCAATAAGAAGCGGCGGCGCGCTTGCAAGGATTGTACTTGCGGTCTTGCACAGCGAATTGAGGCCGAAGACAAGGCCAAACGAGATGAGGCCGATGCTAACCTGGCCAAGCTCTCCGCCAACGACTTGACTGAGGTCGACTTCACTGTTCAAGGCAAGGTCGGCTCGTGCGGCAACTGCGCACTTGGTGATGCGTTCAGATGCGATGGTTGCCCGTACATTGGACTTCCGGCCTTCAAGCCCGGCGAGGAGGTGCGCCTGCTTAACAATGATGTTCAACTGTAAATCATGGCTGTTTTTCGGACGATCAAATCACGAGCAGGCGTTGGAGGGTCACATGCTGTATGATGCTGAAATGAGATCATGGAGGGAGGTCACATAGAGACGTAGAGTCTACTACAGGAATGGACTCGGCTAGGTTGGGACATAGTGATGATCTTGGCGAAAGGACAGGAGTAAGCAATCACATGCTAGCGTGTCAATTGATTCACTTTCAGCGGCAAGCGCCGTCGGCAGCGAGACTAGCTCCAACCTTGTTTCCGCCGCGTGCACCTACTTCTGACCGCAGCTTGCTTCTTCCAACTGACAACATCGCACCAACAGCACAGCACAAACACCAACACATCACAGCTCAGCGCAACAACCACGACGATATCATCACGCACAACGCACGCGGCACAGGTGGCTGATCAATTATTGGCTACTTGAGTTGCAAGTGCATCAACCTACTGCTCTCAATGGCTTGAGAGATCAACTGACAGGCGTCGCTGCCTAGCGATATCAATCACGGCCGACACCCACCAGTCACAACTCCTACCATAAACCATCATCACCAACGCCATGTCTTCAGACGCTGCATCACCTTCAATCATGGTTCCAGGCCTCAAGGACACCATGAAGGCCATCGACAGATCTCGCGCAGGCTCGCAGAGCACGTCAGCAGGCTATGCCCCATCCATCTTCTCCGAAGCAGAGTCATTCGCAACCGCCAACACTTCACCATCTCAATACTCCGTGCAAGACGACGACGTTGTCGATAAGGAGGCGTTTGAGGCCCACACCGACAGCGACAGCGACTTTGAGGAGATCAGCAAGGAAACTTTTGAGGCAAACGTTGGCAGACGTGACTCAGACAACACCAAGAATGGAGGCGTGAAGGTCATCCTCGGCAGCACTCTGGGCGGCAAAGACCCCCTTCACGCCATGGTGCAGGCCACTGGGCATGAGCCTAGATGGTGGGTCGAAGAGCGCCAACGTGAGAGTAAGATCGACAAGAAACGCAAACGCACTTCCACCAAGAAGACTTCAACCTCAATGTACAAGCCCGACTACTTCGACGACCTTCCGTACAGCCCTCAGGACTACTTCACCTCCGGCCTTGATCTGGACTGCGAGCCGGAGGAGACCAGCGAGGAATTCTGGGAGAAAGTGGGCGAGGCGTTCAAGCTGAACAGCCGGTATGAGACGGTGGAGGAGCGACGTGAGCAGTTCGAGTACGACTGCTTCGGCTCTCCGCCAGCGACTCCATCTCCTTCGAGGTTCAACGATGAGCTGTCTGTTATGGGGTAGCGAGGGATGAAGCATGGTAGACAAGGAAAGCTGGCCTGGATGTGATTCACGCCTGGGATGAGGGTAGAGGGCAAAGTTCATGGATCGGCACAATCGAGATATCTGCAACTTCTTGGCTTGCTCATTTGTGTTTCATGTTTTCTGTTTAAGGTGCGTTTCCAAAAGTTTACGGTTTTGAGAATGCATGGACCAGGTTCGTGCGAGAGCGACTAGCTAACCTTACCGAGTCGACGAGGAACAACAACAACTATAAAGAGGTGATGATGCTTCTGAATGAAAACGACCAAATCTCTTTTCCATCCTTTCTTTCGCAGTCTTGGCCCACGATGGCTTCCTCTCTGCTTTCATTCTCCCTCTACCTCTTCATCTCCTTCGCCCACGCCCAACGTCCAGCCTCTTACTCCAACAACCCACCACCTCACTACTCCCACCCATCATGCTGCGACAAACACAACATCGGCTACAACCCCATCCTTGCCGCCAACCAAGCCAAACGCCTCTCAACCCACAGCTGGGAATACGGCACAACCGCCGAAGCCCTCCTGGAACTCTACAACCCCCACCTATCCGTCTTCTCCCGCACCGCCTTCCCAAACAACCACCTCCCCATACCCGACCCCGACACCATCGAATCCCTCCGCTACGCCCGCCAACACATCCGTCTGAACAGCCCTACTCTGATCGACGGCGGCGGCGCCACAGGCGACCCCGCCTCCCTCGGCGTCTCCGCCCTGCTCATCGGCCAAAGCATCCCAGCATACAACGCCTCCGCGACGCGCCAACTCGAATACCTCCTCAACCCACTCACGACCCCTCGTCTGCCCAATGGTGCCTTCTCCCACCGCGAAGCATACCCTGCCGCCTGGGCGGACTTCATCTCCATGGCGCCCCCTTTCATGGCGTACTACGCCGTCGCCACGCAGAATGACAGCTACATCCGCGCCGCGATTGGGCAGTGTCTGTTCTACCGCCAGATCCTCAAGCCTAACGACACGGAGTCGGATGCGTGGCAACATATCCTCTTCGGCCCGCGCGCGCAGCAGGACCCCGGGCGGTGGAGCACGGGCAACGGGTGGGCGGCGATGGGGATGGCGCGCGTGCTGGGCACGCTCGTGCACTGGCTCGTGTTGGCCAAGCTCGACGACGAGAAACCGCGCATCGCGGCAGGGGACTTGTTTCTCTGGATCGGGGAGATTGTTTCCGCGGCCATGGGGCAGGGTGTGCGGGGACAGAATGGGTTGCTGAGGAATTACTGGGACCAGGAGGGCTGGGAAGGGGAGATCAGTGGGACTGCGCTGGTGTCGGCGGCGGTGTATAGGGCTGCTGTGTTGCAGCGGGAGGCGGCGGTCGTTTTCGATGGGGTGCGTGTTGAGGGGAGTAATTATACTCGGCCGGTACGTCTCCATCACCTTACAACTACGACTATCCAGCGCGACGTTGTGTCTTACTGACTTTCGTGATAGATCACGCCCGCTATGCTCTCCTGGGCGGACCAAAATCGCAAGGTCCTCGCGGGGCATGTGAATGAATTGGGGATTGGGAGTCCTGCGGTGAATCCTTTGGATTGGAAGAGTCGGGCGTATGTGGATGATGGGAGTCCGGAGGGGCAGGCGTTTTTGGTCATGTTGTATGCTGCTTGGAGGGATTGTGTTGTTGCGAGCGTGTGTAGGGAGTAGAAACCGCGATGGGATGGGAGGGGAGGGGAGGGCGTAAATGGTGGGTTCGAGGGATGGGGTGGTGTTGGATATTCACGAGTTGAGGTTTCACGGGGGCGAGTGAATGCGATGGTGGATCTTTGTAGATCTAGACAGACCTCGCCTGCGACAACTTGAACTCCTATCAACAAGAGTCAGTGCAGAGCATCTTCATCATCCTCTCTTCGTACATTCGCAGCACCTGGGCCCCCTACAGACATGCCGGAACAACACTCTCACATAAACCTCCCCTCCCTCCACGCAGCATCCAAAAACCTCAATCACATGCTCCACCGCCACTCTCCAACTTCAAGCCCAGCACACATCGGCACAGCATCCAAAGCCAACCAAATCTTCCACGACGAAGTCCGCGCTCGACACATCCAAGATCAGGACAGAAGCAGCCGCTTCGTCGACCAGTCCGAATCAGATGCTGAGATGAGACCACCGAGATATGGCCAAGTCGTGGACGAGCATTTGAACCAGACTCGACATGTGAGGAAGGGGGAGATGTTGGAGAGCAATACGCAAGATCCAAGCACTTCCAGCCTGGTCGTCGACCATTCGACTTCGAAGGCCAGACCCCCGCCGAGATACAGTCAGGTCATCGACAAGCGTGCTCAGCGCCATGGATCTGGTAGAGGGAAGCACGATGTTCGAGGGGAGGAGAACCTCGCCAGACAGGTGCAGGAGGGGTATAATTCCAGTTTGGCCGTGAACGACTCCATCTCTTCTCCAGGCTCGACTCGTCGAACAAGACCGCAAACCCACCACCCTCGAAGAAGAGATGAGGCACTGGGCAGACAGATCCAAGACCAGTATAACAGCAGCTTGCTCGTCAACAACTCCATCTCCACCTCCACCTCCACCTCCCATCCGAAGCCGAAACCCCCCATCAACCAGCGACGCAGTGGGCCTCAAACCCACCACCCTCGAAGAGACGAAGCGCTGCCCAGACAGCACCAAAACGAACCCAACTCCAGCGTCGCCATCACCCAGCACACCACTCCAAACCCTCAATACATCTCCTCCTCACCACCACCAACCTACCTCACCCACACCCTCTTCAACCCTCCACCATCCTACCATCTCCAACCAGGCCATCACACCCCCTACACCATCCTCGTCGACGAGGGAGACGACATTTATCCATGGACGGGTCCAGAAACGAAGACGTCCAGAAAGGAAGAGAATAGGAAGAAGAAACCCCAAATCCGCGCCAAAGACCACGAGGGAGCGTTAAGGTGGTTGGCGTGTCGGAGGGGGCTTGGGGGGTCTTGAGGAGGAGTGGTGGTCGAGGATGGATGGATGTGTTGAGTCGAAGATGGGGAGGGAGACTCGGAGAGTGGAGGCGACGGACATGTTGTAGTGGGGTGGTCTCGCGTCAGCATTTGTTGGGTTTGACTCTTCAAGATCGCGTTTCGGTCTGTTGTCTTCTCGTGGCCGAGCGTGGTATATATACGATCGAGGCTTCGATGACGACGGAAAGGGGAAAGGGCCCGAGTAATACTAAACAATTACTTGTCCAATAAGCTATGGCTATCGACACTCCCCACGAACCACACCTGTCCACAGGGTTCCAAATTTCTCAATACTCCACGCTATAGCACACACTCGCACACTTTTGCCCGCTAACAAATGAAAAGTCAAAAGACGCATTCCTGCCGGTAGGTGGTATGGTATCAAGAAAGCCCAAACGCTCCCATGCCCACGTCGCTCCGACCATCACACCTGTCGGCCGTGTGGCAACATGCCGCGGATTATGGCCCCTACCCCTTCACTGCTTCGCCTTCCATGCTGCTTTCTGTAAAGGAGAAAAAAGACACGTTCAGCAATCGATGAACTTAGCAGCATCAACAATCTCACCCTTGACTAGCAAAGCCACGGGTGTGGTTGGGGGTGCCACTGGCGCTCGCCGGGTTGCCTGCAGGCTTGATCGCCGCATTCGGAGGTGGCCTCACGGAACTGTCAGCTCAACAAACACAGCGCAAAACGACATGAGAGGGTAGATAGAAAATGCTCGGGTATATTGTGGAAGGGAGGAGCATGTTTCTAGTACCCGTTCATGGTCATGCGCTGGCTTTGCCTGCTAAGTTCGCGGTCGGCAGCTGGAGAGATGGGTCGGCTGCCGCTGTGGACTTGTGCAGAGCTCTCCTTGAGCGCGAGCAGTTGCTTGGCACGGAACGATTCGTAGTGGATCTGGGAGGTGGTCTCGATCAGGTCCTGGAGATGGGTGCGGGTGAGGAAGTCTCGAAGGTAGACGAATTCGCAGTGCTTCTCGTCCTCGACGTTGATGGTTCCCCAGCGGTTCTGGCGGCCGCGCACAGTCTTGCCGTCAACGTTGATGTTGCGCTCGCTGCCGACGACTGCGAATGGAATGATGGACTGTACTCGATTAGCAGACGCATTTTCGAAGTGTGATACATGCATACCTTGATCTGAGAGTTCATGGCGGCCTCCTCGCTGTCGTACTCCTCGTTCTCGTAGGGGTACATGCGAATGTTGTGGAAGGCGAATTCCTCCTTGATGCGGTCCTTGAACAGCTGCCTCTCCTCCAAGGTGAGACTATCGGCCTTGGCGATGACAGGCACGACATTGACGGTCTCGCTCAGCTTCTTCAACACGACAATGTCGATTGGCTTGAGAGCGTGACCAGTCGGGCCAATGAAGTACAAGCAGCAGTGAATGCGGGTATCTTGGATGTATCGCTCACGCTGAGCCGTCAACTCTTTCCTCAAGTATGCGCTGTGCTGATCCTTGATGTACTTGACGATGGGATCCCAGCAGCGGTCGTTGTTGACAAGGTCGCCATAGCCGGGAGTGTCGACAATGTTCAGGCGCAGACGAACGCCGTTCTCCTCGATGATGTGGGTGACTGGGTGGATCTCGGTGGTGCTACGGATTGGCTCGTTGGGAGTCAGGCGACCCTTGCTGTCGACGAGATGCGAAGCGAAGATGGTGTTGATGAGTGTCGATTTGCCGAGACCGGTCTGGCCTGTGGGAGGAAGGGCGGATTAGCTTCAATGTGCGCATCACGAGATGATGGCGACTTGGGAGCGTCGCGTGTGTGAGTGGGACGGAACATGCGAACGTACCAACGCAGATGACATTGAACTGAAAGCCGCGCTTGAGCAGCTTCTTCTCGATCTGGGTGGTGATGGAGTCGAACCCGACGTGGCTCTTGGGGAAGACGCTGGGCTGCTGCTGGGCGTGCACCGCCGCCATGATGCTGGACTGGGTGGGCTGGATGTGTGGTGAGGGAGTTGGTCAAGGAGACGTCGCGGTGAAACGAGTGAATGGAAGAGGTGGACGCTGGGATGGAGCAGTCGCAATGGCAATGGCAGCGGTGGGCGGAGGTGGTCGTGGCTGCTTGCGCGGTATCGATGCTCTCGCGGGAGAAAGTGCCAGGGACCAGCGCAGAAAGGGGTCGCCAATCAAACGCCGGGGATCATCCCGACCGCAACTCTTGGCATTGCACCTCCGTCAAACCGCATGTGAAGAGCATCCACTGCCTTTCTCATCCACAACCACCACAATGGCAACGATACGAGCTCCGTCACCTTCCTTCCTCTCCGCGTTCCTGCCCGTCGTACGCGCGCGACTCTTTCCCCAAGAGCAATCCCTTCGGCGGATACCTCTCCTGCAGCAAATCCAGCAACTAAGACTAAGAGCGAGTCTACTACCCGCTGCATTGATCCCAATACCGACATTACTGGGCGAACTTTGGGATGGAATACTCAACGCTGTACCGAAGAAGAAGACGAGCCATATGAAGAAGAGGCATAGGCAGATGGCAGGCAAAGCATTGAAGGATGTCACGGCATTGAACAAGTGCAGCGGGTGTGGGAGGCTGAAGAGAGCGCACGTGCTATGTCCGTATTGCGTGAAGAGTGTGTTCAACATGTGCCCATAATGTAGGGAACCTGCGGCTAATGAATGCTTCTAGGCATCAAACAGTGGCTCAACAATGGCTTCAAGACGAAGGAGGAGTTGGAAGTGCAGAAGGAGGAACGGTTCGAAAGACAAAATGAGGAGCGAATAGCAAGAGGAGAGAAGCCGCTCAAGTGGACGGATCTGTATGATAAAGGAAAGGAGGAGGAAAAGGCATAGCGACTTGGCTTGATTGATTTCGGCATAGCCATGGCGTACGAGTGGTTTCAGTGGCGTGTACACTTTGTACACAATATCTCGCAGATTGGTGGATATTCATTCTACCTCAAGCTGACACCTACTTCTTGCATTGACCACTCCTTCAACTTCCTGACATCTTCCAATGGCCCCACCAGCGTCGTCTCAACCACCCCTAGCTGCTTTTTCTGGACTTCTGTGCCATGAGCCATGACTATCTTGCTCTGGATATTTATCCTCCACTGCTGCTTCTTCGTCGTCCTCTTCATCCTCACCACAACCGTTCGCGCTCGCAACATCGACTCAGGCTCCTCATCTTCTCCAAACATCCCAGGTTCCTTCTCTTCTGATCAAAGCTTTGCCGATACTGAACATCGCTTTCAATCTGATCGCAACGCTGACGAGTAGGCTGTGGACGTGTTGCGCGAACCGTGCCAGCTTGTCGGATGCGATTGCTCTTCGTTTTCGATGAGTTCGTCGGAGTATTTAGAAGGTCAGTCTGTATCATCGGTCTGGACCGCTTGACCCGAAACGTTGCCATAGAGGTAGGCAGGGGTGCAATTGACGGATTCACGCAGAGATTTGCTGACATTGGCGACTGTATATGGATGGGCCCATCGCTGAGGTTCTACATGTTGGGTGAGGATGCGACAAGCAAGCACACCGGCAAACGTCTACGAACGTCATGGAACGACACCTCCAAATCCAAGCGACATTGCTGTTTGCTGTTGTGTGGTCAACTATATCCCCCATCGCACCATCCAGGCGAATGGCAAGGAACTCCAACTTCAATATCAAAAGTCCTCACGCTAGTCCGATGACATCTCGACATCGATACAAGTAGTGCTGTAGAGTCCACGCAAATGTACCTTTGTAGCCATGTACGTCCATAGCCTTCATCACCTCGATTCCTCAAGAATTCACTTTTGATTGGTAAGTGGGATGGTTGGAAGAGGTTAAATAGTGGATATGTTTGCGATGTGTGTGTCTCTCGTTATTTCGTTATCTCATCATAAGTGTGTTCTTACTTTTCCCCAATCTGATCATGTAGGGTTCACACAAACCAGCCCAAGTCCAAACTACCACACGTGTCGAATTAGCCTCACGTTCCCCAGAATCACCAGCAATCGATGTGAGCAGCACTTACCAGCTCCAATGCACAACACTTCGCTGACTTAGAATCAGCTCGGCAAGTTTCCGTGAAAGAAACCAAGTCTGTTGGTCCAGGATTGACTGAAAGTGAATGTATGTTAGAGAGAATACTTGAGATTGTCTCGTATTTGTTGGAGACTCACGAGCCTGACAGTCTGTGTTGAGCAAGATCAATTTATTAGGGTTGCAGCATCGAGGCTTTCTAGACCCCTTGCAGACGGGAACTGGTGTTGGTGTGGCAGTGGGGCTTGGAGGTTCGGTGGGCTCGGTCGGTTCGCTGGTTTCTGTTGGTACGATTGGCTCTGTTGGCGCAACTGGGGGCAGAACGTTACAAGTTGTGATTGTCGCTGTTGAGGTGGGGTCCCAGTGCGATGTCAATGACAATCGTTCGTGGATCATTCATGGTCATCTTACGTAGGTAGTTGTCCTCGATGAGCAGCACCTCGGGACACTTTCGTCATCAGCATCACAGGAGTCGGTGAAGACGGCTGGAGCTGTTGGTGTTGGAGCAGCTGCAGGAATGGTCAGTTGCGGGCGTGTCTGAGTTAAACCTCGGACATACCAGCTTCACACGTAGTACCCGTCACGATCGTGATCTTCGACTCGGGAACCGCTGATGGACAGCACAGGGGATCAGGGAGGTTATCTGGACAGACTTCGTCTTCTGCCACCTCATCTTCGCTCAGGCTGCACGCCAGATCGAAACCCTGAATAGCGGCCTTGATCCGTCAGCATGCAGAAGCCGATCGAAAGCAACTCGAACTGACGTTGAACCCGTCCAGTCTACAACACCTTGGCATTCTGATTGCCCCTTCAGGAGATGACTTTTCGCATACGCCCCTGAAGTATTCCAGCCTGGGCTCATCTCCAGGTGCGATTTGCGATGGATCATCTTCGTGAAGGTCAGCACCCATGTTGCCATAGTCAGGCATGATTTCAACCCACAGAGCTTGCAGTAACGCTCATCTGTCGCTTGATTTGGATCACAACAAGCTGCGAAGGCTTGATTGCTAGCACAGATGGGATCGTATCCTTGTGCTGCTATCAGAGCTGCGAAGGAGAGGATCAGGAGTTGCATGTTTGGGAAATGTGGATCTCAGTGATGCTGAATCTGAAGAGCTACTTGACCTAGGATTCTACTATCTCTTATAGTCTCAGTAGCCAATATGTTAGTCGTGAGGCCATTTTGAACATCAGCTCGGAGATGTTCGCTCGGACAAAGAGCAGCATGAAGCGGCACGAAGGGGTGGCATGATCTCGTTACACTCAGTCATGTTGATCTCGAGATCAAAGCAAGGGGCGGCGGCGAGCAAGACTTGTGGTACACGACCGCTCTCAAAAGAGTCATTCCAAGATCATTAGGCTTGCGATGTCCGGGTTTGGGCGATTGATTCGGCGTGCCCGCCATGGTGTTGGCAGAATGGTGTAGAGGTGGCGTTCTTCACGAAAAGGTACGACAAGACAGAAGCATTGGGCGGCTGAGTATCAAGTGATTGGACCATAGATGCAGATCTCTGCAAGTGATACCCACATGAAAGAGCAAGAGGTGAAGTGAATCCCACATTCCTGCCTCAGGCATCAACGGAACGACGCCCGCACTTCGCAGCATCTTTTGGCGAGCACACCCAACGTCACTTCATCGACGTCCAGCTCTTGAAGTTACACCTCTCTCCCAAGCAACGAATTACCCTCGATTTCGTATCCCAGACAGTCACCATGGATATCAGACTACTGCAGCCTTCGGACATACCGCACGTCCAGCAAACGAACATCACGAACCTTCCCGAGAACTACTTTTGCAAATACTACATGTACCATGCTCTGAGCTGGCCGCAATTGAGCTACGTCGCTGTGGACGTAAGAATACAACAAAATAGAATTGGGGGACTTTGCATTGTTACGACAAAGAGACTGACAAAGGCGATATCCAGGTTTCGAGACCCAAAAAGACCCCATACGATGCGCCGAAGATCGTTGGCTACGTACTCGCGAAGATGGAGGAAGACCCACAAGACGGCATTCAGCATGGGCATATCACATCGCTCAGTGTCATGAGGACGCACAGACGGTTAGGATTGGCAGAGAAGCTGATGCGTCAAAGCCGTAAGAGACGATACTACAACGCCATTCGAGAAGATACGTGCTAATGGAGATGCCAGAACGAGCCATGTTCGAAACCTACAACGCCGTCTACGTCTCCCTGCACGTCCGTGTCTCCAACGTCGCAGCCCTTGCCCTCTACCGAGACACCCTAGGCTTCAAAGTCGGCGGCATCGAAGCGAAGTACTATGCGGATGGAGAGGATGCGTATAGCATGCGCATGGACCTGGACTATCTGCGGGAAGAGGCTTTGGATGCTGAAGACTCGGATGAGGAGGATACGACCGTCGGACAGGACGAAGGTGGTGAGGTGGGAAGCAATGGCAAGGCTGGGGAGGGCGAGGACGGTGTGAGGAAGAAGAAGGAGAAGAAGCGGAAGGTCAAAGTTGGACGGCAGTTGGGTGTGGGAGAGTTGGTGGAGAGAAATGCGGCGCAGGGAAATGGGACGGCGTAGGGACGGCCATAGCCTTGGAACAGCAGAAAGGATGGCCCATACCGAATGCATGCCGTGTTCTTGGAAGGACATAGTATCAGCCCAGCACTCCTGGTGTCGATCACATCCCAAAGATCAGTATCGGGTTTGGATTCTCAGTCATCGTATCTCGAACCACGACCAGCGATTCTCGTCCATCTCGAGCGAGCAACTTTCGACCAGGAGAGCTACAAGTACGTACAGTCTCAATGATCAAAATGTCCAATATTCCTGCTCATAGCCGAGCGCGTACTGAGTTCGACGTGTAGTTCGTGCCGACTCGAGCGCTTGGTCTAGCGCTTTCCAGTAGTACGAAGCCAGCATCGGGCGCCGCCTCCTCAACACTACGTGAACGACAGTCGATGTGTAGCCCGCAACCAGTCAAGCGCTTCGTCTGGCGCTTTAGACAATAGTACGAGACTCGAATTGAAGGCCGCTACCTCAACACTGCATGAACGGCGGTCGCCATCCCCGCGATTGAGCTATTGTCCGTGGCATTGGAATCTGTTTGAGCTGTCTTGTGGGGGTAGAAGCGTGAGAAAGAAGTTCGATTTGGTTGTGGAATTTCATTGTCTATCCTGAGCGCTTTTACGGACAACGCCATCGCTCGCTGGACAATGAAAGTGCTAACATCAAAGAAAGAAGAGCTGTGCACTAATGAAAGTGCTAACATCAAAGAAAGAAGAGCTGTGCACTCCTGTGCACCGCGTGCGCTATCGCTCCGTTGAACAAGCTCCGTCGAACAACAAGTTTTTCGCCCAACATCGCCCCTGCAGACGTTAGAATGGCCCGTCTCAGGACGGCATAATCCAGGATGGCCTATCCCAGGACGGCGTATCCAAGTCCCGCACATACTCCTCGACACGCCAGACCATACCTTGCTCATCGTGCAACTTGTCCAAGTCCGCGTCACTCTTTCGCGCGACTATAGCATCTTCCTCCGTGTCCCCCTCGTTTTCGAAGATGCTCGTCATCTGGACTTGCTGGATCACCGTCGACTCCGGAGACAACCGCTCTCCTAGCCGCTTGGCTTCTGCCACGAGGAGATTGTGGAGGCGAGTCGTACGCACTGGATCGCGGTGGATTGCAGCGCCATGCCTCAGATCGAACTCGACCAGCTCTTGTAAAGCTAGAGCCAGGGGCTCTACTGGCCTCAACGTCTGACAGGTCTTGTCGATGACTTTCTCCACCAGCTTATTCCGCTCTTGTACGAGATCTTCCTGGCGCGTTATGTAGATGAGTTCGCGTTCGCTGCAGTACTCGGCGAGGTGGTTCTCCATCTCACTGGCCGCATCCTCCTCTAGGCCAAGGACCTCCCAGTCTTCCTTCACCTGCTTATACACTGCAGCTGACTGAGGGGTGGGTTTGGTGTCGAAATAGCGCACCTCTTTCATCAAAAACTCGAGGAAGTAGTTGTGGAAGATGAACTTGATGGCACCAGCTTCACCGGGCCCAAACTCGTCCCAGCCCAGAGTCCGGCCACCGTCCTGCTTCACGGGAAGCCAAGCAAGCCAGATCAGCTGCTCTGGAGCTAGGCCAGTAGCTTGTAGCTTCTGGAGGTTGCTTTCCCAACGCTGCCAGTCTTCCGGGTCTGGATAGGTGAACGGCGGATTCCATTCTTGCGATGGAAAGACGAAGCCATGGCAGAAGATGGTGAGAGGGCCGAGCTGCGCGAGGCGGGTGGGGTTGTTGAAGAGGTCGAGTGCGCGCATAAAGCGACAGAGCGGGCTGATATCCGCGTCTTCACACATGAGGATGAACTCGTTGTCCGCGAGGAAGATGGTTTGAGACTCGAAAAATATCTGGCGGTTCGCATGGACGATGCCAGGAATGTCTTTGACACCCTCCGCGATCTCAACAGGCTCTGGGCTAACCACGACGTACTCGTATATCTTGTTCCTTAGCTCTGGGCTGAGATCGAGGAAGCGGAAGTGTCTGTCTCGCGTCAGTATTGGAGCGCACTGATGAGGTCGCGATATCACATACGGAGAGGGCTGAACATCACTGTTGGCGATCGCGGTCGGACGGGTACGGGCAGCCCGTGGGCGCTCTCCAGCCAGAGGATCGACTGCTGCTTCGACGACCTCGAAGCGCAACTCGTTCCTGATCCTGGCCGCCCCCGATCGAGTGATCGCTTGGTTCTCGTTCAAGGTCGCACCGCTGCTGGACGCCATGATGCGCATCTGCGCGTATTTCGGTAGAAGGGTGAGAGTGTGTATGGTAAGAGGCGCCCAATGCTGGCGCAGGAGGAGGTGGCCAGAAGCGACTTTGCCGGCTCGGTGTTGTTGTCTACTAACTGTCAAGACGAGTTGCGACGAGTTCTCCAAGCGACCTCGCTGGCCCGCTCCGCCGTCCCGCCCGCCTGGTCGTCCAGGCGTCCGCTACAGGCGAACATTCACTTGCGCTGACGTCACAATTCAAACTCTAAATACACCTCGCGACGCGGCTTTTCCCGGAAGCTGACGTCTCTTTCCTTACCACCACAACACTCTGCATCTCATCCGTGGTATCAACAACACCGACACTCACAGTCGTCTGCCTCCACCGCCAACAACCGCGACGATGAAGGCGCCTCTGCGCAGATCACCGAGGAATCATCCAGGGTCATTACTCGCCACCGACTCTGGAGTGCGACGAAAGAAAACTGTCAACAAAAAGTCGGATACGCGATCCTCCCGATCCTCAGCATCAAGACAGTCGGAACGCGCCAGCGCCCCAGCACCTGAGCAAACAGTGTTGGCAGAGCCCTCAACCGCGCACTCAGAGCAGCCCCCGCGCATCCAAACTACCATCGAAGTCCCTACTGTATCTGTCGCGACTGCGACGAAGAAGCGTCGGGCTCCCGCAGTCGACCTCGAGCTATCCCACCTGGATCTCATCACGCCGCCGGTCTTCAAGCGCATCTGCTTAACTCATGGAGAATACCGCGCACCGCTCGAGGATGGAATGCACTACAATGACGTCTCACGTACTGCACTCGACATCCGCCATCTGGCAGGCCAAGTTTCTGCGCGCAACCTACACCAACTCCACCAAGACGTCGCCCGCCTCACCGAGCAAAACGAGCACCCGGTCATTCAGAAAGGCAAAGACCGGCAAGCGAACGACGATCACGATCAGCATATACTGCTCCAAGAGAAGCTCGACCGCGCTAGCCTCCACAACCAGATACTCGTGTTGCAAGCCGAGAAGCAGCAACTAGAAGAAGAGGCTCGTCACGCCAATGAGCAGCTTCGAGCTGAGAAGAACGAGTTAGAGCTGAGCAGGAATGCTGTGATGGCGGAACTGGAGAGTACGAGAGAAAGACTGGAGACTGCCAACCGCGACCAGAGCACCCAAAATGCGAACCTGCTGAAAGCCCTTCAAGTGGAGACGGAAGCACGAGTTCGAGCTGAGGCAGAACGCAATGCTGCTCTGGTCGAAGCGAGCCAACAGACTCCGCAGTCGGAAAATGCACCAGCAGAGCCTGAGCAGAACGGTCAGGTCGTAGAACAAGCTGTCGAAAACCAGCAGCTTCAAGCCGCCCTGCAAGAGACTCAGGCAAATCAAGAAGAGAGTAGCAATACCGATGAGGAGAAGTTGAAGATGGAGGCGCATAGTTTCCTGCACAAGGCAATGCATGAACGCTGGCGGGGCGAGACCATTCCGCCTAAAGTCACTCCACGAGGTCAGATCACTCCACCACCAGTCCGGCCAGAAGAACCAGAACTCAGCGACAACGACCTCGACTGGATCCGGACGGCTCCAACCCTGTACCTGCATATGTTAGCAGGCAGAAAGCGTCGAAAGGAACTTAAAGCGGCTCAAGACGCTGCTCGAAATGACAGTGCCAGCGAGGGAGACGGAATCGTCTCTGAATACATGCAGAAGTGGGTGGCCGACAGGGAGGAATGTCATCAGGAATACACAACCGCTCAAGAAAACTTCGAGGAGGGACGGCATGACGAACTTCCTCTTGGGAAGCCGGTCCATGATTTCAGAGAAGAGAACTGGGTTGGCTTCTCGAAAGCACCTGATGGGAGGATCAGACGACATGCAGTTTACGCAGTGCAAATGGAGTACGAGAACACGAGCGTGCACATTCTGCCCTTCCCTGGAGACCAGTACGTGACCAGACGCAGAAAGTGGGCATACGCAAGAGCCTGCCTCACGGCACAATTTCCCGAGCTGCAAGCAGAAGCAGCGAAGGAGTTCCTCTCCGAAGAAGAGTTCGCTAAGTTCATGGAGCGGTCATTTGGCCCAGACTGGCACAATGTCGACATTTCGGGCGGAGGCATCGATGCAGAAGCATGGCAGTCAGCACTCAAGGATCTGCGTAGGAGCAAGCGCTTCATGACGGCTTGTCGATTGTGGGCGGCGGGAGAGCGAGCACTCAACCAGGATCGTTGTTGGCCACCCACGTTCTTGAGCATGGAGAAGACGCAGGCTTGCACACACTTCAACGACGAGGAGGAGAGGACGAGAATGATGATGAGCTGCCTGCCTGGTAAATCACGAGTGTCTGTCCAGCCATACTACATCGACACGGAAAACGACGAGCAGGGTCAGGGAGCAGGAGGAGAGGGTTCTCAAGACCGAGGAGAGGGTTCTCAAGACCGAGGAGAGGGTTCTCAAGACCGAGGAGAGGGTTCTCAAGACCAAGAAGAGATGCAGTGAGGCTGGCTTGAAGGCGAGTCAGGGCGATGAGAAGCTCGGGACACAATGCTCATCACAGAAAGAACGGAAAACAAAACAAAAACAAAACAAACAAAAAAAAGAGGGAAAGAAGCACACCAAGGATGGAAACAGAACAAAGCCAACACCACAGGGATGGAGGGTATCTTCAGGCCGGATCTCAGGATCTGGAGCTCATCGATACCCACCACAGCAGCGAACGAAAAGGGCCGGGTCTTAGGACGTGGAGCTCAATCGGGAGTCTTGTTGGCAGCATTCATTACGGGCCGGGTCTTTGGACCAGGAGCTCGACGATTGCTGGATAACAAGGCGTATTGCTAAGTCTCTGCGGGGTTGGCTGAAGCTTGTTGAAGTTTGCAGGTGTTGCTTTGAGTGCGTCTCTCATGCTGTAGATAGATTTAATGAGCATTGTTGTTGAAAAGCTGTCTCTCTGTTCGTGTTTTTCATTCGATCGTGAGGTGTGTTGAGAAGTAGCTACTAACACTGCGAGATTGGTATATACAACAAGAACAACAGCAAAAACATCAATGATAACCTAATTGTCCGTTTTGGAAGCCATCCTGTTCGAAGTCGACGGGGAAAGGATGGGCAGCTCGGCTTTCACATGAAAGTCTTGGCAAACGAGTGAATGACCACAGCTGCCGCATCCAGCCGCGGTGACGCAAGACTAACAGGGAATCCTCGAACTTGAAGCACATACTCGCCGCCAGAAAGCTTGCCATTGGCCCAGTAGGCGACTTGGTGAAGACTCCTAGGCGGCGAAGCGGAAGACAAACCGCGACATCGCCAAATTCCGGACGCTCGGACCACTGCCGCCGCGCTTCAAAAGCCAAGCTTGCCGCCCCTCGACTTGCTCTTCCTCCGACTCATCCACCGACAGTCTTCGGATCCCTTCGACCACGACCTCGACTCACTGTCACCATCACAGCAAGCGTCGCTTTCATCCTCACTTCTTACCAACTTCCGACTTCACTTCCCAGCTCATTTTCGACCCTCGAAATGGCTGCCACCACCACCATGTCCGCTTCCTCTTCCTCCTCCTCCACCACCATCACCAACACCCTCGAGGCTTCTCGCCTCAAGTACCCTCGAGACAGCAAGTGTAAGACTATCGCCGCACCTCCCTTGACACTCAACTAACACCCTCCAGACCGCTTCAAGCGCAACGCCGCTCCGACCGACCAGGACACCTGCGACGGCACGGCTGCCGGCCTCACCAAGTACCAGATCAAGCGCGCGCGTGGCGCCGACGCCCCTGGACCCAGCGCCGACATGTACGACGTCTTCCTCGCCGCCTCCGCGGCCCTCCACAAGCAGCGCGAGCGTGAGGTCGCCGACCTCAAGCAAGCCGCCGCACAGAAGGAGGTTGACAACGGCAACCTCAAGAGCGAGTACCAGCGCCGTCTCTCCGAGCTCGAGGCTCGCGACCAAGCCAAGCAGCAAGAGGTCGAGCAACTGCAGAAGCAGTGTGTTGTGGGGATTGCTGCCGCGAAGAGCGAGTGTGAGCAGCTCGTAGACCAGGTGAAGCAGGCCGCTCAGCGCGAGATTGACGAGTTGCGTGAGGGCAAGGCGCGTGTCGAGCAAGAGCTGGCGGAGCAGCAGAGCTCATTCAAGGCCAAGTGCGAGAAGGCGGAGAAGATCCACTTGAAACTGATGGCCGAGAAAGAGCAGGAGGTGATGAGAAGGGCCGAGCAGCGCCACAAGGAGCTTTTGGCGAAGCACGAGGAGGAGGAGGAGAAGCGCTTCGGCGAGGAGATGGATCTTGTCATCGAGGATGTCTCCAAGAAGGATGAGGAGATCAAGGCGCAGAAGAAGCAGATCGAGTATTTGATCGCCAAGGTTCGAATGGAGAAGAAGGAGAATAAGCGTCTGGTGAAGGAGAACAAGAAGCTTGACAAGGCCCTCGAGAAGAGCGACGACATGACCTTGAAGTACATGAGGTTGGTGTATGTGGAGACGGGCAAGAGCGAAGAAGTCCTCAAGGAGGCGCTTGAGAAGGAAGAGGAGAACGAGCGACTCCTGCAACACGTCGACATGCTGAAGGCGGACATCAAGAGCGGCGTAGGCGCAGCGGGTGAGCTGCTGGAGAAGACCACGCTGAAGGGCAACGAGAACCGCAAGAAGATGCCAAGCGAGAAGCGCAACAGCGCAAAGATGGGCGCCGCACGCACGAGAGCCGGCACCGCGCCAAAGGGCGTCCAGAAGGCCAAGTACACCAACAAGGACGCCCTGAAGAAAGCTCTCGATCTCCTCGACAACGGCGACGACGAGTGCTTCGACGACGATCTCGATGCCATGCCCACTGACGACGAGTCGGAGAGCGAGCAGGCGACACCGAAGTGCGCACACCTCAAAGACAGAGGTCTGAATGCTACTTTCGGGCTCATCTCGCCCCCAGACAGCGAGAGGGACTTGTCCATGGTCCAATAGGCCATGATTACCACCAACATCCACCACCGCACTCTCACCCTCACCAACTTCACGACTGTTCGAAAAAGGCACTGTTTCGCGTTCTGGCGTTTCTGGATTCCACAACTGTCGACGTTTCTTTCCTGCACACCACAAATACACGCGGCCTGAAATACGGCACTCAACCGCACACGAACGACACTTCCAAACGTTCAACAGGACAACAGGGCCAGGTGGTACACACAAACCACCAGGAGCTCTAACCCTCGCGACAACATGGAAGCCATCAACTTCAATCAAACAGGCAGCGGTAACGGGCCAGGTATCCATACCTGGAGCTCAACACCCGCACAAGGTCGAAGGGCATGCTTAATTCATTTCCGACGGGTCGTTTGTCAAGGGCCGGGTACACTTTTGTGTACTTGGAGCTCATACACGGCTTTGAAGATTTGGAGAGGCGTGAGAAATTCGAGAGCGGTTGATTGTGGTTTTTCTTTCGGCATTGATGATGATTGGCGGTTCTTTTTGATGGGGTTTCTTTTTTGACTTGCTGGCTGGCATGGGATTTGCTTAGCTATGAGAATGATCACGAACGAATGATGCTTAATAACCCCGACTCGATTTCTCCTTTCTCCAACAAGTTCCCAAGTTCTTCCATGATACGCTTTTCTGCGAACAGCCACTCGAAGTCAATCCGTAGCGTCGGAGGAAGCTGAAGCAGTCTCCCAATATCAGGACAGAGTACTCGCTGATATGGCTCAGGGGTCTCCCTCTTTCCAGTCAAATCCAATACTAGATCGAAGCAATCTTTGCCAGAGTAAGGTCCATAATGTCCCAGGTTGGATCGCAACCCCCGAGCAACTTCCCAGGGGTCTGAAGTAGACGATGGCTGTTGCGCGAAATGAGCACCGGCAATCATTGCTGGGTCGATCGATGTTGTCCTTCCGCTGGTTGCCGGCTCGTAGACAACGAATATCGACGAGGCAGTATACAAGCATAGGAGCTTGATGACCATGAGCGGAAGCACGGTGTCGCTCGAGATGAGGAGTACGTTCTTCGAGGGAGTATCTTCCTGTTGGTTCTGGTAGATCGGCCGAAGTGGCAAGGGCATGATGCCAGCGGTGTGCAGTAAGATCGTGGCAATTGCGAAGGCCATGGGTATTCGAGCGGCATCGGGGTTCGGAGCGTTGGGTGAAAGTTTGCATACAAGGCTCTGATGTACGGAAGCCACCTCGTCGCCACGGGCGTCGGTTGTGATGTCTGGACCAGACAGACAGGCCAGGACCACGTCTCCCAGACCTAAGCCTCTGATCTTTTCGTGTATCCGTAGTACCGTGCCGACTCCACCAAGTCGGAGCCGTCTTTCGAAAGGAATTGTCTGACGTTCAGGATCATCGTGCTCGAGAAGGCATTCTGCTGGACAGGAAGCCTCGATTCGGATCAGAATGAAACCCTCCTGCAGCACATTGGCCATTGTAGCTGACATATTGTGCCACGGTGTAGATGACGGAAAAATGTTTGAAGGCAAGAATCAACCGCCCCCATACTTTGAAAGTTCACATGACTGGCCGTGCAGCTAGCTAGCTAGTGGCGTCAACCTACAGTAGCACTCGGGGATGCAGAATTGAGGCACATTGGTTTCGATGCAACATAAGTGCGGAGACCGGAAGAAAGAAAGTTTGGTTGGCAACAAATCTCTGCATTGAGTTCAAGTACAATACAAAAGAAAGGATAGCTTGTCGGCGCATTCTCTCGAGCATTTCTGCTTGCCATCCCCGATCAGTTCGCCGCAAAACTCAGAGCGTCAACCATTGTAGTAGCACGAGCATCGAGGAGAACCAGGTTCGTAACAAGGCTGCTGACCAGTGCAGCCAACACCTGTTGCAGTGCAACCGCAATACCCATTCGCAGCCGCAGCGCAAGTACCGTAGCATTGTTTCTAAGAACGTCATCAGCAAAAGCAAGCGGGGGCCTGTGACCAAGCAGTTTTACCTGCGCCTCATCGATTCTCTTGAAGATGTCTTCAGCTTTCGGGGGCTCAGTCGGCAGCGGAGCGTAAGCTGCGAATACTGGCAGTGCATAACAAGTGACGGTCAAGAACGTCCAGAAATGCATTGCTGCGATATCAGGTTTGTGTTTGTCTTCGAGGCGCAGGGGGCATTCGCTGTTGAACTGGAGATCTTGCTGGTTTTGTGTCGAATGGCTCTGATGAGGAATGGGGCACCACTGAGGTCGGTCTGCTGCTTTATATGTTTGTCTTTGGGGCTCAGACCTGGGCACCTGTTCTTGTCTGTGCCACAGTGGGCATCCAACTGACGGAACATTTGCTTCGACGGCCCCCTGCAACTGTTCGTTTCTATCGCCATGCAGCAGAAATACTGCCAATCGTTCCTCGTCCAGGTTCTACTCGCATTCATTACGTTTGGAAGGGGCGGTACACAACAATAGATCAAGCTGTCCGATTCAAAGTTGACCTGGCGTGAACACATCCCTCGTCTGAGGCGTGCGGCGTGCAGTAAAATCTGCGTGATGTATCTCGCTGCGTCCTTGAGTGACAACCGTGCCGTGTCTCATGACCGTTGTTCTACAGACGCAACAGAACTTGCATCGGACAACGATTTCTCTCGGACAAGAGGAGCAGCAACTGGCAAGCTTTTCAACCAGATCTTGACTCTTTTGGTTTGATGTGATCACCAGAGAAGCAAATCACAACGCCGCTGATGCTCGTAATGGTCCCCCACATTTGCCGGGGCGAGCAGTACGTCCGTGGCACAGTCATGCAGTCTCGAGCAAACCAGATGAGAGATTCAAAATAAACCCGCGGCAGGGTGGAGGAAGGTCTCAAAGACAGGTACTTGTTTTTCAGCATGGTGGAGGTCACATAGCGTCAGGATTCTCAGCATCCTGTTGTATATGGGCATACTTCCTTTTGGGGTCCATGCGGCCAGCTGAGGAAGAGTATGCGGGGGCACTTTGTGGATGCCGACAGAGCAGGAGAATGGTATATACAGATCACTCGAAACGCAAAGTCATCTTGGTCATTCCTACGCATGTATCAATGACTTTGATGTGCTGTTTCCCATGGGACCTTGCCACGAAAACGCGTTCAACATGGATAGAGTGACCGCATGAACAGATTCCCAGCCTGAGAAGTGTAAGGAGTGAACACGCCAGTGAGGTTTTGCCAGCGAAGTTACGAGTGATGTCTTTGAATCTCGCTAGATATAGAGACGAGGAGAAGTAGTGAAGTCGTGCAGCAGAAGCCACGCAAAGATAAGCTCCAACGCTATCGAAGCCTAATGATCCTAGCCCTGCGGAGGCGATCCGACGCCAAGAGGTGCTACCCCTGAGGTTAATGGACGAATCAAGGGGGCGATGCTTGATGAATTTCTGTGGAAGCTTTAACGGGCTGCCAGCGTTTCAAGACAGCCACTCGACCCCCTCCGCCATTCCGACCGTTTGGGCCGAGCAGCCAGCCAGGATCCATCCAGAAGCCGGGCGACGGACGGTTCGGATTCGCTGGGAGACATGCCTTCCTTCGCGGGGACGACGACTGTCTTCGGCCGCTTCAAGAGGAACGCGAGCGCGGGCAGCGGCGCCAACAATAATGTCGGAGTCAGTGCCAGCACGGCCGATCTGAACCTGGACAGCAGCATACACTCGCCCTCCAACGCTGCTGCAGATACTGACAGGGGTAAGTTATTGGGACTGCAGCCCAGTGTCACCTGGACCTCGCACCACGCCCACAACCACCACCGCCGCGACAGCAGCATCCTCAGCCTGCAGACCAGCCTTGCCGATATTGGGACCAATGTCAAGAGGAGTGTGAGCTTGCGCAGCCATCGAACGAACCTCAGCAGCGGTGGAAGCAGCTTGGGCAAGCATACGAATAAGAGCCCCAGCAGCGGGAACGCTTTCTTGCCGTTGAGCAGCGCCAGTCCGATCGAAGACGAAGAAGGAGCAGTTACAGGCAGTCCGCAGAGGAAGAACAATCACGAGAAAGAGAAGGACACATCACCGCTCAAGGAAGCACCGGCATTGAAGAGGAAGATCTCGCTCACCGCCAAAGGCCTCTCTCACAAATTCAAGTCGACTGAAGCTCTGCCCAAGCTCGACTCGCCGGTGTATCTGGACAACGTTGGTCGCTCGCGCACAGACAACCCTCTCAGTCCCTTCTCGTCCATGTTGGTGGGCAGTGGTCCTGGCAATGTTACACCCGCAATGAGCAGAAAACCTTCGGTGGCGCCGTCAGACGCCAGCTCGCGACCAGGAGGTCTACACCCACAGAGCAGCTTCTCGCGAGATGGCTCTTCCACATACAGCAGTATCAATGGCGCACCTTTGTCGCATGTCCCGAGTGCGCCTCATTCGGTAGGAGGCCCGCTCAATCCGAATACCATATACGCTCAGATACAGGAGACTTCAGCCAAGCGCATGGCTACGATAGACTATGTGCGGAAGTTACATGAAGGCGACATCTTCTACTTCAGTACATTGCATTATTCGGCGGCGGGACTTTCGACTATGCCCTCGCTGTATCCACACAAACTGGGCCGGCGAGCGACCAATTACTTCATACTGGGATACTCGCTTCCAGCACTTCTCGACATGAACTCCAACAATGCGCTCGAATACTTGAAAGCATTGTCCTTGCTCCTCGCCGAGTTTGAGACATATCAGACGCTCGCTGGGTATGATGCCAGTGGTAACAGCGTCTCTCGTGGCAGAGTGGGCCAGATGTTCAAGTCCGGGATGGGCCTCAGCCGCAATACCAAAGGTCGACGCTCCAGCACGACGACAGATACACTATCGCTGGATCCTCGTCAAGCTGATCTGCTTGGGATGCCAATTGCAGGTCGCATACCAGAGGCCTCTTCTCCGCAAGATACAACCAGTCCTGTAAACCCCACAGGACATGAGTTTGCATACCTCCTTACACCGGCTCTGCCATTCGATCCAGACTTCAATACGACGCTCGGAACACTGTGCGATACCCTCATCGATACATACGCCAAACTGATGGATCTCGTATCATCGCCCGAGATTTGCAGTCCAGCCATCGGAACAGAATTCTCAAAAGCAGATAAAGCCATCCGCAAGATCTTGGTCGCCAACGTCGTTCGGGAGTTCGAGGATACAACCAGAGCTGGCGTCAAAGGCGAAGTCGCCAGTCTGGGAAAACTGGTCCTGGGAGGACTGATGTAAAAGGAAGAAATAAGAAACCGACCGAGCAATCGGGCAACAGCCAACAACACAGAAGAACATGAACAACAAACGGAAACGGGGCAATTATCTTACCGGCGTCTTATGGGTTGGGTCGAGGGAAATGATGGATATGACGCCAACGACAACGACATCTTTTGAGGGAGAGAGAATCGAGAGAGAAAGAAAGTGAACCATGATACCCCCCTTCGACATCATCTACTACTGCACCATGGGCGTTTTACACGGGAAGATCGGGATAGATGGACTGGAATGTAAGATATAGCGGAATACGGATCTGAGAAGTGGTAGAAGCGCTTTCCGGCGGCTGAATGGGTGTTTATGCCGTGGTGATGAGGACGGAGGGCTAGCTACTCTGCTGCTGCGGAGTTCCGTAGTGTTTTTTGTATGACCACGTGGTTGCACCGGATGATCTGCTCGTCTTACGTAGGCGTGGTTGATTGCCAATGCCTTTCACGTTGGAGGTCTTATGCCGTTCGTCTGGTTTGAGTACCTCAGTTCGACCGTAAACGTCCAACTTTCGCGTTATACCAAGACCGAACGACATCCTGACAACCCAACGCCGGTTCTACTAAACTCACCCGCAATATCTTGCACATACGAAATACATTACACTATTCTAATCTCATCAAATCTCTCTCTCTGTGTGTGTGTGTACAAACCGGCTTATCAACCCCCCTCCAGCCCTCCCTCTCTCCCCTGCCCGCCCGCCCGCTTAAACCCGGCAATCCACGGCCCAAAACCCCCCATCCACACATCCACACATTTTCAGCTGCGAGGTGTTCCTGCATCGGCGCGGATGATATGCAAGGGAATCTGCCTAAGCCGGTAGTCAAGGACGCTGGCTCTTTCGCTCTTGGTTGCTTGCTTGGTCTCGGTCGGATTGCGTGTGTGTGTGTAGTGGAAAGTGGAAAGGGCGTCGGTGTGGTCTCGGAGGTTACATGGAAAGAAGTTTTTGGGCTTGCTGTGGCTGTGACGCATTCTGGGTTTGTTTTAAGACTTAAGAGTCATTGGTTTGCCCTGCCCCTCTCTTCTTTCTTGAAAGTACTTTTGCATTTCGAATGTGGGATTGATTGATTGATTGATTGATTGCTTTCGCTTGTGCTTGCCATTGAGACTTCAGAAGAGACGTAGAAGGATTGTTCTTTGCCATTAGGACAAAGAAATCAAGAGCTAGGACGATACCACATCCCATCCTACACCACCTACACTCAAACAACACCACCACCAAAAATGGCCCCCGCAGCCATCACCCCCGAGTCCTCCGGAACGACCACCCCCACCACACAATCCGCCTCCGCCCTCACCCAAGCCGGCATCAAACACGCCCTGCCAGAAACACACGCGCCCCTCGACGCCTCCAAAATCACCCACACCTACACCACCACCCCGCGCGCCGTCCCCGCCCCCGACTCCGACGAGACGAAATCCCAAAAGACATGCACCGACCACATGGTCACGGCGCGGTGGACGATCGAGTCGGGCTGGGAGACGCCCGAACTGAAGCCCTACGGACCCCTGAGCATCATGCCGTCGGCGAGCGTGCTGCACTACGCGACGGAGTGTTTCGAGGGCCTGAAACTCTACCGAGGATACGACGGGAAATTGCGGCTGTTCCGCGTGCGCAAGAACTGCGAGCGCATGCTGCGGTCGGCGCGCAGGATCGCGCTGCCGGATTTCGAGCCCAGCGAGCTGGAGAAGATGATCGTGGCGCTGTGTGCGACGGATGGGGAGAAGTGGTTGCCGAAGGAGAGGGCGGGGCATTTCTTGTACATCCGGCCGACGTTCATTGGGACGGATGCGGCGCTGGGCGTGCAGAGGCCGCGGGAGGCGTTGCTTTATGTGATTATTGCTTGCTTTCCGGATATGACGAAGAGTCTGCCGAGTCCGCCGGCTTTGAATGGGAGTGCGGCGAATGGGGCGGCGGAGAAGAAAGCGTCGAGTGGGTTGAAGTTGTTGGCGAGTAATGAGGATACGATTCGCGCGTGGCCCGGTGGGTTTGGGTATGCGAAGTTGGGGGCGAATTATGGGCCTTCGCTTGTTGCGCAGGGTGAGGCGAGGGCGAGAGGGTTCGATCAGGTGTTGTGGTTGTTTGGGAAGGAGTGCTATGTGACTGAGGCTGGGGCTTCGAACTTCTTCATTGTGTGGAGGACGAAGGAGGGCAAGCTGCAGTTGGTTACGGCGCCGCTGGAGGAGAGGATCATCCTCGAGGGTGTGACTCGCGCATCGATTCTGGACTTGGCCAAGACACGACTGTCGAAGAGCGTCAACGATCTTGAGAGCCTGGAAGTGGTTGAGCACCGCTTCACCATGGAGGACCTCCTGTCAGCTCAATCCGAGGGCCGTTTGATCGAAGCCTTCGCCGCAGGAACTGCATTCTTCGTGGCTCCTGTTGGAAAGATCCATTTCCGCGGAAAGGATGTCGAGATTCCGATGGCGGAGGGTGACAGTGGTGCGTACGCCAAGTTAATCAAGTCGTGGCTGGTCAGCATTATGTATGGCAAGGAGGACCACGAGTGGGGTGTTGTTGTTGAGGAGAAGGGCGTGCCGCAGTAGGAGGTCCTTCTTGATGGTAGTTTTATGATCTTCTGGTTGGAGCGATTCTGGCGTTGGAGGGTGTATTTCGCTTATCCTTTGGTGGGCATGTATATAGCCAAAAGTCCATAGATGGATGGATGCATGAATCAATATCATGGCTCAAGATCGACCACTACGGTCTGGTGTTGTGACTTATCCTGGAGCTTCATCCCAGCTCTGCAATGGGCGAGATTTCGAAACGTTTGTCTTCCGGTGCTAGTCCAGAAACCAGCCGCAGCAGCTCGCGTTGGTGATATGGCATATCTCGCCATCTTGAAGCCCTTATACCTGCTCACTGCTCAATCATTAGCATACTCACATCACCACAAATCCTTACTCTGCCAACTCACCCAAACGCCACCTTCAACTCCCGCACCGAGCTCAAAGATAGATAAACCGTCATAACGGGCACATTCCTCTTCTTCGTCTCGCCAAACTCCCTCTCCCCCATCGTCTCAAAACTCGCCCCCTCACCCACACCTCCCTCGCCCTCACCCTTTCCCTTCTTCGCTCTCGGAACATCCATCAACTCCGACCTCAACGCATTATACTGAAAACACTTGGCATCTTTCGCCTTGAGCTCGCGCTTGGCGATTTCCACGATAGTGATGAGTTTGTTGGTGGCGTTGGGGGTTGGTGCTGTTAGGGCTACGATGACGGGTTTTTCGGTTCCGGTTCCGGTGCCATTGTTGTCGTTATTGCTGGGATCTTGTGGTTGTAGGTTCTCGAGCACGGCGGAAGTGCGGCGTGAGATTTGGGTTGATGTGTGGATGGAGAATTTTACTAGGGAGTGGGTGGCGGAGAGCGTGGTGTCATTGATGACAGGTGGTTGTGGCATGATGGTGGTTGGCCTGGTTGAAGAACAGGTTGTTCTGTGTTGAAATTTGAGCGATTTCGCAGCAGATTGGATGTAGGTGAAGCGCTATGATGATCGCCGTGCTAGAGGATTGTTTTTGGAAGGAACACGAAAATGTACGCGGGACACGTGACACACTGTACGACCACGAGAAGATGGGCTGCTCTATCACATGTCTCGAATAGATGTGGAAGTATCATCATGCACGTAGCTTACAAGGTATAGCTTCTGCACGAAACTCTGATTGCGAGGGTAGAAGTCTCCGGTGGCTCACACCTCAAACTGGTGCAAAGTCTGACTGCCAGATCGAGAGAGAGGCGATGATATGAGAAAGATACGATGCACAAGTACACCCAGCTACCGGCATCCGCGGAACAGGGGGTCGAACGGTTGCGGTTCGATGCTAGTGGCGCTGGCGTGATTTAGCGACGATGAGGCGAGCTGCAAGTAAGGGCGCACGTGACTCGTGCGATTGAGCAGTTTTGGGAGATGACGAATCATTTTGCGAGACGTCGACGACTTTTTTCGTGCATTCCAAACGATACGTACCACCGTGACGGAGATAGCTCCTATCAACAACGAGCAGTGCTCTGCAAACGCTGCACTGCAAACGCTGCAACTTTGTGGTGGTCGTGAGGATATGGATGAGATGACGGGCGATGAGTCTAGACGGCATGAAATGGCCGGCGTGGTGGTGGCTTCCATGGAAGGCGTCGTGGAAGCTTCTCCTGAGTGTCTGGCGCGGCTCCAACCAGTGCGAGGCCCGATGCTGGCGACCAGCGAGACACAGCGGCCAATAATCGAGCGGCTGGCCGGGCCGGGCTGCATGGTTTGGCGACTAACTCTGCTTGACCGAGTCTTGACGCACAAGTCGTCTGCGGCCGGCCAGTCGCAGGCCAGCTGGCGGATCCACCGTGCGTGTTTCCTCGCCCTTCCCCCATCATCGCCGTTCGTTCAGTCCTGCTGCTGCTTCCAACCTCACTGCCAACACCACCACCACCGCTTCACCTCGCCCCCTTACACGCCTTTTTAGACTTCGTTTCTTACTGTTTCGCTTCAGAGAGCGCCGCTGTGTTACTATTACCACTACCACTGTACTGCTACTACTTCTAATACTTTGCCCAACGGCCACCTGCTCCCAGCAAACGCGGCCTTATCTCCGCACAGCTCCATCTCACTCCCTCTCTGCCAGCCCACGCCCACGCGACGTCGACGACACCTCGCCACCCGCGGGCCACGCTCTCGAGACTATAAATCGTCTCGACCGTCTCCTCAGACCCTCCACATCGACCGCATCTTCGGTTTCGACCCGCCGTCCGCGACCCTCAAATGCGCCGTTGCTAGGAAAAAGACGCACCTTTCTGTCGCATTCCGTCTGGGAGTGCACTGCATGGAGGTGGTGAGTCGTAGCCTGCAGACCCGTGTGCGCTGAGCAGCCGGCTTGTTGTTGCGCCCATCATGCAGAGCATCTTTCGTTTGCCCTGGTGCAGCGACCAGCTCAAGCTGTCTGAGAAGGCTGCCCTGGACAAGATGCGCCCCTCGCCCGTGGTAGAAATACCCGTGCTCAACAAGCTGAAGAGGAAGCGCGACGACAGCCCCGACAGCCTGTCGCCTCAGTACTCGCCGCAGACTGTCAAGAGGCAGCGATCCGAGGCGGAAATCTCTCACCAGCTGCCGACCCCAACATCTCCCTATGTGAGCTCGCGCGTGCCTTACAAGGCCGAAGCCTTGCAAAACATCGCCCCCGCTCCACAACCGGTGAACGGATCAGTCATCCCCACGGCACAAAGTACAGAGACTTCTGGAAGCGAGGACACCAAGCTTCCAGCCCACTCGCAACCTACCAAGCCCTGCGCAACCACTGAATCGGAAGGATACTTCACTGCCAAGCACTCTGTTGACATGCCTTCCCAGAATGTTTTGAACCCACTCTCCGACCTCACGCCGCTCCAGCAAGTCATCGAGAACGAGTTCAACATGCAGATCCTGATGAAGCACAACGAGTTGCGCCTGATCGAACAGGAGCTCGCAAAGTGCCAGGTCGCTCTCGAGCAGCTGCGACGATGCGAGCTGCGTCCCTACCCAGGCACCAGTGGACTTTCAGCCTCTGTCACTGAAGGCACCGGCCCTGCTGTCGCCCCTCCGCCCGGTTTCACCCGGCCCATTCATGCCGCGCCTCATGGTGTTACAGATGGCCCGTACTCTCGCCACTACCGCCAGTGGTTGCTTCACGATCCTCAATTCGATTCGCTGTCGCCTCAAATCCTTGCGCAGGCCGAGCAGCTAAGCAACCTCGCCAACCGTTCTACCCGCAACAACGGCCAACATTCGCGAAAGACTGGGAGCAAGTCTTTGGGAACTTCGACAAGAGCTTCTGAGTCTCTTCACAGCATTCCCAACTACCCCGCCGTCCCAGCCAAGGACAAGTCCGCGCCTCTGGTACTCAAGAGGTCTACGGATCATCAGCTCGTCAAGCTCATTTGCAACGACTGCAAGCGAGGAAACTTTTCCAGCATTCAAGGCTTCCTCAACCATTGTCGTATTGCTCACAAGGTCGATTACAAGTCGCATGATGCGGCTGCGGTCGATTGTGGACAGCTTTTGGATGAGCAGGAATTGGCCAACTTGCCACCTGAGGCGCATTCGGCCCCGGCGCCCAAGCCTACTCCAGCCCCGCGAGTCTCAACATCAAGCGCGACTGTCAAGAACTCGAGTTTTGTGCATCCGCTGAATACACCAAGCGCTACACCGGTCACGACACCTCGACCGGTGGCGCCCAAAGCTCCAGTCCGCGGCCTTAGTACTCCGGCCACCACGCCAGGCAACAACGCATCAACCTTCAAGCCTTCGCCTCAGGTCCCTCGCCTATCTGCCTACTTTGCCAAGCATAACGTTGGTGGCGATCTCGAGCAGGCCGCAGCTGCTGCGAAGCAAAAGGTTGATCTCGGCGTGGACGAGGATCTGCAATCGCCTGACGCTTCTGAAGCAAATTCCCCTATCGCATTCTTCGGTCCTGGTGCTCGCACACTCGCCCCATCTCAAGGTGGTCGATCTGGTTCTGGCTTCGAAGGCTTTGAGCGCCCGACGAGCCGCAAGGGCCAGCGCCAGCCAATGCAGCGTCCTCGCCCGTCTCCACTGGCACCTACACCTGCTGGGCAAGATGTCCACATGACGCAGTCTGGTCTTTCTTCTCCCCAGGACAACCTGTCACCCCACACCGCCGACAGCAACCCTGGACTGGTTAGCGACAACGAGGGCGACCACGACGATGCATCGGACGATGAGTCCTCGCAGATAGAAGTTGCAGCGCCTCGCCATCCACTGCCTCCCGTCGGACGTTCTTGCGAGGACAACATGGACATCGACGTTCAGGAAGATGACGAAATCGAGCGTCCCCAGCGCGGCGTGATTATTAGGAGGAACAGCATGCTGGCGCAGGAGACGAGTGGGATGGGGAGTCCCAGCAGGAAAGTCGGTGGGAAGTGAGAAAGGGGTTTGTGTTGTGTGTATGATTATTTGGATGATGGAACATCAATGGAGGAAACTCTGATGTTCGATCATTTGAAGGTGTATGGCTGTGATAAGGGATTGCTGGGGAAATCAATAGACGCGGCGCGGAATATCACGCTTCTCGCTCGGAAGACTGACTGTGATAGCTACAGCTAGAATAACGTGTGTGTGTCTGTTGAGACGACAAAAGAAAAGACAAATCTACTCTCTCTCTAGATGGATGACTTGTTTCAAGGTTTCTTTTCTGGCAGGTTACGTTTGGATGAGTAGCTGTGTAGGTAAATTCATCCTCAAGTGATGAAGAGAATGAGATTGAAGTGATCGTGATGCGTGGAGGCGTGGCTAACACTAACGAAAGGCTTCTATTCAATCCCTCTAGATCGTCAAGAAGCCACAACCACAGGACTCTGACTCTGTCCTCCTCCCGTCCCCACCACATTCGCCACACTCGCCGGCCCCAAAATCGTCTCCACAAAACCCTCCGCATCCCTCCCCACCCGCGCCGTATCCAACCTCCTCAGCGCATTCCGCTGCGCCTCCAACACCTCAGGCTCCTCAAACACATCCTTCATCACCTCGCCCTCCTTGCGCCAGTAATCCTCCACTCTCCCCCGCGCACCCGGGTCCCTCACGACGGCATTCCGGATGACGCCGACGCCGCGGGCTTTTACGAGGAGTTTCTCGAGGGAGAGGGCTGTGTCGAGGGTTCGTTCAGCGGGGGTGGGCGGGGCGGCGAAGGCGCGGTTCGTGGCGTGCAGGTAGATTAGGAGGCCGAGGGCGGCGTCCGTGGTGGCGATGGCGAGGCCGCGGAGGAGGGGGGCTTGGAAGTGCGGGAAGGAGATGTCGTTGAGGCGGGAGGAGCGCAGGTTCGGCGTGTCGCTGTAGGTGGTTATGTAGTAGACTTCGGCGGCGGCGAGGGCCAGGGCGGAGATGGTGGCGAGGGGGCGCCAGCGGCTGGGGATGGAGCCTGCTAGGAGCGGGGAGGTGATGAGGCCGAGCGTGAGGAGGTGCAGGGTGTGTGGGAGCAGGAGGGAGGGGAGGGCGTAGAGGAGGTAGTCCTTTTGGGCGTCGAGGGAGCCGGGGGGCGAGAGGGGGGAGTTGAGGAGGATGCTGGGGCCGTAGCGCGCGTAGAGCAGGCGCGCGGGGAGGCCGCCTTCGTTGAAGATGTCGCGGAGTTTTTCGTCTTGAGGGGTGAGGTTTCGGATGGCCGCGAGGCGGGTTAGGAGGACGCCGGCGGTGGTGCGGAGTTGGGATTTGGTGAGGCGGAAGATGTTTTCGGGTTGGAAGAGCGGGAGGGTTGAGATCAGGGCCACGAGGCCGGAGATGAAGAGGACCGTTAGGGCGTAGGAGGTTTTTCGTGGGAGGGGCTTGATTTGTGAGGCTGGGCGGTTGCGGATTGATCTGTACCAGGCTAGGAGTTTGGGGATGAGCCAGGGTCCGAAGAAGATGGCGGCGGATTGGATTCTAGAGAAGGTGTTAGCTATTGCGAATGATTGGAGTTAGAGGGTGATCCTTACGTTCCCCAGGAGACCATATTTGCGGTTGAAGTTTGGAATTTGGCATGTGTTTCGTGTAGAAGAAGTGAAGTCGATGTTGATGCGTGGCCGTTACAGTGAAGGAAGTCGCAGCGGTTCGGCCCGGAGATCTCCCGGAAGTGTGAATGAAAGAATAGAAGGGCTCCCACGTTCACACATATCTCCTCCTTATACTTCATCAGCAGCAAGAACCCGCAGAACGATGACACCCAGTCGCGCAGAGCTGCTTCTCATTCTCCACTCTAGTCTACGGTGCACAGCAAAACCCGACCCAACCTAAGGACCTCCAAATCAGCATGAACGCCGAGAACATCATCAGCTTCGCGACACTGGTCGGCCTGCTGCTGTTCTTTTACTTCACACTTACACGATCTCTCCGGCACGAAGGTGAGACCAGGGAACGTAGCCGTCTGTCGTATGGGAACCAGGCTGCGGCGTGAGCTGGTTCTGCCAGTTTCTGTTGCGATTGAGAGGAAGCCAATATGGCTCGTGAATTTGATCATGGCTTTTGCTGGACCTCACGATCGACCTCGCAAGGCATCGTACATGGACGACAGTCCCATGTCAAATTGAACATGTCCTTGGAGTTTCGAGATCAACGACCACTGCTCACGGCACCTGCTACTGCATGGCATCTGCGCGGCAGAGCTAAACAGCAGCTGAGGCTCGACTTCCTCGGTCTTTGAAACTCGTTGCTATCAGGATCAAGGAATTTCCTGTCAGTCTGTCTTCATATCCAGTCGTGTTCGCACGCAACTCCTACGACACCCGACACTGGACAGGGCATTCTTCAAAACGTCCTCGTACCACGGCGCAGTTCCCCAACGGTCAAGCAACACATCCCACGACCTGACAACGCTGAAAACAAAACACAATGTCAACAGTACTTCTAAGGCATCTTTTATCGCAACGCTTTTTAATCATTATCATTACGTACATACTGAACTGAAAACAATCAAGGGTATCTCAATTACATCTAGATGGTCATCCTCCATGCCTCGACGACGACTGGAGAGCTCTCTACGCTCGATCGATGGTCCCAAAAGCTCATGACCCTGACTGCCCTCGCAGCCAAGGCGATCTTCCTGATCCTACGACTCTTCTCAAGATGTTCTAAGGATCGTCCAGCCACGCTCTTCGATGTCCTGGCGGTTGTGATGGAAGTTGGACGGGTGTGCGAGCTTGTGTTGGTTCCGACGCGGTGCAGCAAGTCGAGATATGAGGGTTGGCGAGGGTTGGCATTGATGCTGTGGAGGGCGAGGCGCGTGTGCAAGGATTTGTTGGAGGTTGTTGGAATTGACGAAGTCGAGCTGGTGGTGATGGGTGTTGCTTCGAAGGACCGGCGGCCGGCGAGCTCGATTCAATCCACGAGGAAACAGACTCTTTCGACACAAGACTGCTTTCTGCCGTCGAACGCTATCAACATCGACACCTCAGACTCCAGAACGACCTATCTGGAGTCGGACGCCTGCGAGGAGGATTCTCCAAAATCGCCATGTGGAGATCTCCATCGGCCAGAGATGACGGATTGTCCTGCAAGAACCGGGTCATCTGTTGAGCTCCACTCGATTAAAGGTCTGATGGCGGATGTGGATGGCGACGACACCAGTTCACACGACAATGCGGATCACATCCCAACTGTGGACGCTGTTGCTATCATACCGCGGGCACTGTGTTCTCATCCAACGCAAGATGTGGCTGTGCCCGCCGCCACCGTCGTCCCAGATGACCAAGCCGTGTATGAGGACAAGATCCAGTCACTGTCAAAGTGCGATATACGCCAGACCTACGGCAGGTACAGTCTCAATGCCGACAGCCGATGCCGCGATTCTCAGGTTGACGGATATCTTGGGAACACAGTCGCCGTAAAACGCCCAAAGCCGCACCGCAGATGTTGTTCATGGCCTGTCTGGTGAAACCACCACCTGGCACCACGGCGTATTGTTCGAACGCAAGTGTTCATGAACAGTTCATTCTTGTGGCGGTCTGTACGGGAAGTACTCCGTCTGACGTGTTTGCTGCGGCGACCTGTACGGTATGAACGCTGTCTCAGGTGCTTGGAGATGGGTCGATTGCTCATTGTCGATTCGATACATGGAGGTTCTGTGCAAGGACTCTCTGGAGACATTCAAGGCCACAGCCGTCTTCACGACGGGTGTCTCGCAAATCGATTCTCGCGCAGACGAGACCGTCAGCGGAGAAAACGGCCTGGAGCTTGACTGTGACATTGGCGATACTGGTGACGGCGGTGCCGACGTGAGTTGCAGCTCAGTCGCACGCCGGGAGATTGCGGTGTTAGGTTCGTCAGATACCTGCGGCTTTTTGGCTGCTGCGTCTCGAATGATCGGGTTGACAAGGTCGGAGAACGGGGTTGTGGTGTTGGTGTATGGCGAGAACATATCGGATAGTGGAGTTGTTGGTTCTGCTTCTGGGATGAACGGAGCCGGGATTTCTGACGCGAAGTTCTGATATGCGTGAGGAACAACAGGGATTGCGGGTGGCACTTCTGCCATGGCAGGTGTTCGAAATCCAGAGTAATGGGGCGATCCTAAGGAGCGAGGTGATGTGGATGGTGGAACATGGAATATTTGTGTCGTCTTGCGTCGTTTTCGAAGATCAAAGTATCGCAACATTATAGCAATCAGAATGCAAGCAGCAACAACACCCAGTATGATACCGACCACCAGGCCGGCAAGCATATTTTGGCAAAGAGATGCGGTGAAACGACAGGCAGTAGTAGAGCGGGAATAGCGATCCTTTTCAGGGACACAACATAGCGAATGATGAAGGGCAATCGGAAAACGAAAATGGGAACGGAGAGGACAGCGGAAGCAGGAGGTGCCTACGCGCGCGAGAGGCCCGCCTTACCATGGTATTCACACTTGTCCGTATGCTGTCTCTCGGCTCTCCTCAGCTCGTGCTGACGAGGTTGGGTGTTGCTTGCTGGCTGCACCGCCATCGACCATGGAAGAGCGGCGTGCGAGGCGTAACATTGCTTAGGCTCGTAATAGACACTGGCGGCGCCTGGTCAGTGGTCAGGCCCAGTGAGGGATCTGGCCGCGGCGCGTGGCGGCGTTGGTGAACTTTGGGGAGGTGAAGAGGCTGAGACCAAGCAGGATGCGGCTCAGCAGCAGCCGTGTGAGCATTGACCGATTCGAAGCGCGGTCACGTGTCAAAGTCGAGATCTCTTGGCGCCGTCACTTTGCGAAAGGATTCAAGTCGCAACAAACATTTTGTTGCTTGCAGCCATACAACATAACCGCGCCAACAGCCCCGACCATGGACGATCTGTTCGATGTCTTCGACGAGAAGGCGCCCAAAGCAAGCAATGGCGACGAGCAGGAAAAGGCGAGCAAGAAGAGATCTTTGAACGGCGATATCAAGAGTCCCAAGCAGAATGGCGACACGCAGATGTCAGATGTGCAAGACTTTGCGGGTACAGATGGCGACTCGAGGAAGGCAGAGAATGGTAGCGTGGCATCAGATCGCGGGCAGAAGCGACAGCGGCGAGAAGATGAGCCCGAGCCGGTGGTAACTGACGAGTTCGAGACTGAGCAGTCGAGAGAGGTGGCTGCTGCAGCAGGTCTGCAGGCGCAGACGGCAGATGCAGCAGTGGTGCTCTCACATCAGGTCCGCCATCAGGTCTCCCTCCCTCCCGACTGCGACTACGTCCCCATCTCCCAACACAAGCGACCCGAAAAGCCAGCCCGCGAATGGCCCTTCACCCTCGATCCTTTTCAGGAAGTGTCCATTGCATCGATTGAGCGGAATGAAAGTGTACTGGTATCGGCGCATACCAGTGCAGGAAAGACGGTGGTGGCAGAGTACGCGATCGCGCAATGTCTCCAGAACAACCAGAGAGTCATCTACACCAGTCCTATCAAGGCTCTGAGCAATCAGAAATACCGAGAGTTTCAGGCGGAGTTTGGCGATGTCGGTTTGATGACTGGAGATGTCACAATCAATCCCACGGCGACCTGCTTGGTCATGACGACCGAGATTCTGCGATCCATGTTGTATCGAGGAAGTGAGATCATGCGGGAAGTTGCGTGGGTGGTCTTTGATGAGGTTCACTACATGCGCGACAAGTCAAGAGGTGTGGTCTGGGAAGAGACGATCATCCTGTTACCGGACAAGGTGCGCTATGTGTTCCTGTCTGCCACCATACCCAACGCCATGCAGTTCGCCGAATGGATCACCAAGACACACAACCAACCCTGCCACGTCGTCTACACCGATTTCCGCCCAACACCACTGCAGCACTACTTCTTCCCCGCCGGTGCAGAAGGCATCCATTTGATTGTGGACGAGAAGGGCAACTTCAGGGAAGACAACTTCAACAAGGCCATGGCGTCGATCGCGGAGAAGGCTGGCGACGACGGCTCCGATCCAATGGCGAAGCGGAAGGGCAAAGGCAAGGATAAGAAGACGAACAAAGGCGGCAAGAAGGAGGGACCCACCGACATCTACAAGATCGTCAAGATGATCATGATGAAGAACTACAACCCCGTCATTGTGTTCTCGTTCTCCAAGCGAGATTGCGAGAACTATGCACTACAGATGAGTCAACTGGCCTTCAATGATGAATCGGAGAAAGCGATGGTGTCCAAGGTGTTCGATTCAGCAATAGAAATGCTGTCTGACGAAGACAAGGAACTGCCGCAGATCCAGCACATCCTGCCACTTCTACGTCGTGGTATTGGAATTCATCATTCAGGTCTTCTCCCCATCTTGAAGGAGACTATCGAGATTCTGTTCCAAGAAGGTCTAATCAAGGTTCTCTTCGCGACCGAGACGTTCTCGATCGGTCTCAACATGCCCGCGAAGACCGTCGTTTTCACCTCGGTGCGGAAGTTCGACGGCACTGGAGTGCGATGGGTCACGCCAAGTGAGTTCATCCAGATGTCTGGACGTGCCGGACGAAGAGGTCTCGACGAGCGCGGTATTGTGATTATGATGATCGACGAACAGATGGAGCCGACTGTGGCCAAGGAGATTGTTCGAGGCGAACAAGACAAGCTCAACAGCGCTTTCTACCTTGGCTACAACATGATTCTCAACCTCATGCGAGTCGAAGGAATTAGCCCAGAGTTCATGCTTGAGCGATGTTTCTTTCAGTTCCAGAATGCCGCATCTGTCACTGGTCTAGAGAAGCAGCTTATTGAGCTAGAGCAGAAGCGGGCTGATATGATCATCGACAACGAGGCTGAGATCAAGGAGTACTACGACCTACGGCAAACCCTCGCCAACTACGCCACTGAAATGAAGACTTGGATCACAAATCCACAGTACCTGCTCAAGTTCCTGCAGGGAGGTCGTCTGGTGAGAATCAAGTACAAGGACTACGACTTTGGCTGGGGAGCTGTGGTCAACTTCTTGAAGGTTAAGCCTGGCAAGAACCAAGATCCCAAAGAGATCCCGAATGCGCAATCTGTCGTTGTGGACGTGATTATGAACGTCGCGGCTGATGCGACCCCTCCACAACCAGGCGCCAAGCTCACACAAGATCTACCGCCTGGTATCCGCCCACCAATTCCAGGCGAGAAGGGCAAGATGGAAGTTGTGCCTGTAATGAATGGGACGATTGACAGCGTCGGGCATCTTCGTATCTTCTTGCCCACCGACCTTCGCACCCAAGACCAGCGCAATACCGTCCGCAAGAGTCTCGAAGAAGTCTCGAAGCGATTCCCTGACGGTATCGCTATTCTCGACCCCATCGAAAACATGGGCATCCAAGACGATGATTTCAAGAAGCTACTGCGCAAGATAGAGGTCCTGGAGCACAAGTTGCTGTCATCTCCGATGCACAAGTCGGAGCAATTACCTGCGCTCTACGAGCAATACACCGCAAAGGTAGAGCTGTCGTCAGAGATCAAAGCTTTGCGCAAGAAGATGACCGACGCACTCTCTGTTCTCCAACTCGACGAGCTGAAGAACCGCAAGCGTGTCCTCCGCCGTCTGGGCTTCGTCAACGACGCCGATGTCGTCCAACTCAAAGCCCGCGTGGCCTGCGAGATCTCCACTGGTGACGAACTCGTCCTCTCCGAACTCCTCTTCAACCGCTTCTTCAACGAGCTCACGCCCGAGCAGTGCGCTGCCGTGCTGAGCTGCTTCATCTTCGAAGAGAAGACCGACGAGTCGCCCGTCCTGAAAGAAGAACTGGCGAAGCCCCACCGCGAGATCCAGGCTCAGGCCCGACAAATCGCCAAGATCAGCATGGAGAGCAAGGTCGTCTTGAACGAGGAGGAGTACGTAGCCACGTTTAAGAAGGAACTCATGGAGGTGGTGTACGCATGGTGCAATGGTGCCTCGTTTGCGACGATCTGGTAAGTTCTAAGACCCCCCTCTTACGATGCTCGTACGAATACTGACATCTGTGACCACAGCAAAATGACCGACGTCTATGAGGGTTCCCTCATCCGCCTCTACCGCCGTCTCGAAGAACTCACGCGCCAGATGGCCCAGGCTGCCAAGGTCATGGGCTCGCCGGAGCTGGAGCAGAAGTTCGAGACGGCGCTCACGAAGATGAGGAGGGATATCGTGGCTGCTCAGTCTCTGTACTTGTAATCGTCGAATATTCTGCTGCTCTGGGCGTCGGGGAATTGTAAGCATAGCGGGTAAAAGCAGGTCTCTCGGTTCAAGGATGGGCGGACTGGCTCGTGTAAGTAGATATACTTGAGGTATTAAGAGTATCGAGAGTCAACAGTCTCCGGACTGTAAGTCTGCCATTGCAGACTGGCAAATTCTTCATCGCACCCCGACGCTTCCTCGCCGATTTTCCCAGTGAACTCCCATAACCTTCCCATCGTACTCCCCAACTGTTTCCCCGGCCACACAAACCCCTTCAACACATCCTCCACGTCCTCCCTACTCTTCAGCCCCAGCACTCGCACAACACCTTCTACTAACTCCCCAATCCACTCAAAGACATCCTCATCTCCCCCTTCTGAATCGAACACCCAAGCAATCACACAGAGAACCCAGAGGTAGAGATCTAAACACGGGAACCACATCTCCATCTCCGAAGTCTGTCTCAGGAGGGGGAGGATTTGCGCCACGAGGTGGTGTTTGAAGGGCGAGGTTATGCTGTTCGCGGCGTTGAGTGGAAGGACTGTCAGATAAAGCGAAAGGTGAATCAGACTCTGCTCTGGCGTGGTATACGTGTCAGATGTCGCAGTGAGTTGAAGGTCCTGCGCGAGGGAAAGCCTCGCCGCGAAGAGGAGTTGGATATCCTCCGCCTTCTCCCTTTCGACCTCGTGGATTTTCGCGATGGTGGAGCAGAGTTCCGGTCCTAAGAGTGCTTCCGTCGCGGGGTTTTCGAACCTCGAGAACTGGTTTTGCGGGATGAGGGTGGCGTCGAAGCGGTTGAGGAGTTCGGTGGCGTAGGCGGAGGTTTCGTCTGAGGGGAGGCCTTTGGCTATGGAGATGCGGATGGGTGGGACGGCGAGGATGGAGGTGCAGAAGAGGGTTGGGCTGGGGAGGTGTTAGTTTGTGTGTTTGGAGGGTGGGCTGGGTTGGGGTGAGATACATGACGAAGCTTGTGCGCATTGCGAGGGGCGTTTTTTCGATGTTTTCGATCTGGAGGATGAGGTTCTGGAGGGCGTCGTAGTGTTGGCGGGCGATGGAGAGTTCGTCTTGGACGCACTGCGCATATCGATATCAGCATCGCTCTTGATTGTAACGAGAGATGTGAATACTCACCGCGAGGTATAGCAACGTACAGACAGCACGCACAGTCGCTACGTTGGGGCTCTTTGCCTCTGACTTCGTCGCATCGATGCTTTTTTGCAGATGGGTGATAGCCATTCCCTTGAAGTAAATCGAGTTATACTCATGCGTTTGATCCGCGCTTTTCGTGTACATCTCGCCTGATGTTGAGCACAGCACGGCATAGAGTAGTTCGGGACTCTCTGACGCATATGTGAGTATTCGCCGGAGACTGGTGTGGGCCCATGATTGGACTGTGAAGATCTTGTGGGTCATGGAGTTACAGACTGTTCAAGCCGTGTTAGTTTCCCGGCGTACTGCAGCAGTGCAAGCGACCTACAGATCTTGAGGGTAGCTGTCATGCGCTCGTCGATGGACACGGCGCTACAGTTGAATGGGTCAAGCTTCGATGCGTTCAGGGCCATGATGGACACTGAAACTCGATCCAGCAGTCGAGAGGTGTTTCCTTCCGCTTCATCGCCTGCCTTGGCCTTGCGTCCACCCTTCGCCTTCGGCTTCTTCCGGCGACACCGACTGCCATCTTCGTCCGCATTACGCCGTGATTGGTATCTGCTTCTGCCATCGAGGTTATCTTCAGACCCAGTACGGACTTTCCAGCTAATCACGAGAGCTTCCTCCGAGGTTTTCGAAACGGGTAGTTGCTGGACATGTGAATATATCTCCTTTCGCTCGACGCCTTCCGATCGTGTGAGTGTCTTTGATTTGGCGGACTTGTTGATGAACAGAATGGTTTTGGGAGGCGACATCTTTCAGACTATGTCGAGATCGCGATGCTGGTTCCTGCGTCTTTCAGGCGTAGACACCCTCTTCTATCATTGAACATAAAGTCACTGCCTCACCGTCAGTTCACGACATGCTGTTCTGCTCTGGACAGACTGTCGTACACTTTGCCCAATGTGGCAGGTACAAGAGCATTTCATAGCTCAGCCCCAATGGGTGAGTAAAGTTTAGCGCTGTCGATCGTCATCGGATTTTTTGAAACATTGTAGGGCACGCCGTACAGTGTCTGAAAGCAGTAGTAGGCTCGCAATGAAGCGCCTATTATACTTACCAAGTGTATGTCAGTTCAAAGGTTGGTACTTTACGACCATCAGTCAGCATCTCCCATAGCTTCGACTTTTTTACGCTTCACGAAACCCCTACAACCAGCGTGGTGAAAGTTCGGCTTCTTTCCGTGATGTTGGCTTTTGCTGAGGTTCGGATTGAAGAATCGGGTGATTCAAATCTGGCTCAGTGTGAGTCATTAGCTCTGGCAGGGCAGCTGGGACTGAAAGTTCTTTGGAGTCGCTGGCTCATTCCAATCAGCTTGCGCTGGCGTATGTACAATGCTGCCGTCTTGTGAATCGTGTTGTGACTGTTGTTATCCAACCACTAGTAAGTCCAACTGTATCTCTTCGATGACAAGCCAAGCCGAGCTGGATCCTTGCGTCTCAGCAAAAAGCGGTCTGGAAATGTAACATCAGCATCTGTGCCACAGTCGCTCGAATATGTCCAATCTGAGCCGTCGTTATGCCAAGACGACAAGGTATTGCTCGCATGGCGACGGCGGCGTGCTGGCGTTGGCATGGCAAGGCAGGCTATTGGTCATCCGGGACGCAGAAGGCCTTGAACTCTTGCCAGGCTTTCTCGAGATCATCATTGACGATGATCTGATCGTGGACACCAGGTGTCTTGGAGTACCCGATCTCCTTTTCAGCTTGAGCTAGGCGTTCCTTGATGGCCTCCTCCTTGTCAGTTGCTCTGCCTCGCAACCGCTTTTCCAGGACCTCGACCGACGGCGGCTGCAGGAACACGAAGCGTGCATTGAGGTCGGTCTTCTTGACCTGCTTGACGCCCTGTCCCCATATCCAGTCAGTTGTCAAGGCCCTGACAGATGCCCACGTACATCTTAACGTACCTCCATCTCGATATCCAAAATGCATGTTCTACCCTGATCAGCCACGTTCTTGACCGCCTGCACACTCGTTCCGTAGAGATTGCTTCCAAACTGCGCATGCTCAATGAAGCCGCCCTCATCCACCATCTTCAGGAAGTTCTCCTTGGTAGTGTAGTTGTAGTCCACGCCATCTTTCTCGCCTTCTCGCGGCGCTCTGGTGGTATGCGACACGGAGAATCCGAAGCGATTCGGGTAAGCCTCGAACAAGCGCTTGAGGAGGGTGGACTTTCCAGCGCCTGATGGACCGGATACCACAATTGGGCGAGGCTTCTCGATGACTGGAAGAATGTAGAGTTTAGTTGAGCTCTTCGCTGAATCTTGTCGGTCTGCGTACCGGGAGCCATGTTGGAGATCGGGCGGCGCCTGAGAGTGGGGCTGTGAGTGGTGAGTGGTCGGAACAAGGTCGAGCAGTGAAGCTGACGAGGCAAGATATGGTGCATCTACACCATCTCCAACAATTTCTCCAGAGTTCACATGCAAACGGTGGGTTGGGAGCGAGTCGGATTACCACTGAGGCTGATTGGGGAAGCGCTAGCTGATGTTCGTGCGCTAATTTGACTAGCCGTAACTCTATACAAACCTTAGTTCAACTTCCCCTGCCAGGTCAGCCTTTCTCTCACACGGTACCCTCCTTGACTTCCACGTATCCCCATCATTTGTAAACTGTCCAAGCAGCTGGGTCTGTAATTAACTGCTGAGTCGCTTCGGAGCAACAGAGAAGTGAACGTTTACCGATTCATGCAATCATTCGAACTTTTGTATTTGTTACATGCACATCTATTCTACATCCCTCAGTCTCTCGCATAAGGACTAAATTTGGTGTCTAAAAGCTCAATAACACCCTCATGCCCCACACCTTGAATGTCCATGATTCTCGGATTGGGGTTTCCTTCGTCGTCGTATGGCTCCTCTCCTGGCTTCGCAACGAACCATTTGACATTCACATTAGCCCCCTGAGGCTCGATCGTGAGCTTCGTCCAGATCACGTAGACTGCAATGGAAGCGCCGTATCGCCCATCATCTGTGTAGCCCACGACGTCGCGGCCTTCGTTCGCCTCTATCTCCATAAAATCCACCTCCGGGGGTCCACCGATGTCTTCTTCCTCGGCTGACGTGAGTGCATAGATCTCATCCGGGCTCCGCGTCGGTACGACAGGCTCTGCTTCGTCTTCTCCGTTTTCTTCGTCTTTTGCGGTCTGAATAGTCGAATGTCCGTTCGACAGGCCCATCTCGAAGTCGCCATTGTCCTCGTTGCCCTCATCATCGCTCTCCTCCCGCTCGAATTCTCCATCTTCGATGCTCGCCTTCTCCGCTTCCCTCACCTGCTTAGATTCCAGCTTACTCCTCTCGAAATATGAGTATTCGAAGCCGAGTGCCTTCCAGTCAAGGCATCGCTGGGTAACATCCCCCCATTCCAAGATGTGCTCCATGACTTGCTTCCCGTCCTCAGTCAGCATTCGGTCCCCGTCTTTCATCTTCTGACTAGTCCACCATACTTGTCTGCTAATGTATTCGTCTGTTGGGTGTACGGTGAGCCGCTTCCATACTGCTTCCTTTTTATCGTTGATGGGGAACCATCGACGTCTGACCTTTCGCTTCCCGAAGGACTCGAAGGTATGGTTTGGATAGAAATAAATCTGCTTTTGCGATCTTGTCCTGCGCGCATTGCGACCAATGATGACATCTGCGTGCAGGTCCTCGTCGAATTCCTGATCTTGTGCCACTCCAAAATACCCGTCAGGCTCCTGAGTCTGTGTCTCGATATTGTCATAATGTAGGTGGGCACCCTGAGCTACAACGTGAGTAGATCGCTCTTGGAAGCCGACATCACCCTTGATCTTGTACTTGTTGCCATACTTGGCAGTCATCTGACTCATGAACAATTCGGACTTTCGCATCCCACCGACGACAACGATTTGTTTTGTGCTCTTATTCTCTTTCAACATCGACAAGATGTTGGAAAAGATGTCGTCGACGACCGGCTGATAGAAGTACGTCATCAAATTGCTGTGATTTTGTCAGCCTACTCTTATTGCAATCGTTGAAGCTTCCGCACCTTGTGATCTCAACCTCCCACTTGGATGTAGCATTTCCTGGCACCCCGGGAATATTGACATACCTTGGAATGATGGATCTGGGCACAAACTCTTTTTTGATGGCTTCGAACCCGTTGTTCGCAAGCTCAAAGACATCAAGCTTGCTGCGCCCGAGATTCTCACAGCGCTGATCGAATGACAAGCTCGGATCATCGTCTTTGCCGGCTTTGTTTTCCAAGTGTGTGAGGAAGTTGACGTTCACGAGCTGAGAGCCACACAGTGATCCTAGAAAACGGTCAGCAGGGATCATATCATGTCTCTAAGTCAATGACCAAACCTGTTGCCGCGCCGGCTTGCTCCAGCTTGAAATCAGACCGGGTGCATTTTACAACTCTGTATGGGACAAAATCGCCAGTTCCGCCGCCTATGTCGGCTATGAGTATGATTTCGCCAATCTTCAAATCCGAGACCAGGGCAACAGGCATGAAAAGCGCAAGCTGGAGAAGAAGCCTGGTGATGTTGAAGTAGCGCAGCTGCCCACAGCAAAGAGAAGCAAGGATGTCTTGGGCTCTAGTGAACTCGACAGTCATGTACAAGATACGGCAGTAGTGGAGCCTGTTGCGGCCACCCAAGATGCAACAGCGGTTCATCATATGGTCGATATTAACGATGCGAGATGCAAGCTCGTAATGGGAGCTTCGCAAGTCAAAGGAGGTCTGGTTAGCAAAGTCGAAATCTTGCCAGTACAAGCTGGAGAAGGCACGGCATCCGGGACGACAGATGCTGTTCCATCACCTCAGCAGAAAGGTGAACCACAGCCGGAGGCAAGACAAGACTTCCATAAGAAGATCAGTGTGTCTATGCAAGAGCACCTCGAGATAGAGACACAGAAACTTGGTCTGGAGAACGGAGACTCGCAGGAACATGTGGAGTCTTGCAACGTTATATCTTACGTCGCCGGTCCCGTCCCAGAAGGCATCTCCATAGGCAAGATATCGACGAACAAGGTAGCCTGGACGGAAATCGACACTGATCCGAACGATCGTCTGCGCAAGAACGGTCTGCCAGCACTAAGACAAAACCCCTGCAACACAGTAGACATGCTCTCGCAATGGCCCCGTCCACCTTGAGAGATCCCGAACTTGTCTCAGGATATCGGAGACTACTATGAAGAGCTGAAAACGAATATGGAAACTGTTCGACATGAGATCGAGAATGTGGTAGCACATACTCGAAGAAAAGCAGCGCACCCAAAGGAGGCAAAGCCAAAATTGTCACTGCCCCGGAACCCGAGCTTACGTGGATCTATGCTAGATTCTTCGGTTCCGTGGATGCCAAGTCGTGGATGTCTGAAGCTTGCACAACGCTGAAACTCGGCATGTTCTCTTCAGATCTGGTGGAGGGACTTATAGGAGCTGCGATCCATGAGATGGTGTTCGAAGAAGTCCGCCCACACAAGACAGCGGACGAATGGTTCAACATGCTGAGACACGTCGGACCATTTTGGGATGAGGCTATGTAAGCTAAAGGTATGTCCTGACGCCAACTATGATGACCCTTTGCTAAACATCCGCAGGAAGCAGAGTAGCGCTCGATGAGGTGGTGTAGTGTGCCTTGCGCAAGCAAATGAACAGCCCGACCTACCAAGACCACGTCATAATGCCAAAGGCGAAGGAGCTTGCAGACAGACTCAGGACCATCTTGTATACTCAACTGAAGGTAGTTGGCGTCACGGGCTCTACCACGCAGGACAACCAGCTTTTCTGGCACATTGCTTCCGCTGGCCTCACATCTTGCTTTATGGCGGCTCTGACAGTTAAGGGTCTCCTCGAAGCCATGCCAGTGGAGGTGGAGTTCAAATGGATCTCCGCAGGCATGCCTTATGTGGGGACAGACATGGACCGTCAACCTGGCAGTCCGTCTCTGAACGATCCGGGAACGACAGCAACAGTTGCTAGGGCTGTGACACCATCTCTCAGATACAGAGATCCGGAGGTCAACTCAAGTTCTGGATGGATTTGGGTGACGAAGGCTAAGGGTATCTTACTGAGGACTACTGGTTGATGTAAAGCGGTGGTTGAAGCATGGGACATGGGACAGAGACACAAGAACAAGCCGATGGGGCACACACCCTCTCAGGACTAGGATGCGGTCCTCCAAGACAGGAGCGACGCCAAAATTTACGTGTACATTAGACATAAGCAGCAAGGCTATTCAAACCTCCACTCCAACAAATGCAGCTCTGGCTCCTGAGCCCATGAGTTTCGTCTCTTTGTACTAGGAAGTCACAACAGGTGTAGTGATGGGGACACTGCGAGAGCAGGACTTCTGTCGAAGATCTTGACACTATGCAGTGCATCCTAAAACCCTGAAGCCTTGTTAGGGCAGATATCATATTCCTACGAGCTAAGAAAAGCAGTCCACACGAATAAGAAGAACTCTGATGAAGCAGTCATCACACAAACATATCATCGAGACGGCACAGCAACTATAAAGACCCGTCGACAATGAGACTTCGGAAGATAAATAGGGCAACTGTGAGAACACTAAGCCGCCATCTCCCTGCAGTAGCAGCTTCGGGTTAGGTCCAGCCTGCCCTGAATCGTCGAAGCTCTTAGAAGGAGATGAATGTAACGAAGCTACTTGCACATCTCAGGGCTCTGTTTATTGCCACTAGAATCCCAGTGCATTCCAACTAGCCAATTGAGACATCAAGCGCCTTGATAATATCAGATGCTGGTATCTCGTGCCTTTATGAGGGCTGCCAGATCACTCGCTTCATTCGCTGACAAACATGCTTTCGCCTCGCAGCAAGGTAAGCCTTTCGTAAGAGTAAAGGAAGACATCATTTTCAGCTAGTATCATAGATCAGTCAAGTCTTCTATCATCTTTCAAGCAAGGCAGCACAGTGTTCCAACCTCACTAACTACACTTGACTTACAAGCGATGGCTCCCGCCACGACAGCCGCAACAATCTTTGAGGAGTTATCCTCTATCCAGCCTGGAATGATCGACAAAGATCCACAAGCTCGCCGAAATGCCCTTATTCTCTCGCGAAAACTTACAGCAGAGCTTAAAGGTCCAACGAATGCGGCAGTGGACATGATGTTTGCTCCATTTATACCGTCGGCTGTGCGAACAGCAGTATAACTCAATCTGTTCGAGTTGCTCCGTGACAGCAAGAGCCCCTTGTCAACTGCAAAACTCGCTGAGCTCACCGGCGGAGACGCTCTGCTCCTGAACTGGATCCTCCGTCTCCTACCATCAATCAACTTCGTCGAAGAGTTAGGCCCGGATCTTTGGAGCACAACGCCCATCACGAAAGCAATGGCCAATCCCAACATCGCAGCTGGCCATCGATTCGTGTGGGATACTATGGTCGAGGCCAACGTAAAGTATCACCACTTTTTGAAAGAGACTGGTTTCAAATTGCCGGTGGAACCTACGGACCATGTCATTCAGTTCGCTCATGGGAAAAAGTATAGCACCTTTGACTATCTGGCGAAGCTTCGACCAGATCGCTTTGCCGATTTCCATCTCTTCATGGGCAATACTATGGGTGCGAGAAATTATTGGGTTGATTGGTACCCTGCAAGAGAGCGACTGCTGGACGGATCTGATTCGAGTTCTGGCGCTCTTCAGGTTGATGTGGGTGGTGGCAAAGGACATGACCTCCAAGCGTTCATTTCCAAATTTCCAGAAACAGAGGGCAAGCTGGTCTTACAGGACTTACCGGAAGCCCTGGCCTCAATCAAAGATGGCACACTGAGCCCTCGGATCCGTCAGCAGGGTCAAGACTTCTTCGCTCCAAACAAAGAGGCCGGAGCTCGTACATACTTCATGCATCACATCCTGCACGACTGGAGTGACAAGTATGCCTTGAAGATCTTGGAGCCTATTGTGAAGGTCATGAAGCGAGGCTACTCGAAGCTGTTGATCCACGACTTAGTCTTACCGGACGCCGGAATTACAAGTTATCAGGCAAGATTCGATATGGCTATGAGGACTTTCAACGCTGGCATGGAGCGAAGCCGATCTCAATGGCAGAGCCTGCTGGGTGCGGCAGGCCTGGAGGTTGTCCAGTTCTGGCACGGACCAGACGGTGAAGATGCTGATGGGATTGTGGAGGCCGCGCTTAAGGAGTAGCGTTAAAGTAGTGTCTATTCGCATATCAAGCAATTCTCAGACTTCCACAGAGAACGGGTAATCAGTCATACCGATGTGCGGGTCTGGCAGATTCCCGTACTTAGCGACAGGTTCTGTGCTGGAGACATACCACGTCTTCGGGTCCGTCGCGCTGAGCGGGCTCAAAGGTATTCCTCGCTGGATGCGCTGGTAGTAGTCGGGATTATTGATCAGAGGACGCCCGATTACGACAGCGTCTCCGACACCAGACTCAAGCAGTTGTTCTGCCTCCTCGGGCGTGATGTTCCCGTTCAGAAGGATGCGTGTATTAGAGTTGCGGATCAAGGGCGTGAAATTTTCCCAAACGTCCATGTTGGTAGATCTTTTCTTGCCATCAACGATCATTTCGAAGAAGTCGAGATATCGGACCAGCTGAATGTACCCAGTTCCTCGAGCAACCAACGCTCTTATCAGTTCGCCGTACGTCTCCAGCGTATCTTCCAAAGACATTCCCACATCGTTGTAGCCGCCCGTGGGATTCAGCTTGATGCCGATGCACCCAGGTGGATACACTTGGGAAATGCCATCAAAGACCTCCAAAGCGAAACGCAACCGATTCTCGACTGACCCACCCCACTCGTCAGTGCGATTGTTTGCGGTCGAATCAAGGAACTGTGTGATGAGATAGCCGTTGGCAGCATGAATCTCCACACCATCGAAGCCAGCAACTTTCGCATTCTTGGCACCTTGCACGAAACGCTCCACCAAGACTCTCGGGTCTGGAACTGCCTTCCCAGCCACATAACCGGGGCGGCCTGGAAGATTGCGAAACTTTCCACCTCGTGCACTAATAGTGGACGATGTCCATACGGGCTCTTTGGAGGCGATTTGCTCTGGCATGTCCGGATGCGCAACACGTCCCACAGACCACAGCTGGCAGTAGATCTTGCCGGCACGATCATGAACCCGGTTGACGATTCGCTTCCAGGCCTGGGTCTGCTCTTCACTCCAGATTCCTGGCGCATAAGGCCACTCGGTCCCTTGCTGATAGACAAGCGTGCCTTCTGTCAAGATCAGGCCGAGTGACCACTACTCGTCAGAGAGGGACATGGATGTTGTCGAGTGAACTCACCGATCTCTGCTCGTAATACAGCTCCGAAGCCTCCGTTAGAACATTAGTGGGACGGGAGCGGTTTCGTGTGAGACTGGACATGACGACTCGATTTTTCAACAGTACACTGCCAACCTCCAATGGCTCTGCCAATTTTGGAAATCTCGGCGATGTCGACATGGTATGGGAAGATGACGGCCTGCAGAGTTGTGCCGGTTGAGAGCTGTTGAATCAAACCCAATCTCAATATACCAGAGCCTGATATATGATAAAGCCTGCAGCTGCTGAGTGATATCAGTCAGCCATGCGCGCCATGTTTCACGACAGATTCTGTGCTTGCCAAGACGACCGGATGGTATCGGCCGCCTGGATGGGCCAACGCTGTCAGCACCGCTGCAGGCTTAGTTTGACATCTCAGAGATTGTCTGATAAAGACATAAAAACCGGACTTATGAGATCGTATAGTCCATGGCTTTTCTCAATCCCGTTCGTATCCATGTAGGCAACCCTACAGACAAGCGAGGTCGTGCTCGTCACAAGTGGGGAGGACATGCCACTCGGAGTCTCATCTTGCATTCGGTCTTGACACACCAAGACTGATCATTGATGATGAAGACTACGATCCATGTTCCGGCATCTCGAAATGGCGAGCTTCTCTTCAGGACTGATGCGACCGCTGACCATATGAGAAGCTTGTATAAGAAGCTCGTCACACTGGACTACGCTTCTTCATGTTCTGCATGCGACAATATGTTAATGGCGATGTGGTGGTGATCGAGAGTCGACAGGAGAAGTGAGGTGAGGTGAGAAAAGAGTTTGCGCTACGCCCAAACTTTACCCGTCCCCCTTTTTCTTTCCTTCCATCTCTACTAAACATCAACTAGGAATATGCTCTCATCGCATTCTTCACAGAACAGGCGTTTAACGACTCTTGCCATCAGGTTCGCTCAAAGTCACAGATCTGGTCAATCCGCAAACGCGGTCAAAGGTGGTATGGCTGGCCAAAAAGCTGACCATCTTCCATTGAGCTACGCTGAGCAGATTGAATCCTAATCGAGGCTTTGCACTGAATCAGCTTGAACTTCCCTCTTGTAACAGCCACTTGAATCCCTCCAAAGTATCTCGGACGAACTGCTTGCTCTGTTCCATCAAAGGCCAATTCGTCCAGAACCTGTGAAAGGTCAGTCATTGTGTGAGGTGGAGATCAGATCGATGGCTTACATGTGGCCATATCCATCATACACCTGTAGCCGGCTCTTGCCTCCGTTCTCCTTGAACACTCGATCCCAAATGATGGCCTCATCCCTTAGCGGATCCAATCCACCGACTTGCAGATAGCAGGGTGGTAGATTCTTCATGTTGGGATGTATTAACGGGCTGAACAATGGATCCGGATTGCCTTCTCCGGCAATATTGGGAGGCATGGTGACCCTGAGGAGATCTCCAAGAATTGGGTCGTTGAGGCCGGAGTCGTATCTGCTTTGGAAGTCTTCCTTGTACTCCTTCGGCACCACGTCCTGCCACAGCAGCGAGGGCACGCATAGGTATTGCCCAGTCAAAGGCGGACTCAGTCCTTTATCACGACCCACCTGGCACATCACAGCGGACAGATTACCACCAGCTGAAGCTCCTCCAACGATGAAGCCCTTCTTTAGGTCTGCTGGTAGTTCAGATCTTCCAGGGGATGCTGTCTTTGCGGCCCATTGAATCACGTCGTAGCAGTCCCACACACAGCATGGCCATGGATACTCAGGACCTAGGCGGTAATCGACGTTCACGCATACGGCACCCAAGTCTCTGGAGAACATGCGGCAATTCAGATCTTCATCGGTCAAATCGCCTGCCAACACATCAGTATGGCGATCTCACGGTCCAGCCGATATGCACCTACCCATCGCCCAACCGCCCTCATGCAACATAACGACCAGCGGCGAAGCACCATCCTGTGGAGGCTTGGCGGGCTTATAGATCTTGACAGGTATTTGGTAGCCATCACGAGCCTCCACATGGTGCATGCTCTCACTAACATGCTCTGGAATCGGTCCTGGTATCGGGTAGAGATGACGCAGCTTGGCCAGATGTTCTGCACGAACTCTACGCTCATCCAAAACGTCCTTCTCGTGCTTGAAGGGGGGATATTTCTTGACTTCCTGCGAAGAATTTCAGCCTTCTTCAAGTAAGTGTTGAGGTTTGTGTTCTACTGCAGCCAAGACTGGGCTAACTGTGCCCATGCGGCGACGGTCTTCTTCACTGATCGTCATGGTGGGCTATGACCGGTAGATTTGATCAAGTGTCGAGGTCAAAACATCAATCGCTCGGGATCAAGGTGGCATCAAATAGCTCGACCTTCTGCTGACGTGTGAAGGCGGGGTTGCTTCTCCGCTCCTTCTGAGATGGGAATCTGTTCACATTTGTTGGTGTTGATCCAGGCAACGTCTTACGATGGGGGCGTTAGCCATTTATACTCTGTACGCGGACTAATGGTGGCGATTACGAAAGAAGCAAGCCCTGCGATTCAACCAATCACTTTTCGAGCCAGCAAGGTTTCAGGCTACACATAGTTGGCCTCTACTCGGACTTCACGTCCACCACTAAAGACCTCTTACAATCTCAAACGGAGAACGGAGCCCTATTCGAGCCCCGTATCTTGGCCAAGCTAAGCTACCAGATTGGTGGCAGGCTTGAGATGTTATGAGGCAACCATCCTGGATCTTGGCAAGGCTTCGACATGGACACCCTGGCAACATCAAACCTTGAAGCGACGTCCGACTGCTTCGGTCAGCGCGCGAACAAAATCACAGTGATCGGCAATGGTCGAATCGATGTTCTTCAGCATGACTCCATGCTTTAGCTAGCCCTGGACCATCGCCCCAGCCAAAGGATCTGAGAACCTGGATGGATTGTTGACTGCAGATTTGGCTAGCACCACGACGAGGATGTAGACATTGCTTCTACGCACTCGCGACTCCAGTAATACCAGGCCCGCAGGCCAGATCCCCAGATGTTGATTCTTTGTTCCTCAACCCTCGATCGATGAAGTCTGCACACAAGACTGCCCTTCCACATCCGGCCTCCAACAAAAACCATCTCAGCATCTTTGTCCAAACATGCAGCCCATCCTCTCCTCTCACGATATTCCATCGCCCTGTGAACTACCCTCGCACAACAGCGTAAACAACCACCATGCCCCGCCAAGAAAAGCTCGCATTCACGCGGAGACCAGCGAAGGTACTGGGAGGAGCAGGCCACAGGCCATTGCGCAAGTCGGACCTGCTGCCACCACGCTTCAAACAGCGAATCGGCGAAAAGGCGAAGCTAGATAAAGACGTCCACGCACTGAATCGACCCGGAACAGCTGAGCCGCATCTTCCAACACCACCGCCGGCACCCTTTCCGGAAAAAGACTCCTCAGAAGAAGAAGAAGAGCCCGCACCCGAAGACCTCCTCAAACGGACTAAATTTAGGTATAAGAAAGCGCAGAAATCGCGCAAGGAAGCCCAGAAAGAATACAACCGCGTCAAAGACCCCGAGGACGGCAGCCTAGAATCTCGAATCGCATACGCTATGCTGGAGGACGCCAGCACCTGGGAAACCCGCTACAAACGGGAATACAAAGACGCCAAGCGCGGGGAGGACACGACGGACTACCTGGGCGAGATCCGCAAAGAGGAGGAAGAGCGATTCGGTCGGCCGCTATGGCGACGAGGGGGGCGTTGGCCGGAGCCGGGGATTAAGGAGGTGCCTGGGGAGACTCGTGAGGAGACGTATGGGAGGATTGTGATGCGGCGGGGGTATGATCCGGATATTCCGAGGGTGCCTAAGTATCAACGGCCTTATTACTGTGGTGGGGAAGGGGAGAGGACGAGAAGTGGGAGGTTGGTGAGTCGGGAGACTGAGGCTGAGGGTGAGGGTTAATGTCGAGGGAGGGAGTTTGGTTGTATGCTGTGCTCCAGAGGCTTATGCTTGCACTTCCGATCCGGTCCATCGTCTCTCCTGATTCATGGGTCAAGTGGTTACTTCCAGGTAGCTTCTGTTGTTATTCAACCCAATGGCATTTTCGTGTGGCAGCAGTTCTTGCGCTACTTCCAGATCCGGATTCCTCGGTGCACAGGGATCGATTCTTTGTCTATTGTTGCGAAACGGGATCAACGGGATCAAATTGTCTTTCAATCGACCCCATCTCGACTCTAGGGTCTGAAGACTTTGAGACCGCATCCGGCGAACCTGGAAAGCGTCAATGAACAACATCATGTCTTTGTCGGCACAGGTACAATACGCCCAGTCCTGCAAGGGGTCCCCATGCTCCTGGACTTGACCTGCTCCACAACTTGACAGCCAGCATAACTTCGTTCGACCATGGCGCCCAAGAGGCAAGAGCCTATCGACGACGGCCCAGCCGAACTCTTCACATCAGAACATGCCGCAGATTTCGAAGACGAGTACAAACTTCCCCGAGGAAGCGTGACCCACGCCTACCGAGTCCGTTTCGGAGAGCTAGCCCGCCTGGTCCTCACCGAGCTCCTTGAAGTCCGTCCAACAGTAGACGCCCAAGGCAACATCATCTGGCCTCCACTCCCCACCCTGAAGCGCAGCAATGCCACGGCTGGGTCCAGCAGAAAGGCTTCACAGGAAGACTTCGAGATGGCTATAGATCCCTCTGACGAAGACGACGAGCCCCTGCAGCCCGTCGCTGGTCCAGGTCTGAAGCGCAGCAATGCTGTTCGCGGAAGGCGGGCCAGGACTCCCAGTCCAACTCCAATGCCTCTGCAGCGCCGAGGAGCGATCAGGAAGTCTTACAATCCGGTTGCGCCCGCCTCGAAGTGGGCTGCATCGATTATTCTCGACTCGGCCAAAGCAAATGCACCGCTAAGGAGCCCGTCAAGTGATGAGGCCAGCCCTCGGGTCAGGAGAACTACACGTTCTGGAAGAGGCAGCAAGCAAACGAGCCCGACCAAGCAAACGAACCTCAGGAGAAGTCCAACGAAGAAGAAGACGAGTCCCACGAACACGAACCCGTTCAGCAACCAGTTCGGCCCATATCACTCTTGAGCTTGGGAGTAGTTAATAATGAAATTCGAGTGCTTGATCCGCCCGTTTGGCTCAGTTGAATTCCGTTTTCAAAACGTCTACATTCATCTTATTTGCCTCCAAGCCCTGTGCAGTCATCAGCAAGAGTCGAGGCGGCGTAAGTCTGGGTATCATCGAAGAATCTCTGCTCTCATTCTTTGGGCCTTCACGTCCCGCTCGCCTCCCTGTAGAAGGCCAGAGTCTTGCCGGCACCCGCAGTGACAAACACTTCGTTGCGGGCTGTTGGCGAGTGATAGACCCATTTGACGCTCCACAGACACTTCTCGCTCTCAGTCTGCGTAGCCACACATTCCCTCCGCTCGACGCTCCAGATCTTTGCCTTGCCGTCTTGTGATCCGCTGAGCAGGTACTCGCCATTCCAGTTCCAGTCGAGGCTCATGATCCATGAGCTATGGCCGGTGAGGTTGGCGACCTGTTCTCCGCTCTTGGTGTCGTAAAGTGCAATTATCCGCGAGTCACCAGTGGCAGCCAGGTATGTATTTGCCGGGCTGAACTTGACCGCACGCACGGGCTTGATCAGACCCGCAAGAGAATGGGCAAGCCGCCGTGTGCTGTTGTTGAAGATGTAGATACTGCCGTTTTGGTGTCCAGAAGCTGTCATCTCTCCATTGGGGGAGACATCGACGCTCATGCCAAAGAAGCCTTTCGTCTGGTATTCGGTGATCTTCTCTGCCTTGCCGTCTGAGATCGTGTTGGTGTCGTATACGTTGATGCGGCCGTCTGAGGTGGTACAAGCAAGATATTGACCATTCTCGCTCAAGGCGGGAGCCCAGTGTTCGCCAGCGTTCTTCTCTGCTACAATAGTCGTGTCAGCACGCAGCTATTCTCAACATGAGGAAAGGTTATCAGGAAATATCGCACCCACAATGATCTGGCCCTTCTCTTTCCATTCGCCATCTTCGGCGCACTCCCAGACCTTCAACTCCCCGCCAAAACCAACGCTCGCCGCGACTCTTCCATCCAAGCTTGTGGAAACATGGTGACAGCCCAGCTTATGCACCTTCTCTAACGTCTGTACCAAAGGATATGGATTCTCATCTTCAGCAGTATCGGCATGGATAGCTTGACCTTTGGTGCGGTAGATCTTGATGCTCGACGATCCGGACGCGGTGAGGAGATGCGAAGGCGTGATGGCGAGAGAGAAGATGTCGGTCGGGTGCGCGTCGGGGATGGTGAGTGTTTGGAGGTATTGTTTCGACATGGCGGCGGATGCTATCGTTGGTGATGCATTTGTGCTTGGTGGGACTTTGGAGGCCTGGAGTTCAGAAATTGAGGTGACGTTTGGCGTTTGGCGGGGCTTCACTTGCGCGCCGCGCTAGTCACGCTAGCACGTGCTTAGTGATCTCTACTGGTGTAAATGGAAGGCACGGCTCAGTCGAGGTCGCGTCCACACTTCAACCATCTGTTTCTATTCGCAAAGACGAAAGGTTGAGATTTGCTTCGACCAACACGTTTCATGCAAGCATCTGTACCACACGCAGTATCCACCTTGCGACTAACAGCTCCGACAGTGTCTTATCGCCATTAGTCGCACCTTTGTCCTCGACTTGCATGCCCTGGATCAAGCGCACGAACCATTGAGCGGGCGTGGACCACCCCAATCAACCCGATGACTTCTCCGCCTGGACCTTTGGTCGTTCACACTCCCAGCAACCTTTCGACATGACTCCGGCGGCCATCTTCTCCAGCAGTCCAGTTATGGACACCCTCGCACAACTTCACGATCCTGCCATAGTGGTATGGATCACTGCAGTCGCATCTGCAGCTGTGTTCATCCCTCTGCTTCTCCTCTGGTTTCGCCCAAACCTCAGCAAACTCAGGAGCTGGCTTCAATTCGCCACAAACCCCTCGACTACAAGCAAGGCCAAGGCTCCCTCTACAGAGAGCAGCAACGACAGCGACAGTGGTTACGCTGGCAGCGAGCCTGAAACCAATAGCGAAGACGGCGATTCACCAGACACAGCAGAAACTCCACAATGCGGCGGTATCCTCGACGAAGAAGACGAATCGGATGAGAACTGCGATCTGCACCGCGCGATCCGCCTTTGCCAGCAATCAGCGACTCCCAAGCGCGCACCGCCCAGTCCGTACAGCCGGGACTTCGAAGTTTTCAGTAGCTTCCTCACAGCGACAGAGGAGAAGGCGAAGCGGTATCGGGACGCCAGATGAGCAACGGCGGGAGCCTCGAAGCATTAGCTGAGGGCTGGAAGGATGGGAGCCAGTGGTGTCTTGTCGACGTTGAACCAGGTCTTGCAGGATGCTTGATGGGAGTGGCAGCGTAGTCTGCGGACCTTTCTGTCCAAATGGGCGTACAGAAGACGCTCGAGATCAATGGAGGCGACGAGTCGGCATGTTGTCCTAAGGCATTGTGAAGTCTGTGGGAAAGGACAAGCTCGAGGCGCACGGATTGATGGTCGCGAACGATGGCGTTGTAACAGGGCCGAGTTGTTCAGAAGTTTGGCGTGGAGATGATGGTGGTGGTTGAGAGACTGTCGATATAATAGAAGTGTTCAGTCTCGCGCCTCACGCCCTCGCGGCGCTCAGTGAGTGGCTTTTTTGGAGGGAGTCGGCCACATAGGTCTGTACCAGTTGATTGTCTTTCAATACTTTCTTCTCTTCCATTGCTTCATAACTCCATATCATCGTCATCATCCGCATATCTCCCACTGCTCCCAAACCCTCCTCCCTCCTCCATCTGATCTCTCCTCGCCTCTTCCCTCGACTTATTGATCCTCCTCAATCCATCCACAACACCACCCACAAACCCTCTGACTTCTGCAATCTCCATGCCACCAACCCCATTCATCTTCACACCCGCACTCGACTCCAAGACCTTGAAACCTTTCCGTAACTTGCTCATCCTGACTTCTCGCAAATCTCTTACAAGCCGTCTGACTGAGTCCGGATCGTCGAAATCGTCGGCCGCGTGTGTGAGCAGGAGATGTGAAAGCTCCAGCCAGTGGTATGGCAATGCGTTCTCTTGTGCTCGCGAAGTACTCGAGTCCTTCAGGAAAGGAGCGGACATCTCCAGCGTGTGATTGCTGAGATATGGATCTTCTGGCATGTTCACGCTTGATCTAGGAGCTGGCAAGTCTGGACTAGGCGAGAAGACGCCGGCGAAGTTGTTATCGGTCTCGAAGTCGAGGATCTGCTCTAGAGCGGGGACGCTAAGCCATGGCGGGGGGGAGATATTGGCTCGTTTCTGGCGTTTGAGGAGGAGAGCGAGCCAGAGTGGTAGCTGGGCTGGGAAGGGCGGTTTGAGAGCTTCTGTTGGTCCCTGACAAACATAATGTCAGTACACAGTCTCTGATATGATTCTAGAGCGCAAGTCTTACTACGCTGGCCTACTCACACCAAGCAACTCGAGGGAGTCTAGTCGTTGTCGTGGGATCACCGTGACAAGCTCCATTTCGCATAAGAAGCCGACTTCGTTTGGCGTGAGGCCGGGAGGAAGGAGGAGCGCCATGTCGGTGTGCTGCTGTCAGGCATTGCGTCCTCAGAGCATGATGTACAATGGGGAAGAAGGCGGATGAAGGTGGGACGCGACGTGGTGAAGTCGCGTTTCACTCCTCCACCAATGAAAAGCCTTCAAAGCGGAGTGCAACTTCAACCTCACCTCGTTGCCGTCAAACTGTCCTCACCATCCACAATCAAAGAGCAGCCAAATGGGTAGACATTCCCCTCATACATCAACGCGGTGGACAAGACAGACCTCATAACAACCATGGCGACCGCATTAGCATCTCTTCTCGCCCCGCTCAACCTCTGGTTTTCGGCCGTCAACCACGCCGTCAAAGAACCATACCTCGTAGGTAGCAGCCCGCGCTCAGGTAGGTGGATTCTTTCTCATACATCTCGCAGGACGAGGTCTTTCACGTGCGGCAGGCCCAGCATTACTGCAATGGCAACTTTGAAATCTGGGATCCGAAAATCACCACGCCTCCAGGACTTTACGTTCTCTCCTATCTCTTCAAGCCAGTGCTCGGTTGCAGCATCACCTCTTTGCGTGGGATCAATGCGATATGCACCGTCGCTCTGGTGGTCATGTTGCGAGCGACGTATTCTGTTCGGAGAGAGGCCAACAATGAGAAGGGAGCGGTGAGCGGCTTGCTTGCAACGCACAGCTCGCTGAACATTGTGCTCTTCCCGCCGCTGTTCTTCTTCTCTGCGCTGTACTATACCGATGTGGCTTCGACACTTTCTGTCACGATCTTCTACTGGTACTTCATTCGAACCATCCCGAAGAAGCGCGCCACTTTCATCCAAGGCGCCATACAGGTCTTGCTAGGGTTGATCAGTTTGACGTTCAGGCAGACCAACATTTTCTGGGTTGCAGTCGCTCCCGCGGCTCTGATGCTTATTGTCGAGCTTGACAGAGGGCATCGAGTCGTCAAGGAGTCCATGTACAGAAAAGCTGCTGGATTCGGCGATAACATCATCAGTGTTGCCAAGACGAGCTGGAAGATGGAGGTTATCTACGACCCTCCAATTCGAGATGCCTGGTTTGAAGGTATGCTAGATCGCCAAGTTGAAATCCTTCTTCACTAACGATGTGACAGACTTCTTCCGAACGATCGTCTCCATCGTCGCCTGCGCCTGCAAAGCTGCCACCCAACCACAACGCATCTTGGACCTAATCTCAGCTCTGGCCCCATACATCGTCCTCATCGCCTCCTTCGCAGCCTTCATCTTCTGCAACGGCAGCGTCGTCCTCGGCGACAAATCCAACCACATCGCCACCATCAATCTCCCACAAATGCTCTACCTCTGGCCCTTCATCACCTTCTTCTCCTGGCCCCTGCTCCTCCCGCACTTCGCCCTCCTCCCCTTGACCATCCTCTCCCGCATCGGCGAGCTCGCCCACCTGGAACCCCTCCTCATCTTCCGCCGCCGCTACTTCCTCCCGCGCCTCAGCCTCCTCCTCGGCTTCATCGCCCTGGCCTTGCTCCTCGTCCACTTCAACACCATCGTGCACCCCTTCCTCCTCGCCGACAACCGCCACTTCCACTTCTACATCTCCAGGCGCCTGCTCCGCCCCTGGTGGGTCCGCTACGCCGTCACACCACTCTACATCCTCACAGCCTGGGCCTGCATCGAAACCCGCGGCGAACCCGTCCCCTCGCCCAAAGCCGCTACAGGCCTCAACCACGCCGCCAAGTCCCAAAGCACCGCGGATACCCTCGGGATGACCGACTCCGAACGCCGCGCCTGCCTCCCCGACGGCAAATCCAGCAGCACCGTCTCCTTCACGCTCGTCAGCCTCGCCACGACGGCTCTCTCTCTCTGCACCGCACCGCTCGTCGAGCCGCGGTACTGCATCATCCCGTTCATCATCTGGAGAATGCATCTTCCGCTGTATACTGTTGACGAACACGCCGCGAGCGGAGCGAGGAGCGATTCGAGCAAAGCGAAGAGTGGTAAGGGCAGGACTTGGAAGGCTTTTCTGGAAGCGTATGACTGGAGAGTTGTGGCGGAGACGGTGTGGTTTCTGGTCATTAATGCTGTGACTGGGTATATCTTTATCAGCTGGGGATTTGAATGGCCTCAGGAGCCGGGCGTTGTGCAGAGGTTCATGTGGTAAGGCGTTACGAAGAGCCTACTAGGAGAATTTCTTGAACAGAAAGAGAGCAACCGTAGCTAATACAACCCCTTTTTGATCTGTCTATACACTGTATAAAACCCCCATCTATAACCCCCCTCAACCCCCCTCCCCACCTCCCACTCAACTCAAATCCCCTCCAAAACACTCTCCACCCTCGCATACCCCAACCGCCTCCTCACACTCAAATAATACTCATACACCCTCAACCTCACCGCAACCCTCACATACGTAAACGTCGCCAGCCCCACCCTGACCAAATTCCCCGGCCAGAAAACACTCCCCTTCACCCCCTCCAGCTGCTCCTCCCACACGCAATGCGCCGCATACCGCGCCAGGATCAAGAAACTCCGCACGGGGCCGTGGGTCGTGTGGAGGTTCTCGTCCAAGGCGCGGGTGAGGTCGTTGGTCTTCAGGATGAGGAGGATTACGCGCGGTACGCGACCGAGGAGGCCGACGAGTTTCTCCACGAGGTCTTGGCCGAGGGCGTCGGACATGGTGCGTTTTTCCTCGGCGTTGCGTTCGGACGTTATTGATGTCGTGACGACGTTGTAATCGCGGCCCGTGATGGCGGATGCGAAGATGGGGAATTCGTCGTCGCCGATGCCGGCGATTTCGTAGGCGTATTTGCGCATGCGTGGGATGTCCGTGTCCAGGACCGCGAGCCACATGTGGGCGTAGGCGCGGCGGAGGTGCAGGGGGATGTCACGGTAGAGGCCGTGGTCGTAGAGGACGATGTCGAAGTTGCGGGGTTTGCGTTTCGAGGGGTTGAGGCGGATGGCGAGGTTGCCGCCGTGCGGGTCGCAGTGTAAGGGGGCTCCTTCGCCGAAGATCATTTCGTTGAAGATGCGCGCTAGAGCGGCGGAGACTTCGTCGCGTGAGATGCCGTTGGCGTCGAGGAAAGCGAGGTCGTCGGGCCGGTGGCCTGTGATGAACTCCATGACGAGAAGTCGTCGTTCGGCCCACCGCACTTCGGGGACGACGAGAGGCGTGTTTTTGATGTGGCTGAAGTACTCTTTCGTTCGCATGGCGTTTCGGCCTTCTTCCCTGAAGTCCAGCTCTTTAGGCAAAGATACCTCCATCTCTTCGCTCAACCACGTCAAATCGTACTCTGGAAACCAGTACCTCAAGGTTTTGAACGTGAAGTTTGTCAACCACATATCCAGACTCGCCCATTCATCCAATGCAGGGTGCTGTACTTTCACCGCGACCTTCTCCCCGGTGCCCTTCAATCTCGCAATGTGCACTTGCGCCAGACTTGCTGCCCCAATTGGCTCCGCCGCAAACTCCTCAAAATAGTCCTCCAAGCTCTTACCCGTATCCTTCTTGACCATCTCATCAATGCTCGAGAAGCTGCTCACAGGACACTGATCCTGCAGCGGGATGAACGTCTCGCACCACTCGTTCGGCAGCAAGTAATTCAAACTTGTCAAATGCTGACCCAGCTTGATGAAGATACTGCCATTCTTCTCCATCGCCCGCAGCGTCCTCTCCGCACACCTCTTATGCACTTTCGAGATATCCTCCTGAAACTGCGGATCGCCCCAGTCTTCGCGCTTGAGAATCTTGAGGTAGTCGCGGATGCAGAGGTACAGGACGATTCCCACGCGACCACAGCGTTCTGTCGCGATGTATACATGTCGCGCTTGTTCGCTGAAGGCCAAGGCACCCATCCCCGTGACGAAGATTATCGTTGCCGCGATGGCGACCTTGCGCCTTTCTCGCGGAATTTTGATCTGGCCGCGCCATGCTCTTTTGCCCGCTTGCGAGTACCATTGATGCGATTTTGTTGAGAAGGATTGGGTTGTGAGTTCATGGCGAATCGCTCGAGCGGCGAAGGCAGTATTTCTCGAGAGGCATTGTCGGCATATCCAAGGACTCGAGTTGCCAATGCTTTGTCGCGAGATTGATACGGTCTGCCGAGGCAGGCTTGTCGATATTGTCGCCTGGAGAGTCCATGGCGAGAAAAGTGGTCTCATCGCATCGTATCAAACAGCATTGAATCGCAGAAAACGAGGTAAACTTCGTTTCTTGCGATGGAAGAGGGCGAAAAACAAAGATCACACGATTCCGGGGAGTTGGGAGAGTTTTTGGGGAGGATCGATGCCGTCACTTTGCTAGCGCCCTCGGGTCGGTACGACGGTCAGATCTGCAGCAGGGGCACGTGCTTCTGGAAAGTCGATGAATGAATTGGTTTGAGAGAATAGTCATTTGCAGAGACCATGGAACGAGTCCATGTTCTGATTCATACAGTATGTCGTGCTGGTGTCGTGGCTCATGAAAATCATGAACACCTGCACATGTCCGACCCTCATACGCCATCAACTCCAACGCTAATTGTCAAAGCACTCGAAACTCGCTGGAAGAGTATGTCCTCCCACCCAAAACCGCAGCATCGCAGCAATTGCCGACTTAGTTGTATGTCGGCCATCGTAGTATCGACACACAGTCTAGGGTGCCGGATTATCCTTGACCACCTGTCGGACCTTCTTCTCGTAGCCACTCTTGTCTTTCTTAAAGAGGTTGTAAGCTTCTGCTTGGGCCGGCGAGTCCATGTTGACCTCGTCGAGCAGCATTTGAATACCGAGCAGAATCTCCTTAATAGTGATGGCGGGCTTCCAACCCTCCTCCTCGTTGAGAATGCTGAGGCAGACGGTGCCGGAGGGATACACGTTCGGGTGAAAGAGCGGCGGAACGAACTTGCCTGTGATGAGTCAGTACTCGCTCATGGTCATCTCATGTCGAGGGTCATACACTTAGGTGGCTTCGTAGGGTACTCTGTGCGACGGTCAGCATTTTGTTGAGAGTATAGACTTGGGCACATTGCTCACCATCCGGGAAGAGAACCTCGAGCTTGAACAGACCGCCCTCCCAGATTGTCCTGTCCTTGCCAGGGATCGCACAGTCCCACTTCTTAAGGTCGAGGGCGCCTTGAGAGGTCTTCATCGGGCGTGCGACAAAGCCGAAGGGGTGGTCTCTGCGCCATTGCTTGCTAAAAAAGAGTCAGCCATGGCTGCTGGCAGTCTTATCCTCTTCGACATACCGTTCCTCTTGCAGGCGCGCCGTCGTGAGCGACATGTTGACGGGGGTGTGTGGTGGTCGTGGTTGTGTTGCAAGTGGAGGTTGTTCGGAGGGCGAGTGGAGGGCGAGTGGTTGTCGGAGGAAGGTGCGTTTGCCGGTGACTAGAACGCTTCAAAGTCGCGCGACTGGTGGCAGGTGCAAACGGCGCGCAGAGTGTCCAAGTGAAGGGCAGGAACGACAGTTTGACAGCACGGAAAGGCTTCACTTCACAGAACGCCTCGTGTGGCACACAGGCATATCCCGGCTGTCACATGCGATTGGCTGAACTCTTATCGATAGGAACCGTCGCGGCGGATACTGCGCTGTGCTGCCGAGGACTTAGACTGCTGCCCAGATTACTCGACCACCTGCGTCGGCCTAATTCACTCACCTCACTCCTGACATACGCAACATTGCACGTGCTGATCTGATCGCCGTCATATGAGTCGTATCCGGCGACTCGAAGCAAACACTTCACCATACTAGAACAATCCCACCGCCTTGACGCTCTACCCCGCCTACAACCTCGCACCACCTTCGCCATGGCCGAGAAGGTCCCCGAGAAGATAAATCCCGAGACAGCGCCAGACCCGGACGAAGACGACCTGGACGACCTGGACGACGTTCTCGACGAGTTCCAAGCAACCTCAATATCGGAAAAGGCCAAACCTACATCCTCCACCGCCCCTGCAGCATCAGGTCCCGGCAGACCGACTACCAGCGACGATGCGTCGCAACCAGCCGCAGACCTTTCGGAAGAAGACTTCGCCAAACAGCTACAATCTGGCATGACTTCGTTAATCTCGGAGCTGGACTCGAACCCGGAAATGCAGCAGGAATTCGAGAAGATGATGCAAGAATTGATTGCGGCTGGAGCGGCAGGGACAGACCAACAAGCCGGTGAACATCTCAAACAAGCTGCAGAAGCCGTGCCGAAGGCCCCAACAGCAGACGAGAGCAGTAAACCAAAGACTGCGGCGGCGAGCAGCAAGAAGGGTTCAGCTGGAGGAGATGATTTCCAAGACACAATCCGCCGGACAATGCAGCGCATGCAAGCTTCAGATTCCGGCGCAACAGCAGCCTCCACGGCGCCTCAATCCGAAGAGGATGTCCTGGCGCAGATGATGAAAGAGCTGACTGAAGGCGGAGGAGGTATGGGTGGCGGTGGAGAAGACTTTAATGCCATGCTCATGTCCATGATGGCACATTTGACAAACAAGGAGATCTTGTACGAACCGATGAAGGAGTTGAGCGATAAGTTCCCGGCATGGCTGGAGAAGAACCGAGAGAAGACACCCAAGGACGAACTGGAAAGATATGAAAAGCAAAGGCAGCTGGTCGGCGAGATCGTGGCGAGGTTTGAGAAGCGTGGATACAGCGATGACAACGAGGAAGACAGGGAATATATCGTGGAGAGGATGCAGGAGGTGAGTAAATACATGACCTCAGAGCAGCTGATTTGTAACAAAGCTAACATTGATTCTCTGCCAGATGCAAAGTCAAGGATCACCTCCATCCGATCTTGTAGGCGACATGTCCGCCGCTCAAGACGCCCTGGGAGATCTAGAGTCTGGATGCCCGACGCAATAAGGAATTCATTTCCTAGGACGGACATATATCCTCGGAATAATCTGTTGCGCCTGGGATCGGCGATAATTGTGCATGTCTGAAACATCCGTGATACCCACTGGAAGAGGTCATATATATCCTCCCATATTCCATATTCCCACAATGCAAAAGTTGCAATCCATCTCAAACCCAACCAAATCCCCAACCCTCTCCGAGATCACCACTCACCCACCCTCCAACCCCCTCCACCTCATCCACCACCGTCTCAAAGGCGGTACATCCACCCAATAAAGCGTCAGCGCAGCAACCAAAAGTGTGAAAGGAATTGCAGAAGCCCAGAACGCCCACTGCGTCGAAGGCATCTGCCGCACGTCCGCCGTATTCATGCCGAAGACGCTAGACACGAATGATAGGGGCAGAAAGAGGACGGTGACGACGGTGAAGACTACTGCTGCATTCGATCGCCAATCCTGGACTTCGTCGAGGCGGGCGCGACACTGAAGAGGTTAGTTTAGGAAGTTTGCCAGACCTGTGTCGGGAAGAGAGGCCTACCTCGTCACGCATATGTCCAATCTCTGCCGTCCACACCGGAACCATTTGCAATCTCTCACTAGTAGTCTCCAAGCACCTCGCCAAAGTCCGCAGAGCGCCGCTGTACTGGTACTCGCCAGCATGCAAGGCTTTGACCACCCCATCGCCGTAGGATGAGTCCCTTGGGATGAAGTCTGGCAGACCCAGCTGGAGGTAGAGGCCGTCGACCATTTTCTCGAGGACCTCCAACTGCTGCCACAGAAGAGCGTCGAAGGCGGATAGCTCGTACTTGAAGTACCGTAGTCTTGAAAGGGGACCGAGACTCGGCTCACCTAGACGAGCGCTGGTATCCTGTGGGTTTTGTTAGTTGGGCTGACCGGCTAGGCTCCATCTTAGTGGACTTACCAAGGTATTCATGTGGTCTCTGTAAACATCCATGATGTCGTCTGCGCCGTGGATAGGCTTGTGGACGAGACTTGAGAATAGTAAGGCCACAAGCCCGTCAAGTCCCACCGACTCGTGGTGAGCAATGTTTTTCTGAATTGCACCGAGAAGTAGGTCGTACACCTGCCGAAGCTGCCTCAAAGCTGGGATACTCAGAGATTCCACATTCCTTACAGATGGATGCTGTATAGTCTCCTTGAGCTCTTCCAGCACAGTCGAGACTATGTTGCAAAGGTCACTCAGGATTTGCGGCTCGTCCACGGATCTTTCCCTAAACTGTCTGCGTTCGTATCCATTCCGCTCCATCTCTATAGCGAGTCCGAAGAGCGGAGCACAAGTGTCAACGGTTCTGCAGATCTCAAATTCTTCTTGACGTCCAAATGGTTTGCTGGATGATAGAGATTCGAATACATCGGCCACCGCGGTCAGAAGCCTCGTTCCAGATCCCTGCAAGCCGGCAGGTCGTTGGAAGTCGACCAGCTGTTCGACGAGAGCAGTCAGAGCAAAAGCAAATGTGTAGTCGGGCTTTGCTTCAGACCAGTTGCTGTCGTTAGAAGTTGACCGTTCGGGCGGCGGCAGCCATTCCCAAGCGTCACACGACCTCTCAAGTCGCTGGGCGTACTCTTCCAAGCTGATGCCAGCGTCAGTGTCGCAGAGTCCCGATTGTGGTTTCGAAGACTGCGTAAAGTTTCGACTGTGTGCTTCATTGGCAAAGCGGCCACTGACAAGCTTCCTGATTCTGTCTTTCATCGCCTCGATATTGTTCGTCTCACTGTGCTTTGAGGATTGAGATAGTAGTTTCGAATCGCTTGTTATTCATCAGCAACGTCAAAGGTGCTCTTGGCAAAGACTCACTCTCTGTGTGAAAGATTCAAGACCACCACCCCATCTTCGCACTTCTCGATGACTCTTTGCCAGTCAGATCTGTTCACCGGCTCTTCTCCCCACTTTACTACGAAATCGTTGTCGAAAGAAGATGACACGGCTACGAAGTAGGAGGTAAAGTCCTATCGAAGTTAGTGAGGGCACCTCGTCAGGATGAGCTACTCACGAGCCAAGTGGCGCATCTATGAGGGTCAAGCAACCAGATCCTCTGGTTCGGAGATACCATCTGTAGGTTGGCCTGATGACTTGAATTGAGTGAATCCGGCAGCGGTCCAATCGAAACAACTTCGCCGCGCAAGCTCACACCGTCCAATGTAGAGCATGTGATTAAAAGCTCCGAACGGTAATGATCAGCCAGTGTAAATGACCTGCGCTTAGTCTTACCTTGCCGTCGTTGATCATCAAAAGCCACAATTGATCGACGTGTAGAAATTGATCAACATTTCGACCCAGTCACTGGCAGATGGCTTGATTGCAGTCATGGCGATGATCATCGATATGGCCATTTTTACTTTGGAACAATGTCAATCCAGGTTGTACTGAGGCCGCATCTCGACTAGATTTCCGATGAATCTCCAAGTGGAGGAAAGGAAAGCAAGCCGCGAACAGAGTCAATATTTCCTCATCCCGCGAGGCGCTGGTATGTGTCTTGGTCCGGGAGAAGGGCTTCAAATGGCGCTTCTTTTGTCCGTGCCGTGTAGTCGTCGTTTTGTCTCTCTTTAATCGCTGAACGAACTCGTCCAAGGGTGCTTTCAAGTCGTCGTTCGCACTGCAAACTTCGGCGACTATTCGCTACACAACACTCAGTTGTCTTGCAGAGATGATGCCGGATAATATCCATTCGGGCTCACCATATAGAGGTCAAAGTCCCACTCTTCTTGCACGATATGACTGCAGGCAGATCAACTCATGGTAGAAGGTGTCAAAAGCACCATCCACTTACACCCATCCAGACCTAAGTTCCCGTCTCAAACTCTGTGGCAGCTTCGTTGATTGTACATGCGCAGTTTTCCTGCCATTCTCATCGTCCTGCTTGAAAGTGCTGTATGGTAGACCATAAGTTTCGGTATGGGCACTGCTCGTGAAATCCAAGGATTGAACCGTCATGGCAGTGCCAGTTCCTGAGCATCCTTTGCTCGAACGATACACGAGATGTGTGGTGGGGACAAATTCTTCCAGTAATTGATGCGATCGCGGCTGCCTATCGCCAATCACGCCCCTGATAGCATGGCTGGGTCTTCCAGGAAGTCCGTCTTGACGTCGGTGGACGTGTTTGGAGGGAGGAGGATATAGAGGAGGGCTGAGAGGAGGAGTTTCAGTTGCTACGCTTGTGCGACTGCCATGGCCAGTTGTCTTTTGCTGGAGTGCAATGTAATCTTGAATCCATCGAAGGACCTGTTGGAGAGAGGGACCCACGTCCTGTTGCTGACCTACTACGTCCTCACTCTTGAGGCTGATCCTATCGATAGGATTGGCAGACTCTTCCTCAGGCATAGATACACCTTGTTGGAGCGAAGCGACGTTCGGAGTGTAAGGTTCATCGTCGGAAGTAGGGCGTTTCTCGGGGCCTGCAGGTTCAGCGCTTGTAGACGTTAGAGTCTCTTCCGCGCCATCTCCATCCGACCCAGGGTGGTGAGTTGACATTCTGGGCCCTGCGATTCGAAAGACTGTGCTTGGTGGTCTTCACCGTGCAATGCGTTGAGAACACAACCCTCCAAACGACGGCAAGCAGCAAGCACACTTAGCACTGTGGCCAAACCTCAGAGGGCTCACCGGTCTAGGTCACGCTTATGCAGCCATTCGGATCTCATGCATTTTGCATGGACAAAGAGCTCATCAGCTGCGTGCTGCTGTACAACCGGCCTCTTGGCTTGCTTTGCGCCGCAGATGGCGGGCCCGGCAGCGCCAAGGAGATCGAAACAAGCATGCTCGGTATGCATGTCTAGGCCTGGTTGCGCAGTAAACAAAGTGGAGAGATTGTTCTAGTCCCTCAGGTTGTTGGTGTAGAAGAAAGAGCAGGTGAAGTGCGAGCAAAGCAAACCTTGGAAGCAACGTTGCGGAGCTGGGTCCGAGCCAATGACAAAGGATCTACCCGTGGGATATGCAGGCTAGGAATTGCGACCCCGTCCTCCTCAAGAACCAGACATGCCAAAGAGCTGACGAACAACATTCGACGACATGTGCATAGTCGATGTTCCGGTATTATGGGTTGTCTCACAACTTTGAGTTGGTCTGAAAGGACTTTTGCACGTCAAGAGCACACTCAAGTCCTCATTCCTATGTATCACCCAGCGCTGTTGAAGCATTCCGCCCATTATTCCACCCTCCATCCATCCATCCATCACACTCGCACTTCCATATCTAACTATCAAAGTAGCATTTAGCATGCATATCGCACGAAAACGGCTCCACACCACACCCCTGTGTAGCACAGCTATCTGTCTGCGCTCCCGCGCCTGACCCACCCGTGCTATAAGACACACCTTTGTATCCAAAATCAATAGCACATTCTCCTCCAATAGCATCGAACGTGTAATGGATGCTCACAGAGCCATCATCGAACTTGCTGTCCGAGTACACGCAGTACGCCAAGTTGCCGTCTTTCGTGTTCTTCGGGTCTGGCTGACAGTTTACGTCCGTAACGTTCTGTCCATCGAGGGTGACGGTGGCGTACTTGCTGAAGAAGCTCAGCACTGGTGGGTCTCCTACGGGACCCACTAAGGAGATGGTTAGTGCGCACATGGTTGTGAATTATATTGGACTGGTATGTATTTGGGAAGGTGGCAGAGTCGCATTCGAATTGCACCAAGACGTTTCCGGACGTGCTCTTCTGGGCCATAGCAGGAGCGAGTGCTGCCGAAATGGCGAGGAGGGTAACGTGAGTGAATATCATTGTTGGAGATGGAGTATCAGTGGATGAAGTGTTGCTTGGAATGGCACTTCATACCGGCGATTGTGGCCCCTTTGTACCTTTCTCAACGAACGGCCCACGGTGTTGATGTTTCCGTGTTTACTGATTCTGTGTGTCGCGAACAGACGAAATACGTCAACCTGGATGTGGCAACAAGCAGCACCAGGGCATTGCATCGATGCCGTCTGGCTCATGGCATGACGGTTTCAAAGCTACTGTCTCGCCGTCGCTAAGACTCGTGTCGTGCAGAAGAGCCTTGCTAAGAAGATGCATCCGGTTTGTCAAGGTTGCATGGCGTTCAGATCGTGGATATGGAGAATTTTGCATTGGTTGACTCAACATGGAGTTGTGTAGAGTGGGCTCAACCGCTTGAGCACAGTAAATCGTCGATCCTCACAGCCCAGCCGTAGACACATCCGGATACACATACGGAAAAGGTCGTATCGGTATATTCCAATGATACTTGCACTCCGTAAGATAAAGTCAGGACTACTTAGTTTGCTCGTTCAAGAGTGTACACACATCCGGTGGCCGAGTGCACAGAATAATCTACATTTTGTGGGCAGCATCTAAATACGAGGAAGCTAAAGACTATTCATAGTTAGAATAGTCTTAGCTATACGAAGCATGACTACAAATACGAGGACACGGTTCAGCTCACTGCCGATCCGTCTTACACACTACGTTGGTGTGACTTACGCTGTATAGTACTCGGGGGCTTCTAGCATATACCTTTCGCGTGGTCGGAGTCAGTGACATGCTTGAAGTAAAAGCTTCCGATGTGGTCAAAGCGACAGTTGTTCTTCAGCTCGAGTACTACAGTATTTTAGCATCGCTAGGCGAACGAAAGGAACGATGGCATTTGACAACTTCCCGCAAAGTGTATTACACCGTCGATCCTGGAGCAGCCGCCTGATATTGGTGCGAGACTGGTGAAGAGAAAGACGCTATTTGCAGTAAGTACGCGTCGGCCAAGATCTTCAAACTTCTCCACGGAGATGATCAAGCTCCAACATTAGGAGGCCATCACGGCGCTGTCGCAGATAATCGCTACTTCTACTTCACTTCCTCTCCTCCACTATCATTGAAACCATAAACGCTCGTGTCGGCTCTCATCGCACCGATGTGAGCATCGCTGGCCGCTTTCGGGGTCCCTCACTCTGCAGCGCCTATTGACGCGAATTGTCTGCGTTTCGTACTCATTGTGCTCCGGGTCCGAAGAACGGAGGCAACTTTTGTCGACAGACGTTCATCCGCTTTACGGGAGAACAGAGCTACTCGAACACACCGGTCGACCATCGCTGCGTCCGAGTCTCTGCAAACCGGTAGGCGGGCCTATGGATCCGCCCAGTTGTTCGACAAGAGCAAACGCGAATGTGAAGTCAGGCCGATCGAGTTCGATATAGGTTCGATTTCTGACACCGAAACGTGCAAAGGAGCAGCGTGCGTAATAAAAGATTGAAGTGAAAGACTACATCACCCTCACCGACCAACACCAACACCAACACCAAAAAGAGAGAAGGCAATAAAAAAGCAAAAATATATTAACAGCCAACAGCTTGCCGCCATCAACCCACCCTTTAAGGTCCCCCTAGTCCGCCTCCCAAGAAGAACTAACAAGTAAGGCGTAGAATACTGTGTCAGAGAAGACAGGAAGGGCTCAATCCATTCTGAATTAATTCCATGTCTTTCTTTTCCGATAATTACCACACAAACTCCGAAATGTCTGCGGGAGTCGAACACAGAGCTCCCCGGATGAGGGAGTGCAATACATCCGGAGGGTCGAATGGCGCTAATCGCCACTCGACCACGCTTGTGTTCGACTGGTTGGTGGGGTTGCGGAAAGACATATAAGACTTAATTTGGCAGCCGCGGGCGCGGACTTGTCGGTGATGGCCCGGGGACATTCGCAAGTTTTACACGCATGACCTCTTCATGTCCTTGGGTGTATCTTTCCAAGTTCATGTCAGCATTCATGATCGCGAATTCGAAGACATACTCTAGTAATCCTCACCGTCTCGAAATCGCGCCCAACTTCTTTCACCAGGGAAAGACGTCCTCCTTGTTTGGCACTTGGCTCGTTCTTTATCAGCGCGCGTGTAAAACCCACTCTGCACAACGACGCACACTTCCGTGCCTATCAGCCCAGTCCCACTCCCCATTCCTGAAACACCATTGTGTAAGCAAGACGGGAAAGGCCACGAGGTACGGGGCGGCTTCGTCAGTGCGCCTCGCCGCCGTCGAGCCTGGCTCATTCCTCATCAGCAACCCCCCAAAATCTCCTCTGCACGCCGACGCACCTTGAACGAACCAGCACATTATCCGTACATTTCTGTGCCTATCAGACCATTCCCACTTCTCGTACCTGGGAAATCGAAGACGAGAAGGCCACGAGGTACGGTGCGACTTCATCAGTGTGCCTCGTCTCCATCACCCCCTTAACACTTCGTGGATGTCGAGCCCAGCACATGGCCATCCAGCAGTGGTGATGATCTCGAAATAATCATTTCCACTCATCCAAAGGTCGTTGATTCGGACTCAGCAGTAATTATCCTTTCATGGCCCGTTCTGCGCTGCGATCGTGACTTTGAGCGGCCAGTCGTTCAAAGTCTCGGGAGGCCATATCGCCGGACGCCCGCTCAAGTCATTATGAATCCAATAGGACATGTGCAAGGGGCATGTGAGGAACATCTCGCATTCATCACAGGGGAAGCTGAGGAAGTGAGGTCGAGCAAGCTCGGCCGATCTCGGGATGGATGGATCACCACGAGAGCCAAGGCCAAGAACATAAAGCCATGCGACAATGGCTTTATTGGCTCGATACTACAGAAAGAACTTGCCAGATCAGATCACGATGCATGCATGCCAGACTCGCCTCCCGGCCTCTTCATTACTTTTCTACCTGAGCGACGAACTTTTGCACCAATCCCCGTGTTTTCTTCCAATTCCAAGCCAACGCCTTGCTAATCGACACAATGGAGACCCATCGTTTTCTGCGGATGACTGCCTGATTCTAACTACTAAGCATGACCATTCGCCTTCTCCGTCAGATTATTCTCCGTCTCGCTGACAGGGATCGTCTTGCCCGGCAGTACGGGCAGTAGACTCCGCGCGCTCTGCCTCGCGCTCTGCAGCATCACGGCGTCCATGATGGCCAGCGCGGCCATGCTCTCTACGATAGGAACGGCTCGCGGGATGACGCAGGGGTCGTGGCGGCCCTTGGCTTCGAGGACGCCTTCTTCTTCGTCGTAGGAGACGGTCGTTTGGGCTTGGCCGATGGTCGCTGGGGGCTTGAAGGCGACGGTGAAGTAGATGTGTGCGCCGTTGGAGATGCCGCCTTGGATGCCTCCTGAGTTGTTCGTCTTGGTCGTGAGGCGGGGCTTGGGTGGGCGTCCGTGGCCGTGGATCTTCCTGGCGTCGGCGTCGGCGGGGACCGGTGCTTTGATGAAGGGGTCGTTGTGGATGGAGCCGGGAATGACGGTGCCGCCGAAGCCACTGCCGAATTCGAAGCCCTTCGTCGCCGGTATGCTCATCATGGCGTGTCCCAGAGTCGCCTCCAACTTGTCGAAACACGGTTCTCCCAACCCACTAGGACAATTCCTGATCACGCACGTCACCGTGCCGCCAATACTGTCCTGCTTGTCCCTGTACTCCGCAATGAGGTCCTCCATCCTCTTGTTGGCCTCCACATTGGGGCACCGCACCGGCAAGAAGCTATCCACATCCTCCCTCGTCACCTTGTTGATCAACTCAAGAAACTCCGGGTTCGTGCTCGGCGTAGGATGCTCTCTCGTCGCAGGGAACAAAGCCTCTGGGCCACAGCTATTCGTGAAAGCGACAATCTCCACCCCGTGTGCTTCTCGTAGGTACTTCTCCGCAATAGCCCCAGCAGCAACCCTCCCAATCGTCTCCCTAGCACTGCTCCTGCCACCGCCAGAGCTCGCCTTGACGCCGTACTTCTCCAAGTACGTCCAATCCGCATGGCTCGGTCTTGGAAAATGATCCATCGTCTTGCTGCCATAGTCCTTGGGTCTCTGATCCTCATTGAGCACGCGCAGGGCAATTGGCGTGCCAAGGGTTATCCCAAACTCCGTTCCAGACTGTATCTCCACGCGATCCTTCTCGTTTCGGGGCGTTGTAAGGGCTGATTGGCCTGGCCGACGACGTGTCATCTGGGGTTGGATGTCGGATTCATCGAGTTGGAGGCCTGGGGGCACGCCATCGACGATGCAGCCGACTGACTTGCCGTGGGACTCGCCGTACGTCGACACGCGAAAGATCGAGCCGAAGGTCGACATTGTTGGTGTATCCCCGAGATATTGGTAGGCAGAAATGTATCGGATCGAGCTTCAATGGCGCGGACGAACGGAGATTTATGGGGATGGGAATGGTGTATGTGACTGTTTGAGTGACTGTGAAGCTTCCAAAATTCTCGAGCGACGTCGGAGCTTCCCGGCTCACTTTGGACCTCACTCTATTGGACCTCTCGCACTACAACAATGACTCGACATCCCCACTCCCATGACATGTACTAGCATGCCAGAAACAGATCCAATGGCATAGGGAAAGATCAAAATGACGGGGATACGAGTATCTATCGCCAGCATCATCGACTCAATGAGTCGACATCCCCACCTCACCGTCCATCTCCTAAATGTCATGCATGCAGTCAATGCCGTGGACGAGCCACGACTCATTGAGATACCGGCACTTATAATCGGCAACGAAAGATCTCGTCCCACGCAATGACGATACATATTCAGATGCAATGGCCTGCGAAATCAACATCCCCGCGCGAACACTCGTCAAAGCCGTCGGAGATCTCCCGGAGAGCACAGTCGAGCCTGACATCTCGGGAATATAAAGGTTGTACTCGCCTACTGCTATCCCGCGTCATTCCTTCCCACACACGTCGTGGCCCCTCAGTCAAATACAGCGTATACTCCACGGAATGAGAGAAAGTGAAATCACACCAGAAAAATCTCCTCAAAGCAACTCCATTCATGCCACTCAAAACACCCCCACCTCATCCCCAAAGGCATCATCTCCATGTCCCATATGCTACATACAAGCACAACAGCAACAGCAACAGCAACCACACTCAACAGAGGCAAAGAGTAATCCTCCCTCCCTCCATTCCAATTGCTTTTGATCGGCGCAAGCGCATCCAAAAACGATCCACCCATCGAATCTTGCAGGCGCCGGCGTAGAAAACATTCTGCGTTCCCCAGGTACTTGCCGGCCGACCCAACAACAGCAACTCAAAATCATTCCTTATCCCTTTCTAGTCCTTCCTGAAACGCCGGCGCTCGGGTACTAACTCAGTCGGAGAAAAACTCCACGCACGCAAAATCAAGACAATGCGCGCGTGTGGGGCTATGCGATACATTGAATCATCAAAACGGGTAGACACCACTGCAGAAGTCGCATAGTGTCGGCAATGAACAAGAAATGAAGTCGAAGTCGAAGTCGAAGGGGGTATAGAGCGGAGGCGTGGCGTGCGTTTTTGCGGGGGATGTAGTGTATCCCATGTTCATTCAATGTCGTGCGTTCGTCAAAAGTGTCGTAAAGAAGTCTGTCCCTTTCGCTGGGTTCATGTGTCTTGCAAGAGTCGAGAATCGAATTTGAGGAGCTCATCACTCCTCACTGATCTCCAACGACCGCCGCTCGTCGCCACTCTCTCGAGTCCTGACCTTCTTCATGGTGTTGTTAGAACCAGAACGGGAAGACTTCTTCGAGCGAGTGGAGAGACCCGTCCCTCGACGCTCCTTCGGTGTTTCGGTGCCAACGACAAGCCCGTGTCCTCTGGCGGCCGATTTGCGACGAGACATGACCAGTCCGCCGTCACTATCGGAAGACGAGTCGAACTCCTCGTCGCGGTCTGTGTCTAGAGCGAGTTCTTGGTCTGGGCTGTAGCCTTCATCCATACGCTCGTCGATTGGTTTGGTTCTCGGACTGGCATTGAGTGTATCGTCCGATGATGGTTCTCGCGTCTCATCGCCGTTGATCTTGTAAAATTCTTCACCTGGGTCAACAGACGATGCTTCTGAGATGACCGAGGGTATGGACGGATTCGATATCGACATTGAGACTGCAGATCCGAGGTCAGAAGAACTCGACACCAGTGCTGGTGGTAACTGTCCAGTCTGGTTCGTTGGACTGATGCCTTCCGATGGCGTATCTGCAGGCGTGTCCGGATTCGAACTCTCCGCGAGAGATGGAACGCGCGAGTCATCTCGCTTAGGTCGGAGGTCATCTGGACTCGTTGGGCATATTCCACCCTCAAAAGCCCGCGGAGACTCGAACAAGTGGGGTGACATCTTCCCTCTTTCCAACTCTTCCTTCCCCTCTCGCACGAGCTTGCGCACTCGCTCGTCTGCCCGCTTCCAATCCTCAGCACTTGATTCTGGAGCCCGGCGAGACTGTGACCTGGCACTGCTTCGGAACGTGTCGCCCATGCGCTTTCCTATCGACGCAAGGGAGCTCGTGGAACTCTTTCGCGAGATCGAGCCAGCATCGAGAGGCTGCAGGTGGTAATGCTGCTGGGCTGGATCAGATACCACTGAATGCGGCCGCGACGAAGCCGGGCTGTTATGAGCGCTCGAGTTCGGCGTGAAGCGATCGAGAGTTTCAGGGGCGTGCACGTGACCAGCGGCGCTTGTGTGGCTGACTGCAATACTTGCTTCGGCATGGTGGTCAGACTCCTCCACGGATCCCCTGGAACTGGAAGGAGCTCTGTTCCGGCGAGTTGATTGAATGCTTCGCTCTCGGACACCTTTGATCAGGCGACCAGGACCGCCGAAAATGCCGCTCAAGTGGCCGCCTCCAGGAGAAGAGAGAGCCATGGGTGTGCCTGGAAGACCAGGCGAGGGAGGCGGAGATTCAGCCAGAGCTTTGCGATAGTCTGACTGCGTGACTGTTCGCATAGAGCCAGCTGCAGAGTGAATAGTCATCGCCCTATGAGGTGGACTCGGGCGTGAAGGAGTTCTCGATAAGTCGTTGCTCGCCTCTTCATTGCCATTGACTTTCGGCATCTTGTCGAAGTAACGTTGTTCATGCTTTTCGTTCTCGGGGGTGGCAGCCAGGCTCTTAGACAGTGGATGCTCACCCTCGCGATATTTGTGCAGAGCGTTGTATATCGATTCGTCTCCTCGCATGCTTTGTCGTCTTGCATCCTGGCTAATCGTACTGCTAGACGAATTAGCGGACCCCGCAGGCGACCCTTCTTTTGCGCTGCCGGCATTCGACTGGCCACGTGTACGAGTAATTCCAGTCCTGTCCAAGATCTTCTTCATTCCAGATCTCATCCGCTCCACCAGGTTGAGAGGCACGACGGCAGTGTTCAGTTCCTCTTTGGAAACTTCAATCTTCTTGCCCTCAGACTGTCTCGAAGGATCGGTCTCCTCGAGCCATTGCAATGTATTCGACAAATCCGCAACGACCCACGGGTGATGCCGCACTTCCTCTAGTGTGATTCGCTTTCGCGGGTCTTTGGTCAATAGTCGCTTCATCAAGTCATGCAAATCGTCGTCAATTTCCTCGTACACAAGATCCAGCTCGTGACGGCGGCCATTCTGTAGTGGTTGGAACGCCCGACTGTGGGAATTCGGCCTCGACTTTGGCTTGAGATCGACCGGTTGGAGTCGTCTGCGAGGTAGATAGATCTCTTCGTCGGCGATCTGTCGCATGACAACGAATTCGTTATCGACAAAGGGCGTGCGAGCGAACAACATGCAGAAGAGCGTGACTCCAAGCGCCCAAACATCGATGGCCTTCGTCACTGGTAATGGATCGTCGGTCGGGTCCGCGATGCAAAGTTCGGGCGCATAAAACGCAGGTGTGCCCACAGTCTTTGCCAGCTCCTTTGCTTCATCGTCCAAATCCTGAGCTTCAGCTTCGCTGACATCTTCGCCGCCCTCACCCTCTCCAACAGGTCGTCCGAGGTACGAAACGCCAAAGTCAGAGATTTTGACTCGATTGTCGATGGTTGCAAGCAAATTCGGTGGTTTGATGTCACGGTGTACGATGCCTTGGTAGTGAAGATACTGCAAGCCAAGCAAAGTGTCTCGGAAAGCGACTCGAATCTGCTCCATCGTCATGACTGGGACGTACTCCAGTTCTGAGTCAAGCGGCGTTTCGAGAACCTCAGTCGCATATCTCGTCAGACCTTCAGTGCTGCTTCTTGAAGAAGTCATACTGTTCAGGCTCGCGACACGAGATGTTTGACTGTACACCGGGTCGTAAGGGCCATACATCGTCCCTTCGAGTCCAGACATGCTGCCAGACATGCTGAACGCGCTGGAGGGTCTTCTAGCCGAAGGCTGATCGTGCTCACTTGTGGGAGACGTTGTTTCCGGCTCCGACGTGAGCGACAGATAGTTTGCGTCTGATTCTGTGGAGGCTTGTAGCGGTGAGGGCGTCCGTGATGCTCTTCTGCCCGGCGTGTCAACAACTAGTCGCCCTGCGTCGGATGGCGCTGTCAGCGATGACATCCTCGAGAGTCTATCCTCTTCGGACTCTTCACTCTCGTTGTCGCCCATCATCTCCACGCTCCAGAATTCAGGTGCATCCTGTGTGCCGCGCTTCAGCTGTCGATATGCTTTGAGCTGATGGCGTTTCTGTTTTTGTAATCGCTTCTGGACTTCGGTGAGAACAGCACTATCCTCAGCCAGCGCACGTTCTGAATGGTTCCCGCTCTTCTCCCTTTCAAATCGCCTGACCTCGACCATTGCAATTTCTTTTGGTCCTTTGACCCGCCAGTTGATTTCCCCTCGCTCTACCCACTCGAGCACGATGTAGACCTTCTTACGAGACGGATCATCAATGACTTCGAGCAGGGCGACCACGTTGGGATGGCGAGCCTTCTTCAGAATAGCCACCTCTTTCTTGACTTTATCTTCGGTAGTCCCGAGCCTGCCCAGTTTGCGTCGCTTGGAGAAGCGTTCCACGATCTTGATAGCGACATAGCTGGGCTGCGCGCTGGGACTCTCCAGATCCCGCCCAAGCTTGACTTTGCCGTGTGTGCCGCGACCTAATTCATCAATCACCTCGTAGTGATTAATGAGCTTGCGCCCAGACACTGGATCCACATCAACGTCAGCAACATGCGTCTCTTTGGGCACATGTGTGTGAGTGAAGTGCAGGAAGGGACTGGCATAGGTCCCAGTCGAATCGGCGGTGGCATCGGCAGGGGGGGCGGACGGCGGTCCTGAGGGGTTAAAGAGTCCGGAACCTGGAGTCACGGCGGGTGAGTTAGCCGCAGTCCGAACGCCACTGGAATGCAGCGATGCTATCGCAGATGCAAACGTGGAGATTTGATGCGGTTGTGGTCCACCTCGTCGAACTGAGGGCGGCAGATAGTATCTACCGTGATCTTGAGTATGTAAAGCTGACAGCGCCTGGTTTGGAAACCTCGGTCGTTGGGGTCCAGTGTTGGGGCTCTCTGGTCGGATCGTTGACGTGCTGGTCGCGCTTTCGATGGACAAGCTGCTTTGCGTGGTGTGTGGTGGTGGTCTTGTCACCGCAAGCGATTCCTGGGGATCATGAAGTTCGATATGACCTGGAGCCGTTGCCGCACTGGTGCTGGCAGGTGTCGCGGATCGATTCGTCGCCCATGGCGCAAGTAGTTGTGAATGTGATCGTTGCGCCTGCAACTCCTGCGTCGGAACATTCGTCGATTGCCCAGCGGGGTGCGGGTCGAAGTAGCCTCCACCTGTACCTGCCAATAGCTGTGCCTGTCTTGCGATCGCCTCTGTCGTTCCGGGCGTTGTAACGTTCAGAGCAGGAGGCAACTCCGACTTGGGTGTGCTTTCGACCTCTCCCTCATCGCAAACATTTACGGTCTCTTGCCCGTCATCTGCCGCTTTCCGCGGCGCCAGCGTCTCATTTTCGCTGCTATCCCTCGTCAACGGATCGGTCATCGCTGACGACAACGATGCTCGAGTCCAACAACAGGTGACGCAAAATCAGAAAAGCCGGATACGGCTGCGACGTGTACCCGCACTGGCTTCGGCTGGACATGAAGGAGTGGTTGGAGCAGCGCGGTGGGAGGCCGTCTCATAGCAAGGAGCGCCAAGCCGTATCGTCCATTCGGTTGGGAATGGGCGGACGCCGCGACAGAACGACGACGGGTGGAGGGAGTGGCGGGTGAATTTACGGAGCGGAGGGTGTCGTTGGTGAAGGAACGTGGTGTGTAGTGTACAGGGCGGTGTCGGGGTGCGGGTGTGGGCGTGAAAGTGGTGGTGAGTTGGGTGAGAGGAGGGCAGCCAGCAGAGCGACACACAGGTGGGGACGTCGACGGGCACTTTTGGGTTTGGCTTCACAGGTTGAGAGGTGAACGAGCCACCACTCGATCCGAGCCCGTCGGCAAGCCAAGACACTTGCATGGCAAGACACGTGAAGCCACTCCGGCCTCATGCTGCTTCGTGCTCGATCTTTGCAGATGCTTCAACCAGAACAACAACAACTATTATTCAATTCGACCTTTTTCATTCATTGACGTCTTTCCAAAGCATTCGCTTGATCAATTCAATACCACTTCCTCCATCACAGCCCTCACCTCACAGCCACTATGACACGCTGACTGCTCATTGACACTCGGCTAGCCTTGTCTGCCACACAATCTGGCCGGGGCCAACGACATACCCTAACAGAGTCCCAGCAGTTCAACAACTCATCCCCAACCACATGTACATACACTCACCACGCAGATCTCTGATCGCCTTGCCCTCTCTCACCCGCCCGCCACAGCCACGGCCAAAACGAACAAAGCCATCTTACATCATCCTTCCCTCATCGCGCAGAAGAAGGGAAAAGAGCAACAATACATGCATGTACACTGTACGCCTTCCCCTCCTCCGTCCTGATTCGAGCTCGGGCCACGGACCTGCAGGCGAAGGCACAAGACCAACCTGTAAGAATAGCTCCCAAGTTGCCTTTCCCCAGGGATTCTCAGTCCCAATCTGTTCTAGCGAGCTCGACGGAGCTGCTGCTGCTTTTCAAAGACGGACGGCGGCGTCTTCTCACACATCATCAATCACTCGTCCAGGAAGAAACCGGCGGGGTAAGGGGACATGCACATGTTGGATGTATTATTATGTAGTGAGCAATCCTTGACACCTCGAAGCTAGGCTGCGATCGTAAACACCTGCATATTTCGCATGTGCAGACTGCACGCCTGCCGCGCTTATACTGGTCTTCATCATCATTGGAGAGGTGGTTGGTTGCTCGATTGTGGCTACCTCTCACTACTGACTGTCCTACTTGGCAACGTGGTTGTTACGTGCTCCGCGGAGAGCCACGAAGGAAGCATGGCGACCTGTTTTAAGCAACGAACGGAGCCGGATCTTCCACCGAGAAAGGCTGCACACTGAAACATTTGATGACGGTCTCCCAAGACGTCTTCGCAATCGTCTTATCTCGTACAGGATGCGAGACCTACCCCATGCCTATCCTCCATGCTCCTCAAAACCTGGGGATTTTCACAAGCTGCAGTGGTGAAGAGTCCGTGCCCACCAAAACAATATATTGATGTCGTGCGACACACCACCACTTCTCAGCAATTCCAAGGTCGCTTCCATGGCCGGCTGTTGATGGCACCGCAGGATGGTCCATGCCCTTTTTCCTTGTCGTTGAAAGTTGGACCCCTCTATCTTGCGATCACACGCAGGTCGCGTATCCACATGCTGCGACTGCCGACGAGAAAATGCCCCTGGTGATGAAGGTGGTCGTAATCGTGTTGTTATTCCAACCACACCCTTCCCTCTCGCGACAGCCACCAAAGTCGCTTGGGTGAACAATCACGTGAATGCCGTCGTCTGACCACTTCCACACCCTCAGCTACCATCCAGCAACGCCGCCTCCTCCTCACGCTCGCGGCGCGCATCTTCCTCAGCTTCCCTCTCCCTGACATTCGTCGCTTCGACAAGTGTTGTCCCTTCGATACCCGCCGCCTCAGCATCCCCACCACCACTTCCATTCGCAGACCCATTCGCTCTGGCTTGCGCAGCCTTCTGTTGCCCAGATATCCGCTCCCTCACCAGCCGCGCAATCGCATTGTCGGTGCGCACACCCAACACCTCCAGCTTGCGGTCCAGATCACGCTTGAGGTCCCAATTAGGCTTCTTGGGTTGTAGCTTGAACAGATCCAGTGGCTTGTCCGCTTTCTCCTCCTCCTCTGCCTGACGTTTTGTCTCGGCTGCGAGTTCTGCCGCCTTCTTCTCCAGAGTCTCTTTGCCTTCTGAGGGGGCGCTCTCGAAGCCCAGCTTTGCGCCTCGTGTCTCTGCGTCGTAATTGCGTCCGCTGACATATTTCGAGACGCCGTTCGAATCTGTGGTGGTGTCGGCTGCCTCAGTTCGAGGCGACTTTGGCGCGGATTCGCTGTTGTCTTGCTGGTCTCCTTGTGTATCGGGTTGTTTCCGCTTCAGAGACTTGAGCTGTGCTAATCTGGCCTTGCGATCCTGAGCTGCAGCGCTCAGAGCCTGTGTGGACGCCATGGCAAGAGTAGGCGCCCCGTTCAGTCCTTCGTGGAGGATGTGCTCGAGAAGGATATCGTGGCACAATCGACGTGAAGATTGACTTTGCCGGCCTCTCAATTTGAGTCCCTACGGCAAGTTCGAGATTCGTAGATCGAGTAAGGCGAGGTATGTTGCGGTTGTGGTCGAGTGCGCGGTTGTTCAGAAGCAAAAGTTGCAATTGGAGTAGTCTCAGTTTCAGATCTGGAGAGCTAAGCTTTATAGTTCTAGAGGTCTGGGCTTCTGAGACCAACATTGAAGCAAGCAAGCCTTCTCGACCCCATCTACTTGCAAGTTTCCATTACATCGTCTAATTCACCTTGAACAAGAAGTCCCAGCGACCTTCAAGCTACGCCCTTGATGGGACTTCCATTCCCACGGCATGAGAGCAGCCTCCTCAAGCTTCTTCCAACTGTTGAGCGCTAAGTACCCTCATCCTCATCATGACGATACAGATCACATTTCACCATTTCGACACGCATATTTGCCCATCGACTCCGACTTCAGTCCGAGAATTTGATTGTAATGCTCCGGTGTAGCTGCGCTTTTCGGCTACGCTACGTACTCATCTGGCATGCACTCGTCGTCATTCGCAGAAGGGAGAGGAGATTTGCACATTGTTTTGGTGCCTTGAATGCGGTCTGAGGCCAACATTCTGGACCCAGGAGTAGCCTATGCCTAGCTGGGAGTCATTGCAGACGACAAGCCGCCCCAATGGCTGAACCGGCCATTATCTCGTGGCTATTTACCTTCACAGTTTCGCAGCCTTCAGGTTTGACGTCACCCATTCTCCTCCATGTCCTCTGCTACTTCTGGTCGGGATCGGCCCTTGTGTGTCGCACTTACTTGGGCAGGAACTTGTTAGAATGCGAACTCATCATTCCTACTACTTTCCTTTCCAGAACCCTCTCACACCGAACATCCCCTTGAGCGTAAAACATGAAGATCGATTCTCACGATCAGTGCATGTGTCCCGGTAGGAAAGATCTCTTGACCGAGTGTTAGCGAAGAAAGATTGCAAGATTGCGCGAGTAGCGTTCTTGTTATAGACGCCCCTCATTGTGTACCGCTGTTGGAAGGACTCGGGTGTGCTGAACAAGGGGAAAACATTACCGAGAAAGCCTTGTCATACCGTCCGTCATCGGAAGGAAGCCTGGAAGTGCTCGAGGTGGTGTAGTAGTATGAGATGTCTGCTGGTCGGTTGTGCTCAAAAACAGTTTCACTGTACATTTTCTGTGCTATTACAGCTTCCATTTCCAACCAAATACTATACATACACCCCAATCTGAGACAAAAGCTTTTCCCTCCTGACACTCTCCATCAAAATCCCTGAGAGGCAAGGTAATCGTGCGAGATCTTGAAAGTCTGCGCTGCTGTCCGGTGCAAGTCCAGATCGTGCCCGGTGTTCGCAACCTGGTTATAATAGAACTTGGCCGCAGGAAACAAGACCTGCGTCCGCGCCGTGGTCGATGTCGCACCAGTTCCGCAATTGCCCAACCCTCCAATCAATGGATCGGTGGGTAGTACTGCACAGAAGATCTGATCGTTTTGGCCATTGAGCAGGAGCAGCGAGCCTTTGTATAGAGGCGCTGGGAGCTGACTGAGCGCGGAAGTTGCGAGTTCGCCGGCGGGTACGGGGTTTGTGTTGGCGAAGTCATAAGCAGCAACCTGCTTGTCGTAGTCTCCGTAGTAGAAGACGCCCTGTGAGCCACTGGCGCTCGTGGTCAATAGGTACGTAGGATCCAGGCCAGGGAACCGAGTAGGAGCCGCAATCGAAGCAGGCAGAAACACCACCGCCGCAACACTTGCTGCTCCTCCCACGAGGAATTGATTTGTGAACCCGTGGATCACGTACGTCGCGACTGGCGCGTCCGGGTGTACCTGCATGAGAAGTTCGCAGACCGTGGCTCCCTCCGAGTGGCACACAGGAATGACTTTGTTGAACCTGCGTCCGCCCGCTGTAGGGCTCGGCTGGAGTTGAAGAATGACTTGATACAGAGCCTCCGTATTGGCTGGTAGTTGAATGACGGTTAACCCATTGGGATGGCTGGAGTTTCCATTGCAGATTCGGTCGATGGCGAGGGTTGGGTAGCCCTGTTTGGATGCGTACGCTACATAAGAGTATTTATCACCATCGTAGCCTTGCCCAGGTGGGCCGAGTCCAGACCAGTAGTCCTTCGTGTATGTCTTCAGAAGTTAGCTTGAAAGCTGGCGAGAGCCTCACGCTTGACCTTACCACTCCATGTACGAGGAGTTGTAGCGTGTTCGTCCGCGAGGAGTTCTTGACTTCAGGCTCACAATAACGAGCGGCTATCTGATACGTGCCCTGGATCTGGACCTTGGGCAGTGCGGTCAGGATGTCCAACGTCAGTCCCGAGATGTTGGAGGGAAGCTGGATATTGAGCGCAGTGATGTCGACGTTGATAGTTAAGAGGTTGCACGTTGGTTCTGACTGTGCTGGGAGGGTTGATCCCAGCAAGAAGAGTATACACCAAGCCAATCGCATGTTCATGAAATCCCTATCAAGGAGCAATACACTACGAAGCCCTCAAACCAGTTTCTGCAGCACTATATGGAGCGTGACGGCAATGCCTTTCTCAGCAGTGCCGTGTTGATGTACGAGCGTTTTGTTCCTTCGTGCGGGGTCATGGTCTGCTTTTTCGTAAAGATGGCCATATCCGCGACGTTCAGAGTGTTTTTTGACCAAGGTCCAGTTGATCAAATATGATATAATGGTGGTTGCGGTAGGAGAGAAAATGCAGAGGTTGAAGTCGAGGAGTGAAGTCCATCGGGGAGATTCGGTAGCGCCCCCTAGCGGCTGTGAGATGAGACTTCACAAGAAGCTGCTGCACCTCCCTGGTAACACGTCCATCCACCACGCGACCTTCCTCAATGTCCGCCTATGCCACTATGTCGCCTGGCCATCCGCTCGCTTCTCCATAGTCGCAGCTCTCTACCCAAATCGTCCCCAACAGCTCCTTCGCAATGGCCTCGAGCGGTGCAGAGCTACAGCACAGCGTTAGAAGAAGGCCGCAGAGATGAATCCCCTCCACTCCCCGAGTTAGACTTGTCGAAAGTCACCGCCGAATCCTCGTATCTGGATTTCATACTGGGTCCAAAAGATGGAGAGCTTCCGACTACCGCCCCTGATGCGCGTGGCCAAGCAGGTCCTGGGAAAGAGGTGAAGCAGAGAAAACCCACGGCCCATCAATCTTCGCCACGGCGCCAACGTTTGAGCAAGGTACCTGTGAGAGCCTTGCAACCAGAGCAACCAGTCAAGAAGGATATTCGTTTGATAAAGTCGGCGCGCACGAATGGACAATCTGCACCGTCAAGATGGACAGCACGAAAGCCTACTGCTCGCGAGATGCAGAGGATCATGTGCCGTCGATCGGCAAACACCAATGTCTACTTTGCAAGAGCTCACGGTCGATATTTCAGGACAAAACACGTCACTGTCAGGTCTGGTGGAATATTGTCTGGCGGCTTCTCTTCGACGTGGAACACACAGTTTGCTCGAATCCAACGTTACTACGACAGAGGCCAGGGGGAATATATGTCATCTCGACTTGCACCTATGTTACATGGCGATGCTGCAAAATGGGCTCGAGAAGCGATTGCTGACCCAGAAGACGGTGTTCCCATGATGCTTGGTCGATTGGCTGGCTTCACCTCCCACAAGAGATACTATTACTGGAGTCAAATCGCTCTCTGGCTTATGTACAATGAGCCAGAGTATATGATCAAGTTCTTGCAAGAGACACATACTTGGCCTTACCCGCCCGTTAGCTGCATTGACGACTCTTTGAGATACCTGGCAATGCATTTCTCTCACCAGAAAGACGCGGAACAGCTTCAGGCACTTTCAGAGCTCTTCCCTCTGCTTGCAGACCGCGAGAAAGGCGGCCGTCTGCATATCGATGGCTCCTTCTTCAGACTCTTAATGCCTCATTGCAGCCACGAGCAGATCAACGAGATGTATCGTGCGGTTAAAGTACATCACGTCAAAGTGGACTGGAACACATATCTCCACTTCTCGACACACTTCGCGAGAAGCGGGCACTTCGAACAGGCCCTGGACGCTCTTCTGGAGGCCAAGAATGCGGACGCAGCTCTCGATTCGTATGCTTTCCGCAGCAATTGCGCAACACTTCTTCGCAACTCGATCCGCCAACCGGCTGGACTGCGTGTTTGCATGCGCATCGTCGATAATCTGGTCAAGATTGGCGTGACCTTGAACAACCAGCTTTGCAACATTGTAATGCTCAATGCTGTGGAGGCGGGTGATTTGAAGACAGCCTTCTCAATTTACAGCTCCCTTGTTGAGCATGGCCTGGAGGCGGACTCCTACACATATGCGATTCTCCTCAAGGGCTGCAAGTCCTCTATCGACGACGCCGACACCTTGAACGCTACTATCCGAGATGCCATTCAGCATGTCAATGTCACTGGCCAGCCGGTTGTCGCTACGGAGATTTTGCACTGTCTTGCAATACATCACAAGAAGCACAATCCGGAAAGGGCGTATGAGATACTGGTAGAAGCGTTTGGTCAGTTGTTTGACACGAATCCGCTGCAGCAGTTGGGTCTACTGCCGTCTCGAGCTCCAGGCCCGGAAAGCGCTTCGCAAGGGACAATGCCGCCATCACAGCAGTCGATGGCGATCATGATGGCGATGTTTTTGGATCATGACTTCTCGCGCTCCCGTTCTGCTGCGCACCCATATGAAGTGCATAGGCAGTTTCGTGCCCTCGTGGATCTCAACGCCGAACCTTTTACTTCGATGATAGAGACTGATCACATCTCTAACTGCTTCTTGATGACATTCATTAAGACGAAGAAAGGCCTCTTGTATGCCGCTGAGGTGATCAAGGATATGCAGCGTGAACCTCCCGACTCAAAGGCTAAACAATGCAAACCAACTCAACAGTCCTGGTCGATATTCCTACATGGATTCTCGCGCCACGGTTTGATGAAGCTTGCGGAACAGGTGCTGAACTACATGCGGAACAAGGGAATCGAGCCCAACGAAGTGACGTGGAATACTCTGGCGACGGGCTATGCAAGTGCACAGGACATGGAGGGATTGTTAGATGTGCTGAGACGGATGGAGCTCGACAGCGTGACATGGGATGAGTGGACCATGAACGGTTTGAGGAAGTTTCAAGACCAAGACCGGCTTCGTCAAGAGTTTGAGAGGCGGCGCAAGGTGCCACAGCTTGATTTCACCAGCGACATCAAGGATAGCCTGGGAGAGCGGTTGAACACGTTTGGTGACGATGCTCGAAGGATAGAACAGAGGCGGGAGGATGCAGCACAAGGCGCGGCAGATTCGCCTTCAGATTTGGCGGAGTCTGGTGCGCAGTCATATACCCCATTCAATTGATAGTAAACACGAGCCTGACACTATTTTCTTCTGCGCTCCCCAAGTCGGTTCCATTCCTATGTGGTGTGGTGAAGTAACGTGAATCTCCGCGCTCGGCTCGGCTTCCCGCCGTCGCGTCTCCCAATCCCGCTCATCAACTTCGAGCGCGTCATCCTCGTCCCACGAACCACCCAACACAAAAACTCACCACCACTGCGACCACATTTCTCCGGCCCACCGCAAAATGCTAGCCTTCCCGCCCTCCTCCTCACCACACGCCTTCCTCCCAACAATCCCCTCGCCCCTCTCGCCCCGCAGCGCCAACATCCATGGCCCGACGCGCCACGCCCTCGCGAAAACCATGACCTCGCAAGAAGGACAACAACAAGAAACCACCAAACAGGAACAAGAAGGAGAAGGAAACACCAACTCGCTCTTCAAGTTCGATAACATCAACTCCCCCCTCTGCTCCAACCCCAACACCACCAACACGAAACATTCCCCAACGACGCCTTTTTCGCACCGCCCCATCAAACGCGCCCCAACACCCCAGCAGAACGCCCTAAAAACCCAGCGCCGCAACGCCTTCCTCCGCAAAGTCCGCGACGAGAGGGATCAGGCGCGGTATGAATCCCGCGGGGAGGATTTCATGCGGTTGGAGTTTGTGCGGCGGAGGCGGGAGTATGAAGAGGAATTGAAACGGGATGCGCCGACGCCTTCTGCTGAGGAGGAGGACGCGGAACTGCCGGGTTGGGGGGATATGGATGTGGCTCCGGAGGTCGAGGTGGAGGAGTTTGTGAAGGGCGAAGAGGAGGAGATGAGGGCTTTGTTGGAGAATTTTCCTGATGAGATGATGGGGATGGAGGAGGGAGATGGGGATGGCACTGAGGGGAATTTGTGGAGCGATGATGCGGAGTATGACGATTTGTTTCGGGAGGTTTTGAGGAGTGAGGAGGAGGAGATGCTGAGTGCTGCTGGTGGTCACGGTGGACAGGGTGGTGGTGGAGAGGAGATGGATATGAGTTGAATCGACTACAGTGTATGTGGACGTTTCTGTCAGAAAGGCTTTTTGGGAGTGATCAGTTTAGCGTGGCGTTGGTGATGAGGATATCGCTTGTTTGCTTGCTTGGTTCAATGAGACGAGATGAGATGGCGAGCAGAACGTGCTGTTGAGTTTGATGTGTTCAGAGAGAAAGCTGCATGGTAGCACTGAACAAATGCATGTGCAGACGAGGCACCTCAATCAAATCAGTTGTCCTTCAGCCATCGCACGCAGAGAAGGCCCCAAAAATGATCTCACATCCTTCACTCACTTCTACCCGCAACTACAGTTTGCTTTTCTGCGTTTAGTCTCCTGCCTTTTCTAACACGTCAAAGGACCTGAGCTAGAAAGAATCAACTACGGTTCAGATGTTAGGAGAAAAGAGAGTCAAAAAGCTTTCAGATGAACCCATGGATATTCATTTCATCCTATCCTAGTTCTTTGGAAGGACGGCCACAAAAAGCGACAGTGAAAGGTATTCGGTGGTATCACTCAAAACATCAATCATCCGAAGCAGAAAACAACATCAAACGCCTCTATCACCGCCTCCCTTATCCCAAGGCCGCCTTGTCTCGGCTCTGGTTAGCCCAACCCCAATCCGTCCGTGAAAAACACCATCATCGGTATTTGGTATCAAATGCAAGTCCCCACCCCCAAAGACAAGACGCAGTGTTTCGAGTTTAACAAACAAGGTCATGGTCGTTTTCTCATCGTTCGTTCGAGACATCCAGGCCGTTAAAAAGTGTCATCACCGCCCTTCGAAATCACTCATGTAATCCGCCGCTTGGTTGCCGTAACCGAAGTTCTGTTGCTGGTTGCCGCCGCTCTGCATCCCTCCCATGTTGTTCATGCCCATGTTGTTGTTCATCCCGCTCATGGCGGAATCCTGGTACGAGCCCATTTCGTTCTCGGAGATGTCTTCGTAGTATTCGCCGCCGCTAGAGGCATCGAAAGAACTGCGCCCGCTGTAGGCGTCTTCTTCGGGTGGTCCTTGAGGTACGTTGGTCCAGTCGATTCCGCGGAGTGCTGGGTATTGTGCGAGGAGTGCCTCTGGCAAGAAGTTGCCCATCATGTCGACTGCCGGCTGGGTCACCATCGGCTGTGGAGCGACCATACCAGCGGCGGCTTGTGCTTGCTGCTGTTCTTCCATCCACGCTCGTTGGCGCTCGGCAGCTTCCTCATCAAGCAACGGTTTGATGCAGACTCTACCTGCTTCTGAACGGAAGTGACGACCGAGCGCATCGGCACGTGCGAAGCGCCTGCCGCAGCCCCATTGGGAGCCGCTTTGTAGGGTTCCACGACAAACGAACTTCTTTTCACCAGAATGCAAACCTTCGTGACGCTTTCGATCGTGTTGACGTGCGAAGGCTTTACCGCACACGGTACAGACGAACGGTCGCTCATCGGTATGCGTGCGCAAATGTGAACGCAGGTTGTAAGCTCGCGTGAATCGCTTAGGGCAGAGGTTGCACTGAAAAGTTGCAGGGTGTTTTTGGACACGCTTGCTGTCTGCGCCATTCGATGGAGTTCGCTGCGGGTCTGCGAGATCGAGAATGTAGTCGCGCTCGTCTGAAGCGTTACTTGAACTACGCGCGCGGTTAAGCGAGCCATTGCGTCCACGTGCTGGGGAAGACGACCGCGAGGAGGGTTTGCTGTTGTTGTCGAATGGCGAAAGACTCTCGCCGCCCGCAGACGGGGACCTACCTCGTCCGACCAAGGCGGGCGAGGGAGATCTCGAGCCTAGATTTGAGTCTGATTTGGCGCGCTGTCGGTTTGTCGCTGGAAATAGGTTAGTATTGAATTCTAACAGAAATGGAATGCATCCACTCACTTCTTAGTGGCGGACTCAGCGCGTCTTGAGAGTTCTCCTGTCGCATGTTATCCGTGGGGACTCTCGAAGGCGGCGCAAAGTCGATATTGATTTCTGGAGGGCTCATGTGATCTGCTTGGCCAAGCTCACCAGGGCTCGCGCCTTGGTTGTTGTTGCCATTGTTGAGAGATGGGAAAGGCTCTTGGCCGACACCCGGAAACATTTCCAGCCCGTTATTTTGTTGTCCGAACTGACCGTTCATATTGTTGGTGAGACCGAAGTTGTTGTCAGCAGTAAACGTAGGTAGCGCATGCTGTGGTTGCGGCATGAGATGAGGCGAATGACCTGGACTGTGGCCGGGGCTGTGGCTGAAAGGCTGCTGGTTCTCATTCAAACTAAACTGCTGCAGGCCGAGTCCGTCGTTGAAAGTGGGGTCGCTGGTAGGATTGAGCAAAGGTGAAGAGTGCGCATTGGCTACATCGAAACTGTCCAGATTGTTCATGTACGGCGACGCATGGTTCGAAGAGATGTCCGATAGATTGTCTGAAGGTGTCCTCTTGTGCGATCTGTATGCGCCCATGCCCATCCACTCGTTACTCTGACCCTGTGGAAACATGGCACTTGAGGGATCAAGTGACTCTGACACATTTCGCGGTCTGTTCATCTGATAGTTCGGTTGCGCCTGTGCGAAGTTCGGGGAGGCATGTGGGCTGGGGCTGCCAGAGTGTCGCCTGTTCATGTCGGTGTTGAAGAGATGGGGCGGGGTGGGTGAATGAGATGACATGGTGGTCGCCATGGGGTTGAGCGTGCCGTTGTTCGTGTTCGTTTGCGCCGCGATCAGTTCCAAGGCGTTGGTGGGGTCGAGGTCGGCTGAGAGCAGGCTCGGGTCAAGGGAGGTGTTCGTGTCGAAGTTGGTCTGGTTGAAGTCGAAGGAGGGAAAGGCGTTGGAGTCGGTAGGGTTCGTGGTGCCCGACAGATCTTGGGCGGACTGGAGGAAGGTATGGTTGGCGACGGCGCCGTTCTGGGGCTGCTGCTGGTTGAAGTCGGTGAAGGTGGGGCCCAGCGAGTACTGTGCCTGCTGGGAGTAGTCCTGGGTGAAGGAGTCGGCGAATGCGCCTGAGGCACCGTGGGCGTTGAGGAAGTTGTTGTTGTTGTTCTGGTGGGCAGTGGTATCGTCGGCGAGGTAGGACGTCGAGGGCAATTGCTGCGGGTGGGGCGATGCTGAGGTCGAGTGCCTTATATTCGTGTGGCCCGCCGAGGGCGAGCGTCCGCGCTGAGAGTCCATGACTGCGTGTCAGCCTGAACTGAACGAGCAGCCGTGGGTGGTGTTGCTAAGAATGGCGGAGCAGCGCGTGTGAGGTGCCTTCTTTGAGGTATGCGACAGAGAAGACAGCCGCCGGCGCTTGGCCTTGGGTCGCGCGGAGGCACCCTGGTCGAAGGATGGGCTAGCGAGGCGGATGCAAAGGCCTAATGATGGACGCCGACGATTGCACCAAGCGATGCCCGTGACGCAGCAGCAAGTACAGCTGTACCTGGAGCGATAGAGTGAAGCGAACGGCGCTGGATAGCAGAGGTCCAGGATGCTGGTGGGCTGAGCCGACCGGCTGCCGTCCGTCTCTGCTACTGCTTGGGCTGCTGCTGCAAGGTGGAACTGCTCAGCCCTCTGCCATGCGCCCTTTGAGGTTTGGTGCCGATGGCCTGTCCTACGGTTCGCGATTCCTTGGGCAGAAACTATTAATCAATTATTGCACGCCAAACAAAGCAATGCAGCAATCGGTCAGTCAAGCTTCGGGTTGCGAGTTGTCGTCGTCAACTCCAGCTCGACAGCGGTGTCTCCCACACTGCAAGACGACGTGTACAGATGACGTCCGCCGTGAGAAAGTGTACGGTATCTTGCCTTATCGAGTCGTGTGGTGAAGATGCGATGCAGTCAGAGTTGAAGTGTGCCGCATCCCTCCCACGCTTTCGTTGTTCGGCGCTATTTCTGGAATACCGCCACTAGCGTCGACACCTCAGGCACGAAATCGATCAGACCCAGCGATTGCTCGAAACAGCCATCTCACCTCACATTTGCACAACCAAAAAAAAAGATCTACACATGCAGCTTCGCTGTTCAAAGAATAGCAACAGCACTTGCAGATCCCTTCTTGATTCCAATTCTCGCCCCGACCCTCTCCTCGCGTGCTTCTGAGCGTAGGGCTGAGAAGTCCCGCTTCCTCTCGTACGGACACCACACAACAACCCACCATACAATTCTCACCATTAACCACACAAAGTCACACGAGTGACGACACCCCCAAATCGCACCCAATGCACAATGGCGTCGGGATCATCACCGGTCAGCACCTAACCCACATCTGAAACCACGATACCCCGTCCCCATCTTGCGTGCACAGCCTCAGAAAGGATTGCGAACCTCCTGCAAGGTCGACTTTGAAGCGTGGCAGTGCTCGCATACTGCACCACCACACAACCACCCACGCCGCCCATTGGCCTTCTCTCTACCTATCATCTCCTCGCTAGTTAGGCAAGATCAAGACAGGCCGACTATTTCGAAACCCAACCGTCAGTCCCAAGCGAAGCGAACGAAACGCAGCCCGTGCCACGTACCTGTTCTGTTTCATCTCATGCTGCTCAATGCTGGTGCCTTGCGCTAGCCAAACACCTTCCATACCAGAAGCTATCTCGTGGTGGCGATGCACTCGCCTAGGTACTAGGTACCCGGTCTATTGTCCGCGGGAATTGATCTCCCATCATCATCATGTGCTCCCTCCATCCAATCCTCCCAGGAACGCTTGTCGACGGCGCGGAACTGCGTCAGGTACGGAAGACTAGTCGAGAGCTTACGAGGCCGTCAGATGCGAGGAGAAACGTTGTACTTGATGGGAGGTCACGCGCATAGGCATGTGAAAGTTTCTGGATGCGGTCTAGGAACAGGAAAGACCGGCTTTCCTTGCATTCCCAGGCTGTCCTGTCTACCTCATGCTTTGCGATACCTCCTCCACCAGCTCAACATGCATCTGCTGCTACTCTCTTCGCGACGACCTCAATTTACTTTCCAAACTCCCTCCGCTCAAGATCTCAAGGCATCTTCTCATCCACATCCCGTTTCAAATGCTCCTCCAACTCCTTCAACCTCCTAACGTTGTCGCGGTAGTTATTCGTCCCGTATGGGAAGGGCTGCAAGCACAATGTCAACACCTCACAATCGTGTTCGATCGACGACTACTCACCTGACGATCCGCCCACTGCGTCTGTACTCTGGCTTGCTGACGCCGTCTCTGTCGAGAGGTTGTTTGTCTGTTTGTTTGGTTGTTGGAGTCGTTTGACGGCATCTTGTCGTTGCTCCTCTCGGCTTGGGGAGTGTTCGTTTCTCTCTTCTTCGTTCGTTCGATGTCCTGAGGCCAGCCTAGAGAAAGAAAAATAAGACGCAGCGCGCCATGGACGACTTATATCGTCTTCATATCCAGACAACACGCCCGATGTCCCAGCACATTGTCTCAATACCCAACATCTGGAGCACGTGGGAAGAAAGACGTAAGACTCCGACTAAGATCGAGACAGTCTCTCCACATCTACATTCACTATCATCGTGAAGCCTCTACGAGAACCACTCTCAGAACCCAGGATACGAACAGACAAGTGTCTCGTTGCGAAACTCTTCGGCGTGGGTTTGATAGATCCAGACCTCGTTCCATGTACAATGTTTCTTATTGAATTTCATATCTTGACGCTTTCCTTCTAACCCTCCAACCCATTAACTCACAACGCATCCGACCCATTCAGCCCTCCACTAACCGTCCCTTAAACCTTTCTCTCGCAATCCCCTTCCCTTGCCACAGCACTCTCTTCCGCCGCTCATGTCCGGCGGCTTCTCCTCCACCAGCTGGGACACCAGCTGCAAAGGCATCGTCGCCTGGAAGGGAGATTCCAGCGGGAAGTGTCGACATCGTCCTTAACATTCAAAAACAACCCCTAGTGGCGAACACCTAAGGAATCGCTCTACGGGATCCAGCAACTGGTCTTGATGTCATGGTTTGACTACGTTGCCGTTTCTCCAAGCGGAGCCGGTCTTCTTCTAAACACTCTGTGCTGCCACGAATAACTCCAGGAAATGATCGAGTAAGGTCTTCGCCCGAGAAAGGTTCACTTGAGGGAATCGAATGGAGGAACGTTTATCTGAAACACGTCTTTGCTCAGCAACATATGAACAATTCCAACAAGGTAGAGTATGCTTTGATATGTATGTAGCACGCTTCAAAGCGACGCGATCAGCCGATTAGGCGCCGCTCCAATGCCCCGAGTCCCGCCTCCCAAATGCCCATGATACCTGCGCCGTGTCGATGCCGCTGCTGTGCGCCCCAAAGAACCATCTCGCTAATGTAGGTGTGCAAACCGGCCGTGTCAATGTGATGCGAGAAATTCAGCACCTTGCTCCTACCATCCGCCCGGTCCAACTCCTAGCTGCGGCTGCCCGTACGATCCTGAGAAGAGCTGCTGCCGTATACTCGCCCGCTCTTCTGATACACCTGCTGGTGCCTGACCTGTTCCTCCCTGGATGAATCCCAGAGCCGTCTTGAGCTCGTTTACGGCTTCCTCCATCTTGCCCCTGCTCTTCTCGTTATGCTCCACCAGCTTCTGATCCCATCCACCAAACTGTAGATGGAAGCCTCCCGCTCTCTTAGCTGCCTCTCGAATCACCAGACCCCATGCTTTTGCAATCTCATCGTATGCCTCGTTCTTGTACCGCTGGTGCTGGAGGGTGTCCCAGTCGGGTAGCCGGTGAATCATGTTGGTGACGGAATCGAGGTAGGTGAGAGATAGACCGTCCTGAGTCTCGTGTGGTGGAAGGAAATGAGGTGTGTATTCTCGTACAGCGTCGATGAATTGGCGAAGGTGCTGTCGTACTCGGTTGTACGCGTAGTCTGAGGTGGGGCGGTTACCAAGTGGGAAAGCTTCCTCGAAAGCTTTCTCATACTTGGCCAATACGGACAAGGTAGACTCGATGGATGGCCGCGGTGCTTGTGTGACAATCTCTCGCTGGAGTTCAGGGTGTTGGTCACACACATTCTGCAGTAGCTGCCTCATCTCTTCCGCGGACAGGGTTTCGAGCAAGCGTGGCAAAGCGAGGGGTCTGCCTGATGAGAGGGTGCTGATGCGAGTTCGCTTGATGTTTCGGTGCGCGGAGGTAGGTAGATGGCGGCCGGCCATAGAAGGCGAAGCGGTAGGAGAGGTGGACATGCGGTCATTGTCTGGCTCTTCGGAAGCCTTTCGCTTCCGGTTCGACATGGGCGGAGGTTGTTGTGGAAAGGGGTCTTGGTGAAACAACATGTTAGCTGCACTGTATGTATATGTGTATGTCTGCGGGGTTCCGAGTCGGTGTCGAGGCGTGGGCAGGCACTCACCACGAGAAGGCGAGAGGCGGCTGCTGTAGAGAAGATGTGGAGCAGTCGCAGGATCCGAGTTGAGGACACTGTTCATGACGACAGAAAGGAAATGCCAGGCCGAGTGAATGGGCGGTGTCGTTGCGGAGGCGTCGGGTTTCTCAGGCAGTGAATAGTGGTGAAGGCGGTGGTGAATAGTCGCAGGTGGTGGACAGGCAAGCAGGTGGTCTGGCTGCGAGTGAAAGCAGAGTGGAGTGTTGTCGCTTCCTCTGCCAACAAGCTTTCGCTTCGGCGCTGTGGCTGGCGTCGGACCAATCACGCGCCGACAATCAGCCACTTCACGCAGCACTCCTTTCCAACCCACCCCTACCTGCATCGACTGCTCTACTGTTTACTTCGCACCAGTCGATCTATCACGGCGCTTCTGCCTCCACAATCCTGTGAACCAGACTTGACCCCTTCCACAAGGACGATTTCTGCCCTGCTTGTCCAGCTCAATGGCGAGGTGATAGCCGTGATAAGCGCATGCGACCCGACCCCAACCCTGCTGGCTCACCTTAAGGGCCACCATGAGCCATCTTTTGCCAGACCATGCCCGCAGAAAGACCAGCGAGGATGGACACGATGAGCCGCTGCTGGAGTCTGGACGGGCCAGTCTTGAAGACGACGACATCGAACTTTCAGAGTTAGGCGGAGAGAGGACTCCAATCAGCCATTACACAGAGCGAGATCAACCACCCAAGAAGGAGGTATCCTGGGCCGTCATTGCCGTCACCCTTGCAGTCTGTGTTGTTGGCTTCACAATCAACACCGAAGCTACCGCCTACTTTGAGGATGAATTGGGCTGGAGAAAACCATTCGCGACGCTGTATATCACCCACAGCTCGTTGATCTTGCCTTGGCTGTGCCACATCGCTTACCTGCGCTGGAAGGATCGCCATGTCCCGTATATGAGCTGGGTCCGCGAGTACAATAACCAACTACGAGGATCCATTGCGACCATCGACGCCTTTGCCAAGCATGGCCCGACAATGATCTGGAAACGACAAGGCCAGGTGGGTGGCCCTCTGGACTTCCTGGCCTCAACCATGGGCGTTGTGACGATTGTGCTCACAGTTAGCGGTGTCTCGTGGTTCACCTCTCTGTCATTGACCACACCAGCGGATTTGACAGCCATCTACAACTGTTCTACCTTCTTCGCCGCCGCCTTCAGTGTACCCATCCTCAAGGAACGCTTAGGCTGGATGGCTATCCTGGCAGTTGCACTTTCCATTGCGGGCACCTTCACCATAGCATACGGAGATACGACAGCAGAGCACGATGAATCGGCAATCGGCGCAAGCAGGCTTGTGGGTAACATCATTGCATGTGTGGGTGCTGTGGCGTTTGGGCTGTATGAAGTATTGTTCAAAAAGTGGGCATGTTCGTCAAGGCCGGAAAGTCAGGAGTCCAGTTTGCCTTTGACGCTGGCTGCGTCGGCGTTGACTGGGTTTTATACACTGGGCGTCCTTTGGGTCGGCATCATCGTGCTGCATTTCGTGGGGTGGGAGGTCTTCACCCTTCCCAGCTGGTATGCTCTCGGCTGGATCGTGATTGCGGTTTTGGCTGGCTCCAGTATGTGTACTTCCCTTCGCCAGCTATCATCTACTAACAATCTTGCAGTTTCTATCACTCTACTGGTCGTCCTCGTCATCTGGACAGACCCAGTCTTTGGCTCGATGGCCAATGTGTAAGTCGTCGAAAACCCCATCCAACTCACGATCCTCCAGCTAACTTTCACAGATTGAGCGTCTTCTTTGTAGCATTGGCGGACTGGCTTGTCTGGGGCCTCAGTCCTTCCTTGGCCACGTACATCGGCGGCGCCTTAATCTTCGTGGCATTTACTCTGTTGTCGTGGGAGACTTTGGGCGACAAGGAGAAGAAATAGATTCACATGTATCGAGATCGATCTTGCTTCTACCTGATTCTCTATCACGGTTATGCTCTGACGGAACTAGGCGCTCCGTATCCTTGCTTTGAATGCCTTGTGTGGGAGAAAGTACGTGGCTTATTCCGAAAACCGCCAGTGTATTCCTGACGAAGTTTGCAGGATCTGTGAAGCATCCAGCTCCAGACGAGAGCCGAGTGAATATCAAGTTTCAGCAAACTGATAACGGCTACATAACCACCTCCCTCATCCACCTCTGACTCCAGATCCATATCATCAAACCCATATACCTCCCAGAGAAATCCAAATATAACCATCCGCCACTGCTCTCAACTTCCAAGGACTCGGCTGGTCCAAACAGACGACCAGCAACGTGCTCGATTCACCAGAATCATGAATCGTCACCACGGCGCAGAGTCCGCAAATACACGAAGAGCGCGTCGAGCACCGCGAGCACAGTACCGCCATTTCAAGAAGACCAACCTCAGACGTCCAGACCATAAGTCGCTCCTCTCACTACCGTGACGGCTTGTTCGACCCAACATCACTCGACGGATCCGACGAGAGAGGTAAGCCCTGCTTGACTGAGACGAATGAAAGGGCTCGGCTTATTAGAACGAACAGAGGAGTGGACCCATGGCGCGGATCTCGCGAGATACTGCTGGCACTGAAGAGGAAGAGCGGTTTCAGGGACCGGAAGGACTCTATATCGCCACACTTCAAGAAGAACCGGCTACCGACAAACACGCCTGTACCAACACAAGCTACACGCCTGTACCAACACACTCTACACGCTTGTACCAACACATTCTACACTCTTGTAATCATGACGCACTGGTCGCACTTTCATTCATAGTACTACGCACCTTCATCATCGGCATGCTTCTTCGACGTGGAAAGGTATTTTCGAGCGCATGGATCTTAGATGTGTCGAGTGCTTGTTCTTGCGCTGATGAAGAGCGAATCAAGCAGGAATGCGTGTAATAGAAGCACTCTAAGAAGACTGGTCTGAGATCTGTGTCTGAAGTGGTGCTTGGAGTTGCTTCGGGCGGTGCTAAGAGTAGAGGATCGGTGTGGGCTGCGGAGAATCAGTCGTTGTAAATGACGAGGATCATGATGACAGCGGTCAGTGATTGAACGCTGCAAAGGCTTTGGACATGAGGCCTTGTTACCGTTTCTTATTCAACACTTGGTTTTCTTTGCGTCTGAGTACATGCTGCTGTGATATCCGCTCGGCGGTCCTGGAGCGTCCTCAACCAATCTGATCCAATGCCAGCGGATCATCCTTTGTGGGACACCCGCCCCTCGCAATCCATCGATGCGACACCAGTGCATCGCTCCTCTTCACCCAACCCTCAACACCCACCCTCAACCCTCAACCCAATCATCCCCCCAAGAAGGCTCCAGCACGACCAAAACCTGCCGCATCCCCCTCAGCACCTCCCTCACCAACCTCCAAGGCTGCCGCTTCAACGCCTTAACCGCCTCAAACATCGAAGCAACAACCTTCTTCTCCGCCTCAAACGCCAGATTCCCAGCCGAGGGCGTCATCCCCTCCACAGGAAGACTCATAAACCCCTGATGCGTAAGCCTAAGCCACTCAAGCAAGTTCGGCCAGTGCGGCGTCAGAAACACCTCGACCAACAAGCTGACTCGGTGTTGTTTGCTCGGAGGTCCGAGATCTACTTTCGCCAGGGTGCGGCAGAAGTGTATGGCGGGAGATACGTCGAGGCGCTGGACGGTGTGCTTGAACTGGTTTTCGTAGTAGAAGATTTTGAGCGCTTCGGACCGGATCTGTTTGCTGGTTTGGAGGAGGCCGCCGCCGAGGTCGTAGCCGGTGCTTGTGATGAGGATGGGTGTGTCTTTGGGCTGGAGGAGGGCGAGGCGGTAGATGCGGTTTTTGAGTTCGCCTGGGAGGGCCAGCAGGCGGCTGGACTGTTGTGAGTCTGGGTCGCTTTCGTTGGTCATGTTTGGCGGGTGGTTCGTTGGGCGTGCTGTGTTAGTGGAAGGAGAGAAGTCGAGGGAATCGGAGCATGTGAAGTCGCCCTGCCAAGAGATACAAGAGTCCGTTTGTTCCCTTGTGCATGTGACAGCGCGCGAAGCCGTTTGTACTTTCCAAATCGATTTCACGTTATAGCGTTTGTGGGACAAGAGGAGATTGCGGAAATTGAATTGATTCGTCGTGAAGAAGGATGAGTATGTGCTCGCCTCCATCTTTACGTACCCTTGACATTCAATGGCCGTGCACAAGCTGCAAGAAACCCAGTGTCTTCCATCTCCACCTTTTCTCTCCAGCCTGTACCGTGGCAATTGAACGCGGCCTTTGCGCATTGTGCCATCTCCCGCACCGGAAAGTTTCCTCAGTCCTTGCGCCAACCCTCGTCAATGGCGATGAAGGCGGGCCGAAAGTTCTGGATGTGCTTCTCAATCCTAGCCCAAGGCTGATCACGAAACTCTTTCACCGTCACGCACAGCATTGCCAGCTGATGCTCGGTTCTGTCCGTGCTCCTATGCTCCTCCAGCAATCTTTGAGGCGTGTACAAGTTCATCCTCACTTGTTTTCGGTGGTACCGCCGAAGCCACAATAGCATGTTCGGCCACCAGGCTTCGCCATCTATCCGTTCGTTAGACCAAAAGGTCATGACCCTTCTGCGAAGGGTCATGACACGTAATGATTCTTCCATTCAACCAGAGGCGCGGAATTGAAGTTTTTAATTTGGACATGGAAAGTGTTTTCGTAGTAGTAAATCTTCAAGGCTTCCCTGCGAATTTCTTTGCAGGTGGACAGAAGTCCCGGCCGGTCATAGCCGTTGGCCTCGACATTGACCATACTATCGCCTGTCGCATCTTCTTGTTGGATGAGGACGTAGCGGTAGATCTAGTATCCAAATCAGCAAACAGCACGGTGAGCGATGATTCCAGCGAACTCACGCGATTGCGCAACTCCCCGGGCAATTTCCAGAGGCGACAAGGCGCATCCGCCTCAGCGTCGGTGTCGTCCGCCATGATGAGGTTGCGACGAATTGTGTTGTGCGAGTTGCTTAAAAGTTGAAGAAAGGAAAGCGCGAGTTGAAACTTAGCGAGCTTTGCGCACGGGCCAACCACTTGCTTGGCAGTCACATGTCAGCGCAATTAAGTCACCTTTTGTCTTGCGTATCACGGCGTCTTCAGGAGGTGAAAAGGTAGCTTCAGATCTAGACTATGAGGGCTTAATGCGAATTTGAAGAGCTTGATGAGAGAATTGAGAGCAGTGACTCAGCGTTATGCACATTGAACACGTAAAGTCTGTAGCAAAGCTGGGTACAAGAAAGCACAAGTGACAGGTTCAAAGCTGTCTGGAGTAGTACTCATCCCCTCCAAGCTGCTTCTTCAACGTGAGCATAACCCTCCTGAATCGCCCGTGCTCTTTTCGGCTGTCGTGCCACCCACAGCGTCGCCAACTGCACCTTCCACACAGCCCAGCATATCCCGGCCCCAAAGACCATCCCATTTCTCAATCCTTCCCCCAGGCTCCATCCAACACAATCAGCGACGGACGCAATTGAGCCAACACAGCCTCAGCAACCGCCCAAGGCTGACCACGCAACTCCTTCGCAACCGCAAACAAGCCCCCAACCGCAAATTTGATAGCTCTTGTATCTCCCTTCTGCAACAGAGCAGCCGGCCTCGCCGGTTTCCCATGCACTTCCCTCCTATGCACCCTGCGCAGCCACAGACGCAGATTCGGCCAGGACGCTGTGCTCCAATCCGCGCGTACCTTGAAGGTGATGGCGCTCAAGCCGTAGCCGAGGCGCCTCATCATGCTCCACCATTGATACAGGGGCGTGGAGTCGAAGGCGACGATGTGGATGAGGAAGGTGTTCTCGACACAGTGGATTCCAAGGGCTTCGGATCGGATCGTTTTGCAAGTCGCCAGGAGATGAGGTCGCTCGTAGCCGCTGTTGGTGACCGAGATGGGATTCTTGTCGTCTGAGGTGGCTAGCACGTACCGATAGATCTGAGAGAATGTCATAGTCAGCACTGGACACGCACGGATAGTCTCTCGAAACATACTCGGTTTCGCAGCTCGGGCGGCAGTTTGAAGAGTCGACACTTGTCTACTGCATTGTCCATCGTGTCTGCCATGTTTATTGGGCGGTCTGCATTGTGTGTTGGAAGAAGCTGAAGCTGCTGCGACAAAAAAGGAGAGCATATCAAATTGCACCTGAGTCAGCACAGCAAACGCGCGGAGACGCTAGTGACTGTTTCACATGAGCATTCACTATTCCGTAACAACAACTAGTCACTCGTCCTGACTACTCCCAGTGCCCATCTCACGAAGTTCCCAAACACCACAAGTCCTCACTGCTCACTCCCAAGGCTCTTAATCATCACGCCACTGCTGCTGGATAGCCCCGAGAACCACCCTCCGTCGCCGCACGTCCTCCTCCTCTACAGTTACCCACGGGTGGCCCCTCCTGTTCCCCACCCTCTCAAACACAAGCGGAATCCAACGAACCAAGAACCTCTCCGCGTTAGGATCTTCAAGTCCCGGCAGCGTTTCTGGGCTCGTCCAGCTCGGAAGCCCCGAGCGATGGTAAAGCCGCAGCCAGGCGACCAGATTGTTCCAGTGCGGCCGCAAATCTGACTGGACGGTGATTATGATTCTCTTGTCTCGGTTCTTGTATTGGAATCGGAGCGTGTCGAGTGATTGCGTCAGGCGGGAGTAGGCGTCAAGGCGAAAAGAGGGTGCGAGGGCTACGAAGGTGTTTTCGAAGTAGAAGGTGTCGAGGGTTTCGTTGCGCAATCTGCGGCTGGCTGACATGAGGCCCTCTCTGGTGTAGCCGCTCGTGGAGACCGTGATGGGTTCTTCGACTAGAACGCTGTTTGGATGTCAGTGTCCATCGGGTGTAACTGGCTGATTTGACTCACAATTCGTATATAATATCGCGAAGTTCTTGTGGTAGCGAAAAGAAGGTCTTGCGACTAGCAATATTTGCCATGATTGTGGTATGCTGATGCTGCTCAAAGTTCTTCGTAGTGTGTTTGAATGTTCTGTTCATGGGTTGGAAGCCAGAGGTCCAGAGAACAAAGTCGTCACCAGGCACTCCCACAGCAGGGGAAGCTGCGTTGACCCTGCCTGCCGTCTTGTAACACTCGCCCTTCGTGGAAGCCACCACGGGCCTCAAATCTCACCTCCCCACCCCAGGAACCCACCTCATCGCCCTCCCAAACACAGTCCCCACCCCTTGCCTCGCAGCCTCCTCGCAATAGATCCCATACGCCCTCTCCCCCAACCCCCTCACCACAATCCCCTCCACCTTGCTCAAATCCACCCTCCCACTCCGCAAAATCCCCTCCTGCATCCTCTCATTCTCATACTCCACCGCATCCCACAACGCCGTCCGGCCCTTCGCATTCCTGACATTGAAATCAACATCCTCGCGAGCGAGCAGGAGGTCCTGGATGTGTTCTTCTTGGTGTCGCACGGCCATGTGCAGGGCGGTGTTGCCTTCCTTGTCGGCGGCGTTGATGTCGATGGATGGATGGGCGAGGAGGAGGGCGGCGAGTTTGACGCGCCAGTTGGCCATGGCGGTGAAGAGGGGTGGGCGGCCGTGGTGGTCGCGGGTGTTGGGGGAGATGAGAGCTGAGGAGAGGAGGTAGGTTGTTATGTCGGTGTCGCCGATGGCGATGGCGAGGTGCAGGGGGGTGGTGTCGGTGTGGGAGAGGTCTGCGCTGCGGGCGAGGAGGAGTTTGACGAGGGGGAGGGAGTGTTGATAGATGGCTTGTTTCAGGGGCGTGGTTGTGCCGTAGTCGTAGGTTATGTTGGGGTTGGTTTCTGGTTGTGAGAGGAGGAGGCGGACGATGGTTGGGTGGTTGTTTTGGATCGCGAGGTGGAGGATGGGGGTTGGGATGTTTGGGGCGCATTTTCCGTTGATGTTGACGCCCGGGTGTGCGATTAGCTGTTTGACAACGTGTTCGTTTCCGTTGACCACCGCATGGTACATGGCGTTGCACCCGTCCCCATCGACCTGTGCGATGAGGTCTCCTTTATCGTGCTCGAGCAAAAGCTTAACGATCTCTGCTCGCCCAAATTGAGCTGCTTCAACAAAGGGGCGCTCGCCATCCTCGCCGCCACAGTTGAGATTCAGACGGGCGGAAATGTTATTGTAGCTCCCGAGATTGAGAAGCATCCTGATGGCGGCCACCTCATCGGTAGCAATAGCCGCGAACAGCATCGCGTCCATGTCCTCCTGTGTCTGACTCGAAAGCCATATCTCTCGCACCATGGCATGATCGTAATGATCGATCCACCACAGACTCACATTACTTCGAGGCGCCCGAAGATCGGTTCGAGGCTGCGGCTTGCGAGGTACGTCTAAGGTCGAAGGCTTGTTCCGTTTGGCAGAGTCGTCGAGTTGGGTGATATCGACGCCCATGATCTGTGACAAGTCCCGGCATTGCTGCGAGACTTCCTTCATCGTCTTCGGCGGCCGAGTGAAATGGTGACCCCTCAACACAGAGTTGACAAGCTGCAGGATACTGACCGAGTAGTCCGGCGAGATGAAGTGCTGCCCAGCACGAGCGACACCGAGCAAAGCGTACACCTTGTCTCTCGGCTCCGAGCAAGCCAGCAAGCGTGAGGCGAGGATAAGATCGAACAAAGCGCTCCTATTCCCAGTCGTCTGCTGAACCTGTCTGACCATCGATAACGCCGGACTCCTCTTAAACGCCACATGCTCAAAGCTCTCCGCTCTCTGCATCGGCGAACACGCCTGCGCCAGCTCGCAAAACTCCACAAAAGCCTTCCACGAGATTGACTTGCTTCCACACATCAACACCGCAGTCTTAGCATGCACCAACTCCTGCAAAACCCAAAGTCTCGTCCAGTAAGCCCTCTCGCAGAGTTGCCGTATCCCAGAACCTTCGGGTTTCCAGAATACCCGCTCCATCTTCACCTGTCGCTTCCAGTACTTGACATCCCGAGCGAGCGCTTTCATGGCGAGGTCACTATTCGCATACGCAGGACCGAGCCAGACGAGGACGTGGTCGGCTCTTTGGTAGATGTCAGCCATCAGCCTGACCTGTTCTGATCGTTCCCGCGAGTTGGCCTGATCAATACAGAGGGCGTCTATCCAGAACAATGTCTTTCGATACTTCGGCCATTGCCTGACCTCCTGCAGGAAGCGTCGAAGATTCTTCCGCACAGAGAACTTGTGTTCGTTCAGTTGAATATAGCAGTCCGGATCCGGTCTCCCCCATGTGTACGACACCGCAACGTAGCGGGCATCGCTTTGAAGAGGCCAGGTGATGAGTCGACAGCATATTGCATTGCTGTCAGTCTCATGCAGTATCTCCAGTAGTCTAAAATGTTTCTCGGCTAGCCGTTCATACGGTGATGTCTTGTCGGTCAGGGAAGCCTGGGCGATGTTGGAGTGTTGTGGAGGCTGAGTGGGTTGGGTGTCCATGAGGTCGTCTTGCCATACTTCATTGCCGCTAGGTGTGGTGGAAGAACAGTCGTAACATCAATGTCTTGTGAGTCGTGTGCCTTCAAGGTTGTGCCTTGCGGTGAAGGTTGGAGTTCCTGCAGCATCGTGTCATGGTACCTCAGTAGTGCAAGCTACTGGCGCAGGATCCAACTCTAATCACTCGGTTAGACCGTTGCTCAACATGGTAGGAGAGCGTGTGACTGATATGGGGCCTAAATCTTAATACCTCATATGTTGTCGACATCCTCAACTCCCAACTCCCTCCCGTCCCACAAGCGCCACCTCAAAAGCCTTCCCCACCACCTCCCTCGCCCTCATCTCCCCACTCGCCCTCTCCCCATCACTCCCCCTCCTCCTCCCCCTCTCATCAACCTCCACATCAAACGTCAACCTCAAATCCGCAAAAAATGGCGTCTTCCTCGCCGCCCTCTTCCCCTCCAACACAAACCCCGTCTTCAACCACAACCACACCGTCCTCGCCATGCGTCCGTTCCAATTATCCGCGAAAGGGAACGGGCGCAAAGCCTGTTCGAACGCGGAGGCGGAGGTGAGGTTGAGGGTTGAGCAGGTGTGTTGGAGGGCGAGCCAGAGCCAGTGCGGGAGGGAGGAGGGCGAGCGGTGGCCTGTGAATGTAAGCTTTACGGCGGCGGCGGAGGCGCTAAAGAGGACCCAGAGGAGGGAGTCGGGTTTGGCGGAGCAGGTGGCCCAGTGGGAGGAGATTGTTTGCGGGGTGAGGTGCGAGAGGGAGAGAGTGAGTTGTTCGAGGGCGTAGCGGAGGAAGCCTGGTTGGGGGACGAATTGGGAGACGGTGCTCCACATCTGAACGCTCGCAGCGAGCAGGAGGATCTTCTCGGCATCGTAGGGGCTGTCGTTTTCTCCTCGCGCTTCGTCGGACGCGTGAACGTTATTCCTCATACTCGAAAGCATCCAAGCAGCCTCATAGGTCACAACCCACACCGGCGGCCACTCCGTCTCGTCGGGCGAATTATACACCAACGCCAACTCATGCAATCGTTGAAATAACAACGAAATCCTCTCCTCCTCCAAGCCCGCCGAAGAAGGCAGGCTGAGCATATTACAACTCCCCAAAAACCTCGCTCTTTCGACCATCCCCTGCGGCAACACCTTCCCATCGAAATCCGGATGCAGCGCAAAAGGCAGCGCGGGCGCCCTCGAACTCACCCCAGTGAGTCTCAAATCCGCCCAAATAACAAACAACCACAAGAAACTCGGCAGCTCAAACAACCGCCCCTGCACCACCGCCTTCACAGCCCTCACATGCGCCTCGCCCGCCTCATACTCCTCCTCGATAAACGTCGCCTTGGCGAGCAAACAAATTGTCGCCACAGCCGCAATCCTCAAATCCCTGCCCTCGCGCTGCAGATCCTTCGCCACCAACCTCATCGCCCGGCCCTTGTGCACGAAATACTCCCTCGAATCCGCGAGGCTCTTGACGCTCGCCTCCTTGGCCGCGGCATACGACAGAAAAATCTCGCGCAGCGTGCCGTCTTCTTTGGCGAATTCCCAGAACCCTTGGCCCCATTGCGCGCGGCAGACGTCGATCCAGCCGTTGCGTTGGTCCGTTTGGCAGAGGTTGAGGGAGTGCCACCACGCGGCTTCGTACATTTCCTTGTCCTCTGGAATGAGCAGGGCGGGTTTGAGGGTGGCGGTGAGGGGGATTTTGGTGGAGTTGGAGAGGGGAATGCCGCGTTTGATGCGGGTGCCTTTACCTTTCAATGCGTTGGAGGGTTGTCTTTTTGGGGAGGCTTTTCGTGGAGCTGGGTAGTCGTCTTCTTCGTCGTCGTCTTCATCATCTTCGCTAGACGCTGGCTTCCCACCCGCATCTCGATCTCTTGTGGGACCTTCGGGCTGTTGCTTCGCGATGTAGTTCAGCATGACGTGCTGTCTCGCCGCCGCCGCGACTTCATGGCGTTTTGCTGACTGCGTCTCATTGCAGTCGATCCAGAGGAGATCCGGGCCGGCCATGATGTTCTGTTTGCGAGACTGCTTCTCGCCGGAGGCGTGAAAGTGGAGGCATGACCAACACGACGGCTTCAGACGCTCTTAAGCAAAAATCGCTAGAGCTACCAGCCGCGAGCAGCTGAGGTCTTAAGAACCGTGGTCTCTGTGCCCTAGCCAGACCGACCAAAGCTCGGACCATCATTGACTATATATGGAAGGGGAACCGCCGATCTTCAAGCTCTGCCCTCGTGGAAGCAGATGCAGGTACGCATCGCTAAATATTAATAGGGACGCAAGATGAATAAGAGACGAAAACATTTCGATCAACCGAGTTGCATTGTTTGCTCATGTTATCTACATCTTCCGCAAGTAGACCACGTCTCGCGACGTAGGCGATGCCGAGACTATCGATATCGAATAAGTAATATTCTGGAATACCCATACTGGTACAGCAAAAGGCGCGTACAACAGAATGATCTGCTCTTGGAATCGTGTCAAAAGAGACACATCCTCGAGGTAGCTGCGTCAAAGAGCGAAGCGTGCTTGGCTCATGGGAAAACGCAGATTGGGTATCCAAGGACAAGAATGCCACCCATGGGAGAGATCCTGCTGGCGCGGACGCCAGATCAGGCAATATATACATTTTGTGCGTGATGTGTCTGTCACGCTTTTCTGAGGGAAAGACTTTTTTGATTCTCCCTTCCTTTTTGTTTTTCCTTTTTGACGCCGCGCTGAGGGACTTTTTTGTACACCGAAAATGTCTATAGGCGTTGGTAGTTTCGTTTCGTGAGTTCGTAATCGTGAGTCGTGTTTTGTTGCGATTGTCGCAATATGTAATAGCAAGTGCCGAAGATGGTCCAGTTCATCGCCGGTCACCGAGAAGGGATGCCGGGTCCGTGAAGAGTTTGAGAAAGTTTGGCTTCTTTGCAGGCTTCTGCTCGTGCTGAATCTTCGCATAGCGCACCATGGGGCCGACAATGTCCTTCTCGTCAACGGCTGGGAATTTCGATGGCTGCTGAGGGTCGTTGAGTGACGGCATTTTGGACAAGGGCTGAGTTTCAGCCAGGGGCTGGAAGAAGGGACTCTCGCCACAGGCCTGGGCCTCAGCATTGGCGAGCTCGTGGTTGGCACGCCATGCAGCATCGATTTCGGCCCATTTCTGCTCGGTAAGCTTGTAGGTCTGCGAAGTGATGCCGTAGTGTTCGCTGATTCGTGCTGCTTGGCGCATGTACTCGACACGTGCAGATTCCCAGTCGTCGGCGAGTCGTTTGCAACGTTGTGCGTCACAAACTTCCGGGATGTAGGGTTCTGGGGTGATGTGGAAGTCTGCGTGACCCAGCTTGTTTGCCCAAGGGTCTTCGTGTTCCTCGGCGATGGTCAGGGGAGGAATTTCGGATGTCGGTTGAGCAACCTGACCAGATCGAGCGTTGCGTAACGACGCCAGTGAAGGTTTTGCCGAGAGTGGCGGGGTTGGAAAGCCGGGAAGGACGGGTGTGCCAGTGGGAGTGTTTGTGGTCGAGGCGGCAGTACTGTTTGCAACGGTGGGCGACTGCAGTGGTGATTGTAACGCCTCGGAAGAGTCACTGAAGTACTGTGCCATCATAGGCGGCAGCAAAGGTGTCGAAGCATGCTGCTGGCGATCGACTGGGTCTTCCTGAGGTTGTGGAGTCGCAATCTCGATTGGGACTGATGTGGCCTGAGATATTGCTCGCTTTCTTGGTGGGCTGACAGAGCGCTCCTCGTTGGTAGTCGCTGGCGAGAAAGGCGGTGTCATGGCACTGCGGATCTCGGGTGTTGTAGGCACTGTGAGTGATCTTGTAGATGGCAGCCTGAGAGAAGAAGACCGAGAGTTTGGCGCGCTGCGCAAATGGGCACCATTGACAGAGGCGGCTGATCGATGGCCTTGAAAGCGTTTGCTGATAGAAGGGAAATGGCGACTCAATCGCGATGTAAAAGTGTCAGAAGATATCACTCCAGACCTGCGGCGCTTGGCAATTGGTTCTCCGGGTAGCTGGCCATCGCTGAAGTAGTCATCGCCCGGAGTCCACTCGGGCGTGGCCAACGACGTGACGGAGTCGTGAGTGGAGGCTGCTTCGCGATGCACGCAGAAAGGCGTGTCGCAAATGCATAGAGGTTCGTCTGGGTTAGTCTTCTCAAGGTCGAAGTCGGTATCATCGCGCTCAGCCGGGTCCTCGACCAGGTCGTGGAGAGTTGATTTCGAAGTCGGCGCGGTCGCAGGTGAGTCAGGGTTCGTGATCAGAGAAGAAGTAGAGCTTGGCCAGCGAGTATGTCCACGGGTGGAAAAGGTAGGCGTAACAGGTGAGGATGCGCTTGATCCAGCTGACGAGTCGCGCGAATGCGCGGGGCTGAAGTGGTAAGGAGAGGCCATGGTAGGGGAATCGATTTGGTCGTACTTTGGTGATGTATCGAGCTTGGGAAACGAGAGTGAGCGCATTCTGCTCATAATGATGCGGTGCCGGTCGCAGGGGGTCGCTATAAAGCGCGTTCACGAGACATATTGGATTGATGTGTGTGGATTCCGGTGTTGATGCATATGCGTTCAAGCTTGGAAGCGTGGCTGAGGATGTTTGGCTTCAGAGTGCAAACCGCGCAGCGTGGCCGAGTCCAAGGAGTCCAGGCCAAGAGTAAAGACGAGAGGATGATGCGCTGGCGCCTCTCGCGTGCAGGCTGGTATCGCCGGGTCGCTATTTGTCGGGCGCAGTGGTGACGCAGAGGTGAGGGAGCGGATGCGTATGCTTTGGACTGCGAGGCGCTGCACGAAGGGAGGGACGTCGAGGATGGAGGTGTGGTCGGTGGTCCAGCGTGACAAGATGAGGAATGAGGGAGGGCGTGGACGGGGAAGTGGAGAGTCGCGTGCAGTCAATGGTGGGCGGAGGAAGAGACTTTACGGGTCGGATGTCAGGACAAGGCCAGTCGTCGAGAAGGTGCCGCTAGTGGGGACAGCGGATTGCAACGCTGTTGGTGGACCTGAGCTGTACCTGACGGAGGAGCAGGCCTCTCTGCCGATGATGGCACTAGCAGCCCTGTCCTTGTTGAACGCTCCCAAAGCGGCCGATCGCGTGCAGGCGAGCCTCGCCGTGGTGATGGCGGATGATGATGCTGCTGCTGGCGATGGCGAGCCGCCTCCGCTGCGGGCGTGGGAAACCAAATGCGATTGATTGATTGATTGATTGATTGCGCTGCGTCGTTTGGTCCCGGCCAGCTGCAGCGCGCCCTTTGTCCCAGTGGATGGCACTCTCTGTCAAACACTCCCGCAGACGACGCACACCTTTTCGGCACACAGAGGGTTGTTGTGGTGTGTCGGTCGGCAGTATCCAGGTGGCTGGACGCCGTCTGAACAGCCGTACCAGAAAACCTTGTCGCACACGTTGAAAAAGCAAGTGGACTGTGTCGGAATCCACAGCAGCTAGACTCAGAGCAGCAGGTCTTTTGCAATGGATCACATGTGATCGGAGTCGACCACAAGTAGGAAGACGATGACCACGGTGATATTCGAGAACCTTGGTACTGGGGCCGGCTAGTGACTGTCGCTTTGGGCAGACGAAACCGACGTGGCCGAGGCGGTTGGAGCTTTTGCCGGACGTGTTTGCATCGCCGAGGAGAGAGAGTCTCTGGCTCGACAATTCCTGCTGGATCGCCGCCGAATCAAATCCGGTTTCATAAACGACGTGATGATTGATAAGTGATGGATTGGTGAAGGACGAGACGAGCAAGCAACTCTTGATTCTGGAAGCAGCAACCGCTGTTGGTGATCGCTTGGCGGCCACGTCGTCCCGTTCTCCCACAACACAACGTCGATGCGGCGGGCGACAACGGCCGGCGGCGACGATCGATCGTTGACAACCTGTCATTCGGGCCCCTCGACCAAAAACACCACCACCACCACCCCTCTATCAACATCAAACACACCAAACGCTGTACAACCGTTTCATACCACCACCACCACAAGACAACAATAGAACCTCCTGCTTCTGCCTCCCAACCCGGAAGCAGGCGCTCTGCTTCCACACCACCTTATCCGCCAACCTACTTTGTTGCTCGCGTAGACGTCGTGCGTCGTTAGGCCGCCGGGGTCTCGTCATTCGCGCAAGCCTGTGTGCGACCTGCAGCGGCAGGAAGCAGCTCTGGCTGCATCGCCGTTGTTGCTGGCAGCAAAGGAACCAGGACCTTGCAGCAGAGGCGCACCGCCCGCAGCAGGTCAGCAAGCAGGTTGCCGTGCTCCCTTGCCCAGCCACAAACAACACAATGCAAACGACCACACGCATACACAGGCACACAATCGCTGCAAGAAGAAGTGCATGCGTACGTTTTTGGTGAGCCTGTGGACACACACATCCTTGTGTTCGTGATGTTACGTATCATGTGATGGCTCCATCTTTAATCAAAGTGCCAATAAAGCTTTGAAAGAAAAATCTCTTCAACTCAGCCATGCCCATGGCCATCCTGCCGAACCTAGCCCGGCCAAAGAAACTCCACCCTCAACGACAGACAACCTCTCGCTTCGTCAATCGACAAAAGTCCGAAAGCCATCTCAATCAACCAAGTCCGACAGCCAGACAGTTAGACATCTCAATGCGGTGCCTCTGCCCTCAACAACAACAACCTCTCCCATCCACGCTCTTGCATGCTCCCCAAGCTCACTGCATCGCAGACAACTCCGACGCACGCAAGAAAAAGACCCAGCCAAACAGGATTCCGCCTTGGGTGGAGATCAAACTTCACACTTCCTCTCGTGGCCAGAAGCCAGAAGCAACATCGAAGAGTACAATGTTCGGTTCGGTACTCGCCGACACGTACGTTACGTCCGGCCGTCTTCTGGCCTTTCTCTTTGTCGATGTTGTTTGTCATGTCAATGAAAACCCTTCATCACATCGTGAACTCCGGCCAGGAAAGTCTTTGAGATGCTCCCCGGCTCGAGCCTCCTCCCTTCTATGACAGGAAACCTCAGCCAAGCCAAGCAGCTCCCGTCTGTCTTGCATTCCAGAATGGAGTCCATAGTTCATGCACAATGCACAACAAAACGCACCGCACGATTCATGTTCACGCATAACCCCCAACGCCAATGCCTCACCATCCCGCTTCTACTGTACTCCTCCCATCCAACAGGATATGAGACCGCGCCGAAATTCTCCGGTCGTTCGCATACACTTCTCACCTTACCTATTCCCGAGCCGTCTTTGCAGGACGATGAAACGACGATGTCCTTCCTATTTTTCTTATGTACATCGGAAAAGACGGCGTGTCGTTCTGAGTTCATGACATGTTTGAGAGAGAGACAGAGCTAGAGGAGAAGAAAAGGTAAGCAGGCATTTTCCCAGGCAATTCGACCATATCTAGGAACACCGAAGTGTATCGATCACGGCGAGGTTGAACCTAGAGCAAACGGCTACCTTTCTCTTTCTTTTTCCTCGTCGTTGCCTTTTGCGGTAATCAATCACGCAGGTGTAGTAGCATGATGCCTGTTGTAAGGTACATGTATCCATTGCGCGCGAGCGCAAATCTTTCGACGATACACGGTAGCTTCTGGGTTTGTGCTGTGTGGAATAGATGCATTCGAAAAAAGTCAACTCATCCCTCTTGAATCTAATGCTTCTCCATCACCAAGTACCTTATTCTACAATTCTACCTCTCCACCTTGATGCTTCCCGATCAAAAGCAGTGCATTGGCATCTTGTCACTCTTGCGCACAACAAGATTCCCCTCCTCTCTATCATGACCAGGGTTCCCGTCCCTCTCCACAGCTCAAGCAATACTTTCAGTGGTCACTGACGTCGCTCTCCGACGCTGTGTCCCCGAAAGATTTCCGTCTCTCGCTCGCTCGTCCACCCGCCGAGCTGGAAATTCTGCTTGGTAGCGATGCGATGGCACATGCGAGTGGCATTTCTATTCCCAGTGTTTCCCTCATTAATCTTTGCCAAGCCGCAGAAGTGACTTGATGTTGAAAAAAATTGTTGAGAAAAGGGGAAATCCTCAACAACAACGACAACGTCAACGTCAGATGTCCTGTGCCTGCTGTGATCGGATGAATGTCACATGAAAGTAGACAGACAGTCCCTCGTGACAGACGTGCATGATACAGAACAAGGTCTCATGACATCCAGTACTTGGACCACAGCTTCTTGTCCTCCTCCGTCCCTCGAAAGACAAAGTCGACGTGCGTGATGTCTTGGAATCCCTCCTCGACGCTCGGCTCTCGAAATCGGGAGGCGAAGCCTGTGAACGCCATTTTCGGTAGTAGCTGGCGCTTTTCCGGGTTCATCTGTGGGAGGGTCAGCCTCTGTACCAAATGTCTTCACTCCAACAGCATATGTGAGAGGTGCCGTAGTGGACATTGTTTCGATGCCCAAAGTCCGCTCACCGACACTCTGTCCTTCGATGAACTCACCTTCCCATCAGACAATGCTCGCACCGTGTCATTGTGCTCGCACAGCTTAGCTGACGCCGTGAAGTGGACCAGCCGAATAGGCACCTTCAGCTTTGCTGCAAGTTGCACCCAGGCGGCTCTAGTCTCCATGTCGGCGTTGGTGTTGTCCACCACCACAGACTTCTTGTCCTCATCAATCGCTATCGTGGCTGCTTTGATGCATTTGTCCCTGGTCTTGAGCTGATCCTGGTTCACGCGCATGTAGCCCATGGGTGCGAGGTGCGTCCAGAAGAAAGTGGATTTGCCTGACCCTGGGCTGCCGCAGAAGAGCACGATCTCGAGGTCATTCTTCTTGCTGAAGACGATCGGATCAGCGTCTGTCTGTGAATCCAGCGTCGTCTGCAGAAAAGCCGCCGGTTCAAACGCTCTCGTGAAGGGCTTCGCATCCTCTCCCAACCAGTACTCCTCAGGCGTCTGGAACGGTATACCAACATTAGCCGCAAAGTCACGGTCCGAACAAGAATGATCCTTGCGAATCTTCGCCGCCTTGCCCCCCTCACGGCCCGCCGCATCCCCAACGAAAACGCTCTTCTCGCGATCCACATCCGCAGCAGCATCATCACCATCAACGAGCCCATAGTCCTGCAACATCTGCTCCCACATCCCAGTCCGTGGCTTACGAAAAAGGTCCTTCTCCGTGGCCGCATACACAGTGATGGGGATTTCTAGCGCCTTGAACACCGCCGAGACTTTCTCCTTGAAGTTGCTGAGGCTTTTCTTGTCGCTGCCTTTCTCTGACCGCAAGCTGATGCCGCTTTGGTTGCTCACCAGCACCACCGCATACCCATCTGCATCGAGCTGCTTCAGCTTCCCTGGGATCGTCGCGTGCCACCACTGCCAATCGTCCGCGCCCCGCGCGAAGACATTCCCGGATTTCGTCTTGATGAGGGTGTCGTCGAAATCAAACGCAGCCACCTTCACAGGTTTGGGCTTCGTCGTTCGGGCTGAAGAGCCATCCTCGTATCTCCCCACAAGTAAAGTGTCGTGCAGGATCTGAAACTTGACCTTTTCGGGCTGCTTTTCTTTTTCCGATGCGGGCTTGAAGAAATTCGACACCGCCTTGTTGGTGGTGGTTGCCGTGACTTTGCGTTTGGTCGGCGGCGGCGAGATGTCGCGGTCTGTTGTGCTGGTGCGTTTGAGTGAGCCGGACGCCATGTGTGCTGTTCGTCCGAGATAATTGGGGGTCACAAGCAAAAGCGAGCGTGTTCCTGTTGCGAGACCTTTCACTGCAATCATCTGGCTGTCGTGAAGGTGGAAAGGTCGAGTTGACGCGAAGCAAGCTCGGAGCACCTGCCGCGGAACTCTATTCTCGCGTTGTCACATGTCAAGCAGGAATACATAGTACACACAACATCTCTCAACATAATATGACAAGACATGACATGACATTACATCTGTATTGTGTATCTATACAATCCGATGCTCATCAATCGTGTTGTTCCGTTGTTACCCAAAGACGCCACGCTATGCCAACAAAACGCTATGATCATTACTACCAAGCCAGAAATGCAGTCACAATCAGAGCAACCGCAAGACCAACAAAGCTGGCTTGTAGGACAGGTGCAGCAGATTGGTCCTTGCCACAGCAGTCCAGCGTGTATGTTACGTTGTTAGCTGCTGCTGCAACGTGGAAGATTGAGCCAGCCATTGGGCTGCCGATGTTGTAGTAGTCGACCAGCAGGAAGTTTGGTGGTCGTCCCCAGTCAGCTGTGAAAGGTTTGTTAGTGTCTCGACTGTACAGGCTTTGGATTTTAACATACCAGTGCAGTTGTCAAGTGTAGCTCCCGCGCGACCGTACTGATTGTCAAGACCATTGGTGACATTGAGCTCTGCGGTGTTCGGAATCAGAAGATCCGTACTTCCAGTATCGATGCCAATGGACGACAGATCGACTTGAGTGTTAAGGTTCTGGTTGGCCAGATACATGTACCTCTCCCGTGCGTCCTCTTCGCTGAGGTTTGGTGGACGTTGCTGCGTGCAGGGGAAGCTCTGGTTGGTGGGAGAGAAGGGGGTCTCCCAGATGTGAGTGAACTCGTCCAGGACGTATGGGACTGAGGTCTGGTTCGCGTTGTAGTCCATGAAGAACACCATGCGTTGACCCTTGAGGATCATCTCGCCGAGAGTTGGCCATTGGTCACGGTATTGAGGGACGTACTGCGGCTCGTAGACGTAGGGCAGTAGTCCCGCATTGGTGATGGCAGGGACGAAGTTCTCTACTGTCGTGAAATCGCTGTTCACAATAAGGAATGACAGCACTTCGTATGGGTTTGCATCGAGCCAATCTTTGGCGATCTCCAGTTCAGATTGCCAGGTGCCCGCATTGAGGAGGTCGCAGCTGGTGTGGCAGTTCCAAAGTGTGTTGTTCTCCCAGTGGACTTCTCCTTGCACTGTGGTACGTTAGCCATGTACTTATCCATTCTTATGGTGTCCAACATACGCATGCGAACACCATCGTTCAGCTGATCTTGAATAGCCAGCGCCTGATTGCTTGCTGCATTGTTCTTGACCACAAAAGCCGAGTTGTGAGCCACCACCTGGGTGATGTTGCTGTACTTCCTGTTGCAGAACTCTGGGAACCCGTTGCAAGGCAGAGTATTCGTAGGCCGTGCGGAGCTACTCGTTGAGCTTGCAGTCTCGTTGCGTGTACTCGAAGCAGTGGCATTCGATGAGATGCCACCAATCTCGGTGAGTGAGACGGATCTGGTTGTGGCGGTGATCTGCGAATTTTGTGTGTTCGTTGACGTGCTCGTTACGGTTTCGACGGTACCGTTGGTGGTGAGTGTGGTGGTGAGTGTCTGCACAGTGCTCTGCCCTGTGGGCGAGATGTAGGTGAATTCGGAGCCTGTGAAGGCGGCCGTGGGAATGTCGCCGGTTATCGTAGACCACGAGTTCGTGAATGACAGTGAGGTCTGTCCGTCGCCATTTTCATAGCTTGTTGTGCTGCTCGAACTGCTTGAGCTCGTGGTAGAAGATCTGCTGCCGCTCGAAGTACTTCCACTACTGCTGCTGCTGCTGCTGCTGCTGTCGTCCTGTGCTATTGCGCCGACTGCAGCGAGGCAGAGCAGCCAGGGTGCGCTGGAAAGCATTGTGAGGTGCTTGGCGGGCAATGCTTTGCGCGAGATGGAGTGAACTGCACCTTCACAACGACCTCACCTCGAGAAGCAGTGAAGACGTGTATAGCAAATGCAAATAGATGGAAGAGCACGGGACCTCATCTCCTCCCAACGATTCGGGGCCATCATAACTGCTCACCAGTAACGAGTAGCGCGTGTAGCTACCGCCTTCGAGACCCGTGCATTGGCAAACTCAGAGTCCCGCGGCGAACAACGGTCTCAGAGCGCGTGCCATGACGTGAGTGGTGTCTTTTGGTCTGTTCGCCGCGCAAGCACTTTTGCGGCTGTGGCAACGAGCTCAACGACTGGCCAACTCGTTGAGAAGGGCGAAAGGATTCTGGCGCGGCTTTGCTCAAGCGTCCTGTCCTGACTCGCATTCGCACGGTTTCGAAGCTGTGAGGCCACAGCAAAAGCAAACCTGGAAGACAGAGGCATCGTAAAGTCTGTGCATATCAAATGATGGTTCGTTCTAAGAGCCGTAAACAGCAGAGATCTGCAATTAGGCTGGTTCTGCCGAAGAAAATCGAGACGGAAGTGTCGCGGGATGCCAATTTAGAGCAGCAATCCAGGCAGGGGTGACGTCTGGCATCTCTCTTCCTCCCGCACCAGCAGCTCCCAACCGCCAAATCACTGCTCGTGTGCGGCGGGACCACGCAACACTCGATCGCCCAGCCTGTCATGGCGCCCCGGAGCTGGCGCAGGATGATGTCGTCCTGTCTCTCAGGCCGTTGCTGCGTGCCATGGGCGCTCTGAGCCGCGTAAACCTTACTGCAAATCGACGGCCATTGACGTTCGCCGCTCTTCATGTGCGCGTCAAAGGCTATTCGCGAGCATACCCTACGCCGTCTGCGCAGTTAAGCCAGACTCTTCTCTGGCAGGTCCACTTGTTGTTGCGTGGAAGGTCGACGGAGCAGCATCGTCAACATGTTCGGACGCGGCAAGAAAGAGAAGAAAAGCGAGACCGCTGCACCGGACACTGAGGGACGCAGTGGTTCAGACCGCACCCTCACCAACGACTTCCAGCCTTCCAAAGCCCAGATCAAGCGAGCCACCCGGACGAGGTTTTGCTGGGCGCTGGTATCCTCTCTCCTGCTTCTGATATCAGTCGTCTTCCTCATCCTGGTAGAAGTTGGGGACACATCAGCAAGCAGCAGCATTCGATCGAAAATCTGGTTTATCAAGCTCGATGTATCCGACATCATCCCAGTGCAGGTACCCAACGCGGTCCTCATCAACAGTATTGCACAATCGCTAGGTCTGCACGACTTCTACACCGTTGGACTGTGGAACTTTTGCGAGGGCTACAATGGGGAAGGCACGACGGACTGCTCCTCTCCTCAGACTCTGTACTGGTTCAACCCAGTCGAGATCATCCAGAGCGAGTTGCTTGCAGGCGCAACAGGTCAGTCCTTGCCTACAATCGTAGTACGTTTATGAGTGTACATACTAACACATCTACAGTCGCTCTTCCAGCTGAGATCAACAGCATCCTCGACCTCATCAGAACCGTCTCGCACTGGATGTTCGGCCTCTTCCTGACCGCGGCACCCCTCAACTTCATCCTCATGTTCGTCGTACCTCTCTCCGTCTTCACGCGCTGGGCCTCCCTCCCCATCGCCATCTTCACCTTCCTCGGAGCCCTCATCACGACCGTCGCCGCCGTCATCGCCACGGTGATGTTCATCATCATGCAAAACGCCATCACCTCGGCCACACAGCTCAACATCAAGGCCGAGATTGGAGCCGAGATGTTCGCCTTCATGTGGATCGCTGCTGCCACAGCCATCCTGGCGTGGTTGATCCAGATGGGCATGTGCTGCTGCTGTGCGAGTCGCAGAGATGTGAGGAGAGGGAAGAAGAGAGGGAGCAAGAAGGCTTGGAATACCGAGACGCCTGGTGTAAGTGAGAAGCCGGAGGGCAGACGTGGCCTACCCATGTTCAAGAGAGCGAAGAAGCAGCAGGACTAAAAACAGTGATAATATCGGAGATGTGTATACGTTCTGGATTTTACAGCCACGATTGCATAGCGAAGGCGCGAATGTGTTTGGAGAACGTACGCAACGGGACACTACTAGACTTTTGACGATCGATTTGCATGTAGACAGGCGGACGCATTGATGAATACGACAGCATAGTAATTCTTAGCCCCTCAAAACCTCATTTACCAGTCGACGGCCAAAGGTACGAATCCGCTGACGCACGAATAGTAGCATACGATTCCCCCTTGTGACTAGCAAGTCAACTGGACACACCCAGGATCTTCCAGGACTGCGTCCAGCAATCCGCTTCCCACTGCAACAAATCTCTACAGGATAGGCAACAAAATTGTTCCTTCCTAACATCAGTCCTTTCCAAAGAATGCAGGATCTTTGACCCTTCCTGCGGACCGTCCGTGACATTGCCAAAGCCCGATTCGCGCGCAAATGTGTCCCAAGATCGTATTTCGAATGCTCGAGTCTGGGGTTTGCTCCTAGGAGCATGCGTGTTTCCTCGTGAGCTCCCTCACGCCTCTGGATAATCAAGCGTTTGCCGTCGAGGCAATACCGGGTGTTTCTGAGCGGTGTCACTCGCATGAGGGAGCAAAGATTGGCAATGTTCATTGTCGAGCCAAACGTTTCTCGGTTTCAGCTAGGGGCTGCCATGTGACATGGCTCTATATAAACCCTTCGAAAAAAAAAGACACAGACCTTCTCTGTATCCTCGAGTAACCTACCCCCAAAAGCAACGAACGATCCCACAACATCTCAATCCCCGAACAAGCAGAATCATACCCCCCCAAATCGATCTCTCGACACAGTGCTACCGAGCACCATGCCAAAGCAACAAGACAGCACCTCATCACAACAAGACAACCCAGCACCCCAGACCCAAGAACCCCAACCACCCCAGAAGAAAAAACCCCGTCCATATCCCTGCCAAAACTTTTTCGAAGAAGGGTGCAGGGCGGAAGTCCCCGGATTCGAGGAGATATGCCCAAAATGCCAGGCGGAGGTGAATAAGGCAGAGGCGGATCCTAATATCGAGCGACCGCGGTGGGTGAAGCGTTGGCTGAAGTATGGATCGTCTTGAATGAAGATTTGGGGTCTGGGTTTTCATTGGGGGATTGTTTGGTTGCTTGTCTGGATGTTAATGGTGGTCATTCTGTTCGAACAATGGATTGAGTTTTTATGGCTGGAGGCGTTGTGCTGCGTTGGAGGCGATGTGTTATTCTACGGGGGGAGATTTAAAGGATTTCTCTTTTTCTCAGCTTCATCGGTGCTGCTTTGGCTGTTAGTATTGCCTTATGTTATGTTGAACGGCATGTCTGGTTCATACCCCTGAATCTTCTCCCCCTGAGTTTCGCCGTACCGTAACATTCTTCAGACATCAAGCACTACGCCAGATTTCTTTCCAATCATACCAGCGGCAGACTTCTGCCATAGTGCCAGGTCCTCTTGGTGAGATATCTCGCGTTTCAGGGTATGGAATCGTTTGCCCTCGAAGCAACACGCAATGACTCCATGACCTGGATCACGAAGCGTTGCTGCATCCAAACAAACTAGTCATCGATCTTCACCATGTCCTCCCATGTGATCTGTCTTTATATTAATCTTTTAACTTTGCACAGTACACCTTCGTTCCTACAGCCTTCCCCAACTTCTTAACAAGACAAGAACGACTTCACGACTTCTCAACCCATTCAATAAGCAGACTCATACCACCAACCCCGTCCTTCCACACCACCTGGCCCAATGCCTCAAAAACGAGACACCACAATGTCACCGCAACAAGACAGCACCTCGCCACAACAAGAGAGCAAAGCAACGTTCGAGACCCGAGAAGTCCAACCCCCAACAGAACCGCCAGCAGCATATGGGTGCGCCAACTGGACATGCGAAGCTAGAGCGTGGGTTCGGGAATTCAACCAGTTGTGTCCTGATTGCCAGGCAGAATGGGACAGAGTCATGGCGGATCCTAGCTGCAAACGGCCGGGTTGGATGAAGTACTGTTCTGTGGGCGAACGCTGATTGTGATGGAGGGGGTCCATGTCCAGGGGAGATGTTGTGGTGCGATTGTGCACGGTGCGGTCTTAGCGGGAAGCTGGATGGCCAGGTGTATTTCTGTTCGAGGTGTGATGCTGCGTTCGAGGTGTGATGCTGCGTTCGAGGTGTGATGCTGCGTTCGAGGTGTGATGCTGCGTTCGAAGTGTTTTGACAGACTAGGGATGGAGTCCTAGTGACTATCCTTGACTTAATCGTTACTGTTGGTTTGTTAGTGGAGCAATATGTTGATGTGTTGCTGCGAATCACTTTCCCACGCCCCTGAATCCCTTTAGACTACGTACGATTCTCGCGCTCTTCCCGCATCATACCAGCCGCAGAACTTTGCCATAGCGACATGTACCTTCCGCCGATGGGATATCTCGGCCTTAAGCTTGCGGGATTGTTTGCCATCGAAGAAACAACACGTAGCGTCTCCTGAGCTTGATCATCAACGACGAAAAACATTCGCCATCCAAACAACGCATGCCCCCATGTGATCTAGTTCTACCTCTATATAAATCTTTCCAATTTGCACCATTCCACTTCCTTCTAATTTATCAACAAGGCAAGAACGAATTCTCGGCTTCTCAACCCACTTAACAAGCAGACTCATACCACCAACCCCCTACCTTCGACACAGACACAGACAGCACGATGACCCAACAAGACAAAACATCGTCGCAAAAACACCTCGAACTCCTCCCCCCACCAAAACTATGGTTCTGCGCAACGCGGATGCTCAAGAACAGGAATTGCAGGACTTTGGTCGGTCAATATGGCGAGTTCTGTGCCGAGTGCAAGGCCGAGGTGGACAGATGGAAGGCGGAAGGGGAGGCCAGGCGCAGTGAGTTGAGGTCGTTGTGGTGGAAGAAGGACGGTCGTTGATGTTGTGGGATTTGGGTTCTCGCTTTATAGGTGTTGGTGGTAGCTGTGTTGTTTTGGGTTGGGGATGTTTTGGGCGATGTTGAGGGGGGGCTTTGATTTCAGACTGGTGTTGGTTGATTGAGATGTTGCCTTTCGTTTCGGTTTAAGTGGCAGTGGAGTGCTTGAGTGTGTACATTGCTTGCAGGTGTTTTATGTACAGCCTGCTGTAACCATGCAGAGTCTGGGCATGCGCAGCCGTCGAGACGGCCCCTGAGTGTTTCCACAATCTGCCATATCGTACTCAGATGACTTGTCTCGAGCGGGTCTTATTGGGGTAGGGGGATATTTGGCATTTGGAGGCATGATTTTCAGAGCAAATGTTTTTGGGGTTTTTCTCTGCAAACTTGCCGGCTTCACTGTTGTAGCTGTTTCTGTTGGGATGTGGTCGGGGTATATATATACCTCTTTAGATCTGGGAGATGTTATTATCTGCAACGAGAACACTCACACCAACACCACTCACCAATACCAACATCAGCATCCCCAATCGAGACCCCCCTTCAACACCCCAAATCCAAAAGAACATCCCCCAACAATGGCACCCACAACCCCAAAGCCTGCACCCACCTCCTCAACAACTGAAAAGACATCGTCCTCCACACCCACCTACACCACCTCCGGCAAAGTCATACCACACAGCAGCAAAGGCTACGGCTGTTTCAATTGGGACAAGACCGGGTGCAAAGGATGGGTCTCATCGTACGGCGAGTACTGCGGGCCTTGTAGAGCCAAGGGTTACGGACCTCAGTGAGCTGCTTTGCGCAAGGCGGTTTCGGGAATTGTTGAATTTCTTTCTTTCTTGATTTTGTGGTGGTAGTTATTGCAGCCTGCTTCGTGTTAGGGGTTTTTGCGCGAGGGTGAAGTTTATTTCATCGATCAATCTACGCCTTCGAACAGCCATTTGAGATCGTTGGATTGGCTTTCGAAGTCGAAGACTTGGTCTTTGGGGAGTTTGGCTTGTTCCTCCACCGGGAGGCGGGCGTTCATTAGTTGTAATGAGAGTTTTTGGGCCTTTACGATCCTTTCGTTTCTGGTTGATTGCCAATGTTGCAGAGTTTTGGTTTCGGTAGCGTGGGTTGACTCGCTGAGCACTTTTGCCAATGTCCAGGAGTCCTCGATCGACACGTTCGCCCCCTGAGCGGCCGCTGGGATTAGACTGTGCGCTGCATCGCCTATGATGATGACCTTGCCACCATCGCTGACCCAACGGTCGAGTTTCGGCAGAGAATAAACCGGCCAAACAAGCGTATCTTGCGGCTTGACTTGTTCGAATATACTCCTCACGAAATCCGACTCGGCAGCCCACTCTTCGATATCCTCCGTCAGCATCTTCGCCAGTCTATCCTTGTCAGCATCGAGTGCTTCCCATCCCTCGCGAGTCTGCTCGGGATATTTGAACTGTCGAAAACTCATGGAGGGTGTCCCCGAGGGGTCTGCGGGGATCATCATGATGGTGCCTTTCTTTGTTGATACGCCCAGGCTGAGTTCGTTGGGGTCGAAGGTGGAGGTGTAGCGGATTTTGGTCGTGTCGAATTTGAAGGGCACCATGATCAAGCCGTGGTATATGGGATTGCAGGGCTGGCCGAGGACGTGTGAGCGGACTTTGGAGTGGATGCCGTCGCAGCCGATGAGTAGGTCTGCTTGGACATTCGTAGTCCTGCCGGCCTGGCGGATTTCGAATGTGACACCACTCTCGTCTTCTGATACGACGCCACGAACAGAGGTGTGATACTCAACCTTCACTCCTCTGTCCTCGATGACCCGCAATAGGACAGGGAGAAGCACCATCCGCTCAATCCTCAGCGCATCGTACCCAAACTCCTTCTCACCACCAAACGTCGCCGAACCCAGAAACTTTCCATCGACATCGCGATAGACCGTGCGCGACATCGCAAAGCCATTGTTCTTGATCTGGTCGTAGATGCCCAGCTTCTCCAGGATCTTGAGTGCGTTTGGTGTGAGGAGGAGCGGCCTCGTTGGGCTCTCCGAAGCTGTCGCTCCTCGTGTATACCATTGGCCTCCGGGTTGATCCGCAGGTGGTCGGGATTCGTAGAGAACGATTTTGGACGGGTTTAGAGATGGATTGTGATGGAGTAGGGAGAGAGTGAATGTCAGAGCTGTGAGAGATGCGCCTACAATGGCGATGTGCGGATCTTGGGAAGATGGCATGTTCGGTGAAGAAATGGTAGACTCAGAAAATGAAGAAATGCCATGAGAATGCTTTTATCTGCTGGAATATACTCGATGGTGTGAGCCCTAGATTGTGTTTAGTTTGTTGACCTGCGAAGAGCGCTGTCCAAATTTTGCCGCAACCTCCAAGATTCAGACCACCTGTAACAATTCGGGAAAAGCTTGGTCGGAGCAGCTGAGGTTAGCAAAGATGTTCCTGCGCAATACTCCAGCCAGCAACAACACCATCTGACAGGACTGACAGCTTGATAACAGGTCATCATAAAGAGCGGCTGAGCAAAACCCGGAATCGTTCTTCGCCAAATGTCCAATATTCCTGCTCTCGCCCTTGCTACTCCGCCCGGATAGAGAGTCATCATTCGCCTTCTCGCAACGGCGTAGTGAAATGATGCGAGAACAGCGTGTTCTGCCGCAATGTCGTGCACCCCAGAAAGAATGACGCCTCAGAACAAGAAAAGTCGTCTGCCAACATCACAGAGCGGGTACATTGCCACAAATAACGCTCTTTAAAGACACAACCAAGGACCAAGACGTGGCGGTGGTGGCTCCGGGCCCTCTCCGAGCCTCTGACGTCTTGATGATGGCCCACAACCCCAGCTTTCTTGGACGGCCGAACTTGAGCCCCAAAGAGATCAACATGAGAATGCACATTGTGAGACGAACAGGAAGCTGTCAGGACCAAACCTGGAAACATCGCTGTTCATGGAAACGCCGTGACGCAGGACCATGACGCGCAAAAACCCAAGCGAGCTGCTGATGCTGGCCCTTTCTAGCAAGAGATGGCCGTCAGTGCAAGGAAGTCTGGTACCACGTGTGTCGAGGCCGGAGTCAATCTCATTATTCTTCTGAAGCGGGGCCGATGCTGTGGTCTTATTGGCCATTTTTCAAGCTGGTTGCTCCAGAGTACAAGATCTGGGTGGTGGATCTGCACGACAGCTCTGCTCTTTGATGAATTTCATCGTTGATGAGACCAGGAAATGACTCTGCAAAGTTGGCAGAGGCGTTTGGTTGCGGACAAAGAAGCATCCACACCTCGTTCTTTCTGCCACCATGAATGGGTCGTGACGTAGCTCCGTAAGTTGGTAGGTGTTTCTTCAGTATATCTATATGATCGATTCTCCCGACAGTCAATCTCTACACATCCCCACACTTAACCACCAAATCACTCGAACGAAACAAACAATTCAACATGGGCCTCCTAGACAAAATCGAAGATAAGCTTGGCGGCTCCAACAAGCATGAAGAGCAGAGGTTGGAACAGCAGCAGCAGGGAACAACCGCGACCCATGGAAACCATGGTCGAACCTCCCACGACACATACAACACCACCATTGGCGACAGACTCTCCGATAGGCAGCACCCTATCTCATCGTCGACTGGCCAAGGTAGCGGCATTGTAGGCGGCACAGCGGTCACTGGAGGTGCAGGTTCCGAAGCCCTCACTGGCTCTCACGGTTATGGCCGTGATGACGGTATTTCCTCGACCAGCGACAGACTGCGTGACACTCGCCTTGGCGGCAACACCAACCCAGATGGCCCACGCCAGCCGTTCGACCCTTACAGCTCGAAGGGCCAGCAAATCGCTGCCAACGCAGGATCCGGTAACACCTACGGTGCATCAACAGGCCGCGCCGAGGCTGGCGACATTGGCAGCAGGCGCAATGTTGATGACCCAGAAGTTCGCCGTACCTATGGCGGAGGCGTGAGCAACGGCAAGGACTTGAAGACTGGGCCACACCATCACCTTGAGAACCGCGATGCTGTTCCAACGGCAGGTGGTCACAAGGTTGGGGCAGGAGCAACGTCCAACTTGCCTGGCTCATTCGACACCTACGATAACTCTCCAACCACACATGGCCAAAACCACTATGGCCGTGACGCCGCTTTGGCAGGCGGTGCAGGAGCTGCTGGATACGGTGCGTACGAAACAACCCACGGCCGCGACAGTACCGGGCCTGCACCAAACACCGCCGGTCCTCACAAGTCGGATCTCTTGAACAAGGTCGATCCTCGTGTTGATGCCAACCAATCGAGGGACAACACCTACGGCCGTGACACTGGTGTTGGCAGCGACAAGTACCATGCCCAGACAACCAGCACTCACCCAGGTTCCACGACCACATCGCACGGAACGTCCGGCATCGACCGTCGCACATACGACACCACATCAACCAACGCGGGCAATTATGGTCAAGATGTGAACTATGGAAATCGCCCATCGGCCGACACACCCCTCACGCAAAGCAAGGACTTCACCGAGAGACACCCACACGGCACCACCGCAGGTGCCGCAGGCGTCGGAGCCGGTGCAGGTGCTCTTGGAGGGAGTGCTCTCAGCCACCGTCAAGGCGATTCCAGCGACACGAGGAACGTCACGGGCGGTAACTACACCGGCCAGTCTTCCACTCTCGGACACGGCAGCTCGCAGTCTGGCAGCACTGGGGTCTTGTCCCACGGCACTTTGGGAAGCGATGACCACTCCCTCCGCGGCAGTGAGCTCGCGAAGAGAATGGGAGGCGCCTACGAGTCTGGATACCGCGATGGGTACCGTGACGCTTTGGCGCATAAGGGACCGCAGGTCTAAAGGGCGAAGATTGTACCATTGCTGTATGAGTAACGAGAAATGATGCATGAGCATTTGTTTGGAGTAGCAAGTCTAGCACTTTATTTATTTTAGTCTTTACCACATCTTTCGAACCTTACAAGACCGGATTCTTGTCACTCCGCGTCCCGCTTCCTCCCCAACAAGACTCTCAAACCAACCACGCATTTCTAAGCACCACTCTCATCCTCTCGTTCAACCACCCAAATCAAGCATCCAGACCGCAACGACCCAGCATCCGCAATCGAGCTCTGTATGCCTTTGTCATACCAGCATCCGAAAACAAGAACGTCGGCACATCAAATACTGATCCCCCGACCAAAAAAGCGTATCCTATCTCCTCCTGCAGTAGCGGCGGCTGCGGGCTCCTCTTTTGACTCAGCAGAATATCTATACCAGTGCCCGCTTTAGGAAATCTAAGAGATTCGTTGTGTGGTTAGGCCGACGGGTTCGCGTTAGACCGCTTTGAGGATCCGAATGTGTACTGTACAGTTGCTTGGGCTTTGGGAGGCGTTGGGTTGGATGGGTTTGTGTATATATCGCTCGACCTCCCGTGGGTCATGGAATGTGGTGGTTCTATAGACTTGAAGTCGGAATCTCCTCCCACCATACGCAGATTGAAGCACTCCTCCCACAATGGAAGACATCTTCGCCCGCTTCAAAGCCCTCCCCCGCCCAACCAAAACCTACCACACAACCACCTATCCCAGCATCTCGCCCACCCGTCCAGAGCTCAGTCTAGCAGGGAAAACCGTCCTCATCACGGGAGGCTGTACGTCCCCTTCCCAGCACCACCTCTCAAAGCCCTGCTAACCCCCTCCGAGCGGAGGGCATCGGCCTCGAAACCGCCCACGCCTTCGCCCAAGCCGGCGCCTCGACCATCGCCCTCCTTGCCCGCCGGCAGGAACGCCTCGACGCCGCAAAATCCGCCCTGCAAACAGCCTTCCCATCAACGAAAATCCTCACCTTCGCCGCCTCCATAACCGACACCCCCCGTCTAGAAGCCCTCGTCAAAGACCTCGCCACCATCGACATCCTCCACCTCAACGCCGCCCAAGTAACCCCCGGCTTCACCCTCTCCTCCCCAGCAGAGAGCCTGACAGACTCCTTCGCCGTGAACGTCTTCGGTCCCATCGCCCTCATAAAAGCCTTCCTCGCCCTCCCGCCGCGTTCCCCCGACGCCGAGCGCACGATCCTCCACACGACGACGTCCGGGATCCAGCTCACCGTCCCCGGGATGGGGTTGTATAATGCGAGCAAGATGGCCATGACGAGTTTGGTGCATCATCTCCATGAGGAGGCGCAGGTTCAGGGTCAGAAGGTGCGGGTTTTTACGTTTCATCCGGCGTTTGGGTTTACGCCGGGGGCGAGGGATGTTTTGGGGTTGAGGGAGGGGCAGTTTGATTATGATGATTGTACGTCTCTCCCATATTCATGTCGAAATTTGTGGGATGTGTGTTGTTGCTGACTTGACGGTTTGGGTGCAGTGACTCTCCCAGCACACTACGCCGTGTGGCTCTGTAGTCCCGAGGCGGACTTCTTGAGGGGCAGGTATACGTGGGCGCATTGGGATGTCGAGGAGATGAAGGAGAAGCGGGAGGAGATTTTGAGGGGGAGCGAGGAGTTGAAGGTGGGTGTTGTTGTTGACTCTGTCAAGGCTTGAAGCGTTGGAGGATTGCCAGAGACTCGCGGTGGTTTCAGGACTCGGTGGGATTGATCGGTTTTCGACGGATTGGATGTTGCGTGTTGAGATGGTGTCGAACGGTATCATGACCAGGAGGGCGGCTTCTTTTGGAAGGTCTTTTCATTCATAAAGTGTATCGTACATAGACATAGGTCTTTCAAATCAGGCAGCTGCCCACCCGGACCTGCTCTCCGTAGCGGAGGATTTCCTCTATCGCTGTGAACCATCAATACTCCCATCGCTATGCAGTACATGCCACGTAGAAGACATCATTGCCTTGATGTAACGTCTCTACTGTCAACAGTCCATCTCTTTCTGTCGTTTTTCAAACGAACACATCATAGTTTAGCCTTCACACCATTGCCATTCCCGTTCGCTGTGGCGCTGGCCTCCTTATTCAGCTCCACTCTGCCATTACCCTGACCTTCGCCGAAGAAGATGACCTGCACCGTCAAGTCATCGCGGTATCTCCGGCTGTATGGTGAAGGGAGAGTAAGCAGTGCGCTGAGCATGTCTTTATCCTTGCCGCCGAGGGCATTTCGGACCAAATGTGTTGCCGCATTCTTATCCTCGACAACGAATCGCTGGTCCTGGCCGGTTGGGATTCCCCACTGTTGTTGGCGGACAGGTGCTCTCTGGCCGCTGGCGTCTCCTTGGTCGTGGTGTTCGATTGGTAGTGCGCCCGCCTTTTGACTGCTGAACCAGGACTGCAGCCATCCATTGTTCCCGCTCTTGGTCTCGCTAGAAACTGAAGCCTGCTTCTCGAGCCATTGGCCGACCAATCCAACAACTTCCTCGTTGGTAAGCATCTCCCAAAGCCCATCAGTAGCCATTACAACGAAGTCGCCCTTGGTGGGATCGATCTTGGTGCGTGTAATCACTGGCTCTGCCGTTACATATGGCGGTGTCTTCAAGAATCGGCTCGGGCTTCGGCCAAAGAAGTTCTTCTTCATCTTCTCTTGCGTCTCGGTGCTCCATTTGTAGATGGCATCTCCAAACGCTCTGCTGGGCTCCAAGCCACCCAAGATGCGGCCATTGAGCGTGACGTTCGGTTCGCCGGGGTGCTCGGCTCGGAGTCGCTCGTCTTCAGAAGGAGTGCCGCCGGTCTGATCGATGGAAAGCGCAGTCGCAGTCCACTTGCCGCTGCTTCCCCTTCGTCCCAATACGGCCCGACTGTCACCCGTACATGCTACCCGAAGCTCTTTCGATCGGCTATCGTAGAAAGAAAGTAGCGCGCAGGAGCCGGAAAGTGCTGGTGCGAGGATTTCTGCAGCTACGACTTTCGATTGTGCCTTGAGGACCTTTGCTACACTCTCATGTGTGATCTCGTTGTCCAACTTGACAAACCCTTTCTTGATGGCTGCGTCCACCGAATCGGCAGACGGGAAGGTGAGCTTAGGATCTTGCAAGGCTGACTTGTATGTCGCGTTGAGCTCACGCGCCACATAGGAGACCAAGGTCTGACGAAGTTTCGCAGACGTTGTCCAGCCGGAGTGTCCGTCGAAAACACCCCAAAACATCCAGTCCGAGCTCGCCTTGCCCTCCTCAGCGGCTGCCGTTGTATTCGGGACCTCTACTATCTTCTCGACATGGTCATCCTCGATCGGGTCGTTGCTCGGAATCTGCACCACATCGTACCGCACCACACCCTCGCCTCTCCCGACCAAGTAGCTCTCCTCGTTCGTCCTGAGCTTTGCGCTTGCTTGATCAGGCGTCAGCATCTCCAACACCTTGCGTCCTGAGAAATCCGTCTCTTTGCTGATGGGCTGGTCCGCTGGAATCTGCGCGGTGAAGAGTTGGCCTTGCTCGACAATCAGTGCCTTCCGCACCGACTCCGGGACACTCTCTGCTTCGAGAGGTACTCCGGCAGGTAGTGAGGAGGATGGCACATGCGTTGCTGTCGCTGTGGCTGTGGAGTAACTTCGCCCCTGGCTCCCGCTCACAGCAGCAGAAGAGACCTGGGATACATCTGCGGTGGTGTTTGGTGTTGATCGAGCTCGCTGCTGCTCGTAGCCGTAATAGAGCGCCGAGGCACCTACTCCGAGGGCGATGGGGACCGATATTCGGCGGGATAAGCGCATGGACGACTGGAGGGGCGAGGGCGAGCGGTTGACTACGCTGCGACTGAACTGGGCATGCTGGTTGCTGGAGATGCGCAGACTCTTGAGGGCTTTGCGAGGAGTTGACCGGCGGAAGGTGCGCAGGTTTTGTATTACGGCGCGTCGCATCGCACAGTCATACTACTACCGCATGGGGCAGGACGTGAGTGAATGTTTGGGTGTAGTAGGGTCAGTCTGGAGAGTAGGACGGCGACTTTCTTCTGTTGCTGCTGCGCGGACGTTTCCGGATCCCGGATCTTGTGATCGCGATTCGGTTAGTCTAGACGGCAGCGCCCGTGCAAATGCCAAGACTTTGTTAGCGTCGCACTCCAATTCGGCCTCAGTTTATGGTCCGGTAGACTTTTCGTTCTGCAGCGACGAGGAAATAATCGCATCGCCAAACGCCCTTCCTTCCCGACGACGACAACACCGCCGCAATGTCTAACCAGACCAAGTCCAACAAGCCCGCGGGCAAGACTGGCCGCAGCGCCATCGAGGATGTCGTCGCCCGCGAATACACCGTCCACCTGCACAAGAGAGTACGTTCAGTTTGATGAAGTCCACGGATGGCACACGCTTGGTCACACAGGCTGTGCATTGGACGGAAGACTGAAGAAGAGCATGTAAAGTCTGACATATCGTGATTGTAAAGGTCCACGGCGTAAGCTTCAAGAAGAGGGCTCCTCGCGCCATCAAGGAGATTCGCTCTTTCGCTGAGAAGGCCATGGTATGTCACGGTTCCTCCCACACTGACTTTACTTATCAATCATCGCGTGCTAATATCACCTTCCTCGCAGGGCACCACCGACGTCCGTCTCGACCCTCAGTTGAACAAGAAGGTCTGGGAATCCGGCATCAAGGGCGTCCCATTCCGTCTCCGTGTCCGCATCAGCCGCAAGCGTAACGACGAGGAGGGCGCCAAGGAGAAGCTGTACTCCTACGTCCAGGCCGTCAACGTCAAGAACCCCAAGGGTCTCCAGACCGCCGTTGTCGAGGATGCGGCATAGATGATGGGCAGTGCAAAAGGTTGAGAGGGATACCAGCGATGCGGCGTTCATGGCGTCTATAAAAGCTATGTGCCAGCGATGCGCAGCTTCTGGGTATTATGAGTATACGTCAAGACTTCAATGACACCTCACCGTCCAAGCAACTATCAGTCTCATATTCAATGTGATCCACAAAACTTGACCTGGACGTCTCGTAGATCGGGACCCTGCTCGCATCAATGGGGCGATCTTTCTGCACAGAATCAAAGCTTCGCCTTAAAGCCGCCGCCGATCTTCTCGACCTCGAAGTAAGGTAGATACCTCTCCAACGCCTGTCTTTCCTCAGCAGTGAACTTCCTCCATTCGAATGCTTTCGCGCCCTCCGACAAGACCGCTCGCAATGGAATCTCCAGCTTCTTGCCGTTGACATTATACGGGATTTGTTCGACCGCAAAGAAGAATTGTGGAACGTGCCTTCGACTCAGGTCTCTTTGGGTCGCGCTTTTGATTCGGTCCTCCAACTCTTTCGTGAGTGACTTCCCATCCTTGAGGAGCAAGAACAGGAACAACCTCTCGCTTGGATCTTGCTCCCTCTGCTGTCCAACGCAAATCGCATCCGCAACCTCTACCGAAGCACATCGTTCGAGAATCGTGTAAATCTCACCACTGCCGAATCGAATGCCCGAAAGGATTGAGCACGCCGTCACTCCGCCCCAGAATCGTCAGCCCTTTGGTCTCTGGATTGATCCGCATGAAATCGCCATGCGTCCAGACATGCGGGAACTTCTCGAAGTAGGCAGCTCTGTACTTCTTCCGACCAGAATCATTCCAAAAGCAAACGGGCATATTAGGAAAAGGTTTCTTGCAGACGAGTTCGCCGCTCTCGCCTTCAGGCACGCGTCTGCCGTCTGGACCGAAGACATCCACGTCCATTCCGAGATTCTTCACGGCGTTTTCGCCGGCGTAGACGGGGAGTGTCTGGGTTCCGTGGATGAAGTTGCCGCAGAGCTCTGTGCCTCCTGACGTGGAGATTTGGCAAACGTGAGCGCCGAAGTTGTCTCGTATCCATATTGATTGCTGTTCTGTTAGAAGGGCGCCTGCGCTGGGGATCTTGTCCACTTTGCCGACATATGGTCTGGGATTGACGTTTGCCTTCATCAACTCGGTGAAGTAGCGCGGTCCTGCGCCGAAAGATGTAACTCCTGTCGCCATCACGGCGGCGAGTTGCTTTTCTGGTGACGGGTAGAAAGGTGAGCCGTCGTAGAGGACAATCTGGCTTCCACAGAAAAGAGCACCGATCATGATGTTCCACAAGGTCCAGCCGATACCTGCGTAGTGATAGTGGACGGCATGTTCGTCGTGGTTGTAGTGTAAGCGATGCTCTTTCAAGCCGTTGACGAGCAGTCCACCCTGTGAGTGCACAATGCCTTTAGGCGTCCCTGTCGTGCCGGACGAGAACAAGATCACGTACGGTGTATGGAACGGAACCTGCTCGAACTCCAGTGGCCTACCAGTTCCCCTACTGCAGTACTTGTCCAGCGACGTCCATCCTGGAGGCGTATGCTTCCCAGTGCTAACGAGCTCAGAGCCAGCAGCAGGTTCTATCGTATCCCATACCATCTGAATTCTAGACGTGATATCATGTAGCTTCCCATTATATCGATAATCCGGTACCGCAAACAGGACCTTCGGGCGTATCTGGCCGATTCGCTCCAGGAGAACCCTTTCTCCAGCGTCGGTGGTGAAGCATGCGACAATGGCTCCAATCGCCGCTGCAGATATGACGAGAGCTAGCGAGGTTACTGTGCTGCCCCCAACAACACATATCACATCTCCCTTTGCGATCCCCGAGGACTTCAGCGCGTCAACGAAGACCCTCACTCTCTCGCGAAGTTGATCCCAAGACAGCTCTTCGGGACAATTCAAGTTCTCTTCGTTGAATGCTTTGACAGCAATTCCAGATCCAGTCCTGGAAAGGATATTCTCGGCATAGTTTAGTCTTGATCCCTCGTAGAATTCGGGAATGTCGTCGATATGGAGACTCTCATCGGCTGCACGTCGAGGTTGAGACGAGGCTTTTATCGGGAGGTAATTCCATAACGACATCCAGAAGTCGTTACGTTTGGTTATCGACCATTCGTGTAGATCGTAGTAGGATTGTAGCGATAGTCCATAGTTTTTATTGATGTAACGACGGTATACTGTTAGATAGCTCTTCTCGATGAATTCTGGATCCGGTTCGAGGATTCTGGGAGGCATGGTGGGTGACTCGAGTACGCACGAAGCGTTACGAAACCAGGATTCGCTACTTGGAGGTGTGCACCATGAAATTCACATCATACTATTTCCGTGGGTCTGAAGTTAGGATTCGTAGGAAGTGCCTCGTGTCGAGACATTGCTGCCATGGCCGCATCAGCAGCCCCGCCGGTTGGTCGATCGTGACGCTACCCGAGCTGTGTCTTGCATCTCATCGTCGCGGCCACATGGAAGTGCGAAGATAGCCTACTGAATCAAGTCGAATAACGATGGAGGCGTCCTGAATCCGAACGAAAGTGATCTCTGTTCGGTGACGTTTTGGGCTACAGTCGTAGAGCTCTTGTGAAGCTTCTTCGCCGAAATTACGCTCACTGTCAATTTACAGAGCCATGTACTTCTCAGCACACCGGGAAATTTGGTGGCACTCGTAGGTAGTCTCTTGATGATAGATTGATGGAATTGATGGGAACATGTGAAGAGGTGAGGTCAAAACCGCGCTCCGCACGGACCAGCACTAGGAAACACGACACACGGTCGCTCTTCCTCGGCGTGAACAACAACCTCTACATATAACCGCCACCACAAGCAGAGAGCCACCGGCCGACAGTCTGATGAAGATATATACCACCTCTGAGGCGTCTAGGAGATGCAGCATCAGTGACGAAAGGCGCCACCGCGATAGAAGCTGTGTTGGAACATCCAGCATGGATATCGAAGGCAACCTGGGGGCAGCACGTCAGGCGCGGGAGACGAATGAGCTGTCAACAGACTGAACAGAGCCTGGGGCCACGAACGGGCTGCCCCTTTACTGCAAGGCAAGAGATATTCACTCACCGCGATGAGCTCCACTCGAAGCGAGCAGACTGAGTTCACGCCTCGAATCCTGAGCCCACTTTTCTGAAGTCTATGACAACGTACCTGGACATATTCGCCATTTCTTCTCCGGTTGGACGAGTAGAAATTAAGTAGAACGGTTGACATTACCATTGCCACATCTTCCACGCACGAAACAGCATGTGCGGTATTTCTGCTATCGTAGCACTCGCAAAGAATGCTCAAAATGGTCTACCTGCAGGCTCTGCCAAGGATGAGAGTCGAGCAAAGCTCACTGAGCAAATGCAAGCAAGCTTGAACAGAATAAAGCACCGCGGACCTGACTCCTCTGGTATTTGGATAAGCTCGGACGAACGAATCGGTTTGCAACCCTTTCAGACTCCCTCTTATTGGGGCTCATTGCAATCAAATGTCATGAATTTGTGCTGATCAATTTGACCACGCCTAGTCCTTGGGCACAATCGACTTGCCATCAACGACCTGTCAGACGGTGGGAATCAACCATGGCATACTGCGGACGGCAAGATCCATGCTATCGTCAACGGCGAGCTTTATGATTACGAAGCGATCAAGGAAAATCTCACAGCAGAGTCTCGATACAAGTTCACAAGTAACAGCGACTCGGAAATTGTGCTTGCACTCTATCAAGTGTACGGGTTAGATTTCCTCAAACACCTTCGCGGGGAGTTCGCAATATGCCTTTACGATGAAGGCAAGGATGTTTTCATTGCCGCGCGGGATCGATATGGCATCAAGCCTCTGTTCTACACGAAGCAGAGCGGAAGGCTTCTTGTAGCTGCAGAGATCAAGGCGTTTCTACCCTTAGATTGGCAGCCCGAATGGGACGTTGAAAGCCTTGTCGAAGGCGGCTGGAACTTTGACGACAGAACACTGTTTCGTGAAGTAAGAAAGCTCCGGCCTGGGTATTACATGACTTGCGCTTCATCTGGCCAAATCGAATACCAACAATACTGGGACATTGAATATCCGGACAAGCACATTCTCGACGCCAGGAGCGAAGAAGAAATCATAGAAGGCGTCCGCCAACGACTGATGGAAGCAGTTCGAGTACGACTGCGAGCTGATGTCCCTGTCGGCGTATATCTGAGTGGTGGCATCGACTCATCTGTAATCGCGGGTCTCGTCACACATCTTGCCAAGGAGCAGGGGCGAGTTTTGGGGAGTCTTCCTCCTGGGGAACGAGTCACTTGCTTTTGCGTCGCATTTGAAGAGACCAGCGGCTTCGACGAGTCAGGTAGGGCAGTGTTCGCTGCAATGCCTCAACGACTAATCAGCCATGACAGACATCGCAGAACGAACCGCTGACTGGCTAGGTATCAAGATGCACAAGCAAATCATGAACGAGGACGCACTTGCTGCACGGTTTGAGGATGCTACGTACCATTGCGAACACCACAATCCTGATTTGAACTACGTTGGCAAGTACGCACTGTCAGAAGTTCCGCAAAAGCTCGGCTTCAAGGTTGTCCTGACTGGAGAAGGTGGGTATAAAGACGGATGTAATTGTGATCATTACCAGAGCTGACGTCCCAGGGGCTGACGAAACTTTCACGGGATATGGTGTTTACCTCCCAGACGTTCTACGCGAAGCTGATCTGACGTGGAAGGGTGCTATGCCTGAAGACGAGCGCATACGTTTATTTGAGAAGTCAGAAGCTGATACAAATGCATATTATATGTCCGTCGGCGCTGGCGACATTACCAAGGTCATTCCAGAGGGCCGAAAGAAGCTGAATGGCATTACTACCACGGCATCGATGTCGGCTTTCATGCCTCCAGTTTTCGACGAGTGGACTTCGTCCCTGGAACTTCGAAATTCGCAGGATGTCATCGCTGACGATGTGCCTGCGCCTGTTCTGGAGAAGGTTCGTCAAAAATGGCATCCGGCCAACTCAGCACAATACGTGTGGAGCAAAAATCATCTTCCCAACATCATGTTGAGTTGCTTGGGCGATCGAACTGAGATGGCACATTCTGTCGAAGGCCGGACACCCTTTCTGGACCATCGTTTGACTGAATATGTGAATACTATACCTCCGAGTCTGAGGATGAAATGGAATGGCACAGCTGTCTCTAGCAACGGCAAGCAACGTACACAAAATCGACTACAACAAAATGATCAGTTCACAGCGAAGTGGGTCTTACGAGAGGCCATGAGACCCTTCGTCACCAAAGAGATATACGAGAGGGTCAAACACCCGTACACGGCGCCCTTGGAGTACGAAGTTGGAGGACCTCTACATACCGTCCTCAGTCGACTGATCACGGAACAAAACGTGCGGCAGCTGGGCTTTGTATCTTGGGACAAGACCAGCAATCTTTTGGATCGTGCCTTTGCCGGGAAAGACGCTTCGGCAGCAAGACTCGCATTCTGCGTGGCCCAATGGGTTGTGTTGGCGCAGAGCTTTGGCATCCAGACTGCCGCGCCATCGTCCATCTGACGTTATATACGCAAAAGAATGTGCATGGAGGCGACACATGCAGGCAGCGCTCGCTGCTCGCGAAAAAGCAAGCGAGTCCAATAGCCTCCCGAGGTTGTCTTCTTAGCCTGCTTCAGCTCCTCTCTTGGAGAGCCCTAGACTCAGCGACAGCCGTATGGATAAACTTTATTTTGGGCTGTTGACATTGGACAGCGTGGGTTAAGAGTAATCATGCAGCTTTAGCGATTGTCTCGTGGCTGACCCCATGTCAGACCCTCCGTTGCGTAACTATTCCAAGCACATGGCTCCGAAGATCCGAAAGGGCTCAAAACCCGACGTCCTCGAGCTTGTCGTGCTTAGAGTGACTTGACAAAGCGCTCAAGAAGCTGTCGCATCTGCGCCTTGACTTCGTTTCTTTTGACTATCGCAACCATGTTCGAGCAAGTCTTCTTGACGGCGTCGACGCTGAGGTTGAAGACTATACTCGTCAGTATCCCATTGCTCGCCGCAACCTCGTTATTGGCATGGATCTTCTACACCCTGTTTCTTCACCCTCTGGCGAAGTACCCAGGTCCCCGCCTGGCGGCTATCACGCGGCTGTGGTATGTTCGCCAGCTTCAGAGGGGCAAATTTCCAACGCAGAGCAGGGAGCTGCATAAGACTTACGGTATGGCTCATCTCATGACGGACATTGGTGGCGAAGCTGACTTGGCACTGCCAGGACCGATCGTTCGAATCGCACCGGACGAAGTGAGCTTTAGTGACCCAAAGGCTGGGCTTGCGATTTACAATGTCAAGACGAAGTTTCCAAAGGTTGTTTCAGCGCCAACTCTCTGCAATCTTGAGCTGACGAGGACAAATTCCAGACCGACTTCTACAGCACGTGGAGTCTGAAGAACTTCGATAGTATGTGCTCAGTGAGATATCTTCGCGGAAACGACAACTGATGTACTTCCTCAGCCAATGAAGAGAAGATATTCAGCGATGTCGACGAAGTACATGCCGCAAACCGTCGAAAACTTCTGCTGCCATCGTACTCCATGTCCAGTGTGCTCGAGGCGGAGACGTCCATCGATCAGTACACTGAGCTTCTGCTGAAAAGATTCAACGAGCTTGGTGAAAGGGATGAAGAGTTGAATCTGGTCTGGTGGCTGGAGATGTGAGGCTCCTTAGGGTTCCAGCTACCTTGGCCGCTGACATACCGCAGGTACGCTTTGGATGTCATCGGCGACCTCTTCTACGGCCGCTCATTCGGCCATCTCGAAGCCGGTGGAGATGCTCACGGCTGGCTAGCGTCTATTGAGACTTTTCTCATATTCATCACGATTCATGCTTCTTCGCCCCCCTATCTGCGGCCGCTGCATGATCTATGGCAAGCGCTCACGAACAAAGCGTTCAGGGGCTCATTGGGGACCACCGTTGGCATCCGTGACACGTCTATCAAGAGGGCTGAAGAGAGACAAACTATCATAGACGAAGGAAAGTCAGCACCGAGGAAGGATTTACTGGCGAAGTTCATGGACTTGCAGAAGGAAAAGCAAAGGAGCGACTGGCAGCTTCCAGACATTCAGCAGGAGGGTTTCGTTGCGCTGTAAGTTGCAAAGTATCCAAGTAGAGACGGAGCATCCCTCACTGACACCCATGTCTCGATAGATTTGCTGACAGTGATACCACCGCGATAGCCATGTCCTCCATGTTACATGGTATAATGGCCAATGCAGACGTCATGTCCAAGGTTCTGAAAGAACTACGCGAAGCTCTGTCAGACGGCACGATCACACTTCCAGTGCGATACTCAGACTCCATCAAGCTGCCCTACATGTCGGCTTGTATCAAGGAAGGCTTCAGACTCCATACCAGTACCGGTGTGACCATGTCTCGATTTGTGCCTCCTGGAGGAGCTGAGATAGCTGGTGAACGGTTCCCGGCGGGCACGAGGGTGGGCTGTAATAGTCATGTCACGCACTTCGACAAGGAGACATTTGGGCCAGATGCGGTTGAGTTTGTTCCGGAGAGATGGCTGAAGGGGGATGCAGCGAGCATGGAGGTAAGTTCTTGCAACGATGTCAAGATATGAAAGGCAAAAGCACTGACAGATCTCACAGAGACACATGTTACATTTTGGAGGTGGCACCAGGACATGCATCGGAAAACACGTGAGTATTCCCTTCGCTTTTCCATTTCGCATGCGCTGATTGAACATGCTCTAGGTTGCCCTCGCAGAGATCCACAAACTTCTTCCGCATCTTCTTCTGGAGTTTGACTTGCAGCTGGTGGATCCCAAGGCGCCCATCATCAGCGATGGGCAGTGGTTTGACAAGCCTTTGAATATCATCGTCAAGGCCCGCCGTCGGATTCCAGAGCAAGCTTGAGAGAACGCGCGGGCGCGGTCACTAATCGTCGTCGATAGGAGATGCATTGCCGGAAGCCGCTGCTTTTGCGAGAGCCTCCTCCTGCAGCTTCTGCTCGTGCTCCCGACCCAGTTGGTAGATGTATTCGCTTTGCGTGTAGTCCCAGCGCAAACACTCAATGACATATTTTGCTTCTCGGTCGCTCCAACGCGATGCTCGCTCTCGCCACATGTTCAGGTTGTACTTGAGAGCCCATCTCTCGATGTTCATGATCCGTATGGTGTCTTCATCGTTGAGTGTCTCGCATATGGTCCTGATGTTGCTTAGGTCGTCTGGGGTTATGGGTCGTGAAGTGCGGACGATGTCTTTGAACACCTCGCCGTGGTTGCTGTCAGAGATGTAGATGGGTTCGTAGGTTGGAGGCATGTTTTGGTTGACTTCGATGTTTTTCGATTGTTTGATGAGAGGACAATTTCGAGGGTCAGTATTGCGGTATATGTAACAAGTTAACATTCGTAGATGTTATGGTGTTGCAGATGTCTTTGAAGGCCTGACACTGCCATGTTTGAGACAATATGCCGACACTTCTAGAAGGGTAGACAAACTGAAACAGTCAATTCACTTGCGCATTGTTCATCCATCTTCGACATACGTCCGACAAAAACACATTCTGCGGGTTTCTTAATCATTGTCTCACGAACGTCGAGATTGAGAGGGGTGAACGCGTATAATGGACAAGAGCATGTTAGGTCAGACCTACATCCTAACCAGCTTGATGGCTCAGCTGAACCAAAGATCTCAAAATCGGTCGATCAATTCTTGGGACATCGACATCATAAGTGTCTGTCATGTGTGAAGAAAAGTGCAATCCACCAACAAGAAAATTCGAAAAATTGCAGAAAGTTCGTCCACCCATTCGGTCCCAGTGCATTCGAGCCCATAACTGCAATCCTGTTTACCCTCAACCAGATCTTTGGTACCGTTGCCAGATTCCCTCAAGCTAGCTCTTTCGAAGCTCACAGGAACGATTTACTTCATCCTCCCGTTAGCTCCCGTATAGAGAAGCCCTTTGGTGAATTGCAGATATCCGCTTATGTTTCGGAGATCTGGGAACGCTAAAAGGCTTGGCGTTTCTTCCAGCATGTGATCAGGGGTAAAAGTAAGTCCGATGCCCAGTCACGCCCGCTAGGTCCCAATACTTCGACAACCACTCAGAAAGAGCGAAATATCTTCAACACGGCTTCGGCATCGTCCCGAATCTACGGTATTTGTTCCGAGACATAGTTCGTCCTTCCGATGGCGGCCGGGCTATGTGAGCGACCCACGGATCTGCTATTTCAATGTCAGCAATCTTTGGTACGTTGTACCTAGACAGTGGTTTTAAAAGTTACTGACTGGCCAACTTTGCTCATCGTCTGATCAAGCTGGAGATTTGGGACATTGATCAAGCACGCGTTAGGCCCTTGTCTGACTTCTCGCCGGCAAACAAATGAGAATGCAACAAACATACCAAATGTAGGTGGCTGCCAACAAGTGTCGTTTGTGCGTTCTGATTGCAGTCGTTCTAATGCAAGTGGTAGAAAAGGAAGCTACTAACATCGAAAGGGAAGCCATCAGAGGCGCACGAAGCCAATGATTTTCCCTCCAGAAAGGACAACCGTTAGGTCCCATAAGTCGATGGCGAATACCAATGTTCAAGATAATAGACAGTCTAAATCATAGATGCGTGGCAAGTGAGAGCTTGGTTATTGATAATCCTGGACCACACTACGAGGCTGCATTGCAGGGGTCATGGCTGCAGATTTTCTGCACAGCCGCTAGCTTGCCACAACTCGCACTGAATGAAGTTGAAGATGTTTTTGATCAGTAGGATATGATGCTCAGGATGTGAGGAGTTGTCAGGGAGCAATTTTCGTGCAAAAATGCACATACGCTAGGTTACCAGCCTTGTCAGCCCCTGAAATCTATCACATTCTCGCTGAGTCAACTGGGTTCGGACCTAGCGCACATCGTCCATGGAACGGTCTCTCGATATTCCTCATTACATTACATCTCAATGCATACACGTTTCATGTTCCATCTCACACCTGCTCTGGCTGAACTTCCACCGTATTGCCATCAGGATCCACAACGATAGCGAACTTTTCGAATCCGATCGCCGTAAGAGCCATCACCGTCATTCTCCCCGCCTGAATGTCGCTCCCAAACCCAAAAGCTCTTGCTCCACGCACCTCATCGTCAAAGCTCGTCTCGCCGGTCTTCTTCAAGATTGGCACCTTGAACTTCTCCATCCTCCTCTGGAAACTCCGGATGTCTGGTACGATCAATCCCACGTGGGAAAAGGTGTTGACGTATTGCGTTGTCGCTGGTATTGCCGAATGATCAGAGCTGTTACAATTCTTCCTGTAGATCAACTCCAGCTGGCCCATTGTGTTTGACTTTTGTGCCAACAGCGCTTCGCCTGTCTGGTAGCCCGTTCCATTACTGCCGCCTTGGCTGAAGCTGAGATAGTGGATTGAGTATTCAGGTGTCGCCTGGAAGGTGAAGACGTGGCGCATGCCGAGGATCTTGTTGTAGAAATGCATCGAGGCATCTATGTCGTTGACGAGGAGGGAGAAGTGGTTGAGGCTGTAGCCCAATGTAGCGACGTCTGCTGGCCCATCTTGTCCGATTCGAAAGGCATCCGAGGCGTTGACTGGAGGTGCACATGCTCGGGTTGGGATGAGTAGGGAGCTTGTGAGGAGTATCGCAAGTGATGCGATGGAGGAGAACATGATCGCTTGATTGATGAGAGCTCTCAAAGCAAGGATTGGAGCTTGTAGGTATGGAGTAGAGCAGATTTGTGTAAGATGATGGTGGTCACAGTAGTGATTTGAGCTTGAGGCTGTGGATTGGGAGCTGAGTTGTGTAATTCAAACATATTCAGCGTAAAGGAACGAATATATATGCCCTTGAGCATCATTCTTGCAAAAATGTTGAGCGAAGTCGAAGCGTCGTATTCGCATGACTATCGTTAACGTGTCTCAGGCTCCGCTCATCTATTCAGCTCGGCTATAGAAGAGGCTATGCACACCGAAGGAGCTATCACGGCCGTAGAAGGAAGTTTGCTGCCTGCCCATTTAAGCAATAGGCACTGCATTTGGCAGTCATCATATTCGGCTCCGAAACACGATAATGTGGTCTGAGACAGGGGCTCTGTTTCTGACCGTTACCAGCCCCTTAAAGTTTATGCACCGCTGAATACATTATCGACGTCGCGCCTCAGACGCGCCTCCCTGTTTGCGCGCGGGCCAAGCAACTTCATTAAATTCAACGGGACGGCAACTTCTTTCGTTCCTTCATTCACCTTCATCCACAACTCATAGTTGAACATCGCCGACAGAGCAGGATGACTGACAAGGCAATACCGCTTATTGGCAATCAGTGCCTACAATGCCGAGCTCGACCAGAAAACTTGTCTGTCTGTGCCGGCTGTAAGATCGTTACTGCTCTAGAGACCACCAAACTGCCCATTGGCCCATTCACAAACAGGATTGCGGCGTCGTGAAGAGAGCTCGCAACAAGATGGAGAAGGAAGAGCGAAAACTTCGCGAGGAAGACCCACAGCTCTTTGAAAGAGACGTTGGCCATTTCTGGGGCATCCACGAGACACGCCCGTACATGCGATCTCGTGCCGCGCTCATTGACGAGTTGTGCACCACGAACATTCGCGAGGGTGTGCAGTCTGCTCTTGATCTCGCACTCGGGAATCTGAAGCTTTGCAGAGGCGACAATATGGGTACTCGTAGTCTGATCCCGGCCCTGATGATTCGATTGGGGAAAGACCAGGAAGCGTATGATTTTATCAAGTGGTATGAGACATCTGGTAATGGTAAGTATAAAGGATTGAACTCATGAGTGAGACGTGAAGCAGTATGGCTGACGCCCTCCATGCGAAGACTCACATTATGACTGGGAGACATGTCACTGCCCTACCTAAACTTGCACGACGAAGATGTGTTCGAGAACCCCGAAGCTGCCCTGGGAGATCGCAAATTCGGAGATTTGGCCAACCAGTCTTGCCTTGCTTTGATCAAGTTTCGGCTGCTGTCTGATCTCCAGTCCCTTCAGAACTCCATGGCCTTGGGCTAGAAATTGCCGCAGGAGTTGCTCGACACCATCCAGGAGAACCTTGTCACGAATGTCATCGCCAAGAACCAGACAATCATGCAAGACGTGAAGGACGGGAAGAGCCTCAAGCCACACATCGATGCCATGGAGCGTCAGTTGAATGAAGTGTTTGATGCAGTCGACAAGACCAACAAGCACTTCTGGCCATCCATGCCGCGGGCAGAAGAGGTTGTGAATCAATCGCCAGGCTACTTTTCCCGTGGTGATATCAGCGAGGTGGCCGTTATCTTGGGGTCGAACTACACTGCTTGGAGGGATACTCCTGGAGCCGTCAATTGGGTCAAGAAGAAGCTCAAGGGCCGGAAGTCGTAAGTGGTGATTAGTAGGTCGCTGAGGCCATCAAGGTTGTGCACCCACGAGGCTGGATCGATGCTCAGGCTGAAAGCTGCTCTGGAACCGGAATGGCTTGATGCTTTTCGTCAGCACACATTGTTCCATAGGGACTGCTTCTCTGGGAATTACATACCACTTGTTGGAAATATGCCTTGGGAGCTTTAGAGTCAGTCTCGATTCCAATAAGTCGTTATTGGCAGGCTTCGATAATACGTTATCACGAGTCCCAAAAACGTTTTCCTCCAGTATATTCACATGCTGCGGATCTCAAGAATAGGCACCTTCATAATTCCCAGAGAGGCATACGACCTGCTAATGCCACTTCAACTCCGTCAGAGATCGACATTGGATAGGCTGAAGTAAGACGTGCTTTCTCGGACAAAATCACAAAACGAGTAGTCGACTTGTTCCCTAGTACGGCCGAACCACACTCCATCACATCTTGGCAGATGAGGTAGCTTGCGTCGTTCAAGCAATGAAACAAGGCGTCCAGTAAATTGTTCGCGGAAACCATGGCAGATGTCGTTGTTTTGCGGCTGAAATGCGCCAGGCAGAAGAATGCGAACGCGAAGCGGATGAACTTGATACTGGGTTTCGGTTGGTGGTGGTATGCGTCTGATACAGGCCTCGCTTCTGACCAATAAGGGTTTGTACTATTCGGGCATACAGTGCGAGAAATCATGAGAGCCGGCGGCGCAGCAGGGGGACGAGAGAGAATCGATCAACCAAGTGGGATCAATCGGGAATGACGACTTTCTCCTTGACCTAATATTCCTCGCCTCTACCCTCAATCGAATGATCCAACGAAGACAGCATAAACTCTACCATCTCCTTGGAAAACTCCCTCCTGGCAAACACACTCGCCATGTCCGCCCCAGCGAACGCACCGCCGCTCGTCCAAAGCGTCGTCTCCCCAGGCTTCTCATCCACAACCCAGCGCTTGTCAACCCACTCAGCCTCCGGATGCAATTGACCAGCTGCTGGCAGCGCGCCACGATTCGTGGTCACCTTCCGGCCTTTGAAGACCCCCGCGGAAGCCGCCCAGAGCCCTCCGGTGCAGGTCGTCATGAGAATGCCTTTCTTCGCGGCGACGAATTTGCGGATGTACTCCAGGCTTCCTGGCGGTCGAACGTTGAGATGAGGGCCGGCGATGAAGAGCATGTCAACGTCGAGGGGGCATGTTCCGTAGGTGTGGGTTGGTGCGATTGAGAGGTTGGCTCCTGGGACGGTCTTGGTTGGGTCGAGAGTTGAGGCGACCCAGTGGACTGTGAGGTCGAGAGCTTGTTCGCGGAGGGGTTGGAGGAAGGGTGCATCGGGGAAGTTCTGGATTGCTGCGTCGATGTAGGCTACGGAGAGGGTGCCTAGCAGGTCGACGGGGAGAAGGTCGCTGAATTGGACTGATTCGTGGAAGACAGCTATGCTGTAGGGTCTGTTGCCGGTCATGTTGACGACTGTTTCGAGGGCTTTGATTCAAAGGGTCTTCGATGCCAAATTGTTGTCTAGTCCGGCCCTCAACTGGACTTCGAGGCCAACGCTTCAATTTATCGCTGAGGCTTTAGCAGTTTGGTTATTCTTTAGTAGCCCGACTTACCAGCGGTGAGGTGAGAATGTGCTTGTTTGAGCACATTTTTGCCGAACAATGTGCCCCGTTTCTTCGAAGATGCCACGGCGCTGCAAATGGTCTTCCACAAGTGTACGGATACGACGAAACCACGGACAACCAAGTGCATGATCCACTCCCATGCAGTCAACGCTAATTTTCGCAGTTCGTTGCCAACTGAGAAGCTTGTAAGCTCCTTGGGGCGGGGAATCTGCCATCGGCTACAGAAACCAAGAGCTGAGTGTCCTTGGGCATTCGACCGGGTTTCCTTTTCTTTCGTCGTATTCGTCGTCAACATCTCTCGGTCATGTAGTCGAGATGATCTGACAAAGTGCCGCTTGAAGAAAGGCACATCCGTCTGTCTTCAGTCTAAGCTGGCTGGTAGACATCCCGAATTAACCAAAATCCGTCGTCTATGTCCGCGTCATGGCGAAATTCCGCCGAGTATTTCTGGACAGCATCTAACATACCGATAAGACGGTGTTCCAGTATACCAGTCATGGCAGTGGTGTATACTTCCAATAGTGATATGGGCTCTCGGTCGGACTTAGCGTGGCGATGAGATGTATGCCAAAGCAAGCCTGCGTCGAGTCGAATCTAATAAGCCAAGGATGCCAGAGATGCGGTCATATATTAATGGCTCGCTCAGAGGTAGTTCGTCCTGGTCTATCAGCAAGACAGAACCGAAACCATGGATTTCCTTGCGGCATCCAAGCTTTTCGACGTGCGAGGACTGATCGTGGTGGTCACTGGAGGCGGTACTGGTGAGATGTTGAGCCAGAAGACTTCCCGATGTGTCCGTATTCACAATCTGTAGGCATCGGCTTGATGATGACCAAAGCATTCGCACTTAATGAAGCATCCAAGGTCTTCATCGTCGGCAGAAGAAAGGAGAAGCTGGAGGAAGCGGCGAAAGTCTCTCCACATGGAAACATCATACCGATTGTGGGAGACGTCACTTCGAAAGAATCCCTCATCCAAGTCGCGAGCCAAGTGAAGCAGGAGGCTGGGCATGTGAACTTTCTGTGCTGCAATAGCGGCAGCATGTACGTATTCTTGGCGTATCATTCAACTTACGAATCAGAGCATGGACTAACAGAAGCACTGCAGGCCTCAGACGATCGCCAAAGATCCCACACAAGTCTCAGCAGCAGAATTTGCCAAAGCAGCCCTCGACCAGGACATGTCGAACTGGAACGACACATATGCCTCCAACGTCACAGGAGTCGCCTTCACAGCATTCGCCTTCCTCGAGCTCCTCGATGCTGGAAATCGAAACCGAGGGCCTGGTGGCGTACAGAGCTCGATCCTAGTAACGAGCAGTGTCGCAGCCTTCCTCAGAGGCGCTCGGGCGAACACACCCTATACTTGCAGCAAAACCGCCGTGACGATGTTGGTCAAACATCTCGCCGACAAGTTCGGACAGTACGATGTCCGAGTCAATGCGATCGCTCCTGGGCTGTTTCCTTCAGACATGTCGACAGGTCTGGTCGCGGCGGGTGGAGAGTCGAAGGGAGATCCAACTGAGGAGGGAGCGTATCCGCGATCTTTTATTCCTGCTCAGCGATTGGGGAAGACAGAGGATATTGCAGGGACGGTCTTGTTCCTGGCATCTGCTGCTGGCGCGTATTTGAATGGTTGCATTTTGCTGAATGATGGAGGGCGACTTGGTCTGCTACCGGGGACGTATTGATTACCTGTTAGCCAACGTGATGGATGTTGTGCTTTGATTGATGCCAATGCTGTCGCTTTCATTGCTGCAGGATGGAAGATCTAAACTAGTTTTCGAATTTAGACTCATGTTAGCGGAAGCTCCTGAGCAGCCAATGAACACTGAGCACACTCACAGACATGAATGACTCGACATAATCTCCTTGGAGGCCAACGGGTTGGTGTATCTGAAGTAAGCCTAACAGCAGTCATATGAAAGTCAAGGTTGAGAGACGCTTCTCAATGGAGACATTGAAGTGAGGGAAGTCCAAGTCGACAGTCCATCAGAAAAGTGACATCTGCGATCAGACCAGACAGTCCCCAATTAGTCCAATCAATACAACTTTTGGCTGCGCTCCAAAGTCGTTCTCTCGATTGCCGGCTCAGTGCATTCATGGCGGGTCGTCCGAAGGATATACACCCTGCCAACAGTTGCGATGTGTCAACAGGAAGGGCACCCAAGAAGCATGCTTAGATAGCCGTGACCTCGACGCTGATCTAGACGGTTTTGCCCGGGAGACTGACGCTAGAGCGGATGGCGTAGTTGTTATACGTCGGCGTGCCAGTAGCAGACTCGGTTGGAACTGCGTAGATGCTGCACTGCTCCCATTAGAGGATATTGTTGCCGCCGGTGGTGAAATCTGTGGGGATGCCGCAGATTGCTATGATGAGCGCCGCTGTCATGGAACATGGACATCATTTGCTCAATCTTCACCATGTCTGTATACGCAGAAGAGTGTCGATGGATCGAGTTCTTCAACGATGAAGGACGGCTAGATTGGCGGCTTTGCCAGAATGACCCGGGAGGGCATGCCGCCAGGACCTCGCTGCCGTTGCTGCAGTACCACACGCTCCCTTAATGTTAGTTCTAGACCCAAGAATCGGTTTTCGGCAATAATGCCAGCAAGTACTCAATGAATGGAACGTATGTGATGTCGAGTAGACCCATTGTTCGGAAGCGGCCGTTTCCCTCGGGCCATGGTACCGTAGCACAAGACTGGCCTTCATGAAACCCTGATAGTGGATGGCCTTCACAGTCTTCCCCTACTTAAATGTCAAAAATGTGCGAGACTGCTTTGGTCGAACGGAAGGAGACTGCAGAGGGAGGCGGACGAAGTGAAGTGAATGTACGTAGGTGGGACTCGCGAAGGACCGCCAGCCAATCAGCGCTCCCATCCCGTCGCCCGCCCAACTCCACCTCAATGTTGTTTACTAGCCGTCTTGGCTCAAGATCCTCCTCAGAAGGTTCAACCATCTGCTACATCCATAGCACATACTTGGATCGCTTGTACAAACAATTCACGAGTTACGAATCAAATACAGATCAAAGCCTCAGCGCTTCCAGCACCGCGAGAGTCCTGTCCTAAGCGCATCGCACCACACGATCAACGAGCCCTATCTTGTACGATCTGAACGTTGGAGAAGAAGGGGCAATACTCGTTGATGGAGTGACCTGTTCTTGCAATCTTCAAGCTCTTGCGCGGCAGGCACAATGGGTGGCCGCTACCGCTCGCTATCGGGCGCGATAATTGACCCGGAAAAGCAACGACGGCACTCATACGACTACGACAGCGACGACGCCCCCTCGCTCATCTCTTCCCGCGATACCTCCTCTTCGCACGCTCCCATGCTGGGCCACAAACCGAGTTTCGCATACCATCTGCCGCGGAGGCGCTTCAGTCGATACTTCACGCTCGCGATTTCCGCCACCCTCCTCATCTTCATCTACTACCTCGTGCGATCGTCCTGGGCCAGTCGTGCAGAAGTGCAATTTGGATTGAAGAAGCCGCCAGCGCCACCAGCAGCGTGGGAGAGCTTTCCTTTCTTGGAGAGGTATCATGGTGGGATAAGGACGCTGGTGAGCAGGAAAGGGAACAAGCCGGAATACCCATCAGACGAGGACGTAGAGGTCGAGAGGTTGAAAGACGAGGCGTTGTCGCAAAAGGCGAAACAAGATGCGGAAGTAGCAAGGCAGAAAGGGTTTGAGAAGCGAGAAGAATCGTTTCTGGACAGAGCGATGCGATTCGATCCCGTTGCAGAGAGCGAGAGTGAAGAGTACGAGCCGGCTGTCAAGTGCTACTTGAACAACAAGACGAAAGAGGAAGTGCCGCAGCTTTTGAGCTACAGAGGCGTCACGCAGGGTTTCCCAGATCCTGTGATGGGCAGCTACGAATTGTTCGGGTTGAGAAATGACATCTGCTTTGAGCGTTATGGCAGATTGGGCCCTTATGGATATGGATACAGCAAGAAATACGGCGGAAGTGGCGCTGGCATGGATGGAGAGATGGAAGGAGCTGAGAAAGTTTGGGGTGATGAGCTTGAGATCGACTACACAAAAGTCAGATGGGGAGATGTGCAGAAGAAGTGTGCGGAGGCCAATCGACATCGATTCAAGCCGGTGCCGAAACAGACCATGAACCACTTCTTTACGTCCATGGCTGGTGGAGGGCCTTCCCAGGAGCGAGACTCGAAGGACGAGGAGACGACCAAGTCTAAGAACGGCAAGCAGCTCATGAGTCGGACAGTGATCCTCATACGGACTTGGTGGGATTACAAATATGACGACGAAGACATGTTCTACCTGCGAGCCTTGATGAATGAGCTGTCGGTCCAGTCTGGTGGTGAATACACAGTCCATTTCCTGGTCCATGTCAAGGATGACAACATGCAGATCTGGGCTGACGACGAGACGTACCAGCGAGTTCTGGATAACGCGCTTCCCGAGGAATTTCGCGGTATGGGCACGCTGTGGTCTGAAAGGCAGATGGGGCTGATCTATGGCGGCGTTACTGAGAGCTTCTATCGCGATCTACCTGTCCATGGTGCATATCGAAGCACCTACATGCCCGTTCAGTACTTTGCGCACATGCATCCGGAATTTGACTTCTTCTGGCATTGGGAGATGGACATTCGATATACTGGTCACTTCTACCACCTCTTCACGCAAGTTTCCCAGTGGGCAAAGAAGCAGCCACGAAAGGGGCTGTGGGAAAGAAATGGCCGATTCTACGTTCCGTCTGAACATGGCAGCTGGGAAGACTTCCGCCAGATGGTGCGCGTCCAGACTGAGCACGGCACAGCGAGCAAGCAGAACATTTATGCCAAGCTCGCCGCTGATGCTGGTACCAAGAATCCAATGGATGACGAAAGTCGCAAGCCAGAAACACCAATATGGGGCCCTCAACGTCCTACTGGAGAAGGTGATGAGACGGCTAATCCTGAAAGTGACCCAGACCCACCCACAACTTACGACAAAGACGAATATGAGTGGGGTGTCGGCGAGGAAACAGACTTCATCACGTTCAATCCGCTCTTTGACCCGCATACGACCAACTGGATCCTTGCAGAGGATGTCACAGGCTACAATACTACAGGCAACAACTACCCACCGCGACGAACAGCTATCATCACAGCCTCGCGGCTCAGCAGACGACTGCTCGAGACCATGCACAGAGAGACTGCGCTCAAACGACACACGATGTTCAGCGAGATGTGGCCAGGTAGCTGCGCCTTGCACCACGGCTACAAGGCCGTCTACGCACCACATCCAGTCTACATCGACCGTGCCTGGCCGACATCCTACCTCGCAGCAATCTTCAACAACGGCCGCAACGGCGCCGCAGGAGGTGCGAGGACATCAGTCTTCTCTGACGAACGCCAGCATAACTTCCTTGGTACGACCTGGTACTACCACGCAGGCTTCTCGCCGAATCTGTGGAAACGCTGGCTGGGCTACAAGGTGGATAACGATGGCGGCGAAGAGTGGGAGATGGCGAATGAAGGGAGAATGTGTCTGCCTGCGATGTTGTTGCATCCTGTCAAAGACGTTGAGTTGATTTATGAACATAGGGTTGGAGAGTGAGCGTTTCGTGTATAGTCGATATGATGAGGAATGCTTGGTTGGCATGAGCGGGGGCGTTTTTGGGCAGTCATGAACATATTGAAGGCTTCCATTGGGGATCAGAGAACATGGCTTGCGGTGTACGAATTGCACAGCAGCAAATGGTTATGAGATTTCAGTTCCAACTTTGTTCTTCTTCATCCTACTGAAGTCCTCCTTGATGTTTGAGCGTGGCGGAATGGCGAGCAGCGCACGGACCCAAGTGTCACATGTCAAAAAGCACGAAATTGGTGCAAATCATACATACAGTGAGGCACTATGCATCTCATCCTCAACGCCTCCCACACACACTACCTCCACTCCTCTCCAGCACATCCCACGTAACCCACCAAATCTCAATCGTCCTGTTCGATTTTTCTCGCTGACCTCGTCAAAGTGCCATGGTTACTCGGGAATGTAGGATTCCGACGGCCCCCGAGACGGGCAATTTGGGCGTCTTTAACTCTCGTTGTGTGGACGCTGACGAAGTAGAGTTTTGTGGCTTCTTGCTGGGTTTGATGGCAGGTGAGGAGGCCGGGTGAGAGGATTTGTTGGTGGATGCCGTGGCGGAGGAGGAAGGAGATGAGGGGGTGCTTCTAGGGACTGTGAGGCATCCGAAACGAAGCAAAGGGTCTTGAGGGGTCTAGCAGACAGTCTGCACTTTTCTTGTTGTCCGAAGCGATTTTGTACGATACGATAACGAAACAGGGCCCTCTTGATCGATCGGCCATCTAGATCCTCAGCCGATCTTGTAGAGCTCGCTGGCTATGGCAGCCCGAGATCCTCGTGTTAAGTCACATATTATTCCAGAGAACTTTTGTAGATGTAGTAAAAGAAGCATATAACGGAAATGTGTGATGAAGACAGCGGTCGAATCAGTTTCCTCATTCAAGCAGAAGAAACCCCTATCGTCGATTGCTTCGTCCCGTCCTCCTCGGCGATCGATCAGAAGACCCTGCCATTCCATCAACGTGAGCGTCTGCGCGAAACGTAGAAGATCAGTAGGAAGAGCCTCTAACCAGCGATCATGCCATCCTTCCTCGCGTGCCCATTGATCGGAGAGACGCAACACCGCCGCGGTAAAGATCGGGGCGGCTTCATTGTCGATCTGTTGGCAAGTTTCCAGGAGCGAGTAGTCCACTGCTGCGGGGTCGGTGAGAGTTGCGGCGAACGCCTCGTAGATGCGGAGGCGTAGCGGAGGGGGTAGGGCGAGGAAGGTGCAGTGTGATGATGATGGCGGGTTGGGCATTTTGGGAAAGGAGGAAGGGGTGTGAGAGGGGAACCGCGAGGATCTTCTTGGTGTCGAGCTGGATGGGTATACTGTGAGGGATGTTTGTTGTTTGCTACAAGAATCGTCCATTCTGTGGAAAGTGGAGAATAAATCTTCAGCGCTAGATGGATATGCAAGCTCGTCAGATTGCGATCGATGGCACGGTCGCTCGCAAGATCCAGGAGAGTCGAATTTGTCGAACCCCTCCAACAAACCGCCATGTTCACACAGCAGCCTCGCGCAATAGCATGGTAGCGTAGCGAACACGATCCAGCTCAGCCTTGCAGAACCCCATGCGGCGCGGTATTTCCTCCCCCGCGCCGAACCGTTCGAGAAGCTCAACTGCTTTATGATATTTTTCTTCGACCTCTTGATTGATCTGCTCCAAGCGCGCCACATAGAGTGGCAATGCTTCGTAGTGCACTGCCGGGCATGAGTGTAAGAGGGGTTCTTTGTAGAAGACCATCGATGCGAAGGACGACTCTTGCTTGTGGGCGGGGGTTCGCGGGGCGGAGCGGCGGCGTTGGTCGAGTCTCCACTGGGGAGCGAAGGACCGAGAGTGCTCGAGTCGTACGTCCATGGTGTATTTCAGTCTGACTTTGGCGAAGTAGTATTCGTAGATCATCACTCGCAGCTCGGGTGGGAGGTCCAGAAAGCCGGTCTTGCGGCGCTTCACGGCCATGATGTGGGTGTTCTGGACTTGTTAGCGCTATAGGGTCTTGTGATGTGGAACTAATACCAGTCTCTACTTCCGTCTTAAGGTGGTTGTCGATGTGAAGGATGTGAAAGTAGAGGGAAAGAGGAGAAGAGACGGGCGAGATTAGCGTTGGCCCGTGCGATGACGCTTTCGCCGAACAAGGAAGGAGCACGTGTGAATGTGGAACATTACATCGCTTTTGGTACCACCCATCGATCCAATTTTCCAAGGTACACCGATCCTCTGTCATAGATACACTGAAGCCCTTTGATCCGAACTTGATGCTCAAGTGCCAAATTCGAACGATGATCTGCCGTCGAAGGCCCTTTCCAAATCAGACCACAGACTCCCGCATCTCCTCAACCAGCTTGAGATCTTTGGCCAAGTACAACGAGCAAAGAATAAGCTGCAACTTCCGCCGAAAATATTTGAGCCAGTCGCTCACGTCGCTCCCGACACTGTCGTCGCTCACCTCGTACGACACCAGTGCTTGTCTCTGGACTTTCTGCCTTGCGTCCCTGATATTCTGCTCATTCTGATCGAGGCGAGCACGGTAGGTGGGGAGAGCCTCGTGACGGACGAGCTGACAGATTTGCAGCAGTGAGAGCGAGTTGCGAAGCCTTTGGAACGTCTCTTTTCGATTATTGAGTCGCTGCTCGTCATATCGATCAGAAGTCGTGATTGAGCTGTGCTCGACGTGGATTGTGCTGAAGGCAAACTCGTAGATCATCAGACGTAGCTCTGGTGGGAGTGTGAAGAGTCTGCTGCCTTCTTGCTTGGCATATGGTATGGCCTTGGTCTGATCCTGTCAGTTTTGCTTGATGCCAACAGCAATGTAGTGTGCTCACCTGGACACCTTCCTCCATGTCGACAATCCTCGTGAGGCTGGAGTATGAGAGGAGCTGGTTGTCTCGACTACACTTTGGTAGGTGTTGTAGTGGTTGTTGTTGATTGATGGAATGGAGGAGGAAGTCGAGCCTTTGAAAGGGAAGGAGTAAGTGTGCGATTTCATGTGATGCCCAGCGGCATGTGACATACACTGGATTGTCACTTCACAGTGAGAGAGAGCAGCGCCCATGCAATCACATGCCAAAAGGAGCTCTCGGTCGTCGACTCAATCTCGTGCCCGATTCCCTCCTTCAGCGTTGCCATTCATTTACTCCACCACTCAACAAATCCCCAAAACTTCCCAAAGCACCCAGTCAACAACGACAATAACCACCCATTCCCGCACAACATCCCTCAGAACACTTCGACCCTCCCCTCCCCTCTCGTCACTTTCCTTCTCCTCCCCACCCTGCCCGAAACTAGCCCCCCTCATCTCCCCCGTCAACCTCACCACATCCCTCATCAGCACCCACGACTGAATCATACGGTCACCAGCCCTAATCTCCTCCCCATCAACCCCACGCTCAAACCTCACAACTCTCTCCTGATACCGCTTCCTCGCCTCCCGATCAATCTCATCCAGCCGGGCAAAGTAGACCGTCTTGGCTTCGTACCGGATGAGTCGGCATGTCTGGATCAGGGGGAAGCGGCATGTCGTTATGGTGGGGCTCACGCGGAGGGGCGAGAGTATGTAGGTGTAGATTTGGAGGCGGAGTTCGGGAGGGAGGGTGAAGAGGGGTGTGGTGTATTGGGCCTCCTCAGGATTTGGTTTGGTCGTCTGTGGGAGGAGTGGTTAGTTACTCGAGGGGATGAGAAGGGGTGGTACTTACATCGACGTCTGCACCAGCTCGGGACGCCTTCATGGTCGGCTCAGGGGTTGATCGAGGGGTTTCCAAGTCGAAGGATGGGATTTCGAAATCCTCGTTGAAGGTGTCTCGACAGATCCATTCTAGTTTCTTGTAGTCGTAGTGTCGATCAACGACATCGAAGTGCGGGACTTGGAAGTCCTTCATGAAGGCGGTTTGGCATATTTGCTCCAAGATTTCGCCGTCAGATGTGTTCATCGCAGAGACCTATCGAGACTGTCGGCTGGGTGTGGGGTGTCTATGGGGTGATGAGACGGTCGAGATAAGACATCGAGGATGGGAGAGTTTAAGGTTGCTTTTGTTGACATGACGAGGAGTGAAGAGTAGCAAGTGAATGGTCGCCGTGTGACGGTAGTCGACATGCTGGGTGATGTTTTGTTCCATTCACCTACACGTCTGCAGACTCTGTTGTCCGCCGACGATGAATGAAGAGATCTGACGACTACAGATGCCTTGGCTTTGGCTTGAACGGATGGAACCCGAAACCTCGAAGAGAATTAGAGACGATACTTACCTGGGTATGCTCAACTTCAAGCAGGACCTTACCGATCGCTTGAAGCACTCTAAGAATGCTACATTTGTTACTACTGTGTCCGCGGGAACATTGAGCGACATCGTGGTGCTTCCAGGACCCACGGAAGGTCTCCAGGAATTTTGCACAGGCTGTTCAACCACCGAGGAGGAGATGTCCCTCATCCTTACGACGCTCGTTATGCGCGGAAAGTGCCCGACCTCATCAGCCTTCGGACCACATGCAAACTCTCCCGCTCTTTCTGTTTCGCTCTGCGAGGACTCTCTTACGCAGTCGTCACACGACCACCGATCAAACAGTCAAGGCAGCGGCTCCCGACTCCCGGCTCCAGAAATAACTCCAGACAGATCTGAACTGCAGCCATCCGCCGCCCCGACCAGATCTCGGTCATCGGAACCCCAAACTGTTCATCTCTCTCAAAGACAGATGTCGATGTCGGTCGTTCCGAGCGCCGCCTGCCGGCTGGTAGCCTGATATGCAATGCGTCGACGATGAAACTGATACGTACACCGTGCTGTTGCAGTAGTAATAGACACTAACTGCGCGAAGAGCCGCTGGGTGATGAGGGTAAAGGAGACCAAGAGATACGAACAGCGGTATTCCTACTTCTTTAAGGTCAACACCCCGACGTTTCAAATGTCACATCAGGCGTCCCACAGCCGGAGGAACGGTCGTTTCTGGTGTTCGACGTTTGAAGGAGGAAGGACGATGATGATGAACGAAAGAGCAGATCAAGGGACGGTTTCGTCTCGGCGTCTGATCCTTCGGGGTGGCCGTCAGCCGCGCGCACGGTCTGTTGGTCGCTTTTGAAGACCAATCGCCTTCAGAGCCGGGCAGTGGATGAAACGAAATTCGAAGATTTTTGTTGTTGTGATTTTCGTAGTTGGACGAATGGGATGGAGAAGAAATGCTAACGAAAGGAGTGGGAGCAGAAGGCGGCAGTGAGTCCGTTGGTGACTATGCCTACTCTCGGCATACCGCCGCGAAGGAGTTTTCATGGATCAAGAATGCGTACGCAGTGCTTACGGGTGCGTTGGAGGGAGGTGTAATGACGATGCTCTGCGTTCATGTTGTTAGTTCTGCTGTAGTTGTTGGGCTTCGTTGCTTGGCGTGGCCGATCGTGGCTATTGACCCGGAAGGGAAAGTAGTGCAAAGAGGCAAAGGCGCCGAATAGAAGTGATGGTTACACGGGGCCTGCGTGTCCTTCAATTGCGTCAATCGATGAAGGTGGAAATGCCGTCGAAGACGCAGGGCGGGTATCGCGTATGAGGGTTCCCGTGCTGAGCTGAAAGATCTGCTATCTTCTGCAGATTCCGGTCGGCGAGATTTGCCCGTACGAACAGGTAGACAGGAGGTTCTTTCAAGCGATCAGATCATCGCATTGCTGCCGGTGACGGTCATCGTGGTATACGATGGTACACTCAACGTCAGGCAGGAGTATAACTCCGACGCAGCTAGCGATGATGTTTAGGCCAAGCAGACGATCCTTCCTCGTGCTCCCATAGCGTCGAGCTAATCAAGCATTGTCGAAGAATTAGACCGTCGGGAGGTCACTTTTGACTGTATCTTTCAGTGCGAGACTCGCAGAGCGGCTTCCAACCGATGTTGATACATCCGGGCGGAGTGAAGTCGTGCCGCTATAGTGGATTTGAGGCTGTACAGGATCCTGGACGTTTCGAACACGTCAACGAGCATCCTGCCAACAGCAACGAGCATCCTGCCAACAGCGACGTGAGGTCGTCGGGATCGCCACGTGCTGGTCGTTGGAACGGGTGAAAGCCGGAGATCAGTTCCATAAGTCGCTGTCACAAGCTCATGTAGGAGTGAGCGAGCGCGTGGCAATAATGTGTTCCCCCGATCCTCATCCAAAATTAGGGCCGCCAGCTGTGTTCACGACTTGTTCATGTGTCCATGATTTTTCGTCGAGCAAATAGGGCTGCATCTTGGGAGCAAGCTTCCTCGGTACCTCCGCTTCTCACCTTTCCTTCAATCTTGTGAGATAGGCAGATGTGCATAGTCAGGCAAGATGAGGTTTATGCTGAGGAAGATGGCGATTGTGCAACAACTCGCGGTAAGCTCCGTTTGTAGGCGTGAACGGCGTCCATTGTACATTGTCGATCGCTCGTGCTCGTCATGCGGTGAGCAGGCAGATCTTGCAGCAGACACGTTCGGTATTGAGAGCCACACGTGCGTGTCAAGCTCGTAGCAGAGGTTGAAGGCGTATAGCTCTGTCATCGTTGATGGGTAGGCGTTGGCGGTGTAGAGTTCGCCGTTTCAACGGGCGCCGAGTTAGGAAGTCATGGCCCAAACGGTCGACATCGAGTGAATGAATCGGCCATATCCAGAATACCAGGTAGTTAGGGCGCGAAGAACACAGTCTGCTGGTTATTGCGGCTCAATTGTGATTGGTAGTCGGGGTCTCTGGAAACCCCGAAATCCGCACATGACAGACCTCTCCCCCTCCGGAGCTGTGAAAGCAGGGCAGAGAGAGGTCGGCGACAGGATCCACACCGGTGTAGGAGTGGCTCCATACGCTCATGCAGCTAGGGAGCACCTCATCATGGAGAAGCTGTCTGCTGTCGTTGACTTGCGCAGCAAAGGAGTGGAGCACGTAAGCAGAGGCCAGACGAGATCGGGAGAAGAAGTGGCAGAAGGAGCATCAAAGTTAGTCGGTAGCGCAGCTGTGAAGTGACCTTCCTCTTTGGGATTTGGCCATGTGCGTGTTGGTTTGACTCCGCGTGCTTAGCACATGCTGCGGCGACCAAGTCTTGGCAAAGCCAAACTAGCCGACCAGAAGGCAGTGATCTTCAAAGTAGATGTACCTGACTCATGCGATGAAAAACTCGAGGATCAATTTGCACACAACCTCATCTCGCACGCTCGTCAGGTGCTGCATATTATTAGCCGAAGTTCGTTGTCCGTGCTGCTTGCCTGACCAGAGATTGGGGATGGAGATGCCGTTGTCGTTTGCCGCAACGATGGCGAACATCAAAACTTGCAAAATTGAGCTGAAGAAGTATTATCTTCGCTAAGAGCAGATTGTCGGCGTTGCTACTCATTCAGTCTCGGTCCGGTACCGGGCCGATGGGTTTGACAGCGGTTTGCAGCGTCTATCTCGTTGCAAGACCTATCGCAAGACTCCTCGCTTGTGGCCAGTCAGGACTTGAAACCGAATGTGCAGACCTCTGATCTGCGCGTCATCCACACGTGGCATATATGCACACACCCCAGGCATATCGTCGTTGTGCCACTTCGAATCATGGCCATTCTCGGCTCGCGATTGTGCATGCTCGGTGTCCTCTCGTGCGAAGCGAAGAGGAGGCTGGAAGGATGTAAGAAGTGAGGGCACTTCGGCCTGTGATGCTGCTCAACCGTGGAACAGCACCTTCACATAGAGTGCGGCGGCGTTGTCGGACGGAACGATTGTCGGTTAAAAGACCTTGCTTCCGTGATACGAAAAGGTCTGGACATGGTCATCAAACACATCGTCGACGCCTTGTGTGCGACGGCTTCCACGTGGTCCAGCAAGGTTGTGGATGATGAATCGCTCGGCTCCATCCTCTGGCGAGCTCGGCATCGTGCAGAGGGATGTTGGCGGACAGGGTTGGCCATCAGCGATCCACGGCATCTAAACTCGAAGGAGGATACCTCTGCCTGAGAAGGGGATAGGCGGGTCAGCAAAGCAGCAGCAGCTAGTCCAGCCGCGTCTGCTAGCGCTTTGGCGGCCACGTGTGAAATCTGCACCTCATCTGCAAGCACGGGACTCGTGCTTCTCGACCGATGTCTGCACGAACCCACTCGCGCTGCAGCGACGCCGGGGACAGAGAAAGGTGTGCTGTCAACTGGCGTCCAGCGCGGCATCAATGTGGCTCGTTTGCCGCTGCAGCAGGGCGTCTTTGCCTGGCAGGGACGCCGACCTCATCAAAGTGCGAAGAATTGTGGCCGTCAGATGACATTTCAAATCCTCGCCGCCCGTTGCAGCAGGCGTGGTGGCTTGATCCTGCTCCAGACGCCTCCCGTGTTTCACTATTTTTGGGCAGAGGGCTCATCTCAGCGTGCACCGCACCGCAGGCAGTCGCACAGTGAGCACACAAACGCTCACAGACATCTCACGACAGCACGACAGCTGCAAGAAAACCTCCGAACGGCTACCAGCGTGCTGGTCAACGTGAGATTCACCGGAGTTGCTCGCTCTCGAAGGCCTGTCGTGGACAGCTTTTCCGAGCACTCGGGGTCGTCGGCCTGCCATGGTTGAGTCAGACAGCATGCCGCATGCGGGACACTGCATCTGAATTCCTCAGACACGAGGTTGTAGGGATGTCTGTCTGCCGTGACACCGCCTATCAGAGACGGATGCTGACGGGTGCGAGTGGTGGACGGGCAGTCATCGGCTCGTCCAAGCACGACGACATGCACGCGTGCGAGAGCGGCATTCCTCCGCCATCGCGAGCATGGGCAGTAGTGAGTTTCAAGGTGGTTGCAGCGCGCTGAAAGCAGTCACTTTTCCCCGTGCAGCGTCCTATCGTGTAGAACAGTACATGCCAAGCGCGCATCAACTGCACGACGCTCCGCTCACAGTGCTGGCGGTGGGCACAGGAATGCCGCATTGGAGGACTGGAGGGCGCAAGACGCTTGGCGACGAGAGGGAACAATCTCACCACGTATCTCACTCACCCCAGTGTTACCTATACAGAGATGTGGCTTTCTAGTGTCGAAGGCCAAGATGTTCGACAATGCTTCTAGCGCCGTCGATCGCGGATACAGCGGCCAGCAACCTTTCCTCAGCCCGAATAGACTCGGGGGCGCTGCGACGTTGCGAGCGAAGAACGACCTCGACTTCACCGAGCAGAAGAAAACGAACCTCGAGTTGGCCACCGTACAGGCCACGCAAGGTACAGCGCAAGACAAAGACGGCGCCTGCAGTCGCCGCGTTTGGTGGCGTCCCGTGAAGCGCGCCAACTGGCGATGGATGTGATGGCGGCCACGTGCGAGGAGAAAGGCGCGAAAGCAGGAACGACCAAGCTCCTTCCCTCCACCATCCTGCAAGCTCCGACTTCTGGCCGCGCGCCTTGCAATTGCCGAGCGGCAGCACATGGGCTGGTTGCACTGGATGACTTGTGCGACGAGCGGGTATTACACGGTCGCCCATGTCGTCGGCGGGTTGGCGATGCTGTTGGGGGTTGAGGCAGAATCCACATTCCTCGAAGCGTCGGCACGAAGTCCTGATCAACTGCACGACCGCATCCTCCTACCGCAATCGGCGTCCGTCGATGGTCGACAGGTGAGGTTACATCAGGCCAAAGTGAGTTACGTGAAGTCGCAGTAGCTGCCAGCACCGAGGCAGTTAGGCTTAAGGCGTGACCGGCCATCGCAGCCATACGGTAAAGGCCAGACTTTATAGGTGCAGCATCTCCTGAGAAAAGGCTTTTGCTTTTAGTCATGTCGTGTGAAGGCGGTAGTAATAGCCTGGAAATCGCGTCGCATCATCATCTCCATTGCCAACGTCTCAGGGAGGAATTCTCGGGGCGTTGATCAAGAGAGGCCAATCACAGCAAGGTTTGGAGGTGGAGATCGAGCGTCACGAGGCCTTTGCAGACAGTCATCATATTGATGGGCAAAACGGTCATCGTCACGAAAATCATCCCATCATCCCATGATTCCCATCCCAGCCCGTCCCATCAGCATCAGGCTTATTCCTGTGCTGGTGGCCGCGCGTGGCCTCCATGCATCCGCATACATGCATGCCATGCGGAGGCGAAATGCCGTCCGTTTGCGTGCTGAGAGCGTGTCGCTCGTCCGGTCACGCACGCTGGCGCCGACGAAGCGGATGGGTGAGGAAGTGAAACAAAGGAAACGTGAGCGTCGGCCAGCGTGGTTATCCATGCCAGAGAGCGTGGCCGGGCGACATGATGCTGGCGGACTCTGCTAGCGCGGCCTGGCACAACGACATATGTACGTAGCTGGACAATGCGTGCGTGCGGACGGCCATGGTGAAACGACGCAGAGTGAGGGAGCTGCCGCGCAGGCCGCGGTGGTGGTGGTAGTGAGTGATGCGGCTGTCGCACTCCGGTCTTATAGTTGTGTCGTCGTCGATGATGCGGGTGTCTGTGTCTGCTGCAGACGGCGACAGGCAGGGAGCAGGCCGCGCGCGAGACAAGAGAGTCGCGGGCTCCTGCCCAAGGCCTGCTGCAGCGCTGCTCCCTGCAGCGGGAAGGATACAGGCGTGCTCTAGCGAGGGCGGCAAAAGTCGCGTGCGCGAGCGAGCCGAAATCGTGGAATCCCTGCAAGGCGCAGTGCCGCCACGAGTTGAAGTCTGATCCAAGGCCATCCTTGTGGTCCGACGAAGACGCACGGGGCAGATCAGCGTCGTGCTCTGCTGTTTAGCTAGCAGAGGCCCTACCCTTGCAAGCGTCGCCGGCCCACTCGCTGCTACAAAGACACTCCAGTCGCGGGCGCCATGACATCCGCCGCCTCACATGCTGGCTCTGGCTCTGGCTCGCATACTAACACTGGCACATCCCGCATTCCACGCCCATATCAGCAGCATTCCACCGTCCCTCCCTCGCGCCAAGCCCTCGCCCACGATCCACCACGAGGCAGTCACCGCCACGAGTCAACCGCATGCCTTCCTGACGTAACACACCAGCACCATCTCCATCTCCCTCACCAGCACCTCGCCTCGCCCTATCCTCCTCCTCGCCGCGCGAGCACCCTCGCCTGCACCGCCGACTACCACGCCCCCCTCTCCGCCCTCGACGCCAACTCCGCCCGTCGCCAGCAGCAGCAGCAGCCCGCCCGCGCCGCTGTCCGCCCCCTCTCGAGCCTGAGCATTCTTCCAGCCGACAAAGTGGAGTCCAAAACGAAGTCCCCGGCCTCGAGCAAGTCCAAGGCCCATTCCCGCCTGGCTTCCTTTGGCCGCCAGCGCCTGCGCGGGATTGTGTCAATCGGCGACGCTCCCACCCAAGGCGAGACACTGCCACGAGTGCCTGTCTCGCCTTCGGACGCCAGCTCGCAGCACAAGCGCTCAGACGCCTCGACGCGGTCTAACACTTCGTCTGAGACCACTCTCACCGACGACGCAAAGTCGGATATAAAATCGCTCGACGAGCGCCCGAGCATCGTCGACGCTGCAACCTGGCTCGACGGCGAAAACACATACGACCTCGACGAGTACGAGCGGTTATTGAAGAGGAGCCCGCGCATGATGCATCAAACATCCTCCAAATTGCTCCGCATGACGGATGACGAGCGGCCATTCACGAGGGTATGTCCAGGTCCCACTTTTCGTTAAACGATGGCGCTACTTAAGTGCACATCGTGCCCCATGATCCTTCTTTAATCTATCCAATCTTCCCACCTTGCATGGCATCACCATGGAAGACACATCTCACCGTAGCTGGCTGTCCCAATGGCGCAGCAACCGCACCTTCGCCGTGTCAGGAGACGACGAAGAACTAATCAATCTACAGGACTTCAAGGACCTCTTCTCGACGCTCATGGTCAGCTTGCCATTGACTTCGCACCGGGTGCGATTCTCCAAGATCGACCACACATTCACGACTGAAGAAGCTACGACTAATCTCGGCTCTCTCAAATTCTCGCAATCAAATCGAATGCCAGATCCCAAAGACACTTCACGAATAGTGACGACAACGACGACGACGACTTTCTCAATGGCCCGGGAAATGGCACGTGCGATATGCCAGCGATTCCTCGAGGCGAGATTCATCGAATCAGTCGATGGCAAAACCGACTTCCATTCACGAGGGTCGGTATGGCAGCTGACTCCCAAGGGAATGCACATCCTGGCTCGATTCTGTCAAAGAAACGGCATTCATCAACGGCATGTCAACGAACTGCTGGATTCGCCACGAAACATGATGCAATTGGTGATACTGGAACGGGATCCCAACACTGACAAGATCTACCCTGACCGCCCGTCGGTAGAAGTGATATTCCGACGGTTTGCTGGCGACGCGGGTCCAAATATCAAGACTAATGCATCAACATCCGAATCAGACTCGATGAACGACTATGCCACGGGACTTGTTGGCGTCAAGATGCAGCGATCTAGGAGAGAAAAGGACGCGCCGTACCTGTTCAGTGGCAAAGCAGCTTTCGATTGGTTGATGGACTGTTGCACAACAGTCGACAAGCGAGAGGCATTCGAGCTTGGCAACCTGTTCCTACATTACGGATTCATCGAACCATGTGGAGACGAGCGTTCTGCGACTGGCAGTCAAAAATCACAAAACGGCAACACCCCACGATTCGCAGCCTCAAAGCAGGTACTCTACGCCGTCACTCGCCGAGGCCAGCAAGTTGCAGGCTGGATCACGAGCCCTAATGGTACCGTGAACGGCGAGGCGACCATATCACAACGTGTGCCGCAAGGCGTCGTTCGCGACTCCAACACCAACCGCATGACCGTCATTATCCGCGACCCTGCCTTGAGATTGCTGTTCAGAGAATACCTCCGCGAGACTCACTGCGAAGAGAACCTGTCGTTCTACCTGGAGGTCACCTCTTTCCTTGCCGAGTATGAGCGGGCGAAGCGCGGCTCATCAACGCCTAGGCCAGACACCATCAGGGAAACCCTGGCATCTGCGTACAGCTTATACAACGCATTCCTTGCACCTGGCTCGCCATGCGAGCTCAACATCGATCACAACCTACGAAACGCTCTTGCCGGTCGTATGACTCGTGCGGTCGGTGAGGATGAGCAGATGATCAGGAGCTTGGACGAGGTGGCTGTCTTGTTCGACCAGGCACAGAACAGCGTCTTCAAGCTCATGGCCAGCGTAAGTGTTGTCCCTCATACTTCTTTGAGATTCTTTACTGACGAGTTTAGGACTCTGTGCCGAAATTTTCTCGTGAGCCGAAATATGCAAACATTCTGCGTGAGCGTAATCTGGAATCGATGCTAGCGACATCCACAGCGAGCTAGGAGCCCGATTTGGAGGAGCCGCAGTTCTTACAACCACAAACGCCGACGCCTTAATTTGCCACTCCAAATTCAGAGCGACATGGCAAAGTTCCAGCTCCAACCCTGTGGCCAGCACGTCGAGCCCTGGCGAAGCTTACTTGGCATTCTCACATCTCGTGGCATGACCCATGAAGAGTTGACAAATCGACTCTGCATGGCGTACAGCATGACGGATTGGCCAATCTTCTGATCACTTATTGAAGTTTCTCGAGTGAGATTGAAAAGGAGACGCACGAGGATTGCTCGTTCATCCCTTTCCCGAATACCCTCGCATGGGAAAGGTTGCTTGCGACGGTTCTGCTTTGGATTGTTACCAGCGTCAGGCGTTACGGAGGGGCCTTCCCACGGGAAGTTGGGCGATTCTTCACATTTACGCATTGCAAGCGGCGTTGGACTCGTTTCATTTGTTACATTGGATGGATGGAAAGTATTTGGTTGGGAGTTGCTGTCTGGGCGGTGAACCTAACACTGCACCCATCGCTATGATAATACCTTTGCTGGTGCGCGGACTGACTCAGGGGCCACGAGAAGGGAAGATGAAAACTTTGAGCAGCTCAGTTCCACGGTGGCGGGTGACCGCGCTGGTGGTGGGGATGGGAAGTATAGAGGAAGTCTGTGACCGGGACCCTCAAGCTTGTAGAAGTCGAGGATGTACAGTACTGGAACACAGTCAAATGGAAAACCTAAGATCGATAAGCACTCATTGTCACTTTTCTTCTTGTGCCCTCGTCACGTGTCGCTGTGACTTAAGTGAATGGGATCGGTTGCTATGGAAGAGCCGGTGTTTATGGCGCTTAACCGCGCTTAACCACAAACGCGACATTTATGACTTGCGTCTCAACGTCGCGTCATCAACAACCGTTGGCCACACACCGCGATACTCTGTTTTTTTGTTCTTTGGTTCCTGCATGTTTGCGTTGCATTCAAGATGGGCGGTCCACCAAATGTAAGGAAGGTCAAGAGAACCCCGCCTTCACCTTGCTGACCTCACCAATAGTCGCAAGCTGTTCCGCTGCCTGGCAATCTTCCTTTTCGACTTGTCTCAAAGACCATTGGATCCGGCGCATACGCTTCGTGAGTGAAGACAGATTGAGTACGATCAGGAAACTAATCGCGCAGAATACGAAAGGCCATACCGAGGAATGCCTCTGGCCCGGTGATCGCAGTCAAGTTCATCAACAAGGAACACGCCTTCAAGGCGGGACGACTACGACCGAAACAGATCCAGATCGAGCTCGCCCTACACGCTTCAGTATGTCCTCACCACAACATCATAAAGTTCATATCCCATGGAGACGACCCGGCTTGGGTATGGATGGCTCTGGAGCTGGCGGAAGGCGGTGACTTATTTGACAAGATTGAGGCCGACGAGGGCGTAGGAGAGGACGTCGCACACTTCTACTTTACACAGCTGGTCAGCGCGATCAGCTGGTGTCATGGCAAGGGAGTCGCCCATCGAGACATCAAGCCTGAGAACATGCTGCTCAGTGCCGAGGGAGACCTCAAGCTGGCTGACTTTGGCCTAGCGACGCAGTTTGTGGAACCCAAGACCGGCAAGAGGAAGTTCTGCGGTATGGTATGCGGCAGTCCCCCATACATCGCTCCTGAGATCCTGGAGGTAGGACATGTCAATCAGAAGCGGAAGAATGGCGACGATAAGGTTGGCTACGATCCGCAGATTGCCGACGTGTGGTCTTGCGCCATCGTACTGTTCGTGCTGCTAGTGGGCAATACCCCGTGGGACTCGCCGGTCATGGAGGAGAGCGATGAATACGACGACTACGTCAAGAGCAAGGGCAGGCCGCAGGATGAGCTCTGGACCAACATACCAACTGCCGCGCTGAGTCTAGTGCGCGGCATGCTGAACATCGAGTCGAAAGAGCGGATGACACTGGAGAATGTGCGCAAACACCCATGGTTTACGCGAGCGAACGTCCACCTCAACGAGAAGGGCAAGGCCGCGAATCCCATGGCGTTGGCCACGCAGATGCTTGAGTCGCTGCATATCGACTTTTCCGCACCAGTCCAATCCTCACAACGGCAGCGGAAGCCACATTCCCAAGGCGACCCCATGGACATTGACAACAAGCACCTACACCCAGGCTGGACCAACTTCGCATCCACGCAGCCCGAAACCCCAATTGCCGACACGCCCTTCGACTGGGAAGCACCACCACGCCCCGGCGCCGGAACCAGCTCCTCCCAGCCCCAGACCGCCCACGATCGAGTCAACGCCGTCATGTCAGTGACCAACACCGCCCACCCGCACCTTCCAGACCTCTTCGCCGAAGACCCAACCATGTCCCAATTCTCCGCCACCCCCTCGGTGCCACTCACCCTCACCCAAGTCGCGCGCCAGTTCAAGGACATCGTGCCCGCCCACTCCCTCGCCCGCTTCATCTCTGCTTTACCGCCCGCGCAGCTCCTCCCGATGCTCACGTCCGCGCTGCACCGGCTGAATATCCCTGTCGCGGTGCCATCGACGGCCGCGCTCGAGAGTCCCGATGGGCGTGTATCCCTGCGGGTCAAGACGCTCGATGCCAGGCAGCAGCCTCTGCAGGGGAATGTGATCGTGGAGAGGGTGGACCTGCCCGGGCAGCAGTACAGCAATTCGATGGAGGTGCTGGAGGTGCGGTTTATGAAGTTGAAGGGGGATCCGTTGGGGTGGAGGAGGTTGTTCAAGCAGGTGGCGGTGTTGTGTAAGGATGGGATTGTGGTGCCTGATCAGCAGAGGTAGTTGGTGATGCTTACTGTGGTGGTGGTGATCTGGGTTTTGGCTTTACGAAGAGGAGGAGGCTTGATTGGATAGTAAGGAGCTTTGTTTCTGGGAGGCCACGTGGGAGTTTCTTTTGCATGGCATGGCATGGCATGGTTTGGTTTGCATACGGCGCAGGAAAGTTTCATACAGCATTGGGACGTAGATTACAGCTTCTTTGAAAAGGCGACATTCATGACTGTATGGACGGGACTCGTTCTTCCTCCTCGATGGCATTGGCATTAGAGTCGATGAGATGGGCTGAACGACATCATTCCTCGACTCACCGTTCATGGCTTTGAAGATGTATGCCTCACCGATTGAGCTAGTATCCATCGATATCCCTAAAGTCATGAAGTCATTCACTCAAACTCTTCATCACCATCACTATCACCATTATCAACACGTCCAAACGCCGGCTACAAGCTCACGTCTTCTCACCGCTTCCTAGAAATCACATCCAAGACCTCCAAAAAGAAACCTCACCGATCGAGCTAGAAACCAAACCGTCCAAACATCTCGAACTCGTTCAGTAAAGTCATGAAGTCATTCACTCGTCCTCTTCATCATCACCATCCTCATCGACATGCAATGTGTTCAGATCAATGCCGGCTCCAAGCCCCTTGAAAGCACGTTCCTCGCATACCCGGCCTTCCATGCCCAACATCACCAGGATGTCCCTGGGATCCCGGCCCCGATCTCCAAATCCCGTTCCTCTTTCGAAGCTAGGATGGTCAGTGGCGAAAGAGTTGGAGATGGATGGGAGTGCAACGTGGATTGCTGGGGGTGGTTTGGATAGGGTTACAGAAGGGGTTTGGGAGGGAGGGTGTGGGTGCCTGATTGCCGATGCTGGGTGCGGATGCGGATGTCAGCGTCATGGGGTTGGTGTGTTGTTTCCGATGCTGGTAGGGGCGGGCCTAATCTTCGGGGTTTGGGGACTGCATGTGTTGTTGTGGTGAGGTGAGGTAAGGAGATGGATGGTAGGAGGAGGAAATGAGGGTGGGTAGTCGGATCTGGAAAATGCGTTTCCGAATACGATTCTATAAGACCAGTACAACCCCCATACAAGGAAGAGCCTCATACCTTCGAAATCTAGCCCAAGATATTTGAGTCGTGGCAATCGAGTCAGCGTTTTGAGTTTTCTGTTTTGGGGAAATGCCGCTGGGTTATGGGCTGTCGGTCTTCGCACCGACCGCTCTCGCCATCAGGTTCGGGAGTTCGAGTTTATGGATTGGGAAGGTAGTCCAGATTGGCAGTTCGGAGATTTATCGAGTAAATGCCATTGGGGTACGTGTTGCGGGTTCGAACGAGAGGTCTGTGCGAATCCGAGCATCGGGTGTGGAAGGAGGGCTTTTGGGGGTGTTCGGGGCCGAAGAATGAGGTTTTGGCTCGGGAGTTTTCGTTTGTGCGAAGGACGCTGCGGACAGAGGTGAGTATTGGTTGTTGTCGGAAGATCATAGCTTCTGGTCGCGAAACGTGGCTTGTCGTGAGCATAGCTGAAGTTGGCATTGGCATTCACATGCTTGCCAAGCCGCTCGCTTCTCGCTAGCGCATCGCGACTTCCTTCACTTTGTTTGCTGACGTAATGACAAACAGCGCGGGAGGGGCCAGTGAAGCGCTCTTGACTTCACCTGCACGACTTTTGTTTGCATAACTTCAACCACAGCTTCAGCCACTACACCCACTCGCACACATCCGCATCTGCAGCGGCGCAGCGATCAACGTCAGGAGCACAGTACTGGCTTCAATCGCGGAGAGATATTTCGCAACGGCTGCAAACACCTGGATTCCGACTACATCACAGTGTGTGTTCTGCATCGTCACTCACGCCATCACCAGAAAACTGATCTTGACAGTTCAGAAGCGACGAGCGTACCACACCTCCTTTACTGCGGTCATGGTGCAATACAAGAGCAACAACTTCAAGAGTGACGACTACTGGAAACTGGCACGGCACGTCGGAAAACCACGAAAGTTTTACCACACTGGTCTCAACACTTTGAACTACAAGTTCAACGTCTCGACTACACGTCCCAGACTGGCCTACCTTGTCTCACGCGCTCAGAGAGGATTTATGTCTTACGAAAAGCGCAGTCTGAATGAACTGAAAGCCTTTTGCACTGCAAGAAAGATTCAAGGTGTCGATCGGTTTGCAGGCAAGCGCCAACTCATTGCTCTCCTGGAGAGGGAGGACGACGCTGGTGCCAGCTTCAATCGATTCTTCGACTTGCCGCCAGAGTTGCGTAACCGGATATACTCCTTCTACATGGACGCAATTGACGACTTCGAGACCGGCCGTATTTCAAGGCACCGCACCCAACACGAGATCCTCACGGGCCTGTACAAACCACCGCCTCCGATTACCCAAGTATGTTCCACGATACGCAAGGAGACTACGCCAATTTTCTACGATGTCGTCCGCCTCGTACTCACGAGCAATGTCTCCTCTTCTCAGTGCAAGGCCTCTTCCCACGAGTTTGGTCTCCAGATCGTTCCGCCTCATTTGATCAGATATGCCAGGAAGATATTGCTTCACGGCTTTGTACCCTTGCAGCGCCGAGTCGGAGTCTATAAGGGCTTTTTTTTTCGAGGTAAACATCGAATTTGCGACGCCACACAAGCCTGTGACCATTGGGGAGCCCGCAATTCCTGCTCCCTGGTGTTGGGAACTTTCGGAAACAGAACGCACTGTCGTTGTGGATGCGGTGAAACAGCAGCTTGCTCTGTTTCTTGATGCACGACAAAGCACGGCAAGCACGATGACGATGCTGACGAAGTACATCTTTGAGGAGCTCATTGGTATTTGCGGAAGAGTGACGAAGGAAGCGAATACTCAGCTCGAATAGAGGCAACACATTTCATCATAGGGAAGTCGCTCGCAGCATCGCTACGACACACGACGACTGTCACGGAAGAGTGGCAGGGGTGGAAGGTAGAGGGGTGGGATTATGGAGTTCAGTAGAAAGTGAGGTTGATGTGGGAGATGGGTGTTTTGCCGACTTTTAATGGTATTAAGGGGGAGTTCGTAAGAGAGGGGGAGGGGAAGGAGAAAGGCGATTTTGCGATGAGAGTGAGGCTAAGATATGTCTGGACTGGAGAGATGGGTGTGGAGGTTGGGGGTGAGGTTGTTGTGCTTTTTCCGAGTACTCTGGAGGTCCCTTTGGAGCTCATCAGGGACGACGCTGGGTGGTTTTGAGTGTCTTGCGATGAATCAGCGAGGTTCATAGGGGTGTGGGAGACTTCGAATGGTATTCATGGGGACCTTAGTCGGACGTCGCTTCCTTGCAGCGGAGAAGAGAAGAGTCTGACAAGTATGGGCACAGCAGCATCCTGATTTTAGGCTGAGAAATTCACAGCAGCTCAGCGCTGGCTGCACAGAATCGCAATCATGTCCTCACTTCGCCTCAATCTTCCTATCGTTTCAACTTTCTATATTTCAAGGTCAGGACAGCCTCGCCCTCATGGCAAAATTCCCTTGCTCCTTCTCCTTCCCCTCTCTCACGAACTCCCCCTACCCCAATTAAAAGTTAGCAGAACACCCATCCCCCACCTCAACCTGACATCGTACTCAACTCCTTAATCCCCCCTACGAAATTCATCTACACCGCCTTCCACTCCCCTTCCACTTTTCACCATCCCTCGAAACAAACAGATACGTGCCACCCAAAAAGCACACCCTCCACCACACCCCCAACCTCTCAACCGTCTCTCCACTCTGACTATACCCCTCCTCGGTAATGAGGAACTTCCAGTTCCAAATGTGTCTCCAAACGATATTTGCGAAGGACCACGCAGGCGGGAAGAAATCCATCAGAGCCAACGTATCAGCAAGCTGGTTGGCTTTCGAGCGACGATCGAGGAGGAATTGGGAAAGTTTGTTGGTATTGCTCTGGCGGAGGAGGCGGGCTCTTGGCTGTGGATCATGTTGAATGTTGGGGGTCTATGTTAGACGCCCGTCGTCGAGGCTGAGGCAGCGAATTAGTGTGAGGTCCTGCATGATTTCTCGAGGGAGACGCGGTTGGAGTTTAGGGATATGTCTTCTTCGAGGATGGTGCTGGATGAAGGGATCTTATCGATGGCGAGGTCTTTGAGGCGGAGGACCTTCGGGTCTGGAGGCTGGGTGGTCAGTCAGTCACTCTAAGCACTGATTCTCAGGGGTAATTCAGGAGCAGCAGGCGAACCTTCGGGTCGGTGGTCAAGCCAGTCGTCGTGAGGGATTCTCGGAGGGGTGTCAACCTCCCCGGTGATTCCAGGGCTGCGGCTACTGGGTATATTCTTATAATCGTAACCCATTTCCCATATCGACGCCCTCGTCGCCCTCGCTCGCATGCGCACTCGCAACATCTCCTCATAACGCGGCCCAATCCCCCGAATCCACATCTCAACCTCCAAACTCCCCACCAGCCCCAGAATCCTAACCCCTTATCCAACGACTCGATAGCTTGGAGGTATATATCCATGGAGAGAAAATTCGTGAGATGGAGTCAGACGTGCTTCGAACGCCACAGCCTTCTCAGTAGTGCCTGGGTTGGACTTGCCCATGGAGTGCCAGACTTTGCGGTTGTTCATTCATTGCGCTACGAGGGAATCGCGCTACGAGGGAGGCTGATAGAGGTCCAGACGAGGATGTGTGCGCCGCGGAAGCAGAGGGCAATGCGGGCGAGGAGGACTTCTTCGACGATCTATCTAGACGCGGAAGAATCTGATTCATCAGTCTGTATCTAATTCTATCCTCTTCAGACTGCTCAATGTGAATCATCCCTATTGCTCGCGGACTGTCGAAGCAAGCTGGAGTGTAGTCGGGAGCTTGGTCGATTCAGGAATCGGAGGGATGGCCATACCGTGCGTTGCGTTTTATGGGCGATGAGGAGAGCTTGAGCTTGGGAGTTGTCGTGGATATGGGCGTTGCGAACTCACTAAGGAGCGTTGTAGAATGTTGATGCTGCGTCCCACACTCGTCCGGCCAGGGGTAAGTTTGAATACCTTCTGTGAGATCAGCCTCATCACCGATGGACATCTCGCGTTTCAGCCTCCTCACAGGAGTATCTTCTACCCAGTATGGAGAAAGTCAAGTCACAGATCGTCCATTTGGACCAAGCCCAGCTGTCTCTGCTTCGGACGACTCGATTGCACGCCGTCGAGAGATTCTAGTCTCCGGGCACCTGGAAGTCCATACAGTCGGTCCTATGCTGCACTTCATTCCTCTATCAGACTTCCCAGCTTCTCCTAGGACTCCATCGGGATGTCCTGTGGATTTTCGAAAGAGTGATTAGCAGATGGAATCCGTCGTGCCAAGGCGTCTTTGACATTGACGACCTAAAACCTGCGTGTGACGAAGGTGGCAAGGAGGTCGTGGAGCAAATAAAGTGGAACGGACACAACGAGAAACAGCTTATTAAGGATTTGCCCGAAGACCCCATATCCGTGCTCTCCGTCGTCGAAATTGACGACCACGGTCATGCCGCTCTGGTGGATTCCTATGGGTTCGATGCTAAAGCCGACGGTGAATTTCGCCCAGTTGTAGGAGAGCACATGATCGCCCGATAATGATCCACTGGGAAAGACGTCTTGATTTCGATACCGATCTAGTCTTCTGAGCATCCGTGTTGCCGTTCGAGAAGCGGTCCGGTGTCCACATCTCCTGTGATCAAAGGTGATTTTGTCTGAGATTCGTGGATCGGGCGATATCCAGGCGATGAGGAGACCGCGCCGACGTACAAGCCACTGCAGGAAACGGTACGCAGTGGACCGTGTATTCGGAGCCGGCACATATCCAACCCAAACAGCCCGATTGCGATGCGATACGTCGCACTCATCACGATCACTCGCATGCACTATGCTAGTGCGTGTCTCTTCGTCCCAACTGCCTTCCGGATACAGCTGACAAAAGACATATTCAGGAGGACACCCTGTCAGCACGATTTTAATCGTCAGGCTCATATCCTTGGGTTCGTCTTTTGCAAATCGTTGAATGACCAGATCTCGTCTTCGCACACGAGCGTTGCGTGCGAAGTGATAATCATTGTATCGCTCGTGTGGCGAGCGAAGTCGAAGAAAGTGAGCTCCAGGTTCTGCATGTACAATTGGACGGTGCTCACCGCGATCTGCCGACAATGGCAAGCACACGTCCGTGTTAGGCGCGCGTAAGTCCACGCAGTCCAGCACCGCGAAAGCACTAACAGGGTCGTACAATAGTGCGAGCGAGATACGACAACCACGGTTGGTCATTTCATAGACATCGTCACGATTCGGAAAGTCTCTGGGAACGATCGTTGCCGAATCTGCGAAGTTAACGGGTGCCGGCGCCAGCAATTGCCTTTCAGGTCCGTTCCAGGCAAAGATGGTATGATCGCTGGACACTTTCATGATTTCCTCCTGCAACCTGGTAAAAGCCTTCTGACCTTCGCCGTAAAGCAGTGGCATGTTAATATCGAATATGCCAAGTAAGCAATAGGCCTCATCCTCAATGTGTGTGGTCTCCCGCCGTGAGGCCCAGGACATTCTCACTGCAATGCCAACATCGTGCAGAGGCACACGTCCTTCCAGAAAGTCGGAAGGGATTCGTGTAGCGGCGGCAATGTATGGTAGGAGCCGTGCTCGATCGCCCAAGAGTCTCCAGTTGCAGTCGTAGAAGACGACGGCAGGTGGTGCGATCAATTCTTGCAGCGTCCAACCTCTCGTGAACCATCGAGATTGTTGGACTTGCAGCGTCTCCGAGAGCCCTGGACTGGTCATGGGTACGCTGAGGTGGGGGTCATTTGTTTCGGGGTCGATGGTGAGATTTGGACTTGTTTCGATCCCCTCGCCGTTGTCGTTTACAAACCCGGCAATTCCAACATCTGACATATACACATAACATACCTTTGCTGCTCGATACCACCGGAACATGGAGTTGATAGCCTCTGAGAGTTCTGCACTGCTACTCTTGTCGATACAGCAAGTGTCGATCCAGGCATAAGTAAAACCATCGGCAATGGCTTGCTTGCACGTGAAGTCGATCTTCTTCCAGTCAAGGCCATCGTCCCTGTTGTCAAATGAATGCTTGAGCATGTCGGCATGCTGAACTTCCTTCCCATCCGCCCACATGTGGGACAGAATGGCGTACGGCGGTGTCGAGCGCTCGTCTGGGAAGCGCTCGAGCCGGTACGTGTGCACGTTCAGGAGTTGCATCTTTCGTGGCCTCCGGCCTGCGTGGAGTGCTGGAGCTGAGTGGTGAAGGAAGGCTGAAAGCGACGGGCAAGCCGTAACCAGTGTCGTATTGGGCAGCTTGTCGTCTCAGAGCCACAATCGAGGTTCAGCGATATCGCGTCCACGGGGTATACATTCAGCGGGCGCCAAAATCAAAACAGTCTGCAGTATTTGAAGTTGTTGTCGAAGCTGAGCAACATATCCTTGCATGCTGAAGTACATAGCTGAGAGGCGAAGTGACGATTCGCGTAAGCGAGGTGAGGTCGCACAGCATGTACATCTCAACCATGCTGCCAGAGTCCAAGCGAGCTCCGCCTCACTCACTTGGAGATGCGCAGTGGTTGTACGAGGAGCGTTGGGAAGGCAATCCTCGAATCGTTTGCACGCCGTCCAATGCTCCATTGTAGCCGGCACTGTAGCCGGCATTGTCTGCAGTCGCGAGTGAGTCGCTGCGAGTGAAGATGGGGGTACTGCGAGACTTCAAGGAGCGTCCTCAAATTGTGCGGCGTGGTGGGTGCAGTAGGGCTGACTGCCAAATAGTGAGCGAGAAATCGAACGGCCGGAGATGACCAGAACCCGGCGTATTTTCTCGAGTGAGATAGAAGCGTGGCAACGTCCATAAGTATCCCGACTTCCCCGTTCCGCAGGGAGAAGAGGAGCGCAGCGCAGGCGCAATGAGACGCCATGCCCCTCGAGTGGTCGCCGCAAGGGTTGGAAAGTTAGAATAAGATTCCTTCTCGGCCATCATTCGACGGTCTGAGCCAGAATCCGTTCAAGAGCAGCTGCGTTGACGTGCGGTATCAGTAGAGGGACTGGGGACAGTAGGTCTTGCGCGGATGCCGCCCTGAAAGCGAAGCTCGACATCAACTCGAGTCGTGCCTGCCCTGTGATGAGCCGTGCCAGGAGAGGCCGCGCCTTCCGTTTCAGACAAGTCGTGTGCATGTGACGGGTCTGATATGTCCTCACAGTTTGGGAAGGATGACCAACAACGGCGAACCATCGGCACGCCGTCCAACCTCCAATGTAGCCGGCATTGTAGCCGGCATTGTAGCCGGCATTGTCCTTGTCTACAGCCGCGAGTGGACATGAGCTTGCCGTGCCATTCCAGCGAGCGTCGTCAACCCCAAGGTCATGATAGCCGCAGTGTGCAGCGCCAGAGTCGGAAACAAATGCAGAGGGCCAAGGTCGACGGTTGGGAGTTGATCAGAATCGGCCGTGTACGTTGGATGTCGAGAGGAGATCTTCGCGGTTAGGAAGTCACCCTTGCCATGGTGGAGTGAGCTCGTGCTGCCTTCCTCTTTCGATGGATTCATTCTTGATAGATTTGATTGAACGAAATAGGTGACCAAAAGGTCTTCTCCTCACACTGCCATTCAATTAATTACGCTATGCTACACAACACCACTATATCTTCCCATGTCGTCGTGACGCAGCCGCCTGATAAAAGGAAACTTTTCTTCCCATGTCCCTGTTCAGACGCCATCCCATCCCATTCGAATCCAGTCTATCCCATCCCATCCCACCCAGTCCCCTCCCTCTGTCCCGCCGTAGCAGCAACAGCCTTGTCAAATGCAATAGTAATGTCAAACACCGTCCCATATGCTGAAAAGTGGTATGTACCGTGTCCGTTTGCCGTCCGTTGGTCCGTCCGTCCGTCCCGTCGTCACGCTGAAAGTGCAGTCAAAGAAAAAAGCAAATTTGTGTTGTGTGGGGTTTTTTAAAAGTTGCTGGCCGTGTTGACGCCTCCGTTCGGGTTGCGGTAGTCGCCTAGAGCGCCCATGGCAGCCCCGGGGGCCGATGTGCGCTGCTCCTTGTGGATGCTGTCGTTGGCGGAGTCGATGTAGTCGTCCTGCGGGAGCTGCTGTCGCTTCTTCTTGCCCCAGAGTCTCCAGGCTACGATCGCAAGGCCGCCGATCAGGATTGCACCACCGACACCTCCAACCACACCTCCAATGATCTTCTTACTACTATCAGAAAGGGAGGAGCCGCCACCACTGCCGTCCTGCAGGGTCGGGGAGATGGTGGCTGTTGCAAAGCCGGTCGTACTGGCTACCACACGATCGGTAGTGATGAGGGAGCTGTAGACGGTGCCATCGCTGGTCCAGAAGGATGTCGATGTGGTTGGGACGGTTTCCGAGGCGAGGAGAGCAGATGTGATGACCGTGGCCGAGGAGAGGGTAGAGCGGTTAATGGTGGACGATCCAATGACAACTTGATCACTGGCACTGCCGGTTCCTGAACTGACAATGTTGGATGTGGTTTGGGCAACTGCTGTTGAGGTTCTGATTCTAGAAGTGACCGTCGAGCCGTCGGAGTTTGTGGTGGTGACATCGATCGTGGTTGGGATTGTAGATGTTGAGGGCGACGCTGATGATGTTGCTGCCGAAGACGTATCATCAGATGTGGGTGTGCTCGAAGCACTTTCAGATGTCGGGGTGCTGGTCTCAGAAGGCGTGGATGTCGGCGAATCGGTGCTCGTCGACTCCTGTGTGGACGTGGGAGTTGTTTGCTGGGTCGAAGTCTCCTGCGTCGAAGTCGGAGTAGTCTCCTGTGAAGTCGTCTCTTGCGTCGAAGTCGACATGGCCGTCGAGGAGGTCGTAACACCAGTGCCAACCTGTCTCTTATCCTTGGGCAGAACACCCTCTGGTATAGCGTCGGCACGGATCTGGGCAAAGCCCAAGAAGAGGGAGAGCATGATGGCGGCGGGGTTTATAGGCAGCATGCGGTAAGGTTGGGTGGTGATGTGCAAATCTCTGGGCGATCGCTATTGGGCGGGTGGCTAAATTACTGAGTAGGCGGCCTTTTGTTGGGCGGGACCTAAAAACCGCGGCGGACAAACTGCCGGGAGATTGGCAGATAGTCGATGTTGGAGGAAGAACAGAAGAACGAATGTACAAGCAGGTGAAAAAGCGAGCGAGCGAGCGGCGGGAGAGATGATAGTGGTAGTATGGAAGAAGCAGAGTGGTGGGAAGGAAACACGAGAAGATGCGCAGCAGCAGCCAGCGGCCAGCAGGTGGTGAGAAAGCGAAAGGGCCACAGCGCTGCGAAAAGTATATATTTAGCCGCACCACAGCTTCCAATCCGGCGCTCCACCGGGGCACGCTGACGAAAAAGCGCTCCATCGAATACGAGCCTCCCTCCCTCTTCGACGTCCATCAACTCCGGGCTCTTTCAATCAAATCAATACGTCTCTATCCGCCTGACTTCTCAGCTGCTCCCTCCCTGCAACACTCCCATCTCTAGTCCATGTTTTGTATGTTCACGACTGAAACGCTGGGGCAGCCACATCTTCAAAACCCTGGTCGGCCGTGCTCGTGGCACACCAACGGCCGCTTGCGAAACCGTCGCTTCGGCACTCTCTCCCCGAGCCCGCCGCCTCTTCCAGACAAATCGAGCATCTTGGAAAATTCTATCACTTGTTGATCTTCTGATGATGACGATGCAGCTATCCATCAAGGACATTCTTCTAGAAAACTACATCTTGTGCAACGAAATCAGCACGCACGCATCCGACCGACAGCACGCGCCCTCCACGCGACGTCTCACCAGCCCCTGCTCGTGTCCAGAACAACAATCCCGCTTACCAGAATCCCGGAAAAAGTCCTGTGACGCTGACACTGACTCTCCTCTCCTATGCTCTGCAGCAGCAAAAATTCTCGACGCTTCTTACATGTAACTACACTACGCACTATAGGCACTATTGGCTTCTGGATGCATTAGCAGCTCGACAGCTCTATGCACATCTGCTGATCTCGAGACTTTCTTCCTTCGAGGCAGGTACGAGAGAAGTGCATCGGAGTTGTGTGCGATCACATGCAGAAGAGGCGTTGCGGGCTTTTGGGCTGGGTGCCGAGACGCCATGACGACGACTACTGCGATGGATGTCGAGATATCATCGTCACCATCATCATCGACTGGAGTTGTTCGTGTTCTGTTGAAGATCGATGTAGCCGGCGATGTAGCCGGCGCAAAAGCTCCTCTAACATCTGATAGTTGGATCTTGCTACCTCGGTCACTCATGCTACTGCACAATAACGCATTCAACGATTAACCAACCAACCTCCGCTCTCCTCTCACTGGCCACCTCGTTCCCAGCTATCCAGCCCTCACCTGCACCAACTATCGCACCGTACACCAGAAAAATCACATCCACCCTTACCCCACCATGCTCCATCCCATCCCAAAATCCAGCATCCCACTTCCAAAACCCCTGTAACAACGACAGTGACGTGTCGTCTGCCTATAAGCCTGCTTAAACTCCAGCCAAAGCTGAAGATTAATTTGCGAATTGCGAGATCCTGGTTGGGGAGGTAGGCATCAGGGTTTGTGGGTGTTGGAGGGGTTGGAAGCACAGCCTCACGCCTTGGGGAAGATGGGAAGGGGAGGTTTGGCCTGAGGCATCTTTGATTGACGTCCAGAGGGAAGAGGAATTCTGGCCTCCATTATTCTCACGCTGGCGAAGTGGATGGAAGTGCGATGGGAAGCGTAGTCCTTCGTTGGGAGTAGGAGAGACGAACAGTTCTATGCCTACGAAACGACAAGGGTACCTGTCGAGCTCGAAAATCTCAACTCAAGAGATCATCACATTCTGCCAAACCCACCTCCCCGTCTACAGTCCCCCTCAGTCTCAATCGCCATCACACCCTCAATGCCCATTAACAACAACCCCATTCACCCCCTTCCCCTCACCCTTCCCATCCAATCCATTCACCATTCCAGCCTTGCCTTCCAACTCCTCCTCAAACTCGACCTGAATCCTTATAACCTGCTCCAACAACCCACAATCCACACTCACCCCCCTCCACTGCGCCAAACTCCCCGCCGTACGAATAACATTCTTAATCTGCCGCCCATTAATCCCCGCCTGCGCCAGCCGCTCATACCCCTCCTCATCCACCTGCACGCGCTCCCTCTGCAAGAAATTCCTCCAGATCGTCTTGCGCGACTCCGGCGTGAGGTCGCTATACTTGAGGGGTACGTGGATGCGGGATTTCATCGCGTCGTCGAAGCAGGACACGCGGTTGGAGGTGAGGAAGAGGATCCCCGAGTAGTATTCTAGCACGCGGAGGGAGATGGAGACGAGCGAGTTGCGTTCCATGTCGTGCAGGGAGCGGCGTTCGAGGAAGACGTCTGCTTCGTCGATGAGGAGGACGGCGCGCCAGGTGGATGCCATGTCCAAGATCCTTGTCAACCGCTCGTCGAGTGTTGAGCTCTCTGTGCCCAGGTCGCCGGAGGAGACCATATACAAGGGCCGTTTGCAGAACTCCGCGACCGTCTCGGCGGTGAGGGTTTTGCCTACGCCGGGAGGGCCGTGCAGGACGAGGATGAGGCCTTTGCCTTTGCCCTTGACGATGTCGTCGAAGCTGTGGTTGCGCTGCTGGATGTGGTTGGCCACGAGGGCTTGCACGAGGTCTTTTTGGGTTTGGGGGAGCACGACTTGGTCGAAGCAGTTGGGGTTCCAGCCGGCGGGGAGGAGTTTGTCGACGAAGAATTCGAACCAGCGTTTCTCGGTGAAGGAGAAGCCGCGGACTGTGGCGTTGGATAGGAGGAGGCGGGCGTCTGATAGCGGATCGAGGTCGAGACGGGTGTCCGGGACCAGGTCGAGGGTTTCGCCTCCGTTCTCTTCGTCTTCCTCATCATCGAAGGATTGAATACGGCGGCGCTTGGCTCGCTTTTCGGAAGCATCTTTGAAAGGGTTGACGCTGTAGGCGAGGTTGGCATTGAGCCGGTGGAAGGTCTTAGTGTCGACCACGACTCGGCCATCGACGTTGAAACGTGACATGCCGCAGGGAGTGTGCTCCAGCGCAACACCTTGATAGCGTTGAAAGTACATGCCAGCGTACGCCTCCCATCTCTTCCCTCGCGCGATGAGCTCTTCCCTCAGCGCCTTTTCGTTGGCGTGGTAGCTGATGGGGTACGCGGAGAGGTGCTCGATCCTCTCCGCACCAGCGAAGCCCGGCACGAGTCGGCCGGCATTCCGCTTGCCAAAGTCGTCGCCATCAAAGTCGACATATTCAGAGTTGATCTGCAGCCCATCCTCGGTGTAGGCGTAGCTGGTGAGTTCGAAGCAGCGTGCTTGGCCAAAGACAGGAGCGTAAATGATCGTCTTTGGGCGGAAGATGGTCCACAAGTGTTGGTAGCTGATCAAGCCCTGCTCGAGAAGGTTCTCTGTCTCCTCGATGGTGTCTTTGAATTCTTGGTAGATGAAGTCGAGCAGGAGATCAAGATGCGCCTTAGCTTCGCTGTCTTGGTCCAGCTTCTTGCCAGCTTCCTCCAACTCGCTCTTGTAGTGAAAGAGGACTCGGTACGGGGCATCGATGGTGATGTCTTTGGTCTGGAATGAGACTCCAGGGAAAGTGCCAATGGTATCACGCAAGATGTCCTTGAGATGCTTCGAGTTGATTTGCAGAGCAATCTTCTGTACGTATTTGTTGCTGTTGTCCAAGTATCGCACCAGACACATGGCGAACTTGCTCCACCAGTTGACCTGCTCGGGAATGTCTTCGTCTGTGAAGGGTCACGTATTAGATTTCATGTTAGTATGATCACGACAGGCTTGACTTACCCTCGGTAGTCTCCGTGAAGTAGACCTGTCCCTTCTCGGTATGCTTGCGGTCGATGTGCTTGACGAGAGCTTGCATGGAACCCTCCTTGATCTCCTGCAACTTCTGAGCCGTAGCCTCGTCCATATCCGGTATATCAACCACATTGGTATCCACAGGAGCGCCGCGGGCGGGTGGGCGACCGCCTGTACTCTTACGGGCTGTTTGTAGGGTCCTAGCCATGGTGATGCTGGGGGCTTGTGAAGGGAAATCTGATTCGAGGTGGAGTAGTAACGAAAAGATATCTTCGCTGTCTGAACGTGAGAGAGTAGGAGCTCGATGCATCGAAAAGAATATGTCAAGGGATGATAGGCGTCATATACTTATACCTTTGGAGATCCAGAGCTCTGCCTTCAGAAGTGATAGAAGCATCGCCACCATAGTCAGGCAGCATAGGTAACCTTGGCAATAGCGGATGGAACGACCACCTCTAGCCAATAAAGTGATGAGCCATCCATGACTCTACACCTTCAGGATGATTGAGAAGATGTAATAGGTCAAAATGCTGGCAACGTGGAGTCGCAACCTGCCTTGAAGACATCACGGCAGCTTTGATATGCCGCAAGAGGTAATGAAGGATGCATAAGGCGCTTTGACTCAGTTTGCCTTGTTATCGATAGGGATCAAGGCATCTCTGCGTGGCACGTGAGATTGTGGGAGGTGAATGAAGTTCAGGCAGCAGGAGGAAGGAAGAGTTCGAGGATGATGGTGCGGCAGCTTCGGCCGCACTCGGCCGGCAGTGGAGTGGAGACTCGGCCAAGATGTGCTTGTGCCACTTCACCTCTTCGACTTCATCAACGTCTGGTCTTTATTTAGGCTTTGGAATAGTCTATGATATTGTGTGATAGTGTGCACTCTTTGACAGCCCCATAGCGAGTACATGATGTGTGAAACCGGAGCACTTGAGCAAGAATTGAATCCAACGAACGACTCGCGGCCCGGCGATGACGAAGGCCATCAATCGCGGTTTTTGAGTCTACCCAGGGAGCTTCGAGATCTCGTCTACGAATGCCTTGTCGATGAGCGTAGAAGACGTCCAGAAAATCCCGATGACGCTGGCGAGCGTTCCCCAGTCTCTCCTACAACGCCCGGATCTATCGTGTATGAATCCAAATCGCCCAAGCCGGCCATGCTCCAGTTGAAGCTATGCAACAAGCAAATCTACCATGAAATCCGCGATACATTGAAAAACTACGTAAACGGCGATACTGGACCCACGCGCCTCGATATCATGGTCAAAGGCTCGGCAATCTGGCCAACCTGGATCAAGCTCCCCGTAACGCCGTATCTCGACCCAACCATCCAAATCGACCTCCGCATCTTCGAAGCCACAGACTTCGGAAGTGAGTTCAGCACAGGCGCTTACCGAGCCCTCTGGTCTCTCTTCAACCGCCTCATCTTTCGCGGGCCCTGCCTCATCCACAACAAAGACCTCCCCAAACCGCTGGAGGTGGGCCGTCTGCGCTTCGAGATCATGCTGTGCTTTCCCACGTCTGTGGATGATTTGTTTGGGACGTATCGAGATGTGTTTGAGCGCTTGGAGAAGTTGGCGTACGATAATGTGGGATTGGGGAATGTGGGCACGATTGAGGCTTGTTTGGGTGCGGATAGGAGGGTTTGGAGGTTGAGGCAGTTACCTACGGGACTCACGTTTGCGAGTAGGATTAATGAGTGAAGTGGGAGTGCTCTCGTCTGGGTGAGGTTTGAATGATAGCTTCACTGTCTGAATGAGTATGGGATGACAATAGGACAATGCCATTATTCTCCAACCTCACCTGAAACGTTTTACTGTGAATGCAATGCCCTCACGCTTTCCAGCTATTTATTCGAGTGCTTCGACCTCGCCGCCATGTTGCCCTCCTCTCAGACACCGATGTCCACACTCGCGCTGCCGAACCAACTGCCATCCCCAACACCAGCCAGCCAGCCAAGCCAAGCACAATGGAGACTGGACCTTACTCGAGCAGCACTAACGTGGGATCACCAGACCAGCAGCAAGCAGGTGAGCCTGTCTTGCTAGCTTCATCATCACCGCCGCCGCCACCACCACCACCACAAGCGCACCAACAGCAGCAGCAGCCTCACGGCACCAGCGCCCCTCGCGGCAACATTCTTCACCTCTGGACAGACGGCTCCATCCTCCACCAAAGCTCACACGCCGGCGCTGGAATCGCGCACAAAGACCACACCACCGGGCAATGGTTCGGCCGGGCCATTAGCCTAGGTGAACTCACCCACATCCAAGACGCAGAGCTGTTCGGCTTCTGCGAAGCGCTCGCGCGCGCCGAGGAACTCCTCGCGCAGCACGCAGACCTCGCGGCGGTGATTTCGTACATCACCGTGTACGTCGACTGCGCGCGGGTGGAGGAGGCGTACGGCGCGGCGCGGTTTTTCAGCTCCAAGAAGTGTGAGCTGCGCGGCTGGCTCGCGAGTGGAGCTACCGAACAGAAGGTGGCCGCTCTGCAGAGCAGAGGCATCACCGTCGTGGCCGAGAAGGTCAAAGGTGAGTTCCCTTTACCCCATGTGTCCTGATTTCACGCGCTGACTGTTCCTTTAGCTCACACGGGCGACAATGGCAACGAGTTTGCCGATAGGTTGGCTCGATTTGGCGCGAGGAAGGCGCGAGATCATGGGGATGTCGAGCAAGTGAGGAGGTTCGACAATCCCCCAGTAGGCGCTGGCCTTGGTGCTCAGCGATGACAGTTTCCACTTGCAATGAATTGCCCTTGTGATACCCGAGGGTCGGGTGACCTCACCAGAAGCTTTCTCCATTTCTTTTCCCTATCCCCACCGTTGGTCAAACCTATTGTTAGATGTATTGTTGCCAGCCGGAGATGTTTTGTTGGGCATAGATCGATATGCGAGAACATATCACTTTCTTGGTAGCATTATTCGCGCCTGAGTGAGGGCTATCCAGCGCTGAGCAAGCCATCCTCTCCGGGTGGGATTGCCGTACATTTGCAGCTATCCCCGTGGATCAAGGCCTCTCAAACGTACCGATATATGTGTCAACGGCATAGCCAGGTGTTGAGGGATATTTGGAATAGAACCTTAGTGATAATACCTTCTTTTTGCTGCCCTCATTTCAGCCCAAGTGAGGGCTATCCAGCATACATCGAGCTATCTTCTTCGGGGGTGATTTCTTCAAACCTGCTGGTATCCCCGTCAATCAACGTCTCTCAAATGTATCGATATAGATCTTAATGGCACGGCCGGACATGTTAACGTTTTGGGGTTAGATGCAAGTGAGAATACTCTCCTTTGACCGCCTGCCGTTCAGCCACGATGAGGGCTATCAACCGTAGAGTACGCTCACCTCATCCAGAGTGATTTTCAATAAACTCGCAGGCCTCCCAATTACTCGAACAGGATCAAACATATCAATACAGCATTCAATGGCATGGTCAGACCCTGAGATATGATGGGGATTGATGGCAGAATTGATCCCGCCCAGCATGTGAAGTCGGACAAAGTTCGACCCTGAAACGCTGATCCCTGTCACCCCGCCGACTGTAAACAAACACGAGCTTCTCGACCACGCTCCCCATCGCCTTTACTCCTCCACACCACATCCAGAGATACGACCACAGATCCCAGACTACGCAGAATTGGAAGAGACATCGTACCGAAATCAGCAATTCGAACCATTGAACTATCGAACATCCCACGCTCCCCGCGACCGACCACGCGACCTTTCGCTCCCGAATAGCAAGAACATCACGACACATTTTGAACACGACCGACATGGGGCGCATCACCCGTGCAAAGGCAACTGAGATTGCCGAGCAGATGCACATCCACGAGGACGCTGTTCTCGAACTCCCTAGCGACGCTCAGGAGACCACGACGCCCGGAGCCGAAGACCGCCCGCCATTAAGCGATCTGGCCCCTAACAGCGGCAACAGCGTTTTGAGCGAGGCAGTAGACGTTGAGCAGAAGAAGCCAGAAAAGAGCAAGAAAGGAAGCAAGAAGGGCGCCAAAGGCAGCAAGCAGAATACGAGCCCACTAGCGGACACCACATGCACACCATCCGACGAACGGCTTGAGGTCATACCGGATGACATCGAGTCGGTGCCATCGCCGGCCAGCAGAGCAGCATCCGATGATTTGATGAAGGACGAGCCAGAGTGTAAGTTGTCTGCTATGTATATCAACATATGCTCCTCAAGGTCACATGACGCTAATGCAGGGGTGCGTGCAGTAGAGATGTCTCATTTGCCGGTGCACGATATCAGACCCAAGTCGCCGCTGTCGAGTGCTGTGCGATTGACGAGGAGTCAGCTTAGGAAGGTGCCTGAAGCTGCAGAGCCGAAGTCGTTGGTGGAGGAGAAGCAGGCTATTTCAGACGGAAAGGACCAAGCTGCCGAAGGCGTACTGCAAACGGAATTCCAAGGTGGCGTTGAAGTACAGGAGCAAACGCAGAACGCGAGCCATCAGCCACAGATTCTCAGCGTAACTGCGGAACTTCAGCCCCTCGATGTGGAAGAGATGCCCAACTATCTGCAGATGTGCAGCGATTCGCCGATGACACCAACCAAGGGCCAGCGAAATGCGACAACATCCTCGAGCGATGTTTCGGGCGACAGGACGTCTGGCAGCTCTGACAGCCCTTCAACATACGACCAGCTCGAAGAAGCCGTAGTGCAATCGCAGACGCCACCAAGATCTATGGGAAAGCACTCAAGCTCGAGGGATTCGATTACTGCTCTTGATCGTCTAGACGACGCTGTCGAGAGCGTCAATGCAGAAGTTCCTGACATCCAGACATCACCAGAGAAGCCAAAGTCGAAGAAGTCGGCCCCAGTGGTCCGAACCACAAAGGCCAGCCAAGCCAGGATCTCGCTTGCCCATGGACCAAAAGATGCAGCGAAGCCTCCTTCTTGGGGCAAGCCTCGTCAATCATCTGTAGGATTGAACCAATCCACTACCAAGCGCGTCACTTCGGCCGTGAGCGCGATATCGAACGGCGACGAGCCGGTGGTTGAGAAGAAGGAAGTGGTCATCCCTCATTCCAAGCCCAGACCGATCTCACTCTCCTTTCCAACCCCGCCACCTCCTCCAAAGTCGACGAAAGCTCCAACTCAGAGCAACTTCCAGCTACCAGGAGAGGCAATTGCAGCGAAGCTCAAGGCGGCGAAGGAGGCTAGACTGGCCAAGGAGGCTGAAGAGCTGGAGAAGCGCAAGTCCTTCAAGGCTAGGCCGGCTCCCACTTCGAGCAAGACTCCGACTGTTCGCCAGACCAGCACCAGCAAGGCGAGAGAATCGTTGATGACTGGAAAGCCGCTGTCTTCCTCTGGTGTTGTCCACAAGCGTGCGAATAGTGTCGCCACCACGAGACCATCCACAGGACCCAGACCGAGCAGCGTCAAGCCTGCGACTGTCACCAAACCCACCCCAGCTGCGAAGAAATCGTCCGCTCCCTCTCAGACTGTCTCAATCACTAAGCGTCCTGCAACGGCCATGGCATCTCTCCACAAACCCCTCTCCCGCCCTACAACTGCGAACAAGTCTACTTCCGCAACCTCCAAGCCCGCTCGACCATCCTCAGTCCTCGCCCGTCCAGCCAGCACCGTCCCATCAGCCAAGTCGAACGGCACATCCAAAGGCAAGGAAGTCTTCAACCGCGCCGCGCAGGCGAAATCCACCGCGGAGAAGGAGAAGCGCGAAAAGGAGGAGGCCGCCAAGAAAGCCCGCGTGGAAGCCGCTGAACGCGGCCGTCAAGCGAGTCGTGAGTGGGCTGAGAAGCAGAGACTGAGGAAGTTGGGTCTCAGCAACAAGCCGGAGATGAAGGCGAAGGAGAACGTCGAACCCGTCGTTGTCGGGGTCGGAGGTGAGGAAGCATAGACCGCTCCCCTTCAGAACCTTTTCGCGGGCCTATCCCTAGTAGAGGAGGAGATGATGAGCGACGAAGACAAGAACTTCATCCACGAAACCTGGACGTTTCCCGGCGGCACGTACATCGACGCTTTGGACTCCCACGCCCGCCGAGCAGTCCAGGGACTAATCGACGAGCTGGTCGAAGAATTCTACGAAATCGATGAGCTTCGCCCTGTGGACGCGGATTCCTGTCTGCATGAACTTCCTTGTTTCAGGATCTTGGCGCCTCCTGGAGTCGGGGATGGGGGGGTGCCGCCGAGGGTTGGGTTGGCTTTTTTTCGTTGTTGATTGATCGATTGTTTTGATTGTTTATGGTTGTATTTGTTTAGCGAGCGCAGCATATGGACGAGGAAGTGAGGGACGGATTGATTGCACGGTCTTTTTCTTTTGTAGTCAGTCAGGCATTGTGGAACGACAGAGAAAGAGTAATGAAAAATGGATGAATTGATTCGATCGTTAAATTCGTGGATACTTTTTTCTTCTTTCCGTGCGCCAACAGCTCAAGAGACTGAACAATTGAACTGGACGTACATCAATCGTATTTGGGTATTAAAATATAGTCTCAGCCTTCTCCTCTCCGCCTCTTAGTTGTCCAACCAGTCCAAAAAGTCTGGCGTGAAATAGCTGACGACAATCGTGGCTCCAGCTCTGAGAATCCCCTCCGTCGCCTCGAAAGCCATCGTCTTCAGATCGAACACGCCGGCTTTAGCTGCCGCGTGGATCATGCTGTATTCTCCACTGACGTGGTACGCCGCCACGGGCATGTCCTTTCCAATCTCTTTCGCGTCGCTGATGATGTCCAAGTACTGCGTCGCGGGTTTCACCATGATGATATCCGCGCCCTCGGCGATGTCTCTTTGAATCGCCCTCCTCGCCAATCCTCGACCTCCAGGTGGCAGTTGGTAGCATCGTCGATCGCCGAAGCTAGGCTGAGAGCCTGCCGCGTCGCGGAATGGGCCGTATAAGCAGCCGGAGAACTTGGCGCTGTAGGACATGAGGACGATGCGGTGTGCGATGCCGGCTTCGATGAGTTTGAGCTTGATGGCGCGGATGCGGCCGTCGTTCATGTCGGAGGGGGCGACGCAGTGGGCGCCGGCTTCGGCGTAGGCCATGGCGACATCGCTGACGCGGTCGACGGAGAGAGTGTTGTTGAGGGTGCCGTCTTCGTGGAGGATGCCGCAGTGACCGTGGGTGGTGTATTCGCAGAGACAGACGTCGCAAACGATGAAGAGGCGGGGGAAGGCGCGGCGGAGGAGGCGAGTTGCGGCGATTACGGGGCCTTGGGGGTCGTCGGCGGCGGTGCCGAGGGCGTCTTTGACTGCTGGGTTGAGGGGCACGCCGAAGAGGATGACGGATTTGAGGCCCTTCGCGACGAGGGGTTGGAGGAATGGGACGAGCTTATTCACGCCCATGCGCTTCTGGTTGGGGAGGGAGGGGATTGATGTCTCTTCATCTGGGTTGTCGGTCACGAAGAGTGGGTAGATGAGCATGGACTTGGTGAGCTGGCGCTCGGCTTGCCATGCTCGCGCCAATGGGTGTGAATAGCCGCCGTGGAGCTGCGAGGAGATGTCGCCGCTTATGCTTACACTCGTTGCGGCAGTGGAGGCGTATGATCGTGCGCGGGAGTAGGTGGAGCGGTTGTCTCGAGTGTCGGCGGTGCGGGCAGTGCCATTGGTGTTGGTGGAGGAAGGTCGTTCGCGGTAGCTAAGGTCGTTGACCAGCGTAGAGAAGGACATGGTTGCGGTTGTGGCCTTGTCTTAGGTATGCGAAGTTGTGTTGTTCTTCTCTCTGAATTCCAGTCTGTTCACTGCCCCTCATGCGGCGGTCTCTTCCCAATGCTGCTCAAAGCCGACAATAGCAACGTCTTGTACAGGGTGTGTTCCGGCTTGTACAAGACGGATCAATCGCGCGTGTAGGTGAGGAGAGCGAAGTGTTATCTTTCTGGGCAGAATTGTGAGAGGAAGAGGAGAGGTGTTGTCTTGGGCGGAGATGTCAGCTCGTGGTTTGTATCTCGGCTTGTGGAACGATGCAGCGGCAAAAAAGAAGCATGAGGTCACTCCGGCCAATCACGGCGCCGCAAATGTCATCGCGGGCCGCAACTGCCTTTCCCAGTCTTGCGTGCTCTCGCCGAGTCTTCCTCCATCGACACCTAACACCGACCAACATTCACTTACCTCCACATACAAGGGTTGTATAGACGATTCCGAAGATAGTGGTCTCGCCACACCGATATCACCCCTGGACTTGAACCCTTGCGTGCCGGGAAGCGATGAGGCTTTGGCCTACCGAATTCCGAACATTTGCCCCTGACTTCGGAATGGCATGGCCTTGTAGCACTTGTTAGAAGCCTACCTATTCCACAACGATTGGATATGCTACAATTAACTACCAGAGCTGCAGGTTTGACTGGAAATACATGAAACATGTCATTTGGGCATCCTCTTGTTTCTAGACGATGGACGTCAATGGCTTCAACCGGCGGCTGGAAGAAATATATGTAAGGACATGTAGCCCCCGGCACGCAACATACGGGGACCGACGGATCGAGGGACTGCATCGTCCTGTATCTGTGCAAGCACAGAAAGCCAGTACGAGGATGCTTCAAACCTCGATCTATCACTCGTGTTGTAACTCATCGATGCCTCGAATCCGCCCTTAGATTTGCCTCTTTCGACTTGGTACGGTTAGGTTCCTGCCCTGACAGCGGTCTCCGGTCACTGCAGCTCACTGGCAAAGCACGATCGTTTGACTGCAACGAGCGTACAGAAGCTTCCTTAGGTCTGTCCTCTCCTCACCGAGGCGGATGAGAGACTCTACGCATTGCTGTGTTCAGTTGAACAGGCACGTCCAACGTGGCAGATCAGATTACTGCACGACCACATGGACTTGGGAGCGTTCAACAGGACTACTGTAGACGGAGGAACGGCATTTGGCCTGGAGCATTTACCAAACCAAAAGCGGTCTGGGCGGTTCTGTTGCCCCGTCTTCGACTTGGCGACCTGCTCAGCAGATCACTGACCTGTACCGTAATGCTCTACCTCCATGGGGTCTTGGATTATCTGCACTCCACAACCGGTACAGGCCTCATGACTTCCTCGGTGCCTGGAAAGGTGGCACTAGCACATGGTGATCATCTCTCTCCCCGCAATGGTGCAAGTCTGCCAGCAGCACCTGCATAAACGTAGTGAGTTCTGTTGGCCTTGGTTTGAAATCGTTCCCGTCCCATCCTTCAAGAATGCAGGTACGCGATCATGCTAGTGAGCGGAGAAGCCCATGGCCAACGTCTTAGTGAGCTTTCATAAGGGTACTTGCAAGGCCTTCGCGTGTCTACAATCATGAAGTTGTCCTGGATCGCAAGAACATGGGGATTTTCTCACAAGAGAGTGAATGGCGGTTGCAAAGCTTCGACATGGCTTATACAGCTCCTTGCATTAGCTGTTCCTGCATCCTCCGACGAGCTAGTAAGTTGAGCTGCCTCTATAGGCCTTGGATGAACATCAAAAGACTCCTGCTCTCGGTATGTGGAGAGCCTACGCTATTGAGTAGAGCTGACAACAACCAGGATCGCTCCTAATCCGCCAACGTCCACCTCCATCGTGGTGAAGCTTCCCGTTAGCGAAGCCGCAGCACTCTTGCCGCTGTCAGGAGACCTCCTTGTGCTGTCGAAGCACTGAATTCGGAACCTTTGGCTGCATGAATCTTCAAACCCGCGTATACACTATCAAGTTCGACGATGATGAAGCAGGCTAAAGGCGACAGGATGGTGTCCATCCCATGCGGCGAGTGCATCTTCCTCGGTATGTTCAATGTATCGGGAGCGTGGACGCACTTCATGCACTGGAGAGTGAACCACTATAAATATGGGTATTCTGAATACCAGACTGGCGACCTCACCTCCACGTCAATTGTCTTTGCATGTTCTCTGACTGGAACAGAGGAGCCATGCCTTCAAGACTTGACCTCTCCTTGGCCTCAGGCCTTGTGGCATTAGCCTCCTTCGCGGCCGCCGGACCCTGCGATATCTACGCCACTGGGAAAACGCCCTGCGTTGCTGCCTTTTCCACCACTCGTGCCTTGTACTCAAACTACAACGGCAATTTGTACCAAGTCAAGCGTGGATCTGACAACACCACGCAAATTATCAAACCCCTCGCAGCCGGTGGAGTCGCGAATGCAGGCACACAAGACACTTTCTGCCAAAGCACAACATGTCTCATTACCATCATCTACGACCAGTCCGGCAACGGTAACAATCTGCAGCAAGCTCCCGGTGGTGGCGCGGGTAATGGCCCAGCCCCTGGGGGCTATGATAACCTGGCCGTAGCTACCAGTGCTCCAGTCACCGTCAATGGTACTAAGGCGTATGGCGTCTTCATTCAACCGCAGACTGGCTATCGACAGGACAAGACTAAGAACATAGCCACGTACGATCAACCGGAGGGGATGTACGCAGTCCTCGATGGGACACATTGGAACTCGGACTGTTGCTTTGACTTTGGCAACGTCGAAGTAGGGGCAAATACTGACAATGGCAATGTACGTATTTCTTCCTGCCCCCTACTACTATTGCAAGAGCCTTACTGACCTTCCGTGCGAAAAGGGGCGTAAGTCGAACAAGCAACAAGACACCACCGTTCTGGTGCCATTGAGACATTCGCTAACAACGAAACGACAGATATGGAGACCCTCTTCCTAGGTGGGAAAGTCCCCTATAATGGTGGTTATGGCGATGGAAGTGGACCATGGATCATGTCCGACATGGAGAACGGCGTGTTCTCGGGAGTGAATCTAGGCTACAACAGTGAGCCCACAGTGAACTACCGGTTCACTACTGCGATAATGAAGGGTCAACACAACCAGTGGGCGCTTCGAGGCGGTAATGCCGTCTCTGGCGGTCTGTCGATCTACTACAGTGGCGTACGCCCAAGCGGTGGCTATTTAAACATGAGCAAAGAAGGAGGAATCGTCCTGGGCGTGGGAGGGGACAATTCCGCAGGAGGAGTCGAACCTTCTACGAGGGTGTGTTGACCTCTGGGTATCCTCTGGACAACATCGAAGCCTACGTCCAAGCGGACATCGTCCAAAACGCCAAGTATACCACAGCCTCCCAGACTAGCGGTGCAGCGGTCGAACCAGGCTCTACAGTCTCCCTACAGACCACATCGTCTGGCTCCACCAAGCGTGGCATTTTCTCCCGAGCCACCAACAGCTACATCTCCCACGCCCTCAACGACAGCACGATCATCACCCAACAAATCACCTCCACAAGCAACACCGCCCTCAAACAATCCGCCAGCTGGACCGTCCACTCCGGCCTAGGCAACAGCGCCTGCATCTCCTTCGAATCCGTCGACGTCCCCGGCAGCTTCATCCGCCACTCCAACGCGGGCCTCAAGATCAGCTCCGACGACGGGACGAAGCTCATGCACGAAGACGCTACTTTCTGCCCTCAGACTGGTCTTAACGGTCAGGGGAACTCGATCAAGTCTTGGAGTTATCCGACCAAGATGGTGAGGGTCTATCAGGGGAAGGTGTACATTGCGGATAATGGGGGCCCGAATCCGTTTGATTTGCTGCAGGGGTATAATGATGATGCGAGCTTTGTGGTTGGGGATAGTTGGGCTTGAATGTTGTAAGGGACCTCGAGGGGATGCAAAAGCTTTTGGTTCGAAGGAGGGTGGACTGGTGGAGGGGAAATGGCTGAGAAACAATCAGTGAGACTGGTTGCAATCTTCGCCTTCTCTTTCAATGATCAGGTCACTTCCTGCATCACTCCTGCGCTTACTTGCTCATTTGGATTTGGCCTCATTTGGTCTTTTACTCCTCTCCTTACTAGCTCCTTTACTTTTCTCACCTCGACTTTCACTAGATGCTCCATCCAATCGCTCACTCTATGCTTCTCTTTGAAGCTCAATCCCGCCAAAAACAACGTGCTAGCAGAAGCCATAATTTTCCCGCTTCCATGTTGGTCACAGACCACGGGTCTGGCTCGACTAGACTTCACCGCGCCACAATGGAAGCTGTGTGGGGGCCTGAGTCGTCGAATCCTTCGATGCCTCGTGCCTCAAGCTCAAATGAGCATCGATCCCTCACCGCACAGAATGTTGCGAACCGTTGCCTGTAGACTCCTCTGACCGGACGTGATGATGGATTACTTCTGCGAACGTATCCTGCAAGCGGCTGAGCGGAAAGAAAGATTCGTCTCGAGGCCGTCCGAATTGCACTACATACGGGATGAGGAAGTAAGTAAGGCTCAAACACGCCCCTCAATGGTATTTCCACTGACTTCAACCGCAGAATCAGCCTGTAGTCTACAAGACCACCTTTCCATACGATGAATCCGAACATGAAAAGCTACCAGAAGCATTCCTATACCAACCATCCCCCCTCCCAACAACCAAAGGCACCCTGAAACTCCTCTTCAAGAAATCCCGCCCGCGCCACATCAGCGGCAAACCCGATAAATTCCCCTTCGCCGACGCCTCATGCGTGCGAAGAATCTTTCAAGATCTAGACTTACCGCAGTCCTACTTCCACATCTCCAGTGGAAGCCTCGTGCTGGCGAGATCGAATGTCGTACGCGAGGAAGACGGCACGCCGAGCGGATACGAGTTCATCGCCCATTGTCCCTCGACACAAGGCGACTGGGCTCTGGCCTTATCTCACAGTGTAGCGACCCGCACGACCTCAGCATACTGGAGCGTGGACCACCGCATCGACTCCAAAACTCTCCTGTCCGATCTCGCCGCCTTCCAATCCCACGCCTTCCATCCAATGCTCATCCCCATCATCATGTTCTCTTCCATTCTGCAGCGTGCACTCGATCGTCGGATAGCCATGAAAAGCAAACTCACCACGCTCGAGGAGACGATCCTCCTGATCACGCAGAAAGCCGCCAAAACGACCGAGGAAGACTTCCAGGAATTCAACTGGTATTTCAAACAACCCGGTGGCATGGAGACGATGTTCGAGTTGCTCGAGAGTTGTCGGCGGGAGCAGACGAGTCGGAAGGGGAGGTATCAGTATTGGGAGATGTTGTATAAAGCCATCCTGGAAGGGATGGAGTATGCGGAAGTGGCGCTCGCGCATGTGCGACGGGAAGATTTTCGAAGGGTTCAGGAGGATCTGAAGCAGTGGGTTGCGCTTACGTGGATGAAGTTTGAGAGTTTGAGGGCGAGGGATGAGGATCATGTTAGTAGGGTGAATGATGCCTCGGATATGGTCAGTATGATCAGGTATTACCTACGGGGTTGTCGATGTTCTGATGCACCCAGCAGCTGTATAACCTCGTCCAGCAGCGCGATAGCCGGATCCAAGCCAACCTAGCTCGAGCGACCCAAAAGGACAGCGAGGACATGAAGTTCATAGCCTTGCTTGGCTCAGTCTTTTTGCCCGCGAGCTTCGTGGCGGTAAGTTTCGTGACCTGGTCTGACATAACAATATCAAAACTGACGGATTCTCGACACAGACCGTTCTCGGCGTCGACAGATTCCAGTTCCTACCAGGTCCACAGCTATTCGGGGTCTACATCGGCATCACAATCCCTCTCATCGCCGTGGTCGTGACGCTCTGTCTTCTCCAGCCTCGATGGTCAGGTTGGAGGCGACTTGCCCGGACGAAGTCAACATCCTGATCGTCAGACGCCAGGAGGGGATCCAAAGCCGTTATCGTGCCTTCTCTGCATGCGGCGGCATAGACGCGAGTCTGCTCTTGCGGTGTAGGCAATTTCCAAATCGATCGCTGGATGGCCCGTCTAGTCTGGCCAATTCTAGGTCTGTCTGTCTAATGCCGGCTGCAGTCCGACTACATGCTTTGGGTTGATCCTAAACAAGAGATTGAGCACAGAACAAGGGAAAAGGGAAACATGACCACCGACCCGAAAAACAATGAAGGCCGAAATACAAGCCCTCGGAGAGAGCCTGGCTGCCGATCCGCCGTACCAGACGACCAGAGGTTCACAGCCGTTCGTATTGTCTTCTTCAGCTCCGGTGACCCTTCATACGATGGAGACGAAGATCTCGGAGACGAGGAGACTTTTGCAGCCCATTGAACCATTCCGATCATCATCACTGCTAGGCACTGCAGAGGAGAAAGTCTGATAGTAGGCCGGCAGACCTGTTGTATCGCTAGGACGATAGAACTCTTGTCTCTATTCGCAGCAGCCCCTTCCGTCGGCGGCTGTCTCCAGCATAGATTTTGACTTCCGTGCTACTGCATGTCATTCTTCACGGGGATTTGACAAATGCTATACCGAAGATCTGGACCGACGAACGCCTTTTATCTGCCTCTTTGTCGATGAGGCGTCCGGATCCATGAGCAGCCGGGATTGAGGGGTGGTGGAATCTTGGCGAGAAGCCATGGAGTTGTAGTTGTTGATAAAGATGAGTGGCTCGATGTAGCCTCTTCAAACACCATGTTGGAGGCTTTCCCCAGGAGCTGATATATCTTCGTGCTGGAGGCGTTCCATTCTAGAGAGGGACAGCAAGCCACGAGCAACTCTCGGTAGCACCGCATCAACCAAGCACCCTTGACATCGCTCGGCAGCAACGTGCGTCTTGGCCTTTCTCGAGAGCAATTATTGCAAATCACTTGCATGTCCATCTCTTCAATATTATCAATGATAAGCAGACGACGTTCAGACAGCTGTTTAGCCTTCCTTGGCACTCCCCATCCCCTTATCTTCAACGAGTATCAGCAAACTGATAAGCCTCCAAACCGGCAAGATCGACAATCTTGGATGAGAATCCTTCTAAACCGTAGAAACAGCAGCAAGCGCTGCGGGTTTCTCGATCTCTGGCGACTTCCTATTCGTTTGATTGGGTCTTTGCTTGTCTGGAGAAGTTCTCCATGGGCACGCGTCCCCACCCTTATCTGGCACTCGTCTGCACGTCAATAGTGCGGAGGGCCGGTGATTCGCTGGAAGTGCTGGTTGATGCGCAAAAGAAACGGTGGTCTTTGGTTGGCGATGCCAATGGTAGTCGTTGTTGCTCGTGCGGATTTGCGTCGGCGGCTGAGTCGAATCGTTCCTGCTGCTAGTTTCATCTTGTGAGATGACGGACGCCGAGACGGAGGGTGGTAGTAGTGTTGCTTCTGATGAGGTACAGTGGTAGTACAAGTGGTATAGAAGCAGGCTGGCCCGCGTCGTCCCTACCGAGTGCTCTTGCGTAACGTTCTCAACTCACCTCATCCAGGGATTCGTCCAAGTCATCCCATTTGCAACGCGAGAGGGACAGGTCGCCCATCATGCACGAATACGTTCACGTCGTCCACAATGCGTACAGCCCAGCGGAGACCGTCGAGCAGGCTGGTCGACAAGGCGTCTACAAGGCCAACATGCGCATCGACAAGATGTTCATTTCGGCGGTGGTAGCTGGCATGCTGCTCGCCTTTGCCTGTGCGGTCTCTCTCAGCACGCAAACGGCACCGTGGTATCAGGATAACGCTCCCGGATTGATCAGGATGATTGGCGCGGTGATTTTCCCGTTCGGCCTCGTTATGATTGTTGTGACCGGTGTGGATCTGTGTACAGGGAGTTTTATGGTATGCTCGAGATTCGGTGCTGGATGCGAGAAAGCTAGCTCCGCGATATGGTTGTTGGCTGACCTTGAACGTTTTCGAAGATCACCACCATCGCCGTCCTCCAACGCCGCCTCTCCGTTCCAAAGATGCTTATGCATTGGTTCGTGACCTTCTTTGGGAACCTTGCAGGATCTCTCTTCGTTGTTGCGATCATCACAGGATACGGCGGTGTGTTCGACTTGCCGCCTTACAATGCCGAAGCTATAACTTTCGCCAACAAGAAAGTCGTTACGCCGCAATGGCATATGATCTTCCTGCGAGGCATTGGAGCCAATTGGCTGGTCTGCATGGCATGTTTTCTGGCTTGTATGGCGAGGGAGTACTTCTCGAAGGTCATTGCAATCTGGTGGCCAACGTTCGCGTTCGTTGCGCTTGGATTGGACCACGTCGTTGCCAGTAAGTCGCCTGTTTCTCCCTGGTTGGTTTTGGCGATGTGCTGATCGATTGTTCCTTTGTAAAGATATGTTTTTCGTCCCAATTGCCATATGGCAAAACGATCCTCAAATAACAGTTGGATATTACATCTGGAAGAGCATGATCCCAGCCCTGATCGGCAACATCATCGGAGGAGGGGTTTTCGTGGGCGTAGTCTACTGGTATCTCGTAAGTCCTCTTTATTACCGCGGAAGACATACTCAAAACGAGAGATCTTTGCAAGCTGACCAAAGAACTCAGCACATGACAAACGAGCCTCCCGTTGCTGTTGACGGCGTGTATTACTCGACAGTCAAGGAGCCTCTCCTCACCCTGGGCTCGAAGCCGTGGAAGAGTGGAGGCGGACCAGGCCCTGCTAGTGGAGGTGTATCTCCTCGTGAGGAGTCTGAGGAGCGTAAGAAGAGCGCCGAAGCCATGGTGTAGCGTGTCGTCCATGAAATGTACGAGTCAGAACCATAATGAGGATCTCGTCAAGACAGGTAGTCAGTGACTTAATGATAGACAATGTCCAAGAGGCAGGGGCCATGAATAGCGTCTTGGCTGACTTCAATGAAATGTCGTTGACATCTCCTGGCTTCGTAGATACTCCTTAGAGCGAGGCCATCTTTCCATGCGATCGTGTCATGCAGAGCGTTCAGATCCTATCCTTTGCAGGACATCTTGATCGTCCATGCCACTCAAGAATGTGGTAAAGTAGCCTGGCAAAGATATAGCGAATGCACGAGCCCAGAAATCTGTTGTCTCCTACACAGACCCCAAGCTGGCCTACCGGATTAGGTTTAGTATTTTCATGCCCCAGGCCGCAAACCTGCCGCTGAACTCCTTTCCTGCTGCTCAGTCAACGAACACGGACAACAAGCCGTCATCCCAACTTCGTATTCAAGGTGACTACTGACATTAGAAATCGACTCTAGCAGCCCCCTGTACCTGCGAGTCGGCATCAAAGCACACTAGTATTTAGTCAATGCGATCCAGGAGCAAGCCAGCCGTCGACTGGTCTCTCTCCAGTAAGTTCTACGATGAAGGAAAGGTTCTATCCTTGAAGATCACTTCGGAGGGAAACGATGCCACCCGCACCGTAACCGCCAAGATTCTCGAACTTTGCCAGCCTTTCACTCTGTCCTGCGTGATGATCGTGGAGGTAATCAGTGCCGACCTGGACTCCCTACAGCCGCCAGGCAAAGCAGTGCTGAAATTATACGACCGGCGGTTTGCGGCTCAGCTGCGCAAAAACGAGGGAGTTCCCCCCATAGACCGAGAGTGCGGAAGACGTGTTTCTTCAGATGGTCACCAGGGGTGAAGCAGCTACCTTTGTCCAGAAACTCCGCAACGAAGACGACTTCGAGGAACCGGATGAGGGCTGGTCGCCGGGGGAGAACGAGTGTATCTTCACGATATGTGCTCCGACCTCTTTGCCACCGAAACTCGGGCGTATGTTGTTTTGCAGTCGCTTCAGGGGAAGCAGATTCCAAAGCTGTACTCCACTGTGACCTTACCACTCGACACTGGCTCTCAGGTCGTTTCAAGCAAGGCAGGCGCAGAGAACTTTTTGACCATCAGTGGCATCCTCATCGAATACATCAGCGGCCCGACGAGCTCGGACATGGCAGAGGTCATTCCACGGGAGAGCTGGCAGGTCCTCATCGACCAGGCGGTTCAAATCGTGCGCAGTTATTCGCGCCTGGGCATATTGAACAAAGATGTACGATGTTCCAACTTCATCGTCAACCAAGCGGTCCCAGATGGCGATGAGCATCGGGTGGTGATGCTAGACTTTGCTTTGTGTGAGTTAAGGACCCCGAGCAGTCTGAGGCAGATTGGGGGAGGGCGAAATCGGGCGAAGACGAAGAGGGTGCTATTGGAGCGGTTATGACGACGAGACTGGCGAAACTGGACTTCCAACTGGAATACACGCCTTCGTATGAGTGGATCCAGTATGCGGCGCGGGAATGAAGAATTTCTCTGAGCCATCTCTGCCACTGGGTTGGTCGCAACATTTAGGACTGAGGAATCAACACAGTATTGCTCGATCCGATCCCAAACAAGCCCCCCTGGTAGGCACTTTCTGAGGGAGACTGCTCTGCAAAGTCTTGACAACGGTAATCCGATCCAGGAGGATAGTGCGCAAAAGAGCGCCGATGCCATGGTGTAGGGTGTCGTCACGACTCATGCCACCAGCATAGTCGGTGATATGACCGAGTCGGGGCCAAGAATCGTTTCAATATATTGTGGATCATGGAACGCTGCATCTAAGGAAGACACCCTTGGCCATGACTCGATGATGTCGTCTTCAAGATGCGAGATGAATAGATTGGAAAGAAATTAATTGAAAGCCCACTTACTGCTGCTGCCGCGTGCCGGTTCGCAATCAATACATATTCACATCATCTATTCTCTCCTTTCGGAGAATCATCCGAGCAAATTCAAAGGGGTCATTCAGTCGTCTGTCTTCGCCGGTCCACGGACCCAGCGAGATCCAGATCCTGCAGCATGCAAGCCACATCTCACTGTTCTCGTTCTCGCTCGCTGGTGCTGGTCCGTGTGCGCGCGCGCGAGAGAGAGAGAGAGAGAGACCTTTGCTTTCCGAACAGTGCTGTAGACGACTCGACTCCGGAAGGGGATGTTCCAACGCCTTGGTCTCGACGATGGGTCTGTTCGCTGATGGCTTTTCTCGTACCACCGGGTGGGAAAGGAGGAGTTGGATCTCTTGCAGTCTGGACAACATGTTGAGCCATCATCCGTCCTTCCACGCGTGAGAATTGTGCATCGCAGCGCGCAAAAGCTGTGAGTCTTTTGGCCGCTTCTCACCCTTTCGCACTGCTCCATGGGCGATGCCATTTTCGGTGGAGAAAGAGCAGCATCAAAGATCTTGGTACACCAGAGAGCCGCGCGTGCCGTGCCTTCTTCCTTCGTGCCTTCTCCACTTTGCCCTCCGTGTCACGCGGAGAGCGCGACGATCCAGCCAATAGCGCGCGCCTCAGTGGGGTAGAGGAACAGTCCCTCAAGAAAGATCAAGAAGATCATTGCCTCTCGAGAAACTGCGTCGAATCGCGAGACGACAGCAAAGGCGTTGCTGCGCTACGGTACTCTATCTTTGAACTTTCGCGCAGAAATGCCTCATCGCTAGGTACTGTGTGAACCAAAAGATACAGAGATAAGATGGACATCCACCACCAACATCATTATCATCATGGTGGCTGATCCTGATCCTCGGCAACGCACCGAAGTTGCGTAGTACCTGGCTACTCAGGAAACCACCAATCGTAGAAAAGAAGCTGGCGTGGCTGGACGAGCTGGCTATAGGCTGTCGATAAGGATGTAGCTGCGTGTGAGTGAGGTACTGTATCTCGAAGGGAAAGGGAAAGCGGGGCGCTTGGGAGGATGATAGGGTCGTACGCGCACTAGAAGACGAGAGCTCTGGGACTGGTGATGAAGATGTCATGGTGCGCTTGTTGGTGGCCACGTCGTTGCATGATAAGTGCGATGATGGAGTATGATGATGGTAGGAGAGTTAGACAAGGCGGTCGATAGGGGAGAATGTCGGGAGAATCGAATTGATGCCCAGCGAGAGGTAGGGTTGGGGTTGGGAGCAGAGGAGATCCAAGATGAAACTTGACAGCGCGATGGACAGCAGGGAAGATGTTGGTTTGAGAAAAGGGAAAAGAGGGTGTGTAGAGAAAAGGGTCCTTTTTGCATTGTTTCGTGACCCTGCTATACCGACTCCCTTGATGCATCGGTGGCCTCAATCGAGGCAAACAAGTATGTCCAACATCGTAGTGGTGCCAGTTGGCAGTCTCGCGCTGGAGACATGTGGCACGTTGGACGGTTGTTGTTGGGTTGAGTCCTGCTGAAACTCCCTGCTTTGCCCCATCGCATCGCATTGGCTTTTTCGTTTGCCTCCGCTCGCTGAAACATTCTCATTCATCTCAATTGCGCAATCCCGAAAAAAACATACTCTCGTTCATCCACACACGCAGACGCAGCTCCAAAAAAATGCAAGGGTATCCTCCGTGCTGTTACATCAAGCACACACATACATGATGAAAAACTTCCAAGAGAGTAGTGACCGAGACTCCAATTGCAAACAGACTCGCCGCTGCTGAAACACCCATTTCTCCTCATGTTGCGATGCGATTGGCTCGCCGGCCATTCCAGTCCTTGCGCCCCAACATCCCAAAGTTCTCGCATACATCGTCAACCAAACAGTCGCAATTTCATCCCCAAAAAGATACTTTTAGTAGTACAGCCGTGATGTAGAATGCCTGGCTCCAGGGTCCGTCTAGTCGCCGTACAGTAGAGCCAGCCGTAGATGATGGTAAAGTGGAGGTTGATAACGTCGGATATTATGATCTTGATGGTGATTGTTTACCTCACGCTTGATCGTCGCTTGGCCGCGCGAGCCTGGTCGAAAGAGCTGAAGTAGTCTTGTAATTGTTGGCGGGCCTGCGAGGACATCCCTCCGGAAGCAGTCGCACTTGATGCGCTGGCTGTCGATGACAGCGATGTCCTTGATGATGACGGCGTCAATTGACGATCGTCTGCGGTGGATTGCTCCATAGAGGGGTTCCACATGAAGTAGGACGATCGTGGCTGGGTCGATTGACTAGTGCTTGTGTAGCCTAGCGTCCTCTGTTGTTGTTGGAAGGTATATGCGGGCGATAGCTTGTATGGTGAATCCCAATGACGTTCGGGTTGTGAGGAGGTGGGTGATATAGGTGAACTCGGACTCGAGTGGCTTCCTCGCTCAAGATCGGCCAGTTTGCATTGTTGCGAGCAGTAAGGTCCGTCTGGCGTGTCTCGGTCACAGAAGAGGCAGAAGTCCTGGAAGCAGTCCATTACGGGCGATGTGTATGTGGTAGAGATTGTCGTGTCGGATGGCGAGGTCCAGAGAAGAGGTGGTTGTTGTAGTCGAAAGGATCGAGTGCGGCGGAAGAGAAGTATTTCAAAGAAGGTGGTGAATCATCCGCCGCACGGACTATGGCGCAATGATCTAGTGGAATGATGCCCTGAGATGGCGTGAGACTGGACAAGACAAGGCGTGAAGGATGGTAGTAGATGGTGTTGTTATGGTGTGCAATTGTGCGATGCTGGAGGAGAGCAACCTGCAGGCGAGCGGGCAGGATGGATACGTATATATGGACAGAAAGCGGAGAGCGTTGGGTGCAAGCAGCAGTTGTTGGCTGAGGGCTTTCGCAACGCAGAAGCTCAGGCACGACCTGGATGGCGCCAATCAGGACTGTGGTGGAGGGTGGGTGGGGCCCGGCGAGAGCCTCGTGCACGACTGGCACGACTGGCGGCTTGGGAGATCACCTGTCCTGCACCTAGTCGTAATCGCAACAGACGTGCATGCATGGCGTGGGAGAGCTGTCTCGTCCATGGTTGATGCAGAGCCAGCCCACGCCCGCGAGACGGCAGACTCGACGAGCTCCACCAGCACTGAACGAACTGAACGCAGAGTGGCCCCTCTCCGTTCCAGCGCCTGCACCCATCGAGCCATCCCAACTGCGAGTGCAGCGCACAGCGTCTGAGACGAAGTGCGCTGCCGGCGGCCCACTTGCTGTGTGTGCGTGTGGCAGGCAAGCAGTCCTGCTCGCCCGCAGGTGAATGGAATGGCCGCTTAGCGCATCGCTGCACAGACAAGGAAGCGTATACGCGACCAGGCAAGAATTTTCGCTAGCCGCCAGATCCCATGATGGTTTCTATCCCCATCCATCAACGTTCAGCCGGGCGGAGCGTCTTTGAGCGGTCTTACCCGTAACAGTGCGTGCCCTTTTCTGGCGTCGTCGCTGGCGGGCTGCTGCTGCTACGGCGTCAAGCAAGGGAATTCTTTGTTTGAGCATCGTCGGATCTTCGCGATCAGCGTGCGAATCGGCCTCAAGGCGTCATCTGATTTGCGGGACGACGCGCTTGCAGGCGTGCAATTTCGCACCAGCAGACCTCTCTGCTGACCTCGTGCCGGTTGATTCTCTGCGTTGAGAGACATCGTGCACACCTTGGTGATGATGCTCTGCTCCAGACACCTGCGCATTCCCAAACCGCCCTTCGTGATATCCGAGCCACGGCCTATTAAACCATGATCTTGCTCCCAGGGTCAATGCTGGATGAGGGGACTGTGCACAAGGTTGGCTGCTAATGCACGCAAAAGCAGCAAACGGCTGCGGTACGGGCCTCGACGTTCGCTCGTCCTATCGCATCCCGGCGCCAGCAAGAAACGTGGCCGCCTCTCCTATTGCCAACCATGGACGGGCGGGAGACTGATCTCATCAATCCCCCGAAGGCGCTCAACTGAACTTCGCGCACTGCGTCCAGACCTCGCACTGAGATTTCGCATGAACGTGGTGTGTGGTTGAACAGGTTGCCACCTCAACTGCGAATTCCTCTCGCCTCCAGCAGCGCTCGTTAATGCGGCCCATCTTGCCCGGCGCCTACCACCAGCCCCAGTGCGTTCGTGCGGAGAGACGCTAGGATGGCACAGACCCGGACAGATAAAGATACACAGATACAACACCCCCACGCTACTGCTCCTCCAAATTGCTGCTCGACGAAGATGCAGGACGAAGATATGCAATCTCACTCGGCTCGTTCCAGTTCGTACATTCCCCATGCTGCAACGATGCTTCATGAAACACGACAGAACACGGCCTCTTTGAGGTTGAAGCTCCCAGCAAACATCCAGGTAGAAGCGAGCAGCGTGGTACAGAAAGTGCGTCGACAGGGCTCGCCAGAGGTCGCGCCATCTGGCGACCTGTGCCACACCATGACTGTCTCACAGTGCGCAATTTTGGTCTGCTTGGCTCGCGAAGATACTTTGGAGCTCGAGCCTCGAAACCGCGTGGTCGATCCCCGCACTTTCGACGGCTTCGTCGACGCTCTCGTCATTCTTGGTGGTGATGGCGATCGTCGTCGAGCAGGAGCACAGAAGCGCCTTCCTGTAACGTTCGTTAGAGAGGAGATCCGGATCGGAGCGTGAGTCCGTGAAAGGCACAGAGACGGCGCGGTCGGCACCTTCGGTAGCACCTTTGGACACCGGCAAGGTGGCCTCCAGTCTCCGAATCTTCGATGGGAGACATGGCCGTGCGACTTGCTATCGCTACCGTACCATCGACGAACGAAAAGACCAGCTGGGAACTCGCAGCTTCTCCACGACGCACCTCGCGTCTCGCTTCTCCAGACAATAAGGCATGCGGCAGTTGGGCAGACTGCATCCAGACGGTTCCAATAACGCGGCTCTACACGGCTGTATACCTTGTCGCAGCTGCAATGCATTGCGGAGTGTGCACATTTCTGTACGCCCAAGACCACTTCGAGGATTGGATGTGCCACGTGGGGTAAAAAGTCCGCATCAAAGAATTCGCTTGTTTGAGGGTGCTTGCCCCTGTCGTTGCATGCTACAGCTGGTATTGGAAAGTCTTCTCGGGCGTGGTAGATCCGACATCCACCTCTCGACAGGTACGAGTTGTACTAATCCTGCATGTCAAACAATGGACTAGGACCATTGAGGCTACAGAGCAGGCACAATCAACACTCTATAGCCAGGTGCTCGCCCGAGACCACCGAGACCACGACTTCGCATGCACCTACATTGCAGCCGAAGTGGACGCCTTGACGCGATAGCCTTCGATAGAGCAGGGTATATATCGACTGACATGGATCACAGATACTGAAGAGCTCTCAGGGTCCATCGACGGATGACCCTATCAACGTACCTTGCCTCAGGCCAACTCGCACGGCAGCCATCACCACAAGCCGCGAATTCCAGCTGAGACGCAGTTGTCGCTGTCAAAGTCATGCGGGTGTTTCCCGTGTGGGAGAACTGCCTCACGAAAATGACCGAAGTTATGGCGATGCGCACTTTGCCTGTGGAATGGGTGGCGTCGTGAAACGTCGGTGTGTGTAACCACGTCGGCTGCCAGCGGGTGTAAAGGTACCTGTCTTCCTTCATCACAGTCACACAGCCAGCCATTGCTTCGACCCGTTATCGTTGCACTGGTGTTGGTTGCAAGAAGGAATGGGTGCGGATGGCATGGAAGATGACGTTTGATTCTTCATCTGCCGCGGTTGGCTGCTCTTCGGGTCGTACTACGGCGGATTCAGGAGTCACTTTTGCACTACATCCTACTCACCAGCCTGACGACGAGATTCTGCCTGCTGTCAACCGATTCTGTTTTCTGGACGCTGCCCAACTCTTCGCGGCCATTACGGAGTACGGTACGGACTTTAGCTGCTCAGCGATCCGGGCCCGAACGACGAAGTTCTGCCACAAGAAGAAGCATAATACCCGATCGACTACGACCACGCCGTCGAAGTGACCTCTGGAATCCTCAGGCTCTCTGTCGGAGAATGTCTCACCGCGATGTCGCCGCCACTACATCTCCCCAGGATCTGGAGATCGTGGCGGGAGAAGAACTCGTTGGAGATGCCGTCCACTAATTTTCGCCACGCTGTCATTTCCGATGGCGTTAGCAGACGTGATTTACCAGGTTGAACACGTCGTCGCTGGCGCCAGCTTCCATGCAAGACAGAGTGTGGATCCGAAGACGACCCTACTGCCGTTGACTGCAGCCTGGTGTGATGGAGTGTCCGGTGCGAGAAGATCATCCATTGACTACCATGCCGCTAGTGGACCACTTCGGGACCGCTCATAGCGAGGATAGGCATGAGGTTTGGCTTGATTGAGAGGGTCTTGCGTCGGCCGTGTCCGACTTCATCATGCGAATCTCACTCGATTCAAAGGGAGATGAAGTCGTCCCCTATGGCAAGGTGAAGTCCATGTTGCCATTGACGATGATCGAGAGGTCGTATCTTCTGCCCCGGGGATTGTGTAGTATCTTCCGCCGACCACACTGAGGCGAGTGCTTCTCCTCCTGAGCATGACGCCGGAAGTCGTTGGAGATGGCTACTGTGCGTATCTACAGAGCGTTGACCTACTTCGAGGTTCGATCAAGGTGGCTATGCGGATACACGATGGTAGGTGAATGTGAAAAGTGAGGTGAGATTCGTCCTGTCAGATATGGTATTGTCTTGTGCATGGTCTCAGCCATCACTCCCTCTTCTCTACATCTACCCCTGACTCAAGCTTTCCATTACAGAAACAGCAGGAGCTGAGTCACTTTGAGACCAGTGGAGTCTCATATTGGCTCAGTTTCTCACAGAATCAAGAAGTCTCTCTTTCCGTGTTTCGACTCATTTCAAGATCGCACCTTCCCTAAAGACAGCGCACGTGAAACCGCGTCGAGGGAAACAGCCCCGCTTGTTGCCTGACGTGACTTCTCACGATATATCTCAGCTTCGGTTTCTGAATCTGTCATCCTCTTCTCACCCACGCACCTCGTCATTCATCGCTGCCCTTCATTCGTTGTTCAGCTCCACAAAATGGCCACAGAACTCCGACGCTCGACACGCCAGCGCAAGCAACCACAGTCATACGCCGAGGACCAGGCAGAGGCCCAGCTTGCTCCCAGACCAAAGCCGAAGAGCATTGGCAAGAAGCGCATCAAGACTGAGGTCGAGGATGATGAGACTTTCGAAGATGTGCAAGTGAAGACTGAGCTCGACGATGCTGAAGACGTCAATGGTGTCACGCTCTTGAACGCCGCCGTCAAAGCAGAGGCAGATTCCGAGGACGAAGCCTTCGGACGCAGCAAGAAGAAGCAGAAGCGCACCACAACTTCGAAGAAGTCCAGGAAGTCCAAGAAATCTGAACTTGATGATGGCAGTCAGCTGTACGGCAACCCTCCTGAAGGTACCATCATCCCATGGGGTTCGAAGACTCGAAAGCAGCCCAGGATCTATGAGGTGCCAGAGAAGTTCAAAGAGCCTCGCGAGAAGAAGGGTGACGCTTGGCTCAATGATGCTGGCGATGCAGCTGTTGCTCGTGAGCTGGCAAAGATCCCGCAGCTGGAGCCTGGCGAGGAAGAGTACCGTCTGAGAGAGTGAGTTGCCGCAATTACTTGGCTTTCTCACATGCCGCTGACACTTGACAGCTACGAAGATGAGCTCCCTGAGTGGTACGAGAGGTTCTTCGATAGCGCCGCCAAGCAGAAGATGTGCGTTCTCGAGCGCAGCCGCGGTGTCGAACAGTCCTGCCACGCTCATCACGACGACTGCCCATGCGAGACACTCAAGATCGCCGGCAGCAAAGGCAATGTGTACACCGTGTACATCTCTCACTTGACCCTCTGCAACTGTCCGGTGGGAGTCTTCGCTGGCAAGAACAAGAAGCAGTGCAAGCACGTTTTGTACGTGCTACACCACATCTTGAAGGCACCAGAGCACCTTGCGTATCAAGCAGCTTTCCTCCACACAGAACTGAAGGAGCTCTCCGCCAACGCGCCTCCGCTCCCAACCGAAACAATCAAGGAGGAGTCCAAAGACGGCAACCGCAAGGAAGTCACGGGCGAGTGCCCGATCTGCTTCATGGACTTCGAGGACAACGACGCTGTGTTGTGGTGCCGGGCAGCTTGCGGCAACAATATACACAAGGACTGCTTCAACCAATGGGCAAGCATGAAAGCCAAGGTGACTTGTCCATTTTGTAGATCCGAGTGGCAGCACGAGGACAAGCCGACGCAGCAGAAGACGACGCTTACCAAAGTCACAGACTTGGGAGGACGAGATCGTGGCGGCTATGTCAATGTTGCGGATCAAATCGAGGGATACGATTGAGTGCGAGCATGAGGTTGAAGCTATTGGCGTGGATGAGGTGGTGAAGGAACTTGCTGGTTTGAAGGTGATCGCTGTGAGGGAGTCAAAGGCGATGCGGTGCGATGCACCCACGATGGAGCGTGAGGTCTGAAGAGACGGGAAGGGATCGATGAGGCATGATTGGAATGAACATTAGATACCCCCTTTGCTAGCCTACGATACGGATGACCAGAAAGAACAATGGAATGACAGTACTTGAACGAGAGGGTATATCCATTTCATCAATCATTGGTCCAATCTCAAACTTCTACTGACAACGAAGGATGACAACGCCCATCAACAAAGACGTCCTCACAACATCATACTCCGCCTCCGACTCGCAGCCCTCCCACTCCCACTGCCACTCGCATTCCCACCCACCGCCGCAGCCGTCGACGTCCTACTCACACCCACCTCCTTCCTCGGCGCCATCGAATGCCTCCTCTGCCCCTTACCCACTGACACCCCAACACCCTTCCCAGCCTCCTCAACAAGCCCCTCCTCCGAAGGCGGCGGCGGAGACGAAGACTTGAAATCATAGAGATCCAGCTCCTCCATTTTCTTCGCGGCGTCCTCTGTTTCTGTCCGTGGCGGCCCTGGCGGGAGGAAGGAGACTGAGGCTGTTTCGCGGCGTTTTCGCGTTGTGGAGGATGAGGATGTGGAAGAAGGAGCTCGTCTTTGCGTAGGCGCTGGTGCGGAAGCTTCCTCTGTGGTCTGTGTAGCTGGGGGATGGGAGTCTGTGGATTTCGAACGGAGGGGACTTCCCTCGCCGACGACGACGAGCTGGGGGGTTTCGTTTTCGTCTTTTGATGTTTTACAATCTCCGACTTCGTCGTCATCGTCGTCCACGGGTTCTTTCTTCACGCTCACGGACTGTGGAGCCGAGGTGCTCTTCCTGTCACGCAGCTGCTGCTGGTCCTTGGGGTTCATAGCCCGCTTGGGGTCTTGCAGGCCGGTGACGGCGTCGACCATTTGTTTGCCTGGACGGCGCATTTTGGCGATGAGGCTGGGTTCCGCGTAGTTGACTGCTGAGCGGGCGCGGCGGGAGGGACGCTGCCCGGATTCGGTGGTGTTGCTCAGGGAGCTGAGGTCGCCCGGTGGTGGTGTGTCGCAGGCTCCTCCTCCTAAGGGTTCTTCGGAGGTTGGGGAGAAGATGTCGTCTGCTAAGGCCGGGGTGTAGGGTTGGAGTTGTTCGGTGGTGGAGGGTTCGGGTGGTCGGAGTTCGATTGTTGGAGCGATTTCTTCTGCTGGTGGGGAGGGGAGGGGGATCGCTGAGATTCTGCGGCTGCGGGATGGCGGTCGTTCTTTGGGTGCGTTGAGTCTTGGTGCTGGTTTCTCCAGGTCGTCCTTGGGAGGTTTGTCGGTTCGTGCGATTCGTTTCTTGGGAGATGTATTGACGCTCTTCTCACCCAAGACCTTTCTCGCTGGTTTCGCTGGAGAGACTGGCCGTTCATCATTCACTTCTCCCTGCGCTTTGATATCATCTTTCACTGGGGCCTTCTCCTCGTCTGAACTGGTCTGAGTTGTGGAAGCTCTCCTGCTGAACGTGAAGTCTCCTTTGCTGGGTGGTTTGATAGGCTTCTCGGTCTCCCTGTCTGCCAACTTTCTTTTCGCCCCCGTTCTGAGCATTGTCGTTGTAACAGCATCTCCTTCCGACTTGACCGGTGATTGTGCCAGAATGGAATGCCGTCTGATTTCCAATTTCGAATGCGAATCTCGCCTCCTTCTCCTGGTATCGAGATTGATGGACGGCAGCAGTTCTTCCTCGGCCGGCTTGGGTGAAGTCTGAGGCGGTGCCTGACTTCCATCTGTTTTGGCAGGGTCTTCGCAGTCGAAATGGGCAACAGGCGGAGGACCAATATCAGGACTTCCACTGGCACCACTCTGGTCTGACAACCTGATTGCGCGAATCTCATCGGCTCCCAATGTCCTTCGCGGATACTGTTTATCCTCTGCAATAGTCGGCATCACAGTCTCCTGCATCAGCTCGGCCAGCGGCTGTCGTTCGCGATACTGGCGTTGACTGGGACTCAGTATCCTCTCCTTCTCCACCGAACTTCTCTCCTCAGTCACCTCCTCTTCATCCAACCCATCAATCAGCCCGCTCAACTCCGCGAGCTTCTCTCGTAAATCACACTTCATCCTCCTGACCGCCATGCTCGACGCCTGTTTCCGCGCATTGTGGACTTCATTCTGCAGTGCGAGATTCTGTTCCCTCAAACCCAGGTTATCCGCAAGTAGCTTGCTGACTTCCAACTCCAAACTTCGGATGCGCAGCGATTGGGAGGAGTTGTTCTTGGCGAGTTCTCGATTCTGGCGGATGAATCTGCGTTTTACTTCGTCAAAGTTAGCGGGCGGGTTCTCTCTGACGGGCTTCGATTTCGTGCGCATGTCGCATGGTGTATTGGGCGATGTTACGTGTGACTTACAGGCGTCGATGCTCTCAGTGGAAGTGCCGGCCGCAATGTTCGCAGCAGCAGGCGCGACGGGCGGTTCGTTCAAGCGCGCCATGCACGGTGGGTGTCGTTGCCGTCAGGAATGGTTGGTATGGATCGGTGGTGGATGCTATGGTTGTCGTTCTGTTCCGGCATAAGTCTGTTGGTCAGGGAGTAATCGTCGATTCTGCGGTGCGCGTAGTGATGGGCGCGTTTCAATGCAGCGTTGGGCAGCATCCCAGGACCTGCCTTCGAGTTCCAAAGTCAAAGTCTTGTTGATGTCTCGTCACCACAGCAACGCCAGAGATTCCCACCACTTTCTGCACCCCACTCAGTCAACGCGACACATCCACCTCGCGTCGCACAGGAGAACAACAACGATATCCACCAAAATGTCGAACCGTCCGACATCGCGACAGACGATCCTCCCGTCGCAGTCTACCATGCGGCCGTCGTCTGGCCTTGGACTGCAGACATCCAACCAATCCGCCCTGCAAGCGCGTATCAACGAGAAGAAACTCGAGCTGGAGTCTCTGCGCCAACTGCGCGATCTTTCCGCTGGGCTCGCGGGACAGATGCAGCAGCTCGAAGACAAGCTGAATACTTTGAGCAATGGAACCGAGGCGGTGGCTGCTGTAATGGGGAATTGGAACACGGTGCTGAGGGCGATCTACATGGCGAGTCAGAAGATTCCGAAGCCGAAGGAGGATGGGGAGGGTGCGAAGCAGGAGGAGAAGAGAGAGTTGCCGCAGACTCTGGTGAGGATCCCGATTCAGCAGGCGGAGGCGGTGCAGAGGGAGCAGGAGGAGAAGAGGAGGGCTGAGGGTGGAGATTGAAGTGTGGACGAGACGATAATCATTCGACAACACTTCGATACGATACGAGTAGCCTGTTCGGCGCACCGCAACAACATGATGCAAGAGGCATCGGCAGACGATGATCTACATCCTGCACCCTGTGGCGGCCGAGGCTCATTGCTATTCGATCTGGCAGTTTGTCACAGCCTGTCTTCAGACGCGAGTATTGAAGGGAGATTCCATGAGATCGCTGGGTCGACTCGGCTCTTGAAGCGAACGCTTGAAGGGACATGTGCATGAAGGAGACAGCCATCTCAACAGGCTCAAAGGGCAAGCTGAAAGCGCAGCGGTGCTTACCAACTGCGACCGGGTCGATTGAGTGCTCTTATGTGGACACAGATGAATGCCCGAGGGAGGCCGGGGTTGACCTGCTGTCTTCATCTTCATTTCAAATCGTTGTCCTAGTTTGCGCCTCGTCTAATGCTTTCGTCAAAGGCCACGCGGATGACATGTCTTTGTGCAATCGTCCCAGCCATGGTTTACCATCACCTCCTTTCGCAAGTTCGGTTTGAGATACCCCACCGCGCAAACGACGCCTCGGTGCAATGTAGCGCTGCTCGATGTGCGCATGCCAAGGTCGTTGTCCGCTGGCGCAACGACTTCTTTGTGCTCAGCATTCGTTTGCCGATTTGGTCCGTCCGATGTGGAGCCTCGCAGCTTGGTGAAAGTCCTCTTTACAGATGTTGTCGGCCTCAAGCATGAGTCCTCACGTCTCTTTTCCTTTCCCTTTGTACTTTGGCTGCCGCTCATAAGCATTCGGACTGGGCTTCCTGTCCTTTCCCCTATCACTTCCCTTCTCATCCCCCTTCCGCCCTCTTTTGCCACTCCCGCCCGCTCTCTGCGCTCTGCTCAAATCCGGCTCCGAATCACTGTCGTCACTGCTGCTCGAATCGCTCTCAGAGTCCGAGTCACCCGGCTCATGGGGTTTATGGTAAATACAGCACACCTTGCTGCTCTTCTTGCCCATTCCCTCGTTGTCAATCACGTCTTCTGCCCACTGGATTCTTCTTTGAGGTTCGGGTTCGGCGCGCAGGCGGAGGGTTGCTGAGGGTATTGAGGGGCCTGACGAGTCTGTTTGGAGGATTGTTTGCGAACCTGAGGTTGCGGTGGGTGTTGCTGTGCCGCTGCCGGCGATGCGAGTCTGTTGGCGTGGGTTTGCCATGGTTGTGTGCATGCAGTCTCTTCGAGCAAGTCGTGTTCGTACGTTGAAAATAGGATGTCTCAGTGATGGGCTCGTGCGGTGGATCAGGTATTGCGTCGGGCACTGAGAGTATTGCGCTTCGTAGAGAGTCGCGTGCCTTCGTTCTGGACGGTTCTTGGATGTTTCTGGAAGTGACGTTGTTGGCGGCGGCGGTAAAGTAAAGCATGGCGGGGTAAGAAAACGGGACAAAGATTAGGGTTTGAGTTCGCTGGTGACCTGCAGACGACAAGCCACAGCGCCAGCAGCAACAGCACCACCGCTCCACCACCGCATCCTCTGCTCGACTGCTACGATCACCGCCGCCAGTCTGCTGCTGGTCTTGATACTGGCACAGCGAGGACTGTATTGACTGCTGTGCCGTCGGCTTGGTCATCGCCAGCCTCTCCTCCACGCGCTAGGCTCGTGACGACGCCACAACGACGACGCACGGTGGACAACGACGCAAGACGCTTCTCTTCAAACGGCCCCACCCGACAACGACTCTTCACTCACAACCACCGCCAACCAACCGCTACCACCACCACTCCGTCCCCGAGCGACACCACCCACCGCCTCATCTGGACCGCCGCTGGATGAGACACGCCTAATCGCCTATCCCAGCGGTCTGCGCGCGTCGAGCTCTCTACCCATCGCTGGCTTCCTGCCCGCACCGCCAGACCACCCGCACACAACCCCTCACACACCGCAATCATGTCGATGAGCATCCAAGAGCTGGACGCCACTGTGCGTGCCTTCTACGAGGGCCGCGGCGACCAGCAAAAGGCCGCCCAGGCCAGCCTCAACCAGTTCAAGGAGAATCCAGATGCGTGGTTGATGGTCGATAAGATCCTGCAAGAGGCGGAATACCCCCAAACCAAGTATCTCGGCCTGCAAGTCCTCGACAATGTCATCATGACGCGGTGGAAGGTCCTGCCTCGCGATCAGTGTGAAGGCATCCGAAACTTCGTCGTCAACTTCATCATTCAACAGAGCAGCTCAGAGGAGAGCCTACGCAAAGAGCGGGCGCTCCTCAACAAGCTCAACCTCGTGCTGGTCAGCATTCTCAAGCAGGAATGGCCGCACAACTGGCCAACCTTCATCAACGAGATCATCTCCTCCTGCCGCAGCAGTCTACCCATCTGCGAGAACAACATGGCCATCCTGCGCCTGTTGTCGGAGGAGGTCTTCGACTTCTCGCAAGATCAGATGACCAGCACAAAGACGAGACAGCTCAAGCAGAGCATGTGTGATGAGTTCACTGCCATCTACAACCTCTGCTCCGAGATCCTCAGCACAGCGGATCAGCCGAGCCTTATCAAGGCCACGCTTGAGACACTACTGCGCTTCCTCAACTGGATCCCACTGGGCTTCATCTTCGAGACTCCACCAGGTGGGCAGTCGCTTATCGAGACATTGCGCAGCCGATTCTTGGAAGCACCCGAATTCAGAAACATCACCTTGAAGTGCTTGACTGAGATCGGTAGCTTACAGACCGAACACAACTGGAACGAGAAGCTCGTTCAAATGTTCACAGAGACTCTCGAAACCATCTCGAAGATCATCCCTCTCTCGCTCGATCTCAAGCAGACGTACGCGCAGTCGAACGGCAGAGATCAAGAGTTCGTCCAAAACCTTGCGCTCTTCCTCTGCAACTTCTTCGGCAACCACGTCGCCATCATTGAGAACCTCCCCAACCGCGACTACCTCATCCATGGCCACTTTTACCTCATCCGGATATCACAGATCGAGGACCGCGAGATCTTCAAGATCTGCCTGGAATACTGGACGAAGATGGTCTCCGAGCTCTACGACGAGGTGCAGAAAACTCCCATGACCGACATGAACCCACTCCTCAACATGCAGAACGGCGGTGCTATAAACCCATCGTTGATGGCCAACTACCCTCTTCGAAAGCACAAGTACACTGACGTCCTGTCCAACCTGCGTCAAGTCATGATCGAGAAGATGGCCAAGCCAGAAGAAGTGTTAGTTGTTGAGAACGACGAAGGCGAGATTGTGCGTGAGTTCGTCAAGGAGTCGGACACAATCCAGCTGTACAAGACGACGAGAGAGTGCTTGGTCTTCCTGACGCATCTGGACGTGGTGGACACTGAGCAAATCATGTCCGAGAAGTTGGCGCGGCAAGTCGACGGCACCGAATGGAGCTGGGCAAACTGCAACACGCTCTGCTGGGCCATAGGTTCCATCTCTGGCGCCATGAACGAGGAGACCGAGAAGCGCTTCCTCGTTACCGTCATCAAGGATCTTCTCGGTCTGACTGAGATGAAGCGCGGCAAGGACAACAAGGCTGTCGTCGCATCCAATATCATGTACATCGTTGGCCAGTACCCTCGCTTCCTCAAGGCCCACTGGAAGTTCTTGAAGACAGTCGTCAACAAGCTGTTCGAGTTCATGCATGAGACCCACGAGGGTGTCCAGGACATGGCGTGCGATACCTTCATCAAGATTGCCAGCAAGTGCAAGCGCCATTTCGTCATCCAACAGCCTGGCGAAACCGAGCCTTTCATTGATGAGATTGTCAAGTCGATGCGCAAGATTACCTGCGATCTGTCACCACAGCAGGTGCATACGTTCTACGAAGCCTGCGGATACATGATCAATGCGCAAGGCCACAAGAACACACAGGAGCGACTGATTAGCGAACTGATGAGCTTGCCAAACACGGCCTGGGATCAGATCATCCAGTCTGCTCACCAAGATCCAAGTATCCTGCAAAACTCCGAGACCATCAAGATCATTGGCAATATCATGAAGACCAACGTGGCAGCTTGCAGTAGTATAGGCTCGTACTTCTACCCTCAGATCGGTCGCATCTACATGGACATGCTCACCATGTACCGTGCTGCGTCACAGCTCATCGATGAGGCAGTACAGCGTGAGGGCAATATTGCAACCAAGATGCCCAAGACCAGAGGACTAAGAACGGTCAAGAAGGAGATCCTCAAGCTTATTACTACCTACGTAGAGAAGGCTGATGACTTGGAGATGATCCACCAGACGCTCGTACCGCAACTGCTCGAGGCAGTCCTACTCGACTACAAGAACAACGTCCCGGATGCGCGGGAGGCGGAGGTTTTGGCTGTGATCACGGTGCTCATTTCGAAGCTACAGGTACGTTGGACCCCTCAAACCAGCAAGCACATGATTGTACGCGCCATTGCGACCAAGGGTAAAGTAGACGGTGCTGACCTCTCGGATCAGGGCATGATGACCGAGCAAGTGCCTGCCATCCTCGATGCCGTCTTCGAGTGCACGCTCGACATGATCAACAAGGACTTCTCGGAATACCCCGAGCATCGCGTCGAGTTCTTTAAAATGCTGCGTGCCATCAACCAGCGCTGCTTCCCAGCTCTCCTCAAGCTCGACCAGGGACACTTCAAGCTGGTCATCGACTCGTGCATGTGGGCATCCAAGCACGACAACCGCGTCGTCGAGAGCGAAGGTCTGAACATGTGCATCGAGCTTGTGGAGAACATGGCCAGCCAGACAGACCAGGCCACTTGCGACGCTTTCTTCCTCAACTTCTACACCACCATCCTGCAGGACATTTTCTTCGTGCTCACCGACTCGGACCACAAAGCAGGCTTCAAGCATCAGTCAGCGCTGCTCGCTCGCTTGTTCTACCTGGTCGGTACCGACAAGATCTCTGGCCCAATCTACACCCCCGACCGGGCTCCCCAAGGTCAATCGAACAAAGAATTCCTGTCAAACTTCGTCGCACAGCTCCTCTCCAACGCCTTCTCGAACCTTCAAGCTGCGCAGCTCAACAACTTCATCAAGAGCTTGTTCGAGAGCACCGAGGACCACGCCAGGTTCAAGCTCATCCTGCGTGACTTCTTGATTCAGCTCAAGGAGTTTACCGGTGACAACGCCGAGCTCTTCATTGAGGACCGCGAGAAGGCTGCCCAGGAGGCAAAGGACCAAGAGCGTGAGCGCATGGCCAAGGTCGGCGGTCTGCTCAAGCCCAGCGAGATTGATGATGACGAGCTATGACTTGACCAAGAAGTCGAACTCGCAAGAGGGACAGGAAAGGAGTTGAGTGTGGAGGAAGCCGAAGCCATGGGGTTATAAGCCTACTTCTACAGTACCTGCCCACGACAACTCCAACAACTACACAGGAGCGCAAGCTTGGCGAATGGTGCACTTTTGGCGAAAATCTCAGGCTGGCTTCATCATGAGTTGTGGGCAACGGCCGGAGTTTTTCGTTTGTAATGCGCCTCGCAGCAGAGATACCAGGAGCGCGCTTTTCGTATGCGCGTTTTCAAAAGCATTTGCGGTAAACAACGAGCGAAACGGGAACTAGTGGAGATGTGAAGGGGCAGCGTCTCTGGAACTTGCATAGAATGAAAGAGTGGAGCGTTTTTAGATAACCCAATCATGAATGCGAAGCCTTTTGATGTCGAGATAGTCCCAAAGCACGTGCATGTGTTGTGTTCTTGTACAGGAGTCGTGTTGGTTTCGTGCACTGTGAGCGAAAGCATACTACCTACTTCCCTGTCCGGGCGAAGTCGGAGCGATGCTTTCAGGGTAAGTGAATATATCTGATTAGTCTTCACATGTCACAGTGACCCGAGAACGATGAGCGGTGCGTTGTTGCAAGCACGTCAAACCACGCCACAAATACACTTCCAACAATCGATACATGAACAACCGGCTCCGATGCATGTGAAGGAGCTGGCATTCGTGGACCGATCTCGGATCTAGCCAGCTGGGCAGCCAACGATAGGGCTGGGCCGTTGCTGGAATAGGCAAGAGCCGAGGGTAGTCCTTTCCGTGCTAGGTACTTCGGCTAGACGATCAATCACCGCGGCAGAGAGACTGCGCAGAGCTATCCACGTCGTCATTCATCTGGTGATATATTTTCGCTTCTCTTTCTTGTTGCACTCTTTTGTGTTGTTCGTGAGGGTCTACGTTTCTGCCCGTATCTTCCTTTCATCCTCTGTATACCGCTACCATGGCCCACGTCCCCCAATGGGTCCGAGACCTCAAGCCTTCTGGTCCGCAAGGCTCGGAGATTCTTGCTCAAGAGCGGGATGGCTCTGCGGTTAATGTGGAACAATTGAAGACGTTTCTGTTTGGACAGGAGGCATTGCAGAGGAAGCAGAAAGTGCTGAAGGTTCTTCAGTCGGAGAAGGTGTTTGAGAAGAGCCAGGATTACTTCGAGGGCAGGACGGACAAGTTTGAGCGAGCATTGGCGAGGGCCAAGAAGCTGAGACAGCTCACTGTCAAGCATGGCTGGAATGATACCGAGCAGAGAGCGGCCAATGACTTGATCAGCGAGCCGCTGCCATACGGCCTGCACGAGGGCATGTACCTCAAGACTCTCCGCGATCAGGGCACGCCGGAGCAGCACGAGAAGTACCTCAAGCATGCAGAGGCTTACCAGCACATTGGATGCTACGCGCAGACGGAGCTTGGACACGGAAGCAATGTGCGAGGCTTGGAGACGACTGCGACGTGGAACTCGGACGACAAGACTTTTACTATCCACTCGCCGCACCTGACGGCTTCGAAGTGGTGGATCGGATCGCTGGGCAAGATGGCCAACCATGCGTCTGTCATGGCTCAGCTGATCATCGATGGCAAGTCGTATGGACCGCATCCGTTTGTTGTGCAGATTCGCGATTTGAAGACCCATGAACTTCTGCCGAATGTGTACGCTGGCGATATTGGCCCAAAGTTTGGATACAATACCATGGACAACGGGTTCTTGCTCTTCAACCACGTCAAGGTCCCCCATGTTGCCATGTTGGCAAGATTCTCGGCTGTCGACCCTAAGACGAACAGATATCTGAAGCCTTCTTCACCGACGCTTGTCTACGGCACACTCACGTGGGTCCGAAGCACTATCGTCCTGCAATCTGGCAGTGTCCTCGCTCGTGGTGTTACCATCGCAACTCGCTACCTTGCTGTCCGTCGTCAATTCCAGGATCGTGATGCTCCAGAATGGCAATTGGGCGAGAACCAGACTCTCAACTACACCATGGTACAGATCCGCCTGCTCCCACTCCTCGCCACTTGCTTTGCTCTGCACTTCACTGGCAAGGGCATGATGGCTCTTTATGAAGCCAACCAGAAGAAGATGTCTCAGCGTAGTAGTAAAGACCAGCAGGAGCTTCGCGGCGCAGGACCTGAAGAGACACAGTCTGGCTCTGACCTCCTTGCGGATCTTCACGGCACTTCATGCGGTCTTAAATCACTCTGCTCCCAGACCGCCGCTGAGGGTCTCGAGGCCTGCCGCCGTGCCATGGGTGGTCATGGATACTCGGCCTTCTCTGGCGTCGGTCACTGGTTCCTCGACTACGTCCCGACCTGCACCTGGGAGGGCGACAACTACATGCTCACGCAACAAGTCGCCCGCTACCTCCTCAAATCCGCTCGTTCCGTCCTCAAAGGCAACGAGCCCAACAACGACACAACCGAAATCCTCGCCCACTACCTCAAACGCCAAGACGTCGGCGCCGCCTTCGACATCCTCGGCAAAGACGAAGACATCGTCGCCGCCTACGCCTGGCGCTCCGCCTACTTCATCTTCGAAGCCCTGCGCCAGCGCGACGAGCTCAAACAATCCTGGAACTCCCTCCTCGTGCAATTCTACAAACTCTCCCGCGCCCACTCGCAATACCTCGTCGTCAAGAACTTCTACGAAACCCTCCAATCCCCCTCCATCTCCTCCGAGCTCGACCCGGAGACCCTCACCCTCCTGCACAAGCTCTTCCGCCTCTACGCCCTGCACACCCTGGAGTCCGAGTCTTCTGAATTCTTCACCTCCTCCGCCTGCACCGTCTCGCAGATCCGGCTCGCGCGCACCAAGGCTGTCATGCAGCTGCTCGAGGAGATCCGCCCTCATGCGATCAGACTGGTGGATAGTTGGGATTTCCCGGATTTCCAGCTCAACTCGTCGCTGGGACGGTACGATGGCAAGGTGTATGAGGATATGTTCTATCGGGCGAGTGAGTTGAATCCGCTGAATCGGATTACGGTGGATCCGTACCCGGAGAGCGCGACGCTGTTTAAGAAGGACGAGAGCAGGAACTTGAAGGGGAAGCTTTAGAGGGTTGATATAGATTGAATTGAACTGGGGTATTGGTGTATGTGGACGGATGGGGTCTTGTGTTTTGGGATTTTGGGTTGTTTTGACAAAGTTTGTAGCGAGCGTTGTATATATCTCGTTCATCATGTTCATAAGAGGAATCTTCTCTTACGTCCTGACATGAACCGAACCGCGCTTCGCTAACTGCGACTGTATCACAGTCATCAGAAGGATCCAGTCGTTGTCATCCACAGCTGAAGACTGCAGCTCCCCAATGCTGAGCGAAGCTCGGCGTCATTGAACGATCGAATGATTGGGTTCATGCAGGGTTCGCAGGGCGCACCACTCACTTGGCGTTGACTCTCGTCAATGGTTCGCCCGACCTCAACCCTCGCAAAAGTCTGCACCAGTGGGAGCCAGCCCTCAAGCCATTTCATCACGCTGGGAACGAAGACAATGCGACTGGAGTGTCGGTCTCATTACGGTGGTGTCCCAGACGGAAGCAGAGAAGAGGAAAGAAGAAGGGATGAGGTTTTCTGCGGACGCCACACATGTCAAGCCTGGAGGTCATGCACCACCACTAACCCCTCACCTCATCACAAAGCAAAAACCACCGCCCACACGCACAGCAGATCCCAAGGGTGTAGTGCAGACCTGCCTGGCTGGGCTGAGAGTCCGCCGCCGCCCAACTACATACATTCTCGACACCTACCTAGGTGCTCTTAGTACCTGCTAGTTACCATACGGGTTTGCTGTCTTGTTTTTCTTTTTCCTTCTACTTTTTCCTTGCCAGTCTGACCACATTCCTCACGATACTTATCTCACAATGGTGCCACCAAAGGACGGCAATGCTACGCATGTCGAGAACCCTGAGCACGAGGCCTTGCTGACGGGTGCCATTGCTTTGGCCAGTCTGTTCAGCAGCTGTGTGGAAGCTTTTGGCTTGATCCATCCATCGCAGAAATGGGACAAGCAGGAACAACTCCTCCTCACGCGGCTGGGGCTCCAGCAAGCACGACTCTTGATATGGGGCTCCGTCCTGGGCATCTCCTCCCCACCACCGACTGTAACAAACCGTGCGGTGCCCAAACATCCCTCCTCGGCGTATCCAGACCTCAGCGAGCCGACATTCTTCGATGCGAGAGATCCCAGATTGGACGAGCCGCAGTTCCGAACGGCGATTGAAGAGACGCTGAGCTCAATCGTAGATCGCGCCTCACATCTGACAAGAGAAGAGATGATGGCGAAATACGGCCTCAAACCGCCCAAGCGCTTCACCATGGTCTTCGAGCCCGCCCTCGACACCAACCGCCTCGAATTCTTCCGCGAGCGCTACGAGCTCCTCCGCGAAGTCGCCGAGTCCTACGCCCACATCAACACCCGCCGCACCAACTCCATCGTGCAGACCTCCTGGTCCATCGCCGACGTCACCAAGTTCGGCGCCTGGATCCAGATCACCCAGGACAAGATCGACTACCTCATTTCGCTGCTCGACGTCAAAGAGAAGGTCGACAGGGGCATGCGCATGGATATCCGCATGTTTGGCTGGCACATCGCGCCGGATCGCGCGCGCACGGCGCAGGATGTGTCGAAACTGAGGCTGTTGCAGGAGGTGTGCAGGGTGGATTACCCGGAGTATGTCGTCGCGACGCAGCAGGCGTTGGATAACATCAGTCGGGAGTCGAGGGAGAACAACCTCTCCATGGCGCCCACAGCGCAGCAGCAGGCGCTGTTCGGGCCGCCGCAACAGAGCAATGGCGGTGCTGCAGCGCAAGGCCACGCGGATAAAAAACGACCCGGTCTCTTCAAGATCTTCCGCTCGTTCGGCAAATCCAAACACCACCCCCCTTCGCGCGCAAAAGAAGACCCAGGCCCTCTACGCTCGCAATCCGAATCCGGACCCACCGCCGACCCAGACGAGGACGAGTCCCTCCAGCGCGTGCGCAGCAAATCCGTCGGCGGGTACGTCAACACGGGCGGCATCGATGAGGATATCGCTACAAGGCTGGAGAAGTTCAGTACCCATGAGCAGGTCATGGAGATGCCGAGGGTTGATACAAGTGGAGGAGGGCAGAAGGAGGGGGAGAGGTTGGATAGTCCGCTGGTGTTGGAGGAGCCGAAGCCGTTGCCGCTGGGTGTTGTGCAGAGACATGATCAGTATCGCGGGATTGCGAGGGTGGAGACGAGGGATTTGAGGCAGCCGGGGGCGGATTTTGGGAGTGGGTGATTGGGATGCACGGGGATGGGAAGGGGGGAGGAGAATGGGCGATTGGGAAGAGTGAGAGGGATAAGACGGAGGAGATGTTGTGGAAAGAAGTAATGTTTCTTTGAGATCTTCCTATTGAAGAGATTTTGGAGGGCGATGTTGGTATACCCATGACTTTTGCGTTGGAATATGACGAAATGAATCCGAATGGGAACGATGTATCTGAGGGTATGATAATTCTTCACCATTGGTCTGTGCTGAAAAATGACATGTGATCCCGCACCAAGCCCAGAAAGCGCCCGCCCGCCCGCTTCACCGTGTGTTTCGTTCGAACAAAGACATATTTCTTTGTGAGCCATACCTTCTTGCACACACACCCGCGAACAAGAAGCGGCACTTCTTGAATATCGACGTCAAACTTGTGCAAGACAGACCGGATATGCTGGACGAAGAAGGCATGGGAAACGAGGCGATGAGCACGATCGGTGGCTCGTATTGTCCCAATGGCCCCAGCGGAGAGGAGGTCGAAGAGGAAGGTCTTGCTGTGTACCGTCCTGGAGGTTTTCATCCTGTGCGCCTGGGGGAGGTCTGTGGCGAGAAGTACAGAGTCTTGCGTAAATTGGGATACGGACAGTACTCGACTGTCTGGCTGGTGAGGAATCTAGGGTAAGGAGCTCGTCCAGCTGATCTTGCATTGGAGAGAGGGACCGTGCTGACGTTTCGCGATGATAGCGATGCAACGCACTGGGCGATGAAAGTCCTCAGCGCCGAATGCTATGGCACTGACGTCGACATCTACGAGCTCGAGATCTTGAAGCATTTGAAAGCGGAGGGTTCTCGACATGAAGGTTCGCGATACATCACTAGTCTGGAGGATTCTTTCGAACATCGGGGTCCAAATGGCAACCACGTGTGCCTGGTCTTCAAGCTCATGGCGGAGAGTCTGGCGACGTTCACGGACTGGTTCGACGATGGTGGGATCCCGGCGCCGTTGGTGCAGAAGTTCACGAGGCAGGTGCTGCGGGCTGTGGAGTTTGCGCATTCTTGTGGGGTTATACATACGGGTGAGTTTTTGCCTCACAAGGTCAGGGCGAATTGGTGTTAATAGGGTGCAGATATCAAGCAGTCCAACATCATGGTGCAGATACCTGACGAAAGCCTCCTGATGCGATCTCCCAAAGAATCAGACGACGACCTGCGAGCGCGCGAGAAGAGCGTTTCCGACGAACGCCCCGCGACTGGTAATGATGGCTACGCTATCATCCCGAGCAAAGGTCTCCGCGACGATTACTTCGGAGAAGACTACAACCTCATGAACCTGGATATCGCCCTGGCCGACTGGGGCGTGGCCACATGGGCGGACAAACACCTCAGCGAACTCATCCAGCCAGTGTTGTTGCGTGCGCCTGAGGTATCCCTTGAAGCGCCCTGTGATCAGTCCGTTGATATCTGGAACATCGGCGCTCTAGTCCCCGAGCTCGTGTTCGGGCAGACCATGTTCAATGGGAGAGCGACAGGAAAATACGAACTGAAGAGTCATTTCGAGGAGATGAATGCCCTCCTAGGCCCTTTTCCCAAGACTTTGGTTGAGAGTGCGCGCTTGGAGGAGGCAAGGGCGTGGTTTGACGAGGAGGGCAATGTGAAAGATCGTCGAACGACGAGAGTTGTAGGGTTGGAGGAGAGGTTTGAAGGTTTTGGAGAGCAAGCGGAGAAGTTTGAGGGGTTTGTGAGGGCGATGTTGTGGCTGGATCCGAAGGGGAGGATGTCGGCGAAGGAGTTGTTGGAGGGTGAAGAGGAAAGTGGAAAGAGAGGGGTGGATGGGACATAAATTGGCCAGAGCGAGGTCTGAAGTGCAAGCGTTCTTGCTATGCCTTGAAAGCGTAAGAGCCAAAGGCCTATATCGACATTCAGGAGCAACTACTTCTCCGCCTTCTCCTCAACCACCTCATCAGCAAACAACTCCGCGGCCGTACTCTTAAACTTCCTCGCACTAATCCTCTTCTCAAACAACGCATCCATCTCGCCATACGTCCTGCCCTTCGGCTCCGGCAATCGGAAGAACGCCCAAACAAGACACAGAAGACACATACCCGCCCAGAAAAAGCCCGATTTACCCTTCCAGTTCCAAGCCGAAGGGTTCAACATTCGCGGCGTGATGATTCCGTTGATAATACCAATGACGTTGTAGATATTCCGGCCCAGGACAACGGTCTTCGTGCGGAGACGACTGGACGGCATCTCCGTGACAATCGAGTAAGTGATCGTCCCGACGGTGATATTGTATACCAACGCCCAGACGAGGAGGAGCGATCCAATAGCGAAATTCGGTCCTTTAGCCTTGGGAGGCGCCAAAGCGACGAAGCCGATGATGAGCAGGACGAGACACATGAAGACCAGGCCTCCGACGAAGAGGGTTCTCCGGCCGAGACGCGCCATGGTGAACCAGGCTATGACGACGCCGACCATGGCGATGGCGTAGAGGCCTATGGAGAAATCGAAGGAGACTCCTGTGCCTAGGCCGGCTTGTTCGAAGAAGTACGCTGAGTTGCCCATGAGCGAGGCTCCGCAGAGGGGTTGAACAGCCCAGGCTAGGCAAGTGATTTCCGTCCTGCGGAGGTCGACGCCTTTAAAGCAATCCCAGTAGGAGGTCCCCGAGGAGATTTCTTTCTCCAGCTCGTCCGTGTGCCGCATCATGGCGACGGTTTGGTCGAGGTCGGCTTCTGGGGTGTTGGATGTGAGGCGCTGGAGGGCTTTTTTGGCGTCTTCGTGTCGGCCGCGGCGGGAGAGCCACCAAGGCGAGTCCGGGGCGAAGAGGATGCCGACTAGGAGGGGGATTGGCCAGACCCATTGGAGGGCGTAGGGGATTCCTGTGCAAGAACGTTGTTGTTAGCATTTGCAACAGGTTGGGATAGGACGGACTCACGATAAGCCCACTGATCGTCCCTCTTCAAGAACCCTCTAAGCACCGCCACAGCAATCAACTGCCCCAGTCCCCACATGAGATTCACATAAGTCGTCAAATAACCCCTCAACACCACCGGACACACCTCCGCCGCATACGTCGTCGTCAACGTCTGAAACACCCCCCACGGAATCCCCATCAGCACCTCCCCCGCCACCAAAGTCCCAATATCCTTCGCAAAGAACAGCACGAAAATGAACGCGATCATCGCAATCAACGTCCCAATCATCGTCTTCCGATACCCATACCTCTCCGCTATGATCCCGTTAATCGTCAACCCCAGAATCTCACCCACTCGCGCACCATTGGACAGAGCGCTCTGCCATGGCGCGGTGACTTGGTACTTCCCGTTCGGCTGCTGTTCGCCGAATTGTTTCGTGAAGGGCGGGAAGGCGAAGAAGGAGGCTATGAGGACGATATCGTAGCCTTCCATTGCGACGGCGGAGGAGAGGAAGATGGACCAGGCTATGGCTTTGGGGTAGAGTTTTATCGCCTGCCGGAGGGTCATGCGGTGTTCTTTGTCCGTGGCATCTTTGGCGTCCACGCTCAGCGTCGCGAATTTGGCGTTGTCGGCTGTGAGGTGCTCGACTGCGTTGGTGGGTTGTTTCTTCTCGTCGGGTTCGGCCATTTTGGGTGGGGTGTTTGGGAAGGACTATGGTTCACATGAAGGGAAGGGTTCGAGGTTTTTTTTACTGGGCGTTGATAAGGATTCTGTCTATCGAGAATCCTGTGCGACTTGTTGAGCTCGCACGCCATTGGAAGGATCGGCAGGTGATTTGACCCCGCTGCCGCATGGTCATGTAGCATTCGACTGGATGTCGCGGTACATGGTGTTCTGAGTGGTACGCTCATTGCCTCGTATCGCTGCCTGAGACGGATGCCTCTACGAGATATGAGGGAGAACGACGTGAAGTCAGTTCGATGCAGGGATTGAGTTCCGCTAGCGTGACTGCGTGTGATTTATGCCTGAGGCACAAAGTTCGACATTCACTCACACGCGCACATGTCGACGAACTCCAAGCTGGAGCATCGTACGACTGTAATTGAACTGTACGTCGTGAGAGACTCTACACAATGTCTGAAAACTCCCTCGACTCAAGCATCGCCATTGTTGTCAAATCGACGAGGATTAGCCGAGGATTCATGTCCATGACGTATATGATTGGCTCGAGTCATCCTGAACTTCACCTTGTCTCCGACTTCTTCCTTTCAGAAAGTACATACACCATCTTGTCAAACGATAAATCTAGATTGGGAGGAATTGTGGTCCATTCGTGGCGTGATGGGAGATGTCGACCAGCGCAGCGACTGGCCTCGCCATCACGAATCCCTTGGTGAAGTATAGGGCATTGGTTGCTACAAAGGCCATCAGTTCTGATCCTGTACGAGAACCGTGATATGTACTGGGGAATATATAAGCTAATGTACTCACCAGGCACAACATCGACTAGCAATCCACCTGGCAAAGTTATACGAACGATTGAAAGACTACGAACCAGAACTAGAATACAGCCATCGACTGGATCAAATCTCCCGAGCCGTCAACTCAGGACAACACCGCCGGAATGCTGATTGGAGCCCTGAGCAGCCGCCTCCAAGGCAGAGTGCCTGGCGATCGTTTCTCGCAGCGAAGGAGAAGCGGGATACAATGGCTCTCACCAGGAGACTGACATCCCATGAATCGGCTCTGCAGATGAACTCACCCAAGGGATTGATGCTTCATGGAGAGGTTGGGACTGGCAAGAGTATGCTCATAGATCTTTTCGCGGATTGTCTTCCCAATCGGAAGAAGCGAAGGAGTCATTTCAATACGTTCATGTTGGAGACTTTCGCTAAATTAGAGGCATTACGAGCCGAGAGGTCGAAGGCTGGAGGGTCTCGATTACCTTCGCAACTCGCATTCTCTGAGGACGATTACTCGCTACTATGGCTGGCGAAAGACATGATCCAAACCTCGCCGATATTGTTCCTCGATGAATTTCAAATGCCGGATAGAGTGGCCAGCAAGATCCTGACAAATCTGATGACGGGCTTCTTTCAGCTTGGTGGGGTGCTCGTGGCTACGAGTAATCGTATGCCAGAAGAGTTGGCGAAGGCGGCGGGTATCGGATTTGCGCCGCCTCCGCAGAGAGGTTTTGGGTGGCAGCTCGGATTCGGCAGGCGGAAACAGAGCAGTGGCATGTATGGTGGCTCGAACGAGTTTGCTGCTTTCCTGGAGGTGTTGAAGGCGAGGTGTGAGGTTTGGGAGATGGAGGGTGGGAAGGATTGGCGGCGGATCGAGAGCGGAAGTGTGGCGCCTATTAAGGATGTCGATGTTGAGAGTATGGCTGATAGTGCAGTCGTCGTGGAGGACGTCGCGATTGATGGGGGCACGGCTGAGCTTGCGGAGGATTTGAAGCCGGTTTCACTTCCCAAGCACTATAGTGCGGCGACTGAGCAGCAACAAGGAGACCCTCTGGATGCTGCTCTCATTGTTGCTACCCACGGACGAGGCTCGGATACTGTCACCTGGGCACCACAGACGCTAAAGGTCTACGGCCGAGTCATCGACATTCCACGTGCATACGAAGGCATCACTCTTTGGACATTCGATGAGCTGTGCAAGGCGACATTGGGCCCAGCAGACTACATTACCCTGGCATCGACATACCACACTCTCATACTCACCGACGTACCAATCTTGAACTGGCTGATGAAGAACGAAGCGAGACGTTTCATCACGCTGCTGGACGCACTGTATGAATGCAGATGCAAGCTGTTCGTGAGTGCAGCCGCCGGACCAGACGACATCTTCTTCCCAGAAGAGCAGAAGAAGACGAGGGAGGAAGGCGACAGCGGCGATTCAGTCTACTCAGAAACACTCTCAGAGGTGTATCAGGACGCCACGGCGCCATTCCGACCAAACGTCTTGACTGAAAACCCAAACTACGCAGAGCCGGACACGGAGCCTGACTACACGCATGCTCGACTTGCTGGTCTCCTTCGCGCTGACTCTCTCGAAGACGACTCACCGACCGCACCCAGCGTTTCCAGAGGCGCCAAAGGAGGTTCAACGAGCAACCCTTTTGGTCGCTCCTTCGGCAAAACCGACGCCGAAATGGAGAGAAAGCCCGTCGACCCAGACGAAGTCCGCTACACCGTCCGTCCAGACTTCCAAAAGACCAGCGCCTTCACAGGCGAAGACGAGCGCTTCGCATACAAACGTGCCCAAAGTCGTCTCTGGGAAATGTGCAGCCAACGCTGGTGGGCTCGCAACGAACCAGACTGGCACAGACCGCTGCCACAGGAGATCCGACGCTGGGAGAGAGTCGGCGAAGATATCGATCTGCCCAAGTATCCGGACGCAGGCTCTGTGGCTAATACGGAGATTCGTATGGTGGGCGCTGTGGAGGATGCCACGAGGGATGAGAGGAGTTTCAAGAAGTTTGATAACGCTCCTGTCGCTGCCGAGGATGTTAAGTCACCTTTTCGAGCTGAGAGGGAGCCTCCGAGGAAGATCTCCTGGACGCACATTTGGGGGACGATGAAATGGGGCGCTAAGGCTGGGGCTTGGGGGCAGGGTCCGGAGGGGTTGAAAGATAGGGGCAGGGAGAAGAGGTAGCCGTCGTGACGACTCGCAGACTCTGGAGATCGAATTGTTGTCGATGAGATCGAGGATCTCGACGGTGGGCCTGCAGCGGTCCGAAGTAGTCGACTCTAGCTTTTGTGTCTTGCGAGGAGCTGAATTACATAAAGTGAGTTAGCTAGAACATCAATTGCACTGAAAGTTATCATCAAATGACTTCTACTCGGTACTTTTCGTGCCTTAATCCGATCATCAAGTGCCATTTTTGTAGGTGTTGTCCAGGGGTCAGCCTATCGCCAACGCCAGGCCCGGTGTCGTCTAAGAAAAGGAGGAAGTGTTTGGTCAAAAGGTACAACGTCCCGGGACGTTGTTGTGCGTTCTGGTTGACTTATAACCATTCACTCTTCCTCGTCTCGAGACGCCACAAGCTCCAAGGTCAAGTCTCAACTTCAGACACTCGCAACGATTCTTTCATCCTCTGCTTCGATTCTGCTGTGCCACTTTTCTAGTACTGAGCTAGCTCTTTCACTGAGATCCAGATTTGCCGCTTCATGCGCGAATGCGATGGTTTTCTACGGAGCAACGCGAAGGACACACTTCTGCCCTTGTACCAGACGACAGCGCTATTGTTCGAGAACTAGATTTGTATACCCTGAAGCCTATACCTCAAAATCTTGCTGGGTTGCAAACGCTTCACTTTTGACCGGATGTAGTAGAATTGCCGGAAGACACAGTTGTCCATTCTCCTTGGTCCATTGAACCGCACATTAGCGCTTGCTTCCAGTATCCACAGTTGATACTCACGGCTTGTGCTTCGGGGCTGGTGCCTTGCCAAAGCTGGTACAACTTTGTTGGGAGGTTTGCATTCCAGAACCATGTAGAACGAAGGAAGTGAGACTCATGATTGATGATGGATCCAGGAGCGCCTCCTACTCGACCGTCTTTACCCCCGTTGAATGTGCTTTGTACATACGTAGCAGTCATCTGCGGCTCGAAAACAATCGGGTGTGGCACAAACACAGCTTTGAGATCGTGATGGAAAGCAAGAGTCGTAGGCCACATCTCGGACATCATGGCTCGGCCTGCCCAGTTCTCGTGGTCCATGTATTGCAGTATTCTACGCGACAGGCGTACGTTTGTTGAGACTGATCCGAAATGAGCCATGTTCTGCACGAGGTCATAGTGTATGGTGTATCCCCTGTGCGGCCATCTGGTATTGGCGGTCTCGAACATTGGGAAAAAGGTCAGGAGATCTGCGTCCTCAGTGGCTTCCACAACTGGAGACGAAAGGTTGTGCACCCAAGGGGTCGGCGATGGAAATTCACTCCCTGTAGTGTCGCCCGTCGTGAACGTCGAGTTTGACGAAGGTGTCTTGCCAGGAACAAAGAATCGTGTGTTCCTTTGCCAAAGTCCGGCTTTGGGCTGCGAAGAGGACCAGGCGGCAACGGCCGGAAACAGGTCGGTATAGCGTCCGGTATATCGAACATCCATCTCCCAGTTCCAGAAATGATCGTATTCAGGATGTCGAGCTGCAAATAGCTGGAGGGCCATGAACGCGTGGTAGTAGAAGCTAGGGGGAATGAACAGCAGCGCAGCATGGAGTATGGATGCGTACTCACTCGTACTCTCCAACTTTTGGAAAGGCTTCTCGACCATCGTTATAGTTCCAGACTTCTGTCATAACTTATGCAGAAACTCTGGTGGAACGTGTTGCAACTTGAAATTCTCAATCTCTTCCGCAGTTGCCGATGTCGATATCAATGGTTCTCGGTCATGAAGCAGAATGTGGACGTCATACTTTCCACCGAGTTCAGATAGTTCCGAAATCATGCTGCGTAGGTGTTGGACGTCATCTGGTGTCCACTTGAATCCATCCCATGCGCGAAAGACGACGGCAGTACGGCTTTGTTCTGTTTGGTGAGGAGATGTCGAGAGCGCGTTGTCTCGCTCATACGTGTCACGACGAGTAGAAGGGAGGTCGTAACGAGTATCGTGCGTCATGCATTGCTCCAGCGATGTGCCAAATACAGCATGTGTGCCCAACGAAGGCTTAGTGAAACCTAGTGACATTAGCATCGTATGTGCTGATATTAGGGCCAAGAGCTTACGACAAGAGTTGGGTAGAACGCGATGAATTTGGGATCCAAAGCGACCTGCCCGGGTCTGGTTGAGGCTGCAGTGTTGGACCAGTTCCCGGAAAGCGCGTTCTTTTTCGAATAGAGATTGGAATGCCCCCTGAGGCCATGAATCTTGTGGAAAGAGCAGTCCTGTACTCTGAAGACCCAAAACGGAGAGGAACGCGACTGCGAGGGCAAGGAACCCCAGAAACCAAGACGTAAAACGGCAGCGCATCACTGTGGGCATTGCGATGGCCGTGGCCGGCAAGATAAGAGGATGGGCACATCGCTACAAGATCGTAGTCCATATCTTTAGGAGAAATTGAATGAGCTGGAACACGCTGCTGCCTACGCAGGTATGTTGTCTCGAGGGCAAAGGTGAAGGATCCGAATCCGCGTACAGTCCACTCCTACAACCTAAAACGATCACCGGTGAGTGTACATAGGCTATACAATAGTTCGATTGGCAGACAAAAGACTCCAAGGCCCAATCGTAGTTGCGGAGAATGGTAGTTGCGAAGAACGCAACGATGAATAAAAAGATTCCTAGAGAGGCAAGTGATTTGCATCAGGCTCTCTTGCTGCTGCGGCGGTGCACAGTAGTCTGCGGCACAGCGCTTGAGAACCATCATAGTGCTGTTTCACTATGGAATTCAACGCATCACTTGTCGAAAGTCTCAACCTCGTGCCTTACATCATTCACTGCACGTAAGATGCAGAAGTACTCTCCTGCATCATGGTAGCGATCTTTCTTTTGAGCCCATAACACTCTTCCTTAGCCAGGAGCTAGCCGGCGTCTAGGTCATTGGCTATATAAGGAGTTCGAATAGTGTCAATCCAAAGGCGAGCATCTTCTCTATAGTAAGTAGGTGGAGGTAGTTGACCGGTACCAGGTGATGTCCGAATTAGTGACGGGCCGTCTTCAGGCTCCGTGCGGACGGCTCGGACGGGACGCTAAGCCTGGTTTCAACGGTGGTCAACCGGCCCTTTCTCCGGCACATGGCCTTGGCATCCTGTGAAAGTATTGTTTCCCTCCTTCTGTAACTACCTCAATGCTAACGATTTCTGCTCCATTCTTGGGCCGCTCGCCAAGCCCTGGGCCAAACTTTGCTGTGCTTCGCCACGCTCCCGCAGCCTTTCGACGTAAGTTGAGGGACTTCAGAGTTTCAAGTTTGTTCAGGACTGGCTGCAATTTGTCTTCATCCCTGATGCAGCAATGCCACATTCTGGAATCGCAACATGTGCAGCCTAGGCGGGCTTCTATCTCGTGTACCTTCGCCGATTGCAAAACATTGGCTCAATACTGTGCCTCTGTCCTGCAGGACTACTCACGATCTTCAACAGTGGTTTACTGAAACCATGATCCATGGATTTGCCAGTGCGATGGCCTTCTACATGCACAAATTTCTTGCAACGCATACAACAGATACTATTGTTCAAGAACCAATCGCCAAAGTCAGCGCCAGAGCCCGCCACGGGGGATTCTGACCGCTTCATGACAGCCTTGGAAGGCAACGCTGCGGCCATTATCAACAGAAGTGACTCGCAAGCTCTCAGCGAGCACGACGATTGAGAGTCACTGCGGACCTTGAAGAAAGATTCCATTTCAAGTTATAAGAGCTCATCTTAAAGCTGCAACTACAGCGTCAACGACTTTATCAGCGTCCCCTGGAACTGTTGCCGCGAACTCAACATATTCCACTGCACCTATCTCTTCGAACATTTGCCTCCCCTCGTCATAAAGAGTCGTCACTTTGTTGTTCTTGGCTAACATCTCCAGGATCCCTGCATCATTTCGCCAATTCGATCTGAGTCCAACCAGAATAATGGGCACATCTTGAGCTGCATCATGCCGAACCCTTGGGTGCCACTGGAATTGGCCATGTGTTAGTCGAGAGATAGCTATGACAATGTCTCATGATGGTAACTTTACCTTCGTTCTGACGTGGCCGAAGGACACAGGATCCGTGATGGAAAAGCAAACGAGCGCGAGATCCGCAGCAGCGCAAGCTCGCGAGATCTCCTCTTCCACGTCGACGTAAGATGGGGAGTTCTTTTCGAAATGGTCGAAATCCTGGCCGGGTGTATCCCGCAGTTCAAGGGTCACAGTGGACCCGTCCCTGGTTTTGACGCTGGTGGTCGGGTGCGTTTTACTCCGTCCCCTACCATTGAAGGGTCAGGCACATGTCTTTGTGGTTTACTGATAGCTGCAGGTATGTCGGCAACACAAACGTTGGATTGTAGTCCTCCATGGCTCGCTTGAGGTCCTCGCCGCAAATGGCTTTGATGAGACATGTCTGAACTAGTAAGCGGAGCAGCTGAATCAATCCACGAGAGTCGTCGTACCTTTCCTATTGCTCCATTGCCAATAAAGACGCACTGCATATGAATCAGCACAAAGTCACGTATACTGCCGACAAGTGATCATCACAGTCTTGTTGGGGCTCGAAGTGGTCATGGCGCTAATCAGCGAAGTCGAGAAAAGGAAATTATGCCGCAGGCCAAGTCGTATGCGACACATATGGACCCCATATGAGAAAGTGAAAACTAGGCAGCAGTGTGTAGAAAGTCTAACGTGCAGCATCTTGCCAATGAACACTACCGCCGCATGGCCGCATGAAACTTGTGCTCAGTTGAGACATCTTGCTCTCAACGCCAGTCAATTTTCGATCTCTCTCCACGTGCATTGTGTTCGCTCTTGAATGCGGCGTCAACTTGTAATCTTTTCCTTCTAGAGATAGAACATGCAAAATGAGTTCAACTCCGTCGAAGGCTCGGCGTGCCGAGGAGGAATGAATGAACGAACGACCGAGTGAATGAGTCAATGAATGAGATCTGTGCAAATTCCTCACTCCAGTTCTTTGCTCCTGAGAGTTTCCATCGAAGCTGTGATCCAATGAGTATTGGAGCACTGGGAAGTCATAAGCATCAGACTCCTTGAGCGGTACGTGTTAGTTATTCGACTGTGATTCGATGCCTTGGGAGAAATCCATTCCATCAGATCGGCCTTCAGAAAAGCAATTTCATAGACGCTCAATTTCGCATTCACTTGGTTTCTTTAATCGTGATCGATTTGTCGTGTGATATATGTTCAGACGTTCAAAGACCGCAGTGTCGTCAGGGGTCAAATCCACCGTCAACGTCATGCCCCGTCTCGAGGCTCCACAACTCCACCACTCCAACATCAACCCCCAACTCCAAACACCTCTTTCAACAACCTCTACCACAACCACGAAATCAAAATGGGCGCCCGCCTCTCCCAACCCCGCGGCCCATCCGGCACAACCGAATCCTCCGTCCCCTCCAAACCACCACCCCCACGAACGCCCAAAAACCCCTTCCCGCGCCGCATCAACTCCCGCACCATCGCCGCCCCCGCCGCGGCCTTCACAATGGCGTTGATCCTCTTCGTCTACACGCGGACGTCGATTCGCGCGGCGAAGGCGAATGCGCAGAGACATCGGGAGGCGGATACGGGTGGGGAAGGGCTGAGCTTGTTGAATGAGAGTCGGAGGCGGCATGGGATGCAGAGGGGGGTGGAGGGGAGTGGTGGGGGGACTGTGGTTGAGTTGGGGAGGGAGTTGGTTGGTGCTGGGAGGGGGAAGAGGGGGGATGCGCGTGAGGGTGAGAGGGGAAGGAGTGAGGAGGAGGAGAGGTTGAGGGCGCTGAGGGGGTTGAAGAAGGGAGGTGGTGGTAGTGATGGGGAGGGATGAAGAGTTGGGATGGTGGGGTATTGGATCATACTAAAATAGCGATTACAGAAAGTCCGTACTTGAGCTGTATGGTATACAGCACATGCGAAGGACCTCCTGTGGCAGGCAAACCGCACCATGGCATCGGGAGTAAGAAGTCGTGTGAACCCGCTTCACACTACGGACGAAGACATTAAATCCAGTCTCTTGACCGCGAACAACACAGATCATCACATTACCGGCCGAGAAGGATAGAACCAACTGGGACGCCAAACACCCGCCGCCACAACCATTACCGCCTTCTAATCGATCCCTCCCACCAACCCGCCTTCAACACTCCTTCGTCCCATACATCCCGGTATAGCACTTGACGAACGTCTCACAGTTCCTAGTGGTATTCCCTCTCGAACAAGCAACCTCTCCACCAGGCGCGGTCTCATAAACGCATCTTCCCACGGCGATATTATTCCTCGAGGTATCGATCAGATCAGCGTAGAAATATCCATCGTCAGGCAAAGCCCCATCATTGGCAAGCACGACGTCACCGCAGTCGTCTCTGGTATCTACGGAGCCACCATTGTCACCCGCAATTTAGGCTAGAAAGACGACACGAGGGAGCCGTACTCATCTGAAAACTCCCCGGACATCCACTCCCCGTCGACTCCGCCAGACAGAAATCCAACGAGCGGTTCCCGTCATTGCCCGGACACACACCTCCATCATTGTGCGTGCGGATTGTGCTGTTAATGTTGCAAATGTTGACTGTGGCGGGCACGGCGACGTAGTCGCATTTGATGGAGGAGCATGGGAGGGCGCTGGAGTTTGAGGGGGTGTAGGAGGCGCAGTTGCCGATGGTGAAGTCGGCGAGGGTGCGTGTGGTGAGGGTGAGGGTTAGGAGGGAAAGAAGTGCAGCAGAGTGCATTTTGAAGGAGTGGACGATTGGGTTGCCTGGTGAAGAGTGGACGGATGTGATATGTGATGGGAATGAGAACTTCTCTTGGTGCGAGGGTGAGAAGGGATGAAGTGGAGTATGTCTGTCGGTGGCCGAAACTCCAGTGGTCTGACTCTGCCCTCCCTCCTTAGCCTGCTGTAACGATTGAGCATCGATGATACTGCATCTCTCATCATACACACTGGCCTTTGCAAACGGCTCGCAACCACCACCTCCGTGGCCTCGATGCTCAAGCTTGGTATGTCTTTGACATCTCTCAGGCCACACGACCGAAGCATCTCAAGCCCTGGATTCCCGAATTGAAATCCCTTTCACGTCGAGTAACCAGTCGATCAAATCGCCGACTGTGTTCTTCTTCGTGGTGTTGATCGCATGAGCTGCGACTTTCCATCTGCGTCTCGAGTATCGAAAATCATGCTCTTCAAGGACGTTTGCACAGGTACCATGTTGCGCCAAGATTCGTCGATATCGTTACGGATTGACAAAGGGCGCCATGGGCGAGCTGCGCGAAAATGCAATTCTCGTATCCAGCAAATGTCACAAACTGCATATTTGGAAGGCTCATAAAAGCCCTTTTCATTCAAGACCATTTCTTCAAAGTGGAATTTGAGGCTCCTTTTGAAGCAGGCGATGCCCCTCAGAGTCCACGAGTTGCCGAAGTTGTCTGGCTGCCAGTAGAGTGACTCCATGACTGGATTCTCTACCGCCGTTTTGGTGGGAGCCTGCTCCAGGAACATATGCTGCTTCAGCTTCTTGGAGCCCCGCATGGTATCGCGAAAGGTGTTGCTGGTCCGCTGCAGGACGAACAGATCCATCATCGGGACGCCGAGGAGGATCATCTCCAGGAGCTCGACGGTGTCGAAGACCTTGTTTGCAGCAACATCCACGCCGGCGCCGTTCCCTTGCTCAGATGTCCTAACGACTGTCAGCGGGGTTCTCTTCGAGTTTGCGTTTTGGCTTGGAAGCGTACGTGGAGGTTGAGGCATCTGGCGGGTGAGTGGATGACGGCTCGCTCGTGGCCTGCGCGCCAGACTGCGTTGGCGACGCCATGATGCTGGATGGCGAGGTGTTGTCGTTGCGAAGGTGTTGTTGCGAAGAAATTTGGAGAACGTCGTTGCGGCCGCTTCAAAACAACCTCATTAGTGCGCAAGTGAGGTCTTGGAGGTGGATTTACGAAAGTGAGGTTGCGAAGGTGAGGTTGAGTTGTGAAGTGAAGTCGTGAGGTCTGGATTGCTGCAACGAGCACGGACCATCGACTGCGCAAACGAAGCTAATTAGGGAAGGAGCGCGGTTGCATGTGATGGATTGCACTTTTTGACCGTTGATTGCACTATTCAACATGTCTCTTGTTGCGTAATTTCTCGCCTGGTCCATTTCGCCGCCCATGACCTCTCCTTCGAGAGCTCTAGCCGCATCATATTGCTCCATGTACTCCCTCTTTTCTACCGACGCAGCTCGAGGCATAGCGACTGATGGCAGCGCTAACCTGTCCACATATAATGTCACCGCGAACTATCTCCATCTTCTACGAGAATGATATGATGTCGAATTGCTGATCTAAGGATCGCCATCGCCATCGCCCTCTTCATCCTTCTCTCCACGATGATCTTCACTGCCCTCCTAATGGTCAGACTTGGAATCCACGTCGACCCCCTTCCTCGTGAAGATCGCATATTTCGACTGGCACCAGTCCATAATCTCGCCCAATGTCGCATCCGCTGGGAGCATGGTCCCGTTTGGTCCTCGACTGACGCCGTTGCCGTCGATGCGTAGTCCAAGGACAATTGTCGTACATGGGCACTGCTTCACGAGCATTTGGCGCCACGACGCTTCGGAGTCCTCGAGTACGGCGGTGGCTGCATCTGAGGGGTTTGTCTTTGCTTCTAGTATGACGTTAAGGTGAACTTCACCATCAGTCGAGGAGTGTCGATCCAAGGACAGTCCTCCAATGGCTGGGTGGAGGAACTGAATGGACTCGATCGGCAGCGAATCGACCGTGTCGAAGCTACTCTTGTTGATTCTCGTGCGTTGCCAGAGGAGTGGATTCAATGGGACAGGATGAATTCGCCTGTGGTGCAGCTTTTTCTGGAGCACAAGCCACTTGTTGCTGGCACCAGCGGCTGTTACGTCGACTTGAGCACCCAATTCCCGCGCGCAGCCAGCCTCGAATGCGGCATTGACACCACATATCTTCGCAGGTCTGAGGAACAGTGCTTCTTGAAGTCGCTTCGAGCTCTTGACGCCGTTGCGGAAGTCCTTCGAGACCCGTTGAACAAGGAGCATGTCTTTCAGGGGGAGAGAGGCCAAGACCATCTCCAGCAGTTCCGCCACTCCAAAGACTCTCTCCGCTGCTGAAGTCGTCATGATTTCGGCGACTGTGCTGTGGTGCGTCAGCGCACGATGATACACGGAAGGGTGATGAGGCTAGGCACACTGAGGTCAATCATGCGAGTGAAGACTGTCGAGGACTCTCGATAGGCAGTGCGGGTGTGGGAGGGGTTTAGTGGCGTTTGTTGTCAAGTTACTCGAGGAAGCCTGGGTGGTTGAGAAGAGGTGCAGACTCGGAAGCAGTTTGAAAGTGACAGAAGAAGCGACGGAGCAAAGTCGGCTTGACATGTGACAGGAGCGCACTGACCAAATGCAGTGTTCACGCGCTCGTGGAAGCCCTGCCTGCGCCCGAGTGGACTCTGTAGCTAAGACTGTCTGGATATACACTTTGGAAAGCTCGCCTGATGTTTCAAGTGGTGTCCGCAGGATCGTGAAGCGTCACCGAACACGGCCAAGTTCCAAGATAGGGAAGGCCGCTCTTTGACCTTGCAGTGGTCTTTCGAAAGATGGAGACGAGACCGTCTTGAGGTGTATTGTCCATCTATGTCCCTGTTTTCGAGCTGAGTCGTTGCTTTCTTGTGGACCATGGTCCATGCTGCCAATGCAACCCCAAGGTGTTTGCTGTCCTGGTCGTTGGAGCCTTCTAGACACCATCCGGCAGCCCTCCATCACCCATTCCTCCATCTCGCCTGCCATATCTCATATCCTCTCCACCGCCAGCCGAAAACGAGTTGTCTGTCAACCCATCCGGCATACCATCCGGCATGCCCTGATACCGCATACTCCCACCACCACTCGCTCTATGAGAATGTGTCCTTGGTGCATCTTCATCTTCAGGCGCGCGAGGTCCCACCATCCAATCTTCCATCGCCAGCCAACTGCTCCAAGCTTTCTCAGCCGCTGTGAGTTCCTCCATCTTGGCCTCGTCCAAAGGCTTCATGAATGGCAGTGTTTCGTCGTGACCTCCTCCACTGCCTGAGTCGTACTGCTTCTTGCATGTCCTCCAGCCGCCGTGTTTCGCCGCGAAGAGGTAGTTCCGTCTTTCGCACTCGACGTGGGGCATGACACCTTTGAGGTAATCGTCGCCGAAGAAGCCGTGCAAGATCGCTGGCTTGTCGAAGCCGGTAACGACAAGTCGTCGGATGTACGGTACGGGCGAGACGAAGTTCGTTGGTCGATCGTTATTCCCTCGTCCTTGGGGGCTCTGGTAGTTGCTACCTTGGCGTTGATAGGCATTGAAGTTAAAGTTGCCTCCTTGCGAGCTTTGTGGAGGAGTCGAAGCTGTGACGGGGTTCCCCAGCCATTGAAACGGCAAACGGATGTTGGTGAGAGCGCAGACGGCCTGTGTAGCTGGTTCATGCTGTGCGTGGTCGATGAAGTATCGCTGGCAGGATAGATATGCAGGGTGCCATTCCAAGATGTCGAAGTTGGCGTCGCCCATGGACGGAGGAGCGGGATAATCGTTCTCCATGGCGCTGTCTACAAACCTGCGTGAGCTGGACTGCTGCTGCGAACCGTTCAGGTGGACGCCTGAAGTCTCGAAGGGATTCGAGTTGTAGGGCGGCGGGATGCTGCCCATGGCGGCAGGCGATCAGAAGAGGTATATGCAGCTTGTGCAACGCAGGCGCTCGACTAGCAGGAGTCGTGTGGTCATTTGTGGAGTTAGAGTTGGAGGGTTCGGAGGAAGTGGAAGAGCTTCCTCTCTACCCTTATATATGCATCGAAATGGACGGCCTACCTGGTGCGCGCCTCTTGCCCTTGTTGGGCGGGTGGGATGAAGTCATGGTCGCAGACAGGCCTCGTTTGCGTGCCATGTGCGACGGACGGGTCTGCATTTCGAAGTGTGGTGGTATGGGGGTGAGGATAGAGGCCGTGGCGGGAAATCGCCCAAATTTAGTGAGAGCCACCCCTGCATTTGATGGCCCCGCCATCGTTCGAGATCGAACTCCACGATCGATACATTACATACCGCTCGCCTGTGGATACAAAGATCGAGGGCCTTCGCGCCCAGATCTGTATATGAAGAATGCAAGCGCCGTCGTATTGGCACAATGTGATGGTCATTTCACCTCCATCCATCATCAACCGGAGCTTCGCCGTCGAGGTCGACGTCATGTCTGCCCACAGTCAACGATGCTCGCATGCCTTGTCCAAGTCCTAAATCTCTCTTCATCTTCTTCCTCATCATCTCCATATCCATCATAACACAGCACATGTCAAGACTCCGCAAAATGGCCGAATCATACTCCCTCGCGACCCGCGTCAAGCTCAACAATGGGCTCACGATGCCGCAGATCCATCTGGGTGTATATCTGATGTCTGGAAACGAAGCTTCAAGAGCTGTTCAATATGCGTTGGAGGCTGGATACCGAGCGTTCGACTCAGCGCAGATGTATCATAATGAAAGAGATGTTGGGAATGCGATTTCGAGCTATTTGAAGGCGCATCCGGAGCTTAAGAGGGAGGATATACATTATACGTCGAAGCTGGCGAGTAATAGTGATTATGATAGGGCGAGGAAGAGCATCAAGAATAGTGTCAAGGAGTGTGGACTTGGATATATTGATCTTTTCTTGCTGCATAGTCCGTACGGTGGGAAGCAAGCGAGATTAGACAGTTGGAGAGCTGTCGAGGATGCTATTCAGGATGGTGAGGTTAGGATTGGTGGTGTTAGCAACTACGGTCCGAAACATGTAAGTATGAATACATTGCGGAAAGACGTTGGCTGATGAGCGTACAAGATCGATGAACTCCTCGCGAGCAACCCTCGCATCAAACCCGCCGTAAACCAAATCGAAGTCCACCCCTTCAACACTCGAACCAACATCACCGACCACTGCAAGAAAAACGACATCATAGTCGAAGCCTACGCACCTCTCGCTCGAGCCCTACGAATGAACAATCCGACAATCGTCGAACTCGCCAAGAAATACAGCTGCACCTCAGGACAACTCCTGGTACGATGGAGTCTCCAGCACGGATTCGTGCCTCTCCCAAAAAGCGTGCGCAAAGAACGTATCGTCGAAAACGCCAACATCGGGTTCTTCCAAATTGAGGACGAAGACATGAAGCGAATGGATGCGTTGGACGAGTATCTCGTGACGGGTGAGTGCTGGAAGCTTTTGGCTCGTCGACGTATTTGCTGACCTCTCGACTCGCAGATTGGGATCCCGTCGATGCCGATTAGATAGACTTTTCGTATGCGCGCACATCAATGAAATTAGTTCAGATGGACTCTCGCATCGCCTCGAACTCGACTTTCGAATACAGATTCCAGGTCTACCACTATCGATGCCGCTGAAACCATCAGCCTCTATCAAATTCCATTCAACCGTGGACACAACGGACCGCCGAGTCCTTTCCGTACGCTTCTCAAACGAAGTCGTTGTCATCCCACCTCGAGAAGATGTCAAAAAGGGAGAAAGTCAGACCACGATCACAGAGCTTGGGAGATCAGACGAAGAGCACGGCTGCCAACACAGGCGCTCTCCCCAGGATGATCGAAATCTCAAAGCCCCCGATGACATCGCCATCTCACTCGCCTTCCTATGCACCACACTCCTCTGCTTCATCATCGGCGTTGTTGGCTGGGCGATCCATAATCCTCAAGATCTGTGCAACAAAGCCCCTCGATTGGCGATATTCTTCAATCGGCTTCTGGCGGCGGTTTTGGCTGTCACGCCTGGCCTGCTCATTGGATTGCTTTTGGTCTGGTCTTCTACCCAACGCGAATTGGTGGAGCGTCATTTCGAAAGAGGGTGGACGAAGCTTTGACTGGGTTTGATGATGGGTCTTGTGGCGTTGGTGACGGTTGTTGTCATGCCTTGGGCTTGGAATGTGGGGGGTTGGAGTTATCAGGTCGATTGCTCAGAGTTGCGGTCTTGAGATTGGCGTCCTTTTATTTCAAGCAAAGGAAAGAGAGGTAGACTGCTTGATCATCAAGGGACCAGATCAAACGACGCCAACGTCAGTTTGACCGCGAGGATCGCCCAAGCATATACCAATCTATCGCTGTTGCATGGTCACCGTCTCTGCCCACTCCACGCAACGAGTTGTACAGTTCTACATCGCCGCCGCCGCGTTGGCACCGACTCGACTTCCAAAAACCAAGAGCTGCAAAAAAAAAAAAACAGCGGTCTTCCAGCTCGACCCCGACTTGTCTTTCGACTACAACACCAACGAATACAAAGATTATATAACACAGCTATGACAAAAGAAAAGGGTTTTCTAATTGCCTACTGCGTGCGAAAGACAGCCTGCAAGCCCAGAAAATTTCGAAAAGTGGACCAAAACAATATCCAAAAAAAAAAAATAACCCATCATGTCCGATGATCGTTTATATAGACTCCCCAACAGGGAATCGAACCCTGGTCTAAACAGACCGTTAGCAATGCTCAAACACTCACTCTGATTGCGAAGAATGCTCACCTCCCGCGCTTTGTCTCTGCGGGGATGACAAGCGGAAATCATAGCCACTGAGCTAGTGGTCAGCAGTGTTTTTGAAAGATTGTGAACTCGGCGCCACTAACCTAGACCATTGAGGAATTGAATGACTGGCAATCTGTGTTGCCAATGGTCGTGATTGGATGGTGCTGAGAAGCTACGTCTAATTTATGTAGCTTAAACTTGCGGATGGGGCCGGAAGTTATGGGAGAGGAGTCGGGAGCTATTGTGACTGGGCTAAGGGGAGCTATGTGTCATGCTTCTGACTGTTCGAATCTCTGTTTTGCTTCTGATGGAGAGGGTGGGTGAGGAAATGTGAGAATTGATTTTGTGGTGGCCTCAGGCTGCGGCAGCCTTGTTTGACGGCGAGGCGTTATTTTCTCCAGGACATGATCGATGCCGTTTGAACGATCAAGATGGACTGGACTCGAGTAGACGAACCCGATATCCAGCTCCTGGACGACCCTCAATAAGTCTATGCAAGTCGAGATAATAAGGCTGAAGGTTTTCCGACAACAAGCGACAACATGGCATGTTAAAAGACGACTATCGAAAACCACAACAGACCTGCCTTGGCAAACTTCATCGCGGCAATCGATCGTCGCACACTCGGATAGCTGCTGCAGCATTTGTGCTCATGCAGCTCGAACATGGGGCAGCTATTCTCCTCAGCTGAGTTCCAGGCACAACATCGTAGAGTCCACGAGCCCCAGCCCCGAATATATGCATGTACGCATATATAATTTCCCCAAACTATGCTATGCAAAACATGCTCAAACATCTTCACCAACATCTCCACAGATACCCAACGCCTCCCCCACCGCCAGACCTTCGCCGACTTGAAAGCAGCGGCGACTTCAGGTTGTCAAATATGTTTCGCCTTCTGGAACCAGTATTCGGACGCTCAGCAACAGCAATTGTGCCAGAGAGAAGCGGGCAAAGAGCCCTGTACTAGCTATTTTGTGGATGCTGTCAGCCGACATGAGCCGGAGAATGAGACCGACTACCAGCTGTGGTTGACGAATGATGATATTGAGAAGTCGTTGGCGTCGCATTCGTTGGTTGTTTTTACGATTTCGCCGGTTGAGGGGGAGGGAGACGGAGGTAAAGTGGTTGAGAAAATGGCTCCAGCGTCGACTGATCGAGAGTAGAACCCAGCAAGAAATTGGACATACCGCAATCGAACAATACTTCCTCCACCGAGACATGGAAATTAATCGATCAATGGCTCGACCGATGTAAAAAAACACACCACCCTCTCTGCCACTCCCCCTCGCAACAAACCTTCTACCCAACCCGCCTCCTCCTCCTCGACCACACCCATCAACGGGCCCGCCTCCTCGAAACCTCCCCAACAATCCCCACCGGCCAATACCTAACCCTCTCCTACCGCTGGCAAAACATCCCCTCCTTCCTCCTCACGCACAAAACCCACCAACCCCTCCTCCAAGGCTTCCCCATATCCTCTATGCCCCACGTCTTTCGAGATGCCACACTGGTCTGCGCCAAGCTAGGCGTCGACCTCCTCTGGATCGACGCCCTCTGCATCAGGCAAGACCCGAACGACCAGTCCGACTGGGCGAAGGAATCCCTTCAGATGGATAAAGTCTACTCGAACGCCTTCCTCAATATCTCCGCCGCGGCGGCGACAGATGGTGGGTGTAGTCTTTTCGCGGAGCGGAATCCAGACATCCTCCATGAACCAGTCGTCTCCGCTGCCTTTGACGAGGGAGAGGTCAAAGAGTACAGAGTCAAGAACAAGTATTTCTGGCAAAACGAAGTCGAGCTCTTGCCTCTCAACCTCCGGGGCTGGGTCTTCCAGGAACGACTCCTCGCGCAGCGAGTGCTTCGCTTCGGGAGGAATCAGGTTACCTGGGAGTGTGCCTGCACCACAGCGGCAGAAGGATTCCCAGACGGTGTGCCTCGCGGGTTGATCGACACCGCGCCGGGCATCTCGGCGAACTTCGTGAAACATCTACAGCGAGTCCGAGAGAACACAGGCGAAGGCGGGAGGAGAATGATCTATGAAGTCTGGGACAATGTGGTCGATAAGTACTCGCAGTGCGGCTTGACCAAGTCTGAGGATAAACTCGTCGCTTTGGCGGGTATTGCGAAAGTCTTCGCTTCGTTCGCCAACACGCAATACGTCGCGGGCATGTGGAAGGAGGATCTCGAGGGTGGCTTGCTCTGGAGCGTGCACTACTACCGACACGACGAAGAAAACCCTTCGAGGAGGAGCGAGGTCTACAGGGCTCCCAGTTGGTCCTGGGCATCCGTGGAGGGATGCGCTGGGTCGTTGAGATTTACGGCGAAGAGGGGGAGGTGGGAAGTCGTAGATGTTGTGCTTGACTTGGCTGGCGAGGATGAGATGAGTCCGGTGAAGGATGCCAGCTTACTGCTCAAGTGCGGTATGATCAAAGTGACAGTTAGTAAAGACCGCAAGAGGGAACCCTGGGCCGAAGAGCGCGATTTCTCTTTCACTGGACAGGACGGAGAATCCAAGAACGTGAAGCTCTGTGTTGACTGGGACGAATCTGGCGACAGCACGAATATGGGGGAGAAGGAGGCCTACATCGCATCAGCCGGGTTTTGGGAGCAAAAGGGCAGTCTTCGTGGGCATGGGCTATTGCTTGTGCATGTTGAGGGTGATGGTCATGTTGGCACCTACCGTCGTTGTGCGTACTGGCAGACGCCTCCTGGGGATATGAATCCGGAGCTGGTCGTCGTCAAGACGTTGCAGGAGGCTCTGAAACAAGCAGCTGAAGTCCCTTGTGTGCGGTGGGATGGAGATGCGAGGGTTATACGGATGATATAGAATCCTTGGACGCATCTCTCATCCTTGGTACGCGCCGTTCGTGTCCAGAATCAATCGAGATGCAGCTGATCACACGACTGGGCTGTCAGTCCATGGAGAAGCCCTGAAGCCAGCCCCATCGTTTCCGGACAGAGCAGCGCGAGAACGCAGTCGATTTGAACGGGGAGGATTCTGCGCGCATTTTGTTAGATGCTCAGCCAACCAAGAACCCTGATCGCAGAGAGCCAAAGTCTTATCGAGGTTCACTGGAGGAGTGAGTGGAAAGTCGTGACGAGACAAATTTTGAGCCTGAGGACGCAATTTCTGGATGAACTGTCTATAGCCGTGAACGCCATCAAAGTGCGCTTCTTGCATGACCGCGTCCATACCTCCATCGTAACTGATCCTCAATACACCTCGATGGCGCGATTCCTCCAAGCAGTATGGCAGTCCTCGCCGTTCCCATCGCTGTAGCCCATCATTTGTCGTCCGCGGAAGGTGGCAGATTTCGGGATGTGATGCGCTTAGTCGAAGAGACCGAAGCCCATGTCCTCGTCGGACTCCTCCTTCTCTGTAAAAACATACAATCAGTATCACATTCTCTTCACGCTGGATTATCCTCAACTCACCCTCTTCCTTGGCCTCCTCCTTTGGTGCCTCAGCAGCGGCGTCACCGCCAGCGGCAGCACCACCGGCAGCGGCAGCAGCAGCTGGAGCAGCGCCGCCACCGGAGCCGACGTTGGTCAAGATCTCCTTGACATCCTTGCCCTCGAGAGCCTTAGCGAAGAGGGAAGTCCAGATGGGCTCGATGTCGGCGACGTTGGCGGCGGTGATGAGGGACTGGATCTTGTCGGCCTGGAAGAGTATATCATGTCAGTCATTCCATATCCCTTGTCGCATTTGGGGGTTGAACGTACGGTGATCTCAACACCGTCGTCGGCGAGGATGAGGGCGCTGTACGCGCAGGCGAGCTCGGCGGTAGACATGGCGAATATGTAGTGTTGGTGAGTGTCTGGGTAGTGAGATGCCTAGCACGTTCTACTGTCGTGAAGGACTTCTTCTCGCGGGCGAATTGAGGTGAATTAATAGAAAGTCGTCGGTTGGCTATGATTTCCGCTTGTCTCCTGCCTTGTGGGAGAAGTCTTGGCAAAAGCTAAACCGTATGTGCGATAGCGCCGGGACTGCCCGCTGGCTGAACCTTCGTCATTGAGGGGCGAGGAAGGAATGAGGGGCTTTCGCAGCCGAGAGGGAAGCAACAGAATGGGCCAGGCGCGCGTGACTTTCGTTTTGATGGCGGCATTAATCAGACACCCATCAATTCCCTCACCCTCCACCACCACCTCACTCTCGATCGGCATCACCACCAAATCAGCCACGGCAATCAATCCCCAAAAACGATACCTCCAAGATGACCGACTCGCCGGCGGTGCGTGTGCCGCTGGATCCCGAGGAACAACCCATCCTCGACAGAGTCCTTATCATCCGCGATCACTTGTCGCTGCTCAAAGGAGACCGGAGCACATATGTCAAGTCTGCAGACGTCGTCAAATACCACAACCAACTTGTGGAGCAGGTCGAGCAGCTGAACCGGATCCGAGCAAACAAGCGCGATGAGCAGAACCGAGTCGATACCGTCCTCGACGACTGCTTCCGCCTCATCTCCCTCTTCTTCTTGACCATCGGCCGGAATCGCGAAGCGCCAGCGATATACGCTTGCGTGTCTACGGTGAAGCGATTGCTGGATCATCTGGTTGAAGCCGGGTTCTACCTTCCCGCCGACGTGAAGAGCATCGAAGAGCACCTTGACAAATGGGAACAGACGATCATCAGAGGGAAGGATCAGCATTCTGAACATCTGCTGACGCTGCTGAAGGCGAGGATTGACCTATGCCGAGCGACTTTGAGGGAGTTGAAGTCACCTTTGGCCAAACTCGAGGGCAACATGATGAAGACGTATGAGAAGCTGGTGAGCATATTACGAAGCTTGTCGGCTTCTAATTGCAGGAGCAAGGTGAGGACATGTACAGATATGCGGTTTGGGTGAAGTGCTGACGATCCGCAGTTCCCGGCGCAAGAGGTCAAGGAGTTCGAGAAGCAGCTGTTGGAAATCCAAGCCGAGCTGCATGAAAGCCCAGACCCACATGAAGGCAAGACAGCAGAGGAGGTCTATGTCGAACGAATGGCTATGGTGCAGATCTGTGATGGCTGCACACACAGTCCAGACACTGTCGTGAAGTCGCTGTTGGCGAGATGCATACTTTGGGTGGAGATCATTCAACAGAAGTATGCCACCTTCGAACATTTGACCTCGCCTTTGCTAACAAATCACAGACAAGGCAAAATCGACCCGCGCTTCCAGGAACCCTTCGACAAACTCATCAAAGTGAAGCGAGCCCTCGAACATATGAATCTCACGCAGGCTTGGTCTCTCCGCGAAACCGATCTTTACGACTACCAACGCTCTCTTGATCGTGTAGACGAGTCTAGAGTGGACGGGAACTTTGTCGACGCCGAAGGCAAGCCCGCAGATCTCCATGCGCAACGAACCTTGCTCTACCTTCTGCGAAAGTCGTACGCCTTCATCTACCAGTACATAATCTCCTCGGAGCCCGTTTCGGAAGCCTTGATGCCCATCTACAATCAACTCCTCACCCTCAAGCGATGCTTGATTGAAGTCAAGAAGTCTGGCGGTGTTGACTCTCCCCGCGAACTCTATCCATACAGCATGAAGCTGAACTCCATCGACAACATGAAGAAAGACGGCAAGTTCATGGTTGGTAACGACATCCCTGAAGGCCAAAGCAGCGTCAGCGCGTTGCTGGCTGAATGCTTCGATCTTGCATACGAGCTGAGGAACGACGCCGATGATCGAAACGAGGAGAACGGGGCTGGAAATGGTCTCGAGCAGCCTCGAGCACAGGAGCTGAATCCCGTCCGCGCGGAGTAGAATTCCATGCCGTCGCTGAGATCGCCTGTGTCCAGGAAGGAGAAAGACGGAAAGAAGACGAAGAAGTGAGTCCATCGTGGGCTTGGGATTTGATTTGCTTGGGGTGCATGGCGCTGGGGCGTTTTATCACACAGGGAGGCTTTTTTGATACTACGACAGCACTTCGGGATAGCTGTGAGTCTTGAGAAAGAGACCAACGACGTTCATTCACGATTACGATAAGGCGACGAGCAGATGAGGGGTGTACGCTACAAGCATGATCAGGGCCGGGGGGTGAGCAATGCATGTACATACCCGTCCAATGCCCAACAGGATGGGTGTGTATTAGCGAAAGGTGCTACCGCGTGTTGTTTGGTTTCACGGCAAGGCAAAAGCTAGGGAAAGATAGAGGAAACGGAGTCTTGTTGTTCAAAATCACTATCCAACCCCCTCGCGATTCATTCCCTCCGCTATATTCTATTACATCAACCCGCCATACTCCTTCCCCTCCTCCTCCAATTTCTTGTCCTCGGCCATGTAATCTTTGAACTTGTCCATTTCGGATTCGTGCGGTTTCTTGTGCTCGGCGGATGTGTTGCTGGTGGTGCCAGCAGAGGAGGAGGTGGTGGGAGGGTCGTCTTTCTTTTTGTTGTGGTGGAAGACGTTTTCGACTTTGCCTAGGAGGCCTTCTTTCTTCTCTGTTGTATTGCATCAAGGGTTAGTTGGGTGGTTGTAATGGAAAGAGGAGGAGGGAGTGGTGGGCTTGCCTTCTGGCATGTTGATGTCGAGGTCGAGGTAGGTTGGATATGTTATTGTTTAGTCTAAAGATGACAATGCCTCCGACTTGGGTTACACGCGTTGATATATGCTCTCGCTACCTTCCCAGCTAATCTCACTCTTGATCGACAGTCAGACGTCAGCTTGCATCCTGCTATTCCATGACATGATGAGGTGAAGCCATTCAGCAGAGGTTCAGAGCTCTAACTATTCGGTCCTTTGGTGAGCCAAGTGGGGCTAAGATCGAACTGTGGACGATGAGAGGTTCGGAGAAGTATGGGGTTGTTGTTTTCTGGGGTTTGGGTTGGATTCTTGTCGATGGAGCTGGAGCTCTTCGAATGTGTAGTCGGGTCCGAGGTTAGATGTGGTTAGTGGAAGGGCCTGATGAACTTTGATGAGTTGTATAGAGGTCTTCATGTTCGTGGCGAGAACGAGGAGAAAAGTGGGATATTTGCCAGTACGTACTCGATCTTGTGGCTTTGTCGATCGATAGATTCGCTCTATGGTAGACTTGCGTGCCGCTCGATGACGATGGCTGGGGTCACAAGTCGACAAGTATAGTCTGGTATAAGAGCTTGAGCTGGATGGCTGCGAGCTTCGAGCAAACTCATCCGTTGGAACATATCGATACCCACATCAACAATCATACCGCCATCAAGGAAGGACTCCTGAACATGCCTGAGGGTAAGTGAAGCCACTCGTGCGATTCTTGAAATCTGTGGTCAGAGTTCTGATGATCAATTAGAAGCCAAGAAAGAACAAGAATCGCTCAAGGACAAGATCCTGCATCCTGGAAAGCACGAAGAAGGGAAAGCGTCTTCCACGGGCGAGAAGAAAGGCGAGAGTAAGCTGGGGAAGTTTGAGGAGTTTGTCAAAGAGGACGCGAAGAAGGAGGCGAATGACGATATCTGGGGCTCTGAGATTAAGTGAGGAGAATGCCGTGGATATTGGACTGTCGCTAAAGTGCAATTCGAGTATTTCAGGAGATGCCATATTGTCTCAATGGCGGTGTTTTTCTCTCCTCTCTTCACGGTCAATGAGGTGAAGTCAGACCACAACGCCAAAGCCCAAATCCACCGTGGCTCTCGCTCTGGTAGGGATTGGAAGAGTAAACTTCCTCCTCGTCCACGAGCATCAACAACTCCATCATCTTCTTTACAGAGACTTGACACAGCAGATGGCAAGACGACAGACGGCGAGCTGCGAGATAACGACATCGCAAAAACCGGTAGAGTTTGCGGGGCTCCATCACGCAAAGACGGGAGACGTGATCATGTCAGCCCAAAAGTCGTGTCGTTGTTCCTTCAAATCAAAAAACACCATTGTATCGTCAACCCTTGTTGGCCGACCAGATGCCACCCGTGAGGACGACAGGCGGCCGGGCTTCCAAAGCCTGCGAAGGATGTAGACGAGGCAAGACACGATGCTATCCCTCCTCCTCGGGAGCTTGTCTGCGTTGCAACACTCTCCGCTTGCACTGCTCGCTCCAAGATGAATCTCCAGATGCAACTCAGCCTGAGCAACCAGCGGTACCTCTGGCTCACACCCTGCATGATTGCAGTCTCATGGACGAGAGGTAGGATCGAACTCCTCCAGCAAGGGCGAACTGTTGATGGGCATCTTCTGATGGGAGCAGGGTTGCCTCTCTGGAACGGACGGTTCTCAGATTGAGCGAGGCTATCGGTCTTGATGTCGAACAGCAGCCAATACTTCAATCTGATGTCTCTGTGCTCCATCAAGTGGACAAAGCCAATACCGAGCAAGAAGCGCCACTGCTGGTGATCCGCGATGCGGCCTCGGAAAACCACACAAGTCTCGATTCACGGCTAAGCACAGCGAGCATCGTAGAAAAAGGTCTCATATCCGCGGACGAGGCGAAGCAGTTGCTAGTCATCTTTCAAACCCATTACCGACGCTGGATCACCCTGCGAGAGTCTGACGAAAGTACTTCTAACCTGCACATGAGAAGCTCTCCCCTTCTGCTATGCGCCTGCTGCCTCATCGCCGTCAGACACTGGTCCTCCGAGCGCGCTCGACACATCGTAGATGCTCTTTTCGCCGAAGCCAAATCTCTAGTGAGCCAACAGCTGCTACAGTCGCCCCAGCCATTAGCATTCTTCCAAGCCATCCTCGTGCTTTCACTCTGGTCAACAACGATCGGACAGACTCCACTCTCAATCGATGCATGGCTGGTCACTGGTTTTGCTATTCAACACGCCTCCGCGTCTGATGTCTTCCGAGAATCATCACAGTATAGCTCCTCACTCGATTCGGAGTTCGGAAGTACCGTCGGCAAGTTGCTTCTATGGAATCGGCTTTGCCTGGCTCATTTGCATGCGTGTATCAGCATGAGACGGAACTCTATGGTTAGCAAAGCCGATGTTGAGGGGATACGCAAGAGACTGCCACCCGGTGAGCTCTCCAACTTTGAGATGAGAATGGTCGCAGAGACCAACCTATACTGGACGTTATACGACAACGCAGTCGCCTCTTCGGTCAATCTTCCTCAAGCCCAAGCAGCGCTACAATCCTGGAAGCATGTGTGGGCGTTTCTCTTTGACCAGCCCCGTTCGCAGTTCCTGCAGATGGGCTACCATTTTGCACAGCTGCTAGTTTTTGAGCAGAGCCTCAACAACAAATCTGCGGCTGTCCGTGAGTCCTTACTCTCTGAGATGGTAAGATTATGCTCTGGCATACTTCAACTGGCAATGGAGACCTCCGACGATCGTACCAAACATCTGACAGATCACATCTACCACATGATCACTTTTGCCGCAGTCACCCTCGCTCGATTGCTGTGCAAATATGAATCACAGCTCCAAGTCAGACTCAACATTCCCGACTGCGACTCGCTGATCTTGAGCACCAGTACGTGGCTTCGGTCCCTTGGCTCGTCTTTACACGTTGGGCATACTATGGGAGATGTGATCGATGCCGCACATCGCAAGCTGAGGCCAAACGTCCATGTCGAGCTTCGAAGGACAAGCGAGCCACAGCAGCCTACACCAGACCAAGCCATGTTTCCCGATCTGATCGGGATGGGTATGGACACTTTGGACATTGACTGGGATGCAATGCTACCTGACTGGCAATCTCTGGCTTCAGACGAGCTCGCGCATACCGCCATGCCACCTGGCTGAAAGAGAAACCCCGAAAGCAGGTGGACTGATCTACGATTGATTGGAAAGATCTGCTTCGCTACATCGTCTATCGCTAGGAACTCATTCCCCGGTATATCGCCTCTCCAGCCATCGGAACAACGGAAAGGTGATCGCTGAGAATGCAAAAGTGAGCTCATGCCCAATGTTGGCTCCCTTCTTCCCAATCAACTGAGCAGTAGGGGCATGGTACCACGTCACATTCATTCCCATGGCAGCTCCGAGGAAGCCAAATGCGAACGCTCCAATGGCGCCCCATCCAAATGGCAGAAGATCTGGCTTGTCCCACGCATCAAAATCGTACGCACTGCAGCGGGCCCTGCGGAAGATGATGTGCTCTTCGGCAACGACGACCAAGTGGATCACTGTCCAATAGCCGACTATGCTCAGGACAGTCTGCAGCGAGCTTTCGAAGGAGAGAGATGCCAGGCAGCCGACGATTGTTGCGACGACGAAGCCGAACGTTACGAATACGATTCGTGGGACTTTGATCGCCCATGGTCCAAAGTTCTGAGCGTGAAGGGCAAAGGAGTAGTTGTTTGGGATGTTGTTCTGGGATGAATCAGCATTCGATTTTTCTTCTTTGGCGCTTTGAGAAGTCTTACCGGTATGGCACTCAACGCAGCGAGTACCATCAAGAACTTGCCAAATCCTCCTGCTGGCTCCAGAGCTTTCATCAGAGGGCCTCCGACACCATATTCGGCGTATGCATGCTTCCACGTTGGGTCGGTTTGAGCGCCGGTGTAGAGTGCTGAGCCAAGGAGCTGCACCAGGATGGTAGGGATGGTGATGCCAATGTACGTGGCCAAGAAGATCTTGTATCGTGGCGTGCTGAGCGGCATGCGCACGTTGTAGTCGGCTGCACAGTTAATCCATGACACGGCGAAGGAGAAGATGACGGCGATGAAGGACAGAGCTGCAGCGGCACCATTTGCTCCAGTAGGCGACTTGACAGCATCGCCATGGAAATGCTTTGCTCCAGTGCCTGCGGCAACACACCATACAACCAGAGGCGAGATCCAGATAAAGGTATCGACTTTGTGGATCCACTTGATGCCGAGCACACAAAGAACCCAGACCGAGACCGTGATGATGATCACGCCCACCCAAGACGGCAACGAGCCACCGAACAAAGCTGCCAAACACGAAGCCCCCGAGATGGAATTCACGGCATTCCAACCTGTTGTCGAGATGAGGGAGAAGATCACGACGAGGCAGTTACCCCAGTACCCGAATGAATAGCGGGAGAAGGTCGTCATTCTCAGTCCCGTCAAGCCAAATGTCGCTGTCCATGCGGGTAGCATGCAGGAGAAGATGTTGACGAGTAGGATGATTGCGAAGGAGTCCCAGAAGCTGAGGCCCATCGAGGGGCCGACCATGCCTGTCGATAGCGTGGCTACTGCCATGTTGGCGGAGAGCCTGATACATGGTTAGCGGTCAAGATGGAGACTATCGAGTATCGCCGCGGATGAGATTGCTTACCAGAAAGTACAGGCATTCCAAACATGCGTCGTGTTCTGCTTGCGCTCTTCTTCCGTCACTCTCTGGATCCCACCAACCTCGATCGAAAGCATCCGAGCCCATTGCCTCCACTTGGGCTCTTGCTTGAGCTCTCCAACATCCATACGCTCTTCTCTGGACGAAGTGTCCGACGCAACATAGGCTTCTGGTTTCATGTTCGTCATCTTCAATTCAGCTCGCCCTGCTTGTCGATCACTTCCACTACTCTCCCCATCGCCCTTTATGATTTCTCCCTCGCCATGTGGCCCATGTCGACATGTCGACGAGATATTGCGTGTTTGAAGGGTTTGTATCGACCCGTTGGCAAACCGATGGTGTGGCTCACTCGATGTTCGAAGGATTGGCGAGCTTATGCAGGTCTTGATTGGATGTGAGAGGGAGAGAGGTCGTGGGTGCTGCGAATCTGTGCCGTCGGCTTGCCGCGGGGAGATTTGGGGCACGCTTTCGTTCTCGCAGCTCGCCGGGGAGGTGTGGCGGCACAGGTGGCGATGTGGGAAATATGTGGTCTGGACAGTGTGGTGGATGGAGCTATCCATCGGTATGCCGAGGACTGTTTTGATTCGTCTTCTCTAATATCTTGAAAAGGCTGAGAGTTGTCTTTGATAAAGTACAAGGCTTTGGGAATCGACAACAAGTTCACTGATCATCGAATCGACAACATCAACTTTCAACCATGGAGCAAAGCACACTGCACAGACGAGGAGTTGGCCTTCGAGGCGTAGACCACGACAAAGTCTCCCCTGGATTCATGCTCTACGCCCACCTCACCAGCCCAGGCATCGTCAAAATGGTCGACAACAACGGTAAAGAAGTTCACCGTTGGAAAATGTCCTCACGACCAGGCCGACACGCCAGAGTTCTCCCAAACAGCAACCTCGCCTACAATGGCGTCCACCCCGACGGCCCCAAACTCTTCCCTCTCTGGCAAAAGTACAGAGGCGGCCTCATGCTCCAAGTCGACCACTCAGGCAAAGAGGTCATGCGCTGGGAAGACCCCCTAGCGCACCACGACCAAAACCACCTCGACGATGGAACCCTCCTCTACACCACCCTCCAACCTCTTACACCGACTCAAGCCGCCAGCGTCCCAGGCGGCATCCCCGGCTCCGAAGCCCCCGATGGCAAAATCTATTCCGACTGCATCAAGCACGTCGACCCTCACACAGGCGAAACCCTCTGGTACTGGTCCCTCATCGACAACCTCAACCCGGCTGACTTCCCCCTCCAACCACACTACACCCGCGACCACTACCCGCTCATCAACTCCGTGTCCTTCCTACGCGACGGCAACGTCCTCGCCTCCCTCCGCAGCGTCTCCGCCGTAATCATTATCTCCAAGGCAACCGGGAAGGTTCTCTGGCACTTGGACTCCACCGTCCTCGCGCAGCAACACCACGCGACGGAGCTGGACGACGGCTCGATCCTCATTTTCGACAATGGCGTCTACAGACACCACGAATCGATGCCTTACTCCCGCGTCATCCAGGTCGACCGCTCCACGAAGCAGATCGTATGGCAGTACAAAGACCCGCACCCCATGACCTTCTTCACGCCCTTCATGGGCGCCGCGCAGCGTCTCCGCAACGGAAACACGCTCATCACCGAAGCGGGCTTCGGGCGGATCTTCGAAGTCACACGGGAAGGGCAGATGTGTTGGGAATACATCGTGCCGGAGTTCGCGACGTACGAGGGGCTGGAAGCGCCGGAGCTGGAGGGGGTGTTTGATTATCCTGGTAATGCAGTTTTTAGGGCGTATAAGTATTCGCCGGAGGAGGTGCCGTGGTTGGTGGAGAAATTGAGGTTGAGGGAGATTGAAGGGAACAGGACGGATTCGCCGCTTTTGGCTTGAGGTGCTTTTCATGTCCTTTTTAGCTAGCTAGGTCCTATGATTGATTGACAGACAATCTAAAGCGCTTCCGCGATAGCTTTCCCAACAGCCCTCGCACTCGCCGGATTCTCGCCAGTGATGAACTTCCCATCCACGACAAGCTTCTCCCCGTACAACTCCTTCGCGGCGGTAAACTTCGCGCCGTGCTCCTTCAGGGACATCTCCAGCTTGAAAGGCATGTACGGCGCCGTGCCGAAGTTGACCTCCTCCTCGTCCGAGAACGCTGTTAAATTCTTGCCGTCAACGAGGTATGATCCATCGCTGAGTTTGACGTTGACGAAGGCCGCGGGGCCGTGGCAGACTGCGGAGACGATTTTGTTGCTTTCGTAGAAGGACTTGATCAGGGCGATGGAAGTGGTGGAGGTGGCGAGGTCGAACATTGCTGGGAGGCGTTGGTGGTCAGTCTTGTTCTTGGGTGAGAAAGGGAGGGGAGAAGTGAAACCCACGACCGTGTCCGCCGACGTAGAAGATCGCGGCGAATTCATCCTCCTTGCCGACCCAGTCTTCCAGCTTCGATGTGTTCTTATACAGATGAGACAGCTCGTTGAGCAGGCGGATCGAAGCTGGGTCTTCTTCGTAGGGCTCGACGGAGTTGGGGTCGAGAGGGGCTTCGCCTCCCAGCGGTGAAGCCACGATGATTTCGGCCTGCGAATGTGGACAATGAGTTTCGCTGCATGATGAAAAGGTATGTCTGGGACGTACTTTGCCTTCCAGTTCAGCCACTGGGTGCGAGAGCTCGGGGAGGAACCAGCCTGTTTTCTTGCCGGAGTTGCCAAGGGCGGAGTGGGAGGTGAGGACGAAGAGGATCTTGGGGGCCATTGTGTTTCGGTGTTATGTTGCTGAGATTGTGGGAAGGGAATGTTCTACTTTGTGATTTCTTTCCAGATTTGAATCTTCCGTCTCTCTTATGTACCATCTCCTCGTGCCATTCTCGAGCACATACGTAGCTTTCGCTGAAGCTGAACCGCAGGGGTAGCTGGCACTGGTGCATCGCATATGGCTTGTGAAATCAGCACTAAGCTGCTTCGAGCTTTCATTTTCCTCGTGAATGAACGCTTTGAACTTGACAGAATGTCGTGGACCCTGATTGAAAAGCATAGTGCATTTCCTACCTCCACTATGCGGCGCAGCAGACCTCTGGAAGGACGAGGGGGATAGGTGGACAGGGGTATTGAGTGATAATTCTAGGGCTTGCTGTGGATAGCGGTACAGTACCGATAAAGTGGATATTCTGTCTGGAGCCCTGCGTTATGAGAGTGTCGTTTATTTCCTGATTCGGTCATTGCAGTCCGATATTCGTGCTCTCCCATGCCTCGCGTTGGAAATTTGTTGACCGGTCAAAGCAGGCATACTCACCAGCGGAGCTATCTCTTCGCTTGCGAGTGCTGAAGATTAGGGCCGGGAGAACTCTTTCCGGTGGGCGTGGAAGCACTTCCGAACAAGTGGGTGTTGCTCTAGGGCAACTTGTTGAACGTACAGTCGCCGTGGCGAGAGAAAGAATCTTCTTGGGGATTATCAATTGAGAGTGCGTCTCTGTCATCGAAAGGGCGTGTTCTGAGACATTTGTTTTGTTTGGGTCTCAGCATCTTGGATACAATATCTTTTCCCCCTCAAGGATACCGACCAAGCGCCATCACCTGTCCAAACGGTTGCTCCTGTCACGCAGAGTAAGGTGCGTTTGAAGAGCATCTCTGTTATGTCAGTGACCAATACTGCGCGATCTTGCACGCAGATAACAGCATCAGTATGCTGGCAATTCATCCATGAGGAAGATCTTGACAGCGTGGTCTGGCCTACGCGGGAATGCGCTGGTATTGAAGCCTGCAGTCTTTGTGGCAGTCTGCGGAAGAGGCGGAGTGGCAAGAGCGAGGCCCTGTCTTCGATTCGATGGTACCTGGGAACCCTTGGCACTGTCGTGATCGGATGCTAACACTCGAATGCAACAAAGCGTCATCATCATCATGGGAATGTGAGTGTTGGTGGTGATGTTGGATGTTGGACTCTCCCGGCGCCGAAACTCTGTAAAAGGCGTTGCCAAGAGGCACGTGACTTCGCTTTCTCTTCCGTCGTTACCTCGTATTGGTTTCAGAACCTGCTCGCGTTTCAGACAACAATGCTTTTACATGCATCACCTCGTCAAACACCACGGAATGGCTTGGTCCGCGGCTGGGATTGTTGCCACATGACGGGAAGGCTGCGACGGTGACACGCACGTTATGCGCGGCAAAGCGAGAACACGATCATGGATGAGCCATGTGAACACCATGCTGGAGTTCGTTGACAGACGGCCCGTATTGTGCGTTGTGCGGCAGTGGACGGCTGAGCGATGGCGTTCCAAGACGAGCTTTTCGACAGTTGTTCCACTGGCATCCGAAGAGAGGAGGAGAACGAGCTATGTCAATGTCTGTGCGAGGACTTCTGGTCGCCATTGACACGACCCGTCTCTTGAACCGACATCCTCCTCTATCCAGCGCAAGTACTAACAACGGTCAGGTGCAGATTGGAGGGCGTCGATCAAGACGACTCCCCTGTCACCCCAAAGGCTATCTTGGACTTTGCTTATCCCTTGTGCCTGGTCTCCCTCAACCAAGCCTTTGCGAGCCCATGCGAGGCGGATAGGCGTAGCTGATGGACGCGAAGAATGGCGAATCCGAAGCAACCGGCCATCAAGGAATGGCTCTCATTATTGCCTACGTCGACCTCGTCGTTGACGAAACGATCTATGTATAGTAGAAGCATGTGACTGCTAAGTGCGTAGAAGGGAGCTGTTCTTTTGTTCCTGGCACTGGCGACGATAAGCCCTCGACGGACTCTCTCTCGACATTCATTCCAGAGCATGAAGATGTTACTACTCTCCTACGAGGCATTTGGCGTGCCGCCGACTGGATTCGATCTTGGCAGATCATTCGTTCGATCCGACATTGTCTCGCCATCCGTTCTGGCCGGTATTCGAATACTGATTTCCATCTACATCTTCACCACCATTGTGGTCGCCTACGCATGGCAAGCCGGCCATCATGCAAGACAGTCCCTCGGCGATGTCAACATCGATCCGTATATCATCGTCACTGGGAGGGAGATGATTGGCAAGACGTTTAGCTACTTCACCTTTCTGACATGGTGGTCGATGGGCTTCTACTTTGCCATTGCTGGATTTCACACGATCTATCATGCGAGGCGAAGACAGCCGTATCTACACAGATGGCCAAAGTATCTGCAGCTGCTTCACAGCTTGTTCTACTCGACGGTCATTTCGTTTCCTTTCCTGGTAAGTCAACCAACACCCCACCGTACATGTACAGCCGAGCCTGATATCAACCGCATAGGTCACAATCGCATACTGGGGATCGCTCTGGGGCCGCGTATGGATCAAGCAACGATACGTCGAATGGCTGAACTTATCCGTCCACGCCCTCAACTCAGTCTTCGCGCTCGAAGAAATCATGTTACCTGCCACGAGCCCTCCACCTCCAACGCACCTCTCCGTGGTCCTCCTTATCCTGTCAGTGTACCTGGGCCTAGCCTACCTCACCAAAGCCACGCAAGGCTGGTACGTCTACGAATGGATGAACCCGGCCCACGGCAATGCCAGCATCGTCCTGCACGTCTTCATCTACGCCGCCGTCATGATAGCCATATTCGTCGCAGTCTGGGGAGGGATCTGGCTGCGCAAGAGGCTCACCAATCGACCGAGAAAGCTTCCCTCCACTCCGCAGCGAATCGCGAGTGATACGAGCCAAGAGACAGCAGTCAAGAAAGGCCAGGAACTGATTTTGACCAAGTCGTGGCGGATACAGTGGAGTTTCGAGGTGCAGCACCATATCAGGCCCAAGAACGGCGACATGATATGACCTCAAGGGGTGAGTGATGTAGCCGTCTGCGCAAGCTATCCCTTGATTTTGGCATCCTTCGAGTTGGTCATACAGGATTCCGGTAAGGGCCGGAACATACGCGGCATTGATATATAAGATGGACAGCGTCTCATAATGTGAACAGTGCAGTTTTGTCGTTCTGGTTTACTTGTCCTTTGCAAGATGTACGTCGGAGGTATCATGTACCAGTTTTGGTCAGCCGCAACTGGTGACATTCCTTCAAACGAGAATTTATCAATAGACGCCTGAGAGTGTTTCCACATCCGGTTCCATCACAACTACTACCCTTGACTAGTCTATTGAGCCGTCGAGCATTGCGGTGCTAGACGTCGTCGTCGATGGCGGAATGCCGCTTTAGGAAACTCGTCCGCCATTCGATTCCCGACAGCACATCGAGTATAAAGACGACGCCATCACGGATGATGCAGGCGAGGGCGACGGCCACGAGACACCACAGAAAAGTCGCCTCCACGTCGCCCGATGGCACATCCGTTCGATTCGGGAATTCGTTGGAGCCGACCTTGGTATTCGGAGCCAAGCACCCGCCGCGAATTGCTTGAAGTTTCGATCACAAGCCAGAAGCATTCATAAGCAGACGAAGCACAAGTGGTATCCACATCTTCTGAGTCCCGGTCGCCGCAGCCGGTGTAAGCAAGCAAGCAGCAATCTCATCGAACCAAGGAGGAAGGCGGCACGTCCGCCAAACGCCTCGAGACGGTTAGCAAGCAGCAACAGAACATCCCAGCAGAAACCGTCGACAGCCTCGTTTTCCCGACCACAAAGCCGAATCGACGACCCAAGCGCCTGTTGTTGATACGTCAGCTCACAGGCACAGGCGGATGTTTGTTGGTGCAGGAAAGAAGGCCGTCGCCACTCGGATTTTGGCCACTGCTGTTCGTGCCCAACACGTGTTGTAAGCATGGACGATAGGGCTCGGAACGGCTCCCGGGCTTTGTCGCGCCCGAAAAGTGAATGGAATAAAAAAGGCGAAAAGCTTACTTGAACTCAAGCCATGACGTTGATGCTTCGTCCAATCTCGCAGCCTCAACGCTCGATGAACGTCGTGCGTCTTCGGAATCCTTCACGCAATCGTCGAATCGCCAAAAGACCAGCACTCGCCTTGCGGCTCTGCGGGAGAGCAGAGACATGTGAGCATCGCCGACGATCGCCAATCGAGCACAAAACTTGTGGATCCAGAGCACCACGCTCCGTTCGCCAAGCCTCGAGCAGAAGGTTTTTCGACGGCCCATGACGTTGTGCTATGGAGCCTTTCTTCGCGCGCTATGCCTCTGCAAGGGAAAGTCTACCACTCGGTACTGCCGGCATGGGCGAAACAGTGGTCTCGTGAATGGGACAACGACGCAAAAGGCACGAATGACGACGTTGCGCTGGGTGGGTACTGTATGGGTGGTTCCACACTTTCCACTTCCTCAGCCCTTGCAGTGCTTGGGGACTCCGGGCGTTGCTTTCAAAAAGAATTGCGGTGCCCACTGTCCTCCGCGTGGAGAGCGCGGTTTGGTTCCACATCTTTTCTCTGTCTTCTTATCTTGCTCTCCCTCTCCTTCCCTTGTTTCTCGGGGTGTGCATGCTCGCGCATCTCTAGATTCTCGTGATCATGAACAAGATGAATTTGTTCAGCAGGAAGAAGAAGACAGATGGTGACCTGACTCCGCGTCAGGATGGAGGTCCATCTCCGCATGGAGATGGCGTGGAGAAACCCCTTGGGGCACTGGACGGGGATGTCGAGAAGAAAGGCGAGGTCGACCGATCGAAGGTCAGGCTGTTCAGAGGGTATACTTTCGCAATGGCCGCGATTGTGTCGATTGGTGGATTCATCTTTGGATACGGTAGGCCGCAACATAGAGTGACAGGCCGAGAATAGCATTTGCTGACTTCCATCAGACACTGGTCAGATTTCTGGATTCCTCGAAATGAAGGACTTCCTGTACCGCTTCCACAACAGAGGAGACTCGTATGACACCTGGGCTTTCACGGACGCCATCTCTGGAACCATCGTCGGTCTGCTCTCCATTGGAACCATGTTCGGCGCTCTGCTCTCAGCCCCGATCGCAGACAAATTCGGACGAAAGATCTGTATCATTTTCTGGAACATCATGTTCTGCGTCGGAGTTATCATCCAGATCACTGCAACCTTCAAATGGTATCAAGTCGCGCTTGGCCGATGGGTTGCAGGTCTTGGTGTTGGAGGTCTCTCCGTTTTGACGCCAATGTACCAGTCTGGTGAGTAGACACTCATTCCACAGCCCGGCGATCGATCTCTGACATCTTTGTAGAAACCGCCCCTCGCCAAATCCGTGGCTCCATGGTCGGCACCTACCAACTCTTCATCACCTTGGGCATCTTCGTCGCATACTGCATCAACTTCGGCACCGAAAAGAACGAAAACGCCTCCGCCTGGCGAATCCCCATGGGCATCGGCTTCATCCCTCCGGTCCTTATGATCGTTGGTATTGTCTTCCTTCCCGAATCCCCTCGCTGGGACTACCGCCACAACAAGATCGAGCGAGCCCGCACGACGATTGCCCGTTCTTATGGTGTGCCGATCAATCACTGGGAGGTCGACCGTGAGATGCGCGAGATCAAGGAGAAGTACGATGCTGAGTTCGCTGGTGGTGGTAAGCCTAAATGGTATGAGATCTTCACTGGACCTCGTATGGCGTATCGCACGCTCCTTGGTGTTGTGATGCAAGCCCTCCAACAGCTTACTGGCGCGAACTTCTTCTTCTGTACGTATATTCGCAAAACCCACCCACGCGGCATTTACTAATCTGCGCTTCTAGACTACGGCACGACCATCTTCCAATCCGTCGGCTTGAAGAACAGCTTCGTCACCTCCATGATCCTCGGCGGTGTCAACTTCGGTATGACCTTCCCCGGCCTTCTCGTTGTCGAGAAAGCCGGTCGACGAGGCGCCCTCATGATTGGAGCTGCATGGATGTTCATGTGCTTCATGGTCTTCAGCTCCGTGGGTCACTTCCTTCTCAATGAGAACAAGCAGACCGAAACCGCAGGAACAGTCATGATTGTCTTCGCCTGCCTATTCATCGCTGGGTAAGCCAACGAAAAACTTGTCAAACATACGATGCGAATGCTGACTCCTCCTAGCTACGCGATGACGTGGGGCCCAGTAATCTGGGTTGTAGTAGGTGAATTGTACCCAACTCGGTACCGCACCATGTGCATGGGCATCGCCTCCTCCTCCAACTGGACCTGGAACTTCCTCATCTCCTTCTTCTCGCCCTTCATCACCTCCGCCATCGACTTCCAGTACGGCTACATCTTCGCCGCCTGCTCCTTCATCGCCATCCCCATCGTCTACTTCTTCCTCGAGGAACACCAGGGCCGTACGCTTGAGGAGATCGATACCATGTACATCACGCATGTGCCCCCGTGGAAGAGCTCCAAGTGGGAGCCGCCCGAGGGCGAGGATCTTGTTACGGCGGATGCGTTGTTTTTGTCGCCGGGCGCGAGGCAGATTCGGAAGGCGGATGCCGCGGGGATGGAGGGTGAGCAGAGGGTGGAGGATGTGCCGCCACCTACGGATCGACATGGCGTGCATGATGTTTCTGGCACGGAGATTCCTGAGAGTTCCGGGGTGAGGGGCGCGAGTGTTTCTGGATAGAGAGGGAAGAATGAGGTAGTTGTAATGAGATGTTGGTTTGATGGTGTTTGTTAAAGCATCTTGCATAGCGTCAATTTTTGATATCCTAAATGCATAGATGAAGAACTTTCAAAAAGAGCTCTTGATTAATCATTTTTCAACTTCTCTAACGTGAGATTCGTTGACGTAAGCTGCCTCTACTGACAAGCGATGTCTTCGAAGCAAAGCGATACAAGAGCGCTCTCCATCTGCAAACACCCCTTAATTTCCGTTTCCGGACCTCTCCGTCCGACGAATCAAAACTGCTTCTATTGAAGCGCGTCGAAGTTGAAAAGCGCGCCAGATTGGCGTCGAGGAACACGCGCCGAGATGAGATCTTGCAAGAAGGACATCAACTAGCGTCCGTCAACGGACCGCTCCGGACAGTCAATGAAACTTGCTACTCTGATCTCGTGTCGAAGTCGAAAACCGCGTCACGCTCGCGTTGAGAAAGAAACATGAAGACGTGTCATGATGATATCTTGGAAAAAGTACATCCGTTAGCGTCCGCGTGCGGCCCGAAATTTTGGACAAATGCTAGAGCGTAGCTCAATTCGCCCCCGAAAAGCGCTTCGAGAGCCCCCCTGAAGTTTGACGACGGACTTGCCTTGTAGGACGAATATCAGGTCAATCGCTCTTGCCGTCCCTTTGGGTTTTTGATACCGATTGCAAGGACTCTTTGGTTAAAATCATGAATGAAAGTATGTACCGAAAAGGACTTCTAAACTGCGATCTCGACCTTGGGTTCCCAGTCAGGCTACTGGAAGCGTCTTTCTTCCTGCATCGTCTTGTTCTTGAGTACGGAAGTGAGATCGATGGCACACAACGGGGCTTTTTTATGGAGAGTCTTTGGTTCATGTTTATGTGCTGGAACTAACTGCTCGCGATATCTGTGCCGTCTCGTTCCCTCAGTCCACCAGCGAAGGAGAGACACGACGTCCACATCGACAGTGTCTTTCATGTGCGGTCGCATGCTGTCGCATGCTGCCCCAACGTCTGCGTATGACCACCGTTCCTGACGTTGGTAGTAGTGCCGGCCGCCGTGGATCCCATGTGCTGTCTGCCATAGCCCCCGAATCCATCACACCACACCATCTTCAATCATTCTCATTGTCGCATTCCCTCGCCCTCGCCCTCTCACTTCACTCCCTCTCCTCCCTCCCCATCCTTCCCAACGACTTTCTTCCCAACCCACTTCAACTCCGGCCAGACCACATCCTTCACCTCCTCGATAGCCTTGTTGCCAATCCAAAATGCCATGCTGCCACCCACGAGGAGAAAGACTGCGTCGCCGAGGCTCAAGGTGCTGGCGCCTGTGAGGTAGTTTCCGGCGTCTTCTTGGTCGAGCTTGTTGGTGAGGGTGGGGTTGATAGGGGTGCTGCTGGGGAGGGTTGTCGCTTTGTTTGGCGTGGTGCGAAGAGCGCGAGTAGTGGTGCGTGGGAGGATGGTGCGGGCGAGCATCGAGGCGCGGAGGAGGGTGCCCATGGTAGTGTTTCCGTTCATGGTGATTAACGGCGGTGTTCGTATTGTGTTGTGTTTGATGATGCGGCGCTTTCCTGATGCTTGGCGACAGTGTTTGTGAGAGTAGTCTGGGTTCTGTTGCTGCTCCAGATGAAGTTCACTTGGATGTTTGTGGAAGTTGTGTTTGCTGCAAAAGTGTGTCGCACTTCAAAGCGAAACTTCTGAATCCGATTTGTCGCGTGTCTCACTTTCCTCTTCACATGAAAGTCAGACCATGGAAATTTCCATGCGCACGGACCTTTGTGGAGTGAGTGTCGGGCTGTGCAGAAGCTTCCAATCACGGAACTGATGGTGAGTAATGCGATACAAGACAAGGACGGTGAATGTCATTCAACGAGATGCAATACTACCTACATGGCGTTCGTACACGTGTTTCTCTGCATCATCTTCACCGTTCTTCTTATGCGACGGATCCCATCCACCTGTGATGGGGATAGGACACGTCCCTGCCCCGGCGAACGAGTCCGTCATTGAGCGTGTTGTCCATGTGAACACCAATCTCCACGAATGAGCCCGCACCTCGGGGCCGCAAGTTCGCGTCTCGAGAAGGAGGATTTGGACCAGGATCAGGAGATGGGCCGTCGTCACTCAAGCAGCCGAATCCGTTCTCGCGAAAGACTGGAGGGACACCGATGTCGTCGTTGTCATGGGCGGGACTGGTCTGCGATATGGTTCTGGGATTCGCAGTGGGCTGGAAGGGTGGGAAGGAGGTGAAGTTATCGCTGAACGTCCGTGGCATGGTAGATGAAGATGGACCGCTGCTCGTGACGTCGGTTGCAAGCTCTTTGTCGAGTTGATTGAGATCGAGAGGGTCGACACGACCTGTAGAGCTGGGTGGCTCAAGAGGCCGATGTTCTGGTGAAGCCATGGTAGCTGCCTGCGGCGTGGGAGAATCCGTGGGGCTTGCCGTGTTATAGCCGCTGTCCCGGTCTTTGTCCCTGTCGTTCTGAGTAGATGCTTCAGAGACCTCGTCACTGTCGTCTTGGAAAGCAAACCCTTCTCCATCAGGCTGATCAATGTCGATCTCATCTCGAAAATCACCCTGGCCAACATCCTCCTCTTGCGGACGCCCCTCGACTAAGCCATCATCCTGAATGACATTCCCCGTCCGATCTGCCCCTTGCGCAGTCTGCCCTCCGACCTCACCACCACCAAAGTCCTCATTGACATCCGGGTCCCAGTCCACCGCTGCAGCCAACTGAATCTGCGCGTAGTCACGGCCAGGAAGACCCCAATACCGGTCCCAGCGGCGACTCTCCTGAAAATCCATGTTCTGACGCCAGTGGTGGTGCTGAGCAGCATCGTTGTTGAGTTGGATGGTAGGGAGCCTTGGATTGATAGCTGGCTGCTTAGGTTGTGCCCTCTGACGTTGGTTGAGCCAGGCGTTGACGTTCAGGTAGGTGTTTTGAGCGAATCGTTGAAATGGTCTCATGGTTGGGACGATTGCGTCGAAGTTCGGAAGCGATGTCTTTCGCTGTTCTTCTGATCGTGGAGTGTTCGAATGATGTTTTCTGGTTTCGATATCCAGGTTTGCATGCCTTGTGCCGCTTGCCCATTTATCGTCGTCCCGATAACGTCTGTTTGCTGCTTTTCAGACCTGCGCTATGCAAGTACATTGATGCTGTGATGTCTCAGTCTAAACATCAGCGAGCCCGACCAAGGATTGACTGCATGAAAGCTGGGTTCCTTGTGCCGTGAATGTACTCACATGAGACATTCAACCTGGAGTCGCTGCATTCTGTCTTGGCATTCTTTCGAAGCAAAGGACGAACGATTCATCGCATTGTTGCGCGTATAGGCCATGTCTCATAACATCTGCCAAGATTGTTCAATCCATCTCATGTCCTCTTAGCCCCCTGCTCTTTATCCTCCTCGCACAACCCCAGATACTGGGCCAGATACTCCCCGAACAGCCCCAGCGAAATTGCGCCCCCAGTGAACCAAGCACCTCGTCTGAACCACCCAGCACAGTCTTCCACGCTCTTCAAGTTGACCTTTCTGATCATGTACCCGAGTGTAGCTGTAGCACCTCCACAGACTCCCACGAAGTACAGTGGTCCTGCTCCTACAGCTATCCCTGCTCCAGCCAGTAATCCAACCTGCAGCGCACTCACGGCACTCAAGAACGCTTTCGCATTCTTCTCCTGCGCCAATGCAATGCTCTTGATCCCAGCCTTCGCGTCGTCTTTAATGTCCTGGTAGGCGTAGATCATGTCATACACCACTGTCCATGCTACACAGCTGCCATAGAGACAAGCTGCCGAGACCAAGGCTGGAGTGTGCGATAGCAAATCGATCCCAAGAGCTGGAGGTCCCAGCATCGCGCCCCAGGAGAAGGTGAGACCGAGAACGGCTTGAGGATAGTTGGTCACGCGTTTCGCAAGCGGATACGAGGCGACGAAGAGCAGACTCGGTGTGGCATAGTAGAAGCACGCAAAGGGGAACTGGAGCAGTAATGCCAATCCCGCAAACAATTGGACTCCTAAGTATGGGATGGCTTGGTTGACTGATATGGCTCCTCTTGCAATCGGCCGAAGTCGAGTTCGCGCAACATGTGGATCCAAGTTTCGATCCCAAAGATCGTTCACAGTACAGCCTGCCCCACGCATGATCAGAGCACCTGTAAAGAAGAGGCCTGAGGTGTAGAGGACGGTCGAAGGCGGGACGATGGGATTGGTGAGAGGAGCGGCGAGGAGGGTGCTGAACAAGCATGGTAGGAAGAGGTAGTATGTTCCGGCTGGGCTCTGTAGGCGTATGAGCTCTGCGTACGGCACCCATGAGCGCGGGAGATGGGAGAGAAGGCCAGCGGTTGGAGGTTTGTAGGCTTGCGGCGGAAGAGCTTCGTGTGCGGTCGATGATGTCGTTTCAGTGTTGGCAAGACTTTGAGCGATCGGTCTGCTGCTCGATACGGCCCATCTCTTGATTGAAGTAGTTTGTAACTGGCGTGAAGTCCTTGCGAAGGAAGAAGGACGGGAGAGCAGAGACGAGATACGGAAGGGGGCCGCCATTACTGCAATTGAGACTATGGCCTACCTTAGGATCCTGCCTACTATTTGCATGTGATGGGAGATACTGACCAACTGATTGTGAAAATGAGTGAGTGAATGAAAGAGAGAGGGCGAAGCATTGAAATCGATGGAGCTGCTCTCCCCACGATTAAAGTTTTGCCAAGGCGCCTCGGGCGACTTCAGCAGCTCCTCCGCAGTCACGCCCGCCTTGAACATCCACACGCGCCACCACCTTTACATCGATCGCACGCACTCACAACCGCCGCCGAGAGCTGCAGCGATACTCGGAGACTCGGGCCATCACATTGTCGCTGCCGCACGCACCGCGACATCACCCCCAAGGCCATGAACCGTTCACGGTGGCAGGCGGAGTCGCGTCTCGATATCAATTCACCTTCGCCATACAGTCGCCAACATGCCTGCTCAACGCCCCCGCGCATCGTTCGAACCCATCGCTCCTGACTTTGACTTGAAGGCCTTGGTCGAGTCAACGCCGAACTTCAGCTATGTCGACCGTATTTCATGCGACATGATCGATCAGCAGGGCATGCAGGCATTTGAGAAGCTAGTCACCTTGCATGTGATCATTGGTGGGAAGCCTCTGGTCATCGACGGATTCGAAGATAGGCTCGATCCGTGGACATTCTCGCCGAAATGGCTGCGCGACAACTGTGGAGAACAAGTCGAGAGTGCTCGAAATCTCACCGCAAAGGACAACATCCCGTTGACAACGGCTCACTATCTGAACAACATGGGCTTGCTCACAAACCAGTTCTTCGACAAACCTGGAGCGTACCGAGAGAAAGGACGCCAGAGAGTTTACCTAAAAGACATCGACTGTCATGATGTTTGGTGGGACAAACTGAAGGACCACCTGCCACCCGCTGTGACCTACCTCAACGACAGCACGGGCGAGGTTGGAGGGCCCGGTGCTGTACCGGACACTACCGGCGCTGTTCCAGGCAGAAGGCTTGGGAAGGGCATCGCAAGAGCTGGAGATCTAATGAGCTCGCTTCCACCGGACATGCGCGCACAGAACCTGATGTGTTATATTGGACATGAAGGTACATATACACCAGCGCATCGAGAAATGTGTGCGTCACTGGGTCAGAACATTATGGTGGAGGCTTCGAACACCGTGTCAGATGACGGCAAAGCTGAGAAGCCGGGTTCATCAATCTGGTTCATGACGGAATCCAAGGATCGACACTTGGTCTCTGAGTACTGGCTCAGCGTCCTTGGTCATGACATTGAAGTTGAAAACCATTTCGCACAGGTTGTCGCCTGGAAGAAGGCGAACTTCAATGTATACGTTGTCGAGCAACGCCCCGGTGATTTCATCTTGATTCCACCACTGGCACCTCATCAGGTCTGGAACCGCGGCACACGGACAATGAAAGTTGCGTGGAACCGCACGACGGTTGAGACATTGGAGATGGCAATAAACGAAGCTCTTCCGCGTCAGCGCATTGTGTGCCGTGATGAGCAATACAAGAACAAGGCTATCATCTACTACACCCTGCAAAAGTACGCTTCGTTGCTCACTCAGGCCCTTACACAGGCGCAACGCATGCCACAGCACGATGCTCAGCAGTTGCTCTACAGCGACAAGCTCAAGCAGCTGCGCAAGGATTTCAAGCGTCTGTTCGCGATGTACAAGCAAATGCTTCTCGCCGAGATGTTCAGTCCTGACGATCGAGATGCGCCCAAGTCACTGGAATATGTGCCATTCGACTCGAACGTCACCTGCGCCTATTGCCGAGGAAATATCTTCAACCGTTTCCTTACCTGCCCAACATGCAAGGATCTACTTGGTCACAACGCCGAGGATGACGATGGTGATCCGTACGACGTCTGCATGGACTGCTACGCTATGGGACGGTCGTGCGCTTGCCTAAGTGGTCTCAGATGGGTTGAGCAATTCCGTTGGAAGGAGCTGGCAACCAAGTACGAGAATTGGCGGAGACTCATCATCCAACTTGATCAAGGACCAAACGAAAAGACGCCGCTGCCTCTTCTTGAGGAGAAGAAGAAGTACGGGAAGAAGACGCTCACTGAAGTGGTCAAAGAACAGCTCAAGCGCCGCCCCTTCAAAGACGTCAAGAAGCCGGCCGACGAACCCAAGGATGACGAGGAGTCTGACGAGGAGATCGTTGTTGGTGACGATGGCACAGTCAAGAAAATTACAAAGAAGAAGTCCAAAGCTTGGCTGAAGAATAATCAACCATGCCACGTGTGCTGCCATCGTCATCCAACTTGGAAGATGGCCAAGTGCACGACATGCGAGCGGTCCTGGTGCTATGGCTCTCTGTTTCGAGGATGGGACAAGATGCCGATCGATATCATGGAAGACCAAGACTGGTCTTGCCCGCATTGCAAGGGTATCTGCTTTGCTGGCGCTTGCAGGCGTGAGGGCAAGATGAAGCCATACGAGCCGAAAGGCACTCTGCTTGGCCACGACACGAAGAAAGTCGCAGACGTGCGCAGCGTGGAGGCGCTTGTTGACTTTAGTGTCAGCAACCTTAATTGGTTGAAGGACGATGACCCAGTGGATCGCACGCAGTCGAAGCGCTTTCAGAAGGCTCGTGCTGAAGCTGAAAAGAACAAGGAGATCGATCCAAGCATGCAAGACGAGGACGACGATCACATCAATGAGACGCAAGTTGAAATGGAGTACTCGCCTGATGACACGCCAATCGACCCAGCTCTCGGCGGGCCCATTCCATCCAATAGCCGCCGCCATCAGCGCGATAGCGATACCCAGATGAGTGGTGCTCTTCAGGAGTTCGACGAGGAGGACATGGCTAGGAGGTTACAACAGGCTAATTCGTCGTTGCCACCCCCGGCAGCCATGGTGGCCGGTGCACCAGCTGGCCCCCAAGATGGATACGCGCCTTTGAACTCCGCCGGCTATTCTGGCTATGATGTACCTGCTGCTCAGATGTACCCAGACCCGGACGGCAACAACACCTATCACTATCTTGGGCAGCGCGATGACGACAGCGCAGAACCAAATGGAGAAGAACTGAGGCCTTTCAGAAAGCGGCAGAGAGAAGGCGACGATGAAGATGGCGACTTCGAGGACATTGCCATGTCCAAAGGCAAGAAAGCCAAGAAGCCTCGTCTTGCTGCTGCCGGCTTCCGCTCGTACGATCTCGCCGAGTCTGCAGTTGGACCGATGGCTAGCAAGGCCAAGAATGAGGTCCAACGACAATTTGAAAAGGAGAAGGAGCGCAAGGCGTTGGAGAAGGCGAAGTCAGAGGGGCGATTCATCATGCTCCAAGCTGCCATCAAGGGCAAGAAGCGTATTGTGAGGCTGCCAGTGCCAGGTGCACGACTGGCCCAGGTAGTTGCTGTGCAAGCAGCCAAGGCTGCTCTGACAGCCGCTGGTGGTGAGGGAGAAGACGCTGATGCTGAACACGAAGTAATCGACGCCCCACTGCGGAACGGCGATGATGACGACCCCGCAGGCTCGCTACTCAAGAGTGATGTTGCGCCAAAGAAGAACTCATCGCGGAGCTACGAGGACCGAGTTCGTGAGGGTAAAGTTGTTAGCGGTGCGACCAAGAAGGCGCTCATTCCCGTGGAGAAGGATGACAGCTACAGCTACCGAGCGCGTGAGCGACTACCGAATGGAAAGCGTGTCGTGCGCCACTCTCTGCCAGCAACAGCGGCAAGCTCCAAAGGCAAGCGGAGGCAAGCAGCCACTGAGTACGAGGAAGTGGACATTGGATCTGGCGAAGAAGACGACGATTTTGAAGAGTCTGGCTTCGTCGCAATTAGTGGTGCACGGGCTGGCTCGTCAAAGAACCGTCGCTCCCTTCCAGGTTACCTGCAAAAGCGACACGCAGGTGATGACGCCGACCTACCAGACCAGCTTCCTGATGACTTCCGAGATGGCGACCCAGGCGAACGTCGTCGTCAACAAGCAAAAGCAAGCCAAAATGCTGCCAACCAGCAACTTCAACAGGAAGCAAGCGCTGCTCAGACATCGTCGGCGCCAGGCAGGGAGAAGAGTTCAGTCGGTGGGAAGCGCCCAAGCATGCGTCTGGCCGCAGCGGATCCTATCACCATCGAAGATGATGATGACGATGACGACGATGAAGACGCAGATGATGCCTCGGAGATGCTGAGCCAAGCTGCGAGTGGCGCGTTCGCTCATAGCAACGGCACAACGCCAGCGAGCAAGGGCAAAGTTGGCCGTCCACGAGGTCGTCCTAGGAAGAATCCCGATGGGCCAACGCCGTCAAAAGTGTCTGCTGCTCAGGCTGCTGCCCAACAAGCGCAGCGCATGATGGAGGAAGAGAATCGACTTGCGAAGCTCCAAGCTCTTGAAATGCTGGACGACGCACCATTTGGGAATTCGTTTGGGGGCCCTCGTGCCGGTGGTAACATCAGCATGGCCGATGACGATCTCTTTGGCGATGAGAATAGCGACGATGATGAGATCGATGTCGTCCCTGCGAGAGCTGGCATGGTCTGACATGTTACCTCACTTCGAAAGGCTCGACACGAAGAGCCTTGAAGAGACGGCACGGCAGTTGTGGTTTTGGCTGAAGATGAAAGACCCATGAATCAGCGACCTCGTGGTACCTGCGCGACACCGAACGCACTGCGGCAGCCGAGTGCTGCTTGACCTCATCTATACGACGCAATGGCTCGGAAGGGTTGTCCTTGTTGCTGTCGGCCGAGTCAGTGGCATGCTTCGGGATGCCGATGCTCGGTTGCAGTCTGACGAGCGTTGAGCGGGCTTGATGTGTTTGTACCGAGTGTACTTGTGTGTAGTGTAGGAACTTTTGTTAATACCCATGGAATTGATACGCCCTATCAAAAGCTGTGTTCTTCCCTCGCGAGTTTTGGTAGGTGCATGTGCATGTACTGGTTCACACACCGACGTCGTCATTATTCACGGCTTAGTTTGATCGTTTGATCGTGGGCGACCGCAGTTGGGACATTGGTTCAAGACCGAAGTCAGCCAATCAATCCCACACGGTCTTTCCAACACCATCCCCGATTCCCAAACGTGGGAGGTTACGGTGCGTCGTGGTATCGCCGTTCCATACAAGTCATAGAACGCGTGGCGATCCAGCTCACATTATGGTATGGCCTGCTTGGTTGTTGTTGGCACCGGTATCGACGCTAGCAACCAACAGACGCCTTTCCGTATTGATCGACTGTCGGTGCTTAAGCAAAGTCGTCGCTCCGGCGATGCGTTCGATCCGTCTCAAGAGCTACTTTAGTGCCTGGAAAAGAGCGCAAGCTGAAACGCTTTCGTGCTGGATCGAGGATCTTCGGACAAATTAATCCGAACAGTGAGGGAACCTGCTGGCTTTGGAGGGATGAGGTGACGGTGTACCTGAACTCATTGTAGTTCAGTTGTAAAGTAAAGTCAACGGGTTGAATGCTTTAATGGAGTGCGCGAATTCGTAGAAAACGTGGATGGTGTTAAATAGCCTTTACCCTTGCTCGACAAGAGAGCGCTAACGACGATCTAACCAAAGGCAGTTAGCCGCTTCTGAAAGAGGCAAGAGATGACTTCACAGCATTCGTGCTGCAGGAGCGGCTGATCTAGGTCTCGAGGAAAAAGGCGACAACACCCACGTGGGCCGTCTCGATTGGAGTTATGTCGCCCTTGAATACAGAAAGAAGCACCGCATCTCACTAAGAAAAGACCGGAAACCATCAAAGTCTGTTCGGAGGTACAAAGTCTGCATGAAGCGCGACCGGGGCATGCGTAATGACAGCTTCAGGATAATCTTCCTTCTGGAAAATCATCTCGCAGTGAGCCAGGTGCTCAATAGTATTAAACCGGCCCTCGAGCTTAACCCCGGTGACCGACCGTCGGAATTGCTTTCTCCAGTTGTAGCTGCAATGCACGATATGCCACCGCAGAGTTGTCCAGAAGACCTTGGTCTCGTCTGCGAGTGCAGCCACCTCTTCATACGTGTATGTTGTTGTCTTGTTAGAATCGGAATAATAGTCCCACGAACCGTTTGGACCAGGCCCGGCGGAGTTGAATTCCTGGATAAGTTCGTCGTCTCGGCAGGCTGGAGGCAGCCAGGCAGAGGCTATGGGGTCGAACACGCATTGGAGGGACTTCGCGTCGACAATTGAGTCCCCGCAGTTGCAGGAGACGTCCGTATGGAAGCGGCTCGCTGACACCCAGCCATCCTGTGCGAGACGGCAGGCTCCGAAAATTGTGGCGAGAATGAGTAGCAGCTGTAGGTGGAAAGGCCATGGCATATTGCAAGTCCTGGTGGTATGAAGGGTTCTGTGGGGTTCGATTTCTCCATTAGAGAAGCCTGTGGTTTCGTCCATATCCCCTTGACTTTGCAGACGTTCCATTTTGAATGTTGACCACGCCAGCATTCTCGAGGACGATCTTGTCAAATGAATTTATTTCCCACAATGTGAAAAAGAGTTGTCGAGTCGTAGCATTCCTAAACCTTACACAGAAACGAGAGGCGAGTGCAGCACTGCCAGATGCTAAGAAGTTTCGCTCAGGATAGCGGGAGCGCACTGAACTGCCATCGATCACTCTTCTGCGCTGGAGCAAGGCAGACTCAAGCCGTAAAAAACACACGTCACTGCCTATACTAGTCTGTTAGTAATGGAGTCTTGGTAAGCTTATAGCGTCGGCTAATAAATACACTCACCTTACCAAAAAACGTAGGGGAGGACAGCGCTTGGCGACGAAAACACCTTGATGGTCACGACGGTCACATCATTCATTCGCGTATATGTGTTGGTGGCGTGTCCCAACAGCACTGTCATTCATTGCTTCCATAGAAACCAGTGCCCGGCGCTGGGCTTCGAAACGATCCCGACGGTGTTGGTAGGGATGTCTGGACACCTCGCTAAGACATAGGGGTGTTTTGACACTTCGCTAACACATGTTGGCGTATGAACGATGTGACCATCAATCATGCTTCCATAGAGACCATCTCAGAAAGGGTTGTGACTCGATCATCGATTCGATTGACGCGAATGCAGCCTCAGCGTCATTGGTATCAAGTGCTGCTCTCTAGACAATATAAATAAAGCTATGTGGAAGCCACAAGTTTTCAGGCTGGACAACATCAGCCTACGATCTTGTCAAGCTTTACATCAATTTCGACCTCTCTTCCGGCCACAATATCAAACATGCAGTTCTCCATTATCCAGATTGCCGCATTGGCAAGCATCTTCAGCATTGGTGCCAGCGCGAATGCCACCCTCGATTACTACACCGACACAGCCTGTACCCAAGGAGAGTCGCAGAGCATGGCCAGCAACGGCGGCTGCGACAAGATCAATCCCGGCTACTACGGGGTCACGCAAAACATCGGTGACGACGGTTCGTGATGTCGGGACTATTTCAGGTAGCTGGTGCTTTGCTAACGTCATTGTGTGAAGGCATCAAGTATACCTGCAACGCCTACAGCGACAGTGATTGCAAGAACAGGATCGCGGAGATCTACCATTGCTCGGGCTCGAACGGTTCTCCTCAAGTCGGCAGCATCAACTGCTATGAGAACCCTCCATTGTAAATATCGGAAAGCAGCAGTCGATGATTGAGACCATCGATAGATATTGAGATAGATTTGGCTAGGTATTGAGACACCCACCATGCTGAGCAATTGTTATGAGTGAAGGTACCGGGAAGCCCACTAGCGCAAACCTAGATATTCATTCACTTGCATTTGAGTTCACATGCGCCCCTTCCTCTTGTAGTACCTTTCTCTAGACTAAAACGTCCGTGGGTTACTCTTTCCTATGGTTACGGAGATACTTGGTCTCAAAGTTCGGTCATGGTAGCTGGAATGGTGCTGAAACTGGCATGTAGACTTTCCAGGCAGATGCAGACAAGGCTGTAATGTATCGAGACAGACCCAAGTTCACATGCTCATGGGCCGCTTCTATCTAATATCATGGTATCCTCCATCGCTAACGATCAGAGCTCCATTTAGATAGCTGCTTTCGTCGCTGAGCAAAAAACTCATCACGCTCGCCTGTTCTTCTGCAAATCCCATGCGTCCCAGAGCGACAATGTCATTGACAGGAGAATTTTTGTTCTCCTCTGTACCAAGCGTGCCTTCTTTCCCCATGCTATGCTCGATCATGGTGGTGAGTGTCCATCCGGGACAAAGAGCGTTGCAACGGATGCCATCGGGACCGTAGAATTTTGCCCCGTTCTTGGTGATTGCCACTGCTGCATACTTGCTGGGCGTATAAGCCGCTAGGCCGATCGCGTGAAGCCCGGATATGGATGCTATGTTCGCTATTGATCCACGTTGTTTCTTGATGGGCGAGGCCGGCGCTGGCGAAAGCTCCAAGGCTTTTGGTTCTTGCGTTTGCATCTTTTGTGCTTCATACTTCTGGCACAGCCAGAGGCCTCTTGCATTCACAGCGTAAGTCCTGCCGCCAGAAGTCAATAATGGCTTTAAATTCGTTGGATCATATTGATATTACTGGTCAAAGAGCTCCGTTGATATGCTCCTCTCCTCTTTCCAAATACTCTCGCAGATACCAGCGCAATTTGCCGCATAATCCAGGGATCCCGTCAAAGAAGTGGCGTGCTCTACCATGTCCTTGACCTCTTGTTCGCGAGTGATGTCCACTCCAACAGACGCAGTGCGCACGCCGAAAGTTGACTCGATTTCGTTCGCAACATCGGATACTCTATCTTTGTTCATATCTGCGAGAGTGACTGATATACCACGACTGGCAAGTTTGCGAGCCGTGGCTCTGCCCATCCCGGACGCTGCGCCCACTATTAATGCTGCTCTTTCAATCATGTTCGTCCCCGCTAAGTCGCCTCAGTTACTTCAAAGAGGGAGAAGGCCGTAGCAAATGCTCAAACAAGCAAGAACACCCTTCGACTTGTATGATAGGAACGTTGTTGAGGGCAGGATATCGTTGTTGATGGACAACAGTCTTCTCATCTCCACCACCTGCTTGCACAATCACACGGAGATTTGACAATTGACAGGTTGTCAATATTGGAGCGCCACGGAGATCCGCGAATCCCTTGGGTGAGGGGTTCCCAAGTGCTTCCCATCCACGGCACTGCAATTCCGGTGCAGCATCTTCGTCCAGAAAGCTTCACCAGCTCACAAAGGCGCCATTGTGGGGTAAGGTCGAACGGATGAAGATCGCACAACCACCGAAGTCCATGCAAGGAAGCATTAGGAGTTTGGCAATAACCATACGGGCAACATATGAGATTACACTGGTTCAAGCTTCAAAGATATCGGGAGAACTACAACTTACGCGACCATCATGCAAAGACAAGTTGATGCGTTGGTTATTGGAGCTGGATTTGGGGGTATCTATCAACTGTATTTACTGCTGAAGCAAGGACTATCTGTCCAAGTGATAGATGCGGCTTCTGATGTTGGCGGGACATGGTATTGGAATCGCTATCCGGGAGCGATGAGCGATACAGAGTCCTATGTATATCGATATTCATGGGATAAAGAGGACCTCCAGCAGTACCCGTGGACTCATCACTACGTCAAACAACCGGACGTTCTTGCATATCTCGAGCATGTGGTGGAGAGACACGGCTTACGACCTTACATGAAATTCAATACTGAGATTCTATCTGCCGATTGGGATCCCAAAGGACAATGGATCGTGCAGACCAACACAGGAGAGACCTTCGTCGCACACTATCTCGTGACAGCGCTTGGACTACTCTCGAAGATTCACTACCCAGATATTTCCGGGCTGGATAGTTTCAGGGGCAAGCTTCTTCATACAGCTGCATGGCCTCGAGACATGGATCTCAAAAACAAGAGAGTAGGAATCATCGGGTCCGGCTCGACAGGCGTCCAAATCATCACAGATATTGCAAAAGACGTCAAAGAGTTGATAAGTTTCCAGCGAACTCCGCAATACACTGTCCCCAGCGGCGACAAGCCAGTGAGCCCAGAATACCGAAAATGGGTCAATGAGAACTATGATGAAATCGTGGCCAAGGTCAGAAACTCTACTGTTGGCTTTGGGTTCGAGGAGTCGACTCGCATTACTTCATCTGTATCGGCAGCTGAGAGAGACGAAATCTTCGAGAGCCTGTGGCAGCAAGGAAACGGCTTCCGCTTCCTGATGGGAGGCTTCGGTGATATCTCGACAAACAGAGAAGCCAATGAAGCGGCGTGCGACTTCATCAAGAGGAAGATCGCGCACATCGTGAAAGACCCAGAGAAAGCGCGCAGACTGATGCCAACAGAGCTTTACGCTCGAAGACCACTATGTGACGGGGGCTACTACGAGCAGTTCAACAGAGAACATGTTCAAATCCTCAATTTGAGGGAGAATCCGATCGAGGCAATCACGCATGAAGGGGTCTTGATGCAAAATGGAGAGAAATTCCGGCTGGATGTGCTTATTCTAGCGACTGGTTTCGACGCTGTCGATGGGAATTACAATCGAATTCGCATCAAAGGCGCGAACGGCGAGACTTTGAAGGACCATTAGAAAGACGGACCAACCGCGTACTTGGGCTGCGCTGTAGCAGGCTTTCCCAACCAAGAAGAGACAGCCATTTTGTACGTAATGAGTCCACAAACACATTGCATCGTGTAACTCGCTCATGATCCGTTGGTTGCCCCCTTTTGCTTCTCGCCCGGCATCTTGATGTACCACGCACGATCTCCACCATTGACTTCTATACCTGTCTTCCCACAGCCGAGGTACTGGAATCTGTTCTTGGTAAGATACTGGATATTCCAGCCTTCCCAACTTCGTCTGTGTTAGCTAAGATGCGGAAGTCAAGGAATCAAGCAATATTACCGTGGATACAACATGAGCTCAAGGAAATGCAGAGCAGAACCACACCATGGCCCCCAAACTTTTCCATCGATCTTGCCATTCTTGTACCTGGTGGCTGGCTGTCAGTCATACGTGTCGCGATAAATTATTTGCTTGTGGAACACGAACCAGGAGCGGCAGCCTGTGGCCCATACCATGTCTTTCATGATCGCATCTTTATGCTGTTGGAACTCGTTGACCGCGTCTTCTGAAGGTGCAATCGACTTAATGCCTTCGGTCTGAATCTTCTGAATGGCGTCAAGAGCGTAGGATACACAGCTCTCCAGACAGGGAATGAGGGTGCCATTTGACAAAGGAAAGTTTGGTCCACTCGCCACTGCAACATTGTAAGCCTGGGCTTCTTGAAAAAGTAGGTTCCAAAAACCTACTGAAATAATTGGGGAAGCCAGCTGCGGCTACAGAGAGATAAGAACGCGGCTCATCCTTCCATGCCAGTCGAAGATCCAATCCGCCCTCGCCGATGACCGGGAAGGGAGGACGAAAGCTAGTGTCGAAACCGGTAGCACAGATGATTGCATCTACCGCCAGTACACTTCCATCAACCATCATCAACCCTTCTGGAACGGCTTTCAAGATCGCATCAGTCCTGACTGTGACGTTTTCCGCACAGAGCGCTTCGAGATATCCATAGCCAGGGGTCAACCTGGCCGCCCATTAGCGCTGCAATTATCTACGCATTGAATATCCCACACTCACCTGCGACATCCAATCGCAAAGCCAGGGACAAGAGAAGTACAGAGTTCTGGCTTCGTTTTTAGACGATCGTGCATCAAGTCACGGGCTGAATTGAAGGCTTCCTTTTGAGCTTTGGTGTGTGCGTAGTACAGGTCGAATCTGTTCATGCCCGACTCTATTTCCTTGCGATACTTCGTGTAAGCCACAGGATCTGCTTCCCACTTCGCTTTTTGCTCTTCTGAAAAAGCCATATCGCGGCCTTCTGGGGCAAAAGCGGAGGCGAACTCAGGGGTAATCCAAGTCGAAGAACGATTGACCGACACCATGCTTCTAACGACTGTTCTATGGTTAGTATTTGAAACTTTTCAATGGATACAATAGAAATACCTGGTTGAAGCTTCGGCACGATTTGGATCGCGGACGAACCGGATCCTATGATCGCGACATCCTTGTCTCGGAACGAGTATGAGTCGTCCCATCTGGCCGAGTGAACCAAATGGCCTTTGAATGACATGAGATTAGTGATTTCTGGCCATTTCCAGTTATTCAGAAAACCGCAGGCGTTAATGATCACCTCCGCCTCGTCGGTGATGGTGCGATTGTGCAAGATGTCGTCCACTGTAAGCGTCCAGCGACCCTTACGCGTATCCCATACTGCTTTCGTGACCCGGTGCTGTAGACGTATGAACTCTTCGATGCCGTAGGCCACTGCACAGCCTTTGAAATGATCATACAACTCTTCTGAGCCAACGTAAGCCTTCGACCAGCGCGGATTGCCCTCCCACGAGTACGAGTAGGCGTGCTGTTTTTCGTTGGTATTGCTTGTGCAACGCGTGCGTTATCGAGGGACTCACTGCTGGTACATCACAACTACATCTGAGCAAAGAATTGATTCAGCACTGCAAGTTTTTTTTAACAGTAATGGATGCACTCATACCCTGGGTAGCGATTCTATGTAGTCGGCATGGATTCAGTCACAGATTCACTAAATATGTCCGTCCATCAAACCACATACCTCTAGCCAAGTACCTGTAACATCTTTGAGAAGTGTAAGTAAAGCACTGCTAGTGTTTGGTATTGGATGCTGGGCTCTACCTTCATTTTTCTCGTAGATGACCAGTTCGGTCGGAAGGCCAGAAAACCGCTCCTTGAACAATTTGACTGCCGCGATGCCGGACAGACCGCCACCAATGAGAACAACTTTCAACGGTCTTGGTTGGCCCAGGTATTGGGAGCTATAGTGGTATTCGCCCGACTCTCCATTGGAACGCGAGGCAATGCCATTGGCGCCCAAAAGGTTGTCCGATACCATGTTACAACCGTAGAAACCCAAGGACAGCGATGGAAACGAAGATTGTTGTTCTGGAAAGACTAACAAAGCAGCTTCCCAGGACCAGTCAAGTCGAGAGTTGCAAAGCATGTGCGCTCTGCCGGCATGATAATTCCGGGCTCAAACGTATTGCTGGCGTCGGGCGACGAAGGAGTCATTCGCCGCGGCAGATGGTAACGAACCGTTGTCCCTGCTCGGACCAGGTAAGATATCTCAATAACTCCTACACGACATGGAACAAGCAGTCAAAGGAGATCAGGACATCAAATGAGGCCCATCACATTCAAGCTTGGCTAACCCTCTACACCCCTTGCCTTTTCCTTTCCCCCGAATCTCTGGAACCGTTGGACCTGCCACTCACTCCGCAGCGCTGTAATGATTTCAAGACCGCGCGTAGCACTGTTGAAGGAGGCGCTCAATTCACCAAGCATACGAACAGCAACCATGAAGTAAGATCGAGCATCTTTGCCCCTTGAACCGGCGTGTACGCAGCTGTCGTAAGCATGTATTGTTCCGGCTGCAATGACTATGCGTATAGCGGTGCAGTTGATGTATCTCAGAGGATAATATGTCTGATAAAGGCCTAGCAAGCGGCATATCTCGATCGCGGAGTTACTGCATATCTGACTTGCAGTGAGGCCAGCTTCCCAAAGGCTACTGCTTATCAAGAACGGTCGGTACAGAAAGATAACGGCTTCGTGGAACAACAGGTGCAGCAGTATCACGAACGGTACGGGGGCCGCTGCGCAGTATTCTGTCCTATGGTCCAGTTGCAAGCCTTCTGGAAGTACTGATCGCCAATCGGCCAATTCTCTAGCCATCACCGAGACGAACGCAATGGCATCCTGAGCAGCATTGGGGACTGGTGTATATAGCACCTCCAGTATTCTGCAAAGTTTTGAGGCCAGTTGTGAGACGTAGACTGGTATCTGGCGCACCACAGTTATGTCGAATCCAGAGTATGCTCGACACTCTCCATCAAAATATGGCTCCCAAGAATTGCAGCTCGATAGCACAGGCGGAGGCATGCGCAATTTCATGGTCGACATCAGCGACGGCCGACCGGCATAACTGCCATGGAAGCAGTCTGCCATCCACACTTCCCAGAACAGTTGTTTCTGGATTTGTTCAGCCCCGTGAGAGTCCAAGTCTACTTCTTCATCCTCGCTGCTACGCTGGATGTCGACATGAAGCCCAAGGTCTGTGATGATTTGAACTCCCATGCCTGCATATAGCCAAGCACGGGAATCACGACAATGGCAAGTCTCGTAACCTGCGAGTATTATGACTGCCTGAGCAGTCGCCGGAGAAGGGCTGTCCATTTCCGCTTCCACATATATCCTCGCGCGAGCATCGAAGAATTCTGACAAGTCTCCTGAGACGTCCGGGTGTCGGCGGGTGGAATACAATGCTCCCAGCGCCCATATGGAGTTTTGGAGAGCAGGTGAGAATAGCACTGTATCGCATCCACTATGCCACTCACGTTCCCCTCGTCGATAAGTCGCTTCATCAACTTCGTTTATCAATGGGTTGTGCCAGGTGAAGTAAAGTTTACTCAGATGTGTCTCTAGTTGCTCGTCGCCATCCCAAGTGAGCCCTGCTTGCTTGATACGATTGTCTCCGTGGCTTCGTATGGGAGGTAAGGTGGGCTGATAAAGAGGAAAAAGGCTATCTCTCACAATGCGTAGCGAGGAGCTCGCACCATGATAGTGCCTACGCCCATCTTGGCCTCGTGTGAGACGGCCAGACGTAGTTGCCAGCCGCTGAGATATGTCGTCGTCGCTCGAATTTGATTGTTCTGGGCTTTCGATTTCCAAGGGCATCGTGAGAGGGGGAAAGGTGACATTGCCCAACTCCAGATCTCCTGGATTGATCAGGAAATCAAATGAGCTATTCCAATGGAAATCAGGCGACGGATCGTGCTCCAAGAAAGGTGTATTCGCGATGGGCTTCGGTGAGATGGCCGGTAAAGCCAGAGGTTCATTCGCCATGAATTGATCTGTGTCCGAAACGTTGCTCTGTTCAACTATTGCAACCGGTTGGTCTTGTTGGCCGCTATTGTTTGTTAAATCCTGTTGCGGCTGGACGACTGCGCCGGTCCGCGGTGCATCGTTTGCTGTCACAGGAGGTTGTTGAGCGGCTGCTTGGCTCCTTCTCAACTGCTCTTCGAGATCTTGTACTTTGTCTTTCAGGGCAGATATAGCTTTCATTGTTGATGAAGTCCTACCAATGGAAGTCAGTGCTCTCCGATATCCAGATCCGCGGCAAATCGGCGAGGACAAGTATACCTTCTCTGATCAGGCCCAAAAATACAGTCTACATTGTAAAGGTTACAATTGGAGCATTTTGGCTTGCCATTATCGCAGCGAACTTTTCTTCTTTTGCAAGAGAGGCTACTCGTACTCGTTAGAACATGTCAACGTTTGTTTTCACTTAACAAGCGCCGTGACGACTGATGGACATTGTTTCGCGGCTGCAGATCGAGGGTTGGGGAGTTGGGTGTTGCTCCATAACTATGGCTGGCGGTCTGATCGGAGCAATCAAGCAGTCTGTTCAGGCGTATTCCTTACCAAGCGGTCGGGGCGTATTTACGCCCACCAGAATCTTCTCTCCTTGTTGTCATGTCGGACAGGCCAGCGATATGCAATGCCAGGTTGACAATCAGCCTCCCATCCAAAGTCTGCTGGGAACTCGACAAGACAGCTGAACACTCCGAACAGATTCGAAAATTGCAGTGAAGGGTGGCGAGTCACATGCCATTTCCCCGCATTTGGACTCTTGGTAAAGGAATGAAGGATGATGCTCCCCGCACTCCACGCCTCTACAGCCTCGCTTGCAAAGAACCCCATTCCCCATGAGGCTGCTAGGGGAGATCGCGCACTCAGAAACGCTTTGAAAGCTTCGGAATCAGTACCGCACTTGGCGAGTGTGCGGCATGTGCGGCACCCGCGATGCAAAGAGACTACAAGTAAGGCTTAAGCAGCTGGCTTGTTTAGTTAGTCGCAATGCTCTGCTGAAATGGCATTCAGGGGCAGTGAGTCTTCGGTCGTCGTAATGCCGTTCTTGGCAAGCTCGTACGGCGCCGATTTCCACGGCATTGCGATTCCGGATCCTCACCGAAACCGCTTCTGCTGTCGCAGATTGAGCCAGCATGGGCGAATCACACCCCCAGGCATAGTACCAACGGCCTGCCATGAATACTACCGCAACTCCATAGCCTGGTCTGCTAGTGTAATGACTTTGGTGTCGTACAAACGCTGATCAGAACCACGTGTCTATTGACTGGATTCTAGACATCTTCATAACATCGCTCCAAATTACCTAGGAAACGTGTCTATCGACATGCCGGAGCCAAGTGCCCGCGAGTTTGAGCACAAACATGTTGTCACAAGATACCTTGTTTTCGTGGTCTGCTTCATGGCATTCGGGTCCATGACCTATGGGGCATCCGCATCCATCATCTCAACGACGTTGGGCCAGCCTTCGTTCTACAACTACATGGACTTGAGCGAGGGGCAAAAGTATTATTCGCAGCAAAATTCGCTTCTTGAAGCTGCCAACTCAATCTTCTATGCTGGTGGTATCTTTGGACCGTTCATGCACGGATGGTAAGGAGTGATCAACGCATCATGTCAAACTACCGTTGACGACGCACAGGCTTGCGGATGCTTATGGACGCAAAATGTCCATCTTCGTTGCTTGTATGATCAACCTGGTCTCACAGGCATTCCAGGCCGGCTCTGTACACATCGGCATGTTCATTGCGTTCAGGTTCTTTGCAGGCTGGGGGTAACCAAAGTCTCACCGTCACTTAAAATCTACGTGCTTACCTTCTGCAGAGCGTTCCAAGCCGTTGCTTCCGTTCCTCTTTATATCGCAGAGATAGTGCCACCTCGGTGAGAACTCAAGCTCAGAATCATCAAGCGTGAGAGAAGACAAGACTGGCTGAACACAATTAGAGATCGAGGGAAGCTGGTGGATATCCATGCTATCGGTATCAATGTGGCGTACGTCGTCACTGGATACATTGGATTAGGGTTCTACTTCTTGGACACTCCAACAGCCTGGCGAGGGCCCTTGGCCTTGACCACACTGCCGCCTTTGATAATATGTTTATTCATCTATTGGTTTCCAGAGAGCCCACGGTATACTCAACTCGATTCTTGGCCCTTGTCCCACGAGAAGCTAATATGAAATCCAGGTACCTCCTTTCAAAAGGGCGAGACGCTGAAGCCTGGTCGGTCGTAGAAAAGCTGCACACCGACCCTTCAGACCCTAGCAACCAATTCGCAAAACGTGAATTCTATAAGATGTGTGTTTACAAATCCGAAATAGAGATCTCACAGTGACTTACCTCATCTACAGGTTGAAACAGATTGAGCTTGACAGAGCCTTGAAAGCAAGCTATAAGGAGATCTTCACTAGACCTTCGTACCGCAAACGAGCAATCATAACCATGACCCTCCTGTTTTGCGTGATGAGCTCTGGAATCCTAGTAATCCAGAGTCAGTCTACCTCCATTTCATGGGCTTTTTGCAGTTGGCTAACCGAGCTTTCTAGATTACGGCGTGATCATCTTCGCTCGACTCGGCTACAATAACGTTCAAGTAGGTTACCCCTGACAAAAGACAGATTCAATTTGCTGATGAGGAATCCAGCAACTACTCTTCCAGACCGGCTATACTGCAAATGCTCTACTTTGGAGTACAATCGCGATGACTTTCGTGGACCTCGTGCCCAGAAATCGCTTGATCGGAACTGGATACGCCATGTGCGGATTCTTTCTCACCATGTTGACTATCCTTCTTAGTCAGTTTGAGAACAGTACCAACAGAGCTGCGGTAAGGGTCAACGAATTATTTACTGTCTGTGCAGACATTTTGGCTGATACTCAACAAATAGCTCGGGGCATGTGTTGCCATGATCTTCCTCTACAACGTCTCCTTTGAGCTCGGTCTTGACGGCCCCGAATTTTTCTATCAGGCTGAAATCTGGCCGTCTCATCTTCGTGCACGCGGCTACGCTATAGCTACCTGGTACGTATCAGAATTCTGAAAGAGAACGTATGGCTTTGGTCTAACGGCTTTACAGTGTCTACTCTGGGATCAACATTCCCTGGCTACAGGCCGCACCAACTGCGTTTGCAAACATCGGGTACAACTATTACATCATCTTCATCGTCTGCTCCGCTTTTGGTGCGCTCATGGCATTTTTCGTCTTCCCGGATACGCTACATAAGCCTCTAGAAGAGGTGGCGGCGCTGTTTGGAGACAGGGAGCTGGTCGTTTTGTATCAACAAGAGCTAGAGGGTGCTGGGGTTGAGACCACGCTCGATCACATTGAAGCCTCGATAGCGGGCATTAAAGCTGGTGAGCCATCCAAGGCTGAAAAGATGGATATCGTGCAGGCGGACAGCGTGTAGCCTTTAAAAGCTTGTGAGACACGGGTTGTTCCTGTCTCGTGCAGCAGATACTTTGAAACCAAAGCACAGAAAGTTACTCCAGAATCGATACTGCCTCGATTCAACTTAAATCGTGACACGTCTCTCTTGAAAACGTCAAACTCAGCAGGCCGTGCTCTGCAGCTTTTTCGAGCGGCTGTCCGGAACCACAATTCCGTGGCTATGTCAGAAAGCAGCTGGGCAGCAATGTGCCGCACAGTCTTTTCTCGCCTTGGGCTCGATGCCGTGTTGAGTAGGCATTTCAACATTGCTGCAAAGTATATTCGGCTTGAGTAGTGGTGGAGGAGAGGTTTGTTGTCCCCGTATACCAATTTCACAACTGAACAGCCGTGCAACCACGAAAGGGACATGGGACTTCTGGAGGAGTCCTTGCCATACCTTTGGCGACTATGCCTTGGAGCTCTGCTGGGAATATTCTGCATGACGGCCGTCCGAAGGCGCTTTCGGCCTCATTTACGGGACATACCAGGACCATTCCTGGCATCCATATCGGACCTATGGCTCCTGCAGCACTATGTTCGACGAAAGGGTACCGCAGAATATGCTTTGCATCGAAAATACAAGTCTCCACTGCTTCGACTCGGACCGAACACAGTATCGGTTGCGGATCCAGAGGCGATGAAGATTATTTATGGCTGGAAGCCTGTCTTTAAAAAGGTATTGTCTTTCAACCAGCTCTGGAGATCCGCGAGCTGATTTGAAATTGCACCAACATAGAGCCGTCTCTACATATCGCAACACCAGACGAGCCGCGGCGGCGAGACGATTACCAATGTTTCCGCGGAGATGGACGAAGATAAGCATGGGCGGATACGACGACCCATTTCCAATGCATATGCAATGGGGAGCGTATTGCAATATGAGCCTCTCGTTGACTGCTCTTCCCGAACTTTCATGGATGTCATGAGAACGCGCTTTGCGGGCCCCGAAATAGCATGCGATTTCTCGAAGTGGTTGCAGATGTATGCGTTCGATGTTGTGTGAGTCAGCCCTCCAGGTCGTTGTACGTATGGTGGTAGCTGACCTGGACAGAGGAGAGATGACTTTCAGTAAACGGTTTGGATTCCTCGAATCAGGAGAGGATGTCGAGAATATGATGTATCATACTGGACGCGCGATGGATTGGATCGGAATGGTGGGCCTGCTTGTTTGCTTTCGATCAAGGTACTAGCGCTAACGAACCATACAGATCGGACAAGTCCCGGACCTTGACGAGTGGCTACGCCTGAAGATATACGGCAAGATAAGGATTCTCTTTGGAGGATCGAATAGTGTTGTTGGGTTTTCTGCCAGACAGGTCCGGGACTATACCCCTCCTGAAGAGGGTCAAGCACCAGATTTCCTCAGCAAGTTCCTAAAGGGGCGAGAGAAGCACCCAGACATCTTCAGCGAGGCTCAGCTCGTCGAATTCGCCAACACGAACGTCGGAGGAGGCTCGGATACTACGGCAATTGCGTTACGTGAGCTGGTTTATCGTTTCCTGACGAATCCCGACACTCTTTCCATCTTCCTGGAAGAGATCAAAACAGCTCTGAGTGCTCGAGGGACAGACGGTGACCTCGATGCTCCGATTACGTTTCGAGAAGGTCAGAACATGCCGTATTTCCAGGCATGTCTCAAGGAATGCCTTCGCGTTCATCCTCCACTGGGTCAAATGTTACCGCGAGTGGTTCCTGAAGGAGGTATGGTGCTATGTGGGAAATTGCTTCCAGCCGGCACAATCGTTGGAAGCAACGCCTGGACTGTAAGCAGAGACCAGAACTTGTTTGGCGAGGACGCAGATGAGTATCGGCCGCAGCGATGGCTGAGGGTCGATCCTGAAACAGCCAAGAGGATGGAGAATGCCAGCCTGACTTTTGGCGGTGGTCCGCGGGTCTGCATTGGCAAGAATATTGCGCTGCTGGAAGTGAACAAGTTCATCCCTGAACTCTTCCGGAGATTTCGGCTGACGCTGGTACATCCTGAGAAATATCATCTGGTGCCGGGCTGGTTAGTACTGCAGCATGGGCTGTACGTAAAGTTATCCCCTCGAGAGACTTTGTCCACTTGATAGATCGCAGCTCGCTGTGAGTCTTTGGCCTAGAGACGAATATGAAGCTACTCTACAGATTACAGAAGGCAGTGGTGGGACCGAGACTTGTCTACAGTACAGATACCGCTATTCCGGCTGCAGCTGCAATAGTTCAAGTAATCGATTGTCTTATTAAGGACGTTTAGACGACAGCATTGTCATGATCTCGTGCACAATTACCACCTTAAGCTCAGCTGTATTCTCCAGCAGCCCTTCTGATCGCCTCTGCCGTCTCCTTCGGCTTGCTCAAAAACGGACTGTGGCCGGCATCGACCGTGTCCGTGTTGATAGGGTACCCCTTCGCAACCGTCTCAACCATCATCTGCTGGATCTGCAGAGGAATGGCGGCATCCTGAGTTGTGTAAATGTATGTGCTCGGGATGTGCTAAAACGTCCCGTCAATTCTCGCCCCTATGCCAGGGAGAACGGTTTGAAAAGACATACCTTCCAAGCCGCGTACGTAACAGGTGTATGCATAACCTGATAACTCTGCGGCCTCAACGCCCTGATCATCTCTTCGGTCGTGTTATCCGCCACATCATTATAGAAAATCTTCTCCGGCGTGTCGGGGTTGACTTCCAACTGATCCTCAGAAATCTTGAACCAAGGCAATGGGCTCCCTCCAAAAGCGCCGATCAGTGAATGTCCCTCGTCGACGATGAAGGCACAGCAGAAGACGAGGTGTTTGACGCCGCCGGCCTTGCCTTCCTTTTGTCGAGATGAGAGATCAAGACCTTTGGCTGCTTCGCTGGCGGGGATGGAACCGTAGGAGTGGCCGATGAGGACGATTTCACGGCCCGCATCACAAGCCTTCTGAATATGCGATCGAATGACCTCGACGTCTGCGTCGAAGTTGGGGAGATGTTTCGCCGGACCAACGGATGGAAGGTCGATCAGGTCGACTCGGTAGCCGGCTTCCTCAAGGAGGGTTGCTACTGGATTGAACGTCGAAGCCTTGTGCCAGGCACCCGGGACGTAGAGGATGCTCGTAGTTTTTGCGGCCATTTTCGAGGAAGAGGAGCAAGTGAGGTTGAATTTGGCTTCGTTCCTTTTGGTGACTTATATGGGTGGGTCGGCAATCTCGGTGGGCAGGGGGGTTAGCTAGTGCTTGCTCGGCTCGGCATCGGATGTTCTGGTGGAGAGAGGAGATCTTTGGAGAGGTAGAGATGTGTCCGCAAAATACATCCCATCGGACTTGGTGGCTGGTCGTTGTAGGCTTCATGTTGATGAAGCGACCATAAGAATGACATGTGAAAATGTGGGGTGTGGGGAATCTGGGGAAAGGTGGCAATGTGAGTGAATGAAACGCAGTGTCAGATTCTTGGCTGTCAGCGCTGTGTAACGTGCCTTAGAGCAAGAAAGCCGTGGCAATGCATGGTGATGCGGCGCCTGTATCAAAACCTTTCAGCAATTTTCGTAGTGTACATTACTATACATGCGTTGCAAGCATTGAAAGCATTTTGTACAAGGTCTCTCTCTTCGCCCGATCTCCGCACTATAATCTAGCCGGTGTGTTCTGGTGCTTCGGATGTCGGCTCGGCAAAGCCAGAAGGTCAGGATAAGTGGTGGCTCGAGATTCTTAGCATTGATAAGGCCCACGGCAATGGGGAAAGGCCATGAAGATGCATATGTTACGCAGTCGACATGCACCGTTGGGCGAAGCATTCGTCTCTGAGAAACCTATCCAGCTCGGGATACGGTTCCAATGTCGATTTCCGCTGTCGCAGTTCGCGCAGGGGTTTCGTATGGACCATAAAGCCGTCATGCTCTTGAGGTTAAATGCATAAGCCGACGTCCTAAGTACACAAAATACTCCAGGCTGGCGAGACGAATCATCAGGCTTTATTTGAGATGTCATCAGTATCGCTCACCCCTCCGCGAAGTTCTCGACAATCTCTCAGTCGTGTATGGTCGTCGAGCATCGATGGTAGCCCTATTGTGAGCCTTGGGCTCGACAGGCCTGTATTCTCTGACATCGACACTCGAAATCGGATTCGAAGACAAAGGCTTCAATTCGGGGCGCATGATAGACTGCTTGCTATAGCGACGCTCATCAGGACGGCGATAGTCATAGTCGTCTCTGGGCGCTTGACGGGCAGGCGCTTCGCTGTAGGTTGACTTGCGATGAGAGCGTCGTCTGCGGTCTCTGTCTTCGTCTGGGATAGGGGGTGATTTGGGTTCTGGTGGGCTTCGAGCAGACCAGTTAGCGAAATGACGCTTTCAGACTCAATCTTAAGGTTGACACTCACCCAGCAACAGTCTGCCGCTTGCTCTCATATTCACTCGAACTCGGCTGCCTCCTCTGTCTCTCGGCAGGACTTCGCAGCGCTCCGCTCACCAGCCGCCTAAAAGCAGACTCCTTCTTGTAGTTCTGATAATCTCCCGCATCTGGCCGCCGTTCCGGATTCGAGTTGGCCGTAGGCAGGTACAGCTTGTCTCGCTTGTACTGCTGCATCTTCGAAGTCATGACGGCAAGAAGTGGTGGAGCGAACTCCACTCCAGTATATAGCTCGAATGCTCGTTTGGCAACCGGTGTGGCACAGACGGCGCAGGAGAGAGGTTACGTCCAACTGGTAAGAAGAGGGTCTAGAAGAAGACGCAGCTGCCAATCTTCCTCCTGTTACAGAGCCCTGCAACCGCCAGACTGGTTTCAGGATGCAACCTTTTGGGCGTCAACCTTGTGTTGGATCTTTCGATTTGGAAGTTGTGCTGCTGCAGTCTCGCATTTACCCCTTTCGGTCGTCTGGATCCTGCATATAAGAGATTGGCGGTGCTTCCGTGTATTCTCGTGCCGATGTAAGCGAAGCAAAACTGGTTTCGAACGGAAGCGCCCCTCATGTGTCTATTCTCGACATGGCTGCAGCGCACATAGACCCTTATGCCTGCTTCTTTGAGCTCACCTCACCCTGTGGCGTCAGCATACAGATCAGCGAATTCCTATAGACGCCATCAAGCACAAGCGCGGTGCAGTCAACAGTTTGCATAAAGTGCTGCACCAATAGAGCCAAGAATAGACCCTCCTTGCACGACTCAGGACACCTACTGCTGCATCGTCGACATCGCTCAATATGGACGTCAAGGTTCTTCTGTGCAGGTCGGTTCGATGTCATTGCTCTCGCGAGTGGTGTGACAATCGGGCAGCTCAGCATAGAGTTTCTCGCGTAGTTTACTTGACGCAGTGAGAGTCTCAATCACGGCAGAAACGTCGCCAATCGTCTTTGGCAATCGTCTAGTACCTGGTCGGGCTCTCATCGGGCTCCCACTACCATTTCGTGGCTGAATGGTAAGTCTTGTACAGAGGAGAAAGGTCGACGAAGGGGCAAGCCTTGGGACTAGCACCAAACCAAGGGCCAACGGGCTACCGTTGAGGGCTCGGATGTTGGTCATTCCTGTTGCCGAGAGTACAAAGGAACCCATGGAGCCGAGTAGATCAAACTCTATTTCAACGTCAGCGGCTCTCCAACGACCACTCAAACCTTGATCAACGCAGGTACCGACATCAGGGCATGTCCCTTTGCTGCCCAACTCACCACAATGCACGCTATCATGAGCATTGACCTTCATCGCTAACAGTCCATACACGCCGAGCGAGGGACGACGCAGGACCCTCGAGTGGGAGGCGGCACCGCCGAGAAGTCTCGAGCAAAATGCTCATCAAACACGCTTTGATATGGCATGATTGGAAAGCTGACCATCATCAGCAGCAGGGACGAAGCGTGCCGTGGCATCGTCAAATTTGTCGAGGTCCTGATGACAACAACGATGCTCGTACTGTATGGCTAGCTGCATATCTTCGGGGTCTTTATGACTTTCTCAATCACACTGTGCAGCAGATGCAAGTTCAGCGACATCTGCTGCATATAAGAAGCAAAGTTCTCCTCTGCATGGCCTTTGTGCAAGAGCGGAAGCAGCTGCTCATATCCATGGCGTGCCTCGCATTCTGAGCGAGAAGCGGTACATTCTCAAGAGGCGACATGGCGTGAAACGCAGACACGACGAGGGCCGGGTTCTCTCATCGACAAATGCGCTCCTTGTTTGGATAAGCGAGGTCAATATGTTCCAATTCGAAGTCTCCGAATTGCCGATATCATCTGCCGAGGAAAGGTCTGTGTACACTCCATGTTGAAAGCAATGTCTGGCCATACACAGCGTGAGGGCAAGTCCGTTGTTTAAGAAGCCGTGTGCCAGACCTGCCACTGATGGATATGAAGTTTGCCTCGGCCAAGGTCGTTTGCCTTGAAGATTTGTAATTTCGACTGCTTTCTGACAATCTCCCAGGGTTGCCGTCGAGCGTCTACCGAAGTCAAGCTAAATGAAGTGCTCACACGTGTCTGCACAAACCTAGGAAGATGCCTACAATAGCAGACTTCATAGAAAGCATCGACACTTCATTAGAGCTTCTGCAAGATGCGACTTCTCGATCGTGATTGCAAATATCGTGTCTCGTGAGATGGGTTCGGCCATGCCAGGCTCAGTGAAGCTCATTGTCCGGAAGGCCTGTTTGGGGCTCTACTCATGGGACACAAGGCTAGTATTGTCATCGAAGATCACCTTCCAGACGCATGCAACGGCAGCTCTGGGTCAACGAAGGAGAAGCCCTAACTCGCGAAAGACTTTACCGTTGACGAGTTATCCTTCCAAAACGTGGTTTTGGTTTCATGACGAATCCCGTTTCCGTTCGCGTGGTTGATCGTGTTTCAATCCAATCTGTTGCGTTCTGTTTCATGGGACATGTCAGTTCAAAGTTGGTAGTTCCCCAGGGTGTCCGTTTCTTCAGGGATGAAGTGGCCGGGAACAGTGCCAAGTCTGGCATGTTCACCGAATGTCGTTCGTTGCAGAGCATGTCGAATTCTAGACCACATCGAGAGCGAGTCAATCTTGAAGCAATGTATGCTTCACAGCTTTCACAGCATAGCCATGGACGCCGCCAAGGAGGTCGGGTCATTGGCTTGCTAGGTACCGCGGCGTGTGAAGCTGATCATGTGAAGTCAAGCAAAGGGCAAACCAGGCCTACCCTCGAGGTCGCTTACCTCACTCGCACCGAGACGAGCAGTACATGGCCCGACAAGGTCGTTACATGTCCTGATTGGAGCGCTCTAGACGACACCGCATCCGCACCCGCGAGCCCTTGTCGCCGGCGCTTGTCGGGATGCATGCCTGTTCTCTTTCGGTTGCCGTCACGCCAGAAGAAGGCTGTTTGATGCACGGGAATAACAACGGCGGGCTCGCCTCGCTGCAACGACCTGCAGTCCGCGAGTCAGAGTCCCGACGCTTTGGGAGAGAAACGGCAAAGATGTGCCGTAGATCCATCGAAGGCCCGCTCCTCCACAGATGTTTGATAACGACATCATGTCAGTCCTCGTGTGATGTCATGGGTGTGCCTGTCTGTGTTCGACACCTGATGCTTGAGGGTTCTCGAGGACGCTCACTTGTCGTTGCGCAACGCAGGTCCTGCTACAGAACGTTACTCGTGATTGAGCTTTTTCCACACACAGTAAGGTGTCCGAAAGGTTGTGCACTCTGGATGTTCTTCGAGTATGAGGTGTCTCTGAGACATGCTGACACGGCGATGCAGTGTCAACTCATCCTCCCTTGGAAGTCGTGACTGCCGCGTTGTGCATCAATCACAGTTCCACAGCACAGGCAAGCCACCGCCTTCTGCAACGCAAACGTCCCAGACAAGTGCGTGCAGGAACCTGCTACTAGGGAAGTCTCCCGATTCGCTTTTGGTGTACCAGTGCAAGCGAACAACCGCACAAAGCCGCTGCTGTTGTGAAACCTGTGTGATTTGAATAGCTGTGCAGCGGGACCACAGCTCGAGCTCACCTCACAGTAGGAGTGGTATCATCGTGATGCTCGACGTCGTCTTCTGCAGATACCCATGGAGCAAACACTGGGGCCATTCTGTGGGGGTGTAGTCCTTGCTGCCGATCTGCTCTAGATCCTCACGAAGACAACCGGCCACTTCTGCGGATGTGAGTAGGACGAGCTTCTCTCACCAGTGTCAACGACAAAACCCGCCATCCCATCAACGAGAAACCCGCTCCATCCCGAGTCCCGTCCGCCAGCACAATCCGAGGAAACCGCCCAAACAAATTCCCGGACGATGAATGACCCAGGAAATATCTCGGCCGGCGCGCCTCTCCCAACAGGCCCGCAGATTTCGGCTCCGGAAACCCCCCAAAGTCCACCACCATCACCACACCTTCTCATCATCGTTAGCAAGCAACGTTTTTTCCGATCCCAAGCACCACGATATCCGGAACAAAACCTGCCGCGCCAAGCCGACGCCTCATAGACGCCTTGCAGGAGAAAGCCACATGGGAGGAGAGCCAAAGGCGCTTGAGAGAATGCATGCATGCACGCAAACGCGTTATACGGACGCATCTCTCAAAGCAGCTCCTCCTCCGATGGCGAAAACGTGTGTCATGTAGTTCGAGCTTCGTCAGTGCGAATGATTCAAGATAGCAGAGTTGATGAGACTGTGGAGGATTGGGTTTACCCACTTCCACACGCACGCACGCGCGACCGGTGCATGTGGCAACGACGGGGACCAAGAAAAGTCTGTTTTTCTCTCTCTTTGTCTTTCTTCTTCAGCCGCAAGGCGCTAGCGGAGTAGCGTGGAAGTTTAGAAGTCAAGTTGGACGGCTTGGCTTGGCGTTGAAGAAGTCGCCGATGAGGGTCTTTTTCGTGGCTAAATGTAAGTGAGATAGGGGGAGATCGGAGAATGAGGGGAGTGAGTCTTCAAGCTATTGCCGCTGACTGGGCAGTTGTATCCTGGATCATGGCATAGACGCTCTATATCTAGCGACCAAAGTAGTTACGAAAACGAGTGCGATGTTCTCCTCCAAATGAATGAACCCCGCGTAGAGCAAAGCGCGAAAATCGTCTCTGTCGTATAGAAAGTTCTGTTGGCCTGCTCATTCTTTTCCTGCGTGGAAGAAATAGCCTCACATCACCTTGGCGGCTGAATGCTGGATCGCAAGAAGCCGAACATCGCCCGACGGATAACGTTTTCCTTAGGCAAACTTTCCACGGCCCCCAAACGCACCCTCGTGACCTCCTCTGCCAGGGAAGCCCGAAAGGAGAGCACCGCGACCGCTCCCTGGCACGCCGTGGAAGTGATCCACGTCGGTGTCCACGAGAGTTTCCTCGTCTTCGACGACGGTGCCATTGACGGCCTTTGCGTGACGGTGAAACAGCTCTTCTGACTGCGTGATTCGAGGGAAGCCGCCGTAGCGAGAGGGGTTTGCTTGTGCTTTGACGCCGGAGAAAGTCATGTCTTGTGTGGTTGTGCCGTAGGTGTAGGAGGTCTTGGCGGTTTGGTTGGCGGTGTAGTATGCTGAGCCGTTTTGTGTTGTCGAAAGGGATGCTCCTTGGAAGGATCTGTATGCTGGGTGGACGGCCTCGACGTTTGAGAAGGATTCCAGGCCTGTTGGGAAGACTGGTTGTCCTAGTGTTTGCACGTCCTTTCCTCTGTTCACGACCGCTGTGTAGGTCACGTTGTCTGCCACCATTGCTGATGTACTGTAGGCGTATAATGGGTAGCTGTATTGTCTGGCGTATCCACTGGAGGATACATCGTAGCCATCTGTATGCTGAGTGTTGGTCTGTATGTTTCCCTCGTCTGTATAGTTCGCTACGTTCGAGAAGGTGAGGTCCTGGGCCCATGACGCTGTTTGTTTCCCCTGAGAAAGCTGGATGGTCGAACGGAAGGAGATGCTTCTCTGGGCGTGCACTTGGTACAGCAGAGTCTCGTTGGTTCCATTCGACGATTGAATGACTTGAGAGGAGACCTGAAATGTAGGATCAGGGGTGACACTGGTAGGTCCATCGCCAGTAGTGACATGGCCAGCTTTGTCGAGCCAAATGAAGACCTTGCCCGCAACCCACCAGTCGTCGGTCGTTGTCTCGGAAAGTGTTGCCGTGCCGTTCCCCCCATTGTCATTCAGTCCAGAGACTCGAATAGTGAAGTTGTGTGCCTGCCCATCGCATAGCCGTGGCAGCCAAGGTGTAATGTCGATCTCATCTTCTTTCAAGTCGAAAGCATCGATTCCGACGATCGGCCTCCAAAGTCCAGGAACGATACCACCTGTGAAGATGATTGGAAACGGCCAAGCAACACCAGCTAACATGCCGTCAATGTAAAGCTGCACCTCGCGAAACGGCGAGTAGCCATACAAGGTGCCGTATGAAGGGAAAGTGTCAATCTCGGATTGCAACACGTTGCTCCACCAAAACTATCCCTGAGATCAGAAACATCCTCGATATGCAATTGCAATGTGTTTCGTACCTCTTCTTGAGCCTGACCAGTTGCAGCGACTGTGAAAACTGCTTTCTTGACGTTTCGAGGAATTGTCAACTCGTTTGTCGCAGTTTCTTGAGGCACTGTAAAGTAGCTGGGCTGTCCAGCATCACCTTGGCGTTTCGAGACAGGAACAATTAGGTCGGCTGGTGCGATCGAGTCCTCTGCGGTGAAGAATGATGCTGAAAGAGTGACGTTGAAAGGGGCGGTGTATGTTTCGTCCACGATGTTGTTCAGGTCGAAGATGAGGGTTTGGTCGGTCTTGAAAAGGGGCAGAAAGTTTGTCATGTCCTTCACATTCATTAGTCCTTGTATTCACCTCGCTCTTTGGTATTGTCATACCTTCAAGTAGGTCCATTCGATGCCATTCTGAGTCGGCTCGGCCGTTGACGTGCGAAACAGCTCAATGTCGCCAAATGACACGGATCCCAGCCGATCATACTGCCTTCCAGCGGCAGTGACCGTCAAGTTCCAGGTCACTCGGTTGAAAGAGCACGATGGTTGGTTATAGGGCACAGCATAAGGTGCATTGTACGAGCGGAAAGAATGAACAACAAGAGTCTCCTGACACGTGGGCTTGCGGCTGGGAATGACCTCGACGCTGGCGTTGGAGGATCCGTCGGTTATCTCGAGCACCCCTTCAGGGGTTACCGTCAGCACAGGCGGGTAGACTTGGAAGACCTCCAAAACCGCCTGTGTCCCGGCCCGAGCGAAGTGTTGCACAAAGTGGAGAGAGCTCGCGGCCGAGTCGAGCACTTGAGCCGAACATGGAATGATGTTCCCCGTCGAGAAGAAAAGCAATAGCGAGATAGCGAGAAGTGCTGACCACAGCCCATGCCGCTGGGGTCGGATGGAGCCGATTATTGGAAACGTGGCGTGCCGCAGGTCCACTGGGTCCCCGCAAGCTAGTGGTGTAGGTGAATCCACAGGAGGCGGCGTTTTCTTGTCCTCGGCGTGGTTGGTTTTGAGCCGTACATCGGACCGGATTGGATCAGCGTGGCGAGGCATCGTCGGCTTGTGGCAAGGATGTCAGGCCCGTGAAATGCACTCAGGCGTCAGACCTATGCCAGAAGGTGCGTTAGCCTTTGCGTTCAACGTCGATGCCTGCAGCGGTAATGGATGCGACGGGAGAGGCGTGATCGGAAAGAGCCACGGGATCGAAGCGGAAGTGAATGGGCCAGGCATCACGGGCACCCACCAGCATTAGGAAGACGCAGTAGGGGCCTCGAAGGTATGAGCCCAGTAACGAGCAACAGCCGCTTCAGCGACTCCGTTTTCTTCGAACCGGAAACGGTAGAAGTTGAACACGGCGAACTCGTCCTTGGACATGATGTAGTTCTCAGGCTCCATGTTGATGCGCCCCCAGATGTCTGACAAGGCCGTTTCGAGATATGCTGAGACCGTCGGATCCAGGTCGCCCTCAGTGTTACGGGCGATATCGATAGCTCGCTGGTAGTTGAGGACGCCAATGCCATCGACATTGACGTTGGTGTTGGCATCCATTGGGAAGGTGTCGTCGTCGGAGAGTTGGTATGAGGCTTCGGATGCGGACAATGATGGGGGACTTGGGTAGGTCGAGAAGGGCACGGCGAAGGGCGGTTCTATATGCATGGCGGCGAGGTCGCACGCAACAGTTCTGCCAGAGGGACACGAGGGGCCGGGATGGGGCAGGATGATTTGATTGATTGATTGAGAAGATGATCAGGTTGTCACACACGTGGTGGTGGATGCAGTGATGCAGAGAGTGGGCTTACCCTAGCAGGCTGGCCGCACAGCAGCGGGCACAGTGGGTTTTTTATAAAAGATGTTCCGCAGGCGACGGGCTAGTGTCGCTGGTACGCCTCGTCTCGTCCGAGTTGCGTCGAATGCCTCCCAGCAGCAGCAGCAGCAGCTCGGCAGTCCCCTGGGCCTGGGGCAACGTCAGCCTCGCGGCGGCAGCAGCAGCAGCAGCGCAGGCACAGGATATGACTGAAGCGAGCCGTTTCGGGCTGCAGCGACGCTAGAAGTAGTCTCCACGTAACCTTCAAAGCAAGGGCGAAGTAATGGCGACGTCGCCGAGCTTGATCTCCACCGGCAGCGTTTCGATGGCGGCGTGGGAGGTGGTGGTCGTGGCAGAGGTGGCCAGGATGTCGAGCGCGCGTGCACCGCTCATGGTGTTACGTCTGAACTCAATTGCCCGCCGAGAGGGGTGGGCCTGTATCGCGCGTAAATCCAAACCTTCCTGGCCAGCGTGCTATCTGCTGCACATTCACTCACTCACTCGCGCGCTGCCCTGCGCCGCTGCCGAGGTGGCCCAACAGAGTTCGAGATCAGGCCTGCAAATCCGGCGACGCAACGCTCTCGACGCCCCACCTCCCATGATCCCTCTCGCCCAGCAGCACATGGCAGGCCGTCACGCCCGTTTATAGAGTTTAGCCTCAAATCTGCACGTCGTTTCGCATCGCAGCTGGCCCCCGAGTCCCACCTCACGCCTTGCTGCTCCGCCGGCCAAATCACTGCGTTTTCCTGGCGCAGCCGATGGTCAGTCAGGTGTAGCGGCGCCGGCACAGTTGCCTCGCTGCGGTGTCGCCCGGCCCACAGCCGGTGGAGACGTCGACGACGGCGAAAAACAACCACGAGGCTGCAGGATTAGGAAGTTGTTTGCTGTCCAACTTGTCTCACGTCGTGCGGTCAGCGCTGCACGTTTGTCACCCACTCGCGCTCCCGGTGGCGGTTGCCTTTCGCGCCGATGCTGGATCCTGGTATACTGATCGGCTCACGGTGAGGGCATGGGCGCACCACAGCAATGGCAAAGCAGTATCTGTGGGTGCCAAGGGTGTTGGATTCGCTGTCGCGATCAAATTGGGACGGTGTAGAGGTGGAAGATGTTGAGATCGCCCCTTTGCTTGGGCAGTCACCTCCAGCGCTAAAGACGCCTTCGACAACCGGCAGATAGGACGATAGGGAAGTTAGGCTCTGCTACGATCCTGTCGACCACTCACATTGGCGGAAAGTGATGTAAAGTAGGCCGGGGGTGTGGTATCTGGTGTGGTATTGTAGATCTGAGGCTCTTCCTGTCCTCCCGTTCGTCAAGCCTGCCGCCACGCAGCGACAATCATCAAACCATAAGCATTTAGTCCATCTTTCTCATCTCACCCACTCTGTTTGCCACCACGTCATTCCCACACTTTTCGACAAGACGAAGAGCCGAACGGACGAGACTTGGGCATCCACCAGAACGCCATAGCACTCCTTTGCGCAATAAGGTTCATCCTCACGGCGGGAATCGAGACTAGCCCTCCGCCTCAAAAGTTAGATGTCCGCGCTCGGGAGAATGACGGACCGACGTATTCGACGCCGAAATAACATCGTAATGAAGACGGTCCTGGTGACCACACTGCATCACGCGGCGCTCATGGTTGTTGTCGTCGGGGTCGGTCATCGACGACACCGTCGAGCACGTAATGATGCCAGCAACGAAGGTCCCATGTCCCCAGTAAAGAGCCGCATTCTCGAAGCTCGCTCTGACCCGGCCAGCCCTGGCTTCACGGGCAGATCTACGGGCCGATCGGCTGTTCCCGCGTCTCTTTCAACCGTCACTCGAGCAAGCACAGCGAGATGACCGAGACTCCCATCGCCATCTCCTACGTATCCTATCCGACCGTACCTGCGGGAAGCGCGAGCTGCCATGCTGACGAATTCACGCGTCCTGCAACTCCTCCGCCAACCCGTTGTTCATGAGGGCTTCCTCGCGACGTCGCTGAGGCGAAATTTCGCCGGTCAACTCCCTAAACTTTCTACCAAAACAACTCCTCTACGGCGAGGGTTCACCACTTCAAACCTGCGCATCTCGAATCGCTCGCAACTCTCACGACTATGGCGAAAGTCTCCTCTCCGGAACAGCCGGCAGACTCGGCACAGCAGCACTCAAACAGCTGGAGATGAGCTTGCAAGCAAAAAGAGTCTGTCGCTGTCAGAGCGCATGAAGGAGATGTCGAGGAAATACGGGTGGATCGTGGTGGGAATATACCTGGGCTTGTCTGTGCTTGACTTTCCCTTCTGCTTCTTGGCAGTGAGGTGGTTTGGCACGGAGCGGATAGCAGAGATCGAGCACACCATCATCGACAGCGTTTGGGGTGTCGTGGAGAAGGCAGTGCCTAGCTTGAAAGAGAGGAGAGAGCAGAAAGAGGCCATCGCAGCCGCTGAGGATGCCGCAAGAGAAGGAGGCGAGGCTGTGATGGAGGACGCGAAGAAGCATGAGGATGCTAGTGAGTATATCTTGACACATGATGTTGGACTCTGACTGACATGAGGATGCAGGTATCTGGACTCAGCTACTTCTCGCGTACGGCGTGCACAAGTCGCTCCTCTTCATTCGCATACCCGTCACACTGGCCGTCACGCCCAAGGTGGTAAAGACATTGAGGAGTTGGGGGTGGAACATTGGCAAGACGAAGCCGAAATAGATGAAACCTGTAGAATAGAGATAGACGTCCTCCGCGACCAGAGCCGCTCCGCTCAACTTGTAACAAAAGCTTGTATAGAAATGATGCTCAAAATGAGGATATCACAAGGAGGTCGCCGTCTTTCGCATGAGGTGTTCTTTTTAAGGTGACATGGAGCGCAAACTTCTTCAACTGAGCCGTCGAGTCTGATAACAAGCGTGAGCAGTCGCAAAACCTCAAAATCGCGACGGCGCACCGATGGACGAAATTCAGAGCGGGCAGCTTCTCCGCCTCGCCGACACCTGCCTCGTCACACACCCACCTCGAAATTGCTTCACCACATCACACAATCTTCTCCAGCGACCGGCAAAAGCAAGTCGATCTGATGAAAAAAGCGAAGACAGAGCAAAAAAGAGTTCGCATCAGCCAGCGTCAGTGCAATACTGGCGACACGGTGCCCTGTGACAATAGGCAAGCCCAGCGGCCACAGGACCAGGTGCCAAAAATGAGGATAATCTTGAATGAGTCACGTAGACTCGTTTCAGAGATTAAACCGAAAATGACGACGAGGAAGTCGCTTTTCGAGGCATAAGGAATGGAAGAGCGAGCAGCCGGCTTGCCTACCGCAAAGTAGACTTCATGCCAAGGCGGGCTACGGTGCTGAATGCTCGAGACTATTAGCGTAGATATATCGTGCCATAAACGCCCATGCAGCAATGGAAAGTCATCGCCCTCTGGATCCCGATCTACAATCTTCCCGGGAGCAAAATACCCTGAAGCCTTTGAAGTGGAAGTGATATTATTGCCAGGCAGGCGTTGGCGAACCCATCACCTGCTACCTCTATCCAGCGACGATTTATCTGCCTGCATGAGGCGAACATCATATAACTCGTACCCTTCAAAACTTTACTTACTCTTGAGCGCCTTCTGGCACCTTGTAATCCGCATCCATCTCACTCGCTGAATCCGCAGCTGACACATGGGGTACTGCTTATTTAAGTGGCGCCTTCAACAGGCAGCGAGGGCGCCATGCTGCTCAGAGCCTTGAAGATTCCCTCAAGTACGTCTTGATCGACGTAGCCTCCGATTTGTCTTGTACGCCAACCACCGCGATTGACGCCATGTATCGTCTTTGCGCCGGTACATACCATGATTTGGATAGCGTCGTCTGTAGCCCACATGTTGTTGGTGTTGCAATTGTGATGCGCATGTTCAACGGCGAAAGAACAGATATCCATGCTCCGACGGATCGCTTCCCAGTCATCCCGCATTCTCGCAAGGTTCACACGATCTTCTTCCGATGGTATCATAGTCCTTGGCTCGTCCAATAAACGAGCGAAAAGTTGTTTCTCGTGCTCTTCCAGTCTACTAGCTGTGCGCGCTAGGGTGTCTCTGCACTCCTGCAGACCTTCCCTCATAATTTGCTCGGGTAGCTCGTTCGTGCTAACTGACGTTTCTTGAGCACTACAATTGTTGGTCGCCAATTGGATCTGGGCTATGTGGTCTGAAACCTCGGCAGAGATTTGCAAACACTTCTCAGTACTCAGACGTTCCTCCTTGATCAATTGCGCTTCTCGAGCGGTCCTTTCGGTTGCAGCAACATCCATTGTGAGCGCGACTTCGAGCCTCTCGTCTATGTTCTTGAGGCGACGTTCAAGATTGGCTTTGGCGGTAACAATAAGGTCATTGAAACTTGCAATATTCTCGGCCGGGGCAGAATTTCTTCTTCTGGGCAGTTCAGAACCTGTCAGCATCTGGAACTGATTGGGCGGAGTTGCGGGGAACTCACAGCTTTGCATCTGTAATGGCAATACTGATGGTGAGTCTGTAACTCGCAAGCAGCTCCTTGAAGCTATCGATATCCTCTCCCATGTACTTTATCTTTACCCAGTCCCGGAAGCTTGTGCGATTATCGCCAGTGCGCGCCAAGCATAGTAGCACCTCTTCTTCGAAATTCAAGCATGCCTCACCACATCTTTGCAGAGGTATGTTTAGGGCAGAGAAATCTGTATCAGATGTGGCTTCGATAGTGTCTCTGAGCGAGCCTAGAGCTCCGTTCAAAGTGTCGAGCTCCTGCAAGAGGTTGTGAAGTCGGTATGAATGGAAGCTCTTGAGCAGGTCGCGAAGTTTGGCAGCGGCTGCTATAGTGGCAAGGGTCAAATCCAACATTACAAAAGGTGCACTGAGAGGCTCCGCCATCGTATTGACCGGAGTCAAGCGCGTTCTTCGATGAGCGTGGTGTGGTATCTCTGAGCTCGCAGCTTCCGCAACTGAATCCAGTAATTCAGTGATGCAACTAGCCGTGTCTTCGAAAGCTTCGAAAAAGGTTATCGCGCTCGAATAATGTTAGCATAAGTACCAAAGAATTCATTTGTGCGTCCTTGCGCCAGACAACGAGACAACTTACACACTTCGCTGCTCCGGTATCGATGGATTCTCCGTCAAGGCAGTCTCGAGGCCGGTCAATTGGCCGTTCACCTGCTGAACTAGGTCTGGGAGGACGTCACGGTAGCCACCTAATGATAAATGGGTTCGACTACCGGCAGTGCTCACTTTTGGTGACCAGAATTTAGATTTCAAAGCAATGTTTTTGAATCTTAGTGTGAGCCCGAATTCGGATAATCTTTGACGTTGCGAGCTAAGGATTAAATCCAGTCGTGTAGCGAGGCCCTCTACTTGGTCCAGCATAAGAGTGGTTGGTGACATGGTCGAATCACTCCATTTTGGTCAGGAGAACAGATGGAGTGAAGTTCATGTCCGCGCCTCGCAAAGCTGACAAGTGTAGGTCGTGACCCCGCACCAAATGCCGACACGTGACCCGCACGCTGCTGAGAAGGCATTATCATTGTCATCATTTAAGGCACGGCTCAGCTGATCAGGCGCTTTCAATGACATTGGGCATGGAGTTTGCCTGGGCATATCACTACAGTACAGCTCGATGCCTGATCCATTTTCAGTCGGTGGAGCAGTCGGCTTAGTCGCTGGCCTCCTTGGCTTCATTGTCAGTACTATCGAGAGGACAATGACGGCTTGCGATACCGCCATATGGTGCTTGACTGCATTACAATGTCATTACAGCCGTTTACGAGTTTTGGAGAGCCGTCTGGCATGTTGGAAAGAGACGTATGAACCCACCCCCGAAGTCTCTAATGGCTCTCTGGAATCTCTGTTCGGCGAAACGACTTCGCAAGAGATTAGAATCATCCAAAGATGCGTTGTGGTAGAGATTGAACAAGTGAAAAAACTGCTATATGGCGCGAAGATCCTGAGAAACAAAGCAGATGAGGCGACATGGCAGGCCCTTCTGAAACACCAAGAGCAGAAATGGCCCGTAAAGACCTCTACCACACCTATGGTCCACAACCAGGCTACGACAAGGCTGTTCCATCGGGTGGCGGTAGCGCTGTGGCGGGAGAAGCTGCTCGATGTCAACATGGACCGGTTGAGTCATTTCGTAAACTCTATGGAACATCAATCCAGGGTTTCTTATCATCGGACCCGCGGAAGCTCTGAATACGAAATCACACCCTCTCGGAAAGACGTCCTTCGAGCACTGCGAGTACAAGCAAGGACAATTCGACTACGTGGCGCCTTGCAAGTAGCATACGATGAATTAGGCGCAAGCCAGACGTGGGCCTTGCTAATGCCAGATATGGTTAAGCCAGATGAACTGAAGTTTGACGCGGTCGAGAAGCTACGAATTAGCTTCTTCTCTGTCCCCGCCTTTCAGAGCGATGAAGCTGGATATCGGATAGATGTGCTCTTCCACTTGGAACTGGATGATCACGTCGCCTTGGCTGAACGCATGTCAGCACAGCTCCGTCAGCGCCGTATTTGCGCTTCGAATGGAGCATTGGGCGAATCATTGAAGTCAATCTTCTGGTGCATACTGAGCAGGCCGAAAAAGGAGCATGCAGACTACCGAGATCAGACTTCACTTGAATGCGCTAGAGCGGCGCTGTGTATCGCGAGTTGGACCACACTTGTCTGGGGTTCTCGTTGGATCGATGGCCTCTGTACCTGTTCCATTCGATTCGTCAGTTTTACGACCGGGGTCCGAGTCCTGGCTTATCAACCCAGCCCCGGGCATATGGGCTGCACTTGTTCCAAGACCACAGACGGCGGACTACACCATCAATTGGGCATCGTACTCGCTGAGCTGGCACTTGCTCAACCTGTTTATGCGCACACAGTCGCCAGCGTTAATGAATACAAGTTGTGGGATGGTGAAGCCGAGGTCAGGAGCATAGATAGCGAAGATCTGCTACGAGAGATCCAGAAATCGACTACGACGAGCTATCGTGATGCTGTATCATACTGCCTACAACGAAACGGCATATCGGAACAAGGATTGTCCCATTCAAACCATCTCGCAGTGCAATACACGACCAATGTGGTCCAGCCGCTGTGGCAACATCTGAGGTGGGCTCAGGAGCAGTGAAGGTAGCAGGTACTACCTCAGTAAACGAAGGTCGCCAGTATTGAGCATGAGCAAGATGTACGAGAGAGAAGATTTTAGGAAGAAGTGTTGTGAGTGATTTGACGGGATATCCTTGTTTAGATTTCCCGCATTGGTTGAGCTCTTGTGTCTAAGGCGTTATGGGTGACCATTACCTGGTGCCGTTTCATGCGCAGACCACAGCGGATCGAAAGCAGCTCAAAGCGTGCACTTAGCCGCCGCCGAACGCCCCGAATGAATTATTCTCGGCCAAGACTCGTGCACAGTCACGCGCTCTCCGAGCACAGGATCGAGAGGCCCGAGGGGACAGTTATCCCTCGTCGAGAATGGCTCATGGGAAACAGGTCTCGAATCCGGAACGAGTATACACAGTGCTGGCGAAGTAGGAAATAGGGGGTACGCATTGCCAACTTCAGTGAGCAAAGACCCATGACGGCGGTCGTTATAATTGCAAGAAACTACGCTCGTATGTCGACAGTCAGCAACATGACGAAAGCACATGGCGTCCCTACCATCCAGTTCCATCTAGGTAGTTGGAGATAGAAGTTGCTCTGCTACACAGCTCGGCCATGCCGATGACCCGCTGCACCCGCTCTTGCGACTTGTCTTGTAAATCGTCTTTATAGATACAAATCTCGTTAGCTCAGGTATATAGTGCTGTTCATTCGCAGATCACTTAGAGCACTGCGGGCGTATTAGGCCGTGTTTCGGGACTCAAGATATAGTAGTCTATATTGAACAGAATAGTCTAGATAGGTAGGCTAAGATAGATACCTAAGGTATTAATACTAAGAGTTATATAACTAAGGAGAGCTTATCTTACCTTAGTTCTCCTACTTCCTAAAACTAACTAATATAATTATTACTAGGTTAGTTTCTACTATTATTTATTAATTTAGTTACTTCTACTATATTTAATACTTATATAAACTTTATAGAGTAGTTTTAGCTTAATAAGTTATAAGTTTAAATTAGTAGTTTAACTACTTTAAAAATTCTAGTAGTATAGATTATTTTTATATTTATTAGAATTAACTTAGTAAGTAGTTTAGAGTATAACTACTAAAGTTTATACTTAACTTACTATCTAGAAAGCTAGTAATTAAAACAAGAATATATAGAGGTGTTCTATTTATTAAAGAGATTAATTAGGCTTTTATAGAGAAAGCTTTATTAGCTTTAATATAACCTAATTAGGAAAATATTTAAAATACTTTTATATCTACTAAGTCCTAAGATTAGTAGGAGCTATAGTATAGAAGATATATATATTTTAGTAAAAGCCTC